ACAAAATCACTGTATAAGAATCATTTTATGACGGATTTATAAGGAGATGAGATAAATCAGAAGAATAATACGTAGAAATGAGCCTATGTATAGTAATAAATATAATTAAGGGCGCCATATGATCAAATTTTTTTGATCAAGTAATTCATAACGAGTTTTAACACTCATTAGAAAGCTGTGAGAGATTGTTCCAAAAAATGTCTCGACAGCCATAAAATATTAATTTTATTTTTTTTTTTTTTTAGTTTGATGTATTTGATCTGAACTTGGATGAGGAATGCAATTACGCACGAACCGCTTGGATTGTAGGCTTCTCGCTATGTTGGAATTCAGGCTTCCTTATAATATCCTTCTCAGCCAACTGAAATTAATATTTTTTTATGTAATTAAAATTAAAGCTCTAAATTACTAGTAATTATATTTGTACATATTTTAATGAAATTTCAGAATTACTTGCAAAATTAAATATAATTAATATTAATTATTAATTAAAATTTATAAATTAAAATTCATTAAAAGCCACTTAAAGCCAATTGAAATAGAATCACCAGCCTCTAAGACATTCTCTTTTCTATTTTTCAAATCAAATTTCATTACATGGTAACTTCAACTGATTATAGAACATTAATGGCGCCTATGTCCGATCCGCACTCAGTCCTCTGTATATAATTAACCTCCTCATTAAATAACTACGATTTTTGGAGTGAAGAAACATCTAGAAATAGTGCAGAAGTCCAAACTCTTAAAAATGAGCTGTCCATAATATCAAGACTAACTCAGAAATTCGATAATGTACTTTGCAATTTCTTTAAATTCTAGTGGCCTCTGGCCGCTAATTTTTATATGTTGAGCGCGAATTTTTGATGTCGAAAATAATAGATGAAAAAAAAAAAAGCAGAACATGATTTACACCTCCAATAACTTTTCAACAACGTCGCATCATGACTAGTGTATTGAAAAAGACTGTCCACAAAGGCAGCAGAAGTATTGATTTCATAAATCACAACCTCAAGACATCCATTACCCAACCCAAGCGAGGAGAAATAGAGAAGAGCTTAGATCCTGTGAACAATATAAGTCCAGTCAAAAATATCAAAGTCTATGATCATCCAATACATCCATTTCATAGACCCAGTGCAGCAAGTAAGCTGATCAAGGTTTTAAGACCTCACAACAAGCTTGATGCTGGTCCTATTTTCAGCTTAGAATCTCACACAAAAGGTGGCCACAAAGTCAACCTTTCACCTTCTTTTAACTCTTCAAGAGAAGCCATCGCATTCCTTGACAAATTACCCCAAGATTATCAGATCCTGAACCCTATAGAACAGCCTCCAATAAGTTCAAGCCTTTCGGAAAGTGCTAAAAGTCAAATCGAGGAAATGAGAACTGATGATGTTCAATCCTGGTCAAAGATTTTAAAGGCTCGAATTGTTTCTAAAGATGGTTCAATAATTACAAATGAAGACAAATTAGTTTTCTTACTTGAAAAAACCATTAATAGTACACCAGAGTCTGTTTCCAATGTCATTCCCCTCCTTAAAAGCTACATCACGTTTGTTGAAAATTCAAAGTTGGTGTCTAACATCTCACAGTTTTTCCTACATCAAGTACTGAAATATGAATATGAAAATCCGAAACAAATCCTTCAGGAAATCAGTGAAATTGAAAAATTATTAGCGGATGAATATCCAGGTGTTAAGAAAGAGCCTTCTTTCATAAATGTTTTATTGAAGACACACTTACACTTGAAGGAATATGCAGGAACCAAGTTGCTGATAGATAGTTTGATCGCCCAGGGATTCACACCTGATGCTAAAACCGTTGAAATGTATTTGAAATTTCATGTTGATAAACTCATTTCAAGTAAAACTTTATCAGTTACCAAGAATGCACAGGTAAAGGCTGATTTTTTTGATTCAATAATAGACATGGATGATGTTTTCCATAGTGTTATGAATCCTAATATTGCAAAACTTCTACTTCATGGATCAGATAGTCTGGAAGAAGCTTCAAGTATCTTGAAAGAGCTTCAATCCAAAATTCAAGGGCAAGAATTGAAGGATACATACAAGAGTTTTGAAGTAAGAATGGTCAACATCATGAATCAAGAAGATAGAACTTTTGTTCCTCATATTTTACAAAGTGCACTAAGAAATACATTTTATCAAAAACATGAAAGGGTCACAGAGTTTGCAAATCGTTCAAATGTTATTCTTTTGAATAGAACAGTTCGTTATGGAAGTTTAATTTTCGCTACTAAATTATTAGAGAAAGTCCGTGTTAGTCCGGATGATATTAATGGACTATCAAAGATTTTAGAACAAAGAGAATTTGAAACAATAAATGATAGTCCAGGATATGATACAAGATCAAGAGATGCATTTTTAGAGAGGCTAAATGCAAAATCAAGCTTATAGATTATATAAAAAGTTTTAATGGTGTACATAATTTTCAATGGAAGAAAAAAAAATTATTTTATTGGGGCATATGAAAGTTCTGTAAATGGATAGTGGCTGGATGGTTAATTAATCCTCTTGTTTTGCTTTTTCTTATTAGGGAATGGTTTGTTTGGCTTTTGGATGGCTGGTGAAAATTATATTATATCGCAAAATGTGATATAAATTGATGGTGAGATCCAGGGTTTTTTTTTTTGTCTTCCACCTCAACAACTACCACTATGAAAATAAGCTTGATAAATTTGTTAACAGTCATAATTGGAGTCAGTGAAGCAAGACTATTTGATTACAAAGAAGAATCTCAACATGTTCAAGATTCAAGTGATTCATCTCAAGAATATTCCATCAATGATATTGTGAGACGTCATAGAAGTTTAACTCAAACTACACGACATGAAGTGGAAATTTTCAAGAATCCTAAATATGATACTTCTTGTATAAAGAAGGCTTTAACACCAATATTGCCGAAATGTTTGAAAGTTAATATTGATACTTTAGATCCAGAATTAAGAGCTGTCACTGCTGCAAAACTATCTATATGTGAGTTTGAGGTTGCCAAAATTTCATATCCAAATGAATGCTATCCAAGAAGGTATTTTTTCAGTTCAGATGAAGATTCAATAGATTATGAAGATTGTATACTGGCACTAGAAAAATCACCTCAATGGTGGACATCATATAGTGGGAATTATAGAGCAATTGGTGATATATGTTTCCAAGAATCTTTACCTTATGAAAAAGATGAAATTTTGAACTTATTTTTGAATGTTACAGAGATATATGAAAAAATATTGGAAGATTTGAATGAAAACATTGAAATGTCTACAAGTTTCAAACAAAGTTCTAAAAAATCATTTGAAGAACTGAAAAATTTCATGGATGAAGTATTGATAAAATTCCAAAAAGATAGTGATGATCAAAAAACTCAATATGGTGATAAATTGAAAGAGATGAATAAAATTTTGGAGGAAACTGCTGCATTAACCAAAATACTATCAAATAGTACAGTAGGTGTTACTGATGTTGTTATCAATCAAATTCAAACACTAGAAAACAAATGGGATGGGTTCTTCAATCAATATAATAATGATGAGTTTATGAATGAAGTGAACTCAATGAAGGAATATTTTATTAATGATCTTGAAAGTCGTGATTTTAAAATAAATCTTCTCTTGGATGATTTTATTGACAACTTGAACAAGATAGCAACAAAATCAGATATTAATTTACAACTTTCCAAAGATTTAGAGTCATCATTAGGTAAGAATATTGAAGATTCAACCTCTTTGAATAAATTGATAACTAATGCTGGTGATTCAATTATTGTTAGTTCAGAATATGCTTCAAATTTATTGGAAACTTTTACTCAGTTGGATCAATTGAATATCAATGAGATTTTGAATGTTTCTGAAAGGGAATTATTAGAGATTTTTCAGAGGATAACTAATGAATTGAATAATGAAATGATCAAGGTTCATGGAAGTGCTAAGACTTTAGATGAAGAGTTGATAGTTTTAGTTGATAGGATTGGTGAAGCTACAGGATCGTTGTTTACCATTAATGATATTTTAAAGAATAATATCTTTATTAAGCTTTTGATGTTTGTTACTTCCAATGTCTCTGTTTTGGCCAATAAATTTGTCATTGTTGGAATAAGCATATTGATTTATTATTTCCTTCTTGTGGTGAAGTTTAAATTGGTTAGTAAGAACATGAAGATATTAACATTGTTGTTTTTCACCTCAGTTGGAGGTATAATTTTGGGAATTTCTGTTGTTAGATGCATGAAGATGTTTTTAAACTCAAAGTCTTCGTTGGTTGAGTTATAATTAGGACGTTGTTGATTTATAAATGTGTGTTGAAAGTGTTTACATTGAATGTAGAGAGCCCATTATACGTCGAATGAAACATGTTGATCTTTGTAGATTAGGAATTTCCGAGCACTAAGCTTACAAAGTCGTTTGGTCAAATAATCATCAGCTTGAAAGCATTCTCTGGTGTCCTATCATTTCTTCGATCAGAGATAGGCACTAGTATAAACTGGAAAATGATTTAATTAAGGATATTGAAATTCAACTAGTTGTCTCAAAGTTGTGGTTCCTGGTGCCTAAACTGCAACGGAAATTGGTGATCTCAAGTTATTCTTTCCCCAGATCAGATAATGTTTTGGCGATCAAGCAGTGTTCTAAAAATGGCACACACTAAAAAAAATATTCAAGCGTAGAAACTTGAAAGTACATAACCACAAAATAAATCTGATGGCGATTTGTAACTCTCATAAAGAACGCGGGCTTGTGATCTATTATTAACAACTGGATAGGGGAAAAATGGTTATTATATTTTGATGTTAGACGGAATGTATCCAGATCGGAGAGAAAGAGTGTACCTGGGCGCTGCGATAGCAAGCTCTTGAATAGCGTTCCTAGTGTTCTTAAGTAGATTCACAAAGCTCAAAGCTCAATAATATCTATACAATACACAGTACTCATAAGTCAAAAGCACTTATTTAACCGTGACTGAGACGAAGTACACTTTAATTTGAAGAGTAAGTGTATTCAGATCCTTGAACAAATTAATGGCGCAAAAGCCTAAAAATGGAAACTAGGGAACTGTTTTACTCCTTTAAGATCAAATTTCATCTTTTCAAGCTACAGTTCTCAATCTAAAGAACTGAATTCATGTGCGTAATTAATCAATGTTGATCAAATAAAGAAACTTCTACGACAACCCTGATGATCACGGAGCTGTAGGAAATTATCATGCTTTCTAAAAAAAAATATTCAACGTGTAACGTGTAACGCGTAAGATTTCAAAGCTTTGTAGCTCTATATTCTTTATTTGCAAGAATGAAATGTGAAAATGAGAAGCTCTAACCAGCAATGAGAAATAGTATTGGTAGGGCTTATTGATTCATGCTTAGACTGATGATATAATCTTTACTAAAAGTCATAAAGTGCGGCCCAACCTTGACCATATTAATAAGCTTTCAAAAGATCCAAACAGAGAGCCAGACAATCAGCTACTCATATAACTAGTAACTAGCTGCATTTTATTGTGCTCCAGCAGCCCGTGCTGAACTTCCAAATCTTAGTTTTCAGTGGTTTAGGCTGAGGAAAGCTAGAGCTGAAAAGTTGGTATATAATGTGATGATCTGTGAGGTTGTCTCGTGAATTAGTTTAATCAAGCCTGGTCAAAACTTAAAAAGTTATAATGCGAATAGGCACTAGATTCTAGTGGGCAGTGAGCAGTGGGCACCTGCCACCCACATTTGATATAATCACGTCTCCAAATAGGTGTAATAATTTTAATCGTTTTGCCAATACTATCTAGAGTGAGAATATGTAGGTACTTGAACAATTATAATGTAATCGAGTCGGCCTTTTAGATATCATGGGATATTAATGCAGGAGAGGCTCTTTAATAGTACTCAGGTTCCTTTAACAGTGCTTTCCATAAAATAGTCAACATATTCACGCGTGTGCCATTTTTGAACCCTCATGTTGATGTGATGTAAATTTCGAGTAATTAAAGTTTGAAGTTTGAACCCTCTGGTACAAGTTTAAATGAGCTCTTTCAGAGCCCGGTGGTAGTATTGATTCTTGAACATTAGCAGGTTTATTAATGCTAGCAATATTGAACCATCGTCGATAGTCCCGTTGCTATACCAGACACAATTTTTTTATAATAGTTGTGTAGAAGGAAGGAAAAGGTATCAAAATAAAATATCTCAAACAACTTTCAAGATCTGGGTCAGATTTGATTTACTTTTGAACAAGTATACTGTCGTGCTTCTAAACGCCTTCAAGAGCATTTAAACTATATCATAAGAGGTTATGTCCTCAGTCAGTTCATAAATTCGTCGTCGAAGTTGTATGTAAGTACGTATGTTTGAATGGCTCCATTTCTACCACCCGAGATGCACGATTTTGTAAAAAAAGTCCCTGGATTACGAACATCTACATCTTCAAAAGTTTGCTGGAAAGCTATTGGTTACACGAGCTATAACAGCATACTAACTAACGAGCATTGTACGCCAGTTATAGAACCATACTTTGTAATCATATGGAAGTTTTCATCGACAAAGTCGAGCCTAATATTACAAATCTTAATGACAAAGCGCATATTGGCTATTGAACATCCAGTCGATGCCTTGGTAATTGATGCATAATGTTCCTGACCGAAATCTTAAACTCGAATAGAGTTTTCCATCAAAGTGCACGCTGGATTAATTTTTTCACAAACGCGTTGTGCTGTGTATGCTGGTTTCTTTTTGACGGTTATACAAAGTTAATTATAGAATCAACCAACATGAGCTGCATCAGACAATAACAGACAGCGTCCACAACAACAACAACGACGACGACGACGAAGATCTCCAACACGCCCTTCTCATCATGGCTGACTTCCCTATATAATACTCTCCAGATCCAGAACTATTCCCTTCTCACACCTCAAAAGCCCCTAAAGCTCGATATTTCACCACCATTAACACCGACCAACTGAGTGAAAGATTTTCCACTTTCCGCAAATAGAACACGTCCTGTTTAGGAAACATCCTCTAGATTTGAAGCCCGGTGCCCAATTTCAATTTCAATTCAGCTGAAATCTTTTTGCAACAAGAAAAACAGCACAACTTGCGACAACTCTCAAGCAACAACGTCGTCAAACAACAACAAACAATTAGAACAATACATACTGCACACATCTGAATCCATTTAGTGACTGCTGTATACACAATATCATTACTTACAATTGCCACTGCTGCTGCCCATTCATCAGAGAAGACACCGCCTGTTTGTGCTTATCCAGCAATTCCATTCCTTTGTTTAGATCCAGCGGTTAAATCAAACCATTGAGACCACATTAACATCAGCAATAGAGAAGTTAAGTCTGAAAGTGATCAATAATCATCAAAGAAACATTGAACTACAAGCCCTTTCCTATTTGATTGTTGTCATTTTACTTCTTTGCTGGCGTTCCGTTATCAAACAAAATTACTCATCATCATCAACATCACAATCAATATTTGAAAAATCAAATCAATTTGCTTCATTACAATTCTGTGCTATTTACAAAACATCTTTTCAATTTAGCTTTTTATTTTATTCATAAATGGGTTCGGAACAAAGAAAAGTATCTGATAATAATTTAGATCTAAACCTTAATAGTCTTTCCCTAGACAATGGGTCTTCAAATAACAACGATGAGCATTCATCATTCAGATCACCAAGAAGTTCAAGCACTTACACGTCAAATATCAATGCAGATATACAGGCAAAACTTTTAGCTTTCCAAGAGCAACGTCAATCGAAAACTGCACAACAAGAGGCCACTTCAGCTGCTTCATCACCTTCAGAAATATCTAAAAAGGGTACAGGGTCTGGTTCATCATCCACTGGAACAACTCCTTTGTTGAATTCGCCAAATTTACCAGAAAACCAATTACAAAAACCACCAATTGCCGTTGGTTTAACAAGAAAGAAATCATTACAACAATCCAAAAAAGCTGAAAAACCTCTACCGCCTTTACCAGGTTCAAATGAGAGAAGTTTGAACCCTTCAAGACCTGCTCCTTCTCTACCTGTGAATTCTCAGGTTAGTCCACAAGTTGCTGCCAGATTACCAAGAGCCAAACCTTCTTTATCAATGAGAAGAGGTATGAAATTACCAGGAGGTTTACCAGCTTTAGGTCAATCAGGTCAACCAAATCAAGATCAACCACAACAATCAAATGAACAACAAATTCAACAACCACCTTTACAACAGCATTTGAATGGAAACAGACCAGAAGTACCGTCAATGAAAAGTTCAGGCTCAGTTACAAATTTAATCGAGAAAAAGGGAAAATTACCACCACAACAATCAATGCAATTGAAAGGTTTATTTGCAAATTACTCAAAATACATTGATATAAAATCTGGCTCTTTGAATTTCAAAGGGAAATTATCATTAGATTCAAAAGGTGTTGATTTTAGTTCAGGTTCATCATTTAGAATATCTGCTGATGAATTGGAATTTATTGAAGAATTAGGTCGTGGTAATTATGGTACTGTTAGTAAAGTCCTACATAAACCAACTGGAATCACAATGGCAATGAAAGAGGTTCGTTTAGAATTGGATGAATCAAAATTTAGACAAATATTGATGGAATTGGAAGTTTTACATATATGTGTATCTCCATTCATTGTTGATTTTTATGGTGCTTTTTTCGTTGAAGGGGCCGTTTATATGTGTATGGAGTATATGGATGGTGGTTCATTAGATAAAATTTATGGTGATGGTGTTGATGAACCTCATTTAGCTTATATCACTGAATGTGTCATCAGAGGTTTGAAAGAATTGAAAGAAAGTCATAATATTATTCATAGAGATGTTAAACCAACAAATATTTTGATAAATTCTGCTGGAAAAGTCAAATTATGTGATTTTGGTGTTTCAGGTAATCTAGTTGCTTCTTTAGCTAAAACAAATATTGGTTGTCAATCATATATGGCACCTGAAAGAATTAAATCTTTAAGTCCAGATGATGTTACTTATTCAGTCCAATCAGATATTTGGTCATTAGGTTTAACAATGTTGGAAACTGCAAAAGGTAGTTATCCTTATCCTCCAGAAACTTATGATAATATTTTCAGTCAATTATCTGCCATTGTTGATGGTGAGCCTCCTTCACTACCTGAATCCTATTCATCAGAAGCTCGTAATTTTGTCAATCAATGTCTTGATAAGAATCCAAATAGAAGACCAACTTATTCCAAATTATTACTGCATCCTTGGTTATTGAAATACAGAAATACAGATGTTAAAATGAGTGATTATATTAAATTCAAATTGGCTGAAAACTCATCAAGAAAAGAAAAAAAGGATGAAGAAAATATTGAAGAGCTAAATAGAAAATTGAACAAAACCCCAGCTTTACATAGAGGTGGAGCACCACAAAGAACATGAACTATGATCATTTGTTGACCACATTTATGTCTCATTTTTTATGATGATTAAGTATTATTATTAATGTTTACGATCTTGATGTCTTTTTTTTTAATAAACTTTATTGTTTCACAACTCATGATAGATTTTATATTTTATATACAAGTTTTTTGGTTGTAATGATTGGTTAAATTATTGAGAGTTGCTCATCATATCAAGTAGAAAGTCTGTTATAACAGCTTGAAACATTAATTTTTCGATGCCTTTGATAATTGCAGCTATATTAATACTAACAATATTTATATTCAAACGAACAACTAATTACATAATTAACTAAACACCTGAACGTCCAACGTTCACAAATAACCTCGACAAGAACACAAAATAACAAATAATATTATAACTTAAATTTAACCGAACAATTTAATCACTCTTAACACAAAATTTATGATAAACCTTTATTATAAGGTAACGTTTGAATTTCTTCTTGAACCTAAATCAGGCAATTCATTACCACCAAATGTTTCAGCTCTGTAAACATCATCATCATCATTCTCTGAATCTTCATACTGATCTTGTTCATCATCACCGTCACTTTCAACATGACTATTATTCCCAACATGAGCATAGTCCAAATCATTCAATTCGTGACTTTCAACTTGATGGGGAGCAAGATCATCAGTTACATCAACATTTGAAGGGTATTGATGATTGAAATGGACATCCTTGAATCCTGGTGCATTATTGGAGTTGTTATGATCATGATAGGCAGAATTATTTGACTGACCAGGTTGTTGATTATCAAAAGTATTTCCCTGATAGCCTGAAACATAACTGTTGTCTCTAGTACTTCTAACAGATTGAGATCTCCCACCAAGAAATGATGGTCTTTTGATGCGATCTCTCAAAATATGTGGAGCAGCATTTTTGAAAAAAGTAAGAACAGGATCACCCACACTTCCCATTGTTTCTGCACGTTGTAAATGATTACCAGCATGTAAATCTTGATATCTATCTCTAATTTCCATCTTCTCTGAAGGTAAAATAATAGCACGATCTAATGAATATGGCAAACCTCTGTGTCTTCCTCTAATCATCATTGCAATTATAACTAATTTAGAAACAACATTGAATTGACCAGAGAATGAAGGTGTTGAATTTGGATAACCTAAAGATAAACCAACAGTACCATATGCACTAACAACTTCAAATAAAACTTGGAAAATTGAAAATTCTGGATAATTGGGATCTTTAATTCGATCACCTTCAGCAATACAGATAATAAATAATCCCATAAAGACAAACCACAAATCAAATGATAATTGTTTTCTCAGATGCGCACCAATAAATGATGTTGCATTTTGATGATCAGTATCATCATTATTACCTTGACCTTCCTGTTGTTGTTCGTGATGACCTGCATAAACACCTAAAGATTGCTCTTCATAAACATTAGTTCTTCTGATGGAAATAGCTAATGGTAAAACGGATATATACATCATGACCAAATAACTAACTTGAACACCAGGGTGTAATTTTGAAAGATCAATACATGCAAAACCTGCAGTTCTTGTACTTATAGCTTGAAAGAACCCATCCAAAACACGAATATTAACAGGTAATGATTTTACAACAGAGGCACTCAAATCCAAAATAACAAACAGAATCAAATCAATAGCATTCAAAACAACCAAAATGAATAATAACCACCATGTTGGAGCAGATGGGAACAATAAAGTAAAACAACGACGCGGATGATCCAATAGAAAACCTAAAGATTCTTTAAATAATGACAAGTCTCTTGAGAATTTAAACAACACCCAAATGATAAATCTTAACAAGATTGGGAATCCAGTATTTCCAATAACAATAAAGAAACTTAAAATCAATAATGCAAAAATAGAAGTATTGAAGGAGTTCATACTATCTGGAGTCAAAGTGAAACCCAAATCATTGAAAGCAGACATTGCTGTAAAGAATCCCCACCAACTTAATGTAACACCACTTGAAGTAACAGGTTCCTGATAAGTTTTTGTTGTATGGATCCATGGTACTAAAAACAAAAAACTTAAAATGTGAAACCCAATATAATAAAAAAGTAAAATTTTACTTAATAATTTGATTGCTCTATATTCCACACCACCCAATTCTTCTTTTTGTTGATCTGATAAATTGACAAAAGTTGAATTTCTACCAATTTGAGGATTCCAAGAAAGGTAATTTGTAGACATATGTCTTGATAATGAATTTTGATCATAGTCATCATCAGATTCGGTATCAGAATCTGAGTAGTTTAAAGATGAATCTTCAATTGCAGTTGATGAAAATCTTCTTCTAATTTTTTTAGGTTTCAATTTCTGTCTAATCATTCTCTCAAAAGTTGGAGATTTATGTAATAATGAAGATTTATGATTTGCCACATCTAAAGTATTTGACCTTTTACCAAATTTTTTACCACCAGTTTGATCAGAAGAAGGTAATTGTAAATTTGATTGAACTTTCTTCAAATTATGAGAATCATCATTCGTATTGAGTGAAGTGTTATCATCCAAGATTGAATCGATGTCATGCTGCTCATTGATCGAATCATTAGCAGCTGTATTACTGGCCCGATGATGACTTCCAAGTCTGAAGCTTGATAAACTTGGACGGGGTGTTCTTTTATGATTTCTTCTGCGATGTCTTGAAGGCTTATCTTGAATATCAAATTGAATTGCAGAATTCTGCCTTATTGGTTTTTCCCTTTCAGCAGGACCATGGATAACTAAAGCGGGACCTTCATTTTCTTCATCTTTTGTATCTTTTTGTTGAGAATTTCTCAACATTGAAATTGACATGAAAACATCTCTAGGTTCAACTTCATGTTTTCTTGGTTTTGGCAAGTCTCCAAATTTAATATTTGGTGTTGTTTTAGATTCACTTATATCTTCAACATCATTTATACTAGGATCATGTGGATGCCTTAGATCTGGAGGGAGTTGTTGTTGGACTTCTTCATCTGAACTTGGTTCTGAAAGATGTTCCACGCTATTATTCTCAAAATGATGTTCAACCTCATTGGTTGGTTGTTGCGAATTGGTATGATCATGCTTTGTAATGTCAACAGCAGACTGTGTCAGTGGTATAGGAGAAACTGGTGCTAATTCCGAAGAGCTTGTATCACTATCTTTTGTTTCTGGGGATTCTCCATCATGCATGGTTGGATTGACAAAAGTTCTGCTGCTTTGTTCTGTAATGTTGTTGCTTTGTGAATTATTCTTTGCTGATGCCTTGCTTAATTTCCTAGCTCTGTTATTCCCTAAAGTTTGAACACCGGATTCCATAGTTCTTGAATTTTCCATTGATTGAGTTCTAGCCATCATTGTAGCAGTTCTTCTCATTTTGAAATGTAATTTTGAAGTCTCTCTAATGTCATCAAAATAACGTTCAAACCAATAAAGACGTAAAAAACATAAAGAGCCATGAATGAAAATAGGTGTACTTAAACAACACATTATGTAAATGACAATTTGCTGGTAGAGGGATAACTTATTGACATCCACAGTATTTAGCCCAGCTTGAGTAGCAGCACCCGAGGCAAGAAACAACGCATCAATATATTTGACAGTTTTAACAGGATAAATCAAGATGGACCCAATAATTGCACAACTAATGATGTAAAAATAATGAACAGCAATGAATGAAGGGAAAATTTTCTTCAAATAAGGGCCCAAAGTGGATTCCACAGCACCAACAGCATCACGGATCTTCCAGCCCCAAGATTTCTTAGGTATGAAGTTGATTGAAGCCATTGATTTTCTTCTTGATGGGTTTTCAGGTACAACTTCCACATCATAATTATCCTCAATATTGTTGTGGTGCTTCTGTTTTGATCGTATCAGCTTCATTGGATTCAAGCTCACAATTTTTGATTCCTTATCTATGCTATGATAGCTTATTCAATATCTATGATGGGTATGTGGCCACGGAGCCTGGGGAAGTTGAAGAGTGAGTAAAATTGATATTGAATGCTATATAAGCCAGCTTTCAAACTCTACTGTAATAAAATGCATATAAATGTTGTTGCGGAGAGTACTCTTTTGGAGAGTTGGTGATCTAGATAGTTGAGGGTGTATTAATACCACTAAGCGCCAATATCTTGTTCTAATTCTAGGTGATATTGAAGTAATCAACTAAACAAAACGTTTACTCTTCACTTCAAAACAAAAATTTGAGAAACAGCGCTTCCGCCGTTCGGGACACAGTTTTCGCGGATTCTTCAAAGTGATGATTTTTGACAGGGAACTTTTAATTAAGTAGAAAATATTAATTGTACGATTTAAGACGGGTTAAATGTGAGAATTATGGTGGATTAGGATCAAAATACGTGGTTAAAGTATCTGTGTTCTTTGAGAACTCGTACAACTTTTTAATCTGTTCAATCTCGGCTGTTCGATAGACTCTGATCTCAAGACACTCTCTTTTGGCTCCAAGTTAGCCGTGATAAATTCAATCAATTTATGATTATAGCTCTATCCTTCCATGACAACTACATCTACCTCACCAATATCCACTCCCTTGCACGAGACTCAACAGCCTGTTCTAGAGTCCCATTTGACTTCGCTTCTATTAGGAATTACATTAAAATATTTTCGTCCTCCAGCAGCCAACAAAAAAATTTCAGTCATTTCCCAATCGAGCATCTTTTGGCACATACTTGCGCAAATACGCGCCAACTGGCACTATCACTCATCGCACGGGGCCACACAACACCTGCCAAATTCGTAATGAAAAGCTCAAATCTAGCGCAAAATCTTTACTCTAAACACCATAGAACTTGGAGAATATGTGTAAACCACAGAATAAAAGGCTATCTTTACTGAATATAGCCATTTTTCAAACTCTTCCAATTCCAATCACACCAAAGTTCGACACATTACGCTATTCCCAGTGCATTTTTTAAGCTGTATTATGTCAGTGCGTCATCGCTTACCCGTTGCAACTTTTCGCAAAATTTTTTTCCAATTCGTTTCTTTTCAAACGATATAAAAAAAATTTTAAAGTACTGATTTTTCAGCTTCTTCGCTACAACTTTTATTTATTTCCTTCTCTCTCTTCTTCTCTCTCTCTCTCTTCTCAGAAAGCTCTTGTTTAATCCCTGACCGCTCCTACCCAATCTAGAAAGACTCTTGAATTGAAAAAGTTATAATCATTTTTCCCTCCAAAAGCAAAAAAGTCTCCATCCTGCTATTTTTCAACATATCATCGCTTATTTTAAATCACGTCTCCAGATTTAATTTTTAAAGTGACATTAAAATAGCTACAACTTGATTTTTTTTGATTAAAGAGTTTTAAGAAAGTTTTATATTACTCAGATTCTTTGTTCCAAGTGTCGTTTTTGGTAAGTTGAAAGACATTGGATAATGAGCTATATGAAATTTTTTTTTCTTGATATGATCAGGGTTTGGGAACAGACGCGAGTATGAGAAGAGATGAGAAAGAAGAGAAATTGAGAATCAATTGGAATAATCAACCAGATCTCTATATTAATTCTATCACTCTAATCTGAATGTGTCCATTTCTAAGACTCCTCGATCTAAAGAATAAAAAAATTTCATTGTAGCGTTGTCATTTGCTTTTTTTTCTTGTATGATGAGTACTAATCATTTTTTTTCTATTTCAGATTCATCAACAAAGTTTCATTCAATATTCTACACCTGTTTTCTTATTCATTTCTAGAAGGAACATCTCATTGAAACAGAATGGCTTCTTTAACCCCATCTGCTCCAATCTCTCCACCAATGGAGTCTACTGGTAACCGTCTAATGGCCCTTGAATTGAAAGATGGGTCTGTTTTAGAAGGTTACTCTTTTGGTTCTGAAGTCCCAACCGCTGGTGAATTAGTTTTCCAAACTGGTATGGTTGGTTATCCAGAATCAATTACTGATCCTTCTTATGAAGGTCAAATCTTGGTCATCACTTTCCCATTAGTTGGTAATTATGGTGTCCCAGATCGTGAATTAAAAGATGATGACGTTCCAGAATTACCAAAATATTTTGAATCTTCAAAAATTCATATCGCTGGTTTAGTTGTTGCTCATTATACTGAAGAATATTCACATTTCTTAGCCAAATCTTCTTTAGGTCAATGGTTAAAAGAACAAAACATCCCAGCTATCTATGGTGTTGATACTAGAGCTTTAACAAAACATTTAAGAGAATCTGGTTCAATGCTTGGTCGTATTGGTGTTCAAAATGATAAAGCTTCAGTTGAAGAAGCTGCTTCTGAAAATTGGAAATCTCATTTTGATATTCCTGAATGGGATGATCCAAATGTTAAAAATTTGGTCGCTAAAGTTTCCACTCCAAAACCAATCTTATACACTCCATCAGCTGAAGATGCTATCAAAGGTCCAGATGGTAAAACTTTAAGAATCTTGGCTGTTGATGTTGGTATGAAATTCAACCAAATCCGTTGTTTTGTTAGACGTGGTGTTGAATTAAAAGTTGTCCCTTGGGATCATGATATAACTTCTGAAGAATTTGATGGTTTATTCATCTCAAATGGTCCTGGTGATCCTTCAGTTATGGATTCCACAGTGGAACAATTATCTAAAATCTTGGCTTCAAAGAAAACCCCAGTTTTCGGTATTTGTCTTGGTCATCAATTATTAGCTAGAGCTTCAGGTGCTTCAACTATTAAATTGAAATTTGGTAATAGAGGTCATAACATTCCATGTACTTCTACAATCTCAGGTCGTTGTTACATCACTTCTCAAAATCATGGTTATGCTGTTGATACCACAACTTTAGCTTCCGGTTGGAAAGAATTATTTGTTAATGCTAATGATGGTTCAAATGAAGGTATTTATCATACTGAATTACCATATTTCTCTGTTCAATTCCATCCTGAATCAACTCCAGGTCCAAGAGATACTGAATTTTTATTTGATGTTTTCATCAAATCTGTCTTGGAACATAAAACATCAAAAACTTTGAAAGCTGTTGAATTCCCAGGTGGTAAAATTGAAGATAATTTAGCAAAATCACCAAGATTACATCCAAAGAAAGTTTTAGTCTTGGGTTCTGGTGGTTTGTCCATTGGTCAAGCTGGTGAATTTGATTATTCTGGTTCTCAAGCTATTAAAGCTTTGAAAGAAGAAGGTATTTACACCATTTTAATTAATCCAAATATTGCCACTATTCAAACATCAAAAGGTTTAGCTGATAAAGTTTATTTCTTACCAGTTACTGCTGATTTTGTTAGAAAAGTTATCAAACATGAAAAACCTGATGCTATCTATGCCACTTTTGGTGGTCAAACTGCTTTAAGTGTTGGTATTGAATTAAAAGATGAATTTGAATCATTAGGTGTCCAAGTTCTTGGTACTCCAATTGATACCGTTATCACTACTGAAGATCGTGAATTATTTGCTAGAGCCATGGATGAAATTGGTGAAAAATGTGCTAAATCTCAATCAGCATCATCTGTCGATGAAGCATTAGCTGCAGTTAGAGATATTGGTTTCCCAGTCATTGTTCGTGCTGCTTATGCTTTAGGTGGTTTAGGTTCAGGTTTTGCCAACAATGAAGAAGAATTAATTGACTTGTGTAACAAGGCTTTTGCTGCTTCTCCTCAAGTTTTAGTTGAAAGATCAATGAAAGGTTGGAAAGAAATTGAATATGAAGTTGTCCGTGATGCCTTTGATAACTGTATCACTGTCTGTAACATGGAAAACTTTGATCCATTAGGTATTCATACTGGTGACTCCATTGTTGTTGCTCCATCTCAAACATTATCAGATGAAGATTACAATATGTTAAGAACTACTGCTGTTAATGTTATCAGACATTTAGGTGTTGTTGGTGAATGTAACATTCAATATGCCTTGAACCCAGATTCAAAAGAATATTGTATTATTGAAGTTAATGCTCGTTTATCACGTTCTTCAGCTTTAGCCTCAAAAGCTACTGGTTACCCATTGGCCTTCATTGCTGCCAAATTAGGTTTGAACATTCCATTAAATGAAGTTAAAAACTCTGTTACCAAAGTTACCTGTGCTTGTTTCGAACCATCATTGGATTATGTTGTCGTTAAGATTCCAAGATGGGATTTGAAAAAATTCACAAGAGTTTCCACTTTATTGTCATCATCAATGAAATCTGTTGGTGAAGTTATGAGTATTGGTAGAACTTTTGAAGAAGCTATTCAAAAAGCTATCCGTTCAGTTGATTATCACAACTTGGGTTTCAACCAAACTGAAGCTTTAATGTCCATTGATATTGATTCTGAATTACAAACCCCTTCAGACCAACGTTTGTTTGCTATTGCAAATGCCTTACATTCTGGTTATTCAGTTGATAAAGTTTGGAGATTGACCAATATTGATAAATGGTTCTTGAACAAATTGAATGGTTTGATCAACTTTGCTCAACATATTGAATCATTTGGCTCAATTGAGAATTTAACTCCATTGGTTATTCGTGAAGCTAAACAACTAGGTTTTGAAGATAGACAAATTGCTAAATTTGTTGGTTCTAATGAATTAGCTGTTAGACGTGTTAGAAAAGAATTTGGTATCATTCCATTTGTTAAACAAATTGATACTGTTGCAGCAGAATTCCCAGCTTTCACCAATTATTTGTACATCACCTACAATGCTGATTCTCATGATGTTAAATTCGATGACCATGGTGTTATGGTTTTAGGTTCAGGTGTGTACCGTATTGGTTCTTCAGTTGAATTTGATTGGTGTGCTGTTACAGCAGTCAGAACTTTACGTGCCAATGGTACTAAAACTATCATGGTTAACTATAATCCAGAAACTGTTTCAACTGATTATGACGAAGCTGATAGATTATACTTTGAAACTATCAATTTGGAACGTATCTTGGATATTTATGAAATTGAACAATCTTCAGGTGTTGTTATTTCTATGGGTGGTCAAACTTCAAACAACATTGCTTTACCATTACACAGAAACAATGTTAAGATTTTAGGTACTTCACCAGAAATGATTGACTCAGCTGAAAATCGTTACAAATTCTCACGTATGTTGGATCGTATTGGTGTTGATCAACCAGCTTGGAAAGAATTGACTTCTATTGATGAAGCTGAAGCATTTGCTGATGATGTCGGTTATCCAGTGTTGGTCCGTCCATCTTATGTTTTATCAGGTGCTGCTATGAATACTGTCTATACCAAAGATGATTTAGCTTCATACTTGGACCAAGCTGTTGAAGTTTCTCGTGATTACCCAGTTGTTATCACCAAATATATTGAAAATGCTAAGGAAATTGAAATGGATGCTGTTGCTAAAGATGGTAACTTGATCATGCATGTTGTTTCAGAGCACGTTGAAAATGCTGGTGTTCACTCTGGTGATGCTACTTTGATTGTTCCACCACAAGATTTAGACCCAGAAACTGTTAAACGTATTGTTGTTGCTACAGCTAAAATTGGTCAAGCTTTGAACATTACTGGTCCTTACAACATTCAATTCATTGCCAAAGATAATGACATCAAGGTTATTGAATGTAATGTTCGTGCTTCCCGTTCTTATCCATTTATTTCCAAGGTTGTTGGTACCAACTTGATTGAAATGGCTACTAAAGCTATCATGGGTTTCCCAGTTGAACCATACCCATTGAACAAATTACCAGAAGATTACTGTGGTGTCAAAGTTCCTCAATTCTCATTCTCACGTTTATCTGGTGCTGATCCAATTCTTGGTGTTGAAATGGCTTCTACTGGTGAAGTTGCTACATTTGGTCATAACAAATATGAAGCTTACTTGAAATCATTGATTTCTACTGGTTTCCATTTACCAAAGAAAAATATTTTGTTCTCTATTGGTTCTTACAAAGAAAAATTGGAATTATTACCTTCAATTAGACGCTTAAGTGAATTAGGTTACAACTTATTTGCCACTGCTGGTACTGCTGATTTCATCCAAGAACATGGTATCCCAGTACAATATTTGGAAATTTTGAATGATGAAGAAACTCAAAGATCTGAATATTCATTGACTCAACATTTGGCCAACAATTTGATTGATTTGTACATCAACTTACCATCTTCTAACAGATACCGTCGTCCAGCTAACTATGTTTCAAAAGGTTACAGAACTCGTCGTATGGCTGTTGATTATGCTGTTCCATTGGTCACCAATGTTAAAAATGCTAAATTGTTGATTGAAGCTTTGGCTAGAAATATCTCATTAGATGTTTCAAACATTGATGCTCAAACTTCACATAGAACTGTTTCAATTCCAGGTTTAGTTAACATTTCATCATTTGTTCCATCATTTGAAACTTCACAAGATTTTGAACAAGCTACTAGTGCCTCATTAGTTTCTGGGTTTACTTACAACCAAATCTTGCCAATTTCCACCGAAGGTTTGACTATTTCAGATGCTAAATCATTGAATGAAGTTACTGATTTATTGGCTGATTCTGGCTACACTGATTACACTTTATCAACTGCTGCTATCAAAGGTAATGAAGCTCAAGTCTCACAAGTTGCTAATAGCGTTGGTTCATTATTCTTATCATTCAATGAATTTTCTAATGGTCACGTTTCTGATGTTTCAGGTCACTTTGCCTCATGGCCAGAATCAAAACCAATCATCACTGATGCTAAATCAACCAACTTGGCTTCCTTGTTATTACTAGCTTCATTGAACAATCGTAAAATTCATGTTACTGGTGTTCAATCTAAATCTGATTTAGAAATCATTAGATTGGTTAAAGAAAAATCAGCACATGTTACTGTTGATGTTAATATTTATTCATTATTTGTGTCACAAGAAGATTATCCAGAAGCTACTTTCTTGCCAACCAAAGAAGATCAAGAAGCATTATGGGCTGGGTTAGAACACATTGACGCTTTCTCTGTTGGTATTTTGCCATCTGTCTTGGCCAAATTCTTAGGTAAACCTGTGACTGCTGGTTTAGGTATTACTGATGCTTTACCATTATTATTCTCAGCTGTTACTGATGGTCGTTTGACTATTGAAGATATTGTTGACCGTCTACACACCAAACCAGTTGAAATTTTCAGTTTGCCAGAACAAGATTCTCTTGTTGAATTAGATTTGGACCGTTTAGCCTCTACTTTACACTCTGCTAACATTTGGTCACCATTTGAAGGTAAATTAAAAGGTGGTGTTGAACGTGTTCACTTACATGGTCAAACTGTTTGCTTGGAAGGTGAATTGGTCATTAATCAAGCTTTGGGTGTTGACAACTCTGCTTTCAAGAAGAGAATGGGTTCAATTGTTCAAACACCAAGTTTCAACAATGATGTTGCTTTAGCTCAAAGTCCACAAGTTAGAAGAGCTAGATTCTCTTTCTCAGCAGATGCTCAACATCGTCCATCATTTGTTGAAGAAATCCCATCTCCAGAAAAGGAAACTAGAGGTACTGAATTGGTTTCATCTCGCCCACCAAGAGAATTATCACCACCAGGTGCTATTGCTACTCATATTCGTGGTAACAATCCATTTTTACGTCGCTCAATCTTGTCAGTTAACCAATTTGGCCGTTCTGACTTGCATGCATTGTTTTCAGTGGCTCAAGAAATGAGATTAGCTGTTGAAAGAAAAGGTGTGTTAGATTTGTTACAAGGTCGTTTGTTAACAACCATGTTTTATGAACCATCAACAAGAACTTCTTCATCATTTGATGCTGCCATGCAACGTTTAGGTGGTCGTACCATTGCTGTTTCTGCAGCTTCATCATCAGTTAAAAAAGGTGAAACCTTACAAGATACTATTCGTTCATTAGCCAGTTATTCAGATGCTATTGCTTTACGTCATCCAGATGAAGAAAGTGCTGATATTGCTGCTAAATTCTCACCAGTTCCAATTTTGAATGGTGGTAATGGTTCACGTGAACATCCAACTCAAGCGTTCTTGGATTTGTTCACTATTCGTGAAGAATTAGGTACTGTTAATGGTATTACTGTTACATTCATGGGTGACTTGAAATATGGTCGTCCAGTTCATTCATTATGTCGCTTGTTACGTCATTATCAAGTTCGTGTTAACTTAGTTTCACCAAAAGAATTAAGATTACCAGAACATTTACGTCAAGAATTAATTGATGCAAACATGTTGGCTTCAGAATCTGAGAAATTGACTAAAGATATCATTGCTAAATCAGATATCTTGTATTGTACCAGAGTTCAACAAGAAAGATTTGAAGATCAAGAACAATATGAAAGATTAAAAGACTCATACATTGTTGATAACAAGATCTTGTCATATGCTAAACAACATATGGCTGTTATGCATCCATTACCTCGTGTTAATGAAATTCGTGAAGAAGTTGATTTTGACCAACGTGCTGCATACTTTAGACAAATGAGATATGGTTTGTTTGTTCGTATGGCTTTATTAGCCATGGTTATTGGTGTTGACTTTTAATTAAGTTAAGAATTAGAAGAAAAAAAGTTTTGTACATTTGGTGTTTTTTTATTCAAGATCTTTTCATTTTTGATTTTAGGGTGATATTTAACTGGCTTAGGTTGATTTTTTAAGTTGTTTGATGCTGCTATTAATGAGTGACTGGAGACCATTCATTATTGTATTTGGAGATATTAATGCTAGCAGCTTATCAACATTTTTTGGTCACCTAAGAATTAATTATATGTATCTAAGAGAGGGAGTGGAAAAGATTTGCATTTTTGTTGATTTGATTTTTATTATATTACTATTATTATATCTGTTTAGATTTTATTATTTCATTATTACAATGGAAAGCTAATTGTTTAGTAGAGACGTTTTACGCCTAAACCACTTGAAGATCATCTTTACGTTAATATTTGTGTTCCGTACGTTACGTTTGGTTCATCATTGTGACGTGTGTCTTCTACGTTTAGGTTGTATACGTTTCCTGTGTTTCATGGTCATGGGTTGATTTATAAAGGAGTTGATTTGTCTTTAATGTGTTTTATATTTATTTGGTGTTTTTGTTGTTAAATTTACATGCATATTATTATAAGTGAAGGCCGACCCATCATGAGGGTTTGGAACTACACATTCATTTTGAACCAATTAAACTTTGACGTAGATCAACGACGTGATCATTTAAAAATTAAATAACGTCTGAAAACAAACCATATAATAGTACATTTAAACTCCTGAATACTTATACAAACTAATAAAAAGAATAAAGCTTTAAAAATACAACTTTTAAAAATACTTCAACAGAAAAAAATAAAGGGAACAAACTAGAGACCATAAGACATAATAAAGCAACAAGACATGATAAGACAGTGAGCCATAAATGGAAATCAAAATGGCTCAGTTGAATAAATCATTATCATCTGTCTCTTGGCCATTATTTGGATCAACACTTTCATTTGCTTGGATTAAAGCTCTAGCAATTTCAATCTCTTCGCCACTTTGAACATGCTCATCAAAAGCAGACACTTCAGGATCAACCGGAATATCATCATTATCATCACGTTGGTTACCGTTATTTGAATCTTGGTTATAATGATTATTTCCATTATCAAATTGTTGTCTTAATGGTTGGCGACTTTGCTGTTGATAAGCATTATAAGAGTCTTTATCATTATAGGTCTTTTGATGAAGGTGTTGCTGAGATTGATGTTGTTGTTGTTGTTGGTTGCGATGATGTTGCTGTTGTTGTTGCATGTGGTGATGTTGTTGGTTTGGACTTTGATTATGTTGGCCATTCAAGTCTTGAGAATGATCTTGGTGCATAACACTTCTTTGTCTTTGAGCAGCTTCAACAGCAGCGAAAATGCCAGAAGGATCATCCAAGTTAGTAAGATCGGCTTGTAATAAGCTTGGATCCGTACGATGTAGATGAGAAGAAGCTGCAACAATTGCTTCGATATCTTGCTGTGTGTGATCAATACCGTTGTGATGGTTGTTGTGTTGTTGTTGTTGATGTTGGTGATGATGATGAGGAGGAGGATGATTATGATGAGCATCACGGTCTGAATCTGCATGAGAATGAGTTGGACTTTCACTGTGGCCATCCATTTGCTGCGAGCCTTGTCTTTGGCGTTTTCTGTTATTAACCAATGTGATATTCTCTCTTTTCTTCTTTGCGGCTAATGATTTAGTTGGATCTCTGCATTCATCACAGTTCCTTATGGCTTGTGCAACTGTATCTTTAATTCTAGTCCAGTGGAAACGGTCTGTAATTGCTGATGTTGTCTTATTGATACCACCATGGTTTACCAAATGATATTGTGTACATATTTCTAATTGTTTAACAGGATCACTAACAACTTCTTTCCCATTTAAAGTCAATTTCCCATCCACTAATCTATAATGAGAAGCACTTGATCTCAATCTTGATTTTTCTTGTCTATCAATCATTGGTGGATATCTCCCCGTTTCTAGGTAATATTTGATTTTATCGAAACGATAAGTTCCTTGGATATTTTCAGTTGGGTGGACTAATTCTTTACCATAAATTATGGCATCAACAGCGCTATCGTTACCTTTCAAAATACCAGCAGCTTTAATTTTACCGATTCTTTTGAAATTCAAAGATTCAAAGATTCTTCTTGTACCAACATTTGTTTCAAAGATTAAATTGAAAACAGCAGAGGTAAACCCTAGTTTTGGAGCCCAATCCAAAAAGCATTCAGTTAAGGTCTTACCAATACCTTTACCTCTAATACCGGCATTGACCAGGAATCCACCTGTACAGATATGAGAAGAACGACCTGGGAAGTTTGCCTTGATGAAAAAACTTCCTAGACATTCTTTTTCCCATTGTCTTTGACGATCCAATTGAGGTTCATCACCTAACACCATGACTGCGGAAAATGCTCCAAACCAATAATTTTTGAACTCTTCAATACCTAAAGTATCAAAGAATGGGAAAGTATCACCGCGTTCAACTTCCATATTGAATTCATCAGCCAAAAAAGCTAGTAAACCTGGAGGTAGATGTGTACTGTTATGGATAGGATAAATAGTTGCAGTAGTTTCACCATCTTTCAACAACACCGTATAAGGTGGTAACAGTTCATGGAAATGTTGATCTGGTCTATAATCAGTCATTTTAATGGATAAGGCTATCTGATGAAAAATGTAAACAAATGAGACGCGTATAAGATAATTATCTCTTTCCCAAAAAAACAGGCCAAACCACTTTGATCACAACAGCGAGTATTCAACACAAACAATAATGGAAGGGAACGAGGGCGCGTCCAATACCCAAAGAGACAAACCAACCAGCTAAAACCAATCCTTTGATGAACTTTGAAAAGCTTCTATTAAGAAAAGGCAACAACCCACTCTCCTAAAAAACCTATCTCCTTAATCTTGAAATGTGATGAATCTTTGCAGAACCGAAGACGTGAAAAAACGAATTCAAATTTCTTGCAAGAATTGGGAATTCAGACCTCTTTTTGTATTCAACACAGCGAGGCAATTTGATGGTGATGATGTTGTTTATTGGTCTGAGAATTTCTCAAGTGTTGTGTAAAACTGAAAATGCTTTTTCAAAAAATTTTATGGATTTTGGCGCTCTTTGACTTCCTAATGGGGCAGTGAAAGTGTCCGCATCTGTTCATAGACAGGATGTGGTTATGGAAAACAACATGGACAAATAGTCCAAAGGGCATCAATTCTATCAAGAGGGAAGTTCCAACTCACTGGGCTATGTGTTGTCTCAAAAGAAGGTACTTTTTAGAGGTCTGGTCGGCGTAGTGCTGCTCTTTGATGGTGAATTAAATTAATAATTTGATTGATCCAGATCGATCAACGTCTCATGAAGAATCTAGGGCTGCTTCTCCTCGTAGTTTTAATGAAGCAAATCATTTGAAGATGAGCGTATCAGAAATCAGGATATCTGTTACGCTAGAGTACAAGTGAGCTAATTGAAGATGATTCGTTATAAGGCTCGTGTACACCGTGAAAAGCATTATCATGGACGGAGGAAAGTCTGTCTTTCGATTCCATGATCGAACAAGATAAACTAGACCATATTGATTCGAATTCACTTCCAATTGGGATTCGGGAACATGTCAAATTAATTAAATTTTAGGGCATGTCCTGTCGATGTTTTGAGTCAACCTATCATCAACTCTCAACAAGCCATCATGTCCAACCCACCCAACCCAAGTGCGTCAATATTTCCCACCTGTGTTCCATAGAACCTTACTACGTCATTCGGAGATTCAAACAATTATAAGCTGTTCAACCTTCAAAGTTTTCTTTCTAATTGATCAGAAATCGGAGGATGGGTTTTTAGGTTGATCCCACCACCAAGCGGTCTCAATCGATTAAAGGCAGCCGTGCCACACCCACGCACTCAAAAACAGGGAATCATAGGTGAACAAAAGTCAATAATCCCTCAAGCTGATTGTTCCTAATGAGAAAAAACATTTCCATCCTTTTGCAGGGGGCCATGCTGCAATCAAAATGAAATTTTTGAATCGGGTTCTGGAGATTTCCCACAAATTTTCTTCAAATTTTCATTCGCGAATTCGCGACCTGAACTGTGTTTGCAAAACGCATTCGCGCCCTTCGCGACTTTTTTGCTGTGGCCCGCTGATTTCCCGATAAGGATATTCATCCGACATCAATTACAAGTTCAACAAATTATCAGAAAGATAACAAGGGAACTTCTACATTTTCTTCCAATTCAATCATCAGATTGAGAATCAAACAAAGATGGTGCTTGTTGCTGCTGGTCAAATCACATCCACTTCATCGTTAGTTGAAAACGGACAAACAGTTGTTAAATTGATTTCGAAAGCTGTTGAATTAGGAGTGAAGATACTTTTTTTACCAGAAGCTTCAGATTATATTGCAAAAGATGCTGATCATTCAAAATCAATAGCTGTCAGTGTCGAAAAGTCACCATTTATCCTAGCAATCCAGTCGAAATTGAAAGAGCTACATTCAATTGGGAAATTAATCGAAATTAATGTTGGTATTCATGAACCAAGTTTAAATAGTGATAGAGTTCGTAACACCTCAATTTGGTTGAATTCTAAAGGTGAAATAACTCAAAGATATCAAAAAATACATTTGTTTGATGTTAATATTAGTGGGAAAGTTACAGTTACTAAAGAAAGTGACAGTGTTGAACCTGGTGATAACATTTTAGAACCTTTTGATACTATTGCTGGTAAAGTTGGATTAGCTTTGTTATGATCTTAGATTCCCTGAATTAGCAATGAGATTACGATCTTTAGGTGCAGATATTTTAACATATCCAAGTGCTTTCACAATGAGAACTGGTCCAGCTCATTGGCATTTACTAGGTAGAGCAAGAGCTATTGATTCACAAAGTTATGTGATTTTACCTGCACAATCAGGTCAACATACACATGAAGTTGAAAATGAAGATGGATCTACCACCAGGGTACCAACAAGAATAACATATGGACATAGTTTAATTGTTGATCCTTGGGGAACAGTTGTTAGTGAAGTTAGTGATGTTGAAGTTGGTAAATCCGCATTAGCAATAGCTGACATAGATTTGGAATTGGTTGAAAAAGTTAGAAGAGACATGCCATTATGGCAGCAAAGAAGACCAGATGTATTCGGTTATGAAGTTTAGAAGTAATATAGTAATATATTGTAATCATTACTAATTCGTTTGATTAAGCTTCTTTTTGTATACAAAAGTTAATCCGGGCACACTCAAAGCAATGTATATCAGGAGGTTTGGCACTAAATTAAAATTGAACCACCTTAATTTGCTAAAAGTATATAAAACCTGAAAGTTTTCTACTTGCTTCAGTTGAATTTCTAAACCTATCAATCAATTGATCACATTATACAAGAGAAATTGAATCATGACTAAAAACGTTGGTATTATCATCTACTCCTTATATGGACATATTGTCAAATTAGCAGAAGCTGCAAAAGCAGGTGTTGAACTAACTGGTGCCAAAGCAACTATTTATCAAGTTGAAGAAACGTTATCACCTGAAATTCTAGCTAAAATGCATGCTCCACCAAAACCAGATTATCCAATTGCAACTCCTGAAACTTTAACAGAATATGATGCGTTTTTGTTTGGTATTCCAACTAGATATGGTAACTTCCCAGCTCAATGGAAAACATATTGGGATAAAACCGGTGGCTTGTGGGCAAGTGGTGCCCTTCATGGTAAAGTCGCTGGTGTTTTCGTCTCCACTGGTACTCCAGGTGGTGGTCAAGAAGTTACAGTGTTGAATTCATTGTCTACATTGGCCCATCATGGTATCATTTATGTTCCATTGGGTTATAAGAACACTTTCCCATTAAATACTTCATTCGAAGTTGTTCATGGTGGTTCAGCTTGGGGTGCTGGTACATTTGCAGGAGCTGATGGTTCAAGAAGTCCAAATGAAGTTGAATTGGAAATGGCCAAAATCCAAGGTAAAACATTTGCTGAAACTGTTACAAAGTTTTAAGCAAAATAGAAATATACTTTCTAGACCCTTTTATTTATATATATATTTATCTTTTTTGAGTACAAATGTTCAAAATGTTTAAAATGTTTATGTGTAGGTTTCTTTGCACACGCCAAAATGACAGAGTCCATGTGTCTTTTTTTAACGGCAATTCTGAATTGAAAAGATGGCAATGAAGGAAACAAAACTTACCAACTCCCCAAATCTTTGAATCGTGATAAAAGTCAAGATGTCAATGTTCAAGACCATTCAAAGCAATCCAGGTGTCATCACCATTTTCCACAATGTTCATTCTCAACTGTCTAAGTCCTTGTTAACAAAATTACAACAATCTGCGAAACCTTATCATCAACAAGTTTCAAGTAAACATCAATCAATTTTAAGTAAAGTTCTACATGGCAATTCAGATTCTGAAAGTAAAAGCCCACTAGAGAAATACACAATTGAACAAATTAATTCTGGTTTTCCAACTTATGATCAATTGAAATTAATTAAATCATTTGTTAATAGTCATCCATCTTCTAAAACAACCTTCATTGATGTTTTCCCCAAATTCATTGATCCGAAAGTATTAGAAAGTTTGAATGGCGCTAATAAATACAACTTTAATATATCAGATTTGAAGATTCCAGATGAAATGGAAATAAATGAATTATTGAATACAGATTATGAAAAGTTATTAAAAGATGGTTGGTTCAAGCCTCCTTTAGTTATTGATTGGGATAATAGTTTGATTGCTAATAATGAATTCACATTAGATAGAATTTTAAAGCATTATAGTGCAGAGAATCATTCAAATGGTGATTAGGTCTATATTGATACACTTATTTATTTATAATGAATATATTATTTATGATTCCATTCTCCACGTCTCAAGCTCTTCAATAACCCACATCAATATATCTTCCTCTTACATTGATTATGGGTATTATAGTATTGCTTGTGCTGATCATTTGTCTTACCTTTGCTATTCGAAACGTTCAAACTACTGGTAATTTGCGTGCAAGAACAAAAGTTATTATTGTGAGTATGATAATTACCAGAACATTTTGCTCAATTTTAAGTCAATCCCTCTTTGCAATGGCTTCATCCAGCATTCTCTGCTCATTTCTCTGATCTTCCTGTGATATAGGCTGAAAAAATGGAGATCTCAAAGGCTCTAGTAAGCAAACTCTGTTTTTTTCATCTAGTATAACCTGGTTTGGATCTAAATCAATTTCATTTTTTGAAACATTGAACCCTCTCGAGTGCAATTTCTTCATTTGCTCCTTAGCTAGATCAGCTAATGTTTGTTTGGAATAAACATCTGAGGATTGTTGAGTTTGTTTTGACAACGCATAGGCAATAAATTGACCTGATGCTAGCACATTATTATTTAATCGGTCCCTTATAATTATAAAACCTTTTTTCACCACAACAGGTTTATTGACGTTTGATCCATCCAGATACTCTAGTGATTCTAGTACTGACAAATAACAATTTCTTGAGAAGTCAATGTTATCCTTTACTTCATCATATGGTGATTTCATTGTCATTGGATCAAAAATTCTGACTATTGTTTCTTCAGCTTTATCTGCAGTTGCATCACCTATAAGGTCACTTTTACGTATTTTGAAGGTCAACACCTGGTCCTCAGTTGACGATTTAATGGATTTATGATCAACATATAGTGTAAATGTTTCACCAATTGGTTTCATCTTCAAGGCCAATTCATTTTTCATGTCTTGAAAATCTGATTCGAATTGACGATCTGATTTTAGCAAGAAATTCAAAAAGTTTTCACTCTTTTTTTGATTATAAGCCTGCAGCTCTTGGGAATTATCTGATTTTGTGTTTTTTAATTGTTTCATAAGTATACTCATCATCAAAGCTTTCATGGTAACCTTTTCATCCATGTTCTTCAAATAATAATACCTGATTTGAATGATATTGTCATCATCTGTTCCCATGTAATTACATTTATCATAATCAATTTGAATGAGCAATGTTTCTGTCAAAGAAGTTAAAAAACCATATTCACAATGTGAAAGGGCACAATATCTAACACACTGAGTAATGGACTCCAAGGTTTTCTTTGAGAGTTCTTTGGTTCCTTGTAATTCACTTTCCAAACTATCAAAATGGTGTTTTATTTCCCCTATAATCAATTTTTTTTTCAGTTGATTCTCAAAATCTGCACGTTTAATATTTCTGGTACGTCTTGGATCACGTAGGGGGATTTGACATAAATAATTTATACTAACATCTGAATGACCACTTAATTCAAATACGTTCTCTATTGGTGTCAAAAGTTTGCTTTGAAATTGACGTGCCACATCTTCTTCCGTGTTAACTTCTCGATAATTCTTAAAAGCGCTCGTATCTATCAAAGTTGTTAACATTTGACCTTTTGTATATCCGGCGCCATTGGGGGATTGCAAAAAGAGTTCTTTGAAATTTTTATACTCTTGATCAATTAAACTGCTCATTTCAGACTGTTGTATTTCTTCCATTCTGATTTGGTACTCTTTGAAACTCAGATCCGACAGGGCTTTAAATGGAAGAGTATTGATAATTTGTTGCTCATCTTTTAATATTCTATCTTCCGTCAGTATCGACCCACTTTGAGACTTCTGCAAAAACTCAGGATTGTACACAGTGGGAGTACTAAAGAATACTTTTAAAAAAGCCTCTTTTGTTGGTTCTGATTCCATTAAAAACTTTTCGCAAAACGTCTGGTAATCTCCTTGTGTACAATCCCTTTTGAGTCCATAATCCAGATAGTCTAATTCAGGAGGTTCCTTCTGCAGTATTTTTGTGTAATCAAATCCATGGGTTGTTGAAATAGAGCGACTAACATTTGAACCTGACCAGCTGGCGCTTGACTCCAATAAACGCAATCTCATGAAATATCTGCTTTTCAAAGACGATTGATATTTGATAGTTGAATAAGCTGCAGCTAACATGATAGTGTCTCGGTGTATCCTATAATATTGAAAACTCCCAGTTGAGAGATGTTGCAGAGAAGTTCACCAGAATTAAATGCTCAAATTCATTCGAGTCAAGTTTGTGTCATGTGTCCCATACCGGTTGATAACACTGCTTACTAAGCTATATTAAGTTGTGGCAGCTTCAGTATAGATATAGACGTTATACGTCATTAATTACTAGCTGTACACGGCCTGATGGTGTGATTGTTGAACAAGTAGCTGTGCTATCTTTTTTTATATGATCCTATATTGTGAAAAGCAAAAATGAATATTGTTAATCATCTATAAACTATAAATATCAAGTGCTCAATGAAGAAGAAATAATAAAGAAAAAAAAAGGTCAGTATATATCCCAAAACCCTAATCGTAACCCATTCTCTTGACAACATAAGTTTGTGCCAATACACCAAAAGTCAATGATAATCCATCATCAATCCAATCTTTAACCCATTCTGAAGGATCAACATCTTCATCTTGGTTCTCATCCTCGTTTTTTTCTTGATCACTATCATCAGTATTTACTGAACCATCTAACCAATGAGCCCATTTAATTGGGAATGCTTGAGATCTTGTTATGATTGTTATATCATGAGTAATATCTTTTAAAATGATTGTGAATGAAAATGAACCACTTGATTGATTATCAATTGGTACAATGTCATCTTTATTCCCTGATGTTGATGAAATATGAATTGGTAAAATTGATATGAATAATTTTGAACTTCTAACTTCATCTTCAATTTCTTCTTGTTTAAAAGAATTTATTGAATTTTCTAAATTTGCAAATGCTAATTTTTCACCATCAATTAATTTCCCATTGAATAAGTTTAAATTTCTATTGTTGTGATTTCTTAATGTACTATTTTTATTCAATTCAATTTTAATACCACCTTGAACTTGTTTAATAACTTTTCTGAAATTTTTAGTTAATAATTGATCTAGGTTATTAAAATTTTCCAAATCATGGATCAATTGAATTTTTAAAATCTCATCAGTTTGTACAATTGAATTTAAAACATTTGTTAAATTTTTAGTCAAGAATCCAAAAGCTCTTGAAGGATCAGGTAAATTAATTTCTTCATTATTATTTAAAATTTTTTTTCTAGTTTCTTCATCAATTTGTAAATTTTGTAATTTTTTAAAAGATTCATCTAAATTATTATCTTTTGCAAATTTTGAAGCTTCCTCTGTAGCTTTTTGAGCAAAATTATTTGCTTGTTGAGTTGCATTACTCCAAAATGAATTAACAGTTGCTGATCCACTTGATGACCACCAATTTGATAACGAGGTGATTGGATCATTTAGTTCTGGTAATTCATCATCATTATTATTATCAGTATCTTTTGAAACTTCAGTTTGTCCTTTTGTTTCTTCTTCAGGTTTCTCTTCAGATTTCTCTTCCTTCTGTTTTGGTTCTTGTTGGTTATTGTCTTTCTTCTCTTCACTCTTTATATCTTTTGTCTTTTTCTTTTTTTGATCATTAGCTTCCAATTCATCCAAGAAATCCAAAATATCACTATCATCAGCGTTCCCATTCTTTGCCTTTTTATCTTTTAAATCTTTCAGTTTTGATTGATCAGACTCTGGCAATGATGCTAAGAATTCCAATACGTCTTCAGCTTCAGATGATTTCTTTGGGGTTGATGTCATGATTATGATTTAATTGATTGATTGATTGATTGATTTGATTCTTGTTGTTGTTTTAGTTCAATTTGTTTTTGTTTTTGTTTTGTTTTGTTGTCATTTGATGAAATTTCTTTAAATAAAAAAATGGTCACGTGAGAGTATTACAAAGCAATTACATAAACATTTGTGCCCAACAAAAATTAACATACTCGACAATTTTAATTCAATTCAATTTAGTTCAATTTCAATTCAATTCAATTCAAAGAAATATGATAAAGTAGTATTCAATAGACTATTTTTATAATGTATCAAATTTATTAAGCAATCACATACACACACACACAATATCATAGAAACATAGCCAAGAGAAAGAGAGATTAATAAAAAATGATAGAGAAATAACAGCCAAAGATGATCAAAAGATAAAGAACTGAAGAGGGAAAAAAATATAAAAAATTAATAAATAAACCAAATTATCTCAAGCATTAACGCTAATTTCACCATTTGGAACTAAACCAACATTTGATGACCCATTAGTTTTAACTTCTTTTTTACCATTTGTTAACCCAATTTTATTTGAAATTTCAATTGAAGTATTAGTTATAGCTTTTGTTATATTTTGATCATTTTTATTTAATTCATCATTATAAATTGATTGAATTTTTGTTGGATATTGTTTAACATTTTGAAATTTTCCTAAAATTAAAGGTTTTGATCTTTGATAAGCTAAAGTTAATAAATTTGAAAATTTTGATAATTCAGATGATGATGAAGAAACAGGGGATGGTTCAATTGAATTATCAGATGGTAAATAATTATCAATTGTTGTGGATAATTTTGAATTGATTGGTGCAATAATTGGATTTGTATTTGAAATAATTGTTGGTTTTAATTGATTTTCTTTAAATTCATCAATTTTTGCAATTGAAAATTGATAATATAATTTTATTTCATTGATGGTTACATTATAAATATTTGATGGATATAAATCTTTTAAATGAATTTTCCCCAAAATTGGTAAAAAATGATCAATATTACCCAAGATATAAATATCAAATAATTTATCAAAATAATCAATCCAATCAATTGAAAATTTGAAATATTTCAACAATATTTCATTTTTAAAATCTAATGAAATTTTACTAACTAATGTGGCAAAATAACTAATGATATAAAAACTTAGGAAAAAACTTGAAATTTCATTCAATAAAGGATAATTATTCAAATGAGTTAAAGTTGAAGATTGTTTAATTAAATTTGAAAGATAATTGATATCTTGTGGATGGACGTTATTTGTTTTAATTGAGTCAGCCATGGTTATCAGATGGAAATAGCAATATTAACAATTGATAAGAATAATTGAAGGGTTTCTTGTTGATAATTGGTATTTGATAATTAACTTCTAATTGTGGTTTAGATATTCCAATATTCTTCAAATGATTAACCAAGTATATATCACTTTCTAAATTGACTTATTACTTCTTTTTTTGTTCTTGTTGTTGTTTTTAAATTCTCTTGTTCTTTTATTAAAAAATTGCCTTGTTCAATTTCAAAGGGGCACATGATTACGTAACATTAATCTGGGTACACGTGTAGAAATGACAGACGGTATAACTACAAAAATTTTAAATTGAAATTAAAACAAAAATTACTATTAAAATTATATAAAAAAAGAGTTGGTTTTATAATATAAAGAACAAAATCATGAATAGAAGCAATATCTAATCATCATGATTGTTTGCATTCAGGAGGTTGTTGTTTACCAGCTTTAGATTTCCCTTCACCTTCATCTTCATCACTATCTTCATCATCATCTTCTTCACTATCGTCATCAACATCATCTTCATCTTCTTCATCAAAATCGCCTTCATCACCAAAACCTTCATCTTCACCATCTAATCCATAATCAACAGCAGAACCTGTAAACCAATCAACAGCTCTTGGAATCAATTTATCTTTAATTTCTTCACCCAATTGATAATCTAATGCTAATCTTTCCTCTAATTCTTCATCTTCTTCGTCATCATCTTCTTCATTCTCTTGATCTTGTTCATCTTGATCTTCATCATCTTTATCTTGTGGAGCTTTTGGAGGATCAAAGAAATTGAAAAAAGATTCAGTTGGAGTTAATTTTTCTATTGTTCTTGTTTGTTTTGTATGTTTATTTCTTTGTTTTCTTCTTTCAATTGAAATTGTAACATTTTGTTCTTGAGAAATCCATTGAATTTCATCACCTTCAGCATGATCATAGATAAAATCACCAGAATAACCTAATTCTTCTTGATAATAATAAGTTTTTGATAATTGAGAATTTTTGAAGAAAGGGTTTTCAGCAAATTGGAAAATTAATTTGAATCCAGGTTTTGATAAATATTCCAATCTAATATCTTTTAAATAACCTAAAACTTCAGCATCTCTTTCAGTTATAGTTTCAGAAATTGGATGTAAGTTTTCCAAGGCAGTTAACCAGAAGTTTGGAATACCTTTGATAGAATCATCATCAGCTTCTTCAGTTTCCTCTTCTTCTTCTTCGTCTTCATCTTCATCACCTTCTAACTCAGATTCAATTTTTTTGCCTTGTTCAATTTCCAATTCAGTTGGTTCCACATCACCATTGATAATTTCAGATCTATGGTGATATAAAGGTTCATATTTTTTGAAAAATCTCTTCTCCAATTCTAATAATTCTTTTTGAAATTCTTCTTCTAATTTCATTTGATTTGATTGAATAGTTTTCAAAGAATAAATTCTATTTTTAACTTTTGGAGATAAAGAATTGATATAACCAGAATCTTTACCTATCAAAGTACCTAATTTACCTTGAATCATTGATAAAAAGGCAGGATTATTTGTCAAGTTTTTTTTAATTTCAGCTTCTTCATCAATGGTGGAAGGGACGATTAAATTAGGGTTATTTTTCAGATAAGACCCAGTTAAAGAGGCAGGGGTGTTTTGAGGGGTAGGGGCGCTAGCCAGCTGGTTGATTTTGTTTCTTATTGGTTGTTGGGACATGGTTGGTGATGGAGTTGATTCTGGTGGTTGATGTTGATGTTGAGTACGCCACTTGTCAAATGAATGAAAATTTGATCAGAGAAAAGAAAAAATTGGACGCGAATTTTGGATTTGAATTTCGCGAATTAGAGGGTTGACTGGGGATTGGAGTGAGTTGGAAAGGTTATAGCGAGGGTGTTTAGTTGGTTTATTAGTAGTTAGTTAGGGTCTATGCTTCTCTGTGAGTGTAGTCCTTTTCTTTGTGAGTCTATTGGATGAGTATTGGTGGAGTTAGAGATAGGATCAGGAGCACGTGACATACATAAATATAATAGATTTAGACTATATTACTACAATAAACAATAAACTAATAAACTGATAATAATATACCATAATTCCATATTCTATTATACTACTACTCTATATCCAATCTAATCCAACTTAATCTTACCTAAGCTCTGCTCCCTATTTTCCCATCTGCCATTCCCAAACGTGCCGCCAAGTCCCTTTTGAAATTGGTCAAAAAGTTGGAGACCTAAAAAACAATCCATCAAACAACAACCAATTAACCAATCCTCTTGCTACAAGCTAAACCTCCAATGAAACCATCACCCAGAGTCAACTACAATGCGTCCTCCTCAAAGCTAGCAAGACTAGCCCTAGTCCTCTCCCTCCTACCAAAACTATCCTCTTCAATCCCCTTATCTATCCTCCAAAGAGACAACCACAATCATCAATCATCAACCACTTCCCATTCTGAAGTAATCACCCCTGAAGAATTCTGGACAAATATGATCATTTCAATGTTCCTAGTCCTTGCTGGTGGTGTCTTTGCTGGGTTAACTCTAGGTTTAATGGGTCAAGATGAAGTTTATTTAAAAGTTATTTCAACTTCTGGTGATGCAATTGAACAAAAAAATGCTAAAAAAGTTTTAAAATTAATTGATAGAGGTAAACATTGGGTCTTGGTTACTTTATTATTATCAAACGTTATCACTAATGAAACTTTACCAATTGTTTTGGATCGTTGTCTTGGTGGTGGATGGCCTGCTGTTGTTGGTTCCACTGTTTCAATTGTTATCTTTGGTGAAGTTATTCCTCAATCTTTATGTGTTCGTTATGGGTTACAAATTGGTGCATTCTTTACCCCGTTTGTTTTAGGGTTAATGTATTTAATGTATCCAGTTGCTTATCCTATTGCTTGTCTTTTAGATAGAATCTTAGGTGAAGATCATGGTACAATGTATAAAAAATCTGGTTTGAAAACTTTGGTCACTTTACATAGAACAATGGGTGTTGAAAGGTTAAATAATGATGAAGTTACCATTATAAGTGCAGTTTTAGATTTAAAAGAGAAAAAAGTGTTTGAAATCATGACTCCATTGAAAAATGTTTATACAATGTCATCTGATCGAATTCTTGATGAAAAATGTGTTGAAGAAATTTTCAATTCAGGTTTTTCAAGAATTCCAATTCATATTCCAAATGAACCAACAAATTTTATTGGAATGTTATTGGTTCGTGTTTTGATATCTTATGATCCTGAAGATTCTTTACCTGTTTCAAGTTTCCCCCTTGCAACTTTACCTGAAACTCCCCCTGATACTTCATGTTTAAATATATTAAACTATTTCCAAGAGGGGAAATCTCATATGGTTGTTGTTAGTGAACGTCCTGGTGATTCAAACGGTGCTCTTGGTGTTTTAACTTTAGAAGATGTTATTGAAGAATTAATTGGTGAGGAAATTGTTGATGAATCGGATGTTTTCATTGATATTCATAAAAATATTAAAAGAACTCAACCTGGTCCTTTATCGAAAAGACATTTGACTCAATATTTACATTCTTTATATACTTCATCTGCAAGAAATTCATTAGAAAATCGTCATCATTCAAATAATGATTTACCAAATTTCATTATAAAAGAACAAACTCCAGATACTTTAACCGCTATAAAACCAAGCAATTTAGCTTCAAATCCATTAGAAACTTCAAAATCATTTGTTACTATCAAGAGACAACCTCAACCTCAAAGACCTTCAACTCCATTACGTTATGATTATGAAGATGATGACATTCAACAAGAATCAACTGAACCTTTATTAACAAATGAAGTTGTTCGTTCTAAAACTCCATTATCAAGATCAACATCTCCAAATTATGGAAGTGGTGCTACAACAAATTTGAAAAAAGCAATTAATGGTGTTAAAAATAAAAAATTCAAACTTCCCGATCCTTCAACTCCTAGAGATTCAGAAGCAGATTTATCAGATTTATTACATGATAAATTAACAGAAACTAATAATTCAAAGGGGAAACATGCACAATCATTAAGAAAAAATTCAATAGATCATAATGCTTCAATAGATCATCAATATGAACATAGTTATAGAACAGGCGGGATCATTGAAAGTGTTGTTAATGTTCAAGGTGTTTCTAAAACAATTATTGAAAGTGCTCATGATTCAGATGATGAAGAACATCAATCAATAAAAGGTTATTTAGTTGATCATGAATCTGAAAGTTCTAAATTACTGGATGGATTCCATGAAAGAGAAAAAGATAAACAGAGGAATAGAGATAATTAATTTCTCCTTTATTATACCCATTTTGCTTTTATAATTTGAAATTATGTTTTGTATTTAATTGAATTCAGCCGTATTAAATTCTTTGACCCCGGATCGTAATATTGATCAGCACCGAACACAGCAACTTTCCCGATTGGGCCTTTTTTTTAGGGTTTTTCTCTTGGTTTAGTCAATTTCTTAGCTATAAACTTGAGGAAAATCAGTATATAAAGAGAATTTCCTCAATAAAATTATAAGTTATTTATTCAAATAAATTGAAAATCATAATCAAGTTGAAATATCCTGTATAAATCTCAAAAGTCGGCTCAAAGAAAGGGGAAAGAAAATTCAGAAGGAAAAAAATCAAAGGAAAAAAAAAGTGAGAAGGTAAAATCAACGTCAACAACAACAACAACAACGTTAACAATTTGATTAAAGAAAAGATTATAAATTAAATCAGTATTTGGGTTTTATTATTGAGAAATTGATTAGGCAGGTCATAACATTTCACAGCCATATTCTCATCAACTATCAAAAGCTCAGAGTGCCAGTTGCCCCGGGCCAATCACCTGCTTAAACACCAACAATTCATTGAATCAAATCAATCACAGATTTAATATAAAGATCCATCAAATTGGACCATATTCTTTGCTGCTTTGAGAATTTCATTGTTGTTTGGTTTTTTCCCTTGTAAATTCAATCAAAAAACAGAATATCAATAACCGTCAATTCAAGTGCTAGATGTTTTTATCTCAACCCTTGATTGACATATAAAAAAGATAAAACATACACAGAAAGCGTTAATTTACTCCATTTACAATGCCTGTTGAGAAATCAGATTATTTGGATCCATCAACCGCTGGTGCTGGTTCCGGTGCTAATAATAATGGTGAAATTAATGATCAATTTCATAACATGAATATAAGGAATGTGAATTCAAGATCTTCTCAACATTCTTATCATCCTCCAAGACACTTATCACCTTCTCAATCATCAATCATTAGTTCCGCTTCAAATGAATCCCATTCAAAATCAATTTTACATCATGCTAAATCAAAATTAAAATTATTTGGAATGTCGGCTAATAAACAAGAGAAGGATAAAGATGCTAATAAATTAACACCAAAGACTTCAAAATCTTCAATCTTCTCATCGAAAAACCATTCAAGAAGTCCCAATGGTTCTGTTTCAACAAGTCCTCAAAATTCTCATCAACAACCTCATCATATAGTGGGACATCATCAAAATCAAGTACAACAACAACCAGAAGTTTCTAAAAGACAACCATTAAAATTAAAGAGATTTTTCAAGAAAACTGCTAAAAATGTTCAAAAAGAACAAAAAAAATTGGAATCTCATTTACCACATCCATCACTTCATCATAATCCGATAGCCTCTGGTGGTGTTTTAAATCCTCAACAACATCAACATCAACAAGAACAAAGTAAACATTCCATTGCAACATATATCAATCAAATAAATGAATCAGGAATGTCTTCACAAGGAAGTACACCTCCTCCACCAAATGGTGCTTATACAACAGCTTCATCTGCTGCTTCAAATAAATTATTATTTGGAACTGATAATGCTGGAGAATTATTGGAAAAATATGGTATACCTGGTAAAGTTTTAGGTGAAGGTGCTGGTGGTTCAGTTAGTGTTGTTGAACGTAGTGATGGAAAATTATATGCTGTTAAAAAATTTAGACCAAAAAATGATCGAGAATCTGAAGCTGATTATTCTAAAAAAGTTACCTCGGAATTTTGTATTGGTTCAACTTTAAAACATCAAAATGTTATTGAAACTTTAGATATGTTGAAAGAAGGTTTAAATTTTCTTGTTGTTATGGAATTTGCACCTTTTGATTTTTTCACAATTGTTATGAGTGGATTAATGACAAAACATGAAATTTTTTGTTGTTTTAAACAAATTACAAATGGTACTTCATATTTACATTCAATGGGGTTAGCTCATCGTGATTTAAAACTAGATAATTGTGTTGTTTCAAATCAAGGTATTATTAAATTGATTGATTTTGGTTCTGCAGTGGTTTTCAAATATCCTTATGAAAATGAAATTGTTAGAGCAAAGGGAGTTGTTGGTTCAGATCCTTATTTAGCTCCAGAAGTTTTAACTGAAAGGTATTATGATCCAAGACCTGTTGATGTTTGGTCAATTGCTATAATGTTTTGTTGTATGACTTTAAGAAGATTCCCATGGAAGGCTCCAAAGCAAACTGATAATTCATTTAAATTATTTTCCACAAAACCTGAAATTAATCCAGAAAATCCAAATCATAAATCAAGATCAAAAGGTCCTTATAGATTATTAAGATTATTACCTCATGCATCAAGAGATTTAATTGCAGCAATGTTGCAGTTAAAACCTGAAGATCGTTTATTAATTGATCAAGTTGTTAATAATGAATGGTTTAAATCTATAGAGTGTTGCCAAGTTGGACAAGATGGTGAATTGGTTACAAAACCTGAAAACCATAAACATCATTTAGTTACTGAAGATGAATTAAATGAAATACAGAAGAAAAAAGAACAACAAAAGAAACGAGAAGAGGAAAGAATCAATAATGAAAGACAAAACCAATCAACTACTGTTAAAGTTGAAGGATGAGAAAGAAAAAAAAATAGTGAGACACATACATGATTAACACTTTATTATTATACTTATGAATCGAAGGGTTGATCCCTTTTAACAATTTTTTTTTAGTTTTATGACATATACATATATAAATTATTTTATCCAATATTTAATCTAATTCTTATTATTATTATTTGAAGAGCTGCTTCTCAATTAAGGTTTTCAAATCTATCATCTCTATGACCTAGCTAATCACTATGGCCAACCATGATCAAACAACATTGAAACAGATTCACCATTATGTATTCTTCTAATAGCTTCCCCGAAAATTCTTGAAACATCAAGAACTTCTAAAGCATCACCCAGTTCTTTTTGATGATCTTCTTGCGGAACAGAATTTGTAACAATTAATTTATCAATAGCTGAAGCTTTAACTCTTTTAAGTGCATCGCCACTGAAAATAGCATGAGTAATTAAAGCATAAACTTTCTTAGCACCTTGATCTTTTAATAATTTTGCAGCTCTTGTAATTGTATATGAAGTATCCACTAAATCATCAATTAAAATACATTCTTTCCCCTTAACATCCCCAACCAACATTGTTGTAGCATATTTTAATTTTTTCTCCACTGTGGTGATTTGGAATCCACTATCACTTGATAAATTAGGTTGTAAGGCAACACTCTTCAACTCATTATTACTATTGACATTTGAAGGATGACGACTACTTTGATGAGAACGACGTTCTTTATGAATCAAAGCAAATGACATACCCAAAGTATCTGCAATTGCAGTAGCTCTCTTGGCACCACCAGCATCAGGTGAAACTATTATAGCATCTTGATAATTTGGAATTTTTGAAGAGATATAATGTTGTAAAATTGGTTTTGAATATAAATTATCAACAGGTATATCGAAAAATCCTTGAAATTGAGCATCGTGTAAATCCATAGTTATTATATGATCAGCACCTGCACATGTCAATAAATCAGCAACTAAAGTACCAGCTTGGGCAACCCATTGTTTATAACCAGAATTTATTGAGATTGGTTTCGTGTTACCATCACTTGTACTATTTTGATTAGTTTCTGGGATTTTTGGGATACGAGAAGGATGATGATGATGGTTTTTGGGGGTTGGTTGTTCAAGATTAAAACTTGGAGGTGGTTGTTGATGAATTAATTCACTTGGTTGGATTTCCTTTTGAGGAGTTTCAAATGATGATGATTCAAAATTAGAATTTCTAGAATTTGCTCTTGGGGTGTTTGGTACACTTTCAAAAGTGTATTCAGATTTTGGTTTTGAAACTAAAGGAGCACCTTTCTTAGTATATGGGATATCAGGTTGTCTTGAATAAGGAAATAATGGGATAACAGCAGTGACTCTTTTAGCAGAAGCAGTTTTACAGGCACTTAGTATGATTAATAGCTCCATGAAATTATCATTAACATGACCACAGCCACTTTGCACCACATAGACATCTTTTTCACGAACAGATTCATTGACACTAATGGAGGTTTCACCATTACTGAATTTCCCTAGTTTGACCTTCCCTTTATCTAGGGACAAGTTGTGGCAGATTCTCTCAGCAAGTCCTGGATGTGAGCTCCCAGAAAACACAACGATGTCGTGAACCATGATGACGATACCAGTTTTATTCTTTAAATGTGAACTTATCAGTTAAAAGACTCACGTTTTTCTCTTTCATCTCCAAAATTTTTTTGATGATTTAATGGAGCAAAAAAAAAAAAAACCATCATCAACAGAATTCGCGAAACCTTGGGATACTATAAAATTTGTGTGATTGGGAATTAAAATATGGGGTTATTTTAAAGAAATGATGATTGATATTTGGGCCAATTGGATACAGATGAAACTGAAGTAAATTCTAAATAAAAACACCTTTCTGCTCAGCAAATTCTCTTCATCTCCAACTGCCTCAAGGCAATTATCGGTATCTTCGCGAATTCCTTGATAATAAACACGAAAAAATGGATTGGATTCTGGAAACTCTGAGCCAAAACCATCCACTTCACAATAGCCTCAGCCATGATCAATGCTCTGTTCATCTTCAACCAAAAGGGAGACGTCATAATATCCAGACTGTTCAAGGACGGTGTCAAGAGAAACATCAGCGACATCTTTAGAATCCAAGTCATTTCCAACCTCGACGTATGTGCCATTAATTATGTCCCGAGAAGCCATAATAAAACTAACATCTGACCTAGCTGAGATCTCCATTATTAACTCTAGGGTCAACTACTTTCCTTCATATAAAACACAGTGACTTATGGATAGTGGCTGTGACAAGATCAAACACTGATGCTTCCGTTATCTTTGAATTCTTGTACAAATTCCAAAGTTTACTTGTTCAATATTTTGGTGATTTAACAGATGAGGTTATAAAGGACAATTTCAGTAAAATTTACGACTTACTAGATGAGATATTAGAATTTGGATATCCTCAACCGATGGATTTCAACAACTTGAAGCAAATAATTCCACCTCCAAAAGATATTGTTCATTCAGGCTTAAGACCAATTTTAAATTCAAATAAAAGCAGTTCCAAAGTTAATTCACATAGAGAATTATCAACAGATATTCCATGGAGGAAATCAGACATTAAATATAGAAGAAATGAAATATTCCTTGATGTCTTTGAAAACATTAATGTTTTAATTTCAAAAGATGGACGTATTATAAAATCTTATATTGATGGTCATATTGATATGAAGACTCATTTATCAGGAATGCCAGTATGTAAATTTGGTTTGAATGATGCATTATCATTGGGAGAAGATGATGAATCTAATGGTGATTTTTTGGCACAATATGATGTTAAAAATAAAAAAGCTATACCAAAAGCAGCTGCAGGTAGTGTGATATTAGAAGATTGTAAATTCCATCAATGTGTTCAATTGGATAAATTTGATACTGATAGATTAATAAATTTCATCCCACCAGATGGAGAATTTGAATTAATGAGATATAGAGCATCAGAAAACATCAACTTACCTTTCAAATTAACTCCAATGATTACAGAAACTGGATTATCCAAATATGAATTCAGATTAAATTTAAAATCATTATTCCCAAGCAAATTATCAGCTACAGATGTTGTTGTAAAAATTCCAACTCCTCCATCAACTATTGATGTTTCATTTGGTTCTTCAGGTGGTAAAACTAAATTTTCCACTCAAGATGGAGCCATTTTTTGGAAATTTAACAAGTTTTCAGGATTAACAGAACACTCATTAACTGCAAATATAACAGTTGCATCTAAATCCTCATCATCATCAACAACAATGAACTCCAATTCAAGACCTCCAATAACTCTTGATTTTGAACTATTAATGTTTAGTAGTTCAGGTGTTGTTGTAAGATTCTTGAAAGTTGTTGAAAAATCCAATTACTCCACGATCAAGTGGGTAAGATATATATCACAAGGAGGGTCTTATGAAGTTAGATATTGAAATAAAATACAATTTATGAATGAATTAAATGAACACTATTACTTCCTAATACGGTAGTTCTTCCTCTTTAGGAAACTCAAATAATTCCGCGACTAAAACCAAAAATTCCCAAAAAATATGCCATTTTTTTTTGTATTGACAGTTTTTGTCGAAGGAACACATCTGTTGTAATTTGATCGTGTGAAGTGAGATCAATTCCTGCTTTGGTCAATCAAAGATACGCGTGTTTGTTTTAGTTGGTTCAGGTTTCAGCGGTTTTGGTATTAGCTAACAAGGTTCAGCAGCTAGTTTTGCAAGTGAGAGTTCTGGCTTGTTTGGTTCCAGCCGTGTGTGTGTTGTGCAAATTATAGCAAGATATCAAAAGACAAAGAAAGAGGTACAAGAAGGTATAAAGATAAAAGTCATTCGCTTGAGTTTTACATCCTAATAGTCTATTTACAAAAATCGATCAGGATTTAACATAAGATGCCAGCTAGTGGTACCATAATACTGGGATGTATTATTGGTGTTATATCTTCAGCAACCCAATCAATTGGGTTAACATTACAAAGGAAATCACATTTATTGGAAGAAATCAAATTAGACAATCATAGACCACCTTATAAAAGACCTTTATGGAGAGTAGGATTCTTGTTATTCTTAATCGCAAATTTATTAGGTTCATCAATTCAAATTACAACATTACCTTTGATTATATTAAGTCCCTTACAAGCAATTGGATTAGTTTTCAATTCAATATGTTCTTCAATCATTTTACATGAAGCTTTCACCCAACTGTCAATAATTGGAACAATATTGGTTGGATTTGGAGCTTTATTTATTGCAGCTTTTGGAAGTATAGCTGAACCAAATCATTCATTAAAAGAATTGTTGGATTTAATGCAAAGGAAACAATTTGTTAGTTGGATCATTATAAGTAATACAATTGTTGTTCTGATATTGATCTGGATAAATGTTATAAAATTGATACATTCCAAAAAATTTCAAATTTTGCATGAAAGGTCATCGTCATCAAATATAATACGACCAATGTTTGATGTATCAATTGATAAGTTTAGATTTGTTAAAGGTTTACTGTATGGTGTTATCAGTGGTACATTATCTGCTCATTCGTTATTATTAGCTAAATCTGCAGTGGAGATTATAATAAATTCAATTGTAAAGAAAAATTACAATAATTTACAAAATTTTAAAAGTTGGATAATAATTTCAAGTTTTTTCATATTGGCTATAACTCAATTAATTTTTTTAAACAAAGGTTTGAAAAACATTTCCACTTCAATTTTATATCCTTTAGTGTTTTGTATTTATAACATTACAAACATTATAAATGGATTAGTTTTTTATAATCAATTGAAAGTTTTAACAAAATTTCAATCATTTATGATTATATTGGGGACTTTTTTAGTACTGCTAGGAGTTTTCGCTTTGAGTTGGAGACTAGAAGAATTGGATCCAAAAGATCATTCAACAGCTTTTTTGAAAAGAGGTTCTGTTTCAACTGAAAGATCAGGTTTATTATCACCAAATATGATTCAAACTAACCACCAAATTGATGGCTCTGGTGGGGATTCTGATCAATATGTTTCATTTGGTTCACCAAAGGGAGAATCTCCAATCGTCATTGATGAAGAACCAGGTTATATAAGTACAGATGAATTTGAACCAAATACAAGATCACCAATCATAACTTCACCATTCAAATATGGAAGTTTAATGGATAATAATCAAAGTGGGATTGCAGGTTCAACTAATCAAAAAAGAAGAAGTAGAAGAGTTTTATCTTATGAACAAAATGAATTATTAAATCAATTAAAGAAAATGCCAGATGTTTGATCTACATTTATATATAAGTCAAAGAAAATAATTTAACGATGTTACGTGCTAGAAAAAGTCTAATATTGTTGTAGTATTATTGATCAAAAATCAGCACTTTGTTCTTCTGGAGGAACAACAAAAGCACCAGCTAAGGATAATGCAGGTTCTTCAACATTATGATGAGCATAACTTAAAACACCAACACCACCAGCATCTAGGATGAAATTTGGATTTGAATTTAAATATCTATAAGTTTCAATTTCCACAGCTTCAATTTCATCATTTTCATAAGATTTAATATATTTTGGAGTTGAATCATTAATAGCTTCTTCAACACCTAATTTAAACCATAAAGCTGCAAAATAACGTAAAGTATGACCATGAGCGAAAACCAAGACATCACTTGGTTTATTATCATTAATTGCATGTTTATGAATATTTTGAATTCTTGCAATAACTCTTGATAATCTTAAACCAACTTGTTCAGAAGTTTCACCATTTTCACAACCATCTCTCCAAATAACCCAAGGTCTTTCTTTATCAAGACCTTTAGCAGCTCTTTTAGCAATGATTTCAGAAGTTAATAAACCTTCATAATCACCATATTCCCATTCTCTTAAATCATTATCAATAACAATTTGAATGTTTTTTCTAATATCAGAAGGAATACTTTCCAAGATTAATTCAATGGTTTGTAATGCTCTTTTTCTTGGAGATGTTAAAATATAAGTGATTTGATCAGGTTTAATGAAATCTGTAGAGAATAATGCCTTACCGGTTCTTCTCATTTGTTCAACACCAAAAGGTGTTAATTCCAAATCTGTGATTGAAGTGTATTGACCTGATTTGGACCATTCAGTTTGACTATATTAATGTTAGTACTACCCTATTCTTTAATACCCATGTGTGGAACTTACCCATGACGGACAAAAATTGCTCTAGGACAAGGTGCTTTAGTCATTTTTTGATTAGCCTGTAGTTGATAATCAGTTTAAGAAAGAATCAATTGAGAACGTTGATGATAGATTGAGCAGCACAGGTGATGGCAGCTCTTTAATTTTGGTCTCACAGTACTCCGAAAACAAGTTAAGTTGATTTGAAAACACTCAGAGTTTCAATAACTTCCTGAATTAAATTGTCCTCTGTAGAATTAAAGGACAATTTAGCCGATATTCCCTTTACACAATTGGCTTATACTCAATAATTGCTGAATTCAGTTCGCAAGTTTTAAACCGGTTGCCATAGTTAAAGGCTTTTCATGGAACCTGGTACACGCACTCCTTCAACAGCATTCTGATTACATAACATTTCCAAACAGAAACAGTCAAATTTACACCTGTTCAAGAATTCAGAGTTCCAATTATTGAATTAACACATTTCAAAGGCCAAAGGAGATTTGCCAGATCCAGGAACCAAAATGTCGCTTCTTTCCCAGGTCAAGCGCTCAGGAAGACTACAGAGCATTTGTGGATGTGTGGTGCTGCTTGTGGTATATCTATTGTTTTTCCGTTCAGCTAGTGGTGGTGATGCAGGTGATTCGTTATCGAATGAAGAAGTAAACAACATCATATCTGGTGAAAAGAATTCAGGCTCGGATGTTGAAAGAGTTAGAATTGACACCCAGGTGCTTAAAACTCCTTATTTGGAGAATGATTTAAAATCTAAAAATTGGGATATTGAAGGTGATACATTAATTAAAAATAACTATTATGTCAGATTAACTAGTGAGAAAAAAGATCAAGCAGGTTCAATCTTCAATAAAAACTCTTTCAATGATGATGGGTTTGAAGTCACTTTCAAATTTAGTATAAATGGTAAAGCTCGTGTTAATGGGTTAAAAGGTGATGGATTTGCAATGTTTTTAACAGATAGGAAATTAAATCAAGGTCCAGTTTTCGGTTCTGAAGATTATTTTAAAGGGCTAGCCATATTCTTTGATACTTATAGAAATGCACCAAAAGGTCCAATGTTCCCATATATCAATGTTATGAATGGTGATGGATTAACACCTTATGATAAAGATACTGATGGTAAAACCAATCAATTGGCCGGTTGTTCAGCACGTGGAATATATAATTCAAGAAATAATCTTGTTGATGCTAGATTGATTCATACTACGCAAGATGGTTATCTATCATTAGATTATAATATCAATGGTAATTGGAAAAATTGTTTCACAATAAAAGATGTTCATATCCCAAAAGATAGATATTTAGGATTCAGTGCAAATACTGGTGATTTATTTGAAAATCATGATATTTTTGAAGTGGATGTGTTTTCATTAAAACAGAATGGTGAAACTATATCTTCATTCCAAGATGCTGTCAGCTCTAGTGATTCTCCTAAAGATGAAGAAAATGAAGAAGAAGAAGATTATAGAGGAGGTAGAAGAAGAAACAACCCAGGTAAAAAGAGAAATGCAGCACAAAGAGCAAGATTAAGAGGTAAATTAAGAAATAAAGAAAGATTATTACAGCAAAGAAAAGCAGCTGAAGCTGCTTCAGGATTTGATTTTTTCGGAACTCTTTGGAAACTGATTAAATATTTTTTCCTCTTCATTTTCCTTCTACTTCTTTCTTATGTTGCATTCACTTTTTACAGAATCAAAATGAGATCAAGAAGAATAAATCAAAAGAGAAATGGGATTTTGATGTGAAAACTACTTATATATATTCACTGTAAATAACAACAATATTATGCATGCATTAAATTAATTTTTAAAAACCATTAGTACATTCTAGTTTTTAATGAATATGTATAATCACCATTTCAATCATTTATCAACACCAGTTGCACCTGGTTTTGTTTTAATTTGTTCAACTTTAGAATCATCTAAACTTGTAACATTCAAATTCAATCCCCAAACTTCATTATAAATACCAAATAGCTTCAAGACATTTGAATTATTATAATAAGATTTCTCAACAAATTTAAAATTTTTCAAAGCCAACTTTTTCTTTAAATCTAAATCTGTTGACATGACATCAATTAAAACAATGATTTTTTCAGCTTTTCCAACATTCAATGAATTAGATCTATAAATTGCCCAATCAATTAAATCTTCAATAATTCCAGATTTATAATAAACTTTACGAACACCACAACCAGTGATTTTAGTGACAAATTTTTCCTCGTTTGATAATTCAGGTTTTGGTATTAATGAAAGAACAGCAATTGGAGTATCTCTATAGATTATAATTTGAGTATTATCACCTTTTGGTAATAAATTTTTGGTTTTTTTATCATTTGAATTTTCATTTAAACTTGCAAAAGTTTTCAATTCAACACCAAAGATACCTTCATTATCATTAACTAAATCTTCAGAAGTTGTCTTGATGAAATCAGTGGTTCTTGTTAAAACGGTAAATAAGATAGATGAAAACATTGTAACGAAAACAACAATACTGAAAATTTCATCTCTACTTTGTTTAACTAAATCCCAACCACCAGCTTCATAGATCCAACCAACTTTCCAATAACCAAATAACGAGGCAACAGTCACTATTATTAAAGCAGAATAAGGATGTGTCATTATCTTTGTATTAGCTTGTGATTGTTTTTGTCTAATGAAATCTATAGTTAAATTTAATGCAGCATTTGATAAAGAAGGTGTCAATTTTGTTCCATAGATAGTTGGAGGAGCATTATGATCTATTGGTTGATCCAATCTGATTTCTTTTTGTTTAACCATGGCTTTATATCACGTTCTTGGCTTTTGAGTAGAGAAGATGAGATACTTGGGAATTGATGGATCACAGTTTTCTTTATGTATTTTTTTTTACCCATCAATAGGTCGTTTGACCTTATTTCTTTGACACACGTGTACTTGGTGAGAAAAAACCAATTCGCGAAATGGAGGCAGCAGTGGTTTGAAGCGATGGTCTGAATAGATTGTAGTATAGACTGGAGTTTGAAGATGATGAGAATAGTCAAGAGAATAGACGGTATCTGAAAGAGACTGAGTTTAACTGTTCTGGTTCTTGACAGTTTTGTGCTTTATGTCAATGAGTATCTCTCGAGATGTTGTTGATTAATTGACATCAGAAGAGCTACGAACTACATCAAATTACAAAGATCAAAGGTTCATGAACAACTGAAGAACATAAAGACTAGATGCCCAGTATATATAACTTTTCTTGTTACCAAAGAATCACTAGAGCATCATGTTAAGGTCACTTTCAAACCTGTAACCCTGTACTCTTGGTTATAAAAGTGGGAAAGGGTTTGTTACTTGACGTACTATTATCGCCCTATCTGTTCAAACCCTTAAGCAAAAACAGCTCCACAAAGTAAATTAATAGTATAGTATAGTGCGAAAGTTGAACTAAATGGCCAAGATAGGTGCATGAGAAACAACTCTATGCTTGGTGATTTGATAGAACTGTTGTTTTGGCCTATTATATCCATAGATAGCCAAACATTAATTAGCAGCACTCATAATATTTACACGCCCATAAGTAAGCTTCCTATAACCTGATTACAGAAAAACTACTGCTGCTTTGCAATGTGACCAAAGAACGTCGTCTACGGTCAATAATAGGGCATATGTTATACCAATACACTATTCCATGCTCGATCGTTGTACAACGCGTAACTGGTTAATTAACGAATTACGCGTACGTGTAGATTGAACGACACATACATATTGATGGTCCCTATAATTAAAATCCCGTAAAAGTAGAGGACGTTGGATTGTACGGGATCCAATCAGACGTAGGGTTTCAACGTTCGAGCATGATCAGGCTAAGCTGTGAAGGTTCAAGGCAGCATCAACACACAATCTCCTACATACTATACTCAAGAGCACCAAAAATCATCACAACTCACCGATACGCCTCTATCGTTCATTGGAAATAGGTGGGTAGTTTTTCTTTTTCTTGTGAGTCGACGTTAAGGTTTTCCAACGGTGATTGCCTTTGTGGTTGCCTCTGAATAAAAGAAATCCAGTAATTATATCTTATACCTTCTGTCGTGATTTGATGAAGTTCTGTATGACGCTTTTTGATTTTGGCAGTGAAAAAGAAAAATTTTCCTGGTTGCGCGACACACTGACCTTCCGTTTTGGGTAAATTGTGTACATGAAGTTTGGCGCGCAAAAGAAATGCACTGCTCATGTAATTAATTTAACGAGTCCTGAACTTGGCTCACCATGGACACAAGTGCTTTGGAAAGTTGGTGGAAGCGCAGAATGGCCAGAACATTAATAGGGCATGAGACCTCTAATTGCTGAATTATGTGTTGAGATGGATGTAAATGTCAGGTATCGAAGACAGAAGTGAAAGGAGGTCGAGGACTGGCCAATCATCTTCTGAAGTAGTCCTACCTGTGCATCCATTTGTATTATCAAACGGTTTCAGGTTGAAACTCTTTGAAAATTGTAGCTCTCATGTCTAGAGTAGATAGACGAGCTATCCAAACTTTAGATCATACAGTTTAGGTTTTGGAGATGTAGGTGGTTTCATCGTTGAATCCCTTTCTTTTTCTGATCACAGGAGGGATTGCTTTTAGATCCCACATCACCATGATGAAACATCTGGCACACACTAAACTTAGCACACCATACTAGATAAATCATGATTCGTGTTACCCAACTCAATACTTAATTCGCTTCAGGTTTTTGTTTACTTTTTGTTGAAATTGCTGTTTTGAAAATCGTTCCTCAAAAATTCAGTTGATCCAAGTGCGGTAGACACACGCTCCCATACTTTAGAGTCTGCCAAACTGGCGCGTGCAACGCGTTTCATCGCCTCGACGACAAAAAACATCGCAACTGAGCTAGAACAAGCTAGATCTCAGATAGATTTGGATCTTGAAAATAAAAGTTGTTAATAATTAAACAACTACCTCTAATCCTCTTCGAATATGGTACCTCCCAATTCTCAGCTCTCCAGCACCACTACCAAGTGTGAATCAGCGCCTCTTTTGCGCTCCCAATCCATCAAATCTAGACGTTCTGGCGCTGCATGCTCCTGTGGAAACGCGCGTCTGCAGAAAAAAATAACCGGAAAGAGTAATTCGCTTCAGGGGGCAACAGCTGTTGAAAACAAAAGTTATAAAAAAAATCAACATCGCAGTTTTTCTCCCTTTCTCTAATTTCAAAGCTTCACCATAAAAAGTCAGATAAACTAACTACTACACGTTCTTTAACATCAACAAGATTAACACATCACATTCCTTTAACCCTTTTTATCTTATTTGTTAATCCAAGTTATCCAACTCTCAGTCTTTCCTTACTATTTGTTTGTTTATCCAAGTCTATTTTATTCCAGCGCTTATATTATCAAAAAATGAAATACTCAATCATTCCTTTATTGGCTCTTGCCTCATCAGTTTTAGCTGCTCCTCATGCTCATGCTCATGAACATCATTTACACCGTCGTGATCCAGCTGTTGTTTACGTTACCCAAACTCAAGTTGCTTACGTTGATGGTAATGGTAACCCAATCACTCCATCAACTACTGCTACTCAAGCTGCCACTTCAACTTCAACCTCTCAAGGTGATGATGGTTCTGAGTCCACTTCAGTTGTTGACAAAAAAGCTCAAACTACCACTTTAGCTTCATCTTCATCAACTGCTCAATCAACTTCCCCATCTGCCTCTGCTTCTGCTTCAACTTCAAATGGTGATAACGCTTCCTCATCAACTTCTTCAAGTTCCTCACCAAGTTCAAGTTCAAGCTCTGGTTCTGGTTCATCAGGTTCATCAAACGGTATTGATGGTGATTTATCAGATTTTGAAGATCCATCAGAAGAATTTGAAGATGGTAAATACAAATGTTCAGATTTCCCATCTGGTCAAGGTGTTATCTCTTTAGATTGGTTAGATTTCGGTGGTTGGGCTTCAGTTATGAACCAAAATGGTGATACTTCATCTACTTGTAAAGATGGTTACTACTGTTCTTATGCTTGTCAAGCTGGTATGTCCAAAACTCAATGGCCAAGTCAACAACCATCAAACGGTATCTCAGTTGGTGGTTTATTATGTAAAAATGGTTACTTATACAAATCAAACTCCAACAAAAAATCATTATGTGAATGGGGTCAAGATTCTTCTTATGCTGTCAACAATGCTAAAAAATCAATTGCCTTATGTCGTACTGATTATCCAGGTTCCGAAAACATGGTTGTCCCAACTTTAGTTGAAGCCGGTTCAAAGAAACCAATGTCTGTTGTTAAGGAAGATGGTTACTACAACTGGAGAGGTGGTAAAACTTCAGCTCAATACTATGTTAATGATGCTGGTGTTTCCGTTGAAGATGGTTGTGTTTGGGGTACTGAAGGTTCTGGTATTGGTAACTGGGCTCCAGTTGTTTTAGGTTCTGGTTACACTGATGGTACTACTTACTTATCAATTATTCCAAATCCAAACAACAAAAACTCACCAAACTACTCTCTTAAAATCGTTGGTCAAGATGGTGCCACTGCTCAAGGTGACTGTTCTTACATCAATGGTAAATACTCTGGTGGTCCAGGTTCAGAATCTGATGGTTGTACCGTTTCAGTTACCTCTGGTACTGCTAACTTTGTTTTCTATTAAAGGAATTGATTTCTTGAAAACATGATTTTTTATTACAAAACAAATTATTTTTAGCTATAAAGCTGCAGTGATTATATTGCCTTCGTCGTTCGTTACCTTTTTTATTTCAACTTCTCAGTCAAATTTATTTTTTATGATACCCTTTTCATAATTATCATCTAATTGGTGGTGATAATATTATGGTTATTTATTTGGCTTTTTTTAGGATTCGGTTTAGTTTATTTTCAATTATTATTATCGTTATACTTTTTTTAAATACCTGGGTCTTTTTTTACTATTGCTTGTACATTTTTTATTTGCAGTGATCTTTTTATAAAAGTTTTCTTTCTATTAACACATTGATATTGTAGCTATGGTTCATTAATTCTTCACAATTGGTATGATAAATCTATTAATACGTCTTTGGCTTAATTAATTAAACACGTATTTTAGCATCGACCTAGTACAGATGATGAACCCCATGATTATATTAATGCAACGTCGCGAGCTGATCAGCTATTTAATATTATAGAAGTGTCTCCAGTCAATAACCTGTTGTATTAGAAGTACAATACTGGTAACATCAGCGAGTTCTCAGCCTTTTTAGTATACACAGCTAGAGTTTTCCCTACTCTCATGAAGTGACAGCCCTCAATAAATTTGGAGCGATATTCTGAGTTGGCCCAACTATTCCAGCTCTTTGACCATGACAATGCTTCTTGTGTCAATCTCTAGTTGGCATAGCTTACTTTGTTCTCGTGGTCAATAGTAGTATTAAGCAGAAGAAATACACTGATCAGATCTTGAAGCTCCAACGATGATTTGAAGTCTTTTTTTACTCTCTCATGTGAATAGCCCTGTAATAGCTATAATGATACAATACCCATAATTGCCTATTCCAATCACTTAAAATCACACAGATCATTTTAACGAACCTCTGGAAAGGGCCTGTAATAGCACATCTATCAGAAAAGAGAAGTTCAACTCGACTATCGAACCATAATGAAAAAAATAGCTAGTTTGAATAGACCAATTTTTTGAAGCCTCATCTTATTCAGACAATCAAAAAAGCACTCCAGAGTAAAATATATAAGCAGATATAGTATTCCACAAATTCTTAATCAATTAAAATGACAAGTTTACCTGCAAATATCAAATTGAAATGGAAGAAGTTGACTGTATACACTTAATCTGACAAAGATATCAGTCGGTTTATACCCATTAAAGTAATTTTGAGTCACGTTTTTGCCCCCGGTTTGTAATCGTCTGGAGCTCAGGAGGCTCGACAAACTTCAAGATGATGCGGTGGCTCAATGGTAGAGCTTTCGACTCCAGTTTGGAATTTAGTGCAATCGAAGGGTTGCAGGTTCAATTCCTGTCCGTGTCATTCTTCAATTTCTTTTTTTTCGTGGTTTGGGCACGCAAATACCGGGTAAATTCTGTATTTTTCGAACTGAACGTATAATCAAAAGTCATTTTAACCTATGAGTTGATGAGTTGAACAATAATTTTAAACCGTTAATTGTATTTTGCTTTTTATATTTTTGAGTAATGAGTGCAAGTCCTACACCTGAAGTCTCTGAAAAGAGCAGCAAGAATGCAGTTGAACAATTATCTGAAAATGTTGCTGAGTTATATTTGGAATCATTTTCATTCACAACAGCTGCTGCTATAATTGGTTATGTTGATAGTAAGTTTTCAAAGATGATGTTGAGATGGAATTATATTTGTTAACACCTTGTGATCTTTAGGAAAAGTCTGTGTAACATTGACAGATGGTCGTCAATTATTTGGAGTTTTGAGAACTTTTGATCAATATGGTCAGTATACCTTTTTTTTGTAAATTGAAGAGTCTATATTAACAAGAGTCTTTTAATTAGGTAGTATTGTGTTACAAGATACAGTGGAGAGAATATATTTACCAGATAATAGATTTGGAGAAGATTATCTTGGTGTTTTGTTGGTTCGTGGTGAAAACATTGTGATAATAGGTGATGTCGATATTGATAAAGAAGATGAACCACTATCAAAATTAACTAGAATACCATTCCCTGAAGCCAAAGCTGAACAGAAACAAGCAAACGAAAAATCAACCGTTGATAGTAAGAAAAAGACAAAGAAGTTGCATAAATTTGGGTTGGTTAGTGACCATTTTTATGTATTTTAGATTATAATGATAATGTTTGTACTTTATTTTACTACTTAGTCTTGACTCGTAAACTTTCATAAACCTCCATTAACTAAAACTTGCTTAATCTTTTGGTTTTAGCATAGATTCTGCTATATAATTGGTTAATTTCTTTAGCTTTTTTAGCTTCAGCTTTTCCCAATTGATTTAAATGAGCTTCATCTGGACCATCTGCAATTCTCAACATTCTTGCACTCATATATAATCTTGTTAAAGGAGTATCTTGAGAAACACCTTCAGCTCCATAAACTTGAATAGCCCAATCAATGATATTTCCCACGGTTCTTGGAGTATCAATTTTGGCAATTGAAATTTCCTTTTTGGCACCTTTACTACCAACTAAATCAATCTTTAAGGCAGCTTCCAAAACTAATAATTTAACTCTTTCCAATGCGATTCTTCTCTCACCTAATTCATGAATGAATACTTCTTTTGTAATGAATAATTTACCAAAGATTTCTCTATTTGAAGCTCTTTTGATAGCTTGATAGATTGCTTCATCACCCATACCAATTAATCTCATACAATGATGAATTCTACCAGGTCCTAGTCTACTTTGGATTAAAGTGAAGCCTTCACCTTCTTTATCCAATAAATCAAAAGGAACTCTCAAGTCATTGAATTGAATTTCACAATGACCATGAGGAGCATCATCGAATCCAAAGACATGTAAAGGACGAACAACTTTAACTTTCCCAGTAGCCTGAGCCTTTTCAGCATCAATAACAATAACAGAATGACGTTTGTAAGGGTTTTCTGCATCTGGAGTAGTTTTAGCCATAACTAACCAAACTTTGCATCTTGGATCACCAGCACCTGAAGCAAACCATTTTGTACCATTCAAGACAACTTCATTTGAACCAACTTTCTTAGCACTTAGTGAAATATTTAAAGCATTTGAAGAACTGGTACCTTTTTCAGTCATCAAGAACGCTGATCTAATATCACCATTTAATAAAGGTTCCAACCATTCTTTACGTTGCTTTTCATTAGCATATTTAACAAATAGTTCCATATTACCAGTATCTGGGGCATTTGTATTTGTAGCTTCTGGAGCAACATGGGATCTACCAAGAAATTGAGCCATTAACCCATATTCTAAATTTGAATAACCTGGACCTTCTTTATAACCAGCTAAAAACAAGTTCCATAATCCTAATTTTTTAGCCTTTTCTTTCAATTCTTCAATGATTGGAGGAACTGAAGCCCATCTTTTGGAAGGTTCATTTGACATTTGATTGAAATACACTTCATCAGCAGGAAGACATTCCTCTTCAACGAATTGTTTTACTTTTTGAATGGTTTCATAACCTCTTTTCGAGATGTGCTTCTTGACCAATTCTGGGATATAAGTATCTAGATTTAGTGCAGACATGATGATGATGATACTAATGATGTTGAACAATAGTAAAGAAACTAAAAACTAATGATAGAATTATCACTTCCTTAAATACCCAGCAACTGAGTCAATTCAACCACTGGCTAAATCAGTTAAATCCCTTGTGAACATGATCGTTTGATCGAATCGAGTTTAGAGCTCGGTATATTTGTTTGTGGGGAATCAGCAAAGTCATCACAGAACACATTCGCGGAAATTTATTTCTGAAGAGAAATTTCGCGAACTTGAAAATATACAAAAAAAAAATTTTGGAGTGCTAAAACTGAATAAATTAAACATTAAACACCATCTTCATCATGACTTTTGTGGGCTACAAGGAGATCATCGAGGAAGGAGACCTCATACTGGCATTCATCGGCAGAGACGCCATCAAACCCATCAGAGTCGACAGCTCAGAGACTTTGAACACAAGATACGGTGTGTTTCCTCATACACTGATGATTGGACAGCCTTATGGATCTCAAATCACAAGTTCTAAAGGTTATGGGTTTATTCATTTACTTCAGCCTACTCCAGAGCTATGGACATTATCTTTACCACATAGAACCCAAATTGTCTACACTCCAGACTCCAGTTATATAACACAAAGATTGGGAATAACTAATGGTTCAAGAGTTATTGAAGCTGGTACAGGTTCAGCTTCATTTTCACACTCTTTAGCTCGTACAGTACACCCTCATGGACAATTATTTACATATGAATTCCATCACTTTAGATATGAAGAAGCGAAAAGGGAATTTGAAGAACATGGATTAAATGAAATCATAATAAATCATAGAGATGTTTGTAAAAATGGATTTGAATTGGAAAACTATGATGGTGAAATTAATGCTGATTCCATATTTTTAGATTTGCCTGCTCCATGGGAAGCAATTCCTCATTTACCAAAAGTTACAAATAAAAATGAAAAAGTTGGTATTTGTTGTTTTAGTCCTTGTATTGAACAAGTTGATAAAACAGTACGTGCCTTGACTGAAAATGGTTGGACTTCTATTGAAATGGTTGAAATCCAAGGAAGAAGGTGGGAAGCTCGTCAAGCAATGGTTAGACAAGTTGATGATGCTATAGCTAGATTAAAAGATGTCAAACAACGTAAATTAGATGGTATTGAAAGGAAAAGAAAGTTTTATGCTGAACATGGTGATAATAATTCAAAAGAAACTGAAAATGATCCTGAAACAAAACGTGAAAAAAGGAAATTTGACGAACAAGAAAAGACAAAAGTTGACAAGACTGAGTTTAATCCATTTGGTAAAGGTATGAGAATTAAAGAAGGTGATCCAACTTATAATTGGGTGAAAGTATCTAAAAATGAAGCTGAGTTGAAATCACACACTTCATATTTGACATTTGCATTTAAAGAAGCTGTTCCAAACTTGGACAAATAGATAGAATTTAATTGTTTTGATAATATTGTAGATTGGTTTCGCGATATAAGGAAAGAAAAAAAACCAAACCAATTTCTCTTCATCAACATTTGATCAACATCAGGAAAATGTTCAGATCTTTGGTGAATAGACCGTTTCTTCGACTAGGTAACCCACTTATAAGGCCATCAAGGCTAATAGCTTTCAATTTTGCCTCGGGATTCCCAACAAACCATGCTTCAATAACAAAATCAACACCACCATTGACACAATCCATTGTTCATCAGATATCAATACAACGCCAATTCTCAACAAAACCAATATTGAATTTCACTAAACCCCCAAGATTCAATGCTAGACCTCCATCCACACTTTCATTAATATGGCATTTGATTCCAGATCCGCTGAAGTTGTTCATTGCAATCATGGGGACCGCATCTTTTATAATGTTCATTGCAGCTCCGTTAATATTGATTGTTTTACCGCCTTTATTTATTGGTTGTTATTTGACATCAAGGTATTGGCTCAAGAAGAGATCAAAAGATATGGAAGGAAGATGGGAAAACTTGTTGAAAACTCATTTAACTTATGAAGGTTCAGAACTTGATCAAATGAAATTAAAAGATTTTACATTGGAAAGATTAGTTGACGCTTTTGAAACAAATGAAGAAGGAATTGCTGATTTTTTCGAAGGTTCAGGCTCTGCTAATCAACATCATTCATTTTCATCAAGATTTGAATTAACCGGTATTGAAACAATTGATCAAGATTTTAGAATATCTAAATTGGGTATTCAAGAATCAATCAGTGTTATGTCTTTTGGATTGATTGATAAAGATAGTAGGGTTGGTAGAATTGCAACAGTAATATTGACATTACGTCCAAAAAGAGTTACAACTCTATTAGAAGCTCACACTTCATCACAAGATGCTGTTATTGAAATAAAACCAGTGTTTAATGCGTTTGGAAAATCGTTTATCTTGAACAAAGGAAGCGACTTTGGCAATAGCTTCTCTGATAGAATCATTGATATTAAGGCACACAATACAAGAAAATATAGATAGCTTAACATAAACCACATTGTATATAAGAATGAAATAAAATAGAATCTACTTATGTGTTTTACGTAATCCCTTATGTAATATTCCTGATTTTTTAGGGGAAAATTCAAAAATGGAAGATTCGATTTCAAACACATAATTCAATTCAAACCGATAACAACAAAACAACCCAATTGGAATTGAATTGAGCTATAGAATAAACATTTATCAATTTCAAAATGAGTGAACAACCAATTGGTAAGTTAGCCATCAGATTTCATTTTCAAATTTCTCGTGTTGAACGTGTTATACTAACTCTTTAAAATTTCGGGGGGAAGTATCCATCAAAATTCTACATTTGATGGTTATTGAAACTTCGAAATTTGTTATAATATAGTTCTTGATCAAGGTACAGGTTTTGTTAAAATTGGCCATGGGGGAAGTAATTTCCCCGATCATACTTTCCCTTCAATCGTGGGTAGACCTATATTAAGAGCTGAAGAAAGAACCGGTGATATTGAAATTAAAGATATAATGTGTGGTGACGAAGCAAGTGCTGTCCGTTCTGCTTTGCAAGTCTCTTATCCTATGGAAAATGGTATCATTAGAAATTGGGAAGATATGGAACATTTATGGGATTATGCATTTTATGAACGTTTACAAGAAGATACAACTGGGAAAAAAATATTGTTAACAGAACCTCCAATGAATCCATTGAAAAATAGAGAAAGAATGTGTGAAGTGATGTTTGAAAAATATAACTTTGGTGGTGTTTATGTTGCTATTCAAGCTGTTTTAGCATTATACGCTCAAGGTTTATCCTCGGGTGTTGTTGTTGATTCAGGTGATGGTGTTACACATATTGTCCCAGTTTATGAATCTGTTGTGTTGAACCATCTAACTCGTAGATTGGATGTTGCAGGTAGAGATGTTACAAGACATTTAATTGATTTATTATCAAGAAGAGGTTATGCTTTCAATAGAACTGCTGATTTTGAAACAGTTCGTCAAATCAAAGAAAAATTGAGTTATGTTTCATATGATTTAGAATTAGATGCAAAATTGGCTCGTGATACAACAACTTTAGTGGAAAGTTATGAATTACCAGATGGTCGTGTTATTAGAGTAGGTTCAGAAAGATTTGAAGCTCCAGAATGTCTTTTCCAACCAAGTTTGGTTGATGTTGAACAACCAGGTGTTGGGGAACTTTTATTCAATACAATTCAAGCTGCTGATCTTGATATAAGATCTTCTTTATATAAGGCTATTGTCCTTTCTGGTGGTTCAAGTATGTACCCAGGTTTACCTTCAAGATTAGAAAAAGAATTGAAACAGTTATGGTTAACCAGGGTTTTACATAATGATGCTTCACGTTTAGATAAATTTAAAGTTCGTATTGAAGATCCTCCAAGAAGAAGGCACATGGTTTTCATTGGTGGTGCAGTTTTAGCAAACATTATGGCTGATAAAGATCATATGTGGATCAGTAAACAAGAATGGGAAGAACAAGGTCCTTCAATTTTATCCAAACTAGGTCCAAGATAAAAAGAAAACAAATATGTACAACAGTCAATGAAAGCAATAAAAACATTTAATGAATTTTGATACTTACAAACGTAGGTGCTACATCATTTATAATCTTATCTTTAATCATTCAATCATTAATTATTACAAATATGCCTATAAACTTAACTGAGAAACTCTTCTCCAAACGTCATCAGCTAATGTCCTTAACTCTTCATCATTAATTGAGGATTTACTAACCCCATAAGTAATAGCGTTTTTGACCAAATCATTGATAAACTGTTCAGAAACAACTCTTGGTTTTAAAAACGGTCCATCTAATATCTCTTGCGCTGTCCAGCGTTTGTTTGGATCACGATGTAAACAAGCTTCAATGGTTTCTACAGCTGTCCCAGGAACTTTGATACTACCTAATCCTTTCTCTGGGTATGCAATCTTGACATCTGGATTCATGATAGCAAGTAATCTTTGGGATCCCTGGTAACCACCATAAGGTGGACGACCATAAATCATTTGATAAATGATACAACCACATGACCAAATATCTGAGGGTTTACCAACTTTCCATGTACTCTTATGATGTTGAGTGGAATCTGCTAAATGTTGATTATTATCAATCAAAGCTTCCGGTGCCATATAATTAGGTGTACCAATTTGATTTTCACGATAAATGTTCATTGTATGTTCTGGAACAGCATTTGCGATACCGAAATCAATAATTTTTAGCATACCTTTAACAAACAAAAAATTAGCTGGTTTCAAATCTGAATGAACAATACCAGCATCATGGACAGCCTTCACACATTTAAGGATCTCATTAGCATGAAATCTCACAAACTCAATATCTAATGGAACGTCTAGTCTTTTTGCCAATACATGGGAGAGATCTATATCACCACATTCCATGATAAGTAATAAAGAACCTTGCCCTAGACAATGATCAATAAGTCTTACAACTCTTTCTTGATCTCTCAATTTACTTAGCAAATCTATTTCACCTTTGAAACCTTTTATGCTTGCTTCATCAAATTCATCAAACGATATCTTTTTGATTGCATAAACTTTATTACTCATGGATTTAACCTTGAAAACTTTTGAAGAACCACCTTTACCCAAAAGCTCTAATTTTTCATATTGCTTTCCATTGATTGAAATTATCCTTGAATTGGACTTTGTGGATAAATCAGGAGCTTTGAGTGGTTCAATTTGTTGTATATGATGTTCCTGATAAGATTTGGGTATCCTTTCAATTGCTGACTTCAAACTTGTTTGGGACAATCTATTCTGCTGTTGACTTTGGTTAGATTCAGACAGAGGAACCAATGGTCTTCTTTGCACTTTGAATGGCCTTTCAATGGAGTTTAAGATGTTATTTCCAATTGGATCTTGATTTTCTTTATCAGAATAAACACTAATTTTATCCTGAGGACCTTGATATTCATTTCTCTGACTTGAGGCTTTCTGTTCTTTGTCAACTTTAAATAATTTTTGTCTTGGATCTGGTTTGTATGGTGACCTTGGATCTTGATGATGCATGTCTTTTTCAATTTTAGTGTATAGGGCATCTTTCAAACGAGCTGGACTATTATTGTTTAATGACTCTCTTGTATCATTCTTCTGTTGCTCAAAATACATCTTGACAAGTTTGGGTAGGTCAGATGGGGGAAGATTATACTTTTTGGTGTATTGGTAAGGATTTAGCCCTTCAAAATCAAAACGTGTCTTTGGTGGACTTGTATGGTTCTTGAAATGTTGCGGAAGATTTGGATTAGAGCTGGTTATTGATTCTTTCATCAGCACATCATTCTCTTTCATTGTCTCTTCCTCATTTGCTATTGTGTTTGTAGGTTGTGATGATAAAGGTGGATCCTCAAGTTTAACACTGGCCCTTTTAGGAGGCCCTAAAGAACCCAACATTCTATTCCTCCTTATAGCACTTTTGGATCTTGCATTACTATTATCTGAGTTGAAGCTGCTGTTATGTGAAGATGCGAATTTGTTTGAAGGAGTCTTTTGAGTTTTTTCATTAGGGGATGAAGATGCAATTGAATTCAAATCTCCGTGAACATTTTTTGTAAAAATTGTCTCATATTCTGATTGGTTTGTATGTGCTGTATTGTTATTGTTGTTGATTGCAATGAAGTGTTCATTCTTTCTTTTGGTGTCATAATGAAAGTTAACCCTTTTGGGTAGATGACGATTTTGATGTTGTTGGGGACCTTGGTCTGCTGTTTGTTTGGGTATCTGAGACTCTTTATCCTTCTGTAGCAAAGCTAGGGCATAGTCACTCAATGCAGGAGGTTGATTATCATCATCATCCGAATCAGTCTGGTTAAGATAACTTGACATTTTGGAGTTCCTATTTGGTGTTTGATTAGACTGGGCCATGGTATTAATATCACCATGGTTCATATGAGATGCTAGCATTAATTCCAAATCCTGTTTATCTTTTATTTTCTTTCCTTTTGGTGCTATAGCTTCATGAGTTTACACACCTTTGGTGGCTGATGAAATGTTATCCTTTGAAAGAATTAGCTAATGTTCCTTAATGTATTTGAATATTTGAATGGAACGATGTTATATGGGATGGAGTTTGTTAATGAATGACTTTTGAATAATGCATGTAAGTGGACCAATTTTGAGGTTGTACAAGATCTATTTCACCGACACTGCTTTTTGACACAAACTGAATGTTCTTCAGCCAAATTATGCTTGCACTTTTGTTTCTGTATGGATCTTGTATTTTCATTTCTGGTTTTTGTTTTTCAATTTTGTGTTTACCGCAACGACTAAAACGGAAATTTCAAAGCACAAAATTTCGTAACCATAGTAACGTGGTACATTTCAACATCTGAATTTCAACACCAAAAGTGATTCAAAACAGCTATAAAATTCAGAGAGTGTATAAAACTCATAATAACATAGAAAAAAAGAGATTTGGAGGCAAAAAAATTCGCCCGAAGCAAAAAAAGAACTTTGCTCCACGGCAGGTTCGAACTGTCGACCTTCAGATTATGAGACTGACGCTCTACCGACTGAGCTAGTGAAGCCAAAGATTTAAGTTGTAAGAATACGAGTTTAAGTAACTAGTATTCTTATCGATTACGTAAGCGAACTTTAGGTAGTGAGCCTAAAGTGAGTAGAATGCCATAGAATTCTATAGAATCTCATAGAAGCTTATAGAAGCTCTATAGAATCTTATAGAACATCATGGAATCTTATAGAATTCCATAGAAGCTCATGGAAGCTCATAGAAGGTCGTCGTTAGAAAACTATATAAGGGACTCTAAGTTCCTTCTTTCGAATCTATATAATTTTCTAGTAAATATCAGTATTTGTATCGATTTTACTGTAGATAGTGGTCTATTAGTAGAACAGATTCGAACACACGTATTGGTAAGCTATAGTATAGTATAGGCTTAGTCAGCAGCCCAAGTTTAGCTTTAGAGCACCTGTACCTTTACATTTGGTAGCGCTGCCAGGTTATATCCACATATCAACTGGCACTAGAGTAAGAAGTAAGTACTAGTAAGGTTTATTCATTATTGTACACCATGAACGCTGAAGTTGTTGAAGAACTTATTGGTCGTATGAACCAACAGTACGCCCATTCCATGGAACAAAATACTGCGATGTTGACAGAGTTTGTCAATAACCTTACTACTCGAATGAATACTGGTGCAACCACCAATACCTCTGTGAATAATACTGGTCACCGTGGTCTCGTAGGTAAAGTCAAGAACTTTGATGGTAGCTCTGACCCAAAGGTTATTAATGGGTTCCTAGCTTCGTTGCAACTCAAATTCGCGATTCAAGGTATTACTGATGATCGAGCCAAGGTTATGATATTCGGTTCCTTCTTGAATGATGGAGCTCAGATGTGGTTTGGTAGTGTTGTTGATGGAGATTATGCCAACTTAAGTTATGAGAAGCTCGTCGACTTGTTCAAGAAAAGATATTTGCCTGTTCGTTATGCAAAGGATGCAAAAACGAAACTTAAATCTTTGAGACAGACTAAAGCCGTACACGTCTACATTCAAAAGTTTATCGAACTCGCTTCGCTTGTTGAACCTCCTTATAATAGTCAAGTGTTTTTATTAGATCAATTTATTGAAGGATTAAAACCTGGGGTTAAGGTTCATGTTGAAAATCAAGATCCAGAATCACTGGAAGAAGCGTTTGAATTGGCACAGAAAACAGATGCAACAGTTTGGAAGAATCAAGGCTTTGTGGAACAAATCTCTTCGATCAAAAGAGAAAGACATGATCCAGATGCCATGGAGTTGGATGAATTAGCTACAGGCCAAGAGACAAGAAAGTGTTTCTCTTGTGGTAAGATAGGCCACCTGATTAAAGATTGTCCTGTTGCTAAAGGTAAGGAATCAAAAAACTATTAGACTTAGAGGAAGTCCTTTCTAAGTCTTTGGAAGGTAGTGATGAAGAACATCAACAGGTTCCTCTACAAGAGTTGGCGCGGTTGGACCTTGACCCAATCGTGAAAAGTATTAATGAAAGTGAATTATATTCCATATCTGCTGTCGAACATCAAGCTGAGGATGAAGAAGCGGAGATGCTTATGGAATTAGACATAGAAACAGACAGAGCATGGTTAGGCGATACCATGGCCGGTAATGATAGTGCGTTGTTACTTGAGGTAAGTAATGATAGTGTGTCATCGCTCGTGGAAGTACATATGGACGCAGGTTCCATTCGGGAATATCATGAGGATACTTTAGGTTACGATAGTGTAGAGTCACTTGAGGAAGATAATATGGACGAAGGTTCCATTCAGGAAGATCGAGGTGTCGATGCTTTCTTCAATACACAAGAGGTGTATGAAACTAGTAATAAGCCTATGGATGAAGGGTCCATAGTTCGTGATGACGCAAGTCCTTTGGAGAAGGATGCGCCTCGACAAAATGATAAAGATCAAGAAGATGTTATCAATGATGATACAAAACCAGAACAGTTAATTGGCGTTGAAGATATGTCATTAAGGGTTCAAGAAGATGTACTTCGAGTAAATAGCGTCATGGACCCCTTAGAGAATACATTGTTCACATATTGTTGTAACGAGAATCAAGAATCTGCCAGTATGGCACGGGTAAATCAACATCCTCAAAAAATCGAAATTGAGATTTTCAAACATAAACAAACAGAGACTGAACCTATTGATGAACAAAATTTCGAAGCCAGTAACTCTGAACATTCAAAGATATGTGTTGTGAAGTTAGAGAGGGGAGGGTATAGAGTAATTATAGAGGTTGGTGATCAATTAGAGAAAGATAGTGATGGAGAAAGTGGGATCGGCCTCACAAAAACTTTTATTAGTAAATCATTGGTGAACAGAACAATCGGAGACTATGATAAGTCAGTTAAAAAAGTAGCTAGAGAGAGTATCAGAGAATGCACTGATGCTTGTAAGAGCAAAATTGTTAGTCTATTCACTAAAAGAAAAGCAGAATCTTGTCAACGTGAGTTGAAGAAGAAGAATAAATTGGTGAGTAAAGTTAGACATAGAGACTCAACTGAATGCATTTTGGATAAAACTCCTGGAGCAAACAAGGTTAGGAAGTTAGTTAGGACCATTTAGTGGATGTGCGGTATAGAAAGTTGCCATAGGATAACAATTTCGTTGTTGCACATGTTTTGTCGTTCCTTTTATTGTTGATCGTTTAAAAAAGCAGACTATGACAGTCAGTTTGAGTTATTGCTTTAGATATATATATTGATGGGTACCTTAAGATTTTAGAATCATTTCTAAAAGAAGATGGGAGCAAAGAAAGGTGGTGGAGAGTGTAAGAATACGAGTTTAAGTAACTAGTATTCTTATCGATTACGTAAGCGAACTTTAGGTAGTGAGCCTAAAGTGAGTAGAATGCCATAGAATTCTATAGAATCTCATAGAAGCTTATAGAAGCTCTATAGAATCTTATAGAACATCATGGAATCTTATAGAATTCCATAGAAGCTCATGGAAGCTCATAGAAGGTCGTCGTTAGAAAACTATATAAGGGACTCTAAGTTCCTTCTTTCGAATCTATATAATTTTCTAGTAAATATCAGTATTTGTATCGATTTTACTGTAGATAGTGGTCTATTAGTAGAACAGATTCGAACACACGTATTGGTAAGCTATAGTATAGTATAGGCTTAGTCAGCAGCCCAAGTTTAGCTTTAGAGCACCTGTACCTTTACATAAGTTAAAAAACAGTTGAACTACCGTTATCAGCTGACTGCGTGGCCAAACCATTTATTTAAAATATAAATACTGCAAAAACTTGAAAGGAAGTATAGGTTGATTTTATGTTCAGTTGACTTAGAATTACTGTAGCTATGTTATGTATAATTTTGAAGAGGTTTGGCCCACAATTGGGAGTTTTTCGAAAATTTAGAATTTTTATGTCCAATTTTGAAATAAAAATTAAAGATTGTTGGTTACTAAACTTTTCTGAAATCATAAATTGAAATTAATATTAAAAAATTATCTACTTTTTGAATTGTCAGGATCACCTTGCTACTGAATTGATTCTACTTTTTCAAGAAAACAGTATTGTTAATTAATTAATTGTTGTTTATTCGACGTTAATGAAACTTTATGTCACGTGACTGATTCCAAACTATAGTGTAAATCAAGTTCATGTATTAATCTTAATTCTGGGGTTTTCAAAAATTAAAATTTAAATTAAACCCCCAGTGCGTGAGTAGTTTATAAAGTTTTAACCATTTTTTTGTTGATTAGCATTGATTTCTCAGCTGGTTGTCTCTATTTTTCTATAAGTCCAATCAATGATGAAAACCATTCATGGGCGCATGATAGACGTTTTACTTCTTTTCGTAATACATAGAGGCGGTGAATCATATTTCATTATGACTTCAAGTTCTTTGACCACTTATTACAAGTGTTGTAGTGTTGTAGAGACAAGGTACCACCAATTGCCTTTGCTTATCATCAGATTATACATATGTACATATGATTTCAGAGCTCTACACAACGAGCACTAACAGTAACAGTTAAACTTGATATTGCAAAGGATAAACAATAATTAAATTCAAATTTCTTATTCGCCTCGATCGACTTTGGCGTTAAATCCCTAAAAACTCCCTTATAGCGATATTAAATGTCAGAAAATGTTAGTGCTCGAATAAATACCTTCAATAAGTTGTGGAAAATTGACGACATCAGTAGTTCAGCTTTGTGATTTTATGAAATCCAGCTTTCTCAAATACTTGGCTCATTTAAATCAGAAGAAATGAAATTGTTCAGTTGACAGGTCTAGTTTAAGGTCTAGTCTTTGCCAACCAACAAAGATTCTTCAAATTCTCACATAGAAATGGAAGAAATGAATAAACCATGTCCATTATCAATACAACAAATTGTTTGGAGCCACCGTATTCAATAATGTTGGAGGTTGAAATCATGTGTACAAGATCACAAACGGCTAAATAATCAATGTGGACAAAAAGTAAGGCTATCAACCACCACCAGATTGGTTGAATGAAGATTGTACTAGCCTTTAAATCAAGATCCAAGGTACTGATGAATGTGTATACTGTTGTTTTTCCTCAAACAAATCATAATATTTCATTGAATTTGTTCAATACTCAGGACACAAGCACTCCATATGTCACCGAATGTTCGTTACATAAATAGAACACGAAGGGCTCCAAAAGATTCAGCCTTTCTTAAACATTGATGCCTTCAAAGACATTGAGCATTGATTTAGAGCTGAATAAAGGACATCTGTTAACAGAGCAGTAATAAAAAACCACCAGCCAGTACCAGTAATAGTCTCTTTGACTGATTCCGCAACTGGGTTGACTTTATCTATTAATTGTTTACAAATTTCTCTTCGAGTTGTATGAAAAAATGCGCCAAAAGTCAGTTTTCGCCAATCTATAGCATTTCCGGATTTAGCAAGCAGTAGTGCCAAACGGGAGACCAAAAGAGAGAAGATTAAGATCCTGACAGGTATTGATTGACTGATATGAGAAGCTAAAGTTTGTTTCTCATTTCTGATGTACAGATGAGATTGCTCAAGTCTCTCAAATGTAGTTGTAGAATCTGAAAAGTTGCCAATTAGGGACTTTTCGCTTTATGGTTTCAGATGAAATTGAGCCCTAAAAACGTAGATGAAATGATGAAACGTTTGGTCAATTGTCATCAGCTCAATTTGACCACTACTACTCTAGGTGCACACGTACTCAATTTACACAGTCACTGGTATTTTCAGTGGCAGTAGCCAGGCTAATAATAATACACAATTCTCTATTTATAACTTTCCCGGTTCGTTCTTTGGCGTATTCCCAAGAGTTTTCCAATCACTTTGCGACATTCCACTTGTAAGGTTCAGACGTCTAAATACGAAGTGAGCCCATAGCAACGACCGTGAGCAAACACCTTAATTTTAATTGGAATACCCAACCACTCAGTCGTAATACCCTCAAGCATATATACATTCAAATCAGTTCAAGAAACCATCTCTTCGCTAAAAACAATTCAACCACTTGTTCTTTGCGCAATTCCAACTGATTTTCCTTTTTTTGCACGAAAAAACGAAAAAACGAAAAACGCGAAAAATCAAAAAATTCTCGGTAAAGTGAAACAATAACAAAAAAAAACTAGTTTCAAAAAAAAAGCACTTGGATGCCACAGAAGTAACCAGAATCCATATATCAATCCAGTTCTTTCAGAAATAGCAGGTGGTTTTAGATATCAACTGTCCTTCTCCATACAAGTCACCAGAAGGAGCACAAGGTCCATACTAGCCCAAAAAGAGGTCCATTCGTTACATTTTGTCTGCCAATTCCACTTCATCCATCTCCATCACCATCATCAACGCCGAGTGTTGGAAATTTATTATTATACCCGCTTCCACAATTAATTTGGTTGTCAGTTCAAGATTGCGCCCTTTCTCTCTTGTTTAATAGAAAGGAAGAAGTTGCTTTCCATCAAGGTCCTTTATATTCAAACGTTGCGTGGTTATTATTTATAGAGTGTAATCTATTATACTCACCACAACCTTTATCCCAAATAACACGCTCATCAACATATCATAATAATGTCTCTTGCATCATCTCATCCTTATAGACAGCAAATTCATCAAAATACTCCAGTGTCAGCAAATGATGGTTCATCTACAGCAGGTTTATTAAAAGAAACTTCAGTGCTACTTGCAAATAGAGTCAAAAATCAACACAATGGTGACACTCCAATATCATCTGATAGTTCTGGGAATACTTTTCACAGTGCTCAAACAACTTCAACAAAAGCTACAAATTCAACCATCCATAATGAAGAGTTTCAAGATGTTCAACCACCATACCCAAGTAATCAATATTACCAACGCCAACATAAGGTTCCTTACATTCCACCACCACCATCAATGCAATCACATATGACTCCAAGATCTTCTAATGAATCAAATGGTGTCAACCCACAACAACAAATAATACTCAACAGAGATAATAACAATAGTTCAAGCACAACTTCTTTACCAAAGGCACCTGATACTCCTGTTGGAGCTCGTTCATTCTCAATGCCTAATGCTCCAAACTTGGAATTTCAAACCAAATCAGAAGAAAATTTGAGTTCAAGATCACAAAGTCCACCTTCTCAAGGCCATTCAAGTACTTCATCTAAAAGACACAATAGGATGTCCAAATCTGTTGATCTTTCTCATCTTTATCTTTTGGATAGAAATGAATCAACTCATTTCACTTTAACCAATGAAAGTTTATCAGATGTTTCTCATAATTTGATTAAGCAATACCTTGGTGAAAACTCCTCTTCTTCTTTATTACCAAGAATGAAAACTATTGAGATGTACAGAAAAAATGTCAAGAAATCAAATGATCCAAAAGTTTTATTCCAATATGCTCAATATATGTTGCAAACAGCCTTGACTATTGATTCAATTGATAATGATACAAACCAAGAAGAAGCTCAACTGAAGAAACAATTTTTAAAAGAAGCTGTTCATTATTTGAAAAAATTGTCTGATAAAGGCTATACAGATGCTCAGTACTTGTTGGGTGATGCTTATAGCTCAGGTGCTTTAGGGAAAGTTGAAAATAGAGAAGCTTTCAACTTGTTTCAAATTGCTGCAAAGCATGGCCATGTTGAATCTGCTTATAGAACTTCTTATTGTTATGAAGAAGGTTTAGGTGTATCAAGAGATTCAAGAAGAGCCATCGAGTTTTTAAAATTTGCTGCTTCTAAAAATCATCCTGCATCAATGTATAAATTGGGTGTTTATTCATTTTATTCAAGAATGGGATTACCTGACAATGTTAACGTTAAAAAGAACGGTATTCAATGGTTAACAAGAGCTGTTACAAAAGCTAATGAGTTGACAAATGGTGCTCCTTATGAATTGGGGAAAATTCATGAAAATGGGTTCCTAGATATTGTTATTCCAGATCGCAAATATGCAATGGAATTATATATTCAAGCTGCTTCTTTAGGCCATGTTAAATCTGCAGCAATATTAGGTAAAGCTTATGAAATTGGTGATGATATCATACCTCAAGACTCTGATTTATCAATTCATTATTACACTCAAGCTGCTTTAGGTGGTGATTCTGAATCAATGCTTTCACTATGTGCTTGGTATTTAGTTGGTAATCCACCAAACCTCGAAAAAGATGAAAGAGAAGCATTCCAATGGGCTTTGAGAGCTGCAAATTCAAATTTACCAAAAGCTCAATTTGCAATGGGTAATTTTTATGAAAAAGGATTAGGATGTGATAAAGATATAGAAATGGCTAAAAATTGGTATAAAAGAGCTGCTGAAAATAATGATGAAAGAGCAAAAGCAAAATTGTCCAAGATTGCACCAAATTTGAATTATGATCAAAATAATAGTAAAAAGAAATTTATGAAGAAAAAATCTTCCTCTGCTTCTATTGATAAATTGGCTGCTCAAGATTCAAAAGAGGATAAGAATTGTATCATAATGTAATTATGGGATGGATAGGGTTATAGAAAGTTAATTGGAACAAGCATAATATTAATTGGTGTGATTAAAGCATTAATACATTTTTTTCTTATTTGAGTACATATAAATCAAACGTAACACAACTTTATTATTCTTGTAGCCGTTTATACAATTGCCTACAGTGAGCAGAAACGTGTCATGTTTTATTTTCTCTCTTATACAGATCTTTGAGATAGTGATGAATTAGGTCTTGATTTTGATTTCCCTGAATTGTTCACAGCTTGTTTTAATTTTTCACTTGAGTTTGTTCGTATTATATTTAAATCCCTTTTAGAAGTGGCCAATGGTTGTTTGAAAGGTCTATCTGGTACTGGCATTAATGGTGAAGCACTTTGATCTTTGTTATAACTTGATTCAACTAATAAATGCTCAGATTCATCAACATCATTCTTATCAGATACTTGTCCAAAAATCTCATCGTGGTGTAATGATTCAATTTCTCGACGGGTTTTACTTTTTGGCAATTCTTCATGAGTTTCTAGTTTTTGTCTTTTTGGTGGATTTTCATCATCTTTAGCATATGATAAGGAGGTAACATAATCATTTAAGGCATTGATTGATTGAATTGAAGAATTTTTGAAATCTGAAAGAAAGTTTGATTGTTTTTGTAAAAAATCATCAACAAGTTGTGGTTTGCTCTCTTGTAGTTCATCGCCAAATTCTTTAAAGCTTTGAGAAATATCATCAAATGATTTAGCAACTGTAGATTTAACTTTATCCAATTTTTGTTTTGTGTATGTAGAATTTTCATCATTCAAATGCTGGAGTGATTCAGCAAATGTTGTCAATTTCACTAAACCTTGGTCCAAATTAGAGATTGAGTTGTCAAATTTTTGTGATTGTAATTCTTGTGTTTTAGCAATATTGGATGAGATATTGGAAATAGCTTGACCATTTATTGTTGATTTCAAATCGTTAGTCTTTGAAAAAAATTCAGAGCCTTGCTCATTTAGCTGTTGTTGGAATTGAGTTTGAGTATTGACCCAAGTTTCACTAATGAATTTTTCAAATTTGTGAGTGAAGTCATTCTGCTTCATAGCAATATTTTCAAGCTCTGGTTTCAATGAATCAACTTCAGTATCTATTCTTTCATTTCTGTTATTATCATAGTTATCAATCAATGATGTTATTTGCTCTAAAAGTTGTTGCTTCTCAAATTTAGATTTTTGTTTTTCGGCCTCTCTGAAACTTTCAAACTTCATAGCTTGATGTTTTATCAAGTCTATATATTTGAATTGATGCTCAACCAATTTTGTTTTCAATTCAATTATTTCATTGGTTTGTGTTTGGAGTTGTGTTTTAACTGTTTCCAATGTTGACTGAACTTGTTGGTTTAATAGGTCAAAGTTTTCATCAATTGTCTTTTCCAAGTCACCAAGAGCAGTCTCCATGGTGTGTGAAGCAATAACACCATCATTCTTCAATTCATTTAGTTCATCTATTATCTGTGATTTTAGTTGACTCTTTACATTTTCAATATTTCCTATTTGAGTTTTGGTAACCTCACTCTTTGACAATAATTTCTCCATAACCTTATCAACAGCAGATACAAAATAATTTGAAATCTGACTAACACCTTCACACTTGTTGCCAATTTTAGATTTTTGAGAATTCACCATATTTGTGAAGTTTTCATTGAGAACATTAGATAAATGTGAACTGTTTTGTTGAAATTGTTGAATTCCCAAGCTCATGTCATTTGTGCGTGTCACTATCTCCTTCTTTGAAAGATCCAAAATGGTTATATTTTCAGCTTCTAAAGTGGCCTTTTTATTGATAATATCATGTAGAGCATCTTTTGACTTTACCACGTCATCCAAAAGTTTATTTAATGAAGTACCAATATTCAATAATTGAATTTCTGTATTCTTATACTCCTCACTAACAAATTCCTCCAGACGTAACTGTTGCTGAGTCTTGTTCAAATTTGCACAAGTTTCATTGAGTTTCCCATTAAGCTGTTCATTTTGTTGTTTGGAATCGACCAATTCATGCTCAACTTTATTCAATTGTGCTAGTTGAGTCTCAAAATTGGTTTTAAATTTTTTGATCTGCTCTTCAAGCACCTCCATTCTTAATTTTTGTTCATCAACTTGTATTCTGCGACTTTCACTTTCAGCAGTAACCTGTTGCCAATTTTCTTCTGTGACATAAATACCATTTTTAGATCTTGTAGCGTTAAGATCATTTCTTAGTCTTTCAATCTCTTGAACATATTCCTTAATAAGCATTTTTTTGGACATACTTGAGTTAACTTGAGGTTTGTTTTTGATACTTTTAGCTCTGTTAGCGTATTCCAATGTACTTAAAGTTTCTTCTAATGAAACTTTAGCTGGTGATATAGTTGCAATAATACAGGTTTTGGTCTGGCCTCCCAATGAATCTTGTAAAAGTCTAGTAAGTTTTGACTCTCTGTAGGGAATATGAGGTGATTGATCCACCAAAGCGTTGATGACTCTTCCAAGGGTTAAAAGACTTTGATTGATCATTCCTGCTTCTCTTGCTCTTTTGTTTTCAGCTCCTGATCTATTGATATTTTCGGAACCTGCTAAATCCACCAAGTTCAATTTACCAATTTTCAAATATTCTTCACCAGATATAGGATCAATTTCTTTCATATGTACAGTGATTGTGAAAACTGTGTGAGATCTTGAGGACAAGTCATTACATTGTGTAGCCGCCACTTGACGTTTATAAGAACCATCAGATAAAACTTTCATACCTTCTGTTGCACTTTTAATGAAAATTTCTTCCATGCCTTGGACAACAATTGATTTTTTACTTGGCTCTTCAAATATTCTAACTTTACGTTCACCTGTTTCATTTTGAACTAATAAATCTCTTAATTCTTCATTATAAAGCTCAATGAATGATATCTTAACAGAGAAATCAGGACTTTTTTCCAACTGTTTAAATAATGCAACTAATGTTCTTGGTATGATACCAGCATTTTCCGACAATTGATTCCCACTCATCTCGATATCACCACTCATTGTATAAGTTTTACCAGTACCTGTTTGACCATATGCAAAAACTGTACAGTTGTACCCTTGTAGCATTTCGTCTAGCACACTATTTGCTATACCATCATAAACCATTTCTTGATCACTTTCTGCCCCAAAGACTCTGTCAAATGTATAAGTTTTATTGCTCACTGACATTGGACCAGTTTGTAAACATACTTCTTTTCCCATATGACCCATTGTTGAGACAACCACACCACTGTTTTCCTTTATTTCTCTATCATTTCTAGATCTGCATCTAACATAAACTGAAATATGTGATTCTTCTGTATTAGCATCACTTTGCCTTTTGTTGGTTGATTGTTGTTTTGGTTTTTGGAACGATGACGAAGGATTAGCTATGGATGATCTTGTTTTCTTTGGCACTTCAGATGTCCTTGAGCGTTGAGATGATGGAGCATAAGAGGACCTCACAGGTCTTGATGGATTCTTATCTGCTGCTGACATCTCTAGTCTATTCTTTGGCTTCTATCCTTGGTTGATGTTTATGTTTGTTTGTTTACGTTTTTGTTTGTTTACAATCGATTTGAAAAGCGCGATTTTTTCGAAACCTGGGAAGGGGCCACAAGCACCAGCCACAGCAAATCCAATGAGGCACGTGATCTTGCGATTTGTGGCTAGTGTGGCCAATTATCCATATGTAAAACACAGCAAATTGCAGCCAAACATATTCAAATCCCTTTTTTTATTTCAGTATTGTTGTACTTCAAAGACTCAATTAGTCAAAAATGTTTACTCGTTCATTGCTAAGATCAACTGCTTCAGCTGCTAGATCAGCTCGTGTTGCTCCAAGAATCTCATCACCAATTTTCGTTAGAGGTGTTAGAACTTTTAAGCAAGAAGATCAACCAAGATTGAGAATTGGTTCTACTGCTCCAAATTTCAAGACCCAAACTACTGATGGTCCAATTGAATTCCATGACTGGATTGGTGATTCATGGGTTGTGTTATTCTCACATCCAGCTGATTTCACACCAGTGTGTACCACTGAATTAGGTGCTTTTGCTGCTTTACAAGATGAATTCACTAAAAGAAACACCAAATTGATTGGTTTATCAGCAGAAGGTCTTGAAAGTCACAGCAAATGGGTTAAGGATATTGAAGAAATCTCTAAATTGAAAAAATTCACTTTCCCAATCATTGCTGATGTCGATAGAGAAGTTTCATTCTTGTATGATATGGTTGATGAAGAAGGTTTCAAAAACTTGAATGGAGGTGTCGTTCAAACAATCAGATCAGTTTACGTTATCGATCCAAAAAAGAAGATCAGAATCACCTTCACCTATCCACCATCAACTGGTCGTAACTCTGCTGAAGTTTTGAGAGTTCTTGATGCTTTGCAATTGACTGATAAAAAAGGTGTTGTCACTCCAATTGACTGGGAACAAGGTAAAGATGTTATCATCCCACCAACTGTCAGTGATGAAGCTGCCAAAGAGAAGTTTGGTGATTTCACTAAAGTTAAGCCATACTTACGTTACACCAAAGTTTGAGTTGGCTATCTAAATAGTACGGACTGGATCTATAAAGCTATAAACCCATTACATTAATATTCCACATTGAAACTCGTAGTCATTTCATCGTTTATCGAAGAGTTTTGTACTGTTTGCTTGAACTCAATTTAAAATTGTATTCCATTTAAAAGCATTTGGCTGTTTTGTTGTTGTCTGAACGAAAAAAAATTACCAGGGAGGGAAAATTTGTTTTTGGAAGTAATAAGAGCCTTTTGGATACCTTCAACGCTATCCATCAATTATCGAATTCCCATCGATTAACTAATATTACATTGATTAGAAAACTGTGATCTGCTGCTTAGTCCAACAAGTTTCCAGGTCCTTTTAATGAGATTTTTTGGTGTGTGCCTTCTTCAGCGCGGCCGCTTTAACCAGTTAATTTGAACCAGTAAGTGCTTTGGCAAATAGTGTTCAATAAGAGAATCATATAAAAGAAAGGACAAGTCACAAACTCAAGAGATTATTTCGTTAAGATGAGTGATCACTTCACAGATACAAACAAGTACGCAAGCTCGTTGAATTTAGCAAATAATGGTGATAATTCGAGAAGTAATAGTAATAGTGATATACAAGTCAACAATAATAATAACAACATGAATCCATCCCAAAATTACAATACAACCATTCCAGGTCCAAGAAATTATCCTCCTCTTCAACCAAATATTCAACAATCACCTTCACTACCTCAACTGGTACCTTTAAGACCACATCCTCCAAATCAATCATCAGTATCGCCTCAAGCTCAGAATGCTAGTCCTCCAACCTCTGGGCCAAAGAAAAGAGCTAGTACATCCACTGATACAAAGAGCAGGAAGAAACAAAATTTCAAAAGTGATGATGATAAGCTGAACACACTAGCTAATTTGGCGTCCAGTTCAAATCAACAACAACAACAAGCTACAAATAAGCAGCAACAACAACCTCAACATCAACCAGCGGGCCATCGTCCAGTGACATCATGTACTCACTGTCGTCAACATAAGATCAAATGTAATGCTTCAGAAAGATTCCCAGCTCCTTGTCAAAGATGTGAAAAAATGGGACTTACTTGTGAAATTGATCCACAATTTAGACCAAAGAAAGGAAGTCAAATACAGAGTTTGAGGAATGATGTTGATGAATTGAAACTTAAGATTGAATATTTGCAAAGGAATGAATCATTAATTGCACAGGCTTTAGCGAACCAACAGACTAATACTTTTATGAGAAATAATGAGCATGCACCTTCAATAAGCTCACCTCTCAACTCCTTGAGTGGTGATTCACCACCTGGGGCCACTTCTGTCAAAACTATTTTAAAAAGGGAACCACATTTATTAATGGATAGAAGAAATTCACAACCTGGATCAAGACAAAGTGCTTCACCAAATTCAATACCTCAACTATTAAATGATTCTGCTCCAACTAATAGTGACCATTCAAAAGATTTACCACCATTCCTAGAAATGTCTGTAAGAGCAAATACTCCAGTTCCTGAAGATCCAACAGCTTCACCTCATTCACAAAAATCTAATGCTTCAAATCACATTTCAGAGTTTGTCTTGGGAGATGTTTATTTACCATTAAGCAAAGCTAATGAACTACATAAAAGATTTATGAAAGATTATAACCCTTATTTCCCAATTATGTCTTCAAATAACGCTTCAGAACTATATTCACAATCTCAACTATTATTTTGGGTTATCTGCTTAACTGCATGCTTATCAGATCCTGAACCAACTCTATACAATCAACTCTCATCATTAATCAAACAATTGGCAATTGAAACATGTTGGATACGTACACCAAGATCGACACATATCTCACAAGCTTTGTTGATACTGTGTATGTGGCCATTACCCAATCAAAAAGTTTTAGATGATTGTTCATATAGATTTGTTGGGTTAGCTAAAAGTTTAGGTTATCAATTGGGTTTACACAGAGGTAAATTCATTAGTGAATTTTCAAGAACTCAGGTTGCCTTACCAAATGCTGAGAAGTGGAGAACAAGATCATGGTTAGGGATATTCTTTGCAGAACAATTTTGGGCTTCACAATTAGGTTTACCACCTTCTTTACAAACTGATTATTTGATTGAAAATGCTAGAGTTGATAAAAATTTACCAAAAAATTTCAGATCATTAATATCTTTATCGATTTTCCAAGCTAAATTAGTTAATGTTATGGGTTCAAGTGTGGTATCCCCTGATGGATTGATGGAGGCTAGAAATAGAGCTGGATCATTGGCTATTTTGGAGAGAGAATTGGAAAGATTAGTTTTTAAATTAGAGATTGATGATATTTGGGTTGAGGTTTACTATTTATATGTTAAATTGACAATTTGTTGTTTTGCATTTTTACCAGAGACACCAACTGAAGATCAAACCAAATATGTGACACAGGCTTATTTGGCAGCTACAAGAATTGTTACACTAGTTTCCAAGATCCTAGAGACAAAAAATTTAATTGAATTGCCAATTTACATTAGACAAAGTGTTTCATATTCTGCATTTATTTTATTCAAGCTTCATTTAACCCCATTATTATTGGACAAATATATTGATTCAGCAAGACAGTCTATTGTCACAGTTCATAGGCTGTTTAGAAATCAACTGTCTGCATGGAAAAATGTTGAGAATGATATTTCAAGAACTGCACAAGTTTTGGAAAAATTAAATTTTGTGTTATTTACCCACCCAGAATTATACACCAAAAATGATGGTATCATTACAAGAATGAGATCTCATTTAACAGGATCTTTGTTTTATGATTTAGTTTGGTGCATTCACGAGGCAAGAAGAAGAACATTAGAAGATCAAAAAAATGGTAAACCACCAGCTCAAAAACAAGATCAACAAGATGATAAGAAAAAACCAATCCCATTGCCGTTTTATAATCAAATCAACAAAGATGATTTCCAAACCATAACAACGACTACACCAGGTGGTACAACCATTACAACCTTGGTTCCAACTGAGAATGCAATGACAACAGCAACAGCAAATGCCACAGCTGCTGGGTTATCTAAACCTACAGAGATTAAAGGTATTCCAGTTTCAATGTTGGATTCTACAGGTAGTATACCTGCAACACTTTTTGGACATAGTAATTTGACATCATTGAATAATTCATCATCAAATTTGCAAGATTTAAGAAAAGCTGTTGGTAAAAACAATTCATCAAGCGTTAGTTTATCAAATGAACAAAATTCAAATAACGTTGTTGGTGCAGCTATCAGCACCACTACTAGTGCTAATAATAATAATAATAATGGTAATGGTAATGGCAATGGAGGTAAAAGTGGTACTGAAATTTTGGCAAGAGGTGAATCAAAGTCAATCACACCAAGTGCTCAATATCCCGTGAACAGTTATGATTTTAGTAATGTTGGTGTACCATCTCCAAGTAATCCAAATTTTGGAGCTGGATATGATATAAATAATAATGAAGGAGCATCAAAGGAAGATTTCAATAATTTCTTCCAACAACAAAGTGCTGGATGGATGGAAGGTAATGATGATTTCTTGGGTTGGTTCGATATGAACATGGCTCCAGAATTTTGATCAATGATCATGTTAAAGAAGTGCATTAATTTTAATCAGAAATGAATTTTTACGAAATGAAATTTTGAACATTGTAGAATAAAATTATATAATCACAAAAATACACAAGAAAAAGGAGTAAGAACCGAAATGAAAATAACCAGGTATGAAAGTCAAAAGAAGAATAAGAAAAAATGACCCATGAATATGTTCCTATTCATCATCATCTTTTGGATCACCAATACCGTCTTCATAAATTGCAAAAACAGTTTCTGATTCAGGTAGACATGGAGAATCGTAAATTTTACAAATTCTTTGCTCACCTTTACCTTTTTTCAAACTTAATCTTGTTGTTGAAGAGTGTGCAATAATATTACCTCCAATTGGTTTTTTAGGATCAGGATTAAACATCATACCACCATCAACTTGAGCGACAACTTGATTTGTTATAACAACTGCAATACCAAATTCATCAGCTAATCTTTGCAAAGTTCTCATATATTTAGCAACATGCATCTGTCTAGCTGATAATTCACCTCTACCAGCAAAATCTGTTCTATATAATGCCATAATTGAATCAACAATTAATAAAGAGAATCTTGATTCAGACATCATTGCAGCTGCTTGATTTAATAATTGTAATTGATGATCAGCGTTATAAGCTCTTGCATAAGCAACATTATCTAGGGCATCATCTTCATTCAAACCATATCTTCTTGCGATGGAAACTAATCTGACAGGTCTAAATGTACCTTCAGTATCGATGTAAAGACATTTACCTTCACCACCACCCATATCTATTGGTAATTGACAAGTAACAGCTAAAGTGTGACAAATTTGTGATTTACCTGTTCTAAATTCACCAAAAATTTCAGTAATTGAACCTGTTTCCACACCACCACCTAATAAAGTATCTAGTTGTTTAGAACCAGTTGTTAAACATATAAGTTCACTACGTCTGTGATGGAACTCTGAGGCAGTTGTGAACCCCATAGGCACTAGTTTAGCAGCTTAACCGCTGGAGTTAGTAAAATAAGATGAAGTTTGTTTTTGAAAGGAAAAACATACCTTCTGCTAGTAATTTATCTGATTTTGCTTCTGAGATACCTTTGACAGTTAAAAGTGCTCTTTTTGGACTAGAAAAGAATGGTTAGAACATAAATGTTGAGGAATGGAATTAAACAACGTACGTATAAGCAATAGCTTCAACTGTATTATAACCAGCTTCCATTAATTTTCTAATATCACCACTAGTTATACCATTTCCCTATTATCAGTTAGTACCAAAACCAGTTATATGCTTCCAGATTAATAATACCCACTTCTAATTTGGCGATTGGGATAGGACCATAGGATTCATCATCATCTTCCTCCATGGCATCTGGTTGTTGTTGATGTTGTTCCTCCACTTCCTCTTGAGATGTCATCTTTCTGTGTGTCTGTGCTGGTCTGACTGCTGTTTTGTACTCCAGATCTAATCTTTTGCCACTTGAAGTTAATTATCAACAGCTTTGATTTCATCAAAATTTTCTTTGTTTTGGTTTTTCGCCTCTACGCGTCCCAAAAAGGCGCGAAAACGCCAAAGTCACGTGGGATGCCTTTTTTTGCGTTTTTACCCTTTTTGAAAATTGGACGCAAAAAAGTTGACTCGAGTTGGACGTGTCATGGGAACATAAATTAACCACATGAAGAAGCAGATTGGTGACAAGTTTGTACAACTTCTTTTTATAGATTTTGAAGAGGAGGATTAAAAGTTAAGTAGGCCATTACTAGATATATATCATCCATTCCATTATATTTTCAATCCAACTGGATTGATTATTTGTGTAGTCTGTGTTTCTTTGGCATCAAGAACTACACCAAGAACGCCCAAACCCGTCAATTGACCTTCTTTTTGGCAAGATCGTCCTTCTTTCTGTTGTAAAACTCGACCACTTCAGGAAATTCAGAAGCAGTGATGAATGGTGATCGACGCTGGCTGCACAGGCAAGAACATCACCAATAAACTACAAGCAGCGACCGACAAATTTGACAACCCAAAAACGGATAAGCAATTGGCATGGGGATTATTGCAAGTCGAGTATGAAATTGTGTTCATTTTATTGATTCTTCTATTTACAATTATTTTTCATCTTCAGGTCTGTTTCGATATTGTTTCAAGCAAGCTTTTAAGTAGTCAAGGCTGAGGAATTAACTAAAGGTTGGCTTTATAACCGAGAGTGAGCTATCACAATTCGTACCATCCACTGGCAATCCAAGAACCCATTTATAACTACATTCAATACTCACCATCTTCCACTAACCAATACAAACAATCACCAACAATGAACACTCTCCAGCCAGTCCAAGAAGTAAGTATAAGTCCTTTTAAGTCTCCTTACATGAGCCTCCCAAAGTTTGAGATTTTTCAGAGCCAAATAAATTTTTTTTTGGTGTTTGAAAGCGTGTTTAAGGGCCTTTTCTCAAAGGTACACAACAAGAACAAACTTGTGGGAAACTTTTCGATCTGGATAAAAAACTGAATATTAACAAAGCTCATAGAATACCTACGTTTATGGGAATTCAGACAAAGTTGCAAGTTCAGACGACCTGAGATTATTCCTTCAAGATCAACTTGAAAAGTTTGATATGAGAACTGTCATTAATACACCTCCAACTTCACCTGTGCTGAAAGCTTCTCCAAATATAACAAATATCAATGAAATATTCAAAGATTCAAGCTCTGCTTCAACTGCATCGCTATTATCAAGACCTTTGAACTATGATGTTGCAAATGATGTTATTACTGAGGAAGCTGAAGAAGATGATCCATTATTAAACTTGTCTCCATCAGCTTTATCACAAGCTAGGTCAATAGCAAAAGAGATTTACAACCAACAATACACTAAAATATCTCCAGATCAATATGCTGCATTTTTAGGAACAGCTAAAGACCAATCAATTGCCGCTTGTATTGAGTTCATGTCATTTTTTGAACCTTGGTCAAATTCATTAATTGGATCTCTAAGATTATTATGTTCAAAATTATATTTGATTGGTGAATCAACACAAATTGATCAAATATTGGAATTATTCAGTAAAAGTTGGTACAATTGTAATAAGGATAACTTCATAGGCGATTATAAAGCTATACATATTGTATGTTTTTCATTATTTATTTTGAATTCAGATCTTCATAATGAACAAAATATGGAATCAAAATTCACAAAATCAGAATTTGTTACAAATACAATTGATGCCATTAAGGAAGATACAACAGTTTTGATACATGACCACACTACCCTTGAATCACAGTTGAAAATATACTATGACTCCATAGAAACTGAACAATTGGAAATTTTAAAAGTTAAAAAAAAAGTGAAAGAAGAGAATTTTCAAACTCATCATCAAACTCATCAAATTCAACTAAAAGAGTCAATTCAGTGTCAAATATCTCAGTACGATCCAGTAGACATTCCAAAAGATATTCGTCAATAGGATCGTCAATTTTCATTGATCGTGAAACTACTTTAACTGATTCAATGGATACAAACTATGAAGTTGATTATCAAAAGGACAAAACTGATGATCGTTTGGAGAAATTGGGACCACCTTGGTTAATTGAAGGTATATTGAAATGTGAATTTAATGGTAAAAATGAATTGAGAAAAAACAATAAAAAATCAAATTGGTTTACAAAATTAACTCAAAATAATAACAATATTATAAGCTCAGAATTAGATATTTATAACTTGAAAGATTGGAAACAGAATATCGTCATCATTTCAAAAGGTTTATTAAAACAATATTCATTTGGTTCATCATCTGACAGAAACAAATTCATGAAGACAAAATCTGATAAATATGTTAATACAGTGATGACATATAATTTATATTCCGCAGTGGCTTCATTAGTTGAGGATAATGTGATATCAAATGCTGATAATAGATCAAATGGTGTCGCATGGGTGTTAACAATACCCAATTTATTATCAAATCATGATCAAACTAATCAAGCTGATAAAAAAATTGTCTATTATGCATCAAGTTTAGATATTGCACAAAATTTCATTGAAACTTGTAATTTTTGGGCTGCAAGAATAACATCAATGCCCACAACAGAGGAAGATATAGTAACGAATGCAGAATACGGCTGGAGTGATGAGATTATTAAACAGGAGAAACCTTTACAAAATGTGAGAATTCAAAAATGGGAAAAAATAATATCAATTGAAAGTTCATTTATACCATCTGCTTATACATTAGCTGAACAATTTGAACAATTACAAAAATATGTTGACCATTTAGAGAAATTGATAGATGATCATAATGGGTTAAAACCAATATTAGAAACAATTTGGGGGAATAATGAAGTATTAAAAAATCAACATGATTTAGTCATTAGTAATTGGCATGAAAAATATGTCTATATTTATAAACAGCATCAAAAATTCAAAATATATTTGGATAGTTTAGCATTTGCTTTATCATTTAGAGCAACAAAAGTATAATTTATTGGTTTTCAAAAGGGGTTAAATATATAAATAAATGTAATGGTTGTGTAGCTTTATACGCGAGTGCGCGTACCGAATTCCGCGAATTATTCTTTCAAAGGCTAGTTTTGAAATCGATGAAGAAAACGAAGTTCTACACCAAATATCCAAAGCCATTCTTCAATTTTATCACAACATAGACCTTCAATTCCTTAAATAATGTCAGATCCAAGTTCTATTAATGGTATGTCAATTGCTACTTTTGGTTTTTTATCAGTTCGAGTTTGAGGTTGGAAATTGGAAAACTTCAAAAGATTACAACATGTCAATATTGCCACTTTCAACATTGTGGATCGATATGATCACCACCTCAAGAATGATAAAACCAAAATATATTAAATTGATAGTCATTTTACTAACGTTCATATTACAGGTGGTTCCGTTGTTGCAATGGTCGGTAAAGACTGTGTTGCCATCGCTTCAGATTTACGTCTAGGTAATCAATCCTTAGGTCTTTCAAATAAATTCGAAAAAGTTTACAATTATGGTCATGTTTATCTAGGGCTAACAGGTTTAGCCACTGATGCTATCACATTGTGAGTATATCAACACTTGAGATCTCTTGATGCAAGTACTAATCCATTTTCAACAGATCAGAAGTTTTCAGATACAAAACAAATCTTTATAAACTAAGAGAAGAAAGACAAATTGAACCAGAATCTTTTGCAAACCTAGTGTCATCAACATTATATGAAAAAAGATTTGGTCCTTATTTCATTGGACCAGTTGTTGCTGGTATTAACTCTATAACAGAAAAACCATTTATTTGTGGATTTGATTTAATTGGTTGTATTGATTTTGCAAAAGATTTTATAGTTAGTGGTACTGCTACAGAACAACTTTATGGTATGTGTGAATCCCTATATGAACCAAACTTGGAACCAGAAGATTTGTTTGAAACAATCAGTCAATCCTTATTAAATGCTGCTGATCGTGATGCTTTATCAGGTTGGGGTGCTGTTGTGTATATTATTACGAAGGATAAAGTTGTGAAAAGATATTTGAAATCACGTCAAGATTAGAGATCATTTATAATAAAGCCTTTTAACGTTCTAATTGTACAGTGTAGTACACCTACAAGATATGATTTTACCATTTTATATCCTTATTATTTGTAACAACCTTTTTAAACATTTCGTACCCAAATCATAACCTATTTACAGATGCTCACCTAACTTCTTAAGATTCACCTCTTTTAGCTTTTTCTCTTTGTAATAGTTTCTTTAAGAACTCTTCTTCACCATACGCTTCTTCATCCATTTTTTTCCAAGATTCACGGAACCCTTTTTGCTTTTCTCTACTTTTCAAGATTAGATGCTTTTGAGTTTCAAGTCTAGCTTCATGAAGACACTTTGATAGAGCTTCTTTTTGATTATTGCAAATCCCGAAACATCTCTTTAAATATTCTTGTTGATGACACTTTTCTAGTGCTTCGATGTAATCAACGCAGGCTGGTAAAAAAGTTAGAATTGAACTGCAGTGGATGGTTTATCTACTTACAGATAAATCTTGGGGCATGAACTTGTGGATGCATTTTGAGATTCTGTACCTTTTATCTAGTTCGTATAGAAAAGCTCAAGTATCAAATAGAATCAGAAGCTTTTCTAATTGGTAAAAAAAAGTAAATTCGAGCATAAGCGTGACTATCACGTGCCTTTGGTTTCCCGGAATTGATTTTTCAAGGACCTCTTTTTATTCAAGAAGGTGCATTTGAACATCAAAGAACTTGGGCTTTATTTGAAAAGCAGAAGGCTGTTAAGAGAAAGATGTCAGCGTTCAAGCAAGGTTTAGAGCTGCCGAAGGCAGTCATTGAAAGAAATGAAGAATATCGTCAAAGAAGAAGAAAACAAATGATTTTCTTTTTCGCTACTACAGCTGTCACACTTGTCTCTTCAAGATTGGCATATAGAGGTGTTCAAACTAGAAGATGTAAGTTGAATCAAAGGCATCAGGTTTTGCAAACTTTACTAACAACTCATAGATGTTCCTGGGTTATTCAATGCTAATCATGTCCCACCCCCATTTTCATTCCATAGAGATGCTATATCAGCCATTGCTTATTCATCAGTATTGGCTACTTCATCTTTTGCCATGGCTATTGCTGGTGTTTCTTGGACTTGGGATGTTTCAACTGTTAAAGAATTCACATACAAGTTGAAAACAAAGCTTGGTGGTGATGAGAAAGAAAAAGAATTGAGTGAAGCTAAGTTGGATGAAGAATCTCTATCTTTACAAGATGCGATCAACTCTTTTTTGAATGGTGAAGGTTTTGAAGAGGAAGAAGCAACAAAACTAGCTGACAGTAAATAATAAGCATACCCAGCAAATCTTGTATATATCATTTTAAAGTCATTTTGTAAATTATTAACGCTCATTGTAGCCCATTTCTCTGTCAATTGGGACCGGTAAGGTCTCTGAACGTGTCGAGCGTAGAGCGATCTCGAAAAACACAGAAGGTATTTCAAATTTCCACCAAGAATCAAACAACAAACACCAACTTTTCAAAAGCTCATCCTTCTCTTTGAACAAGATATTACAACAGACAATGACTGCTCCTTATAACAAGACAGTTGAGTTGGTCTTGAAGGAGCTAGAGGCTGATTCTGAGATCGGTCTTTCATCCCTAGTTGCTGAGGAAAGACTATCAAAATATGGTCCAAACTCTCTTCCAAAAGAATCTTCAACTCCACTGTGGAAGCTTATTCTTGGGCAATTTGAAGATCAACTAACATTGATCTTGTTAGCTTCAGCTGTTGTCTCTTTTGGTTTAGCTGTAAGCGACGGTGATTTATCATGGTCAAGTTTGATTGATCCTATTGTTATTTTATCAATTTTGGTCTTGAACGCTATTGTTGGTGTTCAACAAGAAAGTTCAGCGGAAGCTGCCATCTCTGCATTAAATGAATATTCATCTTCAGACGTTAAAGTGTTACGTAACGGTAAATTGGTTCATGTCAAGCAAGAGCTCTTGGTACCAGGTGATTTGATTGATTTGTCAGTTGGTGATATAGTTCCTGCTGATGCTAGAATCGTGAAAATTTTCTCTCAAACTCTTCGTGTTGATCAGTCAATCCTTACTGGTGAAAGTGAGTCTGTTATCAAAGATACAGAGCCAATTCCTATCGAAGATGCTGTCAAACAAGAACAAATCAATGTCGTGTTTTCTGGTACCACTATCGTTTCTGGTCATGCCAGAGCGGTTGTCATCTTGACTGGTGAGAAAACTGCCATTGGAGATATTTATACTGATATTTCTTCCCAAATTTCTCAACCAACTCCATTGAAGGAAAAATTGGATGATTTTGGTGACTTATTGGCTAGATTTATCACTGTTATTTGTATTGCTGTGTGGTTAATCAACATCAACAACTTCAATGATCCTGCTCATGGTGGTTATGTCAAAGGTGCTATTTATTATTTCAAAATTGCTGTTGCATTGGCTGTTGCTGCCATCCCAGAAGGTTTATCTGTTGTCATCACCACATGTTTGGCATTAGGTACTAAAAAAATGGCTAAACAAAATGCCATTGTTAGAAGTCTATCAAGTGTTGAAACATTAGGCTCAACTAATGTGATCTGTTCCGATAAAACTGGTACCTTAACTACAAATCAAATGGTTGTTCATAACTTTGTCTATTTCAAGAACCAAACTGATTTATCAACTCTCACAATTTCGGGCCACTCATTTGAACCAGAAGGCACTGTTAATGATGAAGATGGTAATTCGATTGAACTACCGGACTCAAGATACCCTATTTTGCATAAAGTTTCCCAAATCTGTTCTATCTGTAATGATGCAAATGTTGTTCAAATTGATCAAAATACCTACAAAAATGTCGGTGAACCAACTGAAGCTGCTTTGAAAATTTTGGTGGAAAAATTATCTGGATCTGCTCAACAAGACCTTGCAGTCACCTCAGTCACCCCAGTCTCAGATTTATACAACAAGGAATATCCACGTTTAGCTACATATGAATTCACTAGAGATCGTAAAAGTATGTCAGTTTTGGTTCAAAGTGGTGGTAACAAAAGTGAACTTTTAGTTAAAGGTGCTCCAGAGGATATCATTGCCAGATCTACCAATTATTTAAATCAAACAAATAATACTTTGAGAGTGGATAGATTGAGCCATGAATATCGTGCGGAACTATTGACGACTGTTGAACATTTTGCTGCTGAGGGTTACCGTATTATTGCATTGGCTTACAAAGAAGATGTTGATTTAGACCTAGCTCACAAAGCCACCACAAGTCAAGATTATGTTCATTTGGAACAAAACTTAACATTGGTTGGGTTTGCTGCTTTGATTGATCCACCTCGCCCAGAAGTTATTCAAGCTATCAAAGAGTGTAAAGATGCTGGTATTAGAGTTATTGTTATCACAGGTGATAGTCCAATCACTGCTGAGAACATCTCGAAACAAATTGGTATATTTAAGGACGATGAAGACACCAGTGACCTAATATTGACAGGAAGAGAATTTATTAGTCTTTCAGATGATGCTAGAGCTAAAGCAGCTGAAAAAGTCAAACTATTTGCCCGTGTTGAGCCAAGTCATAAATCATTATTGGTTGATTATTTGCAAAAATCTGGAAAAATTGTTGCTATGACTGGTGATGGTGTTAATGATGCACCAGCTTTGAAAAAAGCTGATATTGGGGTTTCTATGGGTTCTGGTACTGATGTTGCTAGATTAGCTTCTGATTTGGTCTTACAGGATGATAACTTTGCCACAATTGTGACTGCTGTTAAGGAAGGGAGATTGATTTACAACAATACTAGACAGTTTATCCGTTATTTAATCTCTTCGAATATTGGTGAAGTTGTCTCCATCTTTTTAACTGCTGCTCTTGGCTTACCAGAAGCCTTGATTCCAGTTCAATTACTATGGGTTAACTTGGTCACAGATGGGTTACCAGCTTCAGCTTTAGGTTTCAACCCACCAGATCTAAAAATTATGTCTAAACCCCCAAAATCGAAGGATGAACCTTTAGTTAGCGGCTGGTTGTTATTTAGATATATTGTTGTTGGGACTTATGTCGGTGTTGCTACAGTTTTCGGTTATGCTTGGTATTTCATACTTTATGAACAAGGTCCTCAAATCACTTTCAGCCAATTGTCTCACTTCCATCAATGCTCTGCAAACTTCCCTGAAATTGGATGTGAAATGTTCCACGACTCTCATGCTGTTCGCGGATCAACTATCTCATTAACTATTTTGGTGATTATTGAGATGTTCAATGCCATGAATAACCTATCGGAATCTGACAGTTTGTTGAGCTTCCCATTGTGGAAGAACATTTATTTGATTCTTGCCATCATCTTATCAATTGTCTTGCATTTTGCTATTCTTTATGTCCCATGGTTGGCTGTTCTTTTCAATGTTGAACCATTGAACAAAGATGAATGGTATGCAGTTGTTATCATTTCATTACCGGTTATTGTTCTTGATGAACTTTTCAAACTATATGAAAGATTATTTTTGATTCCAAAAGTTCGTCGCTCAGACTCTAAAAAAACTAATTAAAATAGAAACAATTTCGATTAATAAACAATCTTTATCTTGATCTCAAGCTTCTTTGTGCTTCGCGAATGCTCCTCTATTTTTCTTCCATCACGAAATTCGGCTGTATAAAAAACATCTTCGTTATGGGCGGGATCAACAAACAAGTTTAGCTGTGATCCAGATACCCATAGAAGCTCTCGCAGTACCTGGAAATGAGTTATGTCGATGACGACGACTCGTTTGGGAGCTTTTCCGATGGTGAAACCAACGATGTCGCTGAAAGTCCCACATTTGCAGTCACGGATCTATTGACTAGTCTTGGAGAGAAGAATCAAGATGCTGATTATTTGGTGACGAAAGGGAATGATCTAGTGATTTTGCTTCAGCAGTACCCATATATCAAGGAAGATTTGGTGTTTAGCGCGTTTGGCCATCGTATTCAAAATTTGTTGATCCACAGTAAGAAAGAGGTGGTCGCTACAGGTTATAGAATTTGCAGATATTTTGTATCAGATACTAATTCAATCAAGAATCTAATGGCACTAAGGATTGATGTTATGATTGTTGTTTCTTTTGCCAAGGGTTCTGGATACGATATTGAAAGAGAGCAGGCTCTCAAGTTGGTCAGAAGAATCATGGCCGTGAAAGACGGTGTAAATGAGTTGACGTTGGGTATTGCAAATGCTATTCAGGCAATAGCTGAGCAAATTGACGAAAAAATGAGAAATGTTTGCATTCAAACGATGTGTGAAATGTCGTTGCTAAGACCAGATCTAATACGACCTGACTCATTAGTACAGTTCATCATTGATGGTCCTTTTGAACAATCACACATATGCACAATCGTTTTATTAGCACATCTTGATTCAGCAGTAGGGAGAAGTTATATCAGAAGATCTGATATATTGAGATTAATATCTCCATTCACAGAATTTCCAGTAAAGGGGCATCTCAATAATGAAAAGTTGCAAGTCAGTGCACTTGTATTATCAAGACTCTTGAAAAATTTTGCTGGCCTTAATGCCTTTTCCATTAATAACTTTGAACCCTTGAAAGATCTCATAGCATGCTTATCATACCCAGTCAACAGTGTTGTTTCCAAATTACTAGACTTACTCTTGGACATTCTAATGATTAACCCACTGAACAAGAAGATCACGTCCCACAACAAAATGGTATTAGTTCCCATGAAGCCTGAAAATGAATTTATTCTCACAACTCAATACCTTTCTATGATGATTCTTATATTGATGGAATGTGGTGTCATTGAAATGTTACTGGATGTTATAAAAAAATCGGAAGATGAAAGTAACTGTACCAAGGCTGGCTTTTTATTAACCGAAATTTTCAATTTGACCAATAATTTGGTTCCTACTGAAATGCTGGAAAAGTTTGTCGATGCAATACCCCGATTGAATGAAGATTACGAGACAAGTCTTTCAGATAGTATCAATGCAATTTATGCAATTGAAAAGTTATCAAGAAAGTCAAATAAAGGAAGAGCAAATTGGGGACTTCAAAATGTGAAAACCAACGAAAACTTTATACAAATCTCCAAAAATTCCAAGAATAAGACTAATCTAAACATTGATGATACCAGAATGAAGCAAATGATGCAAGAGTCCCGTGTTTTAACAACTAAAAGTTTTTCAAAATGGAACTGCGATGTACTCACTGATTTGTTTAAGGGACCATTCATGAACGGAAAAAGGCTAGAAGAAGTTAATAGAACAACCAAGTTTTTGAAAAGATTGTTATCTTTTTATAGACCTTTCAAGCACAAATTTTCTGGTACCAAAAAGACTAGACAATCACAGAGATTTACAAGGCTAGGGTGCGTGATTGTTGAAACGCTATTAACTACAAATGAAGGACTTAGGATTTTGAGTGATGGGAAAATGTTGCCTCAGATAGCCGAGTGTCTTGCTCAAGTTGATCCATTTAGTGGATTTGTTGCTAAGGAACAAATTTTCAGCAAAGAGAGATTAGCCACTACACTCACTGATGGTTACTTCAAAATTTTAGGTATATTTTCAAGTAGTGAAGTTGGTAACAAACTTCTTGAGCAATGGAAAATATTTAGCATAATGCATCATATTAGCGATGATAGCTTCAAGAGAGATGATTTGATATTTCTGTTTATGGATGAAATAAAATTTGGGAGACAAGGTCATTCTAGGGTTTTATTATCAAAGTTTTTACACTCACAGAATAAAGCAATAAAGATACACGCTACTAATCTGATTCCAAAGCTACTTCACGAAAAAGAGTCCAATGCTTTTGCTTGTGAGATATTAGTTGACCAATTATATGATGCGGACTTTGAGGTTTGTTCTCTGGCTATTGATATCTTGAACAAATATTGTGAGGAATCTGAAGAAAATTTGATGCAAATTATTTCGCTATCACCAAGTATTCCAATTTTGAAATTAATGGGATCAAGTGGTAATTGTCTTTTAATGAAATTTTTGTCAGCTCCTACAGGGTTCACATATCTCAATAATTCCAATTTCATAAATGAGGAGTTAGAGTCATGGGTTTATGGGAATAAATACCTATCATATGTTCTTCAAATTGAAAGAATGTTGATGGCAGTTGAAGATGTTGAATTGGAAAGTATCAAAACAAGAAATTTACCATCAAACTTTTTTGGAGAATTGGTTCAAACAGAAGAAGGATTTAATGTTGTTTTGCGTTCTGGTGCTTTTACTGAATTTATGAATGTTATTCGTTTATATTCAACGAGTTTGCTGAAGCCTCTAAAGGAAATCGAGATTGATTTTCTAAAGACTAAAGCCTGTCTTTGGACTATTGGGTTTATCGGATCAAGCACTTATGGTATTGAATCGTTAGATGTTAATGGTTGTATTGAAGATGTTGTTCAAATTGCAAATAACAGTTCAAATATAGGTATGAGGGGCACTGCATTTTATGTTTTAGGCTTGATAGCTAGAACTGATCAAGGTATTGAGATTTTGGATGATCTTGGATGGAACTCTAAATTAAATCTTTATGATAAACCAATTGGGATTACAGTTCCTTATGATATAAATCAATTTTTTGAAGGAAATGAAAGTAAGCTTGAAATATCATTACCAGGAAGTAGAGTTCAAATTGAAAGCTTAGATAAAAATGATGAGGTTTTAGAGAAATTGATGGAATTAATTGGGAATCTATGTAACCATGTGTTTTTAAACAGTGCAACTAAAGAATTAACTTCATTATCCAAAAGATACCCTGAATATTTTGAGGATCCAGATATTTTTTTCCAGGTTTTAAAATACTTTGAAGTTTACAAGTACAGGTACACTATTAGAAAATTTATTATTGAATTGTTTATTGGGAATGGTAGGTTATTAGAAGTTGTTGCTAGAAGGGATAGAAGAAGAATTAGGGAACGTACTGCATGAAGGAAAAAGTTGAGATTTATAGATGACTTTGAAAATGAATGATTATACGATAATTAAGCTTGAAGGTATTAATTGTAGCACATAATTCCTCTACTACCAAGCCGAAACCTGATTAGAATTTAAAGTTGACTCTCCAGCGTTAAAAGATTCATGGATTTAGTGGTCCTTTCAAAGTTCAGCCGTTCTCCAGTCAAAAGCTCAAAGAACTCCTCAGCCGAAAAACACAGCGCTTTTGTCAACTTCAACCACAACGCGTCCAGTAAAAATGGTAATAGGCTAACAGTATAGGGGTTAATTTCATTGAATCAAGAATAATGTCACTCAAGGAACCTCAGATTCGAACTTCAGTCATAAATGAAACTGAAAAGATAAGTTCTCACTATCCAACTAAATGTCAATATTACTTCAAATATGAATCAGAACAACCATCAGGAAGCTTCAAACTGCGAGGAATTGGTCATTTCATTGGAAATCAAATAGACAAGAGCAGAAAAGAAGGTTTCCAAGATGTCCATGTGTTTTCATCATCTGGTGGTAATGCTGGGTTAGCTGCTGCATTCGCCTCCAAGTATTATAATGTTCCGTGTACTGTTGTTCTACCTAAACTATCCTATAAACCATCAGTTGCCGCTAAGCTAGAGTCTTATGGTGCAACAGTTCTTATCAAAGGTGAACATTGGGGTGAAGCTAATGCATTTCTTCAAACATATGCCACGGAAGATAAATCTAAAGGTCAATACCCAATTCTTTGTCACCCATTTGATCATCCTTTAATATGGGAGGGCCATTCTACTATGATCGATGAGATTGTACAAGAATTGGGGTCTGGAAAGTTAGCAAAACTGAAAGGTATCGTTTGTTCAGTTGGAGGAGGTGGATTATATTGTGGGATAGTTGAAGGATTGAAAAGAAACAATTTGAATAATGTAACAGTATTAGCCGTTGAAACTAAACCAGCACCAACATTTAGTAAAGCTATTGAAGCCAATAATGTTGTTACTTTGGAGAGTGTAAAGACTATTGCAACTTCTTTAGCGTCTCCACATATTGCATCAGAAGCATTGAAGAATTACAACTCACATCCAACAAAAGTTGAATTGATGGATGATTCATATGCTGTGCAGGGGACAATTGATTATTATGAAATCTTTAACAAAGTTACTGAACCAGCTTGTGGTATTACAATTGCAACTGCTTTATCTAGATCAATTTTATTAGAACAACATTTTGGTCAATTGGAGAGTGATGACATTGTGGTTTTCGTTGTTTGTGGTGGATCTGTCTATACAGAGGATGATGTGAAGGATTTAATAGTTAGGTATAGACATATAAGCTAGTCTTTTACAGAGAAAAGTGTAAATAAAAGGGTTCAAGTCTATACGTGTGACTCATCCCTTACATAATAATCCTCCATGATATCACGTGCCATGGTGTTTTCCGATTGGTCCGCACCACACGGTCCTGTTTTTTTCGTCTCTTCACATGCGCCAGCTAAAAGCCGCTAAACGATGCCAATTCGAATCAGAGTCGTTTAAATCGATGAACGTTTTCGAATTGACTCCGAGAAGATGAGATCTCAGCACTTTGCAAAAAGACTCTCCCAAACCCAGATCCTATAGCCTTTGAAATCGACCTTTACTAGCCTATCCATCTAATCCCTGATAAGCTCTTTTGACACCATCTTATCGCTCAGCACCCGTGCCTCCAGCAGTATTGTTCCCAGTGAGCCACTCTGAGGCCCAGGCCCGTTGTCGCTGCCCTGCTGCCTAGACCGGGTCTATGTCCTTTTTTTTTGTTGCACATGGAAAATTGAAATGATTTGTCGACGTCGATGATTCAACGTTAAGCTGTGAACGAAAAAAAACTTCAAGTATAAATACCATTGTGAAATCCACTTTTGGTGAAAAACGTTTTCATTTTGCTCATCAATTGAATTTGAAATCGAATTGAATTCAATCAAGAACACACATTTAATAATAACACAATGGTTCAATCATCAGTCTTAGGTTTCCCACGTATTGGTGCCCAAAGAGAATTGAAAAAAACAACTGAAGCTTACTGGTCAGGTAAAGTTTCCGTTGAAGAATTATTCAAAGTTGGTAAAGAAATCAGAGCCAACAACTGGAAATTACAGAAACAAGCTGGTGTTGATGTCATTGCTTCAAATGATTTCTCATACTATGATCAAGTTTTAGATTTATCATTATTGTTCAACGCCATCCCAGAACGTTACACCAAATATGAATTACAACCAATTGATGTTTTATTCGCCATGGGTCGTGGTTTACAAAGAAAAGCCACTGAAACTGAAAAAGCTGTTGATGTTACTGCTTTAGAAATGGTTAAATGGTTTGATTCTAACTACCATTACGTTAGACCAACTTTCTCCCATTCTACTGAATTCAAATTAAACGGTCAAAAACCAGTTGATGAATATTTAGAAGCTAAAGAATTAGGTGTTGAAACCAGACCAGTCTTATTAGGTCCAGTCTCATACTTATTCTTGGGTAAAGCTGATAAAGATTCTTTAGATTTAGAACCAATTTCATTATTGGAAAAAATCTTGCCAGTTTACTCTGAAATCTTGGCTAAATTAGCTACTGCAGGTGCTAAATCTGTTCAAATTGATGAACCAATCTTAGTTTTAGATTTACCAGAAAACGTTAAAGCTGCTTTCAAAACTGCTTATGAATTCTTTTCAAAACAAGAAGGTTTACCAGCTTTGGTCTTGGCTACTTACTTTGGTACTATTGTTCCAAACTTGGATGCCGTTAAAGGCTTACCAGTCTCTGCTATCCATGTTGATTTGGTTAGAAACCCAGAACAATTGGATCAAGTTTTAGAAATCTTAACTCCAGAACAAACTTTATCTGCAGGTGTTGTTGATGGTCGTAACATTTGGAAAGCTGTTTTCTCTAAAGCTTCTGAAATTGTTAACAAAGCTATTGAAAAATTAGGTAAAGACAGAGTTATTGTTGCTACTTCTTCTTCATTATTACACACTCCAGTTGATTTGAACAATGAAACTAAATTAAGTGATGAAATTAAAGATTTCTTCTCATTTGCTACTCAAAAATTAGATGAAGTTGTTGTTATTGCTAAATCTGCTTCTGGTGAAGATGTTAAAGAAGCTTTAGAAGCTAACGCTAAATCTGCTTCTGCTCGTGCTTCTTCAGAAATCACTAACGATGAAGCTGTTCAAACTAGAGTTGGTACTATTGATGATAAATTGGGTCGTCGTGCTGCTCCATTCACTGATAGATTAAAAGAACAAGAACCAGTTTTCAACTTGCCATTATTCCCAACCACCACTATTGGTTCATTCCCTCAAACCAAAGATATCAGAATCAACAGAAACAAATTCAACAAAGGTACTATTACCAAAGAAGAATATGAAAAATTCATTGAATCTGAAATTGAAAAAGTTGTTAGATTCCAAGAAGAAGTTGGTTTAGATGTCTTGGTTCATGGTGAACCAGAACGTAATGATATGGTTCAATACTTTGGTGAACAATTGAAAGGTTTTGCCTTCACCACCAACGGTTGGGTTCAATCTTATGGTTCAAGATATGTCCGTCCACCTATTATTGTTGGTGATGTTTCTAGACCAGCTCCAATGTCTGTTAAAGAATCAGTTTACGCTCAATCAATCACCACTAAAGCTATGAAAGGTATGTTGACTGGTCCAGTCACCATTTTAAGATGGTCATTCCCAAGAGTTGATATTCCACAAAAATTCCAAGCTTTACAATTAGGTTTAGCTTTAAGAGATGAAGTTAATGATTTAGAAGCTGCTGGTATCAAAGTTATCCAAGTTGATGAACCAGCTATTAGAGAAGGTTTACCATTAAGAGCTGGTGAAGAAAGACAAGATTATTACCAATGGGCTGCTGAATCTTTCAGAATTGCCACTTCAGGTGTTAAGAACGTTACTCAAATCCATTCTCATTTCTGTTATTCAGATTTAGATCCAAACCATATCAAAGCTTTAGATGCTGATGTTGTTTCTATTGAATTCTCTAAAAAAGATGATCCAAACTATATTCGTGAATTCTCAGATTATCCAAATCATGCTGGTTTAGGTTTATTTGATATTCATTCACCACGTATTCCATCAAAGGAAGAATTCATCTCCAAGATTCAAAACATTTTAGAAGTTTATCCAGTTTCTAAATTCTGGGTTAACCCAGATTGTGGTTTGAAAACTAGAGGTTGGGAAGAAACTAAAGCTTCTTTAACTAATATGGTTGAAGCTGCTAAATACTTCCGTGAAAAATATGCTAAAAAAGATTAAACTTTTAGCATAAAAAGCATTATATGATTATTTAATCATTTAATTTTCTAAAAAGTTCAATTCTTTTTGAAAACAATTCTCATTATTCAACATCAATGAGAATCTTTTTTAATGTCTATTTAATTATTTTATCTATTACAATTTTGTCTTTATTTCTTTATGTTTGTTAGGTTTTGCATATAGGGATGTCTGGGATTTCAACATCGGTTTAATTATTACGATTATAATTACTATAAAGCATGTAGAGATTGTTTCAGTGTCAAAACACCAACAAGTTCAACTTCAACATTTTGAATTGTAAAATTTCGCGAATTTTTTGATTAGGGTAAAAGTCGCGAATTGTGGTTCATAGTGGCGAACGCTCCAGAAATCATCGAAGCACTTGAATTATTATAAGGGCTGCTGCTGGGATACTCTTGATTTCTACGGTTTAACGAGATTTAGAAACGTCCAAGAGACTCAATTGACTGCTTGCAAGATGAGTGACAACACAGAATTGATCAGCCAGTTTGCTGAGCTCACACAGAGCCCAACATCAGTCGCTGAAGTTCTACTAAGTAGAAATAACTGGGATTTACAAGTGAGTGGATTAATTTGAAGCATTGATCGTATCAATTGACTAACTGGCTTGTTACCATAGGAAGCACTTGATGATTTTTATAACGGTGGGATTCAAAGATCAGAAGCACCTCAAAGATCAGAATCACAAACCCCAGTACCAAGTGAACCATCATCTGGAAGAGCTGCCACTCCATCCTCAAGACCAACAGGTTCAAGCTCAAACAAACCAAAAATGAAAACTTTTCAAGATTTAGTCAATTCAGATGGTAAAGATGAAGATGATGAACAAAATTTCTTTGCAGGTGGTGGAAGAGGATCAGGTCTTGAAGTTGAAAATCCATCTGATCCACAAAATTTAGTTCAAGATTTATTGAGAAAAGCACAAGCAGGTGAAGGTCATCCTGATCGTATGAATGAAGACTCTTCAAGTTCTGAGCCTTCTAAACCAAAATTCACAGGTACAGGTTATTCATTAGGTAGCAGTGAAGTTCCTTCTAAAGTCGTTGGTGCTTCAAGATCTAACCAACCAAAAAAACTTGAGAAAGCTGAAAGAGAAATTACATTTTGGAAAGATGGGTTTCAAGTTGGAGATGGTAAATTATTCAGATATGATGACCCTGCAAATGCAACATATTTGGCCGAATTAAATAGTGGACGTGCACCATTGTCCTTATTGAATGTTGAATATGGTCAAGATGTTGATGTTAATGTTATAAAGAAGTTGGATGAAGAGTACAAGCCACCAAAGAGAAAAATAGGTGGATTCCATGGCTCTGGTCAAAGGTTAGGCTCACCAGTATCCACTGATTACAAACCACCTCAATCTACATCTCCAGCTCCAGTTCCAACTCAAGAAAAACAAGAACCTGCAAAACCTAAAGATGAAGGTTCAGGTGATACCCAAGTTCAAATTAGACTAGCAGATGGACGTAGAGTAGTACGTCGTGTTGAGTCTTCAGGACCTGTTTCACAATTATATGACTATGTCACTAGTGAAACTTCAAGCTCTAAACCGTTCATATTGAGTCATGCCTTCCCAGTTAAGCCAATTGAAGATAAAACCCAATCAATAAAAGAAGCTGGATTAGTCAATGCGGTTGTTGTTCAAAGATGGGTCTAGAATGTTTTAAACACAATAATTTTTAATGATTCTGATTTTGCAATAAGTGTAGTCTGTCATTATTAGACGTGTCATTTTCTCCCACAATATTGAAAAATGCGGGCATCGAAATAATGGATCATTTACCTAAAGTCCAACGAAGATTCATTCACTTGCAACTCATTTTATTTATTTCATATTTATTTCATATTTATTTCGTTTCATTATTCATTCAACATTCAGTCATATCATCGCACATGTTTTGTGTATCCCCTATGATATAGCCCCCATAAATGTTCAGCATAATAATACGAAGTCGACAAAAGAGTCGCTTCAAGTCAATACCATCACCACATTCCACAAGATTTATCTCAAGCTTCTTTAAGCACAATTTAGAATCACTATTTGCTTCAGATCAAGAATCTAAAGCTGTTTCAACTCCAAACTTGGAAATCAAATCAATTGCAAAAGTTGTGCCCACTTTCCCTTTCTACAAACAATATTCAAAAAGCATCATTCCCCAAGAGATACTCAAAAAGTCACAAGGAGAAGACCCTCTTGAACTACTGTCATCCAAAAAGAGTAGCTACCATGACAGTGTAAGGAACCGCCCTGGATTGGGATCTTTGGTCGAAATACAGCTTGACGATGGTACTGTTGATTTGGGTATAGTAAAGTCAACTCTAGGAGGCTTATTCTATGAAGGTTCAGATGCTTTGTCAATGGTTAATATTAAAGGTGAGGAAGTGAGATTTAATATATCTCAAGTTTCCTTCCATCTGTTCAAAGCGATAAGCCCCAAGCCCTTACGAAATTTGTCACACGATGAAAACAATCAAAGAATCGTTCAATTGTTGAAGCATCTAATCAAGTGCTCTTATACATCAAGGTTTAACGACCGCTCATTATTTTCAATGGCACAAGCGTGGTTTGCTAAGGAAAATTCGCCTGTCGAGATTGATTTACAAAAAATAAGTGAAATGATTCAAAGATATTCAAACCAACGTCAAGATAAATCCTCGAGGAATGAGGTTTCGTTATTTGCAGCGCATACTCAGATTGTGAATGATCCAATCAACTGGATGGCTATCAGAAAACCACTAGATAACCATAATGACTCATTGGTGTGTTTCAAGTATTACTCGAACTCTTATAAAACTATAGAACATTTAGAAAAGGCAATGAAAATCAATAATACTCATTTGAAAACAATTGCTGATGATATCAAAAAATGCATTCAAAGTGGTTGTGGAATAGAGGCCACATATGCTGATTCTGTTATCGCACTCTTGAAACATTATGTTTTATATCCACATTTAGGATTAACATCACCTATTAAAGAAATTTGGAAACATATCACAGGTTCAACACAGTTCACTCCAACAGATATTCATCAATTTTTACTTAAATTGGGCGACTATGACATTCATGAAACAGTTAAGCCAGTCAGACCAAATGACATTTATTCCAAAATCAACCTAGATCATTTCAGTTTCCTTAGGGAACCGACAAATCAAAAGGCATATACAATTCCAAGTCCTGATAATGAGACAAACATTGCAGTCTCTTTAGAGAAGACTCGTGATTATTGGATTTTTGAAATACATGTGCTGGATATTGCAAGCCATTTAACTCCAGGATCTAAATTGGTGGAAAGTTTGCTCAATAGAGTCTCAAGTTTTAAATATGATGATAAAAAGATTCCATTGTTTGATGATGGTGTATTTTCAGGATTTAGTACGAATACAACTGATGCTATAACTATATCATTGCAATATCCTTTAGATGAAGCAGTTGGATGGAATAAAGCTGAATTGTTATCAATAAACTTATCAAAGTCACATAATTTAAAAATGGTGTCGATTGATGAACTAAATCAATTGAATGAAGATAAGTCGGAGTTCATGAGACTTTTCAAACATAGCTCAAATAATAACTTGGATGGTGATGATGAAGATATTTTGAAAAGTTGTTTCAAAATCATTGAAATTTGGACAAAGAGAAGATGTTCTCAAGGTGCAATTTCTCATAGTCTACCTTTCAAAGTTGTTGAAGGTAATGAATCGGTGGATCATACAAAGATCGAATTTGTCAAATATTTACACAAAGAGTTGTCAACTATTGTTAGTGAATATGTTATACAATGGAGTGAAGTGAAAAAATGTCCATTATTAATCCATTCCCAGTCCTTATTACCTTCACTTCAAGATGAAATTGAAATAGACCCACAAAGATTTTCCATTCCACCATTCAAAGCTTCGAGCTATGAGCATTTTACGCTGTTCTCTAATGATCAAGGAGATGTTACGCTCAAAAGTCTAATATGTGGTGAAAAATACTTGAACAAAGAAATTGTAACCACACAGGCGTCACCTCATGTTTCGTTAGGTTTACCTTTTGGTTTTGTTGAACTCATAAACCCATTAAATGATTACGAAGCTATTGTGAATCAATGGCAAGTGATTAATATATTGAAACAAGAATTCAAATACAAACAAGGGTTCAATTATAAACTGAACAATGCATTACAAGATTTCAAATTACTCTCAGATAAACAACTTCAACAACATTATGATTTCAACATTGCACCATTGAAAAATTTCAACAATTCATTACAGACATCCAATAAAAGGTTCAAGAAATTGAAATGGTTATCAACTAAAAAAGATGATTGGTTAATTTTCAAATGTATGGTTACAAAACCTTCAACTTTTCCTAATTTAGCAAAAGCTTATTGTTTTGAATTAGATCTAGATGTTGAAATTCTTTTAAACCCATCATTGAAACAAGTACAAATTGGTGACCAATTGATATGTACAAAAATTGTTAAATTGGACATGTATATAGAATCCCGTTTAATTTTGGAAATTTAATACAATTTCAAATCACCAGTAACTTGATCCAAAACTAGTTTTGGAGCTGGACCCAAAGCCAATACAGTAGCACTACCAGCTGCTATTTGAGTTCTTCCAGCATCATGAACGATATAAGAGTTAATATTTAGACTTATAGCTTTTGCAAATAATAAATCCATATCTTCTTTATTTGGCACTTGTAAAGTAATTTTAGCTTGACCAGAATGTTCCCATCTTTTCAACAATGGTAAATTTTGAGAAGATTGACCCTCATTTAACATTAATCTATAAGCACCTAAAGCAGCATGGGCACATTGAGCAGCAGCTTTACCTTTCCCCATTTTAAGATCTGTACGCACTATTAAAGCCATTTTAGTTTCACCAGGAATGTCATTTAATGAAGTTGAATCAACTTGGAAGTCTTCTTCTTCACTTTCTTCAAGATCTGATTCTTCTAAATCTGATTCATCTGTTATTTGATCCGATGATGGAGAGCTTGATGATGAAGAAGGTTGACGTTGTGATGATTGTTTTTGATGTCTTTTTTTAGAGTCTGATGACTTTATATTTACTGTAGGGGTGAAGTAATGGCCCAAGTAAAGCCCCGTTGCTAAAGATATGGCACATGCTGTTATTATCTGAAGATTTGAAGACATTTCTAATAGTGGAATATGAAGCTATTGTCAATGTAATGTTGGCAAAAGATTTGTTAGTTGTGATTTTTTTTTCTGTCAGCTTAAAAAACATAATTCGCGAAAGCCATGTTGAACAGTAAAAAAATTGACAGACAGAAAATGTGTATAAACTTTTCATTCAATTCTCATTAGGATTTTCTATATAAAGGACCCCCAAAATATGCTTTCAATGAATTTCAAAATGATTTATTTAATCACCATTAGCTTAAAATGCGGATCCAAGGACCTTGGGATTCATACAAAATCTCACCATACAAAAAATGTGAAGTTAACAAGAAATGGGATGGAATTCATTTTAAAACTTTTAGTTCATCATATAATCCTCTTCAATTCATCGAGGGGAACAACAAACTATTGAACCCATATGGATTTAAAGAACATTCAGGTGTCAAAGTTTGTGATTTTTCAATCATTGATAGAAGACGTGAACGTTGTGTTAATGATGAAGGTGAAATCATCATTAAAGATGAGCCTATATCATTCTCATGTACATATTTCAGAACGGATGATTGTGAATTAAAATTTGGATTGTTTAAGATGATGAGAGAGTTACAAGTAAACAATGAGGAATATAATACTTGGGAAACTTGGGTAGAACATAATGAACATGTTAAGGGAGAATATAGTTTGTTACCAAGTCATTCAATGTTGGATGAAGTTGGACTTGTCTTGATGATTCATAATTTTTCACCTGAATATCATAAGAAGATTGATATAAGATCAATAGTATTGGCAATGGTTTTGGATGAAGTTGATTATGAAAGGTATGAAGTTGATGCAAAAATTGCAGATTGTTCAGTGGGGGTTAGTAATAAATTAACAGTCATTAAGAGTAAAGATGTTGATTTGGATATGTGTTTAAGAAAGATCAATAACGAATTATTGTATTCACAAAGAAGAAAAGTTGCAAAATCAGTTTTAGATGATTCTAAAGATTTTTTTGTTTTCCCAGCTTTTATACAAGTAAATTCAGTGCCGATTAAAGTCGAAACACCAGAGGCAAAAGTGGGACAAAAATCAATGCTAGATGATGGTGGGTTTATTGAGATAGCACTTGACCCTCAAGAAGATGATAACCATCGCACCGATTTGAAAATTGACACTGTATATGAGGATTGTTATTACTGGGATTGAACAATAAAAATTGGAAACCACTTGTATATAAACTTTATGCCAACACTTTCTTTTTAGTCTTATCCTTCTTTTTAACCTTTTTAACCACCTTGTTCGTATAACTTCTCCAATTCTTTACTCTATTTTCTTGATTATCTTCCCATTGTTTTTTGTATTTTCTCTTCAATTCATTCAATTCCATTATTTCTTCCTTCATTCTATTCAATTCACCTTGTCTTTGTAATTCCTTTTGTTGATTCATTCTTTTTGTGAATTCTTGTTGTATTAGTATATCTTTAAAAGATTCATATCGTTGTTTGGTATCATTTGTAGTTGAAGAAGCTGTGGAATCATATATCTCATCGATATGTGATTTGAAATCTTGATCTTGTAAGTTTGATTCCGCTTTTTTCAAGATATTGAAGGCTTTTGGAGCATCAGGATTAGTTGTTTTATCTGGATGTATCAATAAAGATTTGGCACGATATTGTTTTTTGATTTGAATTGAAGTCAATGTTGAAGCATTTTCATGATCTAATTCAAGTATTTGATATGGGTCAAGAGTGAATGCACTTATGATGCGCTCTATTTCCTTATCTCTTTTGAGTGATAGTTCTTGTGAGTTTAGGTCGGCGTCTATAGTATCAGACATTGTATAAGAGATAATCTGAATCAAATGGTGTTTGACTCAAGTGACACTTTGTTTGTACAATTGTTTTGGCTTTTGAAAACTCAACCTTCTCGAATGGCAGATAACTAAAATTTGTGTAATTTTTTGCTTCCACGGGGATCGAATGGATCAGATACACCTTTTTGATCAAATGATCAAGTACTTTTGAAGAATCAAGAGTTTGATTGAAATAGAAATTGTAAGCGTTGTAGCCTGCTACATATACAGATACTGTTGTACTGTTCTGGTGTTTTGGTGGACTGTCCACTTAACAATGCCCCGTACTGGTAAGCTCCGCTTTATCTGTTCCATCAAGATCAATCTCACGTTGAATTGAGTTGTAGATAAGTCTTTTGAGAATGTTACAACTTACTAGTTAATGAACAGTAAACAGTGTAATAACACTGACAACATCTCTTATTCCCACCCAAAACAGCATGAGTATAATAATAATATCTTGATCACCATAATATTTTCTAAACAGCCTCTCAGTTGTTCCGAGAGTCCCAAGACACATAGCGGAGTGAGACAACAGTCGAGACAACAACATAATAATAGAAGAGAATGCATAGCACTAGTATCTAATCAGAGTCTACTCTACTATATACCGTATCTATACTATCCATCACTCCCTTGTTCATGGCTGAAACTACGTGAAAAGAGGAGCTTGTTCTGATTAGGTAAGCGTCCTCTGATTGGCTGGCGTGTGCGTACCGCTTCTTGGAGTATGAGAGACAACAGCTTGAGCTCAACTCAACTCGTTTTATTCTGAACCAGAAGGAATCTTTTGGAAACTTATTCTTCTCTGATTGTTTGTTTGCAAGTCCTAGGCAAAGAATAACTTCAACATCACCACAACCACTGCTACTGCTACTGCTTCTGCTGCTCATTGACTCTATTCGATAGCCGCTCTGTTCAAAATTAGCCAAAGCCTTGATATTTCCATTATCTTCAACTCTATCATTCCAAAGGGGCTCCAACAAACAACAACATCAAATACAAATATAAAAGCTCTGCTTTCAACTAGATCAACCCCCAGACATCAGTTTATGCCAATATAACACTTTATCACCTTTGTTACTACGCTATTACTATCCCGCCCACTGCTACCCCTGGATTCTGACATTTTAATTTTGCCCGCTATAATACCCGTTTGACTAATACAAATCAACAATCCGCCACTATATTAATTAGATATGATGGCTCCCACTAAAGAAAATGAAAATGATTTAAACAATACATCTACATCCCCATCTTCTCCAAGTACTGGGAATCGCTTAAATATCTTCAAATTCGGCTCAAGAAGAAAATCATCAAATGATTCAAACCAACAAAAACTTCAACAAGAAGAGAAACAAGAAAAACCTAAAATCAACACTCAAGCTCAGCAGAATAGATTCTACAATGAAGATGAAGAAGATTTAGATCCTATAAATTCAAGAGATTTTGAACAAAATGATGAAAATATCCAATCTTATCCACCTTCTTCATATTTTGATCAACCAGGTTCTTATTTACAATCACCAACTTCTCCATCTGAATCTTCACTGATTTTTGAAAGATCAGTAGAGGATCCTGCTCAAGTTTATCAACAAACAACTTGTCCTAGATGTGGTCAACAACAAAATCCAAATAATCCAAAATTGAATTGTAATCATCAATCAATTGTTAATTTACCCTCACATTATTCTGTGGAGAATTTTGTTTCCCCATGTCTTGATGCTACAACTAAAATATTGACTGATGAATCCACTGATTTAGATAATGTTGACATGGTTTATTCAAGACGTCCTTCAAGTGTGATGGGATTAAATATGGCATTGGGACGTAATAAATCCTTTGCTAACTATAATGATGCTGATGGTGGTCCAGCAACTCCGTTTTCATCAAGATCAAGAACAAATTCTCAAGCAAATATTACAAAGACAAGTTCATTAGCAAATCTTAGAGATCCAGATTCAGTTAAAAGACCACCAACATTAAGTTTCTATTCATATGCTGATATGATTAATAATGAAAACCCAAACCCTAAAAGACCATCTATTTCACAATCATTATCATCTTCATTTGTAAATACTAGAGGAAATCAATCCCGTTCAAATTCAGTCTCAACTAATCTTGGTGCAGGAAATTCAATAACTCCACAAAGAAATAATATAATTAATCCATTGACTGCGACAAATTCATTATCAGCAACAAATACGAACAATAATACTAATCCAAGATCATCATTTTCATCACCTTTTAATCCTAATTTATATCATCGTCCATCACAATCTTCTCATTCAAAGAAAAAATTTCAAATTACACCAGATTCACCAAATTCTTCAGATTCAGAATCTGAATATCATCAAAGTTATTCACGTCCTCAGTCTAAAAGAAATTCAGTCAGTTCAAAACTGAATAAAACTTATTCAAATCAATCATCAATTCAACATAGTTTACATTCTCCAGGATCTTTGAATAGTCGTCGTTATTCAAATTTAGATGATAATTTTTACAATTCCTCTGATAATGAATCTTTAGTTATAAGTTCAATTGGTGATCAATTAAGAAGAAACAATGGTGAAATAAAATCAAGTAGTAATAGTATTATTGCTTGAATAGAGGATCAAAGAATAGTCTCATGGTTGTTGAGTCTATAAGTTTTAATTTATATGGATGATGTTTCAAAACTTTTTGTTTTATTATTGTTGTGTTGAAGATGGGTTTACATGTTTTTCTCTTTTTCATACTTCTATTATGAGGTGTTATACTTCTTTTAGGTGTTTCAGCTTTTGTTCTTTTTACTTATGATTGTTTGTAACATTGGTTTTCTTTATGGTGTTTTTTATCAAATCTTTAATACTGTGGGTGAATATTTTGGTTGACTTTTATACTACAAATAGGGATATTAATTACTTTTTTATATGCTCAAATATATATTATCTATAAAATCACAAGTAATCCTTTCTATTTGCAGTACGAACAAATCTTCTCAATTGCCATTCAACATCAGCATCTTTATTTTCCAAAGTTCCTAATCTTAGCTCATATAATCTCATTTCAAATCTTGGACCAATTTCACTAATTTCAACACCATCTCTTGTTTTCACATATAAATGTTGTCTTACACTTATGAAATCTCCATCATTTTTAAAAGTTATAACTCTTGGACTATCTTTCTTAACACCTGGTGGGAATAAATGTTTTAAAATTGTTACAACTCTTTCACCTAATTTACTTGTAAAATTTTCAAAAATTAAATGAGGATAAGCTTCACTTTGATTCCCACTATTTAAAAGATCATGTCTCAAAACAACATTGTGTAATGTAAACATAGCAGTTGGACCATGAGGGAAATGTGATATTGTTAAAGATGATGGTACACCTCTATGTTCATGTAATACAATTAAATCTGATGTATTCGAATTTTGACATGCTGTGACTAAATTTGGCATAATATAATTACCTCTGTTTAATCTAATTGAATTTGGGAACAATAATTTGATTTCTTTACAAAATTGTTGTAATTTCGATGAAGGATCTCTTGAAGTTGTTATGATTAATTTTGGATCAATTATACCACTAAATTGAGAATATTCATCATCAATACCTTCTTCATCATCATCATTTTGAATACTTTGATCATATTGGAAATCTTTTTGTAATTTGGCATCATCTGCTATTTCTTTTGGGAATGCTTTACCTTGAGCTAAATAACTCTTCATTAGTTGTCTTTTTTCATGAAGTTGTGATTGTTGTAAATCTAGTGCTTTTTTATAAAGGTATTCCCTTCTTTCACGGGCTTGTTGTCTAATCTAGAATTAATAATTGTTAATATTGAGTTCATTTGATAAGTAAAGTGAAAGGTTTCAATACTCACTCTTGCAGACATCTTTAATGTGTATTATTTGGTTGAAATTATTGATTAATCTTTTATCAACTCCATTTATCAAGCCTCATCGCTTGAAATTTTTTTTTTCTATGTGCTCTGAAAAAAAAAAAAAAAAACACTTTCCGAGGACAAATCACATGATACTCAGTACAAATTTTGGATTCAAATCCGATCCATAATAAACTACACTTTAGTTCTTCTAAAACTTCATTAAAAAACTTTTTCAATATACTTAAAAACACAATAATAATTATTTCCTTTAATACAAAAACCAAGTTCTCACGCACGGAATTCCTCTTGAATATGATAATATAACACCCATAAGCAACAAAATTAATAAAACATTCATATCTTTTATTCTTTTCACTTCGTTGAATTCATTAGTCTTACCAACCTCTTGTATAAAAGTCAGTTTCAGCTGTATCCCATTCATCATTATTGAAATTTTCAATTGTAGATTTGATAACTTTTGGTTGCTTAGAACCATCAACGGTCTCTTTCACATCTGATTGTTCTTCTTTTGACTCTTCACCTTCATTATTATCATTACTTTGTTTCTGATGATGATGGTGGTGGTGATGATGATGATGATGATTATTAGGTACGCCATTTTTCCTATCCCATAAAATACTCTTTCTTAGCGAATCTGATAATTCAGTAGCCAGCATCTGTCTTCTTGTTGTCTTTGGTGATAACTTTCTTGAAATGTTGAAATTAGCACTTGTTTCCATTGCACCCTCAATATGATTATTCGTACCATTGGCACCATTTGTTAAACCTTCAATTTCCACAGTATGAGATGGTTTCTTGGTAGTTATTGGAACAGTAGGTGACTTCATTGGTAATTCAATTTTGGTATTAACAGTTGATTCTTCAGCTTCTGAATTTTTTCTAGAAGGTTCATTTGATGATGTGTTTCCTGATTCTGCCTCTAAAACTGAAGCCAGTTTTGATCTTGTAGATTTTCTTTGATGTGCATTTGGTAAAAACATATGAGTAGATAAGGCTGTTGGTAATAAAGTTGATGCAGTAGCTGGAGCATTTGATTCATGTTTAAATCTAGTTCTTGTACGATCACTTGCAATTGAACTAAAACTGTTTTTCCTATGAGCAGCAAAATAATTTGTTAAATTCACAGCTGATCTTGAAATCATTTGAGTGAATGAAGATGAAGTTTGTAAATTATTTTGAGCTTCTTGAGTTCCAGTCAATTTTTCTTTCAATTTACCTTGTGAATCATGATGATCTTGAGGTTCTGAAACTTGACCAGAAACATTAATATTTGAAGTTGAAATAACAGTATGAGGTGTTGTAGATGATAATTCTAATGCATCATTATTGTTATTATTAGCGTTATCTTCTGTTGTGGAATTACTTGCTGCATCATTTGAATTATTACCACCATGGATACTTTGAGGTCTATGTCTATGTTTCACCACAATATTAGATGAAGAAATTGAAGTACCCAAATCAGCTTGAGATCCAGTAGCATTATTATTTGCACCAAGATTAATGGCGCTTGAATGATCACCATGTTGATAGCCTGATTTCCAAGGTTGTGGAGTGGTAACACCAGAAGTAGATCTTGATTGTATCTGAGAATTTGAATGCTCTTGGTGATGATGCTGATGATGATGTTCATGTTGCATTTCGTTTAAAAACAAACCAGACAATAAAGATCTTTTAATTTGAGGTTTTGGAAGAGGTTCATCCCTTTTAAAACTTGCTTGTTTCCATTCTTTTGTTAAATCATTTTCATCAAATTCATCAGATCCTTCAGAATCACTAACAGAAGACCAATCACTTTCATCACTTAGTGAATCATCTGAAGAGAATATAATTTCTTTTGGGATAGGTTCAGATTTACCAGAAAATAAAGACTTATTGTTGTTGTTATCATTGACTGAAGAGCTTGACAGATTATTATTGTTCCGCTTTTTTTCAGACGAAGATGATCTTTGGCGTTGTTGTTGATGATGATGGTGATGGTGATGATGGTTATGATGAGATTGAGCCTGTTGTTGTGAATCAATATACTTTGGACCATCAGTTGGAGAAGGTGAACTTTCAATGAAAAACATGTTATTCTTATCTTTTCTTTGAGGTGTATGTTCTTTAACAGCTAAGCTTGTCATTCCCAAGTTATTCAAAACATTAGTTCTCTTTTTATGCTGTTGTGGAGTAGGTTGTCTTTTAATTTCAGGACTGATACCAACTTGTTCAAATAATGATGACTTAACATTGTTATTATTCTCTTGTAATGCAGAATGATCAAATAATGTTCCCGTTTTAGGTTTGGACTTTTGAGGCTGTTGAAACAATGAAGTAGATCTATTAGGTTCCTTCGGTTTTAATACTTCATTTGTTGTTTCCTGGGATAAAGGTGATTTAACTCTCTCTAATGGAACACCTGTTTGGGTATCAATACGTTGAATATTATGATGGGGTTGCTGCTGCTGTGGTTGAGGATGATTGAATAATGAACTTTTCGGTACTGCTTTTCTTGGCTGAGGGTTCTTCAGGTTAGATTGATCAAACAAAGAAGGGGCAGAAGTTTTTTCAGCTTTTTTCGTTGAAGTTGATGGCTTTCCCGGTGATGAATTGGTACTCAATTGTGCCACTGATATATGACTTGGAGAAAATCCACGGACTATTGAAGTTGAAGTATCAGATCTTGTTAATGGTGGAGCTTGAGGCTTCTCATTTGAAAAATTTGAACTTGAAGAATTATTTTCATCATCATTTGAATCATTTCTTTGAGCTTGTACACCAAAAGCATATTTAGGGTTTGGTTGTTCAAATAAATCAGAATCATGTTCAACTTTGATTGGAACTGGTTGTTCATTTGTATCAGAAGTTGTTGAAGTATTACTATAAACTCTGTTCAAGTTTGGTAAATCAACATTTGATCTTCTTGTTCTTTGATTCAATTTCTTTAATGATTTTGAAGATGAAGATTTTCTTGGAATCATACCAGGCCTCAATTTATCCAAACTTTCCACGCTTCTATTACTATTTCTTGAAGCATTTCTGGCCATTTTTTGGTTTGAAGATTTCTTCTTAATCAACTGAGGTCTCGGTTGAGTTATAAGATTTTGATCTGTAACTATTGATAATAAACTTAAGAAATCACCATCATTCAATTTGTTTCTTTGCTGTGTTGTATTATTGTTGTTGTTGTCAACACCTTTCGGTATTTGTTGATTTTGTTGATTGATCAAATTTCTATTAACAATTCTCCAACTTATATTTTCTAATCTTTTCCCACTTTTGATGAAACCAGAACATTTGGTTAGACCTGTCCAAACAGATAAAACATTTTCAAGATCTAAGCCACTTGTATCAAAATTCTGTATCGTATCTCGTGACAACTCTAAGAATGGAGGAGCCTTATTGATTCTATTTGATCGACTTGACATAGTTTGATTGGTATTATTAATGTAACTGTTGTAATTATCTCTGCTATATGGCCATTGAACTGGAGGGAGTAAACATCAGCTTCTTTGTGAAATGGTAGTTATGGGTGACTTTCTCGATTAATGTCTGATAAAGGATCAAAAATATCAACACAAGGTCCAAAAAGAGTAAAAACAGATAATAGATTCAGGAATCAAAACAGATTTGAGTGTATTTTCCACAGGCGCTTTGGTGATTGATGTTGATATTTGAAGATGAATAACCAAAATAAGCAGCGGTTAACAGTTGATGAGTTTCTTTCAGTTGAATGAAGAAGGTGATGACCACGAAACGAGCTGGTGCTTGAGCTTAAGTCCTCGAGGATTGAAGTCGGCCACTAGAAAGGATCAAGTGGTGGTTGGATAGTCTTGCTTCCTTTGGATTGTGATGGTTCTGTTGCTGTTGAGGTTGTTTCCTTCCAGAGCTGTGGTGATCAAGGACAATGCTCTCTCAAGTACGAAACAACTGACTCTATTGGTGATTTGATTCGCGAGGCAATAAATGAACTGTAGCTGGTGCCCTAGAATCAGATGGGAAAGGCTGCTGGTGATAAATGGCTCTTTGGTTTCCAGTGAGTACAGAGAGCAGATTCTGGTAGCAATAGTGGTGATTTAAACCTATCGTTATCGCACTGGTCACTGGTCAATCTCAGCTTAATCCTCCTTCTTCTGGCCCTTCGCTCTCGTTAACATTAAATTTACGCTCTTTATTTTTTCGGGTTTGGTCATTCAATTCTTCAAACGGCCGGACACAGCAGGGCAGCGAAAAAATCCAATCACGTGACCGAGAACCGTTATAAACTACAATCATATGCGAATTATAATAGTAGTATCATGAGAATATTTCATATATGTATCAAATTCAATAATCAGAACTTGACTATAAAAAAGGATAAACTTAAATTAATCAATAGTGTAGTAGTAATCAAATCAAGAAAATCAATCACTTCAATAAAAAAGGGCAAAAGAAACACATATTCATACCAAAAAATCAAACGTTAATGTGAGAACAGTTCAAAGACATTCACTTCTTTTGATCTTTAACCCAAGATTGTGCATCTTTCAAACCTTCTTGACTTTTTTCATTAGCTGCATTTAAACCAGATTTAGCTTGATGAATAGCATCATCTGCACTACTCCAAAATTTCAAATTTGCATTTTGAGCAGTATCAGATCCCCATTTCTTTAAATTACTAGTTGCATCACCTAATCTTCTTTCAGCATCCTCCAAGTTCTTCTTAGCATCTAATTCAAATTGTGAACTTTTCTCTTTACCCCAAGACCACCAATGATTTGCACCAGATTCTAAATCTTTACGAGCATCTTCAACTGATTTTTGTGCATCATTGAAATAATCTTGTGCACCTTTTGCATTATCTTCATATTTTTTATTTGCCCATGAATTCCATTCCTTCACTTTAGCATCATATTGTTCTTGAATTTTGGAGGCTTGTCTTTCAGCTTCTTCAGCTTCATCATCTGCAAATTGTGCAGCATTTTCACCCCATCCTTTTAAACCAGCACGAGCATTCTTTGCAATTTCTTCTTCAGATTTATCAGAACCTGATTTGAAATAACCTGGAATTCCCCAAGATTTTGATTCCTTCTTTGCACGAACTTCATCAACTTCATCATTTGCAAATTGTTCGGCATTTTCACCCCAACCTCTTAGGCCTTTTCTTGCACCACGAGCAATTTTTTCATCATCATTTGGTGAGCCTGATTTGAAATAACCTGGGATTCCCCATGTTTTCTCTTGTTTTTTACCAGAGATTTCATCATAGTTTTCATTAGCAAATTGTTCTGCAGATTCACCCCATCCTCTAAGACCTTGTTTAGCATTACGTGCAATTCTCTCTTCATCAGTTGGTGAGCCACCTCTTAACCAATCATAAAATCCAACACCACCAGATGATGAACCTTCTCTTCTATTAATCAATTCACCAGTATAAAATTCATTAGCTTTATCACTTAAAGTATCACGACCCTTGTAAGCATCCGGTTTTAATTGATCAATTTTATCAGAAGCTTGAGATTTCCAATTTTTGAATTTTGAAGATGCGGAATCTAAATTTTTTTGAGCAGCATCCAATTGTTTTTGAGCCTCTTGATGTAATTCCTTTTGTTTATCATCAACTTTACCCCATGAGAACCATGAAGATTTTGTTTCCTTAAATCTTTTTTGTGCATCATCATAAATTTTCTGAGCATCATCATATGCAGCATCTATAGCTTCTTTTGATTCATCTTTTTTACTTGAACCCCAATTGAAGAAAGATTTTGATTTGGCTTCAGTTTGCTTTTGAGCAGATTCTAAAGAATCTTTAGTTTCCTTTTTAGCACTACTGAACCATGAAGATGCCTTATTTGAAGCTTCATCAGCTTTATTTGAAGCTTGTCTTGATAAATCATTCAATTCATCTTCAGCTTTATTCTTAGAACCAACAATTGAATTCTTTGCAGATGTTAAAGACCCCAATACCGAATCTTTTGCAGAACCTAATGAAGATTCAGTCTTTTCCTTTGCATATTCAGCATCAGATTTAATATCATGGCCCAATTTGTGCAGACCTTTTGGATCATCCTTATGTAAATCTTTTCTAAAAGCTTCAGCTTTTTCTCTTGAAGCAGCAGCGGTTTGATCCAATTGACCTTGAGCACTAGATATCTTATCATTAGCCCAACCAGCTAATTTTGCTTTATCCTTTTCCGCTTGAGCAAATGAAGAATCCAATTTTTTTTCAGCATCATATTTCAAAGAATCAAATTTATCACGAGCATTATAAGCAGCTTCATCAATCTTACGACCTGCATGTTGACCAGGGCCTTCTCTTGGATCTAATGATGAAGAACCTGAACCAAATCCAGGAATCTTATTTTTCAAAGAATCTTGCTCAATTGCAGTGACTCTTGATTGTTCTAATCTTTGTTGATACACATAGTAACTTGCACCTAAGATGGCAGCACCTCCAATAAAGTATCTAGTGTTTGACATCTTGTGTATTTTGTTGAGTATTTCTTGTTATAAAGATGAAATAGAAAGGGTCAATTGAAAGTGGGAAAATATCCAAGTTTATATATGTCTGGGACATGAAGTGATGTGATTTCCCAATTGGTGACAAACGTAGCTAGGTCAGTCAGTAATTGCACGCACAGAGAGCACCATAGAAAAAAACCGAACAACTAATTTCATACAGTGGGAATAGTCAGCTTGAATTTATTTGCTATTTCTGTTATGTAAGGTTGTTGTGATACTTGGTTGCTACTTCGCATAGGACTCGGGATAGAGGCACATCCACAATTACACTCTGGCTCGAGCAACTAGCTGGTGGATATTCTGTTATTAGGGATATGTGTAGTAGTAGCAGTATGGATTTATATAGTCTATTCAAACATTTGTTTTCACTTTCTTCATTGTAATTGTTGTTGTTCAGTTTGACACCTTCCAAGGTCGAATATGCTTCATGTACGTTTACCCCCGAGCTCAGGATCATCATCACCATTCACAAAGGCAACCTTGCAACAGTCCATGAAACAAACGTCAAAGGTGCGTATTATTTTAATCGAGGTTATACTAGTGGATATGGTCTGGAGAATTACTCTGCAAGAAGAGATCATTGACAGCAGTACTCTTGAGTCTCAACAGTTCACAATTGCTAAATTATGTATGGTCATAGAACAGATTTTACTTGACACATAGACTGGCTATTGTAAACATCATTAACACTAAAACCAGCTAAGCATTGATGGGTAGATAAACCATATTGATCATAGCATCAACTACAATACTAACACACCTCTTCCAGCTCTCAATTGAACCAATTGAACTTCCTTCTCCATAATCTGAGGTGTCACATAGTAAAACCACATGGTACGCGCCACTCCACAGAACACGTTCGCGAAGGGATTTTTCGCCAAACGCTTTTCTGGCTCGAAACAGATCTAAAACACGATTCAGCTTTTGTAGAAAACAGTGAACCTCTGCTATAAAGACAAGGGGAAGCCCTGTGAATTCTATAAGAGAGGGCTTAGGTCAACACATCATTCATTACAACACATCATTCATTGACAATTGCCATTACACAGTGAACTCATAGAAAGCTCCATCTTCTCAACTTCAACTCTAGAAAAAAAAAAGCTACAATTCGCGGAATTTCGCGATTGTTTACGTTTACCCTCCCTGATCTCATCATGTGTCCTGTTCCCAAAAACATGAAAAGTAAACAACTTTTTTTTTATATAAACAAACAAATCAGTTTATTCCAAACAGACACGTCCAGAACTTGATCCATCACCACCATCGCCACCGCCACCACTTGATACCCAGTCACTCACATATCCAACAACCGCCCTTTACACGCGATTTCCATACTTCCTCATCAAACGCGTTCTCGATTGCTGGTTCTGTTAAAATGGCTAATAGTCCCTTAGGTGACGCGAATAATAAGGCAAATACAATGCCAACTCCAAAAAAGAAGAATGCTTCTGAACAATATCAGAAATTATCCCAATTGGAACATATCTTGAAAAGACCAGATACTTATATCGGTTCCACTGAACATCAAGAATCTGTATTATGGATTTATGATGAAGCTTCTGAATTAATGAAGGAAAAAAATGTTAAAATTGTTCCCGGTTTATTTAAAATCTTTGATGAAATCTTGGTTAATGCTGCTGATAATAAAATCCGTGATCCATCAATGAAAAAAATTGAAGTCAGAATTGATCCTGAAGAAAATATTATTGAAATTAAAAATGATGGTCGTGGTATTCCAATTGAAATGCATGAAAAAGAAGGTATTTATATCCCTGAATTAATCTTTGGTAACTTGTTAACTTCATCAAATTATGATGATGATGAAAAAAAAGTTGTTGGTGGTAGAAATGGGTTTGGTGCTAAACTATGTAACATTTTTTCCACTGAATTTACTGTGGAAACTGCTGATAAAAACAGTAAAAAAATTTATACCCAAACTTGGAAAAACAATATGTCAATTGCTGGTAAACCAAGTATTAAAACTATGAAAAAATTACAAGAGTATACCAAAATTTCATTCAAACCTGATTTAGCTAAATTTCATATGGATAAATTAGATGATGATACCCTTGGTGTTTTACGTCGTCGTGTTTATGATATTGCAGGTACCGTTAGAGATATCAATGTTTCATTAAATGGGACAACATTGAAAATTAGATCTTTTAAAAATTATGTTGAAATGTATGTTAAAGCTCTTGAAGCTAAAAGACTGGCAGAAGGTGAAATTACTGAAGAAGAAGCTCAAAAGAAACCTCAATTAGTTTATAAAAAAATTGATGATCCAAAATCAAAAGGTCGTTGGGAAATTGCCTTTGGTGTCTCTGATACCTCTTTTAACCAAATTTCTTTTGTCAATTCAATTGCTACAACTTCTGGTGGTACTCATGTCTCTTATGTTTCTGATCAAATTGTTGATAAAATTGGTGAAGTTTTAAAGAAAAAACATAAGAATTCAAATGTTAAACCATTTCAAATTAGAAATAATATGTTTATATTCATCAACTGTTTAATTGAAAATCCAGCATTTACATCTCAAACAAAAGAACAAATGAGTACAAGAAGACAACAATTTGGTTCTGATATTAAAGTTCCAGATGATTTCATCAATTCTGTTTTGAAAACTGAATTCATCTCCAAAATTTTGGATGTTGCACAAGCTAATGCTGATAAAGCTTTGAAAAGAACTGATGGTTCAAAAAAATCAAGAATTACAAATCATCCAAAATTAGAAGATGCCAATAAAGCAGGTACCAAGGAAGGTTATAAATGTACTTTAATTTTAACAGAAGGTGATTCTGCCCTTTCATTAGCTGTTGCAGGTCTTGCAGTGGTTGGTAGAGATTATTATGGTTGTTTCCCATTAAGAGGTAAAATGCTTAATGTTCGTGATGCAAGTAATGATCAAATTACCAAAAATGCTGAAATTCAAGCTATTAAACAAATTATGGGTTTACAACACAAGAAGAAGTATGAAGATACTAAATCTTTAAGATATGGTCGTATTATGATCATGACAGATCAAGATACTGATGGTTCCCATATTAAAGGTTTGATTATTAATTTCTTGGAAACTTCATTCCCTGGGTTATTAAACATCCCAGGATTTTTGTTAGAATTCATTACCCCAATTGTTAAAGTTACAATTACAAAACCAAGAAAGGAAGTTTTAGCATTTTATAACATGCCAGAATATGAAGCTTGGATTGAAAATGAATCTCATCAATATACTTGGTCTCATAAGTATTATAAAGGTTTGGGTACTTCTTCTCAAGAAGAAGGTCGTGAATATTTCTCAGATCTTGAAAGACATATGAAAAGTTTCAATGCCTTGGAAGATGAGGATAAAGGTTTAATTGATTTGGCGTTTTCAAAGAAAAAAGCAGATAATCGTAAAGAATGGTTAAGAAATTTCGTTCCAGGTACCCATTTGGATGTTGATTTGAGTGAAATTCCAATCAGTGATTTCATCAACAAGGAATTAATTTTATTTTCAATGGCTGATAATATTAGATCTATCCCTTCAGTCCTTGATGGGTTTAAACCAGGTCAAAGAAAAATTCTATATGGTTCTTTCAAACGTAACTTGAAATCAGATATTAAAGTTGCCCAATTGGCTGGTTATATTTCTGAACACACAGGTTATCATCATGGTGAACAATCTTTAGTCATGACTATTGTTGGGTTGGCTCAAGATTTCGTTGGTTCAAATAACATCAATCTATTGAAACCAAATGGTTCTTTCGGTACAAGAAATATGGGTGGTAAAGATGCTTCAGCTGCGAGATATATTTACACTGAATTATCCACAATCACTAGAAAAATATTCAATCCTTCAGATGATCCATTATATACTTATGAACAAGATGATGGTGAAAATGTTGAACCAACTTGGTATCTACCTGTTATTCCAATGGTTTTAGTTAATGGTGCAGAAGGTATTGGTACTGGTTGGAGTACTAATGTTCCTCAATTCAACCCAGAAGATTTGGTGGAAAATATGAGAAGATTGATGAATAATGAAGAATTAATGGATATGCATCCTTGGTATAAAGGTTGGGAAGGTCAAATTCAAAAAATAGGTCCTGATAAATATAAAGTGTTTGGTAAGATTGAACAATTAGATGCCAATACTTTAGCTATTACTGAGTTACCTGTTAAGGTTTGGACTTCATCCATCAAGGAACATTTATTATTAGGTCTTTCAGGTAGTGATAAAGTTAAACCATGGATCAAAGATATGCAAGAACAACATGGTCTTGGTATTAGATTCATTGTTACTTTAAGTGATGCTGAAATGCAAAAAAGTAAAGAAATTGGTCTTTATGAAAGATTCAAATTATCTGCCGTTATCAATTTATCAAATATGGTTTTATTTGATACTCAATGTCGTATCAAGAAATATGAAACCGTCAATGAAATTTTAAGAGATTTCTATTTCATCAGATTAGATTATTATCAACGTCGTAAAGATAATTTAGCAAAAGAGCTGTCAAATCAATTAGAAAGGCTATCAAGTCAAGCAAGATTCATCAAATTGATTATTGATAAGAAATTGAACATCAACAATAGAAAAAGAGTTGATTTAATTGAAGAATTACAAGAGTTGAACTTTCCAAAATTCGATAAAAAGGGTAATCCAATTTTCATCAAAAAGGATCCAGAAGATATTACTCATGATGAAATTGTTGCTGATGAAGATCAAGATGCTGAAGTTGACCCTGATGCTTCAACTGCTGTTCATGTTAGAGAAAATGTCTTTTCAAGTTATGACTATCTTTTAGGTTTGCCAATTTGGTCTTTGACTCGTGAAAGATATGAAAAATTATTACAGCAACAAGCTAATAAGGAAGATGAATTAACTGAATTGTTGAAATTGACTGCTAAAGATTTATGGAACAATGATTTAGATGATTTCTTGGCCTCATGGAAACAATTTTTGAAAGATGATCACATCAAGAGAACTACTTTAATTGCTCCAAAGAAAGGTAAAGGCCGTAAGAGAGCTGCAGCTGATGATGATGACTGGAGTTCTGGTCCAAAGAACAAGAAGAAAAAGAAGGATGATCCTAAGCTTGATAACAGAAAAGGTGAATTGATTCCAATTCCTGATTATGTTGCACCAAAGACCAGAGTCAAGAAGGAAACTACACCAAAAGTTGAAGAAATCAAAGAGGAATCTAGCACAGCTTCGTCAAGTGTTCCACCAGTTGAAACTTCAACAACCACCAAGACCAAAACCACTAAATCCACAGCATCAACTAAAGGTGCTCAAAAACAATCCAAGTTGGCTTTCAGTACACTTGCTAAGAAAGAATCACCAGAACCAGAATTCAAATCTGTTTTCGGTCGTGGTAATACAATTTTCGGCTCACCAATCAAAAAGAAGTCTGATAAAGATGTCTTTGATTTAGATGCTGATGAACTGTCTGCTGATATGGATGGATTTATTGGTAAATTTGGTACTGCTACTAGTGCATTTGATAAGAAAGATACTAGTAAATCATCAAGCACTGAAGATATCATTGAAATTGATGATGAAAGTGATGAAGAACCAGTCAAAAAGGCACCAAAGAAAGCTGCTGCTAAAAAAGTCATCAATAAGACTGTCTCAAAACCAGCTCCAAAGAAGAGAGCCACTAAAAAAATAGAATCGGATTCTGAAGAAGATATCAGTATGATTGATCCTGTTTCCGAAGAAGAGGAAGAAGTTTCAGTTGCACCAAAGAAGAGATCAACTCGTGGTGCTAAGAAAAGTTATAAAGTGGTTGAATCTGATGAGGAGAGTTTTGATGAAACTTTGGATAACAGTGAAAGTATTGTTATTGATGATGAGAGTGATGAAAGTTTCAGTGGGTAATTTCTCTTTTTATTTTATTACAGGTTGTCTGTGTATATTAGAGTGAAATAATGGCTGTTATGGAAAACTATTTGTAGGTAAGGCTCAAGTGATCTGCCAAACAAGTCGTGTCTGTTACGTAATTTCGTACCTGAGTTTTGAATTTTTGCTAAAGCAATTTTGAAAAGACCTTCGTGACAGGAGACACCAAAAGTGTTCAAACAATAGTACGAATATTCATTTAAACTAGAATTATATCTCAATCGTATTCAGATTGTATAGTTATGCTTTCAACCAAAGAAAAAGAGCCCAATTTACACTAAATTTGGCGTTGTAGGCGCAATCTTAGCCTATTACCCTGCGGTAGTGCGTGGCCGAACAGGCTGAAGCTGAAATTAGCAGCTATCAAAACTATTTCACTCTGTTTATAGCTTGGGAAACCTCTTTTATTGTTGTTATTACTGCTCAATTGACCTTGAAAGAGCCCGAAACGTTAATAATCAGCCACAATGGCAACTGCTGTATGTTATTAAATGCTTCATAATGATCAATGGGGATTAATACTGACTTTTCTGGGGAATAGGTTAAAGATCCTGTGCTACCATCGGATCGAACAACTGAGCCTGTCGCAGGTGTAAGTGAACTTGATATTTTTGCTCAATTGAACCAATACTGACAACACATTCTTTTAGCAAGATGATGTTATTAAAAAAGCTACCGACCTAAGTCATGATCCAGAATCAAGTCAATCAATAGACGCTGAAAAATTGAAGGAAGCTGAAGCGCTTGCTGAGAAGGAAAAAAGAGAGCCTGTTCCAGCAACCTCAGTTGGTTGGAAACAAATTGGTGAATGGGAAGAAAAAGATGCTTTAACTCAAGATGATGAGTTGATGGATTTGGCTACGCCAACTTTACTGGATAGTTATTTACCAGATGCTCTTTACGGTGATTGGTATCATAGTGTTGGTTTGCTAATTGGTGCTGGGTTATTGTCCTTCATTATTGGTTGGTTCAATTTCTCTATTGCTCCAGTTTTCTTTGTTACTTTAGCTGCATCTGTTTATTATAGAGCTTCTATCAAAAAATATAGATCAGTTGTTAGAGATCAACTTCAAAGAGAATTTACAATCAAGCACATTGAAAATGACTATGAAACCATGGATTGGTTGAACACTTTCTTGGACAAATATTGGATTTACTTGGAACCTTCAATTTCTCAAATTGTTACAGAACAAGTTAACCCAATTCTTGCTACAAATGAAGCTATCCCACCTTTTGTTAAAGCCATCTGGATTGACCAGTTCACTGCAGGTATTAAACCACCAAGAATTGATTTTGTCAAAACTTTAAACATCCCAAAAGATGATGTTGTTGTTATGGATTGGTCATTTTCATTCACTCCTCATGCTACTGCTGATTCAAGTGCTAAGCAATTGAAGAACTATGTGAATCAAAGAGTTGTTTTGAAAGCTAATGTTTTTGGTGTCACAATCCCAGTTGTCGTTGAAAATGTTGCTTTTAAAGCTTGGGCGAGAGTTAGATTAAGAATGACAACCAAATTTCCACATGTCGAGACTGTTAATGTTTCAATGATGGAACCACCTGAATTTGATTTCATTAGTAAGTTACTTGGTGAATCTGTTTTCAATTGGGAAGTCCTCTCTATTCCAGGTCTTTACCCATTTATTAATGAAATGATCAAGAAGTTTGTCGGTCCTATGGTTTTCAGACCATTTTCATTCCAATTGAATGTGCCACAATTGTTATCAGGTAGTAACACTTCTATTGGTGTTTTGAGTATTAAAGCTAAATCCGCTAAAGGTTTGAGAGCTGCTGATCGTGTTTTGGGTAACACTGTTGATCCTTACTTGACGTTCAACTTTTATGGCAAAGAAGTTTTGGCTAAAACCAAAACCATTTTGGATACTTTTACTCCAACTTGGAACGAAACTGTTTATGTTTTAGTTGGAAGTTTTACCGAACCTTTGATTGTTACTGCTTACGACTACAATGATGATAGAAAAGATAAGAATATTGGATCTTTGCAAATAGATTTGAATGATGTTTCTGATAAAAAAATTGCAAAGAATGAAGTCGGTCAATTTTTGAGAAATTCCAAACCAGTCGGTGAATTATTATATGATTATGAATTCTTCCCAACATTGGAAGAAGAAAAACTACCAGATGGATCAACTGAACCACCACCAGATTTGAATACTGGTTTAACCAAAATTGAATTCACCGAAATTAGAAATGTTCAAAGTGACGGTAAATTATCTTGTTACACTGAATTTTACTTCAATAATGAGCTTGTTCAAAAAACTGGTGTTACTAAAAATAATGACAATCCAAAATTCTCAATTCCATTTGAATCAATCATCACGGATCGTCGTAAAGCAAAAATTAAAGTTCTTGTTAAAGATCCAAAGGGTAAGCTTTTGGCTGCCAGTGTCCAAACATTGAACAGCTTGATTGATAGAACTGAAATAGGTAACGAATGGGTTCCATTCACCAAAGGTGAAGGTGAATTCAAGATTTCAACTGTTTACAGATCTGTTGCTTTGAAAGATGCGCCAGGTGCTGGTGGTTACACTGAGCCAATTGGTGTTGTAAGAGTGTTATTGAATAAAGCAGAAGGATTACGTAACTTGGAGAAAGTTGGTAAGAGTGATCCATATGCCAGAGTTTTGGTCAATGGTGTTGTTAGAGCAAGAACTGATTTCATTCCAAATAATTTGGATCCAGTTTGGAATGAAGCTCTGTACATTCCGGTTACTTCTCCAAATCAAAGATTAACCATTGAAGTTATGGATGCTGAAAAACGTCAAAATGATCGTACTTTAGGTGCTTTCAATGTTAAAACCAGCAATATTATTGAAAAGAACGATGAAGACAAATATGTTGAATATGTCGATAAAGAACTAAGAACTGGCCGTCTTGTTCATAAGAAGGGTCCTAAGGGTATTGTCACTTATGCTTTATCTTTCTATCCAACTGTTCCTGTTAAAACATTAGGTGATATCCAAGAAGAACAAGAAGAAAAATCTAAAAAGGAAGCTGAAGCAGCTAAGAAGGCTGAAGAAGACGCCAAATCTGGTAAGAAAGATAACAAGAAAGATAACAAGAAAGATAACAAGAAAGACACCAAGAAAGAAGGTGAAAAGGAAAAGGTTGAAGGTGAAGATGATTTTGATGAAACCAATAAAGTCCAATTATCACTACCAGAATTACTCACTCACAACACTGGTGTCTTTGTTTACACTGTCTTATCTGGTGAATACAGTTCAATCAACAGTTATTTACAAGTTTTCTTTGATGGTCATGGACATCCAGATAATGTTGGACCAGAAATTAAAAGTAAAAATGTTACTAATCCATTTTCTGGTGATGCTTTAGTTAAAGAGTTGGAATGGTCTAATGTTACTTTCAGATTAGTTAAGGATCCAAAAAATAACAGAGAAGAAGAATCAATTGCAGAATCTTCCTTGCCAGCTCTATCATTATTGAAAAATTCTTACCATCAACCACAAACATTGACTTTAACTGGTATGGGTACAAACAGATTGTTAATTCAAACACAATGGATTCCAGTTGAAGTTAGTAGATTACCACCAGCTGATTTGATCACTAACTCTGGTCATCTGGATTTGGACATCATAAGTGCCAATAACTTGTTAAGTGCAGATTCAAATGGTAAATCTGATCCATTCATTAGAGCTTATATCAATGATGAAGAAGATTCATTCTACAAGACTAAAACAATCAAAAAGACATTAGATCCAACATGGAATGAAAAGACAAGTCTTGAAATTACCAACAGAGTTAATACCGTTATTACATTCAGAGTTGCTGATTGGGATTTTGGTGCCGGTCAGGATGATAAACTGGGTGATGCTAAATTTGAATTAGCTGAAATTGATCCAATCAATCCATCAACATACGATATTCCAGTCGTCGGTCCAAAAGGTGAAGATGGTGGTGTTGTTCATGTTAAAACTTCATTCAGACCAAGTTATATCGTTAAGGTCAATAAGCAGAGTTCAAACATCGGTGAATCTGGTTTGAAAGCTGTTGGTACAGGTCTTGGTGCTGGTCTTGGTGCTGGTAAAACTGTCATTGGAGGTGGTGTCGGCGTTGTTGGTAAAGTTAAAAAAGGTATCTTTGGTGGTGGTAAGAGCAAAGATAAAGTTGAAGAAGAGGAATAAGGGACAAATTAAAAATAACATTTTTTCAAAAAATAAGAAATATGTTTGTGATAACCTTTCATTTGTTTCTTTCATTTTTGTATACACATTTGTACTGTAATTGTTTTTGTATGTTTAAGTTAATAGTTGTAGCTCTGTCAATTTACAACGTGTACGAATTTCCCTTTTCGGTGATTCTTTTTCATTGGATCAAAAAAAAAAAAAAAATTCTGGATGGAAAAAAAAAATTCGACATGTTGGCCAACGTTTTCCTTCTTCTTATTTAACTTGACTCAACTGAATTCATTTCAATCACAACAAAAATGTCTAACAACGAACGTACTTTCATTGCTATCAAAGTAAGTTATATTTCCCAGCTCTAGCTCGTTTCAATTGAATAGCGCGCTAACAAAAATCTCGAAATAGCCAGATGGTGTCCAAAGAGGTTTAATCAACCAAATCTTAGGTAGATTCGAAAACAGAGGTTTCAAATTAGTTGGTATCAAATTAGTTACTCCACAAGAATCATTATTACGTGAACATTATGCTGATTTAACTTCTAAACCATTTTTCCCATCATTATTATCATACATGTTGTCTGGTCCAATCTTAGCTACTGTCTGGGAAGGTAAAGATGTTGTTAAACAAGGTCGTGCTATCTTAGGTGCTACCAACCCATTGAGCTCTGCTCCAGGTACCATCAGAGGTGACTTTGCCATTGACATGGGTAGAAATGTTTGTCACGGTTCAGACTCTGTTGAATCTGCTGAAAAAGAAATCAACTTGTGGTTCAAAAAAGAAGAATTAGTTGACTACAAACATGCCTTATACGGATGGATCTACGAATAAGTTATTTAATGTTTTAAATTTCTTAGATTAATGTATAAAGCGACCTTTTCCGATGAGAAGTTGGTCTGAATATTCTTTTTAAATTTATTCCTGTAGAGAAAAATTCTACTTTGCTGTCCTTTTAGCGAAATTCTGTTAGGGCTGAAATTTCATTCTCCCCCAGAAAATCGGATTTTAGTTTGAAGTTGAATTGAGCATTTGAATCATTCGATGACTACTACAGGACCCGGGTCAAAAACAACAGAAGCGATTTAAATCGATTAAAAACTAGTACCAGAATAAATAATGAAGAATAAAGATTATCACGGGGCAGAAGAAGAGGAAAGTAATAGCAGAGCAAAAGCAATAAAATAGGTTTCAAATCATCGAACCTTCAAGAGGTTTGACAACATCGTCAATTGAACCATCAAGACCCAAAATTCCACAGCTCAATGAGTCAATAACAATCTTAAATCTTTGCTGAAACTTATCAGTACGATCAAGTTCATTAACTTTTTCAGTAGCTTGTAGGACTTCCACAATGTGGCCATATGTTGTGTTGATAACATTTAATCTCACTTCAACGATTTCGATTAAAAATTTCAACTGGATATATTCTTTGAAACCCTTACATTCATTCAACATTTCACTAGCCAATTTCAACGTTGATGACATTTCAATGCTTGAAGATCTCAGATTTTCCTGTATTTCAAAAGGGTTTGCATAAATATCTCTAAATTCAATTAGAGACTTCCCCAGATTCATTTCCAAAAAGCTTGACAACTTGAAAAAATAATCCATTGAACTTTGAGTTGAGTTGATTAATGATGTAAACAAGCTCATGAGTTTTTCCAAAATACATAAAGAGTCGGAGATGATAATTTTTTGGAAAGCTTCAAGTGTAACTAACTGACTACCAAAAAACGTTTCACCACCAAACAAACCTTCACTTGATTCATCAACTTCAAGAAATTTCATTGATACCTCATTTCTTTGGACATGAAATGTACTGATTGAAATATCATTACTTAAAAGACTTTTAATAAGTGGCAGATTCAATCCAATAATTCTCTTAATTTTTTGTGAACTGTCATTCAAAACCATGGTGTTTAATCCAACAAGATAGACATTCAATTGTAAAGATTTCCCTCCAACATCCTTAAGGTGATCCATGACCAAGTCAAGGGAAGGAATGATCTTATTCTTGAAATATGACAGATCACAGTTGTACATATCCAACATAAGATTTCTGCTCAAATTTTTGGTACCAGCTGTCAAATCACTATAAATGAACTGTTTGAATTCCTTATTAACCATTTCAAGAGGAGTTATGAATTTGGCCACAGCATCACGGAATGAGTTGAATCTATGATATAACAAAAACTCTTCTCTCTTCTTTCTCAAATACTTGATGATTCTGATCAAAACTTCCTCCTGATGATCCAATTCATTATGAGCAACACTATAACCTAAAGAAATTCTCAAGCGCTTCAGTTCAATATAAAATCTCAATACTTTGAACAATGTAATGTAAGTATAAGTGAAAGTATCCCAAAACCTCATAAAACAGTCAATTTTTTCCTGATCATTTCTGAATAACAAGTTCTTCACCTCAATAAATGAACTTCTATTGAAACTCAACCTTCCCAAACTAGAGATAGCCATTTCTCTCAACACTGTCTTTGTCAACTAGCCGCCCTGAATCTCTTGTTGGATTGGAAAAGTGTGTAATGATCTCCATATTTCAAAGACAAAGGGCCCTTATCAACTCAAATCCGCGAACATCAAAGGCAGGAATATCCGTAGCTAATAGTATAATCAATAGAATCAACAAGAAAAACAAAGCAAAAATATATAGTAATAATGTATCAATCATAATAAAGTAGCTCAATTTTGGCCATCAAGATCTCTGAGATCTCTGTCAAAGATCCCAGGTGTTCCAAAATAGCCAGAGTGACGGATAAAGGACACGAAATAATCGTATGCTTGTTCACCAAAAGCCAAATATTTGGAAATGTACTTTCTCAAGTCTGAACCTTGGTACAAGAGACTGGTATATTGTTAGAGAGACAGTCTTTTAGATTGATTTCCATCAATACTTACACTAAACCTGTGTTTCTTCTTACTGAAGCCAATAACATGGAAATAAGAACCAAATCAACGGAATAATGCACCAATTTACCAATCTTGAGACATAATGTTAGTCCAATGAACATATCAGCGCCATAAACAACAACATACACTCATTTGCAATCAATATATCACTCTTTTCTGCACTTTATAAACTGCACTTGTTGTGGTGGTTTTGGGACATAAAGACGCCAGAATTTTGAATTTTTTGGGGGAACGTATTGTGCTGGTATTTACACAGCCTAATACGCACTAACTGTGTATATTTCAGCACTAAGAAATCTCGAAGTGAAAAATGTAAACAACAGTGGAAACGACATGTAAACTATGGCAAAAGGTTCTCCAAGTATATAGAACCATCCTCATTATGAGTGTTCCATTGACGCCAGAAACGTACTCCAAATTCAGAGTATCGAAAGTCTTTGAATCAACAGATCCAGAAGCCTGTATAACGTCATTGGATTTCGACGATTCTGGTCAATTCTTAATTTCCACTTTAACTAATGAATCAATAAATCTATATGATGCTTTCAAAGGTACTTATAGTAAACCAATATATTCCAAGAAATATGGCTGTCACCTTGCAAAATTCACACATCAACAGAAAAACTGTGTCTATGCTTCAACAAAAGAAGATAATACAATCAGATATTTATCATTAAATGATAACTCATATATAAGGTACTTTAGAGGTCATAAAGGTTTAGTAACATCATTAGAAGTGAGTCCACTGCAAGATGTCTTCTGCTCAGCTTCACTAGATGATACTATCAAACTATGGGACACGAGAACTTCATCATTTCAAGCCTCAATACCTTCTGAAAAACCTTCATATGTTGCATTTGATCCATCAGGTTTAGTCATAGCGGTAGCATCTGAAGCAACAGGTAAAGTCGAATTAAGAGATGCTAAACAATTTGATGCAATGCCATTTCAAACCTGTCAACTACCGAAAGGTTTTAGGTTCAACAAGATTGAGTTTTCAAATGATAATAAATATTTCTTATTAAGTTCAACAAATCAAAAACATATTATCCTTGATGCTTTTGACTTATTCGTTCATACAGAGTTGGGAGAAACAGAGCCAATCCCACCAAGAGCTTGGCCAGATACTGGTTCTGCTTGTTTTTCTCCAGATGGAAGATTTGTATTTGCTGGTAATGGTGATGGTAAAGTGGCATTATGGGATTTGAATGTTGAACCTGGTCAAAAGCTTCCACCTGTATTACCGCCAATTTCGAAATTGATAGGAGATACAAAGCCAAGAATGTGCGCATTCAATCCAAAGCATTTGGAATTAATAACAGCTGATACACAATTAGTGAGTACAAATAAACCCTTTATTCTTTCTTGATGAATATTTACTAACTCTTTTTTTCTATAGTCCATGTGGTTGCCAGATCTTGATTAATAGAATTCTACACTCTAATTTTGCTAAGCATTTTATTATAATATATCATCAGGGTCAGGATAGATCAATTCTGCATTAGTTTCATTCCATTCAACCCAGTCATGTAAAAATTTACTACCTTGAGTGATTGTTTCCATATCACCAACAATACATAATTGTCTCTTTGGTCTTGTTATGGCAACATTCAATCTCCTCTCCTCTGCTAGAAACCCAACTGATCTCGTATCATTACTTCTAACTAATGATAAAATAATAACTTCTTTTTCACGTCCTTGAAACCCATCAACAGTGGAAATCTCAATTTGAGGATGATCACCATGTAACAATTTCTTCAAAAAAGAAACTTGGGCATTATAAGGTGCAATCACACCAATATGTGCTTGTTGAACCCCTGACTCGATCAATCTCTTGATGTGAAGATGTACAACATATGCCTCCATATCATTGTACTTTGATGAAACTAATTCATCATCATCTGCACTATCCTTCTCGGGAAAATCACCTTGTGTATCATACCAAATAACTGGGAATTCTGTATAATCATTCTGTTCAACATTTGTTAGGTCTGGTAATAAGATATTTGCCACAGAATCATCAGCTTTCAGTTCACCATTGTAAAGTTTTTGAGATGAAAACTCCATTATTGATTTATTCATTCTATATTGAGTATCTAATAATTTCTTAAAAGAATCACCATAATTTGAAACAAGTCTATCAAATAATGTTGTTGCCAAAATATCTTTGACATTGTCGTTATTATCTAATTTAATAGTTGGTGGTAATTGTTGATTATCCCCAGCTAGAACCAATTTCTTAACATCCGATTGTAAATGATTTATTATAGGTATCCAACATTGTGGTTCTAATGATTGAGAAACTTCATCAATTATAATTGTATCGAAAAGTTTTAATCCAGGTTGTGAATTGTAAATTGATAATAAATCTCTTGAACTTGAACCATGTAAAGTTGCCACAACAACTTTTGCTTGTTTAATAACTTCATGTGTAACTTTTTTCTCTCTGATTCTTAACTCCTTTCTCAACTCTTTAACGTCTTGCCAAATTGCCTTTTTCTCTCTATAACTTTTAGTTTTCTTGATCTTTTTGATGGTATCATCAATTTCCTTCTTAATATCATTAACTAATTGACCACCATCACTTGTTGTACTGACTATATCTAAACAATGTTGTAAATTTGAACTTAATAATCTAGCAGGATGACCTATTCTTAACAATTGATCACCTGGTAATTTCCCATTTAATCTCTCCAATATAGTATCAGCTGAAATGTTTGAAGGGCCACAAACTAAAACTCTTTGACCTTTTTGAACTAGTTGTCTTATTAATTCAATCAATGTATATGTTTTACCAGTTCCCGGAGGTCCATGGATAATACTAATCGGACTGTTGATTGCGAAATTGATTGCATTTTGCTGTGACTGATTTAAATTTTCATCAAAAAAGTTCAATGAGCTGAATGATTGTTTTAGTTGTGATTCTTGTGGTGGGATATATTTAGCTTCATTAAGTAAAATTTGAATTAGTTCATTAGGTATTGATTCAATTTCTGAAAGTTTCCTCATTGTGGACTCCATTCTTTTATAAGTTATTGAATTTGATATTTTGACAATCCATAGTTTATCATTGGCAATGTTTAATATCTTTTCTTCAAAATTTTCATCAATAGTTATAACAATTGAAGTTTGTGATACTCTAGTAACGACACCTTCACAAGCAGTGTCTGTTTCCTCAGTTTTCGGTTTCTTCTTTGTTGATGAAGCTGTCTTGTCAATTCTCACTATATCACCAGTCCTTATATCACCAGCAACAATTGACTCTGATTCATGACCTCCTAGATCGTTTTTCAACTCTAAAATTGTACGACCACCGAGACCTGTTTTGATATTCTCTGATGTTAAATTGATGATTGCAAGACCTTTAGCTGCTAATTTCTTTGGAGGCAAAGTGTTTAAAAGTAGTGAGGTTTGATCAATATCAGCTCCTCTCTCTAGTCCAATGCATTTCAAAAACTTTTCAGCTAGTTTCTTGTTGGACATCTTGCAGTGAGTTTGTTTATTGAACAGAGTGATCTATGCTAGAACTACGTTATATTTTCGCCTAGATTCGCGAATTGATATTTCGCTACAAATTTCAGTTTCATCATGATAAAAAAAATTGTATCTAATTATTCATAATCAATATGTAATCATAAAGTTTCTTTTCTGTATTTTAGGTGTATAGAAATAAATCACAGTTTGTTATCTTGGAATTTATTGTAATTATGCAATTTTCTTTCAGTTTATGAATGATTGATTTAACCATCAATCTACATAACATTAAGATCACCGAATTTTTCTTTGTAACCTGGAACAGCCCATTTACCTTTAGAAACCATCAATTCAACCTTATCATCGATATCTGGTCTAACTTTAACAACATCATCAACGGTTAATTGATCGAATGGTCTAGCAGCATCAATGTTAGCTAAAGTTTTTTGTAAGTCGGCCAATTCTTTAGCAACGACATCTTCAGTGGCAGTAGCGTTTTCAACGGCTTTAGCTTCGAAAGCTTCAATTGATTTCAATTGTTTAGCAACGTCATAAGTGACAGGTTTGTAAGCTTTGACGTGTTTTTCAATTTCATCAACAACAGCTTGGTTGTTTAAAACCGATCTGTAGTGAGAGAAGTCAACATCAGTTGGTTGAGCTTTTAATTCAACAATTGAACGACGAGCTTCATCATTTCTCTTTTTGAAAGCTGATAAAGAAGCAGCAGTGTTACCGGTTAAACCAAGTTTGGAAATGACTTTGGTCCAGTCTAATTTAGCAGCAGCAGAAGCACGCTAGAAGTGGTATGTTAGTACATGGATTCCTGGTTGACTAGAAGGGAGTGTTTCAGTGGTTTATGATTTGAGCCTGTTGCTTGATCTCTTTCAATAATGGGTGTTTCTGTTCTCAACACAAAATCTTTTGGGGTAAATACTCATTTCGGCGGTGTTCAAAGACAAAAGATGGTAAATTTATTCAATCAAATAATATAGTTACCACAAAAGGGCCACTTCTTCAAGTTTCTAGTCATCATTCTTGACTTTTCAAAACCAATGTTTTCTTCACACCCTCGAGATCTCGAGACGACGATTCCATCCTTAAAGGCAAGCAAACCAAATTTAATCATAAACACACTCTCTCTGTTGAATGTAGACTTACTAAAGCAGACATCTTTAATTGAATATTTAAAACTTTAGTTGTGTTGTTCTGTTTCCAGGTCTTGATCTTCAAAAGTGTGTGTATCCCTTTTCCTCAACGATTGTTTTTTCGTGGGAATGGTGATTTTTCATTGGGTTTGCACAAGCCATACAAATTAAGAAACGCCGGCGTTGAAACACTTGCGCAACACCCGAACACCACACTCTGATGACTAATATTTCCAGCGGAAGCCCAATTCCTTCAAATTTTTCTATGATAAACAAAGCATCAAAACATCAAAACAATACAAAAGCATCGTCTTCGAAGCTATGGCCAATCCAGGTTCAGTTCCTCTCAAACCAAGCGCCAGTGCTCCATTAGCCACTGCTGCCCATGCTGCTGCCGCCCAGGACCAGACTCCCTTCCCATCAGAAGCTGATCAACCAGTCACCAAGCAAAAGAGAAGATCAACTATAGCGTGAGTATAATCAGTGCATCGTGAATGTATCACAAACTAACTCTTCTCAATCAGTTGTGTTAGATGTCGTCGCCGTCACATCAAATGTCCTGGTGGTGAACCATGTACAAAGTGTATCCAAGCTAAATCTGCTTGTGAATACATAGAAGCTGATAAGAAAATTGTCGTTTCAGTAAGATACCTTCAAAAACTTCATGATGATGTTGCAAGATTGAAGAAGGATAATATAAGTCTAAGGGCGTCTTTGAAACAGGCTAAAACAAGATCCGTTAGTGAAACCAACAGTGTGGCTGACGCCGATAGTGATGCAGGTAATTCAACTAGTGCACTGGATAGTTTATTAGAAACTCCTGATGTGGATTCAATTTTATCAGCAACCTTCTCATATAATACAGCTTCAAACAACCCTTCAGAACCAAATACTGGGGAAGGAACAAGTAATCATAATGATGAAGTGGTTGCACCTTTTGTTGATCAACAACGTCAATTAGTTTATTCAAGAACTGGTGAAAAATTCTATGTCGGATCTTCTTCAATGACATTATTTGGTATTCAAGTCCAAAATATGATTCCAAACAATGAATCTGAAATAGTTAGTGGTGAAAATCCAAGTTTAACTAATACTGAAACCGTCTTGGAAAGAGAAGGGAATGCTTATAGAATCATGTTGGGTAAAACAAAGACAAGACCAGGTATCTCTGTTAATTTTACATTGCCTTCATATTCTTATGCAATGTTGTTGGTGGATACCTTCATTACATATAACGATGGTTGTTTTTACTTCTTCAATGAAGGTGTCGTGAAGGAGAATTTAAGAAGAGTTTATAATGGATTGGGTACTGATTCTTCTGATTCAATAATTGAAACAATTTGGTTTTGTAAAGTGTTGTTAATCTTTGCAGTTGGTGAAATGTACCTGGGTACTGCAAATAACATCAACGGTAACAAATCACAAGATGCTAAATTACCTGGCTCTGGATTCTTCCATCAGGCTTCAGAATTATTTACTGGTCTTTTCGCATCGGGTGCTATTGATAACTGTGCTAGGGAAGGTGGTATTGAGGTTTTATTACTTTATGCATTCTATTTACAAGTTGCTGATTGTACAGTTGCATCTTACTTTTATTTTGGATTGGCATTAAGAGCTTCACTTATACTAGGTATGCATGTCGATGCAGAGAAAGATAATGTTACAAGATATGAGTTAGAACATAGAAGAAGGTTATGGTGGACCGTCTATATGTATGAAAGAATGTTGAGTTCTAAAGCTGGTCTACCTTTATCATTGAATGATAATAGTATAGGAACAGAATTACCTGATGATTTTGACATGTTCAACCCTCCACCAGGATGTGAGCATTATATTTTCCCAGAAGCTGAATACATTACAAATTGTGTGAAAATTACCCAAATTAATGCTAAAATATTATCATGTCTTTATCAAAAACAACCAAACAGTAATATCTTACCAGTATTGGCGGAATTAGTTGGTCAATTAATTGAGTGGAGAACCAATCTACCAGAATTTTTGAAGGCTGATTTCAATGCAAAAGATTTACAAATTTCAAGATTAGTTACAAATATGATGACAGAATATTTCCAAGGTATGAATTTAGCTGTTAGACCTTTATTGTTCCATTTTGCTTCAAAGCAATTGAAAACTCACAAGACTGATAATAAATATATTGATCTAAGTGATTACTCGAAATCAATCATTACACTTTTCAACTCATCATTCCAAGCATCTATCAATACAATTAGATCACTTTGGTCATTGATGCCTGAAAATATGGTTGCTCTTTTTGGTTATATGGATAGAGAATATCTATTCACTTCAGCAGCTACATTGATCCTGTTTAATGCTGCATTTGGTGTTCATCAAGCAACTTTTGAACATCTTGACCATGCTTTACAAATTTTCACAAAGATGAGAAACTTGGGAAATCATGCTGCTGCTTTAAGAAGGGCACAATTACTAAAATTGATGAGCACTTTAGATTTCAACAAAATTATGCAACCTTTGATTGCTAAGCATACTGATGATTATCAACCAGCCAATATCTCATATTCTAATACTCCACCTCCTTCACAGGTCCCAACTTCATCAAAATCAAAGAAGCATCCATTATCACAAGAACAAGATAGCGATGCACATTTTGCAAGACCAAACTTCCAACATTCAACTTCCTCTATAAGACAAGGTGATAGATTGAAAAGACTCAAAATCGATAACATCATTGAGCCAAGATATCAACAAACAAACCTTTCAAAACTTAGTGATACAATTGATCCAGAACCAGTGTTACACACGGAAAGTAATAGAGTGGGTGATACTTTGCATATTCTACATCATGGTAATGTTACTGAAGGGGAAAATGAACTATGGAAAGAAATTTCAAATGAAGCAATGTGGCTAGGTCCCCTTGGTGAAGTTTCTGAAGAATTTCAATCACTTATGGATGACTTTGCCTAACTGATATTAATGACTACAAGTTTGTTTTCTTTATATTCTATTTATTTTTATTGTACAATTTAGTTTATGACTAATGATTTCATTTATGCAATCTTTTTGTAAACCCTTGAACAACATCATCATGAGTCCAATTGGCAATTCTTTTCTTATTTTGACCAATTATTGAATAACGTAATCCAAGTTCTTTCAAATTTAGAACCTCTTGTTTATTTTTAACCAGTTCATTGTTGATAGTGATCAATTCACCATTATGCTCATCAACAGATAATTGCTGTTCAATATTTGCCAAACCACCATAACGCGTGACCAACATATCTGCACCATCTTCAACATCTTGGACACTCTTGATGAAATCTAAGATCAAGAACTTCAACTGTGAGGTGATATATGGAGATGATTCTAAATTCAATATCCATTCAAAAACATTCTTATTTCTTAGCAAATTCACATCATCTTTATTCTTGACACCTGTAACAAAACCTTCAATTAACCAAACCAGCTGTTTATAGTAGTGGCTTGCATCATCATTGGTAACTAACACCGTGCTGATTTCATTAAACAGAGGAATTTCATTCTTTCTGATAACTGGTGATTTTAAAATCCATCTAAAAGCCTTTTCGTATAAGAAATGGCCAGGATTGTTCAATACTATTGATAATTTTGAAATCATAGAGTAGATCAATGGAGAAAATTCTTGTGGATTTGTTCTTTCCCCTAATTCAGATGTTTTCTTAAAAGTATAAACAACCTTAGATAAAAACAATTCAAAAATATGTTTATCTTTGAAGGATGAATCACCTTGTAACGAATGAAGTAGTGCTGATAAAATATTCAAAGTAACTTGTAGAAGGTTTTTGTCTTGTGATGATAAGTTCATTAAAATAAATGCAAAAAGTTCAGACTCAACAAGTTTTCTCATATTCACTTTTGGTGATTGATCTTCCCCATCTGTGCTTGAAGTCATCAATTCTTCATTATTGATAATTAACAATGATAGGAACAACGGATTGTAAGAATCCTTCTTGGAAACAGCAGACTCAACTTCCTCATAAAAACTTTGAATCTTGTTCCAATTTCCAAAGCCACTAGAGTTTAATGATGGAACCTCAAAATTGGAAATGCAGTAGTTTTCTATAGTATTTGTGATTTTAGTTTTGCTCAATGTAACAATGAAGCCTTCTTTCTTTTTCTCAATAAATTTAGTTTCACCAATTAATTCAGTTTCTTCATCAGTTAAAGAGTCAAGGAAGTCCCAGGTATAAACCAAATCAACCCATGAGCTATTCAATCTGGTTTCTATCTTTTCCAGAATTTTATATAATAGCTGATCTTCTGCATTATTTGTACCATTGTAAAACATTAATATCTTCTCTTGTAAACTTAAACTAGAATTTTTTGAGACATCAAATTCAAACAATCTCCATAAGATCAAAGCAGACAAAAATCTTGATCTGGAAGTGGCATGATTCTTATTCAGAAAAGCAATATCATCATTCGCTATAAAAATTTGCAATAACTTTGTAGTTTCTAATGAAGCTTTTGAGGCAACAACAATAATCATGGCCGCGAATTCTAATGGTGTCTCATCAGCTACCCATCTAGTAAAAATGGCTTCCAATAGTGTATTCAAATTAGATTTGTTGGCGACTTGAATAGATCCTGATTTTGATAATAATGATTTGAAACTTTTCAAAAACGCAATGAAAGATGCTGGAAGTTGTTTGACTTCAGAAAAGACCTTAGTCATGAACAAAATTGATTTATTAATCCACACCTTAACAAGATCATCTTGGAAACAATTGAAGCGTTCGATTATTTCGGCAATTTGTTGAATATACTTGTTGCTGTATTTTGTTAACGCATATGATAAAATTAGTTGTTGAACTTCTGCATCGATATTTGATGTGGAGTGGACAAATATATTCAAAAGCTGAGGAAATGATATGATCTCAAAATCTTCTTTTTTGATATGTTCAATAGCATATAATTCTGCAACTTCAATTAACTTCATGAATGTTCCATTATCAATAGAAGAAACTGCTGCTGCTGACAAGGATGAACAAACATAACAAGTCAAAACCGGGTCATCTTTAAGTATAACAAATTCTAGCAGTTGGGGGATAATATCAAGGTTTTGAGAGAGTAAATTGAACAACGAGAATCTTGAGTGATCACTTGAAAGTGTAGTAAACAATGGTTCTAGATTATCAAAAGCAACAAGGTTCAATGAAACGAAGTGTTCAATTAGAGGTAAAAGAGCAGGCTCTTGTGCCAATGAAGCAATATTGATGGAGCTTAATGAGACTTTTCTCTTTGATAGGAGTGACAAAGCTTCTTGTTTCAATAACAAACTATCGTTCTCAAGAACTTTTAATAGCGTTGAGTCGTCAAGAGCCCATAAACATGCAGCAATAACAGAATCCTCATCAGAAGATGTCTTTTTCTCTAGCAACTCATTAATGACTGCCTTGAAATCAAAATTGTTGAATTCTGGTAATTGTGAAAAAATTTCAGCAAGTGTGCAGGATATGAAGGCAGTTTTATCATTTTTTTTTTCTGTAACAAACAATGGCAGCCAATACTTCTTATTTGAAAATTCTTTTGTGGCTTCTGTATTTCCGATCAGGTAGTTACCAACCTTTGATAAGATGTCAACAATAATCTTTTCCAGCCCACTTTGATTCAACTTTAGGGTGTTATCATTGGAAATTTGCAAAACTCTGAATAACGCACCAACCAGATCTAAATGTGATGTAGGTAGCTTGACATTATTTTGAATTTTATTCAGTGTTGCAGTGGTTATTGAGTCAAAAAATGAAGAATTTGGTTCAACTTTCAATATTGGATCATTCTGAAGTTTCTGAAGGTTTTCCTCATATGGCCCAGAGGGCAAGTAGTCAGAAATTGAACAATCAAGATCAACACCCTCAAGCAATTTTTCAATTGCACTAATTGGTTCACCAGCAATGACCAAAAGTCTTAAAAATATAGCAAACCATTTTGAAGTCAAGTCATATGGTGTTTCTTTGTCAACAAACTTCCATTGCTCAAAGATGGTAACTAGTAAAGGACTAATCCTTTGTAAGTCTTTTGAAGAATCAAGATACTTGAAAGGTGCCCGAACACATCTTGATACTGATTCATCTAATAATTTCCAAATTTTCTCAATCTGGGGATTGTCTATACCTCCAATTGAAGTTACAAGCTGTAAAGAATGGACAAGCAACTCTATTTGATTCACCTTTGCCTCCTCGTGATTGAAAACAACTGTTTGTTTAACAAGACCACATAATAAGTTAGTGATTTTAGCTGAAACTGCACTGTTTGTTGAATCATTTGAAGATGCAAGCTTCAATAAGGAAGTGAATAGTGAAATTGATTTATCAGTTTTATTCCACCATTTTAACTGTGTGCTATCACCCTCTTGTAACTGGAAGAATCTATCTAACAAGACAAAATCAATACTTTTGAATTGTTTCTCATTGATTATATCAGAGTAAGGTTTGGATAACTGTTGAGAAAAGTTCAATGACTCCGAAAACAGCTTCATGTAACCATTGACGACACTTAAAAGCGTTAGCAGCAATATCTTGTTTTCACTTTTCTTGTTATAAGAATCTGTTAAACTGTTCAAAACTGTGGAAATTTCTGGAAGGGACAAACGGACTTTGTTTAACAATTGTATCTTTGCCTCGTCCCAACCTTTCTTGGAATAAAGTGATATGATTTGTTCAAGTTTCAGGATGGAGTTAATAATCAATTGTGATGACAATTGTCTAATAAGGAATGAATCCGAGATCAAACATCTTGCTAAGACTGCTCTATTTAATACGCAAGGAACAACTAGCTCTATCATTATATTTGTGGAAGGTGGAACCATGGCGTCATGCGACTCAATATCAGCAGGTATATCCAAGCAGATCACTTTACTCAATAACAAAGTTTGCCCAAGCCAGTACGATGAAAGTTTTGGATCATGTAAACCACGAGATGCCAAATAGTTCATGAACGGAGGTATCATTTCTGGAGAAGCTTTCAAAATTTGAATTGTCGTATTTAGCTGAAGATCATCATCCCAAGGTTTTAAATTTGTAATTAAACCATAAAGTAATTTGTTGTGGGTTTTGAAAGATTTACCATTTACACTGATGGTGCCTGACCCTGAAGTTTGTAAGAACCAAGCTTCATCATCATTGAATCTTAACCCATATTTGGAATCTGTGGCTAATGAAAGAATGAATTTATCAAACACTGAACGCAGCTCTTTGTCCTTGGTGTAATATATTGGTAATAACTTTGAAAGATTCCATTCATTGAAAACTTTGATTTTTGTTGCCTTCTTAAAGCTTTGTTCTTTGATAATTTTTTCGTCCCAAACAGAGATGGTTAATCCTATCAATCCATCACTATCAATGGTACATATATGCTTGAACCAGTTAATCATGATCTTACTATTGCTTAGAAGTAAGTCTTTTCTAAGAAGTGGAGCAGAGTATTTTAGCAGATTCAACAAAAATCTGATAAAGCAATATCTCATCGAAAGATGTTCTTTTTCTTTTGTACCTTCGATATTTGACAATTCTGATTTTGATGGATTTAACAATTTTGGTAGTACTGGTAATGTGAAATCAAACAACGCAACAAAATCATCAATCAGTGCACCATTTTTGAAAATCACTATTTCATTAAGTAGTCTGATAATAGGGTTTGTTAAAGAAGCTCTCATACTGTTTAAACCTCTGTAAATTGTTTTGATGTAACTAGTTAAGATATCCTTAATTAACTGAACACCATATTCTTGAAGCTCATCATTGTTACTAATGAATCCCAACAACTTGCTTAGTGATATTGTGGAAGTTGTGAATTTTCTATGATCGTTAACTTGAGCAAAATAAGACCAACTTTGTAGAAGCTGATTCCCAAACCCTTTGGATAAAAACTGTGATATTTCATTTAATGATTCCTCTTTCAAAAGAGTACCAACCTTTTCCAAAACTCCATTATCAACGGAGCCTGAAGCAGTTTGTGCAGGCGGCACCCATTTCTTCTTTGGATGAGGTATACCAGACATCAGACCCTTTTAAAAATGCCTAAGCCTTCAACTAGCGATTCAACAAGTTTGACTATTTACATGTTTTTTCAATCATAAGAAAAAAAAAATTAGCAGCTCATCGAAGCCCTCGGAAATAAATTACACCTCGGAAATATAAACTACATCACGATTCAACAAAAATCCCTTTGAAATTATAGTTGATCAATTCAAGTCAGTAGACCATTAATCACTTTCCTGTGGTGGTTTCGATCTCGGATTATCTGGAAAGAAAGTTCTTCCAATTCTTGCTTGTTTTCATCAAGCTCTTTTTGAAACAATTCAACGGCTGTCAACGGTCTCTGTGTCTCTTTCTTGAATTCTAAAGGATTTCTCCGTACACTTCCAAAAGCTCTTGAATTTGATCTAGACAACTGACATGAAGTTTTTCTTGAATCTCGCTTTGTAGTGGGTCTTGATGGTTCATAAAAATCCTGGAGAAAAGAGGACACTTCTTCACTGTCATATGTGTCATCATCAATAGATGCAAAGTTCACAATCACATTATGATAAGCATCTGAGCCTGGTTTTGGGGTTGATTTCTCAATGGGTGTTTTGGGATCTTCGATATTTTCTATTTTGCTAGATTCGTTACGTGAAGGGGTGCTAATCTTTGTGGAACCACTAAAATTTTCAATACTCGGTGACCCTTTATCAACAGCATCTAAAGTTTTAGCATAAAGTTTTCCAAATAAATCATCGTTTCCAGCCACTGTTGTTGATGATGCAGAGCTGAAGTCGCTCTGATAATTATTGCCTCCGTTGGGTGATGGTTTGGTAAGGTTCTGGCCAAATAGTGAAGATAAGCTCTCCTTCTGATTTGTTGACAACTCCTCATTATTTTCTTTAAACTTTTCCTTCTCTTTCTCCTTGAGCGATTCATCTGAATTCAAATGACTCCTCAATTTGCCTTTTGCTCTTAGTGATAGACTTCTTGCAAACGATCCAAGCTTGCTAGGTCTTCTCTGTACCGAAAGATTGACATTATACTTCTTTGACAACTCAAACTCACTAGATGTTATTGATATTCTATCAACCTTGTCTTTATTGTTTGTTCTACCATAAGGATTCCATGTTTCAAAATCTTGTGAATAATCATCCTCAGCATCTTTATCTGATCTAGATGTGCTCTCTTCTGGTGATTTTTTTGATGGACTTAAAGATTGGATAACCTTTGTAACCTTCTCATGAAAAGTATTTTCTTTCTTCACAGATAAATCAAAGGGTATAGCATCCATATCTTGTAACAATTGATTCAAACCTGAGCTATCCTTCATATATCTCTGAGTCAATGTTTCCTGAACATCGTATACTGATGACGTTACAACTGATGATTCCGTCTTGTTTTCACTTGGAACACTAATTGGACCTTTTGACCTGAAAAAGAAACTTCTAAAACCTGATCTCTTATTAGACTTGGAGCTCTTGATGCTACTACTTGGAACATCTCTTTTTGACCTCCAGCTAATCCTAAGTGACCTATGACGCTTTGATGTCTGTATTTTGACATTACTATCTTGAATACTTGTATCATCACTCTCTTCTTGAAATGAATTTACCTCTTTCTCGGTCACCTTTGTTGAGGTATATGTATCCAGGCTGTTTGACAGTTCCTTCTCTATTCGACAGTCATCTTCAGGGGAGCTGGTGTAATCAGGGCTTTGTGCCTTCTCTTTCCTTCTAAAAACTTTTGTGAACCTATGACTTCTAATCTTTTCGCCATCTCGCTTGGACTTTTTATGCTCTAACCTATCTTCTTCAAAATGTGACTTGAAATCTCCATTTTCATAAGCATCATTCCCTGCTGATGGAATCCTCTGAGATTTTCTGATACCCGTGGATCACTCAACCTCTTTGACAAGATAGTAGCGTGAAGCATACTTTCAAACATATTGACTCTGTAAACCCATTCAAGAACATTTTTCCCACCGGCTGATCTAATACGTTGTCTTTCAATTAAAACCACGTCTGGAACATCTTGATCTTTATTGAAAATAAGCTCATCCACCACTCTATAACTTAGCTCTGCATACTTAGAAGGTTCATATGAAGCATCACTAGAGACATCAGCCCACTGGTTCACATCAAGCTTGGTCCACTCTTTGATTAAAGGTGGTGTGTTGAATGGTAATGTTTTATCAAGTTGGAGTTTTGCAAATGAAAAGTTTTTGATCCCCATGTCGATAGCCATGATATTGAATGTTTTTCCATTTATAGGAGTCCTTTGAAAAGGTGAAACTTTTGGAAACTCATTGGTTATAGCTGCTAAAAGAGTTTTTTTATCACCACTAGATGCTGGTTATTAGTATTAGGCTTCAAGTCTTTTGACCAATGTGAATTTGCAGCTACTCACGAATACCAGTGCTGAAGCAGAGTCTTTTGAGTTGAGCAACCGTCTTCTTCTCGAGCTGGCCTATCATTACAGATTGCGTAGAACTGATAAAGCTTCTGCTGGTTTGTAACCTCTCCATTCCAAATAACTGATCTGTCAAATATTTTCAGTTCAATTCGCGAAAAGTTTAAGGTCTCATTGTTTACATTTCCCAAAACCACAAAACCATACAATTTGAGTATCCAGAGGAATTATGAGTGGATATTTCACGAGCCTAAGCAGAAAATATTTGACACAGAAAATGTATAAATTCAAGAGGAAAATGTTTAATAGCTAAAGGACATCTACGGAGTTGATTGATTTTGGTCGTTTCAGCATTAGAGGCAAATAGAACACATTGAACAACACTTCGCTTTAGCTTTCAATTTAATTGCTTCAAGTAGCTATAGAGAAAGGGCGTTTATTTAAGCTTGCTGATTATTGTTTTTTGTTTATTTTTTTCAGGAATGGGATTTTTCAAATTATCACAAAGGTCTCATATCGCATCCAAGCAAGAAGACAACTTTACGTTTGATGATGATTATGAAGGACTCTGTTGTTGTGTCTGCTAGTCCTCAAAGAATGGGTCTGTATTGGACACCAGACAATAGTGACAGATCTACAAACAAAAACAGTAAAAAGGTTAGACTAAGGCTGGTTGAAAAATGGCTTGCTGATTATTCCAAAGATTCATCATCTAATCCATTCATTTTACCCGTTGATGTTACAATTGAAAATGATGACCCAAAGAAGAGTAGATCGGCTTCAAAATGGATCTTTGAAACAGTTATGAAGAATTCAAGGTTTCATAGCGGTGAATTAGATTCAAAAATTGTTGAAAAAGGTGATGATTTAGTTGACTCATTACTTCATGGTTTATCATACGTAAAATGGGAAAAGAACAGAATGATTTTGAATATGGAGATGAAGGAATCCATTGATGCAGTTATAGAAACAAGTGACAAGATGTACTTGTCACATATGAAATCTCTAGAATTTTTGGATTCGAAGAATAACAAAAAAGATATACCTCTTGAAGAAACTGAGAAACCAAAGGTTAAAAGATCAAGAAAAACCAGCAAAAGAAGAACTAAAATTGAGGAAACAGCTTAGAGCTACATGTTAAACCAACATGATTCTTCAATTGATATTTAAAGATCAATAAACGTGTATATACTTGAAATGATCGATTAATGATCCTAAATATTGTTCGTAAATTTGAGCTATATCTGTCATCTTGAGGCGTGCCATCAGTATCGACAATTCGCGAACATCGCGAACATGTTCTGCAAAAATAGTTTCGCGTGTATTTTGTGAAGCGTTGTTCAAGAAGAACACCAGATCCAAATTGCCCAATATTAGCATCAACCAGATCAAAACAATCATGAATCTCAGACTACAACTGGCCCAAGTGCTCAATCTGATCTATGTGGTGACCTCTGCCTATATGTTCTGGAAGGGGCTTTCAGTCGCTACAAACTCATCCTCTCCAATTGTTGTTGTGCTTTCAGGTTCCATGGAACCAGCGTTCCAAAGAGGTGATATCTTATTCTTGTGGAACAGAAATGAAAGATCTAAGGTTGGTGATGTTGTTGTTTATGAAATCAATGGTAAATCTATTCCAATTGTGCATAGAGTGTTGAGAGAACATCATAAGTATGTATGAAGGTGAAGTTTATATGAATTTTTAAACTAACATTGTTATTCTAGTGATAAAAAACAATTACTATTGACAAAAGGTGATAACAATCCTGTTGATGATTTAGGTTTATACAACTATAACCAAAACTATTTAGATAAAGAAAAAGATATAGTTGGTACAGTTAAAGGTTATTTCCCAAAAGTTGGTTATGTGACGATTCTTTTAACTGAAAATCAATATTTCAAGTATGGTTTACTAGGTTTGATGGGTCTTTCTTCATTACTATCAAAAGAATGATATCCTACAGATGTATAACGATGAATAAAATTAGAGTTTAGCAAAAAAAAAACATCATCTTATTATTCAATAATCTAATTCCATCACTGGCTCTTTTGGAGATAATGGTCTTTTCTTTGACTGTTGTTCTTGTCTTGCATTTGTTGCACTTTCGATGATCCTCTTGATTTCCCTTTCTTTACTGGCTTCAATTTCAATTCTCTTCTCTTTCAATCTATTGATAAATTTTTCAAATGCTATTAATCTAGTTTGTTCATCAGGTAATGCCAAATATTCTGGAGATTGTGAAATCTTTGGTTTTATTTCATCCCAACTTGTTTCAATTGTAATTTTTGGATTTTCAAATTTACGTAAAAATGATCTAAACTCTTCTTGTAATCTTCTAATTTTACGTTCATATGCAAATTTATCCTTTTCTCTTTGTTCTTTAATCTGTTTCAATATTCTATCATAAATCATATCAACTGTATCTTCATCATATTCTTTAGTTTGTTGGTCTTTTCTCAAAATTTCAATCAATTTAGTTTTCTGCTCTTCAAGATCAACATCATCTTTAATAACAAAATTATTATGAAGTAATAATTGATCAACAATATCCTTTTTAGCTCTAACAAGTAATTCTTCCTCATCAATAACATCCCAAAATAATTCGATTGGATTCGATCCATTTCTTCCCAACAGCCCCACAAACCTATCATCTTCTTTAATCAATGAATAAACTTCAGGCCATTTAGAATCGGCTCTTAACAAACCTGTTTCTTTCAATTCAGCTAATAAATTTCTATATTCATCTCTTGCCTTTCTATCATTTCTGTAATTGGCACTTGCAGCTTTTTTAATTCTATCTTCATAATCTTTTTGTAACAATTTCATATTTTCAATGTAAACATTGATTAGATCCACTTGATTCAATACTTGGAAATGTTTATTTTGTTCAAATCTTGCATCAGACTTAATTGATTTCAATGTATTTTCCCAATTAGAACTTAGGTTCAAATTCATAGTTTTGAAATATTCATTCAATTCAATTAATGCTTGTTCTCTTAGTTTTTCTTCATTTGATTCATGATCTTTTCTTAAGCCATCAACATATTCTTGGAATGTTTGCCTTTTGATCTTTTCACTTATAACGGAGTGTGCATAGATCGGTTCATCTTGAATTAATCTTCTTGCGGTTTTCCATCTTGTATAATATTTGATTTTTTTGTTGTTTCGTATTAATCCTAAAAAAGCTTCTTTAAATTTTTCAATTGAATTGTTTTCTTTAAACAATTCTTCTTTAGTTCTGTTATTTAAATATGTTTCAAATATTCTTTTTTTCTCTAGTGAATCCTCCACGACCCAATATCTTGGATCTTTGATGAAAAAATCCATAATTTTACTAAATGACCAAGTTGCATCAACTTCATGTTCTCTAAGCATCTCAATAAAGATATCCTCGGCTTCTTTTTGTGAATTAACATTTACCTGTTTCACAAATAATGGAGATTCACTATGATATTTCTCATTTGGATCAATAATTGAACGTATCCCATTCCCATCATTTGTAATTGAAATTGATACATCAAAAGAGCCATCTTTATCCGAGTTCTCATTTTTTTCTAAAAGATCAACTTGACTTTGTATCTCTTCGGGTATTTCCCATACTGATTGTTGAGTTTTTGAATTATAATAATAAACACGACCACCTTCAGCCGTTGTTTGTTTCCAATCTGATTTATCTAAAACTTTTTCCAATAAAGTATACAATTCTTTTGGTTTCTCCCATGTTGTGGCTTTTGTCTCTGAATTGTAATAGTAGACTTTGCCATTATCGTCTTTAGCCTCTTTCCAGGTCATAGTTACCTAAATTTATGAATTGATTTGAGCAACAAGAAATTCTATTGATTTAACATCTTTCCAGTGTAAAAGTTTATACAAAAGTTTGGATGAGTTTCGCGGAAAGTATAAACACCGGGTAAGGTTTTCGCGAAAATATGATCAACCCAAGTTTTGAATTGATACTCCCGAAAATTCAGAATTGTGAAGTATTGAAAAGACATTTAAATAACAAAAACTGATTAGCTTGAATCGTTTTAATCTTTTGAAAGTTCAATTCTATAATGGTAAGTTGAGAGTCAAGTATTCCATCAATTGAGTTCTTTTTACTAACTCATTTTGTCATGAAATTGGCATTTGCATTGAGGTTCAAAGTTAGGAGTTCGTGTTAAAATATTAGATCAAATTGAACCTTTAAAAGATGCAAAGCCGTAACATGACAATTTTTTGCAATAGTCACAATCTCTACGTCCTTATTTATCAGCAGTGAGAACCTCATTGACAGCAGCATTATGTTTAGAAGATTTTGCTTCACAAACCGTGGAAAGACATAATAGACCAGAAATTGAAGCTGGTAAATCATTAGAAGTGTTATTAAACCCAATGGTTATTGCAAGAAATGAAAATGAACAAATATTAATTGAACCATCTATAAATTCCGTTAGAATTTCTATAAAGATAAAACAAGCTGATGAAATTGAACAAATATTGGTGCATAAATTTTCAAGATTTTTAACACAAAGAGCTGAACATTTCTTTATTTTAAGAAGAGTTCCAATTCAGGGTTATGATATATCATTTTTAATTACTAATTTCCATACTGAAAAGATGTTGAAGCATAAATTAGTTGATTTCATTATTGAATTTATGGAAGATGTTGATAAAGAAATTAGTGAAATGAAATTATTTTTGAATGCTAGAGCTAGATTTGTTGCTGAAGCATATCTAACACCATTTGATTAAGCAAAGAAACAAGAACAAAATCAAACCGTCTAGAGGACAGTCCGGATATATGCCATTTCTTTGATGTGTTTGTAAAATAGATAACTTATTTTCCCGGAGAAATAAGATTGTTGTAGATTTTGATTAGCTTGAACTCGTGAGGACATATAGCATAACTCTTGAAATGTTCATGGGGGTGAAAGTGGCTCAATTTTCGGGACATTTGATAGTGGAAGAATAACTAGTGCTCTGTATCAAGGACAATTGAACGTGATCATGACGAGTCCAGCCTCCAGTGGTGATACAATAGTACTGTTTCCCCTTTTTCGATAGAGTATTTGCATATGCTGTTGCATCAGTTGATTATTCTTGGAAGTGATGAACCGAAGTGTATCTATAAAGCACAATAAGTGTTGATGGTAATCTCATGATTCTATAGCTGTTGGAAGCATCGAAGTATCTCGATATTCAGTTTTATTGTTAATCTCATGAGTTTAAAGTAAAGTCCTCCATATTTGATTACGATGAGCATCTAGTCGATTTAATTGATCCAGGTATCTCGTTTCTCGGATAATGTTTGTGTATTCTTCCATTTTTAGTTCTGAGGTACCCAAAACCATTTGCAACCACCTTCTTTTCTTGTTCAACTCCATCAAAGTAACTCCACAATTGTGTGAGATATTTAACAGACAAACGTACCACATATACCACCAGCCAATGAATTCCTTGAGGCCTAGTCGATCACTTCGGCTTTTCTCAAGCCTTACGAATTGTATCATCGGAGAAACAGTCAAAGGATCATTTTATACATCTAGGATCTAGGATTTCATCATAGATTTAGCAATTCAGCACTACAGCACAGCTATGAAATTCAGATCCCTCTAGTCTCGTACTTTTCAACTTATTATACGTTAATAAAGAGCTCATTTACGTTGACCTCATCGTGTGGAACGGATTTTTAGCTCGCTGTTCAGCGGGAATATTAAGCTCTGAGAAAGGCCCATAGCACTAGAGCCTCGTCTGCTCAACAGGGTCCACTCAATCCAATACAAGAAATCAACAACTACACTCTTGGAAGACCTTACCAAAGCATTTGCCATGCCTTTATAGCATCACTATCTTGTCCCAAAGTGGAATATTCTAGTTTGTGTCGATCCTGTTCATGAATTATCCGACGCTACTCAACTCTGGGGAAGCACCCATGTTTGGGCAGCCAGCGGCATACCTACGCTCTTTGGCCAACCCGCACCCAGACACAAGAGCATTTCAAGTAAGGGGAAGGTATCAATACTATAGTAATCTCATTAACTCAACAATTACAACATCTAAATCTTGCTCAAACATACTACAATTCTCTATGTTTTCAAATGGCCGTCTTTCTCCATCACGCGAACGTCGTCCTCGTCGCAAAAAAAAGTTTTTCCATCTCGAGAACGTCGAAAACAAATCCGATTCCTGGGGTAAAAAAAAATTGATGCAATTGATGATTCTCCATGATTTTAAGTCATGGTCCTTGGACATGCATACATATTACACCAACTTCCAAGCTCTAGACACCTCAAAAAGGGAATATCCAGAGTCAACAAAAGGGAAAACTACATGGGGGTTCTCACAAATATCTCTGGCCAAATGACCTCAAGATCTTCAAGCTCAAGTTTATACGAGAAAATTGTTGTACACTCGATCTAAAAACTCAACCATAATGAAATCGGACAATCTTTATAAATACTCGGGAAAATTCCCACCTTTTCAACTGAATACTCTTCACTTCATAAGTTCAAAACACTTTCTTTCAAAATGTTGCTCCCATTATATGGTTTAGCTTCATTCTTAGCATTATCCCAAGCTGCTTTGGTAAACAATTCAGCTCCACAAGCTTCAGATGATGATCCATTCAATCATAGTCCTTCATTCTATCCAACTCCTCAAGGTGGTCGTATTAACGATGGGAAATGGCAAGCTGCTTTCTATCGTGCAAGAGAATTAGTTGATCAAATGAGTATAGCTGAAAAAGTTAACTTAACTACCGGTGTAGGTAGTGCTAGTGGTCCATGTTCAGGTAATACCGGTTCTGTACCACGTTTGAACATTTCATCAATCTGTGTTCAAGATGGTCCTTTATCTGTTCGTGCTGCTGACTTGACAGATGTTTTCCCATGTGGTATGGCTGCTTCAAGTTCTTTTAACAAACAATTGATTTATGATCGTGCCGTTGCAATTGGTTCTGAATTTAAAGGGAAAGGTGCTGATGCCATCTTGGGTCCTGTTTATGGTCCAATGGGTGTTAAAGCTGCTGGTGGTCGTGGTTGGGAAGGTCATGGCCCAGATCCTTATTTAGAAGGTGTCATTGCTTATTTACAAACTATTGGTATTCAATCACAAGGTGTTGTCTCCACTGCAAAGCATTTAATTGGTAATGAACAAGAACATTTTAGATTTGCTAAAAAGGATAAACATGCTGGTAAAATCGACCCTGGTATGTTTAATACAACTTCATCATTATCATCAGAGATTGATGATAGAGCTATGCATGAAATCTATCTATGGCCATTTGCTGAAGCTGTCAGAGGTGGTGTTTCCTCCATTATGTGTTCATACAATAAGCTGAATGGTTCACATGCTTGTCAAAACTCTTATCTATTGAATTATCTATTGAAGGAAGAATTGGGATTCCAAGGTTTCGTCATGACTGATTGGGGTGCATTATATTCAGGTATTGACGCTGCAAACGCAGGTTTAGATATGGATATGCCTGGTGAAGCTCAATATTTTGGTGGTAACTTGACTACTGCCGTTTTGAACGGTACTTTACCACAAGACAGATTAGATGATATGGCTACTAGAATCTTGTCTGCTTTGATTTATTCTGGTGTTCATAATCCAGATGGTCCAAACTATAACGCTCAAACTTTCTTAACTGAAGGTCATGAATATTTTAAGCAACAAGAAGGTGATATCGTGGTTTTGAATAAACATGTTGATGTTCGTTCTGACATTAATAGAGCCGTTGCTTTAAGATCTGCCGTTGAAGGTGTTGTCTTGTTGAAGAATGAACATGAAACATTACCACTTGGTAGAGAAAAAGTTAAACGTATCTCCATTCTTGGCCAAGCTGCTGGTGATGACTCCAAAGGTACTTCATGTTCATTAAGAGGTTGTGGTTCTGGTGCTATTGGTACTGGTTATGGGTCCGGTGCTGGTACTTTCTCATATTTTGTCACTCCAGCTGATGGTATTGGTGCTCGTGCTCAACAAGAAAAGATTTCATATGAATTTATTGGTGATTCTTGGAACCAAGCTGCCGCTATGGATTCTGCATTATATGCTGACGCTGCTATCGTGGTTGCAAATTCTGTCGCTGGTGAAGAAATTGGTGATGTCGATGGTAATTATGGTGACTTAAACAATTTGACATTATGGCACAATGCTGTTCCATTAATTAAGAACATTTCTAGTATCAACAACAACACTATTGTTATTGTTACAAGTGGTCAACAAGTTGATTTGGAACCATTTATTGACAATGAAAATGTCACTGCTGTTATCTATAGTTCTTACTTGGGTCAAGATTTTGGTACTGCTCTAGCTAAAGTTTTATTTGGTGATGAAAATCCATCAGGTAAATTACCATTCACAATTGCTAAAGATGTTAATGATTATATCCCAGTTATTGAAAAAGTTGATGTTCCAGATCCAGTTGACAAATTTACTGAATCTATTTATGTTGATTACAGATATTTTGATGAATACAATAAACCAGTCAGATATGAATTTGGTTATGGTTTATCTTACTCCAATTTCTCATTAAGTGACATTGAAATTGAAACTCTTCAACCATTCTCTGAAAATGCTGAGCCTGCTGCTAATTATTCAGAAACTTATCAATATAAACAATCAAACATGGATCCATCTGAATACACTGTTCCAGAAGGTTTCAAAGAATTTGCTAACTACACTTATCCATACATTCATGATGCTTCTTCAATCAAGGCTAATAGCTCTTATGATTACCCAGAAGGTTATTCTACTGAACAATTGGATGGACCAAAATCTTTGGCTGCTGGTGGATTAGGTGGTAATCCACACTTGTGGGATGTTGGTTACGTTGTCACTGCTAAAGTCACAAATCAAGGTCCTTATGCTGGTGGGTTTGCTCCTCAATTGTATGTTGGATATCCAGATAATGATGAATTCCCAACACCTCCAGTGCAATTACGTGGATTTGAAAAGGTGTTTTTGGATAAAGATTATTCTGAAACTGTTTCTTTTGAATTGACTAGAAAAGATTTGTCAGTTTGGGATACCAAAACTCAATCATGGATTGTTTTGAGAGGTGATTATAAGATCTATGTTGGTCAATCTTCTAGACAATTAGACCTTGTCACAACTTTGACTCTTGAATAGATTTGATGATACCCAACTCAAGAAAAAAAAGTCTTGCTTTTATTATATTTTGCCCTTCTTTACAACGCTAGATTCTGTGAACCCATTGAATGGTTTCCAGAGTATATATTATTTTTTCGTATATGTTTTTGTCCAATTCAATATACCTTCTTTTTGAATCTTCGTACATCTGCTAGTCCCCAACTTTTAGCCTGATTTATCCTTTTCCGGACTCCAGTCTTTATTCTCGCTTCTCCATTGCGGTCTAGCCCCTCCAAGACCCCACTTTCTCAGACTTTCGGGTCTACAGCCGTTATCGAGTGAAAAAAGGCGAAATGTTGTTTTTTTGAAAAATAAAAAAAACTTGTTAATTTAAAAAAGAACCATCTTTTCAACAGCCGATAAGAACCCAAAGCGCTCACAAAAGTCACAAGAGCACATCAAAGCTCACTTCCAAAACTAAAAACACAGGGCAATCTCTGTCAGGCTAGCCTTTTACAGCTCACCATCATTTGCTCTCTCTTGCTTTGAGCTGGCTATAGCACCCATTCCATCAGATCCATATTGTTTATTTACCTTTTTCCCATCTTCAATTGATAAGTTTCATCAAAGAGTATTTCACTGTCAGTTTGGTTCATTACCAAGCGCTTGGTTATTTCAATCTCAAATTATCTCCCTCATTACCACAATCTCATCCTGCTTGATGATAATTGTGCTATCATAAAGAAGAAACTATGTCACAAATCCCTGATGACAGACCTCAAACAAATACAACAAATCTAGATGCAAACAATGGGAATATTCAACCTAACGACTCCAATAAAGGAGCGACAGATTACTGGGGCACAGATATGTTGAGCCCTGAGTTTAATTTCCTCAATGTTCCAGAGGAAACTTATAATTTCCTCCAGTCAGGCCCATCATTGAATGATAGAAATGCACCTTCACCAAGTCTATTCAATAATAATACAGGTATCTCAAACATACCGTCAAATCCTTCAAGTGCACAAGGAACTCCTGTTGAATCAAATGCTCCTGCAAAGACTGAACAACAAAACTTTTTATTAAACCATTATCAAAATCTATTAAATCAAAGTAAAGTTCCAATGAAACAAGCTTTATCCCCAAATTCCTATGCTTCTCCAACCGCAAATAGTACCAACTCCCATACAGCTGGCTCCCCATCCTCAAATATACCTATTAATCATCCTTTACATCCTGATAATGTTCAAAAATCACTACAACAGCAACAGCAACAAGCCCAATCATTTCAACAACCACAATCATTATTTCAAGAAGCTTCACAAACGACCAAAGGTAACCCTAATCCTTGTGATCATTGCAGAAGAAGACAAATTAAATGTATCACGGTGCCCAATCTGTCAAACTGTGTTCAATGTGAAACAAAAGGTATTAAATGTACCCATTCAGAAAGTCCGTCAAACCCAGCTTTGAAAAGAAATATGGGAATGGTTCAAGATACCAATGAATTCAATAAAAGACCTAGATACTCGGTCAATCAAGTACAAAAACCAACCTTCCCACAAGTTCAAAATTTCAAAAAACCTCAACCAACATTACAATATCCAAGATCATCATTTTTCGTTGGGTCTTCCTCGATGTTTGACCATTCTTTATTGAATCGTATAAGGCTGGACAAAATAGATCAAGTTCAATTGAATCCAAAACTGTCATTAAGAAAAGTTTCTAATGATGTTCAATTCATATTAAGAGATGATTATACTGATGAATTGGCACTGAGTGCTGATCGAAATGTTGATGCTGTGGAGAATATAGTGGCACCTCATGGACAATCACTAGTGAATACTTATTTCAAAATCATACATCCATCATTCCCAATATTGCATAGAAAAGTGTTTTTAGAAAAATATGCAAGATCTTATAGAGAATTTTCAGCTCCACTATTAGCTGCAGTTTATTCATTAGCAATTCAATGGTGGGACCAAGATCCAAATTTAGCTCAACATCAGAAACCTGATATTGATGCATTAAATTCCATTGCATTACAAACATTTACTGAAGTTACTGAAAGACCAAGATTGAGTGCAGTTCAAGCTGGATTATTATTATTGCGTTGTCGTTCTGAAAACCCAAATAATTGGATACTATGTCAACAAGTTGTTTCATTAGCTGAGGAATTGGGGTTAGGTCTTGATTGTCAGAATTGGAAGTTACCTAAATGGGAAAGAGGTTTACGTAGAAGATTGGCATGGGCTGTTTGGATTCAAGAAAAATGGACTTCATTGATTGAATCAAGAGTTTCACATTTTGTTATTGGTAGAAACTGGCTTGTCAGGAATGTTACAAATGAAGATTTCCCAGAACATCCTTCAAGAAGACAAAATCAAGGAGATGAAGATTACAAATCTATGATTAATGACATTGAGAATGGGAAATATTTATTCAAAGAAATGATTGAGTTGAGTTTAATTATGGGTGAAATTATGGAAACTTTTTATTCATATTCTGCTTTACAAAATGTTACAAGAATTGATCAAGTACTGAAGTCAGCTAAACCATTACAATTACAATTGAGGCAATGGTACCATTCCTTACCACCAGGTTTACAAATGAATGCTGTCCAACAAGAAAAATTATGCTCAAATGGGTATCTTCATTTATCATATTTTGCTACAGAAATTACATTACATCGTAAAATTATTTTAAGTTTAGGAGAAGATACACCTCCAGAATTGGTCAAAGTTTGCAGAGCAGCTGCTACAACAAGACTAACTGCTGTTATTGATTTTGTTAAATCTTTAAAAAGGGAGCACATTTATGCATATTGGAATGCTCCAACAACAAGTAACTTTGCCATTGTTGGTACGTTTGCAGCAGTATTATACGTTACTGCACCAAGTCCACAAGAAGCTTCAGTCTACAGAGAACATATCAATGTTTATAGAATGTTGTTGTATAAATTGAGCAGATTTTTCAAACAAGCATTTGAGGCATTGAAAAGAATTGATATGTTGTTGAATCATATTCCAGGATTAATTAAAGAACCTTCACAAATGAATGAGATGAGCCCCTTATCAAACATGTCACAATCACCAAATAATAATTTTCAAGCATTATCACCATATTTGAGTCAACAGATGAATGCTAATTTACCAAATACCCAAAATATGCCAAATAATCAACCAGATATGAACAAGAATAATAATAATATTAACAGTAATAATAATAATAGCAACAATGTCAATAGAAGAAGTGGGCCACCTGTTACAACAGTTAAGAAGGAATCTTTCACTGAACCTTCAAATTTGAGTCCAAGTGCTATGAGTGAATCTGCAAGAAGTTTCAAGAATGGAGGGACACCAGTGACAAATACTAATCGTTCAAATGCTAATAGTCCTGTTGATATAAGAATGAGTGGGAATGCTGGACAAACTCCAAATAATTGAGAAAAAGAAGATGTATTACTGTATTTATTAAGCTTAGTCACCCCCTTATTTAAATGTACAAATAACTGTATTATAATTGTTTACTCGTAATTCATTAAAAAAGTTGTGTCTCTATATACATGACTATAAGAATCTGGTTAGTTTAGTATCTTTTGCAGCATCAACGTAATCACCAGGATTCTCCACAACAACGTGTTTATGTGGGTCTAGTTTATAATTCAATAATTCTTTTTCATTCTTGACTTGGAAATCAATATCTTCATGTGATAGTTTCTCTATTGGTTGTGGTTCATTAAATTGGGATTTTGAAGCTTCAGCAGGTGTTGGGTCTAATCCCAAAAACTTGTTCAATGCATCTTCTGAGAACTGGTCATCTAAACCAAGTTCATTTTTTTTCAATCCACCAAATTGATTACCAAATTTATCAGAAGTTGATTTCAAATAATCTTTTGGATTTTTACGTTGGAATAGTTTATTAACTAATGCCATTTCTTTATCCACGTCAACTTGTTCCCCATTGACAAATCTCGTTTTCAGTTCATCAATCTTATCCATCTTTAATTTGTACCTTCTTTCTAAATCCTCAACTGATTTTTGAGCATCCATCACATTCATAATTTGAGATCCCAAAAGCACCACTAGTAGAGTTGGGTATAAAATCGATTTATCAAATCTTTTCAGAATAGAAGATGACGTCGAGACACCACGAGTGCCTCTTATTCTTCGTATGGATTGACCTGTGGCTCTAGCAAACATGATTCTTCACAATATCAAGGTCCAAATGAAGCCTACTGCATTAAAATTGTGATAATGATGTTCTTGGTGATGAATTTTTCAAGGTTTAGCAAAGAAGGGTAAAAAAAATGAAAAACGCGAACAATTTTCAGAACAGACAACTGAAACGTAAACACAATTCGAATTCAAATCAGCTTCAAATTGTTTCTGCTGTTGCTCCTGATTTGTTATGGCTAGATCTAGCGTACCTCCGGTGACAAAGTTGTTTCTGGCGTTGCTGGTGTCCTGCTCGCTGATCACTTTTGTTCTACGGTATTCCACTTATCTTCACATTGTCACAAGTGAGACCCATGATCAAGACCATGTTCATCTGATTGGTGAAGATCAAGCTGCTTCTGATAATGAAAACAGTGTGCCAACACCACAGGAACTGTATGTTCCATTACTAGCACTAGTTCCAGGTCAAACCAGTTTGATAAAGATGCCATGGGTACTGTTTACAACTTCTTTTATTGAAGATGGAGTGTTGTCATTTGCCCTGTGCTTCTTTTTGATCTTGTATACAGGAAGATATATCGAAGTATTATGGGGCCCAAGAGAGTTTTTCGCATATTTGACATCAAACATTCTAATAAGTAATGTCATTGCATATTCATATTACAGTTTTAAACTATCAGTTGATGATTCACTACCAATTTCCCCAATCACAGGTTCATCAGCTTTAATCATATCATTATTAGTTGCCATCAAGCAAAGAATACCAAACCATTATTTATTATTCCTCAATGGGTTCATAAGGCTACGAGTTTCATTAGTTCCATTTTTTGTATTAAGTACGGGGTTAATTTTCTCATTCATCACTTCAAATCCATACTATCATGTTATAAACCAACTGGCATGGCTAGGATTCATAATAAGCTGGGTTTATTTGAGATTTTTCAAAGAAGGTGGATCTGGAAGACAATTGTCATTATTACCAATAACAGAATCTGGGAACCCAACAATTTTGATAAAAGGTGATAGAACTGGACAATTTGCACTATCAACTTTCTTCCCAAGACCACTTTCATTTATTGTTGCATTTATTTCAGACAAGATTTTCCAAATGTTTGTTACTTTAAAACTTTTGAACCATGGAGATTTCACTTCAAATAATGAAGAAGATATGCAAGATGAAGTTTCAAATTCAAATACCCAGACTGATTTAATAAGTCAAATGTCACAATCTCGTTTATTCACTTCATCCTCATTAGCTGGTGTTTCAGGAAATATATCAACAGTTTCATTACCAAAAACTGGGTTCATTAAAACTGTTCATGATAAACTTTTTGCATTAATTGGACAATCTAATGATCAATCTGCTCAAGAAAACAGAACATTAGCCTCCAGAAGAAAGCAAGCATTGGCCCAATTAGATTCCAAACTATCTGCTTAATGAATATATATGTTTAGTTATATTTTTTTTTGTATTGTATTTATCTAACGGCGCCAATATCCGGTATATGGGTGTCCCCGAACCGTTTTCCGCGAATTTGCTTTTTGGCTGTTTTGTAAGAATGGTTTTTTTGGAAAACGGATGTAGATAGCTCAAAAACATAAAACCCATAGAACAATAACAAGTTGTGCTGGAAATCGGTGGTTTTTCCTGTAAAAAATTGGTTGTTATTATATCAGATTCTCATTTTGTGTGATTACTGTGTGCTGGTCACTTTCGCAAAAGTTTAATACACCCTTTAGCCTCTGAAATTTTAGATGTGTCAAGAAGTCTATTAAAAGATTGCTAAAAAAGTTACAAATATGGATCATCAACTTCTGGACCAATGTCCAATATCAAAATTGATGCTTTTACCAAATGAGATTTTACAAAATGTTGTTTCATTGCTAACGCAACCGGACCTACTGACTTTAACGTTAACTTCAAAACTTTTCTACAAATTATCTACAAGGATTCTTTATTCCAAAATTTATTTGAATGATTCAATTATTGAATATAGTGATGTTTATGAATTGGCATCAAGTTGGTCATGGCTACGGCTTCAGCCTAGTTCATCAAATGAAGATTCAAGAAAAGAGGCAAATTATAAATTGGAATGTTTATTAAGATCTTTAAAACAAGATCAAGCGTTAGTTAATAATATCATTGAAGTTAGATTAAATTGGGATCTTGATATTCAATTGCAGAAAAACTTTGTTGATTTCTTAACGAATAGTTCAAGAAGTTTGAAAATCATTGAAAATGTTACTGATCCAGAATTAAATGAAGCCATTGTGTCAAGCAATTATAAATCAAATTTAATTTCATTAGATTTGCCTCCACCAAATCCTTTACCTTCATTAGAAATCACAGATGATTACTTACCAAATGCTCAAAGTTATATGATAAGGAGATTAACACCTAACATCAAAGTGCTTACATTATTTATAGATCCATTATTATTATTTAATAATTTGATTAGACCTAAAAAGATTTTAGAAATTGAAACATTAAAATTACATTGCAGAGCTGATACTTATCCAGGAATTCTTTATAATAGAAGACATTGGAAATATAATAAGTTGAGTGAAATTTTTGATTCAAGATATTTAAAAGTTTTAACAATTATTTCATGGTATGATCATATTTGTCCTGATCGAATTTATAAATTTGATCAATGGGCAGAATTCCCAAACTTGGAAGATATAACCTTGATTGCTGTGACTTATAATGATAAAAAAATCTCAAATTTGATCAATAACTGTCGTCAATTGAAAAGATTAAAATTAGATTTTTCATTCCCAAAAAGAGCAATGGCTAAAAATTCATTAGTTTATAAATCAATATTCACTCATAAAGATCATTTGAAATTCTTGGATATCAAATTAAATTTAACAAATAGAATTGTGAACCTGGATGTTCGTCAATTTACAATAGTTTTCAAAGTTCCTTGTAAATGTTCATTGTGTCAAGAAACAGTATTGAAAGGGATTTTTGAAGGGAAAATATTACCAAATCCTGAAGATTATAAAATTGATACAATGGAAACATTTGAAAAATTAGACTATTTTGATCAATTATTTGATTCTAGTTTATCACCATACTCAAAAGCTGTTGACAGATATCCAAGTGTTAAAACAGGGCCTGATAATATTGAGGATTTTTTGCATAGATTTAATCAAGTCAATATGGAAAGATCACCAAATTTCATACCATTAGTTGAACAAGATTTTTACGATTTATATCATTGTTTGATTCATTCATTGAAAATGGATGTTGAACCATTTTTAACCCATTTTAAAGAATTGAAATTTTTGGTTGTTAATGATATTTCATTAATTATTCAAGAAGATGAAACCACAGGAATGAGATATCCTGTTCCTGTTTTCTATAATAAAGGGTTTAAAACAAATTTTGATGTTACAAAGAGTGGAACTAATCAATTTGAAGTTGATTCTGAGGTTTATGGAAGATCGTTATATTTGAATTGAAAACCATTTATACTGTCTGTTGCCTAAATTTAATGACTGCTTATGATATTTAATTTCTGTTGTACAAGAGAGAAGAACCAACTCACTAAACTACTCATGATTCATGACTCGCAAGAAACGTTAAGATTTATCGACATCTCCTTCATCAAAATTGCACACCTTTTCCTTGAAATGAACACAAACGGCGTGTTTATTTGACTCGCGTAACTTTTTTGCACCAAACAGATCATGAATCATAACTATTTTAAGTAACCTATGGTCTATCTTGGTAGACCGATCCTACTTGTTCTGTCGACTTGATCGAATCTAGACATGACGTTTCGTTGCACCTAACAAAATTACAAACCCAAAGGGATAACAAACCGAGCATCAACATCGCCTTCTTTCAAATTTTACTTTCAAATTCACAGCATAGCGTAGACCACACAGGGTTAGAAACATACCAAAAGCTGGGTTTCTTTAGAGAACTAATCAAAAAACTGAATTTGTGGGCTTTGTAGAGAGAAAAGTGTCAGTTTTGTTCCTTTTCAAGCTCAAGCATTTTACAAACTGGGCAGAATTATCTGCCAATTATGCATGGTCAGATGTCAGGGGCGCATAAACGTTGCCATGGTGAAAAATTGTACTTGTAGAAATCATATGCCCACAATTTTTATTTACACCAGAGCAAGCTTTAAGATTGTTCTAGCAGTTCATTTGGAGAGTGTACTTTGATCATTTGAAGGCTGTTGTATTCTCTTGGTATTCTGTGATTGCTTTGGGTTGGCTGGCTGCTCGCGTGTCGAGCTGTAGAAGGTGTCGATGCGAATCCAAAGAAATTGTGTGTTGTGTGTGCCTTTGCACTTTTGTTGACGGTTTATCCTTTTAGATTTCGAAAGTGTAAACATTCTCCATTAACGATTTACATAATAAATTTATAGCCATAAAAGTCTCAAGGAAAATGTGGTTCCTAACCAGGAACAACGCAAACAATTTCATCCTATATAAACCTAAACCATCCCTATTTCTTCAGTTCAACATACAACTAACTACTCAAACCATAAGTTTCATCAAACCCTATTCAATCGCTTAACCAACACTTTAACTAGTTATACAATGAAATTATCATCAGTTATTTCCACTGCATTATTCACCATCTCAGCTCAATGTGCAACTTTACCAGCTGATCAATCCTCATTCACAACATTAACACCAACTGGTTCAGCTCCACAAGGTGCTGCAACTGATTTCACTTCATCTTTCGGTATTGGTGTTTTAACTTTAGCCTCAAGTGGTGCTCCAACTCCAACTGGCTCTTCAGGTCCAGTTGCTAAAAGAGATGATCAACCAGATGCTTCATCATATATTAAACAACGTGCAACAAAGAATGAAGGTTCTTTATCATTAAAGATTGAGAAATCAGTCTTGAGTGATGAATCTGGTAGAATTGGTTCGATTGTTTCAAACAGACAATTCCAATTTGATGGTCCACCACCACAAGCTGGTGCCATTTATGCTGCTGGTTGGTCAATCACACCAGAAGGTGTTTTAGCCTTAGGTGACCAAACAATCTTCTATCAATGTTTATCAGGTAACTTTTACAACTTATATGATGAAAATGTTGCCGAACAATGTCATGAAATCAACTTGCAAGTTGTTGGTTTTGATTAACCTCATATATTATAGAGATCATATTCTTCGATCTTTGAAGTTGAATACATGATCAATTTAATGTTTCATTAAAAGCAGTTAGCTTAATTTGTATATTAGAAAAGTTATAGCACGGGTTTGTTATTACAATAGAAGGATTCTTATTTTTTGATGAGAGACGTAGCTTCGTGATAGTTGCGATTTCAATGATCCATAAAGCCAAACGACATTTAATGAGCAACTTGTACACCACGTTGAACAGGCTCGAGGTTTCAAAGGCACAGTCCAGAATCACAGCCTACCTTGCTGGCTTCAAATTTGGTTTGCCAAAACGGCATTTGAAGTTCATGAATATCTTGAATATCATCTGTAACTAGAAGTTAAACGTAAATTTAAAGACCCTGTTGATAATCACCTTCTTACAGATTTGTTTACATTTCAAAATCATTTGACACAAACAACACAAATACATCATACAAAGCTCAATCCCTGCTGTTGATGGTTGTTGACAGTGTACTTGATCCTTGTTAAGGTTTCAGTGTATACCAAAAGTCGTGAAACTTATCAAATCTAGACCAAAATATTTGGGTCCCTTCAACAAGGCGTTGCGGTGGACACGAGAACTTTAGATTCAACTTTATCTCAAACGAGATTCAAAACAAACTACAAATTCATAAAAGATTTTTGTTAAAAACGACGTCCGTGAACATAATATGAAACCTAACCTATAAATATATACCCCAAGCTATATATTCTGCAATCATCAAAAAGAATACATGAAAGAAGAAAGAAGAAAAAAAAATTTGTAGAAAATGCAATTATTAAAGCTTTTTTTTGAATTTGATGAAATCATTATTAATTAACTCTATAATATCTCCCCACCAGGAGTAGACAATCGAGCCAAAGTCAGCTCAAATTGGGTATGCTTAACAGTTGATTAAATCAACAGCTTCCAATTTGATTTCATGACATTGATCAGCAACGTTTTCATCATATAAATTGTAAAAGTTACCTGATAAACATTGGTAAAATTTGTCAGAATCACCTAAAGCTAAGTAACCATCTTCAGTGATAGACCAACCAGCAGCATAGATGGCACCGGCTTGTGGTGGTGGACCATCGAATTGGAATTGTCTGTTGGCAACAATTGAACCAATTCTACCAGCAGAATCTGTCAAGACTGAATCTTTCAAAGTTAAAGCTAATGAACCATCAGATTTACATGAAACGGCAGAGACTGGGTTTGAGTCATCGGCTTTTTGGGAAGCTGAAGCTGAAGCTAAAGCTGATGAAGCTGAAGCTGATGAGGCTTGAACTTGACCATCACCGATTTGAGAAGCAGCTGAAGCAGTAACTGAAGCTTTTGTGGAAGTTGAAGCTTGGACTTGACCATCGGAGATTTGTGAGATGGCTTGACCGGTTGATGATGGTTTAGCAGTTGAAGTGGAAGCTTGGATTTGACCGTCACCAATTTGGGAAACAGCTTGAGCAGTTGATGATGGTTTAGCAGTTGAAGTAGAAGCTTGGATTTGACCATCACCGATTTGAGAAACGGCTTGAGCGGTTGAAGCAGCTTTTTTGGTTGATGAAGGAGTAGCAGTGGAAGCTTGGATTTGACCATCACCAATTTGAGAAACAGCATCTCTTTTAGCTTTTGGAGAAGCTGAAGCTGAAGCACCAGATGAAGAAGCAGTGACTGGAACAACGGCAATACCGAAGGTTGAAGCGTAGTCAGTAACAGCACCTGAAGGGTGGGAAGCATCAGGGGTCAAGGTGGTCCATGGTTCGGATGGGACGTAAGCAGCTAAAGCTGATGAAACTAAAGCAGTTGTGAATAAAGCTGATCTGTATTGCATTTTAACTTGGGAATATGATGATGAATCAGTCAAGGATTGAAGAAAGAAGAGAGTTATAAAGCTACGGAAGGGGGAATTGGTACTTCTTTTATACACGGTTCGTCGGTGTTTTTGTATTTAGAATTCTCGATCAGAACCAAGAATGGTTATGCGCATGCTGCTGTGCGTCCAGGACGCGCCTTGTTTTTTTTTTGGACTCGCCAAATTTAGACATGACTCCAAAAGTGGTTTGAAGGAGTCGACATAGTAAAGGGCATCGAATACTGTGGTATATAGCACCTCATTTGTGTAGTTATATCGACTCTATACACTCTACTCTACCTTTCTTCTCATCTTCACATCTCTACGATGTTCATCCTGTTGTTGTGGTTTTTGGTTGGTCGTAGTTTTCTTTCTTTTTGGATGTTGATCTCCTGCGAAAAAACGAAAATCTGTTTTGGTGTTTAGACTTCGCGCAAAAAAGTTTGGAAATTTTTGGTGATAACGAAAAAACATGGGCTTTGGGCTTGATTGGTCATAATTTGTCGTTAGCTTGTTAATGAAGTACATGAAGTGTGGTATGAGTAGTGGTCTTACAGTCGGTATATTTAAATATCCCTTTATGGTAAATTGGTGGCCAATTGGCTCAGCTCTCCAGGGCTTGTGTAGTTCAAAAGCTTCATCAAATATTTAAGAATTGGTGATCAACTGGTACAAAACGATGATTTCAAATTTTCAACTCATCAATTCATGAACTTTAATCACCCACTAAAATTAGTATGGCCATGTTGAAAAAAGTTTCGAATAAGATGGTTGACGATATCATTCAACGTCCACTGACTCCAAAGGGGCATTTCCTAGCTTTGATTTTACGCGCTCCAACATGGGTCTAAAAACTTTCGCGACCCAAAACACCAAAACATTACCGAATTGGTCAACGAAATAGAAAAAATTTTCAGAATCGAACGCAAAAAATACAAATACACTGAACAAACAAACAAATAGTAGCAACAGTGAGGCCATGGAGCTGTACTCAATTTAAGTGACATGGACCGTAAACTGTGAAGCAGCTTAACAATCTATCAGTTGAATTTCAGCAAATTATTAAGAATTTAAAGCCTGAACGAGCTATGATCTAGACATTCCCAGTTCTCTGAGATCTATTTATATCACAATCGTTGTCATCACGACCTTTGTAACTCAAACAACCACGACGTTCAAAAATAAACATTAACTTTTGGAGTGCCAAATGAGGTGAAAAAAAATTATCCAAACGGAAGCAAATTTCACGATCGTTCCATAAACGTTAAACCTCACGACTCAGCACACCCCCAGTACGTACATACTCTTACTAAAAGTGTTAGACTTTTATGGACCTAGCCTCAATTCAGCGAAAGCAATCACCTTTTGGGAAATACTGAGGTCTTTTTAAAAATCATAAGAAACAGATCTGTTGGGCCTGTAACGTTCAAACTTCACACTTTTCTTGTGAGCACAATTTTTCAAGAAGAGCTTCATTTCAATTGAGGGATCTCTTCGAAACTGAGAGCGACTTTTATGGGCTTGAGTATTGTATTCCTCAGCCAAAGATTCAAAGACCTTGTTCAGATTCAGGCTAAGCCCGAGATACCCATTAGCTTCAAAGTTCAGACCACCCAGATACTTTGACTCTTGGTGTTTGTAGGTAGCTGGGATTGTGAGAAAGAAACAGCCCTCAAACTTGAGAAGAAGAAGTTGCGATAACATGGGCTTATATACAGCTGTCTCTTCTTCCCTTGAAATTGATGTTCACCAAGTTTCAGTCGGTTATTTCCTCAGATCTCATCACTAGTTCTATTTATAGCAGCCGTGGTTCGTTGATGAAAATAGAAGGAAGTAAACATCGTCAATTGTTTGAATTTGTCGGCATCAAATCTAAACCGAGAGATCTGATCATCTTCAAGAAGAGCCTTCAAGCTGAACAACCTACACAAATTCTACTTTAAACAAAAACTATACCTTTGTCTTCTGACTTGATCCTTGAAATCTTGGTTGCTGCTCCTTGTAGCTAGCGTTTGCTCTTAAAATTACATAATCGAAAATAAGGTTCGTTGCCCCTGCAGATGAAGAATTACTTAATCCCGTTAGGTGCAGCATCTCTCGAGGACAGTTTTTTGAGATGATTTTTAGCACGGTTCACAATCGGGAGTTTTTATAGATAGATACACAGATCAAGTTCATTTCAGTTGATTTGATTGAGATTGATTTGGATCTTGATCAATCCTGAGGGTTCGGGAGAACATGATGCCTTTCTACGATTCATATCTTTAAATAGTTTGTACCCGGTTTGACCATTATTGCTGTAGCTTCCGGATCTAGCATGTACCTTGTAATTTGGAAGACCTGCCTTGGCTCTGTAGTTGTGAACAACATACAGCCCAGGTACCATTATAACTCAATAACAACGCTTGCAAAGCTACTTTAGTAAGTTAACCTTAATACCAAACTTCCAGCATCTTTATTAATGAATTTCCTCGAAGCTTTTCAAATTTTATTCGGGTTTTTCTTTGTTGTGCTGGAAGCCGAACTGCAAGTAATTAAACACTTTCCGTTTTCGGAAAGGTAATAACATGCATAGTCGATGAAATTGAAAGCTATAGACACACAACTAGCAAGTTTTACAAGGCGAAGAAGGGCTCTGTTTAACCGTTAATCAGCCATCATCATACCCATATCTATTTATTCATGTAATTACTTTTCCCAAAGAAGTAACACCTCGACCTTCCTCTACATAAATCTGCTTGTTGTTTCTAATTATAAGTGCACATGATGTAATTAAATTACAACACCTGGAGCAAATGGTTGGTGATGATCACTGATGAATAGATTGACATGAAATTAAATTAGCTTCCAGCATTATAGTAGTGATTTTCGAAGAATAAACTTATTTATAGAAAGCATTCATCAATCCAGAAAAACTACTTAAGAAGCTCAATTGAACCTTTATTGAGTTTCAAACCTTTTCTTTCTAACATATCTATCAGATTGAAGAATCATTATTCCAAATCAATAAATAATCATAAATCATCCACAAATCAAAAATGAAATACAGTTACTCTGCTTTGACCGCTGCTACTTTAATCACCTCAACTTTAGCTGGTGTTGTTCCTCATGAACCATGGACTACTTTAACTCCAAGTGGTAAAGCTCCAAAAGGTGCCACAACTGATTACACAGCTACTTTTGGTGTTGCTGTTGTTCCAATCACTGGTACTACTACTTCAAATGGTTCAGTTTCAACTGAAACTGGTTCAGCTACCAAAATGAAGAGAGATGTTGTTTCTCAAATCGGTGATGGTCAAATCCAAGCTTCAACTGCTACTCCATCAACTTCAGCTGCTCCAAAATCAACTGCTCAAGCTATTTCCCAAATCGGTGATGGTCAAATTCAAGCTACTACCAACACTGAAAAACCAAAATCATCTGAAAAACCAAAATCAACTGCTCAAGCTATCTCACAAATTGGTGATGGTCAAATCCAAGCTACCACCAACACTGAAAAACCAAAATCATCTGAAGCTCCAAAATCTACTGCTCAAGCTATCTCTCAAATTGGTGATGGTCAAATCCAAGCAACCACAAACACAGAAGCTCCAAAATCAACTGCTCAAGCAATTTCACAAATTGGTGATGGTCAAATCCAAGCTTCAACAAACACTGAAAAACCAAAATCTTCAGCAACTGCTGTTTCACAAATCGGTGATGGTCAAATCCAAGCCACTGGTTCATCAAACTCATCATCTCCAGCTACCAAATCATCAGAATCATTAGCCAAAGCCACTGAATCTTCAAAATCATCAGATGACAATGTTAAAGCTGTTTCATGTAAAAACCCAGGTTCATTAGCTTTAAGTTTGAATGGTTCAGTCTTGACAGATTCTTCTGGTAGAATTGGTTCAATTGTTTCAAACAGACAATTCCAATTTGATGGTCCACCACCACAAGCCGGTGCTATTTATGCTGCTGGTTGGTCTATCACTGAAGAAGGTGTTTTAGCTTTAGGTGATTCTGACAAATTTTACCAATGTTTATCAGGTAACTTTTACAATTTATATGATGAAAACGTTGCTGATCAATGTCATGAAATCAAATTGGAAGTTATTGAATTAATTGATTGTTAGATTGTCAAAATATCATATTCTTCATACAACACAGCATAAAAAGGACAGTCACTCCTTAAGTTTTTCATGTCATTTTTTCATCATTATTTTTTCATTTTGTCATTTCTTCATTCACGTCATTAATTCATTCATGATCAAAAAGGGTTGTACATTAGTTAATCTTCATCATTATTTATCGGTTTTTTCGTTTGGTTTGGTATATATAAGGTATTAAAAAAAATACAAAATAATATATGTTGTTTCACTTCTTATAAATTATATTTTGATCAAATGTAGTTTTTTTTTATATATACATTAATGAAAGTTGTCTTCTTGTTTATCTCTCATAGCTTTTCTGAGTTTCAAGCTTGCTTCATTACTTGTAGCTGAAGAACCAGCAATCTCTTTAATTTGACTATAGTTCTCCTTTTCAGAAAAAGCTTCACCTTCGGAATGATAACCACCATCCCCCAAGATTGGAATATCCGATATTCTACCTTCAGAATTGACTCTTGAAAGAGCGTTGGATACACTGGATACTACTGAACTAGATCTTGAGCGTTCATTTCCTTCATCTTCCTCCTCTCTTGTTTCTTTTCTAGAACGTCTGGCCTGGATATCTGCTAATCTTGTCTCATGTTCTTCTTTGACATCATCATTGACCTTTTCAAAGTTCTTTGCATGGAATGTATCAAAGTCTGGGAAAACTGATGGACCTAAATCATTAACGACTTCTGTAACCTCTAAAGCCAATTTTTCTCTTGTTTCTTTCAGTTGGAGTAATTCATGTTCTGAACTAAACACTGAGGACACCAATGGTGGTAAAGATTTGAAAATATCCATACCAACCTCACCAATACGGAAAGCAGCATATGTAGTTGTCACTAAAATGGCATAGATTCCTGCAAAGATGAAAAAAATGTGATGTGAAGTTGCACCAAGTATGTTAAATCTGTAAGTTAACCAAGTTCCAAGAAGTGAATATGTGATGTATAGGGCTGGAGCAAATGCTGTTGCAATAATGATCTTCCAGGTTGCAATAACATCGACAGCTTTAATTTTAACAACAGATCCAGCTAATGCTTCTGCTTGTTTCTTTTTTGAAATATGATCAGTTGCGATGAAGATTGGAGAAAATAAAACAGTACCTGGTAAACTCAATATACCCAAAATTATCAATTGAACCAATCTAACCAATAGTGTAATCAAACTTTCGAAACGACTTCTCACAGCAAGTTCCACTTGATGATCCTTCAACCCCAATTGGTCTAGTTTCTTGTTGTAGTCCAAAACAGCATTTTTCAAATGAATAACTCTTGGGTTATCTTTATATGTATGGTAACCTTTTAAAAACTTTCTATTCATATCGATAACCAAGGATAATGGGACTTTCTTAGCGTATAGCCTTCTAACAGCTTGAATAAGCATCAACGTATCATAATCTGGTGCTGTTAAGGTTACACTTTTTAATGCAGTAGTGATTTCATCTAGTAATTTACCAACAGCTTCACGAGGGTTTTTCTTGTAAGCTTCACCATGTTCTTTTGTGATAGTAATTGGAGCACCGAACTCAACAACTGATCTAGATCTGAAGGCATTTCTATGAAAATAATTCAATCCTGTTGGAACAACTTGAATTTTACAATTTGGATCGGCAGCTGCTGCTCCTAAAGCCATAATGGCAACACCGGCTTTAATTGGGAGTAAATCAGGTCTGTCGTGGGAACCACCTTCTGGAAAAATGTTAATAATACCTCCTTTGTGTAAATGGTCAAAAACATGTTGGAAAGTAACATCGTTCTCAACTTTTGGGGCATATTTGAATTTGGTACCTTCTGATAATAATTTGTAGGCTTTTTCATTTTTGAAAGGTTTACGTAGAACCAATTCTGTATCACTCTTAATCTCTTCAATTACTGAGTTACCAGCTGATTGGGGTAGTCCAATCAAAGCCTTTGGTGTAAAGTTTGTGAACTTGGTGTTTTTACCATAAATCACTTTGGCATCATCATCTTTACAATATATTTCACCTTCGACAAATTTCAAATTATCTTGAGCTCTTGGAACTGGAATTGAGTTGGCCAATTTAGCTAAAAAGCCAATAAATCTCCTTTTGTAGGAGGCTTCTGCAATAACAGATGAAGAGTTTCTATTTGTCAAGGCTCTAATTCTTGACAAAATGATTGCACCATCCACGAATTGATTAGCATGGGGAGCAACAACAACAATGACAGGACCAGATTTTGGTAGATGATATGAACCTCTGACTTTGACTTCTCTGAAGAAGATGTAGCATACAACTAAAGGATTCAATGTTAGCGCCATGTTTTCACATTAGAATCAAAAAGATATAACTCACTATTTGCAAACAAAATAACAAGGTCAAAGAACAGGTTCTTTAGTAGCTCATGGAGGCGCGATGACTTTACATCAACATCATCACTGAGCTTGGGAATATGGGCAAGTGACTTTGGCTTCTTCTCTTCAGTATCTTCAGCCATAATTGGTAACTATTGATCAAGCAGTTCCTGAAGATGAAAGCTATCAAAACAAGCAGAACGGGCTATAATAAAATAAAGTCGTTTTGAAAATGGTGTCAGATTCTTCTGGAGAATTTCTGAGTGCTGACTCAGCTATGCGTTTAATATTACATAATCACTATAAGTAAAATAAAACAAATCAAAATATTTATTAAAAGCTCTTAAGGAAATAGATAGGGAATAAATAGTGATGAGTTATCTAGCTGTCATCTTCTTGACCTTTTCTGTGAACAAGGTCTTGGATTTCATACTCACAGCAAGAAATTCAGGTGCTCTAACTGTTCCAAATAATGGAAGTGGTAGTTGACCTTTCCCATGCTTTGGGCCTAATGAGACAACACTTGGAATGTTTTCATTCTCAAAAGTAGAAGTTTCTGTGAGTTTAGCTTTGGATCCATCTTTCAAGTACAAAGCAACATTTTTTCTAATAGTTTTGGACCAATCTTCTCTTTTTATTAACCCATGGTATTCAAAATCATTAACATCACCAATAGCAAATATGTTCCCTTTTGGAACTCCTTTAGCTTGGAAAGTTTTATCAACACGAACGAATCCTTGCTTATTTGTTAAATCAACAAAGTCATTTTCTGGAACAATAGGCTTGATACCTGTACCAAAGTAGATTAAATCAGCTTCAACTTCCTCCTTGCCATTGATTATAACTTTATGTGGATCATTAGGTGAAACCACACCTTTAGAGTTCAAGTAAAGTTTGACACCATGTTCTTTCATCCAGTTTGTAATATCAGTTCTCAAGTTTTCACCATAAAATGGACCATCAGGTAAAAGTTTATCCGCATTATGAACAATTGAAATCTTCTTTGCACCAGATTTAATATCAGCTTCATATTTTGCAACTAGTTCACCAACAAACTCGGCATTCACAAAGCCACCACCAATAAGCAAAATATGTTTTGCACTTTCAATTTTATCATGTTGCTCTTCAAAATATTTTTCATGGTTATCACCAAAGTCAAAAGTTGAAGCAACTGGGCTTGACCATCTAGAGCCAGTAGCTAAAACTAAGGCGTCAAATTCAATGACTTTACCAGATTTTGTTGTAACTGCTGAGTCTGTGAAACTCAACACTTCATCCTTGATGATCTCAACATCTTTATCGACGACATCTGTTAATGGGTAAATTATATTTTCATAGTCTCTTGTTAGAGGTAAGCGGATTGCAGCTGGTAAGAAGTAAGCATTATCTGAAATTGAAATCAATTTGACAGTGCCTTGGTCCTTGAGTTCTCTTTTGATGTGATTTGCGCTTCCGATACCGTGAGAGCCAGCTCCGACAACCACCACTGTTTTGCTAGTAGTCATTTTGGTTTATGTTGATTGTACTCAAGTGTTCTTTAAAAAAGCATCGCCAAACACAAGAAATCAGTTCCTTTTTATATTTTTTCAGACTCGTTTGTAAGAACTGAGCATTTCAAAATATCTTCTCCAGTTAAACTTCAGAGTTTTGACTAAAAAATTTTTTCCGTGCTTTAAATCCGGCTGGAGCGTTGATTCCGAAAAGTGAAGGTGCGTAATTTGTAATCTTTGTAATCTCTGTAATATTGGGCTTGCGATTTGAGTCTTACATAACAACGGAGACTGCGATAAGAGCGAGTGGATTAATAAGTCCTATATTTTGACAGGCTGATAAAGGGGCCAGTTGAGTCTTATCAGTAACTCAACCTTTCAACCAGCATAAAAATGTTTAGCCTTATTTGTAAGTAACCTTTTAGACTTTGTCCTAACAACGATAAAAGAAGGCAACTTCAATGTTCCAACTAAAGGGATTTGACTTTGACCAAACCCAGCAATAGGACCTAACGAAACAGCGCATGGAATAGTATCACCGTGTTCATAAGTTGAAGCATTTGTTAGTGTTGTACCAGGTCCATATTTTAGATACCTGCAAACATTGGTTGTTATCGTTGAAACCCAGTTATCTCTTTTGGCTATACCATGATAAGTGAAATCATTGACGTCTCCAATAGCAAAAACGTTACCTTTTGATACAGCTGTAGCTTGAAAAGTTTTTTTTACTTTGACATAACCCGATTGATTTGTGAAATTTTTGATTTCATTTGGAGGTACAGCGGGATTTGTACCAACTCCAGAATAGATCAAATCAGCTTCAATGAATTTGTTTGGGTCATCGTTTAAGATAATAATGTTTGGATTGAAATCTAGTTGTGTTCCTCTGCAATTTTTGATCAACTTGACACCTCTCTGAACTAGGTAATCAGTGATTTGGGTTCTTAAAGTATCTGTGAAGAATCCATTATTTGGTAGTAACTTATCAGAACTGTGAATTATCGTAACCTTCTTCTTACCAGACGCAATCTCTTTCCCGTGATAATGTACAACCTCACCAGCAAGCTCGGTGCTGAAAAAACCTCCACCAATGAACACGACGTGCTTAGCCCTTTTCAGCGGAAAAACTTGTGATGATTGTCTTTGAATCTAATTGTGGAACCAACAGGTGAAGCCCATTTAGCGCCAGTTGCAATAATTAAAACATCAAACTTTATTGAATGACCAGAATTGAACACAATTGTATTTTCATCAAAATGAATAACTTCATTCTTTATAATTTGAACCCCATTATCTAAAACTTGATTCAGTGGAATCAAAACACCACGATAATCTTTGGTAATAGCCAATCTATCAGATGCTGGAAGAAAATAAACATGATCTGATATTGTGACTAACTTTATCACATATTTATGGGAATTTAATGAGCGATATAAGTTATTTGCGCTTGAAACTCTAAAGATACCACCCCCAATAACAACGACTGTCTTTTTTGTTCTTCTTTGATCAACTGTCATTGGTCAGTTTGGATGTTTAACTGCTTTAACTTTTGATTGAGGACCATGGTCCCTTTTTATAGTATAGCCAGCGTCTATCATAGTCAGTGAGTTATATTTGAACCCTTTCCAAGGCGCTCTTTAATGTATTTTTATTGTCAATCTGTTCATTGTGGTAAACCTGAAACATTACAAGGGTAAATTTGCAAATTCCACCATGCAAAGAAGCACATAAAGTATTGTATTCTAATATTCTAGAACCCTTATTATTCGCCAGGATCTCAGCACCTCGTTAATCTCACACTTTATGCTCAATTTAATCTGATTCACAAGTTCAACTTTTAAGTCGTTTTACATTTACGAAACGTAAATTTTCGGCGTCAAGATCACGCAAAATTTCCCGAAACGGAATTTTTGGCATCATATACTGAAAAACTAATGTTACTTCAAATTTTGTTAGGAAGTATAGTCTGAAAAAATTGGACAATAATAAATGCACTTCTCTTTTTCCATTAGCACTACTTTTGACTGGATTTGAAGAACAAATTTTTAATTTTTGATAATTTTAGGAATATACAAATTTAATTAAAAAAAATCAACGTCACAAAACTTCTAGTAAAATTTATTTCCAAAAATCAACTCTCTCCTCATTGCTCTAAATGGGTTAAAAGAGCCAGTAATAGATAGCTACCAATACTAGAAACATTTTCAACAAATTTTAACTATAAAATATGAGTAATTTTGGCGTGTTAAAAGTAAAAAGGTCTATCGAGATTTTTCTGCCAAATTATCCGCTTATATCCGATATTATCATAAAGGGCAATATGTTCATTTTATCATTATTTACCATCATCATGGGTTCAAACCTGAGCTCTGATTTTAGGGTGAGTTTTAGTGGGTATTCCTCAACAAGAGGCGAGTCCCACACTGTTCCGTGGTGGAGAATAGGTTTCTCAGTTGGCTGAGAAGGATATTATAAGGAAGCCTGAATTCCAACATAGCGAGAAGCCTACAATCCAAGCGGTTCGTGCGTAATTGCATTCCTCATCCAAGTTCATCAAATACATCAACTGAAAAAAAAAAAAGATTCCCAGACCAATAAAATGAGAAGAAACTGTAAACTATCTACTGGTGTCTGATCAAAAGAATCCGATCTTAATAAATTCTATAAGTCTTATGAATTAAACAATATTTTCGCAAATGATACACAAAGATTGACACTCTTATATCTCACAACAAACCAATTAGGAGCCGCCATTGTCCCAATCCAAGGGAAGCAAAGCTGTCCAAACCCATATTCGGGTCCCATACTAACAAATGTTGTTACATTTCCACTTGGTCGATCGACTCTATAAAATTCTTTTGTAGCCGTGCTTGGGTTTTGGAGAACAACCTTGATATTTTTCACAATAGCATTCAGCCAATGTCTTCTCAATACTAACCCTCTATATTCAAAGTCTGTAACATCACCTATTGAAAATATGTGACCTTTTTCAACTGCTTTCACTTGGAATGTTTCATCAATAGCAATGAACCCTTTTGAGTCAGTTAACCCAGTTATGTTATTTGGAGGGACCGCAGCAACTGCACCTGTTCCATAAATAATCAAATCACCCTCAATAGTATTATTAGAATCTCCATTCAGAACTAACTTATTTTTATCAGATTCTAATGGTTTTGCTCTTGTACTTAATCTCAAATCGACTTGACAACCTTGGACAAAGCTTGTAACTTTCTCCCTTAAAGGATCTGAATAAAACCCATCATCTGGTAGTAATTTATCACGGCTATGAATCATTGTAATTTTCTTGCTTCCTGATTCTAGTTGGCCTTTGTATTGGTGGATTAATTCACCTAAAAGCTCACAATTGTTGAATCCACCACCAACAAGGACAATGTGTTTTGCATTTTCAATCTCTTTATGTCTTTTTTCAAAATACTGTTCAAAATCATCCTTGAATTTCAAGTTTGATCCAATTGGATCCGGCCATTTTGCACCAGTTGCAATGACTAGGACATCAAATTTCAAATCATCATGGTTTTCGAATTGAACTTGATATTCATCAAAATTGACAATCTCATCCTGGATAACTTCAACTTTAGGAGATACTAGCCCATCTATTGGAACAAATGTGCCTTCTGTCTTATTTTGAACTGGAACTCTTATTGAACTAATCAAGAAATAGGCATGTTTGGAAATTGTAACCAAGATAATTTTATGATTTGTAGAGTTGGCTAAACGATTAGCTGTTGAAATACCGAAAAAACCAGCACCGACGATCACAACAGTCTTCTGGGACATTATAGATACTGGATATTAGACAACACCATTCTCATCTTTTGATTTGACATATGAAGAAGCATGGTGCTTTTATAAGTTTCCAAGTCAAAAAGTTTTGGGTGTTGAACGGATTTAATAATGCAAAATCCGTGCACAGCTCAAAAAACTCGCGATTATTCAATTGTTTGGACCTTTAAATCAAAGGACCGATTACGGCTACAGAAGTAATAACCTGATGACTTATAGTACGAATATTTTATTTACATGTGCTCATTGTCTTTTACTCCAAAACAGCATATTTCTTCAAATGGTCCGGAATATGTTCATATAATCCCTTTGATTCCAACCATTTGCGAGAAAAGATACGGTCACTATATTTGTGAGCAGTATCAGCTAGAATAGTGACAACGTTTGAGCCTTCTGGTAAGTCTTTAGCAATTTTAGCAGCAGCAACAACGTTTAAAGCACCAGTACCACCCAAGTATAAACCTTCATCATCCAACAACCTATACAACATTGCAATGGACTCACCATCCGGAATGAAAACTGCACCATCAACAGTGTCTATATCTTGTTTTAAATTATCAGTGATTCTACCTTGTCCAATACCTTCAGTGAAAGAACCACCTTCTCTTGCAAGACTTTTACCTCCAGAAGTAACATAGGAATAGACACATGAACCTGGTGGATCTGCAACTATTGATTTCACTTGACCTTGAGAGATATCTTTTAAATATCTTGTAATACCTGCAAATGTACCACCAGTACCTGTTGAACAAGTGAATGCATCGACTTTACCTTTCAATTGATTCCAAATTTCTGGACCAGTGGTTTCAATATGTGCTTGTCTATTAGCTAAATTATCAAATTGATTTGCCCAAACTGCATTTTCTAAACTTTCAGCATGTCTTCTAGCCTTATGGTTGAAATTTTCTGGATCATCATATGGTTTTGGTGGGACAGGGAAAACTTCAGCTCCTAATAATCTTAAAGTGTCAATTTTACTTTGTGCTTGAGTATTTGGGATGTAAATAATTAATTTATAACCTCTACTGCGACAAATATGAGCTAATCCAATACCGGTGTTACCAGCAGTAGATTCCACAACAGTACCCCCAGCTTTTAATAATCCTCTATCCTCAGCATCTTTGATCAAGTATAAAGCTGCTCTATCTTTGATTGAACCACCAGGGTTTTGAAATTCAGCTTTACCATAGATATTTCTACCGATTTCTTCACTCAATTTAGTTAATTTGATCAATGGAGTATTACCAACAGCACCAGGCACACCAGATTCTGAAACTATAGGGACAAATTGTTTGGCATTTGTAGAGGCCATTCTCTTTCCAACGGTAGCCACAGTAGTGGTCAACAATCTAGCTCTAGACATCGCTGTGTCAATTGTCACTGAGCTTCTTAAATCTCTGGTTTGATACCTTTTTCGAAAAGTATTTGATGTTGACAGTTGATTCAGATCATGTGCAATGGTGAATTCTGAGGCATTAGCCACAGAGCTTGAATCAGCACCAGCCACAACTGAAAAGTTGATGTGGCTAGTGAAGCATCTGATGACATAATCATTGGCGTTTTTCAAAGACGCGTAATAAGAAAAGCTTTTGAAATTAGTTGAACATGAATTGATCATTTCAGATCATAGTGAAATAGAAGTGATCATCATCATGTCTACAGAAGAAGAACCAAATGCCAATATCCCACAGCTTCACTCTTTTCAAACGAGTCAACCTACAAATGAAGAACCAGTTACTCAAGAACCAGCTATTCAAGAAGAAGAAGAAGAAGATAGTATTGTGGAAGAGCCAGCTACTGAAACTGAACCAAAAAGTAAGAGTAGAAAAGCTAGTGCCACCAAAGATTTAAATGTGATTGATATAGATGATGAAGATGAAGACTCATCAGGGACTTCGGTGCTACCATTATCCAAGATTAAAAAAATATTCAAGACAGATCCAGAACATGTCTCTGCTTCAGAAGCTGCTGTTTTCTCAACTGCTATAGCTACAGAGCTATTCATTCAATATTTCACTGAGCAAGCATCTCTAATAGCGAGATCTGAGAAACGTAAGAAGTTACAGTATAAAGATTTTGCATCAGCAGTAGGAAATATTGAACAATTATACTTCCTTAGTGATACAGTTCCAAAAACTGTTAATTTGAAGAATCTTGTTGAACAAAATAAAGTCAATTATTCTGCAAAGGCTCAAAATCAACAACCACAAGCTCTAGCAAAAGGTCAACAAACTTTGAATCTAGGAAAATCAACAGCTAATAAAAATGATGACGAAGAAGATTTACCAGAAAGTGATCCAGAAGAGATCAATGATAATGACGATGATGATGAACAACATAATAACAACGCAGAAGATGCTGATGAGAATAACAATACTGAAGATGACGAAGGAACAGCAACAGCTGAAGCTTCAAGTCATTCATTAGATCAAGATAAAGATGTCATCATGACTGAATAAATGAGCTGTACCGATATAATTCAAAATGTACAATATACGAAATAATTTCAAGATCATATCCACGTAATAGTTCAATTTATATACACTTTTCTTTATATGTACAGGTACCCTTATAATTCCCAAAAACAATTTTTTTCCTAACCTCTTTCTAAGTATTTATCTTTCAAAGCAGATTCTTCAGTCTCCACTTTTCCATAGAGTATATATTCTTTTATTTTAGTGAATTGTAATTTTGGATCTAATGGACCTTTTGGATAACCTGCAAAAGTGTTTTGAATTTGAGGAGCATTTGGAGATACAAGAGGTTTTAAATTTGGATTAAACTCAGTTGGAACAACAAAAGTTCTAACTTTATCCCAATTTATCATATAACGACCTTTTGTAGTGAATTTACCAATACCTGAAGATCTGGTACCTTTATAGAAATGTTTGTTACCTTTTTTTGTAGTCAAAGGATGTCTTCTTGAACCTGATTTGGCTACACCATAAAATAGAGTACCATCTCTAAATTTCTTCCATGGTCTAAGCAAAGAAGCGACTGGTGATTGTTGGAAATTCAAAATTTGAGATGCTTTCATTATGAAAAGGCTTTGAAGGGAATAAGATGGGAATCAAGCTTCTATCTAATTTCTCTATGCTTGATATTTTTCAGTAGAATTTGTTTCGGCCATACAAATTCAAAAAATTCAAAATTTACCCGGTGTAGGTCGTGTGTGTACCATCATGATGACAACTACAGTAACGTAAAATAAAATAGTAGAAAATAGTAGGCTGTCGTACTCTTCAATTCTTCAACACTACTCCTTCTGTGAATTTGGTATCTTGCAAAAGGTGGCGTCAATTGTTGTAAATGGTTATATGGTTATATTATAACCAGGACATTTAACTTGCTTGTTTATGGTACGCATCATCCGTTCGGATTGGCCATTTGTCTGAAGGCTATGAAGTGGCATCAGATTAGGTCTTCAAAAACACAATAATAAGTTGTTTTAGACCTTGTTCGTTATCATAATTGGAGCCCCAAATAGCACATTCAATTGTTTCTGCCGGAAAATCTCTATCTATAAATCGAGTTTTATAAAGAGCACTAATTTGTTGAGTCCCTCTTTATTTTCACGTAAAGTTGAAATGATTACTTTCAATGTTGCCGATATCCAAGAGTATCTTGAGGTGAATAAGCTCAAGTCCTTGAAAAGAAAGCAATATACACATTTTAACCCCATGAATGATCCTGTAGTTTGAAAAGACTTTCTACTCATATCTATATCTACAACCTGAACCATACTTCTAAACGGAACATTTACATAATATGATACTCAAAACTTAAAAAGAATGTAGTACTAATAAAAAACAACACAAAAACATGTAACCCATCATCATCATGAGGGAAATTGAATAAAAAACCTAACGCCAACAATGAAACAAATAATAATAACTATCATGCCCCAAACTATCATAAACTATAACCAACCCAAATATAAGAAAAATAAAAACCAACCTCACTTCGCAAAAAAAACCCTCTAAACCATAAATCATTTAACCCCAATATAAGTCTTATTCAAAAGATCAATTTCCCTACACAATATATGCCAATCAACATCACGCAACCAATAATTATTCTCCGAATCGTCATAATCTTCATCAACCGAACCATTATCTGCACCATCGTCATCATCTTCAATCACTTGATCTAAAGCAGTTGATGCAATTCTAATTGGCGAATTTGCAGATTCTAAAAAAGGTATTGTAGTTGATTCTGTAATAACTGAATCTGAAACTGCAGAGCTTAAAGAACTAATTGAACCTGATAGCTTTTTCGATAATTCCACTCCAGAAATTGGGTGCTTTGGGATAACGCTATCAACTGGACTATTTGTGATTGAAGATTTTGCCTCTAGTAATTTTTTCTTAGAATTGATTAATCTTTCACTTTCTTCCCATTTAACCAATTCATACATAAATCTTAAATTTGGTTGAATAATAACATTTAACCTTCTAACTCGAACATAAATATATGCCCTTATTAAATTAATTTTCAATCTTTTCATAACTTCAGCAATACAAACAGTAGCAGATCTTGAAACTCCAACACGACAATGAACCAAAATTTTACCATTATTTTGATAAGCTTCATCAATAAATTCTAAAATATCTTTTAAATTATGAGTTAATGTATCAATACCATCATCTTGAATATTAGAGACACACATAACTTTCTCAATTGGAGTATTTGGAATACCATTGATAACTGAAATATTACTATTAATTATGGTTCTATGCAACTCATCTTCATTTTCCCAATTTAGTTTTTCACCAACTGATACAATCCTTGTTATACCTAAATTTTCCAATAATTCTGGACAATTTGCATGGTGTAAACTTCCCAAATATAAATGACCCAATATTCTTGAAGGTAGTGACCCATTAAGTCTTGTACACCAAGTTGGAATCCCATTTATATATAATTGCTTATATATCGATTGTTTATCAATAGTTTCTAATGTCTTTGGTTCAAATTTTTTCGAATGCACCGGTGAATAATGAAGTAATAATTCCTCCAGTCTTGAAATTAATTGAACATCAGTTGGGAATAAAAAAAATGGACGACCATGTAATGTGTGTAGATCAACAATAACTTTTGTTAATGGTTCACCACTTGCATAAATTGCAAAACAAACACCTAGCAATGAAGATTCTGTATAACCATCTGAACAGTATATTAAACTTGGTGTATCTTGAGAAGACCTTGTATATAATAATTTACAAGTATTGATTAATGATATCAGATCATCATCAGTACAATCACCAATACCAATTGATCCTGAAGGTGGAAAAGTCAAATGAGTTTGTTGATTTATCAAATCCTCGCTTTTACTTGCTAATAAAAACCTCAACAGTTTCAAATTTGGGAAATTTGAACCTTCACAACAATTAACAAATAATTTCCAGTTGGCCATTGCTGGAGTTATTAAAGCTTCATCATCTTTGTCATTTAATAAACGATCTCTAGTGACAGTGACAGTGGAAAATGATGGGTCAACGTAAAGAGGAAGTGTAGAATCACCATTTAATCTTTCGAAAGGTTTTGGTCCTTTTAATTTTAAAACTTCAAAGTCAGTTGTATTCCCAAACCAAACATTTTTCATAACATGTGTAGCTGTAGACATTCTTGAAATTTCTAATTTTTCTCTAAATAAGTAATTTGTATCCCAATTGTTGAAAGATTCAAAATCATACAATGAACAAAATTTTCCAATTGGCTTTTTGGTATCTCTATCATCAATCTTATCAATAGCCAATAATCTTTGGTTTGATTCTGTTTTCCTGAAAAACGATAGATCATTATCTTGTAAAATCAAAGTTGTAAACATTGAACCAATCAACTCTGGATAGTCAATAGCATGTTTCAATTGAGCAAAATATAAAAGTCTAGCAACAGAAGCACAATGACATGATATATGTTCAGAGTCTGAAGAGTCAAGATGTGAATCGTTAAAACAATAAACAATGAAATCTGAAATTTGTGATAATTTTGAAACTTGGATATGGAAGTTTCTTAAGGAGATACCTTTAACTGGATCTAAATTTTTGAAAATAGGTAATAATCCCATTAGTTCACAATCTTGGAAAAGAATTCTCAAGACGTTTTCAAAATCATCTTCATTTGTTTCATGTATCTTCAAATCCTTCAAAAAACTATTCAATAAAATCAATAAATCTTGTTTAGATACATCTAAAGGGCAAAGAATCTCTTCAGGCATGACAGAACCTTTCAAAACACCTGAGTTCTTAACAACTCTCTCATGTTTATTCTGAATACAGTTAGATCTCACAGGCATAAGACACCTGCTTGTTGATGGTATTTTGTTTTTGGTATTGAATGCATCAAAGTTATTCTTCTCAATAGTTGTGAAATTCATTAATGAATTTAGGAAATCTCTTTGATTTTGATTAGAATGATGGATGCCATGAAGCCATGGGAATATTGCCTCACATTCAGGTAGTGGGTTTGAATAATGCCAATTCATTATAGATTTCAATTGATTATTATCTATTAGCTTAATAGGGAAAAGTCTATCCAATGATTTATTTGACCAAAAATAATCAAGACTAGGAGCCAAAGGTGATATTAAACTTTTATCATCATCATCTTTATCGTGATCTGGATTCAAGATCGAAGATGCAGAATAATGACGGGGGTCAGCAGACGAGGCAGCAGTATGTTGTTCATCCTTTGTTGTTGTGAACTCCTTGTAGTTTCTCTCAGATGTTGGTGGTGATGATGAAGGTAAACTAGTATCATAAGAATATGCGTCTAGCCTGGATCTAAACTTGTTTCTTTCTGACATGGAAACGGTGCTGTTGGCTCTCTTTGAGCTTCGCGAGCTAGCAGGGTGTTGTTCAATCAAGGGAGCAGCAGTGACTCTAGGCACTTCTTCTGAGCCGGCGGTAGTTGTGGTATCAGCGGTAGTGGTAGTGGTGGTGGCTAGGGGAGCGTTGTTGCTGGATGAAGTTGAAGGAGACGAGGACGTTGGTGGTTGTTGGCGAGGACTGCTTGATGAGGCAGACAAGACAGATACCGATATTGAGTCTCCCATTGTGTCAGTTGAGCGACGGGGGCAGGCGCCTTTGGGAGCAGAGTGTAACGGTGAGCAGCACAGAGGAGGAAGCGCTTCTAGCAGGCAAACAGCAGACGGCAATTGGGTTTAAAGCTATGGATCCAAACAGAAAATTTGTAGTACTTGAATCCTGATACCAAAAGTGTGTGAAATCGTGTATTTTTTCTTGTTTTTCATCCTGATGAAAATGAAATAATTTTACTGATAGGGAAATGCGGTAGGGGGCACATTGATATAAGTACGAAGAGTGAAGATTATTAATCTCAATTCTATTCTAATGCTAGTTTAATTAAATCAGTAATGGTTCAATCTCCATAGTCTTACTTTACCAGCTTCATTACCCACACTGAGCATCTCATTGTTTGGACTGAAACAGGCAGCAGTGACCTTACCCAAAGGAGTACCAGAAGTTGGCCAGTTTTGGAACACTTTACAACTTGGTAAATGAACTAATCTTAATGCATCCTTTTTAGCTCTACTGGCAATACATAGCATTTGACCATCTGAGCTGAATTCTAATGTGGAAATTGAAGTCACTAGTTGATCTAATGTACCAATTGGTTTCTTTGTAGAATTTAATCTATCATAGACCGTTACAATACCACTATCACTACCCACAGCACACCATCTATCATTTTTACCACCTAATCTAACTTTAGTTATACCAACACCTGTTTCATCTCTCCATTTCTTTACAACTATTTTAGTCTTTAAACTAAACTCCCATATGTCACCAGTTGAATTTATAGCAACGATAAAATCTTCATTTGCACTCCAATCAAAATCAACAATAGTTCCTTCAATCTTGAAACCTTGAATGTATAAACTAGTTGCACTGGAAATGATATTGACCCAGCCACTGTTACCAACTAACCCAATAAATGAACCTTTTGGTGAAACTTTGAAATTTTCAAATGATCTTTGTGTATCTTCATGACCATACAATCTACTTATTTTCTCCACAGCACCTGTTTGTAAATCCCAAGAATACATGTATCTTCTTCTACCACCAGCAAATACTTTATTTATTTGATTATCTTGGTTGAATTTGGCGGTTTGAATTGGTGTATCTCTTAAATGAATAGTGGTGACAACATTGTTAATTTTACCATCAACATGATAAATTCTTATGGTTCTATCGTAACCACCAGTTAATAATAATGGATGTGTTGGATGGAATGATAATGATTGTATAGCTGCTTTTGAAGGATGTTTTTGATTTGCATCTTTCAATCTAGTTATATCTAATTTAGTTGGTGGTAATAATTTTGAATTTTTATTATTTTGGAAATTATGAGTCTTTTGTAAAATTTTGGCTAAAGCTTTAACATCTCCTTGTTCAGTTTTTTCATCGTCTGATTGAATATCTTCATCACCTGAGCCTTCATTATCTTCATCATCATCTTTTTCGAATGTTGCATCTGCCCATTGTGGTCTTGGATAAATTTTTTCAAATTGTGATCTTAATCTTGATATATATGCTTTACCACTGATTGTTGAGTCTGTTTCCTTTTTACGTAGTTTCTTCATTTTATCAGATTGTAATAAAGATATACTTATTTCTTCGTCTTCACTATCTTTCCAAGCATCTGATTCTTCACTTGATTCATCATCATCTTCATCATCCTCATCATCGTCATCTTCATTATCCACATCCATTTGATCTCCATCATTTTCACCTTCATCAACAAAAAACAATTGATCATCTTGAACTTTTTCTAAATCATCTTCATCAGACTCATCATCTAATTCACTATTTGATTCATATTCATCAGATTCTTCATATAAATTATCAATGTTTTTCAAATTGGCTTCAAACCCTTCCAAGTCACCAAACACCAGTTTTTCTAGTTCCAATTCTTCCTCATCCTTTGGAGGCGGTATTATGTCTGCTTTGGAGACTTCCACTTGTGACATTTGTGCAAATATAACTCTATAATCAAAACTTGTTCTACTATTAATTTCAAGAGCTCATCTCTTTAAATTTTTTCTTCCTATAAAAAAAAAAATTTGAAGTTGGTTCAAACACGCTGATTTTCGCGAAAGTCACATGATCACAGTTTTGTGTACGTGTGTCGCGAACCATGGCTGGAATTGGAGTAAAAAACGAAAAGAATTTGTACTGAAGACAATAATCACCAGACAAAATATATACAGAGTTTACTATTCAGTAGTTGTTAATAAATATAGAAAATGAGATCATCATTTGCTAGATTATCACTGTGAGTACTTCCAAGGAATCGAGAGTGAGAAAATAAAGGTATACTAACCTTTCAAAAAGAAATCGTTCACCATATCATGATCCAAGAACATGGAAAATGACACCAGCCATGATAAGGGCTAGAAGACCATATTTCTGGAAAAATGCAACTGCTTTTGTTGTATTATCAGGTATCACTGTTGGTATCTATTTATACACTTACAGTTTCTTGGGTCAAGATGATTTTGAAGATGTTCCAATTCCACCAATCTCTGAGGCTGAATTAGTTAAATTAAAGAAAGAATATGAAGCATCCAAGAAAAGCCAATAGGCGAAAAGAAAAAAGAGTGTTATGTCTTGTTATTCTTTTGTTACGTTATCAAAATTGTTCATTAATTAAGTACCTGTATATATATCAATAAGAGGAAAACATATGGTTTAACCAGACGTATAATCAAACACCGAAAGATTGATCACTACAAAAGCTAGTCTAATAAAACCAAATCATTAAAAATTATGCTAAAACTATGCCGGTGGGTATTTCATTTCAAGACTTTACGCCCTTGGAATCTTTGGAAAACAGGAACTTCAGAATTATTACTATTTGATCTTTGATTTTGTAAAGCATCAGTGCTTCTATTATTAGAAGGATTAAATCTAGTATAATCTTCTGAATCCATTTCATGAGCTCTTCTTAATAAACTTTGTCTAATAGGTTTTCTATTATTACCATCTGTGAAATTACATGATGCAAGGCTATCATTATCATTAAATTCTTGTTTATCATCGTCTTCACTTAAATCTGATTCTGAATAATGTGTAGGTTGAGTTTCCGGAACTTCATAGTCATTTGCAAACACTGTTCTTTTAGGATATTCCAATACAGAGCCTTCATTTGAGCTTCCTGAATAGTTTCTTCCTTGACTAAATGGTATTGCACCTTTATATGATAGAGAATCATTTGAATAATTGATATCAGCTGGTCGACTTTGTAGTAATGAATGTGTTGAGTTATTATATTGATATGATAATGGTTGTGGTTTTGATGTAAGTGAATATGACGAATCATAATGTCTTGGGAGTGAATGGATAGATGGATTATCATGATGATGTGCCAATAATGGTTTCGCAACTGCATTTTTGAAGTTTGTCATTTCATATAATTGATTTTGTTTATCATCAAATGGATTTTCACTAACTGTTCTTAAAGTCGTTGATGAATTTGTCCTTATTGAAGTGAAAGTTTCAGGTTTTTTAGGTAATGATGACGGTGTGAATTTTAATGGATCAATATCAGGTAATGTTGGTTTATATCTTTGTTGATTTTCTAAAGTGATTTCTTGTAAAGATTTCTTTTGATAATGTCTTGCCAATTTTTTGACTGTATGATCAACTTTAACACAAACATACTGTCTTAATGCCTTAAACTTCAACACATGCAACACTCTATAGAAAACTGGGATTGCAAACACTAATGCGAAAAAAAATTGGAAAATGAAGAACAACCAAATAGCAAATGAAACTGTCATTGTGTACAGGATGATAGCTTCATTTCTACTATCAACGGATATCTTTTTGATAGTTTCCAAAAACCCATATCTAACATTGAAAACAGAGTATAACGTTAGAGCATTTATAACTTGTCTTGGGCTATCTGCTAATAACAATTTTTTAGAACCATGAAATGTGAAATAAGTGTAAAATGCCATTTTATCAAAACCTGAACTTGGATTAATTTCATTCAAAACACAAAAACATTTGTAACTTTGTAAAGATTTGGCATTTTTTGCAAAAGTATTTGTATAGATCAATGAAATGTTTTTAGTTCTTAGGACACGAAATCCTCTGACAGATTCATAAATCAACAAAACAATGGAGCATATGATGCAAGCAGCAAATAACCATTTTGATATCTTGAATGAAAGATAAGGTTTCACTTGTGAAGACCATTCATCAAAAGCCAATAATTTGATACAAGTATAAATATCAACACAATAGAACACAATACTCAATAATAAAACAGCGATCATAAATAGATAATTCCATACTGTTGTAAATTTTGTATTTTTGAACTGATCCACATCTATGAAATCGAATAAATTGTTATCAACTTGTCTTTCCCAACTTGAACTGAATAACCCCATTATGGACTGTTTTTCAAGGTTGAGATCTGGATATTATAGTTAAAGTATAGGAGGTGGAAATTTTGATGGTGGTAAAATGATGGTGGTGGTGGAGGAAAAGAATACTGATCTCTTGAATGTGTTTTAAAGTAGCTGATGGTTGAAGGAAGGAATAATAGTGGGTTAAAACTTGATGAAACAATACAGAAACATTCCTTTGATTGTGCTGTTGATATGAAAAATTGCCTGCATCTTTGATTTCTATTTATATTTAGGAGACTCAGATATGGGTCTTGAAGGGATGAAGAAGGGTCTCAACGGCTTTTAGGAACGGCGCACTATATGGCGAGTCTCGAAATGAGGGTCTTGTGATGTTTCACACTCAGACTAGTCTCCAAGACGATAGTGTTTTGAAGCAAAAAAAAACACACAGTAAAATTAATTCTGGAATTACGTACATTATTTAGTGACATATTTTTGATCAAAGCTAGATCTTTGTTGGTTCTGGATTCTGTGCAGTTTCATAGTCAAGCAGTTGAAATGTCATTGGTACAATATTCATCCTCTTCAGAAGAGAGTGACGTTGAAGATGAGAAAGTTAGCCAACCAGCATCAAGTATAGTTGAAAACAAACCAACTTCAAATTCAATATCAAGTTTCCTACCACCTCCAAAGAACAGACAGCCTCCTAAAAGAGAGCCAAGAGTGCTTGGTAAAGCCATAAAGCAAATTGCAGGTGCCAGTGCAGTCAATCCTGATAATATCGTTTTGGATAAGAGTTCGAAACAAGTGACTTCATTTATACCCAGTTCATTAAGGAACAAACAAAAACCAACGTCCGCCAAATCAACCCCTATAGTAACTGAAAAGGAAGAATCAAAACCAGAGATTGAGATATTCCAACAAGCTGCAAAGACTAAACCAAAATCAATTACAAGTAAACAGACCAAAGTGGAAATACGGCCAATTACCTCCATAGATGATTCAGAAGTGATAATACCAGAAGATGACTCAAAAAAGAGGATACTACAAGATGATGATCCAGATCCAGAACATATTAAAGAGTTCAATGTGAGTGATTTCTATCAAAAGAACATGGAATTGAAAGATCAAGGTCTTTTAGAGGAGAACAAAAGACTCCACACAGTGACACACTCCAAAAACCAGTTGAGTGCCCTACTGAAGAATGCCAAACAAGATGAAGAAGTGCTTAGTGAACGAATTGAACGCAGCAAGAGACTGAAAAAGGAAAAGGGTAATCAATATGGATGGTAATTAAAATCAATGTAATAATATTAGGTGCTTATGTACTCGCGAATGCGTTTTGTAGTCGCAATCGATAAATTTTACCCGCAAATTCTGAAAAATCTGAAGCTTTTTCGCCAGATCAAAAACAAAAACAAAAAACTGAAAAAAAAAATCAAAATCGGTTAACGTAGTTTAAAGAAGGTACTTAACAAAGAAGAACAGATTAGGTGACTCATAAGCCTTTAATAGACTACATTTACTTGCTCTAGTCTGACTCACAACCACACCATCAATTTCTCATTTCCCCACAGAAGCTACTGTTTTCGCTTTTGGCTGGAGGTCCATTCATTTCAACAACAATAAAGATTAAAATACAATACATTTGAACTGAGAGATTCATTACAGCGCTTGTCATAAAATATAAGCTAAAAGATCACATCTTTCCCACTCAAGAAAAGTCCATTCATATCAGAGAAAGAAATCATGGAAGATCAGATCAAGCAAGCAGTAGAGATTGCAATCAGTGGGACTTCTGATTATAATTTGAAGCAACAAGCCATCACTTTCTTAAACGATCTAAAAGCTTCAGCTGATGGGTGGCAAGCATTTTCATTACTATTGAAAGATATATCATACCCTGACCGAGCTAGATTCATTGCATTACAGGCTTTAAATGATTACATTCCAAATCTATCTCAAGAGCAAAATCAATATATAAGGTCAACTTTGTTAACTTATTTACAATCATTAATTTCAAATAATAAGGATGATTCTCCATTTCTAAAAAACAAGTTGGCAGAGTCATTTGCATCACTTTTCTGCTCAACCTATTTGGCTAGTTGGCCTTCATTCTTCAAAGATTTCCATAATTTAATTTCAAATGAAAATGAAATCGCCATCGACCAATACTTGAGAATATTGTTGGGTATTCATTCAGAAATTGGTGATCAATTGATTGTTAGAGATAGACCTTTAGTAGAGAGAAACAATGCTTTGAAAGATTCCATCAGAGTTAATGATATGGAGGATTTAACTAAAGTTTGGAAACGTTTACTAGCTGATTTCAAATCAAGTCAATCAAGTTTATCTCAAAAAATCTTGACACAAGCATTGCAAGTTGTCGGAGGTTGGGTTTCATGGATTGAAATTGGCTTAATTGTGGAACCTGATTACATTAATTTGATATTGGAATTCTTATCAAATGATTCACAAAAGGCAACTTGTTGTGAAACTTTAGTGGAGATTATTAGTAAAAAAATGAAACCAGAAGGTAAATTACAACTGTTGTCTTTATTGAATTTGACAAATGTTGTCAGTTCATTATCATTAGATGGAAGTGATGTCGAGTTTGTTGAACATGTGGCAAAGTTATATAATGCTATTGGGTTAGAATTGACATTCATTTTAGATTCCCAAGAAGCTTCTGCAGATATCAAATCTTCTGCAGATCAACAAATTATCAATTTATTCCCATTTGTTTTGAGTTTCTTGGAAAATCCTTATGATGATGTCTCTGCACATGTTTTTTCATTTATTTCAAGTTATTTAGCCGCATTGAAAAAAATCATTAAACAAAGTAATGGTAACATTGATTCTACTCATTTAGGTTTATTAGGTACATTATTACAAAAAGTTATATTGAAAATGAAATATGATGCAGAAGATGATGGTGATGATGAAGATGATATTTCTGATTTCAATGAATTTAGATCCAAACTTAAAGTTTTCCAAGACACAATTGCAATCATTAAACCAGATTTATTCGTTGAACAAATAACTAATGTTATTGAGCAATCAATTTTTGCAAATTCTAATCAAGATTGGAGAACAGTGGAATTAGGTCTTTTTGAATTAACAAATTTCTCAGATGCTATTAGAAACAATGTCTTGAATCTACCAAAATATTCAATCCAAGAATCAAAGCCATACATGATTTTCCAAGAATTCCTTGTTAGAACCATCAACTCAAATGTTGTTTCTATTAATCATCCATTAATTCAACTCAACTTTTTTGAACTAATTGTCCGTCATTATTCATTCTTCAACACATCTGCAAACAAAGATGCTTTAACCAATCATATTTTGGAACTATTTATTTCCGTTGGCCTTTATAATCCAAATGAAAAAGTCCAAATTAGATGTTGGTATTTATTCTTTAGATTTGTTAAACTGACAAAACCTATCTTAAATGATGAAATCATTATTCGTTTGATTACCAGTTTGGCTGAAAAATTATTAGTCATTAAAGCTGAATTACCTCAAAAGGATGAAAATTCAGAATTGGTTGAATCTTCTTCAACTTTTGATAATCAATTATATTTGTTTGAAACTTTAGGGTTGTTAATCTCATTAGTTGATAATGCAAAAATTGAACTAAAAATCAAATTATTAGACATCTTATTGAATCCAATTTTTGCTGATTTGGAAAAAGCTGTTTCAGATGTTCATAGAAATCAAATTGTTATTTTACAAGCTCATCATTCATTAATGGCTATTGGTACAATTGCAAGAGGATTTGAATATGACTCTTCCCCTAATAAAAAATATTCCCCAGAAGTTGTTCAAAGATTTAATAACACTGCAGAAGTGGTGTTAGTTACATTGGAAAACTTAAACAGTTTTGAATTGATTAGAGACGCTGCTAGATTTTCTTTTGCCAGATTTATTCCAATTTTGAAGAATGATATTAGCAGTCATTTATCACGTTTAATCTCTATATTGTTGAGTTCAAACAACTTGAAGATTAGTGAGATGACTGATTTCTTGGGATTCATCGGCCAAATCATCCATAATTTCAACAAAGCTGATTTGATTTATAATTTGTTGAATGATTTATTCACTCCATTATCAACAAAGACATTTGCTATATTGAATGATAAAGGTGAAAATGATGTTTATGAAATGATGCCAGATGTTGTTAGAGAAAAGTCGTCATTGAAAAAAGCTTACAGTACTTTATTGATTAGTTTAACACAAAATAACATTTCAAGTTTGTTAGTTACAGAGACTAATAAATCCAATTTACCATTGATCTTACAACATTTGTTGGTTGATGCTAATGATTTAAGTGACTTACAAGTCTCAAAACTGTCTTTAAGTGCTTTATCTCTTGTTGCAAACATTTTCGGTAATGATACTGTTAATGATCCAAAAGACAAATATAATACTGGTATGTCAATTGATGGTATTTCATCTTTCTTATTAGAAAATTTAGTTAAATCAAGTTTCCAAATTCCTTTCCAGAATGAGAAATTTGATATTAAAGATGCTCAATATAGATTTATCGCTGATGAAATTGCAAATATTCTAAAAGTTTTATTTACAATCAAGAACCAAGAACTTGTTACATATTTGAGAGAAGTTTATTTCCCGCAAATTCAGTTACCTACCAATGTTGGTGATGATTTAGTTCAAAACTTGATCAATTTAAATACTAAGGACTTTAAAAAGTATTTTGTCAATTTTGTTCTTCAATTGAAATCATGATAAAGAAGTTGAAAAGCACAGTGAGAATTAAAAATAAAAGTACACGTTGTTTTTTAAAGCATTTACCCAGAGCTCTAAAGAGATTAAAAGTTGTTTAATACAGTCATACTTATATATAGATTCCATTTGAACAAAGACTCAAAATTTGCATTCTGTATGAATTTTCAGCCATGTAGTTTAGTGACCCTGATTCAATTGGCAGTCAGCAAAAACTTAATTCGAGGGTAAACCCCGGAATTCAAAAGCGTGATAATTTTTTGGCAATTTTTTTGATCGTTGAAATTATGGTGAGCAGGACAGCCAGCAAAGGCAAAAAAGGTTTTTAAAGAATCATTAGAAAAGCAAAAGCATACTTTAAAATCAGACAAACAATTCAATTGAATCTATTTGGGACTTATTTTTAATTGTTGTGTCCTAATAAATTGTTTATATCATAGAAAATCAGGATTGCTTCATTTTCAAAAAGTGTTTTTTTACTACTACAATACTCCTTGTTATAACCACTTAGTCACAATTTTTATACATTCAACCTCTCAGATTGTCAAAAGTTTACACAAGATAGATAAATAATGGCACAATTTGATGACCCATCCATAATATCGCTAGTTTCAGCTGTCTCAGATAGCAAGGCCGGTGCTAGTGCTTTCGAGAATAACAAAGATGATAATGCAATCACCAAGTTTTTAAGAGAAGCTGAATACAAAAGAGAAGAGGAAGAAGCTAAGAAAAGCGGATTCACTACTGAACAAAAAGGTACAGAAATAGGGGATGATGAAAGCACGAATGCTCAAAGCAAAGAATTAGAATTAGAAGATTGGAAACTTGAGTTGGGTCCTTATAACAATAACGAAAGACTAAGATATAGCATGGATTATTTGTACAGCTTGAAAGATTCCTCAGATAACGTTGTTCCACAAGATCTTCCACCAAAGAGCTATTATAGATTAAAGAACAAACCTATTCAAAGAACTAACTGGTCGGGAAACCAATACAATAATAATAACGGTAACTACACTGGTAGAAACAATTATAATGAAGGTGGACCAGCTACAGGATCAATGGGTAATTTCAACTTGAATAAGAAGCCTCATGATAGAGGTTTCAATAGATATGGTAACAACAACAACAACAATAGAAGAAATAACAGGGACCATCGTCACAAGAAACAAGACGATGATGATAGTTGGCTAGCTGAACTTGAGAAGGATGAACCTGCAGGAGGATCTGCTGAAGATTTTGAAAAATGGAAAGCTAAAATCAAGTTGGCTGAACGTAAGAGAAGAGGTGAAATTGTTGACGAAGAAGAAATAACACCATCATCAACTCAAAGAAGTGAAGAAAACAAAAACACAATTGATAGTTTCTTTAGTGTTGCAAAGCCAAGTACCAAATCAGGAGGTTCATCTAATGCTGGAACCCCAGATGTTACCAAAAACTCCAAATTTTTCTCATTTTTCAAACCAGAATCTGGTCCAGCCAAAGATGAACAATCTTCAGGACAGCAACCCTCAGGAAATGATGGAGTTTCAAAAATCTTATCTTTGCTTGATAGTGGTGAAAAGAATGCAAAGGCTGGCTCAAACAACTCAACTCCTCTCCTTACAAAAGCTTCTCCTTTACAATCTCCTCAAGTTCAATCCCAACAACCACAACAAGGAAGAACTCAGTTCAACTTCCAACAACCTTCATCAGGTCAACCTCAACCACCTCAACAACCTTCATCATCAGCTCCTGTCTTACCCCCAGGTTTAGCACCTCCATCAAATCAAGGATTACCAGCTGGTGGTTCCAAAGATTCCTTCTTTATGTCATTATTGAATAGAGGCCCTGAGAGTGCTAAAATTGACTCTACACCAAATGCTCAAAGTCCAAAGGTTTCAACTAATGACTCAAAACAAAGCCCATCATTACCAAACCAAGAACAACCTAGAAGCTCATTACCTCCGGGTTTACAAGGACCACCAGGTTTACCTCAGCAGAATCAACAACAGCATTCACAACAACCTGGTCTTCAAGGCCAACCTATGATTCCACCACAATTTCAGAATGGACAAAATAGAGGCCAAGGCCAAATGCCACCAGTACCACCAGGTTTTAACCCTCAACAACTACCACCATGGTTAGCTCAACAATTCCCACCAAACTTGCCACAAGGCGGTAGATTTATGCCTCCACCTCCACCAAATGGTATGGGTTTCCCACCACAAATGAGACAACATGGTCCTCCAGGTGCTTCAAATATTCCACCACATTTACTTTACCCCCAAGGTGGTCAACAAGGTGGTCAAAGTAACCCACAAGTGTTTTATCCACCATTTGGTGCACCAAATCCTGATGGTCAACATCAACAACAACAACAACAGCAGCAAAGATTTCCTCCAGGTTTCTTCAATGGCCCACCGCCACCAGGATTTCAAGGAAGAGACTCAAATCAGCAATAGTTTGAATAGTTATTTTCGCTCAAGATAAGCACAAAAGAATGAATATTAATGCAGTGCGTATGCCTTTATTGAGATTTTAAGGATGTTGCAACAAAGTTAGCACGAATATATGATAACTACTTTAACTTTTTTTGCTTGTAGAATTAAATATCGTATTAACCTAAAAAACTTTTGAAATTTTCGTTACCAAATTCAATATTTGTAAATGCTCATCAGTACCGTTTGATAATCTTTGATCAGTTTCAAACAAAATTTGTGAAAATTGGTTTTTTTGTTCTGGTGAATAAGCATCATTCAAGATTAATTCATCATGTAATTGGTTAACAATTTCAACACCACTCCAACCTTCTGAAATGGCATCATCAACAACCTTGAAGATCTTTTCGAATTCTTTGGTTTCGGAAACTTTTAATAAACCTTCTAAGATATCTCTTGGAACAGATCCTGCAATTTCACGAATACTCTTGACAGTGATTAGATCTTCAGCGATTTCTTTATCGTCATCACCAGTTAAATCGATATCACCATCTTTATCAGTGGTCATCAAACTTGAATGTAGTCTAGCAGCTGATTGTAAAAAGGTAATAGCCTTACGCAAATCACCACTTGCAATTTTCAAAACCTCTTCTAAAACACCTTCTTCTAGCCTTATGTTTTCTTCTTTTTGAATGTATTGTAGTCTTGATAAAGCATCTTGGTTATCCAAAGGTTTGAAACGGAACTTTGAACATCTTGAGGCTAACGGACCGATGATTCTGGTTATATAGTTACAGATCAAACAGAATCTTGTAACACCTGAATAAGTTTCCATAGTTCTTCTAAGAGCAGATTGGGCATCAGCAGTCATTGAATCTGCCTCATCCAGGATGATGATTTTATATGGAGGACATGGATAATTTTCTAGGTCTTCAGCACTTGGATTAGATACTGTTAATCTTGCAAAGTTTTTAACTTTCTCACGGACAATTGAGATACCTCTTTCATCTGATGCATTTAATTCTAAAACACGAGTTTTACTCAAGCTTGGGCTGAATAACAATGGTTAGTATGACCAAAAGAAACTGTCATCATGAATACTTACCCATATAATTCTCTGGTTAATGCTAAAATAGTAGAAGTTTTACCGGTACCAGGTGGACCATAAAACAACATATGAGGTAGCTGTAATTGTTAATATCTCTTGTTGACACTGGAATTGGAATAACATACATTTGCTGACTTAAGAGTCCTTTTCAACACTGTGACAGCATGGTCTTGAGCAGTAACTTCATCTAAGTTCTTTGGACGGCTATAACAAATGTTAGTAGTTGTTGGATCTTCAACTGGAGCATGGCACATACTATTTTTCCACCCAAGGCAATGCTCTTTCGGTGATTTCTTTTGGCTTTGAAGATTCTTTATTGCTATTTTTGGCAAAGAAGCTATTGACTGACATCGCTGAAGGTGAATATGTTTCTCTTTTATGGTCAATTGGACAGGCTTTACCACTCGAAATATCTATGGCAGTACTTTAAAATTTCTACAGACGCGTTTTCTCGAATTTTTCACCAAAAAGTCGTGTCAAGCTCCAAAAAACAATTCGAAGTTCGAACATTACTTTCTACGCTTTTACACTGAATCAAATGAAAGAACTGAATTAAAAAATATGTATATGTATCCTATTAAATTCATGAATTAATGAGTTATTGTTCTTTTGGAATGAAGTGATTTGTAAATTCTTTTAATGGACCCCTATAACTGAAAGTTCAAGAGTCCAAACACGTCGTATATGCAAACGAATACTAGCATCAGATAACCCATCAGTGTGCAATAAACCTGGAATCTTCAATTCAACTTCATCATCAGACCACCAGCACTTACGAGCAGGTTTTCTCCAGAACAGAAGTAATTTCGATGAAGTGCCTGCACTTTTTGTTCTTGAACTTGATCTGTTTCTGGAAACTGAACGTGATGCTGATCTTGCTGCATTACCTGCCAGTTCAACAATACGTGATCTTCTTGAGACTTTGGTGTTATTTGAAGACACTGGATTTAATGATGGTGACTCTGGTTCTTGCTGTTGTTCAGGATGGACTAAATCCACTAGTGCCAATGAAGTTAAAACTGTCTTTCCAGGTTCCGAACATCTATGTCCCCAATCACTTTCCACGTTGAAACCTGAGGAGCATAACATTTCTAGTAAATGCTCTTCAGCTGGGCCTAATTTTTTTCCTGGAGCATAACCTAAACCTTCAAAAACTTTATTACGACTAACCAAATAGCTGCCTGCAGCTGATTTGATAGCTCTAACACCCTGTGGACTAATACCCTTTCTTGGTGGAATAACATAATAGTCCAGATCTTCCCTTAGCACGATGATTGATGGTTTCTCATTCAGCACCTCTATATCCGGTGTTGTGTAACTGTCATATATTTCAGGTTGACTAGAAGGTGGTAATCTTTGAGCAGCAGCACCGAAACTATCAACTATATATTGAAAACATTCAGGTGAAAAATTAACATAAACAATATCATCTTCTGTTAGGTTTGTGATAACGTTACCATCAACATCAACAAATACACCATTTGGAAACAAGCATAATAGTATACTCTCTGGCAAGCTCATAAGCTCATCTCTTGTGATATGAAACATTTTCCCTCTGATATTTAGTTTAATGATAGAGTTTAAATCAGCATCTTCATCCATTTGAGTAGTTGCCTCTGGCCTCATTGGGCCAGCATCTTGAGAAACTTGTGTAATAATATCTGGATTTGACATCTTGAGTGTAAGTTTAAAATCAAACCACAGAACAAATAAAAAGCACAAATACTTTGATTATTCAATTTGTGATCCTTCAATTGAACAAAAGGTGCAACGATCTTGTTACTTCAACTTTTATATGAACAAGACAGCAACAATATTGGAATTTCTTCTGCCCTGAGAGCCAAAAAAGACCTCCAAATTCAACAATAACAAGCTGTGGGGGTGAATGTGAATTTTCAAATGGTTGATGTGTTTACACAATGAACGTTTGCTGAGTGATTCTTTGATTCAATCGTGTCTTTGTTGTGATCCTTCTTGAGTCAGTGAAGAAGAAATTTTCCCGTGTACACAAAAAGTTGGTTCCGCGAATTCCAGAAATTTACCCGGTGATGATAAAAATGCTTATGTAATACTGCTCTTGTACAAAAGTAAAAGCCTATAGACTTTTCACATTTTAAACCTCATTTTGGGTTGCAATTTGGGAACTCATATATACTATAAATGGGTGTGATAATGGGGAAGAAAGAGGCTCAAGATTCAGAGATATCCGACAGTGAAATCTGGGCCGATAGTGACGAGGAATTCAGACCAAATGTGCCTGATGATGAGTTTTATGGTGAAAAAAGTGGTGTATTGGAAAACAGTGAGATCTCAGCTCTGAGGAGAGTCCACGCAAAGAAAGGTTATTTAGATGGGCTATCAACAGCTAAAGAAGACAGTCTTCAAGAAGGTTTTGACAAAGGTTATCCATTAGGTGCTTCCATAGGTATAGATGTTGGGAAAGTGATTAGTAAACTGCAATTCATCAGCACCATGAATGAGATTGATCCAAAGTTGAAAGATCAAGCAAAAACTTATTTAGAGTCAGCAAAGGAAGAACTTTTAATTCAAAAAGTTCTCAATAGAAGGTACTTTGATGGTGACTTGAAGTTACCAGAAGATTTGCATTCGCTACTTCAAAGGTGGAAATCAGATATTGACGACTTACAAGCTCAAATAAAACTACAACAATAATCAAATCAAAACCGTTCATAAAAATCCATAACTTTTTTAAATCAATATCTTTCCAGTTGCTCAAAATAACAACAGTTATAATATACAAATCACCAGAAAGAGCACCAACCAATATAATGTTGACACAAGTTTTCAACAGATGTTGCTTGTTGAATCAATTTATCAACCTGGCTTGACACATTCAATTCATTGAAACGACGGAAATCATTACCAGTCAACTTATCAGTGATTCTTTTCAACACCAATGATGCTCTTGCGTTTCTAATTTCAATCTTTTGTTGAACTTCCAATTTTGCAGCTTCTTGTTCATCAATTTGACCCCTGCGTAATAATTCAGCAGTATTAACAAGTTGAAATTTAATACCAGTGGCATCAGCAATAGCTTGTGTAGGTAAATCAAATCCCCAATTAATCAATGGATCGTAAGCAAATGCTTCTAAAATGGCCATCAATGATTCTTTATTATCACGCAACACTCTCATAACATGTTCACAGGTGATTCTGAATGTACCTTCAATACCACTGACTTCCATAGCATATGTAAGCATTCTTGTTAATCTAAATGGCACCTTTTCAGGATATTTCTCACGCAAAATAGCAGCTTCAAAACAATCACCAAAATCAATATGAACAACTTTACCTGTAATTCTGTCCAACATCAAGTTGGAAGGATGACGATCACCTAAACCTAGGATATACCCAACCATTGACATCACAGCCAAGGATCTAGTGTAGGTTGTTCTTCTATCTAACCATGATTCTGAAGACCTACTCTTCAACCACAAAACTTTGTAAAGATCTTGACCTCTAGTATTATCCAGAGCATATGTGAAAACTTCAACTTTTTGCAACAGTGTTAAATTATCGTAATCTGGAGCCATTTGCAACATGATACGATGCTCAATATTCAAGATAATGTTTCTTGATTCACGATACTCCCTGATTAAGACATGGAAAGTATCACTGTTTGGAACCCACCCTAATAAACCTGTTTTTGGAGATAATGGAATTGCTGGGAATCTTTGAATGTCTAAATGTCTCTTGAAACATTCAGGGTCATTAACCAAAAGTGTGTTAACCAAACCAAATAGTTGCATAACTAAACTATCTTGACGAATATCTTCATGACCTTTCAACAAATAGAAGTATTCCTTACCATCACTTCCTTTAATACCAAAACGACGTGGTCTCTGTTTGGAGGAAATAACTGTCAAAGAAGGTTCAAAGCTCAGAATACTCACAATTGGTTTCCCGGGTCTATAAGTACCAGGAATAGCCAATTCTAAATCTTTAGCAGCCAATAATTTAGGAGAAACATATTGTAGTTCAAGAGTTTGCAGTTGAGGCAGCTGTCTATTGATACGACGGAAAACATTATAATAGATATCCCATGCCTGGTTCAGCTTGGAGATGTCTTTTGTGCGACGATAACTCAGAACCCATTCATATGCATGACTCAAATCTCTACCAAATGTGTTCTGGAATGAAACTTCACGCAGGGTTTCTGGCCCCTTTTCCATCATTTTATGCAATGGATCAAGAACAGCAAACATTTTGTCAACATTGTGTTCACCAAAGAAAAGTCTTGAAGCATCTTCCAGCCCTTCATACCACAGTTCATGCCACAAAACAGCAACTCTAATAAGTTCATCACTCACAAGTTCTGATTGGCCAACTAATGTTGGGCTATGAATTCTCATCTTATCAAGGATAGTTGAAGCAGCACGTTGTCTCGAAACACTATCAGATTTAACGGAAACAGTTAATGGATAAACCAAAGCTTGTGGATGTGCTTTACCTAAGTCAGACAACAAACCGTGTAATGAGCGGCTAACAGTCTGATTTGGTTGGTGGATTCTGGAAATCAATTGAGGAATGATTTCTAACCAAGTATCAATCTTCACCATACTGAAACCTTCGGACATAGCTTGAGCTGCTTCTGGCAGACCACCAAATGTAAACCACAACGTCAATAATCTCAATGTGTCTTGTAATGGATTGGATTCCGATAATGAAATAGAGTGGAAGAACCCTCTTATAGCTGGAACAACATGTTGCTGAATTAATTCTTGAGTATAAGCATTTTCATTTTCATCATTTTGATTGATGGCAGATTTGGAAGTCAGCAAAGAAATCACTTCAAAATTAGCCAATGCCCAGTTATGCCATGCCTTATACCATTTACTGTCAAAGTGTGTTGCAAGCAAGTATGAACCAAGAATGGTTTCTGAGTTTTCAGTCCTCCAGTTTGGCTGTAATGCAACTTGCCATTCACCTTGTTTCAGGAAACATCTTGCCAATAATCTAGTATATTCTTGAACATTCTTGATGGTTGTATGTGTTGGTAAAGGTTGTGTGATCAAATCATCTGGATTCAACCCTAAATCATGGGACATTCTTGAAGTGAAATCAATCAAATGACTCAATGCCTCTCTTTGAGAACCCGTGGCCCACATGTATTTCAGTTGAGCATAAACAACTTGTGGAGGTGCTCTAGATGTATTCGGATCGTCACCTTCTTCAAGTAATGAGTTCAATGACTTTTCAGCCAGACCTAATCTTCCCGACTTTCTGCACAAGTTTGCAAATTTGATCCAAACGTCCATATCTTGTTTTGGTTTCACAACTAATGCACGAACCTTCAATAACCTTTGCCAGATATCAACATTTCTTTGACAACCCAATAAACGAGCATTCCATGTTTTCCTCATGACAGCACGAGCATCAGAATGCTGTGGCAAATTTTTATATTTGATTATTTCTTCCAATTCAGCCAACATTTGAACTCTAACAACGACACCATAAGCTCTGCTATAACTCTCACTGACTAATGCCGTAATCTCAGTTACCAATAAATCTCTAGCTTTAGAAATATGCGATGACGCTTCTCCGAAATTGTTTCTATGCAAGCACAAAATAGCATTGAAAAAAGATCTGTCTGGTGATTCTGGTTTCATGACAGTGATATATGTATCCATTCTTTCCCAGTTACCCAAACCCCAAGCAGCAGCGGCAGCTAATGGTGCAACAGTTCTCTTGATATCAGTTGATGAGTTTGTCCATTTTTCTTGAGCCAATTGTGATAATTGATCCCATTCACCCAAAGCATGCAAACAACGCATTTTACCCATAGTAGTATCAATGGTATCAACTTCCCTTTCATTATAAGCCTTCAATGCATCTTCCCATCTTTGCAATTTTTCAAACCAAGTCTCTTTAAGTTGTAAATCATGATGTTGCTGAGCATGTTTCAAGATACCAATAGCCGCGTCTGATTGTTGCAATTGATTATTGATACTTATTAATGACTCGATTGTTGGAGTTGAAGGTTCCTGACTAAATTCAAGTTCCTTATAATGCAAAGCTTTTGCGTAAGCATGACATCTTTGAGCATATTGACCCAATGTTGAAATATGAATTGGTAAAGCTGTATCATCATGTTCCATAAACTCAGCTAAATTCAAAAGTGTTTGATAAATTTCTGGTGGATTGTTTGGCGATGATAATGCCATACATAATGATTGGACCAATTCTTCTTGGTGTTGTGTGTAAAGTTCACTCCAGCAACTTGCAAAACTGGCATTAAATAAATCTTTAGCTAAAGGATAATAACTACCTGCCAAGGCCGAGCAAGCTCTCAACGCATGTGATGGGGACTCCTTCAACAACTGAACACTCAATCTTCTGCTCCATTCCTGCCAATCTTCTTTGGTACGACATTGGCTGCACTGCCATGCATTTTTCAAAATTTGCTGGTTAACCGGAAGCTTCTTTGATGGTAATTCAACAATATCACTACCGTCACCGCTCTCTGGTTCCTTATCCAATATCAGATTCTGTGGCAAAGGTTCATCATTTAATAGTTTATTCACCAACTGATCATAAACAGGAGATTCAATATTGTATTTAAAAAGCACTTTGGTAATACTAGGAATAAACACAATGAATTCATTGCTCACTTGTAACAATAACAAGCTTAATGTATTCATCGATGCCTTCACTAGCTCATCATTACGAGTACTGAGTACTCTTAACAAAGTATGCACAATTCTTGATGATATATCATTCAAATTAACATTTCTTGAAATTTTACCCACAGTGATAATTGCAGCTTTTCTCACATTTTGTGGACCATACTCAAAAAGGTGAACCACATTTGGGATGATGAGATGAATATATTCTTCAATACTTCCACCAAAAACAACAAAAGCTTTCAAAATTCTCAACGAGACATTAGTAGTCTTATCGTTACCAAGAGCATCAAGTAATAGTGGCAGGACAGAAGGTATATGTGTCTTAAACTCGCCATCTAGCGCTTTAGCGATGGATTCAATCAGTGATATGATTGTGACTTGCAGATTTGCCAGATGGAAATATTCTTTGATGGTGTCAAAAACTTCTGGTAAAAATGGTCTAATATGCTGTTTCACAATACTTATCAATGCACTTATTTGTTGGAAATAAAATTCAAGCATTGATGGAGGGCATGTATGCATAACACTAATGATTGCCTCAATTATGCTTCCAGTGAACTTGATACAGGTTATTGTGATGGTTTTGAAAATCAAAACAATAGTTTGAATGCAGCTTGAATGGTAAGCAGCTAAAGATGGATCTTTCAGAATCTTCAATAAAGTACTTATAACAACTGTTGGATAATATTCTTCATTAGATGGACTCAAACCTTGCATCAATAAGGCAACATCTGTAGGAGGACCCTCAACGACAATATGCTTGGAGCTTCTTTCAACTTCTTTATGTTTGTAAGGGTCTAGTGCACCAAGGATACCCAACAATCTAACAGTCTCTCTTCTAATGTTTGGTGATGTTTCTGACTTCAAAATATTGATAATTATTCCCAACAATTGTGGATAGTCTAATAAAGGCTGAATAACATAACCAGTAGATCCAGATAATTGACCCAGCGTTTTCAAAGCGGAATCCCTTTTGAATGAAGAGCTTTGATCTTGAAATGTCTCCAAGATTAATGGCATCAAATCTGAAATGAAAGGTTTTACGTCTTCTCCACCAACAACAGTCAATTCACCTAAAGCAGCAATTGCACTAGCAGCAACTGAAGCACTTTTGTCTCTAGCTTTAGGAAGTAACACATCAATGATTGGTTTTACATATGGTTTGGTTATATTCTTAGAGGAACTGATCAACAGTGACAATAATATAGCACTTTCTTCCTTTTTCCTGGATGCTGTTGAGTATTCCAATTTGGTCAACAACTGAATCAATGTTTTTCTCAAAAATGGAACAATGTATGCAGGGTTAATTGATGACAATCTTCCAATGATTTGAATTGCAACCTTCTGTATAGCAAAAAATTCATCGTTTAAAGCCATAAATAACAATCTTACATTATCAGCTTGAGATAGTTGTGGATCAAAGTTTTTCCCAAGTGAATTTAAAACTTCAAGCCTTATATCTGGAACAGGATCAGTGATTGCAACAGTCAATAATTTGTCCAAAACCTCAGAAACAGCATTTAATGAATAACTTGAAGTTTGAAAGCATACTGAATCTTTCAGAAACAAATCACAAGAAGTCAGAGCAGCTATTTTCCGTACCTCGGTGTTGTCATGTTCAATATATGTGATTGTGCAATATCTAACAAACTCAAATAGGGATTCATTCTTGAAATTGAAGAAACTGAGCATTTTCAAAGCCTGCACAATGATATAATCATCATTGTTGATTCCGTTTCTTGAGGCAGTGGCATCCCTGTATTGCCTTGCTAATTGTGCATTCATAATATTATGAGAATTTGGTGAGCCAGGCTGGCTGAATGAATAACCCGAAAGACAATAACTGAGTAAGTTCAATGTTTTAGTGTTTATTGTCTGTTCAAGTGGAGGTATTCTTTGTGTCAATACTAGTAAACATTCTCTCATATGATCACTTAATGAACAAGAAAGGAGCATATCCAATATATCTCTTTGTAAATGTTTTGTCAATGCTGGACCAACAGCAGATGCCAATTTGCTAATACAATAAAAAATAGCAGGTTCAATGTCCCTGCGAGCTCTAGATTTTGAGTTTAAGCCATCTCTGATGTTATCCAGAATTGCGTCCAGATAAGTTGTGATTTGACCTTCAACTTCATATGCAATATCACCAATGGATATTAGTATAGCAGCTTTTTCATTTTCTTCTTTCAATTGTGATAGATAAAACAGCAGTGTGCGGTGAAGGTATTTTTCAACAAACTTTGGTGGATTATAAGCAGCAAGTAATGGTATGATGTGGGTAACCTCTTGTCTAATGATGTTGTACTTGTGTTCTCTGAATTTGAATGAAGTTTCGAAAATTGCATCATACTTATCTTGAATAAACATACCACCCTTTTTAACCAATTCTTTGAAAACTAATAAAGAACCATGAATGGCTTCACTGGTATTCATTTTAAAACCTGCAGATGCACCCTCAATCAATTTGTTGAACCAGTTTTTCCTCAAGTTTAAATCACGTTCATAAATAACATCAAGACATTTTTCCAAAGCTTTAGCAGCATCAATTCTAATTATAAGTTTTGAATCTCTTAAAGCAGACCATATATTTTCCAAGATGGTATTGACATAGCTATGGAATAATGTTGGAGAGTTTTCAGCGATTGCCGCTATTATTAACACTGCAGCATGTCTTTTGCTCTCTTGTTTTTCAGTCTGAAGTAACTCAATGGCATTTCTGGTTTCATGATCGACAAAGTCAGAGGTCAGACTACCACCAGGAATAGCTAATTTACCCAAGGTCTTTGCGGCGAGTTTCATGATTTCGACATCAGTTGAAGGGATTAAAAATCTCAAATAGTTGGCTAATCTCGATGTTTGGTTTGGTAAATCCTCTCCTCCAAAGAAATCAATCAGCATATCGACAGCCAGTATACCACCAACCTTCTCCGATGGATCACTCCCATGGATCAACTCGAATATCTTATTATTGATCTCGTTGTTATATCTTGTAAACTGTTCAGATGACACTTCTCTTGCAGTAGTGACCAAATGGTTTCTCAATTCCACCACAGCAGCAGCCCGTTCTTGGGCATTTTTGGACTTGAGCCCCAAGAATATCTGCGATAGGGCAAAGCTATCAGGCGCCTGCGACATCTTGTAAAGCTATTACCCAAAATAATGGTTTGAAAACCGGTTGAACTTGTTGATTTCTCTGGTTCCAACTCCAAAACACTTATCAGCTCAAAAACAAATTCGATTTTGCCTGATCCATCGGCCAGCAAAAGAATTCGCGAATATTACATAAGTTTAGTCAGATTATTATGTCATCATGACCCGGCAAATGGGCGCGAAACGAAATTATCGAAATCAGTAACGATTGGACTACCCCTAATAACGAGTGTAAACTTGGTGCAATTCAATTCAGAGCCACTTATAGTGTGATTCAATTATCGAGATGTCGAACTTAACTACTCCAGCCGTTGTCATGGGTATGTGTATTTGAAGCAATCCAATTGAAATGCCTTTGAATTCTTTTATACTAACAATCAACTTCTAGACAAGTAAGCTAAAATCTCAAAAAAATGCTAAGTTTCACAATCATTTATACTAACTTATTCTAGTGGTACTGGGTTGACTAAATTAGGTTTTGCTGGTAATGATTCCCCTTCATTTGTTTTCCCGACTGCAATTGCAAGTCGTACAAGTGCCTCAGGTAAGCCAGCACCTCCTTCTAAACCATCATTTTTAGGTGGATCATCAGGAAGTTCAGGTGCAAGTGGACATCTCCAATCTAAAAGAGGTACTGAAGATTTAGATTTTTACATTGGTGATGAAGCTTTAGAAGCTGCTAATGGTCAAGCTTACTCATTATCATATCCTATTAAACATGGTCAAATTGAAAATTGGGATCATATGGAGAGATATTGGGAAAATTCTATATTCAAATATCTAAGATGTGAACCAGAAGATCATTATTTCCTTTTAACTGAACCTCCATTAAATGCACCAGAAAACAGAGAAAACACAGCTGAGATTATGTTTGAATCTTTCAATTGTGCTGGGTTATATATTGCTGTTCAAGCTGTTTTGGCATTAGCTGCATCATGGACATCTTCAAAAGTTACTGATAGATCATTGACTGGTACCGTTATTGATTCAGGTGATGGTGTTACTCATGTTATTCCAGTTGCTGAAGGTTATGTCATTGGCTCTGCTATTAAAAATATTCCAATTGCAGGTCGTGATATAACATTGTTCATTCAATCTCTTTTAAGAGACCGTGGTGAAGCTGATACTTCGTTACGTACTGCAGAAAAGATCAAACAAGAATTTTGTTATGTTTGTCCAGATATTGTTAAAGAATTCAATAAATTTGACAGAGAACCTGAAAAATTTGCACAATATATAGTGGAAACTACAAGAGCTAACAAGACAGTTGATGTTGGATATGAAAGATTTTTAGCCCCAGAGATTTTTTTCAATCCAGAGATTGCTTCTTCAGATTTCTTGACACCATTACCAACCGTTGTGGACCAAGTTATCCAAGCTGCTCCAATAGATGTTAGAAAAGGTTTATACCGTAACATTGTGTTGAGTGGTGGTTCTACAATGTTTAAAGATTTTGGCCGTCGTTTACAAAGAGATTTAAAATCTATAGTGAATGAAAGAATTGCAGTTTCTGAAACGTTAAGTCATGGTACAAAATCAAGTGGTGTTGATGTTGAGGTTATTTCTCATAGAAGACAGCGGAATGCTGTTTGGTTTGGTGGTTCATTATTGGCCCAAACTAGTGAATTCAACTCTTATTGTCATACAAAACAAGATTATGATGAATATGGACCAAGTATCGTTCGTAACTTTTCATTATTCAATGTACCATAAATTTAGTGTTTAAAAGTGTTATAAAATGAACTCTTACAATTAGAAACCATTTATAGATATGTACGTAGAATTAAAGCTATCTAATATTCATCCTTACCACTGATAATAACATCATTAATTTTCAAAATCATTCTAGTCAATTGTGTAGCTAATAATAACTGTTGTTTTTTACCAATTAATGGATCAACAACAAATAATTCCTTCATATCGTTTGAGCCTTTACCTAAACAGTCAACACCAAGATGGGAGTTTTGTTCTTTAACATGACGAGATTTGATATTTGTTAAAGTTTCAATTGGGTCTAAACCTGAGTTTTCAGCTAAAGTCATTGGGATTATATCTAGAGCACTGGCAAAAGCTCTGAATGCATATTGATCAATACCTTTTTGTTTATCAGCAGCTTCACTAACAGCTAAAGAACTTGTAATTTCAGCAGAACCACCACCATAGACAACTCTGCTATCACGCACCAAGTTACGAACAACACATAAAGAATCATGTAAAGCACGTTTAGCTTCATCAACAATCATTCTATTTGAACCTCTCAAGAAACATGTCACGGCTCTTGAATTTGCACATTCTTCAATAACCAACATACGATCTTTTGTAGTACCAAATTCTAATTCATAAACTTTACCAGCTTTACCTAATTTTTCTGGAGTCAAATCTTCAAAACGTGGAACAATACGACCATCAGTTGCGATGGCGATTAATTCTATTTCTGGACCACCAACCCAACGGACAGCAGGTAATTTATTTTGTAATAATAAATGGTTAGCTTCATCATCAAAACCCCATTGACAAATAACCAAGTTAGCACCAGAGTCTTTAACTTGTTGAACCATTTCCTTAAATTTGTTTTGTTCATAATCTTGCAAGTTTTTGAATTCTTCCACTGATGAAATATCCAATTTATGTTTAGTTTTAGGTTTTGGAGGTTCAAATGGACATGTTAATATAGCTAGTTTAACATCTTCAATTCTTTTTGGCATTTGAGGATGTGAAAAATCTTTATCTAAAATAACACCTTTAATCAGTTTTGAATCTTCTAATGAACCACCAACTTTACCTTCAACTTTAATTAATTCAAAATCAACATCTTTTCTTTCTTTATCAGCAACAGATAAAACAGCATCAACAGCCATTTTAGCAAATTGATCATGAGCTTTTGAAACAATCTTGGAACCTAAAGAAGTTTTAGCAGCTCTTAATAGTATTTCAGTATTACTTTCTATATCATCTGAAACTTTATCCAATTGATCGATTGCAACTTTACAAGCTTCATCGAACCCATTAGCAATTTTAATTGGATGGATACCTTTGTCAATCAATTCTAAAGCTTGATCTAATAGAGCACCAGCCAAGACAACAACACCAGTAGTACCATCACCAATTTCATCATCTTGGGATTTAGATAATTCAACTAATAATTTGGCAATTTCATTATCAAGTTCCATTTGTGATAAAATTGTAGCACCATCATTAGTAATTGTTATTTCACCATCTGGACTAATCAAGATCTTATCCAACCCTCTTGGACCCAATGATGTCTTTATAATGGAAGCAACTGATCTAGCTGCTAAGATATGTGTCTTTTTGGCTTCTATACCATGAACTCTTTTTTTATTGCCTTGATCTCTAACAATAATGAAAGGTCTCCCCATTTCATCTTGTGCCACTATGGCATTGGACATGTCTGGCATCTCCATCATTTGTTGCTGTGCCATTTTTCCTGCTCAAAGAACAATGAAACCTAGCGACTCTATCCAAAAGTGTTCCAACTTTGTTATAGATAATTTTGGCCATCGCCTATACATTTTTTTTCAGCGAGAGAACGCGTTTTCGATTCCCACGAAATCGATTCAGAGGGTAACAGTTATAGACACGATCTAAAATGGCAGCTTGATTTAGAAAAAAAAATTTATGAAGAGATGAGCTTTAAAATGAATTTGGTCTTGATTTAACAATAAGAAAGGGTGAAAGAAATGTCTGTTGTTGGTAGTTTAATTTTCTGTTTGGATTGTGGTAACTTGCTAGATGCTGCCACCAGTGACAAATCCATAACGTGTGGTGATTGTGAAAGATCTTATAATGCTAAAGGTATGTCCGAGTATAATTGAATTAGTCGATCAAGTTCTAACGTTAATTTATAGATTTTGCCAACCTAAAGGTTGTTACCACCTCATCTGATGATGCATTTCCATCTGCTTTGAGATTAAAGAAATCTACTGTGAAGACTACTTTGAAGAATGATGAATTAGGAGAAGGTGCTACAATTAAAGAAAAATGTCCACAATGTGGTAATGATGAAATGCAATATCATACATTACAATTACGTAGTGCAGATGAAGGTGCTACTGTCTTTTATACATGTGCTAAATGTGATTACCGTTTCAGAACTAATAATTGATGTTCAGGTGGTTGATAGAGTGTTTGATTTAATTTGCATATAAATGTTTGGGTAAATGGTATTTTGTATAATAGTTATAAAAAAGAAAAAAGTTTTATGTTTTAACCTACAATATGTACAAACCCTATTAAAACCTTTTATAAACAAATACACTACTTAAAAGTACAAACAATATCCTAAACAAAACAAATAAATTAAGCAGCAGTGGCATATTCCAATTCACCAGAGTTTTCATATTCATACATATCTAAAGCAACAATAGCTGAATCTCTAACAACTTCATCACTATCTTTAGCAAAGTCTTTCAAAATTGGTAAAACTTCATCAGTTGCAATAGAACCTAAAGCTTCAGCAGCTTCGTGTCTAACCATTGGGGCTTCAGTGGTGTCTTTCAAGACATTAATTAATGATGGGACAGTAACTGGGTTACATATTTGACCAAAAACATAAGCAATTTCATGCTTGAATAAAGCAGATTCATCAGCAAAACCTGAAGCTAAAGCCAAACAAGCTTCATCAGTTCCTATATCTCTTAATCTGAACATGGCTCTATAACGTTCGAATAATGGAGTGGCCTGATCATTCAAAATTTTTTGTAGTTTTTCAATTTTATATTCAGTGTTTAAATCTAATGGTGGTGCTGGATCGATTGATGAGTACAAACTGTCTTGTAATCTTTCAGTTTTGGCCTTTTCGGAATTTTCCCAATGAATTCTTTCAATGGCTAATTCACAAGTTTGTCTAATTTCAATTAGTGGATCATTCTTGAAGTATGATTCTAATAGAGCTAAAGAGTCTTTATCACCTAAAGCACCTAAAGCTTCGGCAGCTTCATGTCTAACCATAACTTGTTGACCTTGTTCATCTTCTAAAACATTTCTCAATATTGGAGCAGAGGATAAATTTTTGGTTTGACCTAAAACATAGGCAACTTCATGTTTCAATAATTCTGAGCTATCTTTGAAACATTCACCAATATATTGAACAGCAGTATCAGCTCTTTCCTTATCGGCATCAATTTCTGAACCTATACATTTCAAGTTGAATAGAGCTCTAAATCTGTTTGCAAGTTTAACATTTCCAGATTTGTTGATCAAGATGTCACGGAGTTGTTCCAAAGTAGCAGTATCAACGTCTTGTTCAGCACTCATGATGGTGGATTGAATAAATAATGAATGAACCAAAAAAACGGTAAGATTTCAAGGTGGAAAGTTGTGCCTTTTTATTTTAACGTCAAACAATTGAAAAAAAAAATATTTTCAGCTCATCGTTCATCTCGAAAAAAAAATTGGTGGACAAGGGTAAATTTCAGACTTGAGCACGCGTAAAAATGAGGCCACTAAAGGGAAGAAACACCTTAAACTTGGCCTAAAGTGTTGTGAAAGTAATGAATGAAATTGGAAGTAGTAGCTTATTATCTCTAGCTGTCATAGATGAAAATATTTGGTATATTGGAGGGTTAGTTCCTTGTATAGTTTACAATTTTCTACCTTCTCTTATCAATTCGATCAGTTGAAAGGGCACTCTAGAGTCTAAGGCCATTCTTTCGCACCAGATCTGCTCGTTTTAGCTTTGACCAAGAGGCAAAACTGAGTTGACAACTACACTTCAACTAACCATCAGTTGATTGAGACTGGAAATGACTGTCAGCGTGTATCCAGTGTCTAGTGGACAGACTCTTGATTCATTGAAACACCAATTGAAAGGTTCAAAGTTGGTGGTTCCAGCTATCTCTATCGGTAATGTCCCACAATTATCAGTTGATCTATTGATACATAATTTACAATTGAAGTTAGTTGCAAGACTGGATACATTGTTCTTATATCCTTTTGCAGCACCAGTTGATTATGCTGGTGATCATAAGGAAGTGGCGAAGGATGGCTCAGCATCAACTGCTTTAGAATTATATTACAATGAAGAATTGAAATTATCAGTCATACAACAAAGATCACCAATCATACCGGATTACTCTCAAAATTTCTTGGATTACTTGGTAACAGTTATTAAAGAACTTGGATTTGGTAAAGTTTTGATACTTGATTCAAATGATTATGGATTGAAAGGTGATGTTGATTTTGAAAAACCACTCGAACTTTTCTCAAACGAATTAGAAGAAAGATTCAAATCATTGAAAGTGTCCAATACAAACGACCTGGATAAAGTCAAGGAAAGTTTCACAACTTTTACAAATGCATTGGTCACAGAGGTCAACAAAATCAAAGAAATCACATTACAAGCACTTTTGATGTATGTTTATGAAGGTGATAATTTCTTCGATGCACAAGTTGTTACTAAGGAAGTATTTGACCTTCTGAAGATTGCACAACCAAAAGAATTGATCAAACCAAAATCATGGGAAGGTGCCTATGGTGATAGACCAATTCCAACAAACTTTGAAGAAGGTTTGTTTGGTTAAAGCAGTGTTTTAATAAAATGCTAATATTGTGAGATTCTTATGTAATCATTTCCGCGAATTTCGAATTGCAATCGATGAACGTTTTTAAAAGTGTTCAAGCCATAATACTAGACCTTGTACTGGATAACACTTCAAATCATCAATCAATCATAGAACAATATGTCAGTCCCTGATCTTATAATAGATCCAAGTCTAAGGTATTGGGTTCTTCTCCCAATTTCCTTCGCCATGGTGCTTTTTGGTGTCCTAAGACAATACATTTCAATCCTTTTACAACCAACTCCAAAATTACAACCAGTAAAGAAATTAAGAGAAATTGAATATATAAAGAAAGCTCAGCTATTAAAACAACATTTTTGGAATGTTCCAAAGAAGGATTTTGAATCAAGACAAACTTATCTAAGTGAGAATCTAGAAAATGGTTCATATTTGGCTGAACCTGTTCAAGAAAATCAACAACCACCAAATCCATTAACTGATCCAGGTGCCAGTGATGCAATGTTAGGAATGGCTAAGAACAGTTTTGGTAACTTTGCAGCTCAAACATTAATGATGGGTTGGGTGAATTTCTTCTTTGCCGGCTTTGTTTTGATGAAGCTTCCATTCCCATTAACATTAAGATTCAAACAAATGTTACAGTCAGGTGTTGCCACCGCAGATTTGGATGTTAGATGGGTCTCATCAATCTCATGGTACTTCATTGCAATTTTGGGGTTGAATTCAGTTTTCAACCTATTGTTAGGGGATGGTAGCGTTGCTAATCAAATGATGCAACAACAAGTTGCACCATCTATGCCAGGTGGCCCAACCCCAGATAAAATAATGAATGCCGAAGCTAATGATTTGAAAATTATCCCATATAAACATGTTCTTGAAGATGTTGATGCTAGAGTTTTGAAGATCTATGGTTCCAAATGATCATGTTGAGAAGTGAAATTGTACAATACATTGCATAAACCATTATACAGTTTATATTAGAGTGAAAACACTAGCCTACTTAAAATATATATTATCTTATAAGGAATATAATTATAATTTGCAATATTCGATCATTATAGGGTGAATCTTTATGGTTACATCTGACTAAGCTTACCTCCAAAAATTACCTAATCCCTCGCATGAAAAAAAAAGTTATCTTGAAAAACCCACAACACTTTACTAATGATCTTTTACTAACATCAACAGTAATAAAAGAAACATACAACCATTAATATGGCTCCACAGACTGTTATCTGTATTGGTATGGCCGGTAAGTTATATGCGCATACACTGTTGATTCATAACTAACTATTCATTAGGGTCCGGTAAAACCACCTTTATGCAAAGATTAAACTCACATTTATATTCTAAAAAAACACCACCATATGTGATAAATTTAGATCCAGCGGTTTTGAAAGTCCCATTTGGAGCAAACATCGATATTAGAGATTCAGTGAAGTATAAAAAAGTTATGGAAAACTATAACCTAGGTCCAAATGGTGCCATTGTTACTTCATTAAATCTTTTTTCAACTAAAATTGATCAAGTTATTTCATTAGTTGAGAAAAAATCTGATAAATTTAAAAATGTTATCATTGATACCCCTGGTCAAATTGAATGTTTCATTTGGAGTGCTTCAGGTGCTATCATAACAGAAGCTTTTGCCTCAACTTTCCCAACTGTCATTGCTTACATTGTGGATACTCCAAGAAATACATCACCAACTACTTTCATCTCTAACATGTTATATGCTTGTTCTATATTATACAAAACTAAATTACCAATGATTATCGTTTTCAACAAGACCGATGTTCAAAAAGCTGATTTTGCTAAAGAATGGATGACAGATTTTGAAGCTTTCCAAAATGCTTTAAAAGCTGATGAAGATTCAAATGATGGACAAAGCTCGGGTTATATGAACTCTTTAGTCAATTCAATGTCATTGATGTTGGAAGAATTTTACTCACAATTGGATGTTGTTGGTGTTTCAAGTTATACAGGTGAAGGTTTTGATGAATTTTTAGATGCAGTTGATAATAAAGTTGATGAATATGAAAAATTTTATAAAGCTGAAAGGGAAAGAATATTGAAGGAAAAGGAAGAAAAGGAAAAAAACAAGAAAGAGAAAAATTTATCTCATCTAATGAATGATTTAGGTATTTCAGGAAAGGGTAAAAAAGATGAAGTTGATGTCATCTCTGATACTGAAAGTATTGAAGAAGGTGAACATGATGGTATACTACCAACAGATGAAGAGGAAGGTATTGAAAGAGAGTACACATTCCCAGAAGATAGAAATGCTGGTGAAGTTAATGATAATTCAAATGAAGCATTACAAGCTCGTTATCAAGAAGCTTATGAAAAAGTTGCAAAAGAAGCTTCAAGTCAAACAGCTGAAAATATAGCAAACTACATTCGTCAATAAGGAATGAATATATATAACCAGCATCACTAGGACCAGAATTAATTTTTTCTTTTTTTCATCACAAGAAATCTAAAACCTGTAGATGGCTAATTTTCAACATGTTTTGGTTGACCAACTCCTAAACTTTCAACCTTATATGGTTTATCAACATATTCATCTTTGAAAATCAAATGTGGTTTTCTTTGAGCCAAATCTAAAATAGTCTTACCAAATTCTGAGTTAGCCCAAGAGAACCAAGGTCTTGTATATTTAATACCATCAGGGAAATTAACGTGAACACTTTCATGAATTAAGCCTAAATTACCAGTAGTTTTCATGACAAGTTTCAAATTCTCCATGATTTCTTGATCGTCATTTGAAGTTCTAATTTGTATTAACAAACTCATTGGCCAAGCATTATGAATACCAATATGAGGACCACCAATACCTTTAAAATGTTTACCTTGTAAGAAATATGGATTCCCCTTTTTAGATAAAATCATTTTTCTGGTATTTTGATAAATTGGATCTTCTTTATCTAAGAATCCCAAATCCGGTAGTGATAACAACGAAGGAATGTTTGCATCATCCATAAATACACTACCACCATAACCATCAACTTCATAAGCAAACACTTTCCCAAATTCACCATGTTCCACAACAGCATGATTATAAATACCTTTTGTAATAGTCTCACCAAATTTTTTAGTTTCTTCAATGAATTTTGGTAATTCTTCATTGTCAACCTTATCCCCCAATGAAGCCAAGATTGAACTTGTTCTATTTAATTCAACAGCCATATGAGCATTACCTGGGATGAAAAATTGGAAAATACAAGCATCATCTGAAGGTCTGAAAGCTGAACGAATTAAACCAGTGTTGAAATTAACAGGATTACCAGTACCTGCTAATGGTAAAGTTTCAGTACCAACATTAGTATCTCTTTGGAATGTATAATAAAATGGTAAAATTTTCCCATCCTCATCAAAAGTTGGTGAAGATTGTCTTTGTAACACTGTCAATATACTAATCAATGCATTAAACCATAATTGATTGAAGATTGTATGATCTTTTGTGGCTGAATAATATTCATTTGTCAATGTTAAAAATGAAGCCAAAGAGTCAATTTCCCATTTACATTCAAATACATATTTCCAATGAGCTCTTGGTGTAACTTTATCCATATGAGTATTACCTTTTCTAATATTTGAGCCTGGTGGTGGATGGAATGCATTACAATAAGGATTTATCAAGATATAAGAGGCTTGTGTGTTGATTGCACCTCTCATCAACTCTTTCAAATCATCATCATAATTCGTCATGCTTTGATAAACTGATAATTGTCTAGCTGCGTCTCTTAACCATTCAGCATGAATATCACCAGTAACAACGAATGACTGAGAGTATCTAGTTGAAGAATCAGCACCAGCTTTCTTATGCCACAGGATTGTTGAGTCTAATGTATTTGGTAGGGCATTTTCTAATAATCTTGATAAATCAGGATCTCTAATTCTTGTCTTCAAATCTTCAATAACCTTCTCCACTGCAGGTGATGCAAAAGTACGACAACGTTCTTTTGGTCTTTGAAAAGGTAATTCTAATGGACCTTCAGAGTAAGGCTCATGGAAATCTTGAGAATAATCTAGATAACTTTCACATCTTTGACCATGGAATTTTGGAATTGAAGCACCACCACCACCGCCATTGCCACGAACTGGCTGCTGTTGTTGTTGTTTTGATTTCTTAGCTTTATCTTGTAAGAATTCAGCATCGTTCAATATCTCTTGCTGCTTCTTGGTGTCATGAGACTGACTATATGCTATTAGCTTTGGATCTGGTGAGTATAATTGCTCTAGTTTATAATTCAAGTAATCTTGATCCTCTTCATCAGACCCTAACCCACGAATGACGTAGATTATGAGGAAGGCGATGGTTATTCCCAAAATGATTTTGCCTGGTTTGATTCTTCTGAAATTTTGTTTGTTGTAGGGCGGCATTATTGCAGTCAGTTCAGTCTGAAATCATGGGTCTATTATTTCAATGATATTAGTTGGTTAGGTTCTTTGTTCAAAGCTTTTTGCTCAAACTAAAATTGGAACCGCGATTGTTGGCTTTGTTGATTGTTGTTTGAACCAGAGAATTTTCGAAAGGGTCTTCAGACTTAAAAATCAGGTTTCTACTAGAATACACGAGAATGTTGTTAATTGATGCTGTATATAGAATTCATGAATTGTGGTCATTATTTATAGCTGGTTTTTAAAGAACGGTCAGACTTCTGGCATTTCAATCTGCCTTCCATATCTCATTCTTTTCCTGAGCAGTTGATGTAGGTTTTGTAAATGTGATACTCTCATCTTTGATGCTCACGCTCAGTAAATCAGCTTCTCCAAGTGTGGTCAATAATCTCTTTGTGGTGGCATTTGCTGTGGATTGTGATTCTTTAGCTATCTTCAATAAATTATCGTATGTGCTCGTTGAAGGTGTTGATGTATCATTAAAACTTTGCAAAATTTGAACCAATTCTTCAGAAATCTTTGGGGATTTTTTCAAACTAACATAAACTCCAAATAATTTATATGCATTTTTCTCTTTTTGTAAAAATTCAATGGCATTAGCTGCAAAATTGACTGAATTATTGGGTATATGGATTGTTTTAAAAGTTGGACGTTCTTGCCCAAAAGGTTTCAATATTTTAGGAGCCTCTATTTTCCCTACCAAATCTTTTAGAATGGGATCATGTTTCAAAACTTTCTTGTATATAGATGAATACACTGTTTTAAACTGTATTGAAGCATCTAATTGTAAAATTGGTGTCTGGATCTTATTTTGATAATTCACATCACTTGCAGTATCACTTATATCATCAACAAACAGCGTAACTGAATTTTCAAGCAAGTCTTTTTTATAAATATTATACCGTATCCCTTTGTATCTTTGAAATAGTTCATCTTGTAGTCTTAATGGAGATAAGGTAATCCGTTGTGCCTGTTTAATGAGTTTGGTTTCTTTATTATGGCCTTTATGTATCTTTTTCCTCTGGAAATCCTCCTTTGCTCTCATACCATACAGTCCAGCTGGATGAAGTTTAGTAATCATCTGTTTCTTCCTTATAGGATTCATCTTTTTCATGAATGCATCAACTTTTGGATCAGGGTATTGCGTGAAACCAAACGATTCTTCAAGGGCTTTTTGTTTCTCAATCGTCTCCAGCAATGGACGTGGGAGCTTTTTACTTGGTGACTTTGTGAGTTTCAAAAGACATGTCTTGAGACGACGGGACATTGATGTGCTTCAAGCGTTGAGCTTCTTAAACCTTTAATACTCTTTGAAGTTATATTTTTTTTTCATCGCGACCATTTTGAAGTTGAACATTTGGTCGGTCTTAAACGGACCAGCACCGAATGATTAAAAGTTCTACAAATTCGGGATAAAAGTATCTAATTTCTATCAATTTGTAATGTTATATGCCACTATTCTTTCTAGTCTCTAATTCTAGTCTCCTTTTGCGCTTTTTTCCCTGGTTTGTACTCACTAGTCCAATTTCAAAACTCTCAAAACTTCACCAACATCAAAATCCAATTTATTCCATTCAACATAATCCTCAACTCTTTGTTTAAAACTTTTCCCATTCCATTCATCTTCTCCTTCCTTTTTGACTTTAAAAACAGGCATTCCAATCTGTTCAATAGCAATACCAGCAGCTATATTCCCACAAAGAGCTGCAATCCTCCAGTCTCCTTCACTCATAACAAATCCTGTAGTGAACCCACCAATAAATGTATTTCCACCTCCTGTTGGATCAATAACTGATCTTGTTGGGTTGTTTTCGTTATGATATGCAGGAATCCACTCATTAATACCTTTACTTGTCAAGATAAAACAACCTAATGCACCGGATCTTAAAACAATCCCACTGCCTGTTTGGAATTGAGAATCATTTGTTAAATTAGATATGAACTTTGCAGCTAGCTCTTCATGCTGTTGCTTTGTCACTGGTTCAGGTTGAGAGAAAAATCTAGCAGCTTCTTCAGCATTTGGTGTCAATACATTCAAATTTGGTAATACTGAAAGACAATCTTTTAAGTTCTCTGGGAGGCATAGATCAGGTACAGGCTCCCATGTTATTATTGGTGATGGTAATGATTGAGATCTTGCCTTTTGTAATGATTCAAGAATCTCTATAGATCTTTGAGGTGAACAGATTAAATGATATGATTGTGAGTTTAACAATGGCTTGTTTTCTATTAAATCATCAACTGTTATTCTCAGCTTTGGCGATAAGTATTTGAATTCTTTGCTTTGTTAATAATTAAACCCCCTATCCAAATTCTATGTTTTACTCACCTCTAAATTCACGTTCACCATACATATTCCAACCTCTAGTTGTTAATCTTTCAGGAGTTTCTCTCCAAATTGCACCAGTATTCCAACTCTTCAAGTAATCTTCAACATCCTTGGGAAAATCATTACCTTTATCAATGATCCAACCCACTTTTTCACTGTTTGAAGGGCCTGTTATTATTCTTGAACCTAAGGCACCATAACAGCCACCACCTCCAATGACATTATAATGGGATCTTTTACTAGAGTTCTCAGGGAAATGGATCTCATCAATGATGAACATCCCCATAGAAGTGAAGATGCAATCATTAGTCATCTTGATTCAATGGCTTTCAACTTTGTTGTGTGTGGCTGTTTGGTTGTTTGGTCAACGATCAACTGATGAGAATTTGATTTCTTTTTCGCGATAAGGTTGAAAAAATAATTGTGTCAAGCGATGAACTGATTCTCGAGAAAACCATTCGAGGTCTTGCGTACAGTGTGAAGAACAGGAAACTTCCTACAAAAAGCAATAATGTTTCCAATAGTACACGCCAATCTAAATTAAATCCATAAATAATAGTAGTAGTAAATAGTAATAATAGTATAACAGGGGGTAAAGTGTATTCATAAAATCATATCAAAATCTTCACTCTTTTCATTCTCCAGATGTGCATCTTCAGTGTGTTGATCGTAAAGGTTGTAGTTAACATTAACAATATCTTCTTTGTGATGATCGTAACTTTTATTGTGTTCTTCTTCGTAACCTTCAACCATGTAATTTTCAATTTCACCAGATGGAGAATATGGTAATGGTAATCTTGAATATGGTAATGGGATTTTTTGCTTTGTGGATTTCTTTTGTGGTGTATTTGCTTTTAATGCTGGTAATTTTGTAGTAAATGTTTCCAAATTAATGGTATTATCAATTGAAGATCTTTCTGAATTTTCATCTTTAACTATATGAATGAATCCATAAGGAGATTGTTGAATGTAACCACCTTCTGGGTGTATAAAGACTGGCCAATCATTACCGTGACATGAAGTGATATCATTATCATGTTTCAATTTGACAAGTTCTAACTCATCACTCTTTGTACGTTTCATATGATCAAAATCTTCTGAATTTCTTCTTTTTGGCGAAGCGTGTATCTTGAAGCTAGAGCTCAGACTCTTTGGACTAAAAAGTCGCGTGTTTTCTCTCATTGACACGTCTGCACTGAGGATTCTGTCTGCTCTTGGGCCGCTGTGTTCGACAAACATTGTTGTAATAGTTTTATGTTCTTGTTGTTGATGGAAATAAATAATGGATGGTTTGTGTCTGGGCGCTTAAGTGTAGCTCTGATATTTGATGAAATAATGATGCCAGGAATATTGAGTGGCTTGTTGATTTGTGTTTGTGTAGGCTGAAGGTAACAATAGAGGATATTATGTCAAAAGAATGGTTTTCCAATTTTATATATGTATTTTCGCTGGTGTTTGGTGATCCCTTGGAGACTGTGCGCTTCTCTGCTCATAAAGTTGCAAAGTGGAAAGACCGTTTGTTTGGGAAAGGCCCAAAAGAGAAATTGAAAACAGAAATTTTCAGTGTGTGGTGCTAACCAATTTCAGTATTATCACGTGTAAAATCACATGATTTGATTAGGTAATAATAGTGCTTTCGCGAATTTTAAATTTTTGAGAACTCATCAGGTACAATTTTTTTGAACCACAATGATCTTTCTTTTTAATGTATGAAGGATTAGTTCGCTATACTCCACCAAACTCATAATGGACAATATATCAAACCTTTCTTCAAACTTGCCTCCTACAAAACCAATATCGGAAGAATCTATTAAAGAAATCAACCAGGATTTGGTCTTGGAGTTCAAAAATGCTGCAAAATCAGTTGCTAGTTTATACAAATTATCCCTACAGAAAAATTCAATGCTACGGTATAAAGGTTATTTAGATTGTATTGATGATTTATTAAATTTGATTAAAAATGATGGTGATGTGGAAAATTGGGCTTTAATGAAAAAACTAGAACTAGAAGGGAAATTAACAGGATCTGAATTAAAGAAAGAATCTGATAAAGCTAATATGTCATCATCGCCTTCAAAACAAGATTTATTAGATCCACAAATTCCTATGGATTATGATTTTACAATGTCTCATCCAAATCAACATAAGTTCCCACCAACAATGCCAATGCTATCTGTGGATCATTCAAATCATAGAGTTCCAAAAGATAAAAGATTAATTAAAACTCCAGGGACCAATAATAATAAGGAAAGTCCAAATACCGATGTCAGTGATGAGAATAATTCAAGTGAAGATGAAGCTAATATTGATGATTCTGCTGCAAAGAGAAAGTTACAATCTATGAGAACTGATAAAAGAGTAAAGTATTAAAGTCCTCGTTGAGTTTTTGTTTTTGGGTTTTTCCTTGTTTAGGTTTGCATCAATCAGGCGTTTTCTTTTACATCATTATCACAATCATTATCAAGAACCACTAATACATTGGAGGGGTTTTACACTGCATTCTTTTTAATCAATTTTTTTGAGTTATAACATGAACATTTGCTACATCATTTTTACTTTTTGCTGCTTTTAATTGACTTTTTTGTAATCTCATGGGATGAGATTTTCTTATTTATTAGGCTTTGGTGAAGGCATTATAAGTCAACGCATATATAGTTTTATTGAAATATACCTTCGTTAAATAAGTACTAGAAAGCGTAGCTTTTTTCGTATGCCATTCTTGGTTTAATCGTTGATACAACTCGGTCCATAAGAATCACAACAAATCAAAATCCGTAAGTCCCATATACAAAATCTCATGATTTGGATATTATATATATGCTCTAGTATGAACTTCTAATTACTACCTACGTCTTTCATTGATCTTAATTTGCTTGTATATGATTTGATCTTGTTGACACATTTTCTTCCATCCACGGAAAATCCAAAAGCAACAAAATCGACTACAACTCAACATCCGAGACTTCAGGCCCTTTGAAACTTACAGAGTATATACTTCAAGCTCATTCCTAGATGCTGTTGATAGTTACACCTTAACATCTTCAATAATAAGCCCAAAATTGCGGGTATTAAAAAATCAAGATCTCACATATCTTCCAGTACTTTAACGCCATTTTTGAGCAAAATATTTGCCTTTTTGGCCAAGGGGTAAGGCATCGCACTCGTAATGCGGGGATCATGGGTTCAATTCCCATAGAAGGCACCATTTATTTTTGGCCGTAAATTCGCGTTTTGGAGGGTTATTTGTTGTTTTTTTTTATACTTTTTTATATATATTTAATTGTTAGCTTGCAATTGTCCATCTGTATGTTATAGATTGTGTTTTTAAGGAGTGGTGTTGATGTTATTGTTGTTTTAATGTCGTCAAAATCTTGAATGTAGAGCAAAAATTGATTTTTGTAACGTTCGCGAATCGCACTTCTCTCTATACCGAAGGCGAGTTATTGAAGAGTTGAAGTACTTTCGATAATCTGTTTGAGCGTTCGAGTCAAAGTTCAAAGTTCAAGATCTACAAGCAACATTATTAACCACGATGTGATATTTCATATTCGGTGGTATTACTCTATTCAGCTTTCTTTCCATTTCTCTTTGCTTCACGTTTAGCATAAATTTCAGCAGTGAATGGTCTAGTATATGTGTTAGTAACGTCATTTTTAAATGAAACAGCTCAATGGATTTAACATACTCTTCAAATTTCAGTGCAATACTGTACAATAAATGAACAACTAGTGTTGCAAATAGCCCAGCAGGTTTACCAAAGTATAATGCAGTACCCAAGAATGATAAAGTTGATCCAACATACATTGGATTATCCAACACGTTGAATGGGAATCCGGTAACTCTTTCGTCCATCAAGATTCCAAAATAATCACCAAGGTAAGTACCAGTTATACCTAAAGCATACATTGATGTTAAAACAAACAAGTTACCTAATCCAAAGAATAGATAACCAAGATATTTGAATTGATCACCAGTTAACAAATCAGATGTGACTTGTTCTCTTAATGCTTGTTCGTATAGATAATCTCTAAAAATACCTAATGAGAAAATAGTAGCAGCTAATAAATAACAACCTTTCTTTGGACCACCTGCTAATTTTGTCAAAAAATGTGTAGTGTATTCTATTGGCTGTGTCAGATTTGATCAATTCAATTGATGTACACCTATATACTTACCAGTTCTAGCGACAATGTTCCAAAAGATTGGGTTGAAACAAATAGAAATCAATGCGACTAGTCAATTGACGTTAGTGGTCTAAATCATTGTACTGTTAAGAACCGCAATCGAGATACATACCTTGATAACTCTTCTTGGTCAAATCCACCTCTGTGCATAGTTGATTAAAGATATCACTAACTTGTTGTAATTTCTCAGCCATTGTAGTCAGTTGAGTTGTAGCTATGGGTTTTGGTTGAGCATAAGAATAAAGATGGAAATAGTCCATCCAATAAATAGAATTCTCGATGCTCCGTTGCCTATACGTTTCTCACATGTGAAAGACGCCCCCATACAATAAGGGCCCCTAATAGTCCCCGTACCATTTTGTTCACGGACACTACTTTTCGCGAATTTTCGAGATTTCAATTGTTTACACTGAAAAGGGAAATGAAGAGTTTGCATCAAGAGTTAAAACAATTTATCATGAAAAGAAATCCACAATGAGTTGAGATGAGGTTGGGTTTTATCGCTGCAGGCTCTGAATCAAATTTTTTGGTCTCTTGGAAACTGAATATAAAGAAATATGATGCCATGGTTGTTCTTTGAAAAGGTAATCACATTCTTTAATAACCGCTGAGTGTTAAACGATGGATTACCACAATGAAAAAGATGCTAAAACTACAAGTCCTACTACTACAGAAGGAACAGCGTATTCGCCTTCAGCTGATGGTAAAGACGTTGAACTTTTTGAACTAGATATTCATGCTGACGATGATGATGATGAAACTGATTTGAATGCTGATCAAGATCGAAAGAATTACTTTTCAAGAATACGCAGAGCTAGAATTTATATGCTTTTCTCTAGATCAGATATACCTTGGTTGATCATGGGTAGTATAGCTACTATAATAGGGGCATTGGCTCCTGCTATATCCTCAATCTTGATGGGTAGAGTTTTCCAGGTGCTAGCCAAATTTATGAAAGGTGAATACCATGGTTTTGGTGATTACATGCAAGCTATTAGACTATCAACAATGTCATTAGTTATAATGGGTGCCTCTTGTGTCCCTTTCGTTTGGACAACTATCTCTTGTTGGATGCAAATAGGTGAGAGCCAAGGTTTAAAAGCGAGAACAAATATATTGGAAACATATATAACAAAACCAATTTCATGGTATGAAGAAAACGATAAGGTTATGGGTGATTTAACCCAAATCAATAGATGCGTTGAAGAATTAAGAGCTGGAACTTCAGAAGCAACTGCTTTGTTTTTGCAAAGTATTGTGTGTATGGGTGCCCTATTGGGGACTTCTTTTTATTATTCTTGGTCTGTTACCCTTGTGATGTTGGCAAGTTCTCCATTGATTGTTGTTTTCGCTTATGTTTTTGCTAGGCTAACTGAGAAATTCACAAAACAAGAAAACACTGAAACAGCATTTGCTGCTAAAATCTTGGATTGGTCATTAATATCTTCAAAATTGGTTAGATTATTCTCTACTCAATCATTGGAATTCAACAAGTTTGAAACATCAGTTTTGAAATGTAAAAGAGCTTTTTTAAAATTGATTTTGGTTACAAGTGCAAATATGGGATTAATGAGATTCATTATGCTTTGTATGTTTGTTCAGGGTTTTTGGTTTGGTTCTTCTCAAGTTAGAAAAGGTAAAGTGGAAGCTGGTCATGTTTTAACTTGTTTCACTTCTTGTTTGATGCTTGGTGAAACTTTGAAAAGTGTTCTACCTCAAATTGTTACAATACAAAAGGCTAAAGTTGCCATTCGCAAAATCCAACAATTTGTTCAAATTAGAAAATCAAAAACTATGGTTAGTAAATTTAAAACCCAAATTGCTTTAGATGATACTAAAAACATTTCACTTTATCCTGAATCTTGTCGTGGTGATATTAAATTCAAAAGCGTTGAATTTGCTTACCCAACTAGATTTGATACAAAAGTTTTGAAAAATGTCACAATCCATTTCCCAGCTGGCAAAACAACCTTCTTAGTCGGTAGGTCAGGCTCAGGTAAATCTACTTTAAGTAGTTTATTGCTAAACTTTTATGCTCCAAACAAAGGTAGAGTGGAGATTGATGGATTCAGTGTTTCAAATTTGAACTCAAGATGGTTAACTGATAATATCACATTAGTTGAACAAACATGTACTTTATTTAAAGATACAATTAGAAACAACATCCTCATGGGTAAGATTTCATCTGGTGTTGAAAATGTAACAGAAGAACAGTTAAATGAAGCCTGTCAAATGGCTTTGCTTAATGAAGTTATTCGCGATCTTGATGAGGGATTAGATACAGTTGTTGGTCCAAATGGTATTGCATTAAGTGGTGGTCAACAGCAAAGAGTTGCTTTAGCTCGTGCCAGGGTGAGGGATACTCCGATTTTGATCCTTGATGAATCTGTTTCTGCCTTAGATATTGTTTTGAGAGAACTTGTCATTGCTGCCATCAAGAAATGGAGAGTTGGTAAAACTACTATTATCTTGACGCATGAATACAGTCAAATCGGTAAAGATGATTATGTCTATCTTATGGAGAGCGGTGTGGTTGCTGAGCATGGTGTTAGAAAAGAGCTTGAGCAAGCTGATGGTTTATTTCAACGTTTGACTAGTTTACAGGATACAACAGTGGAAAAATTACAAGATGGTAAACTTGAAGATCTGCCTGAATCCAAACCGGCATTCAAATCGTGGGAAGAGGAACAAAGAAAAACTTTCCTCAACCAAGTTGGGTCTCGTGTTTCAACTCAAATGTTTTCCACAATCAATCCATTAAGCTTCTTAGGTCAAAATCTTGAGCATGAAGTTGATACTCGTGAGATCTTGGATAGAAAAATTCAAAGAAGAAGAAGATTAGGCTCTCCAGAAGTCACAGAAACTTTACATACCCCTATCGAAAAAGATTTGGAAAAGGGTGAAGATAAAAAGGATGCAGATGAAAGACCAGATATTACACCAATCTTGACAATTATTAAAAAAATGTATCAGTCTGTTGATCAAAAACCAATATTATTTGTTGGTTTGTTGTTTTCCATATTGAACGGTGCTGTTAACCCAATTTTCTCGTACACTTTTTCAAAATTGTTATCAGGTATTGTTCCACAAAATGATGATGTTGGATCACCTCGCTATCTGTTGAAATGGTCATTGGTTGTTATATTTTTAGCTTTATTTGATGGTATCTCTACTTTTGTCAAAGAATTCTTGCTACATTACTCTAGTGAAATTTGGATTTTTTCATTGAGAAAAAGAGCTTTTAGGGCCATCTCTGATCAAGGTCTTTCATGGTTTGGTGAAAAGACTAATGCGCCAGCTGAAGTTTCCGCTCTATTATTGAATGATGCTAGAGATTTGAGATCATTAGTTTCACAGTTTCTTGGAATTGTTTCAACTGCATCTATTTTGGCTAGTTTAGGTTTGATTTGGGCCTTGGTTTCAGGATGGAAATTATCATTGGTTTGTATTGCTTTCCTTCCTGCTTTTGTCATCACATCAGGTTTATATGCTGGTTTTTTGCAATCTTCAGAAAATGAATACAAAAATGCTGTTGCCGAATTAGAAAATCAAACCTATGAGACTGTTAAAGGTATTAAAACTATCAGGGTTTTAAGACTGGAAAAATATTTCATAAACAAATTTCACGAAAGAGCTGCAGAATTACAAAGAGTCTCCCGTAAAAGATCTATCTTGACTGGTATGGGTGTTGCTGTAACAAGTCTATTGACGTTTGTTGTTCAAGGTACTTTACTATATTTTGGTATGAGACTTGTTGGTAAAGGTGAATACACTACAGATATGCTTATGCAAACATTTGTTTTGTTAATTTTTTCAATTATGAGCTGTGTTCAATTGATCAATGAAATCCCGGATATTAGCAGAGGTCAAAGAGCTGCTACTTATATTTTCCGTTTGCTTGATTTGGAACCTTCAAAGACAGAAACGATTGGCTCTGTCATTCCAGAAGCTGAAGAAAAGAACATAATAAATTTTGACCATATGAACTTTTGTTATCCTTCATTACCAGACCATAAAGTTTTGAAAAATTTAAGCTTAAATATTAAACAAGGTGAACATGTTGCAGTTATTGGTGAATCAGGTTCTGGTAAATCAACACTTACATTATTATTGACTAGATTATTTGATGTTCCAGAAAATTCATTATTTTTTGAAGGTGTTGATATTAATAAAATTGATATCAAATGGTTGAGAAGTGCAATTGCCCTAGTTGACCAAAAAGCCACCTTCTTTGATGGTACAATTCGTGAAAATATTACATATGGTCTTGAAGAAGTTACAGATTCAGAACTAATAGATTCTTTAAAACTTGCAAACATTTATGATTTTGTTGTTTCCTTACCAGAAGGATTAGATTCAAGAATAGATACTTCATTAATGTCTGGTGGCCAAGCTCAAAGATTATCAATTGCCAGAGCTCTTGTTAGAAATCCAAAATTGTTGATCCTTGATGAATGTACTTCAGCGTTAGATTCTGAAGGTGCAAGTAAGATTGCAGATTTGATCAAAAACAATTTGAAGAATAGAAAAGATATGACAATTTTAATGATTACACATTCTGAAGATATGATGAAAGTGTCTGATAAAGTTGTTACAATGAAAGCTGGTACAATATGTGAAGAAGGTTCATTTAATGAGTTGTTTAATAGACGTGGTGAACTATTTAGAATAGTTACTGCAGGTATGGAAGGTTAAATCATATAGGGCTAATGAATATAAGTGTATTATAAAGATGACAAAGAAGTAGTGCTTACAAGAACGTGCATACCAATTAAAATTAATTATAATAAAACTAGAAAACTAAACGTAAAAACAATCATTTTTTCATCTATAAGGTGATTGTAACATAAGGAACTTCAACATCTTCACCCTCTGCGTCATCAGTACAGACTTCCAAAATTAAAGTTTTAACATGACCTGGAATATCCTTCTTGGTGACAGTTTTAATCAATTCAGTAATCTTCATCTGAGATCTTTCTTTAACTTTCTTTGGTGGGAAGAAACTTGCATACAACAAAGACACATCATAGGACAACATGGTGATTTCTAAACCTTCTTTTTCTTTGAAGTGATCTAATAATTGTTGAAGTGTTATGTCACCTTTAATATCAAATCTATCCCAGATTCTATCAAATTCTTTACCATTGTATTTACCCTTTGGTGAAGCAATTGGTTCAGAGAAACCAAAGAATGGTAAGGCCAAATTAACAAATCCATTTTTGTAGTCTTCAATCTTATCTTTTTTATCAACAACTTTGTATAATTCTAATTGAGCTAAACCAGTAACTAAAGCAGTTGTAGTGGCAATAGCTGGAATGATACGACCAGCAATGAATTTGGTCTTTTGACGATCAGCAACATCAATTTGATAATTCAAAGCACGAGCATTTGAAGCAGCTGTAATGAATTCAATATGATGATTAGTGTCATCATCTTTTTCAAATTCAACTGGGTTTAATCTATAACCAGCTAAAGTGGATGGTTGAGGTAAAGAAGCAGCTAATTGATGTAATTCATCAGTTTCAACAGCTTGTTGAGCATTTGGATCTGGTTCATCATCATTTGCTTGAATTTTAACATCTGAACGTGGTGAAAATGGTTCGATTTTGACTTCATCAATAATTTTACCATAAAATGATTTATCTGGTTCACCTTGATCACCTTTCAGACCATAGTTGAAAGCTCTTAAATTGGCAGCACCAACAACAAAATGGAAATGATCTGGATTGTTAATATCAAACACTAATGGTTTTGGAGCACGTTTAGCACCGGACCAGAATGGAGCACCAGTTGAAGTTTTAGCATCTTCTGGGAAATTGAATAACAATTGTTTGATATCATGATTATATTTCTTTTCAAATTCTAATCTTGCCCATTTGATACAATCTTCAAATGAATAAGGTCTGTTATTTAATGACTCTGAAATAGTTTGCAAGATACCCTTAACATCACCACTTTGTTTTAAAGTGGCTTCAAGAAAGTTTGGTTGTGACAGATACAAGTTGACATTTTCAGCAGCTTCAGTGAAATAACCTTGGAACAAACTCTTGGCCCATGCAATAGTATGATCAATCTTGTTAGGGAATGAACGTAAAGTACATAATGGGATAGCTTTTTCAGGTGGATCTTGAGATGAAGAATAAGATTCTGTTAATCTTGGAATAACAACTTGAGTGTTACCTTTAGTACCCAAAGTACCACTTTCTAATAATGGTTTGTTGAAGAAAACACAACGACGATCAACATAAGTACGAGCATCGATGTTATCAAGAGCATTGGTAACAAAAGTTAAACTTTCCCAGAAACTGTTATCAAAGATGTTTTCAGTTTCGGTACCAACTTTATCACCTTTAGCTTCAATTTTACCTTCTAAACCTTTATTCATGGCAACAGCAGCTAAAGCGGCAACTTCTGATTTATTTTTACCAACATCTTTTGGTCTAAATAAGAATTGACGATTCAAATTTGATTTTTCAATAGTATCATTATCAGTAACAATGATTTTACCTTCTGGACCTGAACCAAGACCCATTAAAGCCCAATTTTTCAAAACTTCACAACCAATAGCACCAGAACCAACCAAAAAAGTCTTGACATTGGCAATAGCCTTTTGGAAATCTAAACCGAAAACAGCAATTTGAGAATCATAACGAGAACCAATTGGTTTAGTGTTTTCTTCAGTTCTTGGATAATTGTTTGGTAATGATTCTAAAGAATCAAAATATAAGAATTGTTTAATTGGAACGAATTTACCTGATGAAGCTTTCAAAACTTCTTGAGCAACTAACCCACCAAAGAATGCATTAATAGCTGGGATATCACCTTGAGCTTGGAATGATAATTCAGTTAATAATTTTTCATCTAAATCACCTTCAAATTTTTGTTGAGTTGCCAAATTTTTTACCAAATGTAAAAATTCATTTACATCTTCTTGATTAAATGGTTTTGGTAAAGAGTTATGTCTAGTTTGAAATTGATGTAAAGCTTGGAACCCTAAATGTAATTGAGCTGGGCGATCAAATTTAGCAAAATCTGAAAATACAAACTCTGGGGTTTCCAATTGTTCAGCTAATGATTGATATGAAACTTTTTGAGGAACTTTAACCTGGGTATAGATACCGCCTTTTTTGTAAGTTTCTAATTTTGAAACATCACCAATATTGAAGGCATATGGACCTGGAACTGTAACTTTGAAAACTTGACCATCATTTAAACTTTCTAAACCTTGAACTTCAGAAAATTTAACGAAATCACCATCTTCTAAACCATGACGGTTATCATCCAAGACTGAAACGGTACCATCAGATTCAATATCTGATACAATACCAGTTAATGGTTCTTCACCCGTTGGGTCCACAATGGTGAAATCTTGACCAAAATCAACGAAAACATTACCAAACAAACCTCTAGTATCAGTAGTGATGAATTTAATGTTATTTGAATGTGTAAAGTTGTTAATTTTAACTTGTTCTTCTAAAGAAACATCAGTCAAGACAACAACTTGAAATTTTGATAAAGTTTCTTCTGATAATTCATCAACTATAGAGATTGGAACATATGAATTTAATTCGGCTAATTTTGCCAAACTTGCTTGACCACGAGGTTTACCAATATCATCTTCAGTTAAAAAGAATTGAGTGGATAAGTCTTTTAATTCAACAGGATTTGGGTCATAAATAGATAATGATTTAACACCAGCTAGGGCAACGTTTTTGGCAATTTCTAAACCTAACCCACGAAGACCAATGATTAAAATGTTTGAATTTTGCATTTTCAACATGGCTTCTTTACCCAACACGTACAATTGACGAGAGTATAAACTTTCATCAATTTCTGGTGCTTGTGGTGATGGAGTGTCAATTTGCATCTTTGAATCAGACATGATTGAGTATATAGAAGGAGAACAAATTCAATGATATTAAAGGAGCCAGCCTGAAAAGTAATTGAGATTTAACCAAATAAAATGAAAATCTTCAACTCAATTGAATTTGTAATTCACAATCCGTTATAAAATTTGTACAATTTGTAATGGTTCAAAGTGGCAATTCGAATTCCTTCTTTTTTTGCTTTTGGAAAACAAAAACCAAGATTCTGCTGTTATGGGACACACCACCATAATAAAAAAAAATTTGTATGCTGAAAATTGAACTTGTTGATGGTTTTTTAATTGAATATTTAATTAGAAAATGGCTGTTGAATTTGAGAAAAAAGAGCTTTACGGAGGTGCAATTGTCACGAAGGTCCCCGTTGGATTGATCGATGCCTCTGATTTGAGACAGATCCCAGATACTCAGGAAGTTTTCTTGAATCCAAGTGAAAACACTAGAGATTATACACAATTGAATAAAGATGACTCCATAATAGTGGATCTCATGGAGAGAATAGATGGTGATGACACAGAGGCTATAAGAGAGCATTTCAGTGAGATTTCAGCATTGAATGATACTTCTAATAGCTGGAAATTGGTTTCAATTGATGATGCACCAAATAAGTTAAATTCAAAAGCATATATAGGAACAGGTGTGGAACCAGCGTTGAAATGGGGTAGAGATGAATCGAAAGGGTTGGATTATAAGCCAACGTTGGTTGTTGTCCTTGGTATTATACGATTAAAGAAAGTTGATACAGATGTGCTAGTGACACAAAATGTGTTGATTTCAGATGAGGATGAATTAAAAGATTTAGAGAAATTACAAGGTGCTGAATCGTCTGAAAGTGAAGAGAACAGGGCAGCAAAGAGAATATCATTGGCTAAAACAGTTGTGAAGGAAGCTATATCGAACTTGACTGTGGAGGATTGGAATTTATTTGGATGAATGGTCTATAAAATTAAAATAATATGAATATCATATCCATATATTCAGCATCACCATAAATACACGTTTAAATACCCTTTTGCTTAATAAAATATCCATTATTTAATAATTCCAATTTATTTAAAAGATTACATAATAATACTAAGTCACATGCTCATAAATTTCCGTTTTCAGACTGCTGCAAACGAATCAAAAAAAAAAAAAACGATTTCGATGAAGTAAAAATAGAGAAATTTCAAAAAAAAATCAACAACAACAAAAAGATTAAAAGTGTCAAAACCCCTTCAACTTTTGATCTCATATCCTTCAAAAGTTCAAAGGACATTTGATTTCACTTTGGAATAGAACTTATTTGTTTGCTGGTTTGAAAAAGGGTGGTTTTCTTGGCTCATTCAGATATTCTACAACGCGTGTACTTTTGAGAAGGAATCAATCAATCATGAGTTCCATAAATGGGTTTAGAAGAATAGTGATCATAGCTGTTTCCATTCTAACGATTCTAGGTGTATTGTATAAACTATCACCTAGTAAAGAGTTGGATTTACAAGAAGTGTTGAAACAGATTCCTAATGAGAATTTATTAAACATAAATAATAATAAAGAGGAAGAATTTACAAATAAATTGGAGGCTATAACTGAAAAATTAATGAAACAACAAGATGAGAAAATCAATAATTTAGAGAAAAACCGTAAAGAATTGGAAAAGAAGATTCAAGAATTACGTCGTCCACCAATTGATTCCACCCTAAGAGAAAAATTGGCATTTTTGTTTCCCTATGATCAAAGTAGAAAATTCCCTGCGTATATTTGGCAAAGTTGGAAATATGGATTAAATGATGAAAGATTTGGAGAGAAATTTAAAGAAGGTGAATTACAATGGGCAGTTAAAAACCCAGGATTTGTTCATGAATTATTTAACGATGATACATCAAGTGCAATTATACATCATTTATATGTTTTAATCCCTGAAATTGTTGAGGCTTATGAAGTCTTGCCCTCTATTATTCTAAAGATGGATTTTTTCAGATATTTGATCTTGTTGGCAAGAGGCGGGATTTATGCAGATGTTGATACATTACCATTACAACCTGTACCTAATTGGATTCCTGAAAATGTTTCGCCAAATGAAATTGGTATGATTATTGGGATTGAATCTGATCCTGATACTCCTGATTGGAGAAAGACATATGCAAGAAGATTACAATTTTGTCAATGGGTTATTCAAGCCAAACCTGGCCATCCAATCCTAAGAGAAATTGTTGCCAAGATTACTGAATTGACATTACAAAAGAAGAAGCAAGGAGATTTAGAGATTAATGATAATTTAGATATTATGAAATGGACAGGTGCTGGTATTTGGACCGATGTTGTATTCACATATTTTAATGATTATGTTCAAAGTGGGATTTATTCCAAGATTACATGGAAAGATTTCACCAAGTTGGAAGTTCCAAAATTGATTAGTGATGTTTTAGTTTTACCAATTACAAGTTTTTCACCAGGGATTGGCACTATGGGTGCTAAAGATGAAGATCATCCATTAGCTTTTGTTAAGCATTATTTTGAAAACATTTGGAAGAAAAATTGAGATTTACTTTTTTTGTATAGAATTTATAAATATCGTCATTTATTATCAACTTTGTTGTTTCAAATCACACATTTCTAACCAACTTTCCGGGAATTTCCAATCTCTATATACAGAAGGTAAAACATTCAATTGCATTAATAGCCCAGCCTCCATATGCCAACCAATATGACAATGGAATGGCCAAACACCAGGATTATCAGCTATTAATCTAATCAATGCATACCCATAACCTGGGATGTTTATAGTGTCTCTTTTCATATATTCTTTATTAGGGTCAATTTCATCATATTGATTAAATTTAAAATTTCCTGAACTTGTCTTTAGGATCCAAAATTTATAACCATGTAAATGGAACGGGTGAGATCCATCATCCAAGTTATTTATCAAGATATCCACAACTTGGTTTGGTTCATTGATGTTGATTATTAATTGATCATCCCATGGTATGATTGAGCCTGTCTTTAGCCAATCTGGATCATTATCTGAAACGTTTGAGATTTGTTTATATAAAGTTGAAGTTTTCATTGGTCTATAAGTTGTTGAATTGAAAAAACCTCGATCTAGTTGATAAGCACCAATCATAAACGAGGCGTCTAATCTGAAATGATGATTATAATTAGATGGTGCATTATCTTTAACCAAGGGGTGTAGTAAAGATTCATCCAATTCTTTACATTCTGGATTTTGCCAATAATTGTACTCTTTTGAAGTTGGAGGTTGAGGTAATGATGAGACCAAATTGTAAAAGTTTTTATCATTATAACTAACCAAGGCTTTCACATCCGTATTTAACCAATCATTATCATGACCAAAACAATAATTGTTTAATTTAGCATGCATCCAAAACAGATTATTATCACTAGTTGCATTGGTGTTTATGATGACCGAGTATCTTTGAGCCACTGCAATGTTTAAAACCTCGACATCAATTGGATCCACTAAAGTACCATCAGCCTCGATTATTGTTAATGGATGTTGATCAATTGAATAATCTATATCTGCGAAAAACCCTGAATTTATGATACGTAATCTATATTTGGTGTCTGGTTTCAAATTGAACATATGATGAGCAGAGTGATCTTGAATGAATTCAGTTGATCTATAATAATCTTGAGGTTTGTTGAAAACGTTGGAACCTTGAATTAACCCATTATCAGGAGTTGGTTCATCATTTTCATTATTTGAAGCCAAGTAATCATCCAAATAATTCTTAGCAACATCATGATAATAATCACTAATCAATACAACTAAATCCTGGTCATATAAATGACCCACTAGTTTCTTCTCTTCTTTGGAATGAATAACAACTGGACCCAATACACCATCAGCGTATTGAGTACCAAAATGGGAATGATACCAATAAGTACCATATTGAGATTCATCAACTTTAAACTCATAAGTGAATGATCTATTTGATGGGATTTCACATTGGTTTATATTATTGGCACCATCATAATAATTTGTTCCATTGAAAAACAACCCATGGAAATGAATAGTTGTTGGATCTGACCCATTATTGAAAACATTAATTTTCAAAGTATCACCAGCATTACATTCAACCATTGGACCTGGGAATTTCCCATTGATAACGGTTAGATTCCGTAATACACCATCAGGACTTGCCAAAATGTCAGATATTGTGAAGTTGTATTCTCTTGTTGTTGGTTTAGCATGGAAATCCCAGTCTTGTGGGATTGAATAATCTTTGTTTGTATCAAGTTTCCAGTTGGGCAGAGTGTTGAAATGGGTATAATCTTGATCGGTGAAATTTGTGTAATGGAGTAGTCTAGTTGGGCTCTGTTGGGTGTCCTTGATGCTTTTCAATAGATAAATCAGTATCAGTAGGAACCCAGTAGTTCCAAGAGCCAGTGAAGTGAAGTATTTCAGTGCTGACACTCTCTTATTCTCATGATCGCCAGCCTCAGGCACTGTGTGGTAGTCCATTGTGGATGCTCTTAGCCTCAGACGACCCTAGCCATCGATCATCATGGACCGTTGAGTTTGTTTATAAGCACTTGGGAGGCCACGTTGGGTGTAGCACGTGGAGAGTGAGTTAGCCGCTGAATTAACGAGTTAACAGATAGCTTATGGATTATTGTACTATGGATTCTGAGATTATTGGATGACATTTCCCACGGTGCCCATTGGCTGGAACGTGGTGCTGTATGGCTTTAGGTGGAGGTGATGTTACTGTTGAGTGATTGATTCATGTTAAGGATCTGTTCTCGTTCATTCAGTCATTCATTAATTCATTAATTCAGTCTTATTTTCATTCACCTATTACTCTTTTATCTCTATCTCAATTCATTCCTTCTGTTTCTGTTTCTCTTTCTCTTTCTTCTTATCCTCTTCCTCTTCCACTTCTATGATGTTTCTTCCATCCAAAACGTTTTCTATTTCTATCTCGAGATTGAAAAATCCATGCATGCTTTTACAATTCCACAACTGAATCCCACCAAAACAACCCAATTAATTCACTGCGCACGATGCCAATCTCATTAAAATAATGCATCCTACTCATCGTAAAATCCAATCCAAAATCCCAAGCCTATTTAAACAATAAGAAATAAGCATTTCGAGCCCAAGACTTTCCATACCAAGCAATTCATTATCACCATCCGGAAAAATTAAAGATGCTATTCAACAAAGTCTTACCATTGACCGTCTTGTCATCAATCGTTTCTGCTGCTGCAACCTCCTCTCGTTTCTATTCCACCATAGACCCAAAGGCTACTGCTATTGCTGAAACTGCTAAAACTGCTGAGACAAACCATAAAACTTCAACCGTTGCAGGTAAAGCATTTGATAGATTCTTGGTTATCTGGTTAGAAAATACCGATTTCGATAAAGCTGCTGAAAGTGATGGGTTAAGTTACTTGGCTAAAGAAGGTATCACTTTGGATAACTATTGGGCTGTTACTCATCCTTCAGAACCAAACTATATGGCTGCTGTTGCTGGTGATTATTTTGCCCTTGATGATGATCGTTTCATTTCAATGCCAAAAAACGTTTCAACAGTTGTCGATTTATTAGATACTAAAAACATCTCATGGGGTGAATATCAAGAACATTTACCATATACCGGGTTTGAAGGTTTCAATTATTCAAATCAAGAAACTTATGCTAATGATTACGTTAGAAAGCATAATCCTTTAGTTATCTATGAATCTGTTACTGATGATAAAGAAAACTTGAAAAACATTAAAAATTTCACTCAATTCCAAGAAGATTTAGAAAATCATACTTTACCACAATGGGCCTTCATCACTCCAAACATGACTAATGATGGTCATGATACAACAATTAACGTTGCTGCAACTTGGTCCAAAAATTTCTTGGAACCTTTATTACAAAATGAATACCTAATGAACAACACTTTAATCTTGTTAACTTTTGATGAAAATGAAAACTATAAATTGAAAAACAGAGTCTTTGCAGTTTTATTAGGTGGTGCAGTCCCAGATGAATTGAAAGGTACCATTGATCATACTTTCTATGATCATTATTCAGAAATCTCCACGGTTGAAGCCAACTGGGATTTACCAAACTTGGGTCGTCATGATGCTAATGCCAATGTCTTCCAAATCGTTGCAAACAAAACAGGTATCCAAAACAAAGAAGTTGACACAACCTATTTAGTCAATAACCACACCTATGTCGGTTACTTAAACGATGACACTGTCCAATTACCAGCTCCAAACGTCAGCGCTATTGGTGTTAACGGTAATGGTGTTTTAGACTCAATCAAATCCCAATGGTCAGACGTTTTCGCAAAGCAACAATCTGATGGTTATTTCAAATCCTCAACAACTACTCTAGTCACTGGTTCAATCGGTGATGCTACAACTACTGGTGGTTCCAATGCTAAGGCCACTGGTGCCGCTGCTGGTAATGGTACTATCTCAAAGCAAAATGGTACTAATCAATCAACTTCTGTCTCTTCAAAATCAAAAGCTATGGGTGCTTTGGTCTCTGGTAGTGCTGGTGTTTCAGCTTTGATTGCCTTTGGTTTAGCTTTATTGATCTAAGCAGGGCTTTAGACTTTAGATATTTTTAGACTTTTTTTATATATTTCTTGCTTTTTTATTGTTGAAAAACGTTGATTTACGTTTGGTTTTTGTATTTAAAAAAATGATAGTTGAATATAGATTATATTAGACAGCTCACTTGTATTATGGATTGATTAACATCTTTTATACTGGCCTTGGAATCATTTATGCTTTCATAAGCATCTCATGGCTGCCTATTATATTGGTATTAATACTAGTGCTAGTACTGTAATGTGTACGGATATTTGCGCCGAAATACATGAAAACATACTAGTCGAAATATTATAATGAATTAATTATATCAATGGGCGTCCATTGGTTTAGATTTATCTAAGCATTTGGCTGGATAGCTAATTATAATATTGTTGATTTATTAATTAGTTTTTGAACTTTTTATGAAATTGCAAAAATAGTTCTAAATTTATAAAATATAGACCAAACAATTTTTTCGCACATTTCAAAATCTTTAAAATCAAATTTTTGAAAAATTGAAAAACTCTAAAAATGTATTTTTTGGTTTCTTTGGAGAACATTTATTAATTTTCAAAAAGTTTTAGAATTATATCGTTCTTTTTCATTGTTTTATTAAATTTTTAGTATTGTAGTAGTACTACTAATTTAAATATTAAACCCGAGTTATTTCCGAGAACTGTGCTAAGTCCGAGTAAAAAACACTACAACTTCTACAAAATATAGACGTTAAATTTTGTTACACAGTCCATGACCTGCCGTAACTACATTTCAAATCAGTACGCGGGTCAACCTAAAATTGTTATTCATATTTTCTCACCATATATTTCCAGAATATATACTATAAAAAATATCACAAACAACAGTATCACACCTCACCAATTTAATTCTTTAGCAAAAGTTTCAGGATTAGTACCTTGACATTCAACTTTATTACAAATTTCCTCCAATTCATTAGAATCTTCAGCACCTTTAGCACCTAAAAATGAAGGATTAATTTGTCTTCCCAACTCTTGTTCTTTGGCAAAATGTTCTTTAACCATATCTTTAACAACATTTTGATAATAAACAACACCATTTTCTTTAGTTGGATGTAAAAACCCTGTTGAATAAACTCCCTGATTTAAATTTTGTTGAGTCTTGACACATAAATCAAAATCTTCAATTTCAACTTGTTGTAAAAATTCAACAAATTCATCCTTTTCATGTTTTGGCAATCCTTTTTTAGTGAAAATATCATATTGTAAAATTGTATGAGATGCACTAATTGGTAAAACTCTGATGGAATACCAAGCTGGTGAATAACAATTAATTCCATTTGTTGGATATAAATACATCCAAAGACCATCAAATTCACCACCAACATTCTTGGCAACTTCTTCTTCAACTTCTTTTGGTTTACCAAATCCAAACCATCCAGAATTTTTCTCTTTTACAGGCTGTTTTGGTTTAACATCTTCATTTCTTTTAATTTCACAAAAATGACGAGCATATTTCCCCTTTGGAACAACTTTATAAGTATTCATTTGGAAAGCTGAAGTTAAACCAGGATGTGCTGTTGGACAATGATAACATTCCATATAACCATCCATCAAAGTTTTCCAATTAAATTCTCCATCCAATTCATAAGACATGTGATATTCATAATCACTAAAATCAAATCCACGCATTTCCTCTTCTAATCCTGAAAACCATTCATTAAAAGGTGTTGGTCCTTCAGGTGTAGCATCAAAATTAACAAAAATTAAACCTTGATCTGTAACATGTGTATGGATTGGATATAATGAATTTTCTTTTTTTTCAAAACCTTCAATATTATCAAATTGTGGGGCTTTTGTTAGATCACCATCCGTGTTATAAGACCAACCATGATATTGACAGCCTAATACAATTGAAGAACCTTTTTGCTTTCTCACTACTGGATAAGCTCTATGACGACAAATGTTATGGAAAGCTCTAATTTCACCTTTTTTATTCTTAATTAAGAAAAATTGAATACCACAAACATTATAAGCAAAATAATCACCAGTTTTCTTAAAAGTTGAAGAGTGTGCAGTGTATAACCATGATTTCATAAAGATGGCTCTTTTTTCAAGTTCATAAATATCTTTTGAAAACCACCATGATGCTGGTAATGTATGTTTACCTGGTAATAATTTCTCTTCAGTTTCAGTAGCTTCCTTAAGGACACCCACTGAGATTTTGGATTTCTCTGTAATTGGGGTTGGTTGTGGAGTTTCAACTTGCATCTTTGATACTTTGACTAAAAGGGAACAAAGCCAAATCAAAAAGAGAACTTCACCAACTATTTATATCCCCTTGATATATATCCCCTGGAATTATATCAGTGATATGGATTGTATCTCTCTTTGCTATCATTTTTTTTCTCCAACTTTAAATCAATTGCAACTTTTAGACGTTTTCGTACATGAACCTTTATGTCAAATGATGCTTATCAGTTTGTGCCAAAAAAATTTAAATTCCAGTGGAATTAAATAGAACTATAAGCAGTGTATCAACAAACAAAACATCGTGAAAAATACCAGCTTATCAGAGATCAGATATTTCAAATTCTTATAATTACATCATGAAAATGTTAAATAGTGTACCTGGGTATTGGCTATTGGGGATTGGGATTATAAATGCGATGGATTTGTGTTTGGATACTTGAATTGGAAAGTTTTTAGCAAGCCGATTTTTCATCCTATTGATTGATTGATAGCAATTTTTATTGAGATATCACTGGACCAATGAACGATCTCAGCTGGTGAACCTTGATATATCAAAGCCATCTTCAGAACAACAAGCTTTATTCTCGATGTTATCAAATCATGATCAATTGAGTAAACACGTCGAAAAACTTCACCAGAAAAATCTTCGCGAAAGCGTTTTACAAATCTTTATTCTTGAGTGCCCAAACCGACTCGAGATTCAATTCTTTGAGCTCAAACTGGAAATTAAAGAGTCCATCAAAGAGAGTTTATTTGAGGTACAGGATTCAAATTGTCACATAGTTTTTGAGGTTCTTTTCTGAAAGAGACTGGTATTTATAGACTGAGAAAAGCTGGAATCGAGCTGAAGTGCTTTTATTGAATAAACTGGACAACATATAGAAAATGGTGAGTACTTGAAAGTCAGCTAATGAGAAATACGATCTCTAACAATCTCTAGGAAAACTACGATTGGGAACATATAACGCCTTTGCCATTAGATGAAGAAGGTATCCAAGTATCACAGATCTTGTATACTGAAGAATACCGTTCTGTAATGGGGTTGTTGAGAGCTCTACAGACAAATGAAGAGTATTCAGATAGAGCGTTATTCATCACCCAAGAAGCCATCAGATTAAATGCTGCTCATTATACAGTATGGCAATACAGATATCATAACATCATCAATTTGAAAAAAGATATAAATAAAGAACTTGACTGGGTTGAAGAAATTGCCATTGAGAATACAAAGAACTACCAAATATGGAATTATCGCCAATTACTTTTGCAAGCTCAAGAAAATCCAGATCCAAAACGAGAATTCCCATTAATTGAAGTGATGCTTGATGAAGATTCCAAAAATTATCATGTTTGGTCACATCGTAAATGGTTGGTTAAATTTTTCAATAAATTTGACGAAGAATTAACATTTGTTGATCAATTTATTGAAAAAGATGTCTACAATAATTCTGCTTGGTCACATAGATATTTTGCAATCTTTGGTGATGCTCAAATAAACAAAAAAACTATAACCAATGACATATTTGAAAAAGAGCTGGAATATACCAAGGATAAAATATCGATAGCACCACAAAATGTTAGTTCTTGGAATTACCTCATAGCTTTATTTGAAGTGACTGGTAATAATTTATCCCAATTAGAAGAATTTGCTAAATCATATGCCAATGTCTTGTCAAATGATGCTGATGTTGAGAAAATCAAATCAGTTCCAGCCTTAGAAGCTTTAGTCAAGATTTACACCAAATCTAATCCTGAATTGGCAACAAAAGGTTATGATTTACTCGCAACCAAGTATGACACAATCAGAAAAAACTACTGGGAATATAAGAAAAAATCAAACAGTGTATAAGTTATGGACTCCTTGTTTGTTTTGGTAAAACCTGTAGCCAATTCTATAACTCATCTCTAAATATTTTTTGATCTTTAGCACCTCCAGGATATATGACTTTATACTCTATTATCAAATCACCAAATTCCTCTGCTCCTTCAAGTATTGGCATACCTTTGTGTTTAACAACTTCAACATCACCATCCATCACAACTTCACCTTTTTTCCTCGTCAAGGTGACATTATCATCATCAAAGAATAAAATTTCCCTTTTCCACTCACCAAACAATGCCTCTTTCAAACTTAAAACTTCAGTACGGTATAAATCATTATATCTGCGACGATAACCAGAGTTTGTATGTGATCTCTCCTTAAGGTGTACTAGTAAATCACCAGCTTCCCAATCTGGACTGTGATCACCATCACCTTTAAATTTATGAGTGAAATCTCTTGCAGTACCAGGCTCAACATAAAATTCAAAATGACGAACTCCACGAGTAACAGCTTGACCACCACAGTGTTTACATTTATGCGTTATGATCTTACCTTTACCACCACATTCATCACAAGTTGTCTGAAATTGCTGAAACATACCTGGTGCTAATTGTCTCTTCATAACTTTAACACCACTACCATTACATCCACCACATTGATGAGTTTTACCGTCAGAGGAGCCTGTACCTTCACATTTTGAACACAAATTTTGCATCTCCACATCAAATTTGAAATCTGTACCAGTATAAAAGTCTTTTAAACTTAAATCAACATTAACATCAGCATCATGGCCTCTTGGTTTACCACGTTGTTGTTGATGATTTTGTCTTCCAAATCCAAAGAAATCAGCAAATGGATCAAAACCACCACCACCACCATTCGGACGACCTCCATTCTTTAATCCATCATGACCATATCTATCATACGTGGATCTTTTTTCATCATCACTCAATACTTCATAAGCTTCACCAACTTCTATGAATTTATGATGAGCATCTTCATCACCAGGGTTTTTGTCTGGATGGAATTTTTTACTTAGGGCTCTATAAGCTGACTTGATCTCTTTTTCACTAGCTTTTTTATCAACACCTAAGATTTTGTAATAATCAGCCTCACACAGTACTGTTGTAATTAATGCAGCACATATTAGGAAAACCAGCGAGCTGAACTGCATTGCGATCTGTAGGAAGCCTTTGAGGTTTGATATATGTACAGATGAGCTTCTGGATAGTGATATGACCTGGGACGTTGAGCAAAAGGTATAAAGAACTCGGACTCTAGTTGTTCTTTTACTTACACGTAATCAAAGTTGAAAAAAAGTCAACAATCGCGATTCGCGAATTTCGCGAAATCAGTTTGTATAGGCAATTTTTTTTCTTCACTTCTACAGCCTTGACATGAAGTGAAAGGTAATAAGAGTGAAAAAAAATGCCTGAAGTGATCAATATCTCATTATCCCAGAGGGCGAACCACCTATCCACACATTTTTACAATGCCCAGGAAAGTTATCTAGACTATACAAAGTCCGTGTCGAAAGCAGATAATAACCCTAACGTCTTCTTCAAACCAACATTATCCAGAGATAAATCCACTGTTAATTACAATCCAAGAGCTTTAATATGGGATCTCAAAGGTGGATTCGGTGCATTAGGCCAATTTGAATATTTTGTTTCGGAGGAAGATGAAGATGAATGGAAGGGGAAAACTGAATCTATAGCTAAAGATCGTATACCCAAGAGTGCATATCAAAAAGCTTTAGATAATAATAGTCGAGTTCCTCAATTGGATACATCAAATACTTTATATTGGACTGATTATTCTAGAGTGCTTTATGAACCGAAAGCTTATAATGAATTGAAGAATTGGGAGGTTGATCCCAAAAATTATCCAAAAGGTAGATTAGCTTTAGGTCAAGAAAGAGAATTTGTTGATTATCAAGTTGGTGTTGAAGAATGGAAAAATGATTATACAGGTGTCAGTTTTTTGGAGGACAAATACAGAACAAGTTTAGAAGAATGTGATTCGTTGACAGGGTTGAATGTTGTTTCTGAAGTTGATAGTGCTTGGGGTGGATTCACTAGTGAAATGCTGCATGAATTGAGAGATGATTATAATCCAAAAAATTCATTATTCACATGGGGTATTTTCAACGGTAAAAAAATGGAAGATCTTTCAAATAAAGAGATTTTGTCAAGAATAAGGACATTTTTGGAATTGCAAAGAAGTTCATCATTGTTTATACCATTGGCCACACCAAAAAACCTTCCAGAATCTTTACAGATAGATAGATCTAGTCATTGGCAAACTTCTGCATTGCAAACTCTAGTTTTTGAACCATTTCAAACAATCACCTCTCAAAGAGAGCATAACGTGAATTTCAATACAATTGAAGATAATTTGACCTTAGGATCTCAAAGAAGAATTGTGTCAACAGTGAAAGCTTCTACTGGTGAATTGAGCTTTGATTTTGCAAGTGAATTTTTCGTTGAAGCTAAAAATCTTCACGAGTTCTCTAGAAGTAGTGTTCATAGACCTGCAAAGATTAGTTCACAAGAAGATTTTAAAGATCCATCTCAATTGCCTGGAAAGCCAACTTCAATTGAAGGCGAAAAAGTTGATAAATCTCAAACAGATTATAGTTCAAACTTAGCATTTGGTACACCTGATTCATTCCCAGATTTTGTTAATCCAAGTGATAATGTCACTGCAACTTTAGGAATAACAACGGCAGCAAGAAAGACTTTGCTAACAATGAAAACTTTTGTGTCAAAATTTGTTAGAGGTGATGATAGAGAAAATATGATTCAAGAATTGGAAACATTAGCTGAAGACTATGAACATGGCTGGAATGATAGTGATGAAAGTGATGATGATTATTGAAGGTCTGATTACACTGATTTTTGAATAAATAAAGTTTATGATCTTTGAAAGATTTGTCGTAAAACATGAACTGATCTGCGAGATCTTATGACTGCGGGGGTTTGCCCATCCTGTTGAGCTGGCTCTTCTTTTAATTTGTTAGTATGAATTAGGGTTTGGTCTTTTTAATTGAATGTCTGACTGTACTTGTTGATAAGGAGATTGATTTGGGGAAAAGAGACAACGGTAATATTAAAAGGTGATTAAATTTCTTGTACAGTTCTGTGAATTGATTGACGTTTCAAGATGTTAGGGGTATAAGCTGTTAATATTGTGCCAATTGTTTTAACATTATGTAGTGAGTTTTCAAAATGATTGATTATTGAAGGTTAATTCCACTTCAGAGGGACTGTCGGTGTCAAATGTCCATGTACACTCGCCATTTTCAAGCCCACTTTCAAAGTCATAGCGTCGTTTTTTGTCACAGAAGCTTCAGATATACAGAACAGTACCAATTCCAGCAACAGAACTTCAAATTACTTTCATATTCAAATAATCCAACAGGTATGGATATAAGCATTCCAAAACAAGTTGTTATTCCGCAATTTTTTCAAGACTTTCGCTTATACACAACTTTTATTATTCTCCAACTTTTAATTATCCAGGTGTACATGTCCAGCAGCTTATTACCAATTCAGAGCACCCACCAACAACTGAACTGGTAATTTTTTAGACAAATCATGAACATCTCGTATAAACACGAACATACTCTATTCTCTACTCAAGAGTCAATACTTTACCGGTTCAATTTAAGCTGTTCTACCTCGACGAACACCGCAGAATTGGGTCCAAGCGGACGTTTTTCCGCCCAAACTTGACGTAGTCATTTCTCCACAAAAGTTTCAGCGACTCACCGACAGAGTCGCCGGAAGACACTTGAACCATAATCAACTTGGTTGGCTTGGTATCGTTAATTGTATATGGGTTCTTCCATCTACGGTTAGAAATATATTGGGCAGAACTGTTTACAACTAGCTTTCCTCGAAGTATGCCTTTTCATCTTAGTTCAATGTGGTTTTATCCCAATGTGTTTCACTGTATTGGTTTAACCTCAACTCTTCTCTAGGCAGAGAACCATACTATCGGTTCAATCTTCTGTTTTGGGTCCTAGACGGCCCAATGTTTCAGAGTTTCAGCAAAAACTCTCTGTTTCAAACTCTACGTATAAATCTATGGACATAAATTCGAGCACTGTACAGCTAAACTGACAAGTACAATAGTACTACACTAATTGTTGAAGGATTAATATCATCTATGAGCTTTCATATTGTAACCAAGCTAGTGCACCTTCATGTTATAGTTATCCTGTACGGGATGTAGCGGGCCTACGTGCTCACAAAATTAATATGCTCCTTGCCGAGTCATTGATGATTCACTTCTCACGAGTAGACTTTTGATTTATCCTCCAATTCTGCACCCCATGTCTACTTTGTTGTGTCCTGACTCCTGACTCCTTGCTTTTTGGGCTTCTTTTTCCAAAGATGCACTTTTCTTTGTTGTAGTATCAGCCAAAAGACCTGCTTAATCAAATTGACTAAGAGTCTGAACCATCAGAGCCATCCTCTCAGTACATAGCCATATATACCTTTTGAATATCTTTTCACCGTTGTGTTTGTGTCGTATCTCGATGGATTAACTGATCTTCAAGGATAAATTCTCTCTGGACAAACTTCGGATTTTCAAGGGGGCGCCGGAACGTACACGTCAAATTGGCAGACTTTGTTTTTTTTCCTCCAAAAAAAAAGATCAGCCAGCAAATACCAAAAAATGACCACGTCAAAAAAGCGGTAAAGAAGAGAATGGACAAACCAAATACACAAGCTGGTGGTGCTTTTAAAGCAAGCCTGTACTAATGGCTCGATTATTTATGTATCAGGGACCTTCAGAGCTTATTTGGAAGGGATATTTCTTCCTGTAAGCTTGGGGGTTTCAAGCGTGTTTTTTTAGCTGGTGAATGTTTATTTTTAAGAAGTGATGCGTGTATTTCAAAACAAAGTGATCATCAACACGAATAAGTTTTTGGACAAATTCAAATCTTCAAAGGTTTTTCCCCATTATGGAGTCACTTGAGTAGACCAACAAAACAATTATCATATACAAACCTAAATTTACGCAAGTTTTGGCAATTGTTATCATGTACATGAGGTGTTCAATACCAAGATTTGTATAAATTGAGCCATGTTTCCTCAAAATGAGTATGATTGAAAAGATCTTCCTACCCCAGAGTATTTAAACTCATTACAGTAAAGCGTATAAAAAGTTATGGTTGGTATAATTGCTGACGAAGTCAAGTTCTTTAAGAAGAACAAACAACCCGTGAAGAAGTTACCAGTTAATCCCGGGGACGTTCCAGATGATGATGCTCAACATTTGAAGCATTTCTTACCAAATTATGGTAAAGCTTGGTTCAAAGTTCCACATTTGTTAAAATTGAATCTTATCTTGTTGATTGTGTCATTAACATCAACAAATACAGGGTATGACGGTTCATTGTTGAATGCTTTCCAATCTATCCCAGATTGGAGAATGGCTATGAACAACCCTTCAGGTGCAGTCTTGGGTGCTATCAACAATGGTGTTGTTTTTGGTTGTATTTTAGGGTTCCCTTTTGCCTCACCAATTGGTGATAGATATGGTAGAAGACATGCTGTTACTATTGGAAATATTGTAATGATTATTGGTACAGTGATTCAAAGTTGTGCAGGTGCTGGGTTTATGACTGTTAAAAAGGAAACTGAAAACCCAGATAGTCGTGCTTATGCTATGTTCCTTGTTGCTCGTATTATCATTGGATTTGGTAATTTCATCTCATCTGTTTCTTCTCCATCGTTGATTTCAGAATTATCTTATCCAACCCATAGACAAGCAGTTACTGCTTTCTTCAATTCAAATTGGTATTTAGGTGCTATTATTGCAGGTTGGGTCTCTTTTGGTACTAGAAATGTTGGATCAAATTGGTCATGGAGAATTCCAACCATTTTACAAGGTTTGTTCCCAGTTATCCAATTCTTTTTAATTTATTTGGTTCCCGAATCTCCAAGATGGTTGATTTCAAAGGGAAGAAACCAAGAAGCTAGAGATTTATTGTTGAAATATCATGCTGGTGGTGATGAATCTGTCGGTGGTGCATTAGTTGATTTTGAAATGTCTGAAATCGAGCTGGCTCTCGAACAAGAAAGACTTGCTAGTAAATCTTCTTACATGGATTTCTTCAGAACACAAGGTAATAGAAAACGTTTGTTTTTGTTAACATTCATTGGTATTATTATGCAATTATCAGGTAATGGTTTAGTCTCATACTACTTGAACAAGGTCTTAAACTCTATTGGTATCACTTCAACTTCTCAACAATTGGTCTTCAATGGTGGGTTAATGATTTATAACTATGGTATTTCAATTATCATCAACTTGCTTGTGTTCCAAAATATAAAGAGAAGAGCTGTTTTCATCACTTCCATCGGCCTTATGTTGTTATTCTACGTTATCTGGACAATTTTATCCGCTATCAATCAACAAAGAAATTTTGAAGATAAAGTTTTAGGTAAAGGTGTTATGGCCATGATCTTTATGTACTACTTGGCTTACAACTTGGGTTTGAATGGGCTACCATACTTATATCTTACTGAAATCATGCCATTCACCATTAGAACAAAAGGTATCTCTCTATGTTTAATGATTCAACAAGTTGTTTTAGTTTACAACGGGTTTGTCAACTCTATTGCTATGGACGCTATTGAGTGGAAGTACTATATTGTTTATTGTTGTATTTTAGCTGTTGAATTTGTTGTTGCTTACTTGACCATTGTGGAAACTTCAGGTCGTACATTAGAAGAAGTTGCTGAAGTGTTTGGTGAAGATATCCGTGACTTTGATCTTAGTGTAGTTAAAGAGAAGAGTGAAGCACTACACATTGAACACCAAAACACCGATACTGCAAGTAATACCAGCACAACTGAGAAGAGTGGTAACTTGTTGGTTTAGACTTACTAGAAGAAAATTGAGTTTTTTTTGCTTTTCGAAGCTATATTATGAGATTATAATTGTTGCAATATGAAATATTAATGAATGACATGTAAATTTTGTTGATTGATTGATTATGTTTGTAGTACTATCTTCAGCTCATCTGTTGAACTAGCGCGTTCTCGATATTGAAATACCCAGCAGTTAGTGAAGTAAATTGGACCGGCCTGTTCTATATTATTCCTCTGGATAAAAAATATAACTTCTGTGACACTTCCTAGCTTCCAAGGGCTTTCTGGGTTCAAGAATATTCTTAAGGCTAGTCAAAACGACAAACTTTTGATTCTTGCCATCTTAAGGAAACCTAACTCATCGTCTATGTCGATGTGCACCAGTCATAGAAAGATGGTAACTCATATGCATGACTTGCTGGTGCTTCAAAAGACTCTTTAACTTGGGAGTCTGGCGATGGAATGACTCGCTTGAAATCTGATACCCATAAGTTTTGTACTCATTGATTCTGAAAACAAGCACGTATCATTTATGGAACCAAATCGTCACGCAAAATACCACCAGATAATAATATAGACCCTGTACGCCCTTAACACCACTTTTTCGAGCTTTGATATGATCTTTCATAACCAACAATTCGTATTGAATCTCTATTTATTGCAAACTTTGAGGCACCATATTTATCTTTGACTTCTCACGAGTTATTAAAAGGTTGTGGGTTTTGTCTTGATTCTTCATTATTCTTCAATCACGATTCACCACAATCAGGAAACAGGATTCAGCCGTTGGACGGCCATTCAATCTCAAAACTTACTCCATTCAGTACACGTAAACGACAGCCTGACGACATTTCCAAACAGTTTCTCGAAGGTTTAAATTATAAGTCCTCTTCCCCCATGGGAATTTAACCGTAAGGCATAGTACTTAATAATTTCGTGAGCACCCAAGTTTAAACTTCCAGAAATCAGACTATTTACGGAATTAAGTACTCATTCGAGGCCAAATAGTGAGCGGAGTACTGGGGCACGTACAGACTTCAGAGTACAAAGCAAAATTGAACTTCATGAAATTTTAATATTAATGGTTCAAACGCGGAATCCCACTGCTAATTACTTCATCGCTGACATAAACAACTTCCTGCTTTAAAGATGTTAAAACCTATACCAGCCACTATTCTCCCTCCACACATTTCTGGACCAAGTAGAAATCATCAATCTCTGGTTATATTACCACCGTTTTTCGAAGTCAGATAAGTGTACGTGGTTACTCAAAAACAACTGGAATCGCGTTCTGGATTCTAGGGATATGTACAGTGTACACTGAAAAACAAGTTGCACTCCACAAAACAAATTTGTAGCTGTGCAGTATGTAGAAAAATTCACCCGTCTCCAGATTCTACACCCGCATACCTTTTTGATGAAAGAACCTAGCATCCTATAGGATATAGCATCAAGAGTTGCGTAAAAGTGGTGGTGGTCAGAGACGGAAACTCACCATTTATTCGCACCAACTTTTACGAGCAGGCTACCAGTCTAAACAACTACATTTGCATCATTGATTATCATTCAGCCGGTTGTCAAGTAGACGGGGAAACACTCACAGAAGTGTTACATTTTAGTTCAAATCCACAGCTTTGGATAGTGTTCAAGTAGTTGCCTAATGCGGAAAAAACCAGTTGTTCAAAGATATTCCAGGTTTCTGTGGTTAAATCTTCCTGAGCACTGGTACCTCAAGAATAGGCTATCAAAATATCCATATAGAGGACGATGAGTTGATGGAGCTCATCGGCTTCGACTAAGTTGGGACTTGGTACCTTTTGAAAGGCTAAAGCTCGACTTTGGCCATTGGCGATCTGGTGAAGTTATTGCTGAACCGCAAAATGTTGACAGACCAAGTAATCAAAAGCAAAACCACGAAAAATGCATCAAAACTCAGCAGCAGCAATCAGCCGATTCAATTTGAAAAAGACTGCAGAAAAGTATGGGGGTGTGCAGCTTGATCCATGTGCTACATTCATGGCTCCACGAACTGGTCCTTGTGGGTAAAGCTTATTGAGTTACATACGGTTAATTGTTTGCGGTTAAGCGTTGATGATATTAAAAGATAACTTGATGTATCACCTCATAGGCCTCTGTTAGCCACTTCACGAATTCATACTTGATGAATAGATCAGGCATTAACAATGGAAATGTATCGCTTAATCGGGAAAATGATCTGCTCATATTCAGAGTGTGTTAATTATACGGTTCTATTAGACCAAAGTTTTAATGGTAAATCGTTGTCGAGTAGCTCAATATAATAATTCAAGTCTATAAGTATGGAACAGACTGCTCAGAAAATTCTCACCAACATGTATTATTCTCCATTGCTATTGAATTCATTTTAAGATGGTTGGATTTATCGCGGATGAGGTGAAATTCTTTAAGAAGAATAGAAAATCAAGTAAAGCTGAAACAGAGAATTCTGTTTCCAATATTCAAGAGGAAAACTTTTCTCAATTAAAAGATTTCCTTCCAAAAACTAACAAGACTTGGATCAAAACTCCTCACTTGGTTCATTTGAATATTTTGATGTTTATTGTTACTTTAAGTGCCACAAACACTGGTTATGATGGTTCTCTATTGAATGCTTTTCAATCTATGCCGGACTGGAGAGATGCAATGGGTAAACCATCTGGTGCTGTGCTAGGTGCATTGAATAATGGTACTGTGAGTATTTATCCTGGGTATGCTACATGTATTTAATATACTAACAAAAATTAAAGACCTTCGGTGCTATCATTGCATTTGCATTTGCTTCAACAATTTCTGATAAATTAGGTAGAAGAAACGCAATCACTGTTGGTAATGTTCTTATGATTATCGGAACCATCGTTCAGGCATGTGCTGGTACATGGCTCGATATAGAAACTCAAAGTATCCATAATGATAAGCGTACTTTTGCAATGTCATTAGTTGCTCGTATAATAATTGGTTTTGGTAACTCTGTTGGTGCTGTTTCTGCACCACCCTTGATTTCTGAGCTATCTTATCCAACTCACAGACAAACGGTCACTGCCTTCTTCAACTCCAATTGGTATTTAGGTGCAATTATTGCAGGCTGGGTTTCATTTGGTACGCGTAATATGGGTCACAATTGGTGCTGGAGAGTTCCAACTATTATCCAAGGTTTCTTCCCTATTGTTCAAATTTTTTTAATCTACCTCGTTCCTGAATCTCCAAGATTTCTAGTGTCAAAGGGAAGGATTGAAGAAGCTCGTGCTATTTTATTGAAATTTCATGCTGGTGGCGATGAATCTATTGGTGGTCCATTAGTTGATTTTGAAATGTCAGAAATTGAATCTGCTATTGAACAAGAAAAAATTGCTGACAAGTCTTCCTATTTTGATTTCCTCAAAACTCCTGGTAACAGAAAACGTTTGTTTTTAACATGTTTTGTTGCTTTCGTTATGCAACTTTCAGGTAATGGGTTGGTTTCCTACTATTTGAATAAGGTGTTGAACTCTATTGGTATCACCTCACCTACAGAGCAATTGATCTTCAATGGAGGTCTTCAAATTTATAATTGGGGTATATCGATTATTATTAACTTGTTGGTCTTCCAAAACTTCAGAAGAAGAGTCGTGTTCAATACATCTATTGCGATGATGTTGTTTTTCTACATCATCTGGACTATTCTTTCAGCAATCAATCAGGAAAGAAACTTTGAAGATAAGTCTTTGGCCAAAGGTGTTATGGCTATGATCTTTTTATACTACTTGGCTTACAACATTGGTCTCAATGGGCTACCATATTTGTACATGACCGAGATTTCCACATACCAACTAAGAAGTAAGCTTATGAACATTAACATTTTTGGTCAACAGGTGGCAGGTGTATATAATGGGTTTGTTAATTCGATTGCCATGGATGCTATAGAGTGGAAATATTATATTGTTTACTGTTGTATTTTGGCAGTGGAGTTAGTTGTTAGTTACTTGACATTTGTTGAAACTTCTGGCCGTACTTTAGAAGAAATGGCTGAGGTGTTTGGTGAAAGCATTGGTGATCATGGTTTTACTTTGGCTCAAAAGAAGAATGAGGTAAAACATCTCGAAGACGGTGCTATGGCAGATGACAGTGGTAGTGGAACCAGTGCTGAAAAGAGCAACAATCTTTTAGTTTGATTCCAAAGAGTGTTGGAAAAGTGGGTTCTCATGACTGAATCATTATGAAGAAATATATATAAATTTTATTGTTACGGCTTGAGCCTTGTGTTTTTTTTCATGTAGTCGAAGACTTCACTTCATTACGCACAATTGATCCTGATTAAAGAATATCAAACCCAGCACTGAATTGAAAGTGTCCATATCTTCTGACCACTTGTTTCTTCGTCTATTCTCGAGATCTTGTGAATGGTACAAATTTTGAAATCCCCATAGTCTGAATGAGGAAATTTTAAGGTCTCAAAGTCTCAAAAGGGTGAATCGTGTAAACACCGGTCGAACAAAATGATTCGATATCAACGACATGACTCAGTTTAGGCCATACAGCATAAGGCGATGGAGATTGATTATCTTTCAATCTTTGAGCATTTGACCAATCAGTAGAACAAGGATCTTGATTCTTGAATTGAAAAAATAGGGCAGATTCCAGTTACCGGACATACCCAGATTCCGCGAGCTTGACTTTATATTTGCCCGTGGTGTTTGGCAGCAACTTCAAATCAGTGAACGCGTCACAGTTTTTTGATATCGACAGGATAATCTCAGAGGGATAACAACGACCAGTAACGAATAATAAGGGAGGCTGATAATCCTTTTTTACTCGAAGATGCTTGCAGCCATGCTCGATTTAAGTTTAGCTCGTTATTAAAACCCCGAACTTCGAAGTCCTCGTGACGTGAATTGCTTTTCCAAACATTAAGGGAACCCAAACTAACGTGATAGATGGTAGAGGTTAGAGGAGAATCAAAATTGCGCTGGAAGAAACTGAGGCTCAAACAGTTGAAAGGATACTGCTTTTTGGTAATTTGTGACTCGTTTATGTGTGTAGTCTTCTTTATAACCTCAATAGCATGAATGACGGACCATGGTTGTACAAGGAAAGGAGATGAACAGGTTTAAGTTTTGCCTGATGCCTCAATAGTGAACGTCTATATTTAAAGGAAACTTTCTGCTTCATAATTTTTTGTTGCTTGTCTAACTTGGATATCAATGACTTTTATTTGAAAGTGTTGGGGTTGTCTTCAAATCAAATTTAGATATATTAATTAAATCATGGTTGGTATTATTGCTGATGAAGCAAAACTTTTCAGAAAGAAAAGAGCAAAACATAAGACATCAATAGGTGAGACAGATGATTCTTCTGATAAAATTGTCTCTCATTTAGATGAATTTATTCCAAATTATGGGAAATTGTGGATTCGAGTTCCACATCTTGTTCATTTGAACTTTTTGATGTTCATTGTTAGTTTGACTGCAACAAATTCAGGATTTGATGGATCATTACTAAACGCATTTCAATCTATGGATGATTGGAAAAATGCAATGGGTAAACCTTCAGGTGCTGTTCTAGGTGCATTGAATAATGGAACTGGTGAGTGTTTTTGTTCTTTGTTTACATCGATGCGCTGGTACTAACACTTTTAAGTTTTTGGCTCTCTTTTAGCTTTCTTCATTGCGTCTTACTTGTCTGATAAGTTTGGTAGAAGACATGCAATTAGTATTGGAAATGTTATCATGATCTGTGGTGTGATTGTTCAAAGTTGTGCTGGGACTTGGTTGAATACTACCGATCAAGCAATTCACAATGACAAACGTTGTTTCGCAATGTCCTTGGTTGCACGTATAATTCTTGGCTTTGGTGCTATGATTTCAGGTGTGGGTGCCCCTCCATTGATGTCCGAGTTAGCTTATCCTTCTCATAGACAAGCGGTCACTGCATTCTTCAACTCTAACTGGTACTTGGGCTCCATAATCTCAGGGTGGGTTTCTTTTGGTACCCGTAATCTGGGAAATAACTGGTGCTGGAGAATTCCAACAATCTTGCAAGCATTTTTCCCTATAATTCAACTGTTTTTAATTTATCTTGTTCCTGAGTCACCAAGATACTTGATTTCCAAGGGACATCCTGAAAAGGCCAGAGAAATCTTTGTGAAATATCATGCGGGTGGTAATGAAGAACTATGTAGCGGATTGATTGACTTTGAAATGTCTGAAATCCAATCTGCTATTGAACAGGAAGTTATAGCTGACAAATCATCATATAAGGACTTCTTCAGAACTCCTGGTAACAGAAAACGTTTATTTTTGGCATGCTTCATTGGTATTATTATGCAATTATCAGGTAATGGGCTAGTGTCATATTATTTGAATAAAGTCTTGAACTCAATTGGTGTGACTTCAACAACGGAACAATTGATTTTCAATGGTGGGTTGCAAATTTACAACTACGGTATTTCAATCATCATTAACTTGACATTATTCCAAAAGGGTAAAAGAAGAATCGTGTTTATCACGTCAATTGCGATGATGTTACTTTTCTATGTTATCTGGACAATATTATCAGCTATTAATCAGAAAAGAAACTTTGAGGATAAATCCTTAGGAAAAGGTGTGATGGCAATGATTTTCTTGTATTATTTGTCCTACAATTTGGGATTGAACGGTTTACCGTACTTATATCTTACAGAAATAAGTGGGTTCTTCTTAAGAACCAAGGTTATCAACACTTGTCAACTTATTCAGCAATTTGCATCTATTTATAATGGGTTTGTGAATTCAATCGCTATGGATGCTATCGAATGGAAGTATTATATTGTTTATTGTTGTATTTTGGCTGTTGAGCTTGTTGTTGGTTATTTTACTTTCGTGGAAACTGGTGGATTAACATTGGAAGAAGTTGCTGAAGTCTTTGGTGAAAGTATTGGTGATGTTGATTATAATTACATCAAGGAGAAGAATGCTATAGCCACGGGTCACATTGAAGAAGCTTCACCTCACGAAGATAGCGCCAGCACCGAGAAAAGTGCAAATCTGGTTTAAACCAGTCCTGATCTTATATTATATTTTAAAACCAATTTATACCTTAAACTTTATACTATACTCTTTTACCTGATTTTATACTTGATGAAACATATTTATGATTTTGAATGCATATGTTGTATGCTCAAGATAACTCAAGATGACTCAGAGATTACGTAATACACAGTAAAAATTTTGCTCTAATCAAATCTATAGCCTATACTTGTAGCTGGTAAAGGTACGTCTGGTTTAAGCCATTGAAGTGCAATAGAGCTGAAGTCTCTTCTATGTGGAGGGCCATTAAAAAATTTGTTATGGGTCCACCGAAAAATGTCATTGTGATAGTAGGCACAACAGGAGTTGGGAAATCTCAAGTATGTGTGTGATACGTATCTGGAAAAACTCATGTTAACATTAAAAAAGTTCAGTATAGAAGTAGCAAAGAGGTTCAATGGTGAGATTATAAATGCCGACTCTATGCAAATGTATAAAGGGGCTGATATCATCACCAATAAGCATCCCATGGAGGAAAGAGAAGGGATCCCACATCATGTCATGAACCATATCAACTGGGATGAAGAGTATTTCATTCACAGATTTGAAAAAGAAGCACTATCAACAATCAGTGATATACACTCTAGAGGCAAAATACCCATAATAGTTGGTGGTACACACTATTATCTCAACTCATTATTATTTTTGAACAAAACAATTAAAGTTAAAGAACCAGAAAAGGACAGCTCCGAAAAGCTAACTGAAGATCAAAAAAGGGTCCTAGATGGTCCACCAGAAGAGGTGTTCAAGACCTTGCAGATTGTTGATCCAGTTGCTGCTGGTAAATTCCATCCAAATGACACAAGAAGAGTCAGAAGAGCATTAGAAATTTTTTATACAACAAACAAGAAGGCTAGTGATCATTATGAAGAACAAGTTGAGTCAGATCAGGACAAATCAGGTCTTAGATTCAACACCTTAGCATTTTGGCTATTTGCCCAGAAGCCAATACTGGACAAAAGGTTAGACGAAAGGGTGGATAAAATGCTTTCCAATGGTGGTATGGCTGAAATAAACGAGCTATATGAATATTATACCAAAAGTGAGCCAAAGCCTGATTGTGAAAGAGGAATTTGGCAAGTTATTGGATTCAAAGAATTCTTGCCATGGTTGGAAGGTGAAAGAACAGATAATGAGCTCAAGATATCAATTGAAGATATGAAATCTCGAACTCGACAATATGCTAAAAGACAAGTTAAATGGATCAAAAGTCTATTAGCTGCTGATTTGGCCAAAGAGAAAGATCATAACTATGTGAAAGGTGGCCGCCTGTTTCTTTTAGATGCTACTGACTTATCAACATGGCAATCAAATGTCACAGAAAGGGGATTGGAAATCACAGAAAGATTTTTGGAAGGGAAGGAAGATACATTACAACAAGCACCAGATGGGCTTGAGGACATGTTGCCATTAGAAGCAGAGAAAGAGGACAAATCTACACAATGGAAACATTTTACATGTGATAAATGTTTTAACAAAGACAACACACCAGTGATTGCTATTGGTGAAAAACAGTGGGAGATTCATTTGAAGAGCCACAGACATAAAACCAACGCAAATAGAGGTAAACGCAAAAGGGAGTATGAAGAATGGCTCGCCAAACAGCAGAGTACCGAAACCATTGAAAAAGCCTAAGAGAATTTGATGCCATTATCTGGTCTCCATACACCAACTTTTGGCTTAGCAGATTGAGCTCTCGGTGCAACAAGTGCAGGACTTGCGGTTCTTTGTGGTATCATATCTGGTGATGGTCCCTTTGTTGTTGATGATCGTTTACTAGTGGTATCAACAGGCTCTGGTGTATTTGAACCTGAGTTCAATTGAAGTTGCTCAAACCTGTTGTTGAGTTCACTCTTTGGTGTTAGTAGCTTGTATAAAGAAAAATTTAATGACACTTACGATTCCAAATCTCTAGCTTCTAGTCTGCGTTCATAGACAAAATTGTCACAATCATCGATTAGCTTTTTGCAGTTGGCATTGAAATCATTGTAAAACTGTAAACCTTGAGAAAGATTCAATTTCAATTCTTTAAATTCAGTGTAAACCAGATCAAGTGTTTTCAGGGCTTCCTCTCTTGATGAGCTGACTCCTTGAGATGTTTTAAGACGCATAAATTGCTTATTCAATTCATCAATTTTGTCTTCAACTTCTCTTTGTTCGGTCTTCTGTTTTTCAATCCAATCAATATCTTTGCTGAAATTTTGAATGTGCTTTTGGAAAACAGGCTCAAATGTATTGGAGTCAACTTTCAAGTCATTGAAATTGGATTGGATAGATTTATACTCTGAAACAATTTTAGGCAAAATGTTGTACTGCAATGATTTCACTTCAACAGTTTCAATAAAATTATTTCTCTCAACCTCAAGCTTATGTGCTCTATTCAATACCTCCCTTATGCTTAGAATTGATTTTCTTAATGAAGGATCTAGCTGTTGGGACTTTGAATTAGGGACAAATTCCATAATTTTTTCTTCAGAAGAGGCCAAGATCTTCAATGGAGTTTCAATGTTATAATATTGATTCCTTATTGTTTCATCACCCTTCTTGGCTTGTCTTAAATAGTTTTGCAAATCTTGGATCCTTTTGGTTAAATGAGCAGCAGCTTCTTCAGAGGTAGGTCTCGTCCAATGTTTAGACCCTTGTCTTGTACGCAACAACTCATCTTCTCCAGCTTCAACTTTGAGTCTATCTTTAGCACCTTCCAATAAACGCTCACCTTCTAGTGATAATCTTTGAGTGTCATCGATGGTTTCTTCAACCAGTCTAACACCACCTTGTGATTTGATTTCAGAATTATGATCTAGTAAAGAAGATGGCAAAGCTTGAGGTTTATCGAATGCGTCAATTGACCCAGGAAGACCCCTTTCCACAATATATTTGTTCATGATGTTGGTTAAGGCTTTCACTGGACCAATGATATGTCTTTGCACATACTCATCTTGTCTTTCACGAAATGCTTGTGCAGTTTGAATAACATAGAATGGCAGTAAGTCTTTGAAAAGTTGTTTACCATAGTTACCAGTTTTGAGAGATTCATTTGGCTTGGTGAAATCTGAAATCTCCATCTCTTTAACAACTGAAGCTTTAACGATGTCTGGTAGTGTTTTGGGGACGTCTTGTAAATAAATCAAATCATTATCTTTTTCGGCCCTTCTTAATGTATCTGTGACAACATCATTTAAGCCTTGTAAATCTTGTTTGAGAGCTTCACTTGCAAATCTAATACTTGAATTTGCTAAACCGAGAGCACTTTTGGCTTTGTATAACCTAGCGACTTCTTCACCATATTTTGAATTTGAAACAGAAACTAATGAAGCTCTAAATTCAGCTGCTGCTTGGAAATGATGTTTTTTAACAGTGATATGATGAATCCATTCTGTTCTGAAGCCTTCACTTCTATTTGCATTAGTTAATGTTCTAGTATAGTAATCCGAGACTTGAACAGCTAATCTTGACACTAATGAATCTTTCACTTTATCTCTAGTCGCCTTCAACCAAAAAACTTCTTGAGCTTGGGCAAATGAAAGTAGCTGGAGAGTTTCAATAGTACCTTTTTGCAAATCCAAAGGTAGTGTAAGATGCTCATCTTGTTCAGCAACTTTGTTGATGTAGCCAAAAAAAGTGGCTGCATACTGGAAATATAAGCAAGCTTTTTTCAAGCCTTCGTCACTAGATCTATCTTGATTAACAGCCATCTGGGTATAGAGTGATGCCACGTTGTATAAAACATTGATACGCTCAAATGTAAATGATCTAATTTTGACTGGTCCTGTAACATTATAACCTAGGGTACCATACCACGGGAACTCCACCACATCTCTTGGAAATTTTGATTCTAGTGTTGATAAATGGATATAGTATCTTTGAAAGATGTTAGTTTGTTCTCCAGGAGTGAGGAGAGTGCAACATACCTTTTCAAAAGTGCCAAATCTTGTGGCGAAACCTCTAGATCTATAGTATCATTTCTAAGGGTATCAATTTCTTGTAAATCAGCTTCAAAAACAGTAGCAGTTTGGTAGTACTCCTTTGAGATGATATCTCTCAGCTCCTTACTAAACTCAATTCTCTTGGTTTTGCGATATGGAACAAAGAGTAAATTGGAACTCATAACGATCGTGGAGTTGAAATGGTTCTAATTATCAAATCTGTTTTCTACAAGTCAAATAAATTTCGCAAGTTAAATTTCCAAAACGTAAACAAACGTGAATTCCGAGGACATAAAAACGTGACATATACACACTATATTTCCGAGGGCTGGGAATTCTTGAGTCTTCGAAGTTCCAAGTAACGTTCCTGACCAACTTGTTCTCCATGGATCAAGGCATCGACCTCTTCTTGTAATGTATCTGTTCTGGTCCTTATACTGATCTCTTCACTTTTGTATAATAGTTGGAAAGCAGTCAAGGCACGGTCAGCATCTTTCAAATCATCAAGAACTTGAATAGCTTCTTCAGATAATGTGTCATTTCTTTTAACATAACCACCAAATTGAAGCTCTAGTTTCTTTTCCAGCTTGTTTGTTGTTGACACGAGTTTTTGAAGTTCTGTTATTAGCGAAGCATTGTCTAGCTTTAGTTGATCAATTTTTGAAGAATGCAGATGAGAAAATTTATTCTGAAACTCCTTCAAAGCATCTTGATCAATTTCTTGGTTAATTTCATTTTCAACTTTGGCCTTTGTTTCTTCATCAAGATCTCCTAATAGTGGTACACCAGACACTTTGTTTAATTTGGAATAATCTGATCTAATCAACCTTATAACTTCGGCATCTATATTTTGTGAAATAACATCTTCATCCATAGGGGTTAAGTTTATGGATGATGTGATATTGGGTATCGATAGACTCTTTTGAATGGCAAGTGATCTTCTCAGTAGCGCCTTTTCTCTTTCCTTGGCATCTTCAATAGCTCTCAATCTTGACTTTTCACCTTCATCTTCAACAACCTCTGGTGTTTCTAATGGAGATTGTGTGATTGTCTCAACTTCATCATTTTCCAAAATTTCAAAATCGTTTTTAGGCTTTGGAAGTGAGGCAAATTTATCACGGAGAGACACCATCGACTTCTTAGGTTCCCTCAGAGTATCTTGCTTTTCAACCTCTTCATTATCTTCTGTAAAATGTCCTTCTTCTTCAATCTCTGCTTCGTCTTTGGTTAACAATGCAGATTTTTCAACTTTAGATTCTCTAATCTTTCTTGCAGCTTCATTAATTATATCATCAATGCCATTAGCTTCTATTTCTGCTCTCTGTACAGCATCTTGTATAGAAGTTGTAGCTTGACCATCTTTATATTTTGGTTCAGGAAGATCGAGCTTTCTTCTTTTAACTTCTGCTGGTTCAGCTTGTTTCTCAATAGATATTTGGCCGCCTTCTTTTTTGTCTCTTTGTCTTTTCTCCTTGTTGGAATCCTTTTCTTTCACACCGGATGTATTCACTTGTTTGTTATAATTGTTCAAGAGAGTTTCATTATCATGTGTTTCTTCTGTAGTATCATAGAACCCACCTAATGGCCTATGCTCAAACGCAATATCTGCATTGTAATCTATTTGATTCTTAAATTTTTTCTTTGGAGCTTTTAATTTGGTATTGAACCCTGCCTGTTTTAGTTCACGTCTCTTTTGTAATAAAGCTATACGTTTACTCTCTTCAAGCATACGTTCTCTAGCTTTTCTAGTGGCTTTTTTACCTCTTGTGTTGGCCAATCTCGCTCTTGCTTCAGATAACATTTCCTTCTCATCGTCATCTAAGTCAATCGCATCTGGTCGAGCGACTTTTGTTTCTGGGTTAACATTTAAATCACCAACCTGTAAATCCTTACTAGAACCAACAGAAGCTAATGTTTCAGCTCCTAATCCACTCAACCCCAATTCATTCTTTGAGTCCCTAGCTTCAGAATCATCCAGAATCCTCTGGTATCTTTCAATTGCTTGTGTGGCTGTTCTTCCAATCTTTGAAGCTATAGATCTCCATTGATTTGGCATCAACCTGGCAAGATTCAACAACTTTTCATCCTCTTCAGCAGACCAATCAGACTTCCTGAGCCTGGGGTCCAAATACTCGTTCCACCTGGCTTTAGCCTGCTTAGCAGTCTTACGAGCCAATAAGGAAGCCACTCTTGACCATTGGTTGAGCCCATACTTGGACACAGCAGCTTTCAAGATCTCATCTAGAGCAATATGTTAGTGGAAAAGTCCCCAAAAAGACTGAAATAAAGCTAAACTCACCCTCTATATTCGACCAGGCACCACCTTTCACATAAACAGGCGCCATCTCAAGCTTTTTATTTGTATGTACCAAAAAATTTCTGTCTAATTTTGCCTCATATAAAATTTCACGAATTAAAAAAAAATAAACCATTTTCAGGAACTTTGTTGATTTTCTTGAAAAACACAATCGCCAAAAAAAACTGAACAGCATCATCGAATTTGTTTTAAAGCGGAAGAACAACAGCACGAACCTGTTCCATATATTTGTATTCTAAATCATTTGCATTATTTCCCCATTATTCTTTTAAATTTGCTGTTTTTATCCGGTCTTCAAGCTCGCTCATTCGCTCAGAATTAACACCAAAAACGAACACAAGATGCCAATATTCCAACCGAAACATCAAAAGCTGATACTTCAATGTTATCCCCCGGGAAGAGGTTTCGATAAGAAACCAAACTCTTCAGAATTGAGTTACTTGCTTTATTACGCTTCAACTCGTCGTGTAAAGTTGGAGAAAGTTGGTAAATTTTTACAAAAGAAGAATGCTGTTGATATAAGTCGCAATCGTACAGGTAATGTACAAGTTACACTTGAAATAATCAATTCACTTATAAAGAAATGTCCTGATGATCTGAATGTGTTTGCTCATAATGTTAATGCTATTTTAGCTTCAGTCTTAACCACAAATGACCTTGGATTGTGTCAACACGGTGAGACTGTCTTTGATAATTTTTGCTCTAATTTAGATGGTGAATTATTTACAGGGGACATTGAATTTGTTGATAATTTCACCAAATTAGCAGAGGGATTTGTTGGAGTAGGCATTAATGCACCACAAACAAACTCAACTCAATGGAAAGGAATCGGATTAAATGCTGCTAAAGATTTGGCTCGTTGTAAAAACATTTCACAAGGCAATGGTAATTATATTGTTAAAAAAGTTATTCCATTTGTTGTCAATGAAATTCATGATGATTTTTCAAAAGATCAATTACAATCAGAAGTTAGATCTCATGCTTCGGAACATGAATTATCAAGATACAACACAGCCAGATCAAATGTTGCGAAGAATGAAGCTTCTACCCCAACAGAAATTGCAACTGATGAATTAGCAATCAATGCTTTGAAGTCATTTTTCAACTCAAGCTCGTCAAGTCAATTAGTTTCTTGTACAAAAGCTATTTGCCATTATTTAGTATCCTCAAACGTTGATCGTGATTGGGCTGCAGTTTTAGTGGAAATGGTTACTAATTGGGTCCCAGTTCAATTAAGATTTGTAATTTTGGGAGTGTTGACAAGTCATTTGAATAAAAAGGGAAAAGTACCTGAACAATTGATTTATCTGCGTACAATTTCAAGTTTACTATCATCATCTGTGAACATGGTTGGTCTCTCAGTTATTGATATTTTGCGTCAAATGATTGAACTACAAACACATTTGATTACAGATTCCGAAATTGATGCTCAACAATTGATTTATGCATATTCTGAAGCTATTAGCTCACTCTCCACTCATATTTATTATCAAAATCAAATAATCGATACTGTTAGTGAATTATTATTCAGAATCAAAGATTTTATGCTGAAAACCACACAAAAGAATCAAGTAAATGCTGGGAAACTGAAAAACTTTATTTTGGTTATGTTTGATAACATTAAAAATGTTCTAATCACAGCAAACACAAATAGTACAGTGCAAAGGACTACAGTTCCATTTGATCTTTTCCAAGATTCTTTTGAATTATTATCATATGATAATAAAGTGTTGTACAATGAGACTGATCTTTTCAAAATCCAATCCAAATACATTGATGTGTTGATCACAGTTTTAAAATTGGAGTATTCTAACTCACAAGATTCTGAAGAGGAAGATCATGAATCTTTAATCAGCAATTCTAAGGCAAGTGCCCTAAATGAATTTTATGAAGATTTGGAACAAGTGACCAAGATTGAAAAGTATGGAAATTATGATTCGTTGATTGTGTTGATGGGACTCGTTGTTGAAAAATTTGGTATAAATGCAATTGTTAATCTTTTCCCATTTTTCTTTGAATGGCAATTAAAAGATACTAAATTGGAGGATCCAAGCTTGATTTACAAAGATAATATTGGTTATCTTTTGTCATTTTTTGCATCAACTTATTTGAAAGATGATGAATTTAAAGATCAGGTTTTGTCAAGAATAGATTATCGTAAATCTAACGGATTATGGAAAATCTCATCAGAGATTCCTGTTGAAACAAGCTCAACTTCTCCAAACTTCATCTTCACTAAGGAAGATGCTGCAAGTTATATTCAAAACAATTTATCAGAGAAATATCATGATCTTGTTTTCAATAGTCATTATATTTATCAAGCCAATAATTCTCCATCTGAAGAAGTTGAAGAAGATATAAATGACCAGGATACTTCATTTTTTTCACAAAATGGAGCTCCAAACCTTTCATTCTCACAATTCCCACAACCAGGTGAAAATCATAGTATAAGATCTGCACCATTATCTGCAAGATCTTTATTAAATGGTAAATTACATGTACCAAAAGTTCAAGAATTAAGAAAAGCCATATCAGGTACTGCCTTGAAACAATCAAATTATGCAAATGCATCAAAACAAAGAACTGACATTGGGTCACTACTTAATGAGTTAAAACTTGAAACTACTTTAGATGATAGAGGTTCTTTAGGTTTCAGATATTAAAGACAGAAAAAATAGGGACTCGAGCATTCATCATTGTTTAATATAATAGAGTATTGTTGAAAAAAATAATAAACTTGAATTGTAACTAATGTGATAACATGAAAAATCTCCATACTCATACAAATAACAAATATGAAAAACTTTCTAATCTCTTAAATCCATAACGAATCAATTATAAACATGAACTCCTCTTCATTATTCATCATCCTCTTCTTCTTCTTCTTCGCTTTCATCATCATCATCTAAAGCAGCAAAAGCATTGAATGTAGATTTTTGTTGATCAGCAGCGATATCACGAGCATCAGCAGGCTTACTAGATGAAATGTTTTTATTATTTGGACGAACTTTAACTTGTGTATCTTTTAAAGATTCAGTAAATTTTTGCTTTTCAGAAACTTCCTCACTACCAAATGATTTTTTATGTTTATCTAAAGTGACCCAACCATCAGCATCTGGTTGTGGAGCTGGTGCACGTTTTGGACGATGAGTTTTGAATTTTGGTCTAACACCTAGATGTGATGATCTTCTACGACCAGTTTGGAATCTAAAATAAGAGTTAGTACTCGGTACTCCAATGATACCACAATCATGCATACCCTGATTCCTCTTCACTAGAAAATGTCAGTTAGTAATCTTTTTCTCCAGGAAATAGAGTGTAAATATGTAGCTTTATTGTTTTCATTTTCTTCATAATAGCCATTCCATCGCGTCCATATGTCACACGAGACAATGAAAACCACAACTTCACAGCCAAAAAAAAACTCCAAGCACATGAAAATAAAGCCTCATTACCACACTCTCCAAATAATAAAATCAAACATACGCTAGTTGTCTTTCTCTTTGCTCCAAGATGGCTCTGGTGAATTCAGCAAAGTCGACTGAAGTTGGGACGTGTGCAGTCTCACGTAGCTCAATCAATTGGTCAATATCGTATTTAGCCATTGTAGTGTATGTATATGTTCTAATTTCCTCTTTAGCAACTTGAAAACCTAGCAAAATTCTCCTAGTTTAAAGTGTCAGTTCAAGATCTTGTTTATTTGTGTCTTCTGATTTTTGTCAATGCTGGTTTTTTTTTTTCTCTTCCAACGAAAAATTTTGAGCCATAAATGGATTTGGGGGTAACTGGGGCTCAAAAAAATTTATTTTGTATGGAGATGAGCTTTATCTAAAGGCTGAATCTTTTTGATCTTTAGAAGAAACCAAAGCTTTTAAAAGAGTCAGACAAGATGCCTGTTGTTCATAGTTTAAACAAGGTCCAGAAGACCATCCAGAAATCAAAGGGTGCGATGCATCCAAAGGGAAGAAAGTTCAAACAGTTGAATAGAGCTACTTTAAGAGAACACAAGATTAATGAAAAAAAGATGCAACATGTTGAAAAGAAAGAGTTTGAGTTGATGAGAGTTAAGTTCTTCCAAGAAGCTATTAATAATAGAGACAAACAAGAAACTTTCAGTCTGGAAGATATGAAGTTGTTTATCGAAGCATTTTTAAGTAGAGATGATGAAGAATTGGATAGATTAAAAGCTGAAAGACGTAAAGGTAGACCTCCAACCAATAGACAACTATTATTAGAAAACAAAAAGAAACACGAAGAACATGTTTATGATTCAGGATATTTGGTTCCAGATCTAAGTGATAAAAGAACTGTTGAACTTTTAAGAAATTGGAACGGTACTACTGGTGGTTCTAGTATTTTCAAATTTATTCACATTTCAAGAGATACAGCTGAATTACCTTCCAAAAAGGATGAAACTATGAAGGAATAATTTCAAGTCATAAATTAAAGTTTTGTACATTAGAATAAATAAAATTATTGGGAGGATATGGGTATATATAACATATTATAATGCATTATTTAAGTTTTGATTTTCATATAGCATATTCAAACCGTAGGAGATATTCAGGAACTCTTGACAACTTTTCCAGATTCATCGATCTTATACTGTGCTTTTTGTTGATGTTCAAAATAAGAACCAAATCCATAAAGTAGCACAAACACTGTAGTGAATGACAAGGCAAATCTTCTAATACGTCTTTTACGTATATCTTTCTTTTCTTGTTCCTTATTAACGAATCTTTCAAATACTAGAATCTTGTTGATAGCATCACCACCTGAACCAATTAATTTCCAACCACCATTCTTTTCAAGTTTATTAATTTGTTTCAAATACTTCTCTGGATTTCCAAGTGTTTTGAATATTGTGAAAAGATCACGAGGATGATAATCATCACCAAGTGGATTTTCCTCTGTCACAATCTTTTTACTCTTTGTTAACACCATAAATTCATGTGTCAACCCCTTTTGAGATCTAATACTTGGGAAAAACAATTCATCACTCTTGGAAGATGATGCCGGAGGCTTTTCATCAGGCTTGAATCTGAATGTTGAAGAGACTTTATTAGTTAACGAAGTATCAACAGGAGTGAAAAAATTCTTTTTATCCAAAGTTCTAGCATTCTTGTTGTTCATCAGCTTGGCAATCTCATAAGCTCTTTCTTCTCTAAAGTGTTCTTCATCTCTAGAAATTTGTTTCTTTTTAGCATCTTTCAAAAACCCTTCTAGATCTTTTAATGAAATATCGGCGTTTCCAAAAGTTTGAGGTTCAACTTTTTGAACATTTTCAAAATTTTCTCTGAAGTGTTTAATCCGATCTGTAGTGGCACGAACTTCTGAATCACTAAACGTTGATTCCTTCGATAATCTTGGGATTTCATTTTCAAGAATCTGCATAATATCATCAATCTTGTTGATTTTTTCATTTGGAGAGAGATTTGTTAGATCTGATAAGAGTGCCTTGTTACGCTTTTTGATTTTCTTGAGTTGTGATTTGGATGGTGATTTTGCAACATTAATAATCTTATTCAATTCATCAATTTCTGGCTCCTTTGTATTGTATACAAATCCCGAGCTTGTTGATGTCTCAATATGAGGCTTTGAAATATTTGCAATAGGATCATCTTCAATGACTTTGTGCTCATTATCTTTACCTTTAGGTTCCAATTTAGGTTGTGATGTGAGGTAATCCAAGATTTCATTAGCCTTTGTGGAATTAGATTGTGTATCTTCAGTAGGGATTTGTGCATTAGAAATAGAGTCTGTAGGAATCAAATCATCATCCAACTTTGTGTTAGATTTAAAGTCTTTGATTTCATTAAAACCAGTGGACACTAATCCATCATCACCCTTGGAATCTTTATTAACTTCTTCCAAAACCAAATCGTCATCACTCTTGATATTTTTGTTAACACTTTTAACTTCTTCCCTAGTCTGACCAGCAGATACGGAAACAAGGTCATCATCCGATTTAGCATTTGATTCAACTTTCACGTTGGACGAACCTGTACTTTTGATTAAGCCATCATCAGTTTTAACAACATGAGTTTTATCACTCTTTGGTTTACTTGACTTTTTAACAGAGTTATCCTTTGGATGTGAACGGTTTTTAGCTGTAGCTGATGCAATTATACTATAAAGATCTTTGACTTTAAGATTTGGTTTTTTGGAATGAACCTTGTCATATTCTTCATCCAAATAACGGGTCAGATTACTTTTGATATCAAGGTTGAATTTGTTGATTTCTTCTTCTGTGAAGGTTGGTGTGGTTTCATTATCTTGAGAAGGTTCAAACAAGGGTTTCACTTCAATTGGAGTTTCAGCTTTGAACCTTTCCCTAGCCTTGATCTTTTTGGCATCCTTTGGTGTGATATTTATCAAGCCATCATCTTGTCTAACGTCTTCACTATCCAAGTATGGAACTCTCTTTTTAGGTTTTTTGGAAATGTAATCATCAAAACGAACATTAGCGTTGTTCTTATCAGTAACAGGAGCTCTCTCACCGACAACTTTACTTTCAGAGGATGTCTGTTTCTTCTGTTTCTTCCGTCTTGTCAATGTGATCAAGTCTAGTTCATAGTCGTCATCACGATCGTCCCTTTGCTTCTGAAAAGATGGAGTTGTATGGATGGTCTTCTTAATATGACAATCCCTATGGTTAAGCGCTCTTGATGCTCGCAAGACCTGCACTTTCCTAACGATTTGGACCTTGAAATACATTCTGCTGCTCAGAAAGGAGAGCTGGACATGATTAGCTTTGAAATGAACCATGTTCTTTATTTGTTCAACAATGTGTTATCAGCTTGCCACTTGTTTGTGTGTGGAGAAAGCAACTGGTTTAGCCTTAAAACCAATAGATAAGTGATCCCAATAAGCGTTAATTGTTCCCTAACCACTGAATACCTTATGCCACAATTTGTGGGCTACTACTCAGCAAATCACTAACTGAAAGGCGTCTCTTTGAATGATTGTTGGCACAATTGAGTTGAAATCGATCAAAAATATGTCAAAATCTTTTACAAATCCCTTATGATGATATTTTTTTATGGCGAGGGGTAGGGCTTCTAACCATAACTACAAGATCTCAAAGTAGGGCTTTAGTTTAACGACAAAATGATGAATAATTACAAATATAAGTAAGTGGATAGCTTAAGTATTTGTCGCATGTTCACACCCCTCAATTATTTTATAGCAAAGTTCCCTTTTCTATATCTGAAAAGCCCAAAACAGCTGAAACCTGACAGTTTAAAGGTCAATAAATAAATAAATATATTCATGAACTTTCTATAGACATCATCATCATAGTTTTGGTTTACCATTGTTTGGTAGTTGCTTTCTCTTCACAGTTGGTTTCAATTGATCATCCACACCAGTGTTTTTTTGGCTCTTGAAGAATCTAAAGAGGTCAGGCAAAGTCACAGTAAACAAGTTCTTCATTGGTAGAACGAACACACGAGCAAACCAAGGGGTCATAAACAACGATATAAACACTCTCACTGGGAATGTAGCCTAGTGAATGTTAGTATTTCACATACGTAGTTATCCTACCAGTTTACTCACTTTCACGATACCATAGGCAGTTGCTCCTTCAACAATCAATCTGGTTCTTTCCTCAACTGAATAGTTTTGCGCAGTTTCACCCAACTGATTTCAACAATGTTAGTATAGAAACAAACTTCAAACGAAAATCAAACTCACAATATGCTCAATTACCCCTGAGCCTTTGATAAGCACCCATGAAGGTATATCTGTTGGTAAGAACCCGAATTGGTGAAACCCATACCATAATCCCAAGAAAGGAACCAAGGCAGTCAATTCATGAAGGATAACAAATGCAGTCAAATGGGAAACCGGTGCATTGACAAATCTCTTACCATATTTCTTCATAGATTTAGGTAGTCTTTTGATGATTGGATGGTTTTTGTACTCTGGTGATTCGATGTCAATGTTGTCATAATTTGGTGGTGTTTTCGGTTTTGTTAATTGGTCGTTGAAAAGAGATCTTGTTGTTGATAAAGATCGGATTGAGGAGTATCTCAAAGGTCTGATTCCTATTGGTGCTATTCTGGCTAAGAACATGGTTGTGCTATCCTTTGTGTGATGTTTTATGAGCCTGTTGATCTCGTTAACTATGTGCAAGGATTTTGAATTTTTCAACAACTTCAAAGTTCGGAGAAATCTCATCTACAAGACAATTTTACTATTTACAAACTTGTTATTTACAGAGCTCTATAAACACTTTCTATATGCAGTTTTTTTCATAAATTCATTCATTAAGAACTTCGTCACATCTTTGACACAAGTCTTCCGCACTCACAGAGGTGTACTTCCAACATCTAGGACATTTCGATTCTGAGGAAGGAACAACACTCACAGTGACAGTTGTGCCATCAATTAGCACGCTATTGGAGTAGTGATAAGCCAATGAGTCTGGTAATGGTTTGTTAATATGAACATGGGAAACAAGGAGATAATCAGCCAAATATTGGGCATGTTTTTGCATAATGTTTTCCAATCCAGTATCTTTTCCACTGATATTGACAACAACATCTGTTTCCAAAGAGTTTCTGATTGTTTTATCATTCTTACGACCTTGCTCAGCTAATAGTTTGACTTCATCTTTAATCTTCCAAATTGAATCAAATTCAGCCTCCAACTCAGAATTTTTGTAACGTGAATCTAATTTTTTGCAACCTTTCAAAAATGGTGATGGTTGGTTTTCCTTTATCCATGGTAATGTGAAATCCCAAACTTCTTGGGTAACAATTGGTAACACTGGTGATAATATTGATATATAAGTTTGATGAATTTCTAATAAGACAGATTGGACAGCACGACGTGATAAACCATCAACTTTATCAGTGTATAATCTATCTTTAACAATATCAAAATAGGTTGCAGACAGTTCAGTGTTTAAATGGTAATTCAATAATTGAATAACTCTATTGTAATTGAAAACCCTGTATTGTTCCAAAATCTCTTCATTTAGTTTCACCAATTTTGATAGTGCATATTTGTCAATTGGTCTTAAGTTATCATACTCAACAATTTCTTCTGGCTTGATATCATTCAAGTTACCCAATAAGAAACTGAATGTAATTCTAATTTTCTTTAACGAATCACCAACATGTTTCAAAATCTTTGGACCAATAGCCATATCACTTGTATAATCAGCTTGAGCAGCCCATAACCTTATTCCATCAACACCGAGTGCAGGCAATCCATTCTTACCTTGAATAACATTTTCAGGCAAAATTGTATTTCCAATAGATTTTGACATTTTTTGACCCTTTTCATCCAATGTGAACCCATGTGTAATGATGTTTTTATATGGTGCTTTTGTAGTAGAGGCATCATCAGTTGCGATTTTAGTCAACAGTGAAGATTGGAACCAACCTCTATGTTGATCAGAACCTTCTAAATAGACATCAGCCAAATAGTCACGTTTTAAGTCGTGTTTCTCAATAAATGACTGAATTTCGTTCCAACTTGAACCACTATCAAACCAAACATCCATTGTATCTTTGCCTTTATAAAAATCTGCACCTTGACCACGATGTGATTCTGGTAACCATCTTTCCACATTCTCTTCAACTTCAAACCAAGCATCAGTACCTAGTTCATCAATTTTGCTGATAATATGGGAAACAGATTCTTGATCCATTAAGACAATATTTTCATCATGTTTAGAATATAATGCAGGAATTGGAACACCCCATGATCTTTGTCTTGAAATACACCATTCATTTCTATTTTTAATGAAAGATAACAGTCTATTCTTACCCTTTTCTGGAGTGAATTTCACATCATCAAGTGACTTACTAGCAGCTTCTTTAATTTTCCCAACATTTGCAAACCATTGAGGTGTAGCTCTAATGATGATTGGTTTTTTTGATCTCCAATCATAGGGGTATGAATGAATATAATTTGGATCAACATGGAAAATCATTTTAGCATCTTCTAACAAATTCAACATTATTTTACCACCTTCACCTAAAACTCTTTTACCCACTAATGATTCAAATCCTGAAGGGACATCTTTTGTATATTTCCCAAAATTGTCAACTGGTGAATACACTTCCATACCATGTTTTAAACATGCAAAATAATCTTCATTACCATGACCAGGTGCAGTATGGACCAGTCCAGTACCTGCGTTATCTATAACATGGTCACCATGTATTATTGGATGTGTTTCATTACTGATTGGATTAACATAACTACTACCAACCAACATTGTACCTGGAATTTCAATAAAAGTTTCTGAAAATTCTGGTTTGATTTCAAGTAATTGAGATGCTAGTTCTTTTGCAACGATCAAGGATTGTTCTGATGACTTGATGATTGTATATGTGAAGTTTTCATTAATGGAGATGGCCCTATTGGAAGCAATGGTCCATGGGGTAGAAGTCCAAATCAACACACTTGGTGATTCGAGATCTTTTAATAAATGTTTTAATTCATCAGTCATTTCCACCAATGGGAATGATAAATATGCAGCTGTTGATCTATGCTTATCATTATATTCCAATTCACCTTCAGCTAAAGCAGTATGAGTTTCACAACCCCAGAAAACTGGTTTTTTCTGTCTTGTTATAAGATTCCTGGATAACATCTTTTGGAATATTTTCAATTGGTTTATTTCAAATTGATGATTCATTGTTTTATAATTATCTTTAAAATCTGCCAATATAGCAAATTGTTTGAAACTTTCCAATTGAGTCTCCACTGTTTTGGTTGCATGATTTCTAGCCATATCGCGGATTTCTTTAACAGATAAAGTCATTGAAGCATCTTTTTTTAATTTCTTGTTTATGGTTTCCAAAGCTTTCAGTTCAATTGGTAAACCATGACAATCCCAACCAGGTTTATAATAAACTTGTTTACCCATCATTAAATTGAATCTATTTATGAAATCTTTTAAAATTTTGTTCAAAGCATGACCTAAATGCAAATCACCATTAGCATAGGGAGGACCATCATGTAAGATGAACACATCATCTTTGATTGGTGATTTCTCCAGTTGTAATTTGTATAAATCTTGTGATGATCTAGGCACCAAGTCCTTAATTGTAGCTTCATAATTGGATCTTTTAGGGAACTCTGTTTGAGGCAGTCTCAAGGTTTTGGAGTATTTATGAGCCAAATCGGAGTATAACCTCCTTTGAGCCCTAAAGACAGGCATCTTTTCTAGATAATCTCTAAATGTAGTTCGAATATACATAATCTCATGTTTACACTTTATTATTTCGCTTCACTACTTCATCAACACCCAAACACCACAACCAGTTTTTTTTTTCACCAAAATTTTTTTTTTGTCGACGAAGAAAATGAAGAAATTGAAAAAAAAGAGAGTGCTACAACTAAGTGAAACTCATAAGTTCAGTATTTACAGAATATTATTCCATAATGCCAATTGATCAAGAAAAATTAGCTAAATTGCAAAAACAAAGCAACAACAAAGTTGGTGGTATCAGAAGAAAAGCTAAAAAACCAACTCAAAAACCTTCAGCTGATGATTCAAAATTACAAGCTACTTTACAAAAATTAAACGTCCAAACTTTGGATGGTGTTGAAGAAGCCAACTTCTTCAAAGATGACGGTAAAGTCTTGCATTTCAACAGAGTTGGTGTCCAAGCTGCTGACCAACACAACACTTATGGTTTCTATGGTATTCCACAAGAAAAGGAAATTACTGAATTAATTCCAAACATTATTCCTCAATTAGGTGCTGAAAACTTGGACATCTTGTCTAAATTAGCTGCTCAATTACAACAACAAAAAGGTGCTGCTCCAGAAGGTAAAGCTGAAGGTGATGATGAAATCCCAGATTTAGTTGAAGGTGAAAACTTTGAATCTCAAGTTGAATAAGTTAATTACTAGATTTTGCATCAATAGTTAATAAGGAATGATTTTAAATAGTCATCAGGGAGTGGAAATGAAATAAAAAACATTATTTAATGACGTAAAAGTAAATGAAATGGGTTGTAGTGTGTAAAATTAAAACTAACATGTATACAGACACCTACACTTTTATTTCCGTTTTGGGAAGTCTACTATTTTTTCTCGTGGGATCGGTTTTATGTCAATTTTAACGTATTGCACATAACCTCTTTTCGAATCAGAAATAACAATTCAGGCATATCGAAAGGAACACGTGGAAGCAATTGGCACTGAGGGATTACGTTGATTGGACCATACTTGAAAAATGAGTGGAATTGATTATTATTTCGGAACAAAATGGAGTTATTTGCATTTGTTTGTTGGTCAAGAAGCGTAGCAATGACTTACAAGTTGCGGATTGCCCACGCTTTAGACCCGAACGAGAGGTTTTGGTTCAAGGAGGTTTTGGAAAATAAAAGTATATAAAGAACGAGTTTCATCACTTGGCTCAATTATTTTTGATCTTTTTCTTAGTACAAAATTGAATGATCAATTGATTCCACCACAACAATGTTGACAAAGCTAATTGACCCAGAAAAACTAGAGGACACAATCTTGTCCAATTCTCATTATCACAATCCAAACAATCGTAAAGACGATACTGAATTTGTTTCTCAAAACAAGTATCAACTTCCAGAAAATGGATTATCAGAAGAATTAACTTATCAATTATTACACAATGATTTATCATTAGATGGTAACCCAACATTAAATTTAGCATCATTTGTGAACACTTTTAGTACCGAAACTGCCAAGGAATTGGCCAAAGAGAACATTGTTAAAAATTTGGCAGATGCAGATGAATATCCAACTTTGATGGATTTAACACAACGTAACGTTTCAATCTTGGGGAAATTATGGAATCGTACAAGTGAGGAACCTGTTGGAACTGCCACTACTGGTTCAAGTGAAGCTATTATGCTTGGTGGATTAGCAATGAAGAAGATTTGGCAAGAGAGGCAAAAAGCTGCTGGGAAAGATTATTATAAACCAAATATTTTGATGGGTTCAAATGCTCAAGTCGCATTGGAGAAATTTGCTCGTTATTTTGATGTTGAAGCTAGATTGATTCCTGTTAGTGAAAAATCTAATCATGTTTTAGATTTGACCAAGATTGAAGAAAATATTGATGAGAATACTATTGGTATTTTTGTTATCTTGGGAAGTACTTATACTGGTGCTTTTGAAGATGTTGAACAAGTTTCTAAAATCTTGGACAAGATTGAAGAGGAAAAGGGTATTTATGTTCCAATTCATGTTGATGGTGCTTCTGGTGCTTTTGTTGCTCCATTTATCTATCCAGAATTGAAATGGGATTTTAGAATCCCAAGAGTTGTTTCCATAAACACTTCTGGCCATAAATTTGGTTTAACCACTGCAGGATTAGGTTGGATTATTTGGAAGGATAAAAAACATTTACCAGAGGGTTTAATCTTCAAATTGAGATATTTAGGTAGTGTTGAAGAAAGTTATACATTGAATTTTTCAAGACCAGGTTATCAATCGATTCATCAATATTATAATTTCTTACATCTTGGTTCAAAAGGTTATAGAGAAATCCATCACAGATCATTGAAGAATGCAAGAGTATTGTCAAATTTCTTGGAAAAGACTCAATATTTTGAATGTATTTCAAATATCCATAGAAAGAAGGGTCAATTAACATTCGATCCAAGTCTTTCACGTGAAGAATTGGCTAATGAAGATAATGAAGATTCTTATTATAATAAAGGTTTACCAGTTGTTGCGTTCAAGTTTAGAGATGAGTTCAAGCAACAATATCCTCATATCCCACAAGCTTTATTATCAACTTTATTGAGAAAAAGAGGTTGGATCATTCCAAATTATCCATTACCACCAAATGAAGAAGCCACAGAGATTTTAAGAGTTGTTGTTAGATATGAATTAACAGATGATTTATTATTCAGATTGATTAGTGATATTTTGAAAACAACTCAAGCCTTGATCAAATCAAGTATATTTTATCAACAGAGTGTTGATGCTACAAGTGCAGCAGACAAGAACCGGTATATCTATGATTTGTTGACTTCTATTGCAAGTGGAGGTGAAGAAGATATCAACAGTCATGAGAAGAAACAGGATCATAAGAAGAATCATCACACTACCTTCAAAGGTACCTGTTGATTGAGATTGATCTCTCTGTATAGTGCAAATGTTTTTTATGTGTCAAAGTTTATACAAATCTTTGTAGTCGGCTGCAAATTTCCGTTAGCCGGTCCGAATAAAATGTCAAATATGGTTTCGCGAATTAAACGGCTAAATTCAGCTGAAAGCCAATTTCACGTGACTTGACATTATTCTTTTGATAAATTGTTTAAAAATGTATAGAAATGGGTTAATCAAGCGGTTTGATTCGTGAATAGTATGTGTTTTATTTGAGAAGCGAGGGTAAAGTTCAATTCTGGGGTATTTATTTCGATTGGTTATAGAAGCTTTGGTATGGATCAAGTGCTGAAGGGACAAGTTATTTGAGAAAGACTGAAAACTGTGTATTATTTTAGACACGATCAAGAGCTGATTAGATTTGATAATTGCAGTTGCTGGAAAGAAGGTTTAACTAGGGAAGATCTGTTACACATTGTGAATTAGTAGACTGCTGCTACTGTGGTGTCAATTTGGTACTCTATTTTTACTGTGGGCTAGTGGCGAACCATTGGAATAGAGATTGGTCTCATTGGTTAATAGAGAGCAAAGTTTAAAGAAAAGTCGCTTGTGTTACTATTGTTGGTTGACGTTATTACGTTAGGTGTCAGTTTCAAAGTGTAAATTGTGACATTTTGGTGCTGTGCTGCAAAAGGGCGTTTCCAGCTGTCGGAGTAGGATTTAAATAAAACTGTGGATCCAAAATTTATCAACAATCCATCAAGAAGGGTTTGCTTAAAAAAAGGTTTCTTACAATACAAAAGAGTGTTAATAGGTGGTAACTACATACTATTTACTATCTGATCTATTGATTTTTACTCTATTTATTTGCAGATTCAGTGCTATACTTATTGAAAAGCTAGAGTAAGCTGATCATTATTCAAACAGCTAGCTGTGAAAAGGAAGAGGCATAAAAAAATCTTCATTAGCAGCCAGAATCCTTTACTTGGTACAACAAGGGACTGAAAATCAACCAGGAACAAATTCCTTTAATAACAGATTAAGGATCCACAATTATTTCCATTGTTTTTTCTCAAGAGTCAAGACCCAGTTATTTGAAAGAAACACTTCATCTTTTATACCCAAACACATACGCTGTTGAATAACGTGATTTTATTACGTTTTGGAAATCGTGGCGTATTGGGCTGCAAGACTATAGTCAAGAAGTGAATCAAAAGCCTTTCAAAAATAAAGACAAGTGCGGGCTTTCTCAAGGTTTTATTATTTGGTGATTTCTAGGGATATTTGTCAATTTCTATAAGGTGTGGAGTCAAGGGAAGCAAAAGCGTTGGACATAAACATCGTAAGTAAGTATATGATCTTTAATGATGGGATGAAAAACACTCTTTCTATTGTTGATTTGGTTTTGATCTAAATGAAGGGGATGGAAAGATGACTGAATCAGAATATGATAGTGATCAGTATTTGACACCTCAAGAGAGCTATGAGCAAAATGGTTGGTGTTTTTTAATCCTAAAAATCAAACTACTAGAACTATACTAACACTTCTTTCTTTAGAAATCAATCATTTGGTTAGTTCAATTTTAAATAGACTGAAAATGTCATCAAATCACATAGCATCCATAAATAACCTGATAAATAATGATCAGGAAGATGAAGATAGGAAATTTCTTCGAGCAGCTGCTGAAGCTATAGTTGCAACATCAATGAATAATGAAATAGATCCAACGATACTAGAATTATTGAGAAGGATCCAATATGCAAATGCTCCAAATTCAACCACATCACCTTTAGCAACAACTACAACAACAACACCGAATATATCTTCAAATCCATTGGAACCAAGAACAACAAATACACCAAATGTGAATTTCTTGGATACAACATCAAATTTGAACCCAGCCAAAAACTCACATCATTTCCCAACGTTCAACCTAGACTATTTTGAAAACCTAGCTAATGAACAACAACAAAAGAGAGAATCAACCACAAATTCAACACATTTACACTCTTCATTAGAACCGCCATTACCACCAGTATCAGCCTCATCATCATCATGGTCAATAACGAATTCGCAACAACAAACACCAACGCCAAATTCCCAGGATTCCACAACACCACCTTCTGCAAAGAATATTAATGGACATGAACCAAAACCGTTCATTTGCAATGATTGTTCATTATCATTCAGAAGATCATCAGATTTGAGAAGGCATCAAAGAGCCCATTTACCCATATTACCACATATTTGTAGAATGTGTGGGAAGGGTTTTGCAAGAAAAGATGCGTTGAAAAGACATAGTGATACGTTGACTTGTAAAAGAAATAGAGAGAAGTTGTTGAGTAGTGGTGGGGATGTTGAAAGTATATTGGCTGAGGCGAAGAAACAAGGGCATGATGTGTGATATGGTAGTATTTAATTCTTAAGAAGGGGCTTTAAATGTTTGAAACATTGATGTGAAGTTGGTGAAATTTATGAGGTGATGAAATGTATATTCCTACAAATTTATAGATAGTTAATTTTTGGTTTGGTAAGATTCATAATCATTTGTACATTAAGTTCATATATATATTCGTTGATCACTTTTTTTTTGGTAGACCTAAATAAAAAGGTGTATTTCTGGAAGTGAATGAATGGGAAGGGATGGGAAAACCAGAGCAGTGGATGGTAGGTATCATTCGAGACTTGAACCTGTTCAAGTAACGAGTTCAATGAATTCTCATGTAGCTGAATACATGTTATTGTCTCTTGACGACATTCACTCAAATGACATCAAACTTGGAATAAACTAATGATTTCATATGATCATTTAATTCTAACAATTCATCTTCAGTTATAATCATTTCATCATGATCAAGATTTATATGATTTTTCAATAATGTTAAATTTTCCAAAGATAACCCTGTAATTTGAGACCAATTTTTGGAATCAACACCCATGATTTTGATTAAGCAACCAATGATGATTTGCTTTATTGATAAAACAATTGTTTGATTCTTGTTTAAATACCTAATCATTATGATTAATAGTTTTTGAAATTGTTGCAATGATAAGTTTGTTCTTTTGAATAATAATAACACAAATTGACACATATTTTGCATACTTGAAGCATGTAATTTATTTTGATAATTTGTGATCAAATAATTGAAAGAATGATTTATCAAAAACTTGAAAATTAAACTTTTTTCATAATTTGTAATTTGAAGATTTGTTGTAAAATCATATGAATAATTTAGTAAATCATTTCGACCAGCACCAAAAGGAGATTGATCATATAAAGGAGAGTTATTGTTTAAAGGAGAATTCATTGTAGAGTGGTCAGAATAGACAACAGACATTCTTGGTACATCAAAAACACAACTAGAGGCAGAGGAGTGAAATTATAATGGTTGATGGTGGGTATAATGGTGGGTATATTTATCCCTTAGATCTCTTCAGAGATTATGATAGGGGAAAGGAAATATAAATAAATTGAAAGCAAAAATGCTTTATATGGGTGTTGTTCTAGGTTGAGCTAGCTTGAGAGGACTGAGAAGACGATGTTGAGTATCTGGTAGTATTGCTTAGTTATTGTTGTAGAGAAGGTGAATATTTGTTTCTGTTTTCTTTTGTTTCTTCTCGAGGACTGTTACAAAGTTACGTAAGACTTAGTCTATTATGGCACCAAATGCCGTTCCTGTGCAAGGAACAATTGAGAAAGTCCAACGGCTGTGCAGAGAATGGTTCCCGGTGAGCATGTTGTGTTAATTGGTATGAGGTTATATTAATTATATAGTGTATTGTAATATCTGTTCTTTATCTCAATCTTGACTTTATCCACTCTGATTATTCTACACTTTTTTGACATGTTTATTCATTTTCAAATGACTCATGAAAAAAAAAAAAAAGGACTTTTGAAAGGGCCACTCCCCGAATTATGTAATAATCAGTATGATCTTACCTAATACATCACCTGACCAGTCACGAGATACATTATTACCCGATTAGGTATATCCCATTACAGCCCCTCAATAACAATTTCCCAGTGTTGCACGCGCCCAAAAATGACTGACTTGAAGATTGGAGAGCTCTATCAATTGATCCAAAATACAACCAAGGATTAAACGAAGATACAACTCTAGAAGACACAAGACATCATCACCATCACCATGGACTTTGATAACGATCTGTCCTTGTTCATCAACAACATATACAACAAGCCCCAACAGCAACAGGCTCCGTCCTTGCCAAAGACGAGTAACAATACCAAGTTAGCTGCCCTACAACACGAATCTACAACAAATAACTCAATATTCAAAATGTACAACAAACCAGAATTCAAATCTTTACCAAATAACGAGCGTGTTAAAAACTTAACTTGGAGACTAAACTCATTAAATGAAGCATCTAAAACCAAATCAGCTAAAAGAAGAACCAAATCTGCATCTGCATCATCAAATTCAAAAATAATGAAACCAACTCCACAACAACCAACAAAGAAAAAACAAAATTCTTTACCAAAGATAGATCCAATAGGTGATGATTTTGATTACGTTGCTCACATCAAGAAAACATCACAAGAAGAATATTACCCAAATTTACCACCATCATCAATAAACAATAATACCAATAATAATTTTAAACATAATTCTTCAAATTCTTCAACTTCATCAACAACTAATTCAAATTCATCATTATTAACATCTTCATTAACTTCATTATCCACAACTTCCTCATCCCATTCCACAATAACTGCTCAAACTAATCTAATTGAACCAAATTCAAAATTAATAAGTTGTACAAATTGTAATACAAACACAACACCATTATGGAGAAGATCAAGTAATGGAGATGTCTTGTGTAATGCCTGTGGGTTATTTTATAAATTACACGGTGTCATAAGACCTGTTAAACAGAAGCAGCAACAACAACAGCAACAAGAGCCTCAACAATATAAAACACCAATAACAAACCCATCAATCTCTTCACAAATACCAACAACAATAAGTTCAATGTCATCAATGGATACTGCAATGTCTAATGATTTCATAAATATGGATCAATTACAATCAATGATTGATTTGAAAAGTTTGGATGAATTAGAATATCAAGATAGTTTTAATTTCAACAATAAACCATCTCAACAACCATCTCAACAATCTAATCAATTTGGAAATGATCATTTAACCAATTTTATGCAAAATTATGATCAGGATTATGATTGGTTGAAACTTGGACTATGAAAACAGCTAGAATAAGTCTTCAATGTTTTTGGATATATTGAATATCATTATGTGTTTATGAATTAAATTGGATAAGTTATAACATGATTGTAATAAATACATTCAATATGTAGCCATTATCGTATGTAGTTTTCACAGCTTCAGCCACATGGGAATCTTTGAGTTTATATACGTCGATTGCCATGCCAATATTTGCTCATCGGTACTCTTTGAACATAGAGAGCTACAAAGGGAAAGTCAAAGAGTCAACATTCAATGACATTTATGTCATCAAAGTTTTCTTTGTTCTGATGAGGCACTTGTATGTACCTGATAAGCTTATAAAGTGGGTGAATGATCTCAATTTGGGAAAGAATTGAGATAACAACTTTTCTCGACATCATCGTATTCAAATCTTCTCGGCAGAATGAACTAGAATAGACAACGACAACATGATTGGAAGGTTACAAGGATGAAAGAAGCGAGAAATGAACGAGAAACAATCGTGAATGTCACTTACGGTCATTTGTGCCAGTAGCCAATATAATTTGACTCAAGAGTCAAAGTTGTTGAAAGTTCGAAGTGTGACTAAACCTTTAGGCCTTTAGCGATCGATTAACAGAATCAGAACTATGGTGCATAATCATTCCAAATACCAGGGAAGTACAGGCACAATCATATTCAACCAGTCAAGTCCAAACGGATAATATTCTTCATTATGATCGCCAAACTTTTTCATCACCATCTTAAGTATCATCACCATCATCTTTTTTCATGATCGCGATTTACTCAATCTAGTAATTCAACGCTGAACCGACATGGTACTTGAATTTGGATGAAGAAGGTATAGCGAAGAAGGTATAATATATACACGTGTAATGAACAATGATCCGGCAGTTAATACAGATGTATAGGTTCTCAGTTATAACTACATTTGGTCACAATAGGTTCGATGGAGCTGTAGTCAAAGTAAAAGCAAATATTGTATTACTGTCATCAACTAAAGGGTGAATAAACACTACAATTCTTGATACTCATTTCATAAACTTTGATATACTTTACAATTAATAATTTAAAATATACATATTGAGAATTGAACCTTTTAAAAACAATCATATAAATTATTGTCCACTAATGTTTCAATTGACTATACCCACAAATAATTTTTTTTCCCTCTTGATACTTTCTCTATCATCATCATACAATTCACTTCTTTCTAAATAATCCCTTCTTTTTCTTTTTCTTCTCATCACCTTCTTTATTTGCACTTCCTATAATACCTAATGGTTTAGCATTATCATCAACTATTGGTTGAGATGTATTAGCTAATTGATTCAATTCATTTGATGAATTAGAATTTGAATTAGAATTTGAATATGGATTTTCTTGTGGAATCGTTGGTGATGTGAATGCCTTTGTTGGATTTGGTCTATATGGTTGTTGAGATTGTGATGGAGCTGAAGGTATTTGTTGTTGAGGAGGAACAGGCTGTTGTTGAGGAGGAACAGGCTGTTGTTGAGGTATTATACCATTTGTTGATTGAGATGGATAATGATTTCTCATTGGTCTATTATTCAAATTATTTTGCATTGGAATACCATAATTATCATCAACTAATCCAGGTGTGACTAATGGGAAACTTGATTTTCTATTCTTTCTTGAAGTTTTCTTAAATTGTGGATTTGTAAACATTTCATTTGAATCTAATACTGGCATTGTAGAAACACGACGAGGTTGTGGAGGTCCTTGTTGTTGTTGCGGTTGTTGATATAAACCACCTCCACCATTTGGTAATCCATTAGTTAGTTGAGATGTTTGTAATGGTTGTAATCCATTAGGTCCTGGAATAACTTGACTTCTTGAGCTATTTTGAACTGAATATAATGGTGAAGGATGATGTAACCCAGCTGATGATCCACCACTACCATTATGTCCACTTTGTTGATGATATGGTGTTTGAAACTGTGGTGGTTGTGGTACTCCTTGTTGTTGTTGCTGAGGATATCTATTAAATTGGGATAATTTCTTATTTAATTCCATTTCCTTTGAATATAAAAGTTGTTCCTTTTTCTGTAATTCCAATTCTTTAGAAGATAATTGTGGAATAACATGTGGTGGTTGTAAGCCGTTACCATTGGTAGTAGCTGATCCATTAACATTACCGTTTGGTAAATTTGGTGGAGCTTGTTGAGGTAATTGAGGCTCATTATTTTGCTTTATTGGGGATTCCATGGAAGCACTGATTAATGCAGCATCTGTTAAATCGCGTAAATCTGGGGTACCTTCAATAGAATGTTTGAAATTGTTGTCAATTGGTGATTGTTCCGGTGGAATTGATCTATCATTTGGTTCTTGCTGCTGTTGCAGATGCTGTTGTTGTTGTTGTTGTTGTTGTTGTTGTTGTTGTTGTTGTTGTTGGGCTAAAGCTCTAGCTTGAATTTGTTTTGATTTAGCCATTTGTTGCTGAAGTTGCTGTTGCAATTGTTGATTTTGAGCCTTCAGTGATTCCACATTATTAACTAATTGACTAAATTGAGACTCTCTATCTATATTTTTTTGTTGAACCAGATTCAATTCTTTTAATTTTGAATTCATATTATTCAATTCATCATCTTTAATAGTTAATTTTTCAGTTAAAAACTGATTTGATTTCAATAGATTCTTTAATTTTGAATCATCAGATCTTTTGAAGAAAATTGAATGATCACCAGATTGGTTAAATTTATCAAATTGACAAATTGTTGCATATAAAAATTCCAAATATGGAGTCTTGATACCATAATCATCAGCTAATAAAATTGGTTGTAATAATAACATATCAATATCTAAACTGTTTTTATGGAAAAAGTTGAAAAAGAAACTTGGTGATTGTAAATACTTAACAGAATCATCCTCTGGTTGTCCATTATTTGAGTATAAATCACACCATCTTTTGAACAAATTAGATTCATTATCATAACCAACTGGTAACTTACAACCCATAGTCTTAGCCACTGTAATCAATTCTGTAACTAATCCACTTAATAAAGGTTTTGCCAATATTTGATTTGATAAATTTTCAGGTTTTGATTCTTCAAAAAGAATTAATAATGGATTGAAACAAATTTTTGGGATTGCTAACTTCCATTGTTCAGTTAAAAATTCTAAATAAGTGTTTTTAATTGTTAATTTGTAATCATTTGAAGATGCTGATTGGAAAATCTTGGAAATTGAAATTAATTTTGATAAAGTAGTTGATTGATATTTAGAATTATTTGTATTTGATTCTCCAATTATGATTTCAGGGGTTAATGCAGTATCATTGATAAAATATTGATTTTGATCTAATTTACGAATATCTAGTGTTGATAAGATTGAAAAAATTGAACTTGATGAACTTGAAGGTAAGCAATTTTTCAAAAAAGGTTCTAAATTGACAAACCCGGTGGATTCTATAAGAATGACTGAATTTGGGTTTAAAAATGGTGATAAATTTGAAGACAAGTTTGAAATATCTTGTAAAGATTTTGATGATAAAAACACAATATCAAATTTAGTTTGTAAAGACAATTTACTGAAATCAGAATATATCACATCTGGATTGAAAACACTTGATGAACCATGACTTTTTGTAATGACAATTTGATTATCAGGGTTGATTTCATCGTTCAACAAATGGATCTTAAAATCACCAGTCTTGTTCAACTTCCATGAATAATAGACAAGATTAGGGTTGGCACCAACTGTCAATACATTTAAACGACTATTGCTCATCTTGAACTATGATAGTCTAAAGCGAATGAATAATAACAATAACAAAGGTTTTGAGAAAACCAATCTTTTGAATATGAGCAACTATTAATAACTTTTCCAAACAATCTCTTCTAATGGATCAGAAATAACCTTTTGTAACAAAAGTACCGAGCTTTCAAGATTCGAATCTAATGACTGGGAGATTGGAAAGAACACCTAATTGTGACACCACCACGAAACTGCTCTGGATATGCCTAGCTGGGAACCTGGGGGACTGGTTATATAATCTTTTGGCAACCGCTGTGTTGAGTGAAACAGTTGAAGTTGTTGATGTTGATTATTGTCCAGAATTTCGAGATGGTTGTTTCAATTTCAACTTGATGTTTTTTTTTTTTTTTTTTTTTGGGATTTTTTTGTTCCTGTCTCGAACTAAATTTTTTTTATGGTTTGGTGAGGAACTGAGATCTGAGGACACCAGAGTTTGAGAGCCAGATCCAGGCTGAATTTCGAGTTAAACAAAGAGCTGATTGTTCTGAGATCTCTTGGTTTTAATATGGCTTGTCCATGGGCTTTTTGTGAGTTCTCTCTGTGTATTTTCTAGCTCTTGATCCTTGAGTCACGGAACCGGCAATATTGGAACAAGCTATGCTGTCAAATCGCCAGTGCAGAGCTACGCGGAATATGGGCCAGCGCCTTAGCCGAGCGCTAGGCAGAAGAATACGACACACCTAGGCAGAGCTCTCCCTGGGAGCTGGACACAACTCCATGAGAGCACCGAGGTCCGAGGAAGCTAGGCTCAGGAATCAAGATTGCGATTCGGGGCTGTACCTTTGCTGAGATCAACAGGCACAAAACTAGAGCCCTGTACAAGTGCCTAAAATGGAGACGTAGATCAGCCAAAGCTGGCAGGTGTACAAAGTCGATGTAATTAGAAGAGAATATTCATACTTTAGCTTTACTATATACGTTTCTCTTGTTGATTGTTTCTTGTATAATTCTTGGTTTCTTTCCAAGACCTAAGCGAGGCACCGAATGTTGTTGTCGATTAAAAATAGATTTTTCAAGGACTCTACATGAGATCTGCCAAACGTATAAGTGTCATTAAATCACATAACTAGTCTAAAAGAATCTATGAAAAGGGACGTAACGATCAACTTGAAAATAAATATTGTTGATAGAGTGAGTAGGTATCGAATTAGGAAATGTAAATTGAAGGAAATGATTTGATTTAACCACCATAGACCGAGCTGAATGAAGTTTTGATTTGATCCATACTGTAACCAGCATGTAAACATAATTGTAACAAAATTCTAGCCTTTTGAGGATTCAAGAACCCTGAAGCAATACCGTACTCTGGAGCATCATCTTTTGGAACTGAACCATCCATAGTTCTTCTTGAATGAACAATTGGAATGTTGTACTTCTTGACTATCTCTTCATTAACAGCTTCACCACTATTAGTCCATGAACCAGCACCTGAACCTGCTAAAACAATACCTTTAGCACCCAAGTTCTCCACAGCGTGTTGAATCAATAATGGGTTTAAGCCTTGGTATGAGTATAAAATAATAACTTCTGGAATTTCAGAAGCATCTGTAACATTTGAAATATCAAAATATTGATAACCTTCAGGTCTTGCAGGTGGATAATAGTATTCAATGTCATTATTTATAAAAGTACCCAAATATCCTTGTTCAGTAGCTTTGAATGTATCTAATGTATTTGCATTAGTCTTTGTGGTCCAGAATCCAGAAGCAATACGATCATTTAATGTGATCAAAGTACCACGACCTTGTGATTTATCACTAGCTGCAATTGAAACAGCTTGATACAAGTTCATTGAACCATCAGCTGAAGTTGCAGTGGAAGGTCTCATAGCACCGGCAATACAAATTGGTTTTGGTGAATCAATAGTTAAATCTAAAAAGAAGGCGGTCTCCTCCATTGTATCAGTACCGTGTGTAACAACAGCACCATTATATTCATCACTTTGTAAAGTTTCACTAATATTATGATGTAATGGAATTAAATGTGTATAGTTTAATGAATTCGAACCAATGTTTGAAATTTGAGCATAATCTAGATTGGCAACCTCTTTTAAAGCTGGAACTGCATCGATTAAATCATCAACTGTTAACCCAACTGAATAACCTGCTGTAGTTGCTGATGTGGAACCTTTTGACGCAATTGTACCACCTGTACCAAAGATTCTAACGGTTGGTAATGATGAGTTTTTTTCATCTCTAGTATATAGCTCTAGGGGAGTTGGAGCTGTAGATACATAACTGATTAATGAAAGGGCAACTGTGGTTAATAGAGTCTTTGAAAAATGCATTGTTGAAAAATTGATTGATGTTGTTTAGTGAAAAGTATTTGAAAAAGAAAAGGAAACATCGTCCCCTTTATATACTATTCATTGATAGATGCCAATTTGCTAACCACTAAAGTCATTATCTCAGGAGTTGCCTTATACAAAGTTTCTGAGGTCAACCACATCAGGTTTCACCCCCATGCCTGTATAATCTATCCCATGATCGTCAAATCATAATTCATAGAACAACTAAGTAGATGCAAGTAATTTAGCTGTTCGAGGATATTACCAAAAACGGGCTAATCAATTGCCTGATAATGAGGTCTGGGACTTTCCTCCGTTCAAAGCTGGATTTCTATGGTTCGGTGATGACTCTGATAGGAATGCAGAATTATCCAGAGTTCAATGGTTGTAGATTTTTCGCAGATAACGAAAAAATTTCAATTTCCGACCGTTGAGAAGCTTGATTATTCCGTTGGTTTAGATTTATACCAAGAAGGTTAACTATGTCAAGGATTTAAGGCTTTTGTAGGTAAAGTAAGATAGCCAACTACAATTACAAACTGCCGTGAACTAACCACCAGATCCTTTATAAATCCAGCGAAATTGGGTGGAATATAGTGCACCTAGTCTTGCAATAAATCCGATCAAATGCCTATGATTGGAGGGTCCCTTATCGTACAGCTTTAGACCCCATTTTAGAAGGTGCTCCGAAATAACGAGTTGTACGTTGTACGGATCATATAGCGTACGAAAGTACATCAAATTTTTTTTGGCTGTCACGTTGAGCATTCTGTTTCGGAGTCTTCCCAAATGAGTTCAAAATATTGGTAATTAATTGCATGAATGATGTTGAGTTGAATTTAGTTATTTCAACTTTCTTCAGCTCTTCAAATCTCTCAAAGGTAATAGCATTGGTTGAAACCTCTAGAGAGTATCAACTAGTTTGTGTGCAAACATTGACTATTGGATATGTGCTGGATAATTTGAGAGCTTGAGACGCTCAGGGTCCTGATTAATGTCTGTTACAATGAAAATGAGAATCCACAAGTCACAAGGGTTCATATGATTTGAACTTAAAGAAACAACTATGAGCCAATTCACAAGGGTGATCTTGAAGCACTTCTTTGTCTTTTCATTTCTGCCTAGATTAACAACCACTGCCTCTTGAATCGGACTTGACAACTTGTAACTTTTAATCAATCAACCCTAAAATCACAATCAACATTTCGCGACACTAAAAATCGCGAATTTTGAAAACTCTCGATTTTTCGAAGGTTGAAAAAAAATTTCAAAATGGTTTGAACTTTTGTTCCTTTTCTCTTCTAATTAACCATTCACACATTCATAAGGCGTCACTTGAAGAACTTTCTCAATTCTCCAGGTTCGATGCCCTATGAGCCAGGACCATACGCTGGTGGGTTCCGTCCTCACCCTATGGACCTGTTTGGCTATTGTGATGTGTGATAGAGAGAGCTTGAGAGGATGTATCTCCGTTTGCAAAGAGACCAAAAGTCGAGGAACCAAACGGTCATAAATTCCTTTAACATTTCAATAGTCAACATACCTAACTATCAATTCAATATTATACTTGTGCACCTAAATCTTTGTAGCTTTTCATTTAACCGTTAACTATTAAACTTGCCTACGGCTGACCCGCGGGCCCAGCGAAGTCATCGCGAAGGGTAACTTTCGTGGAAAAAAAAAATTAAAGTAATAAAAAGAAAATTTTATAAACTATTCAAAATTATGACTTACTACTTTATTTACTTGGTGAATCACTCATCCTTAGGTTCTTAACAAGGTCTTATTAAGTCGAACTTCAATTCACACAATGTCTGAACCAGTTGCTCCAGTTTCAAGTGTCTTCGAAACCATTTTGGTTTTAGATTTTGGTTCTCAATATTCACATCTTATCACACGTCGTCTTCGTGAATTTAATATCTATGCTGAAATGTTACCATGTACTCAAAAAATCTCAGAATTAAACTGGAAACCAAAAGGTGTTATCTTATCAGGTGGTCCTTACTCCGTTTATGCTGAAGATGCTCCACATGTTGACCATGAAATCTTTAAATTAGGTGTCCCAATTTTAGGTATATGTTATGGTATGCAAGAATTAGCTTGGATTAATGGTAAAGGTGTTGCTAGAGGTGAAAAACGTGAATATGGTCCAGCTACTTTAAACGTTGTTGATGCTTCATCTCCATTATTCAAAGATGTTGACCATTCAAAAGTTTGGATGTCTCATGGTGATAAATTAAATGGTTTACCAAGTGGTTATAAAGTTATTGCAACTTCTGATAACTCCCCATACTGTGGTGTTGCTCATGAAACTGAACAAATCTATGGTATTCAATTCCATCCAGAAGTTACTCATTCTGAAAAAGGTAAAATCTTGTTGAAAAATTTTGCTGTTGATATCTGTAAAGCTAAACAAAACTGGACTATGGAAAATTTCATCGAAACTGAAATTAACAGAATTAGAACTTTAGTTGGACCAGATGCTGAAGTTATCGGTGCTGTTTCAGGTGGTGTTGATTCTACCGTTGCTGCTAAATTAATGACCGAAGCTATTGGTGATCGTTTCCATGCTATTATGGTTGATAATGGTGTTTTAAGATTAAATGAAGCTAAAACTGTTAAAGAAACTTTAACAAAAGGTTTAGGTATCAACTTAACTGTTGTTGATGCTTCTGATGAATTTTTAGATAAATTAGCTGGTGTCACTGATCCAGAAAAGAAACGTAAAATCATTGGTAACACTTTTATTCACGTTTTTGAAAGAGTTGCTGCTGAAATCAAACCAAAGAATGGTAAAGAAATTGAATTCTTATTACAAGGTACTTTATACCCAGATGTTATTGAATCCATTTCATTCAAAGGACCATCACAAACTATTAAAACTCATCATAACGTTGGTGGTTTATTAGAAAACATGAAGTTGAAATTGATTGAGCCATTGAGAGAATTATTCAAAGATGAAGTTCGTCATTTAGGTGAATTGTTAGGAATTCCGCATGATTTAGTTTGGAGACATCCTTTCCCAGGTCCAGGTATTGCTATTAGAGTTTTAGGTGAAGTTACCAGATCTCAAGTTGAAATTGCAAGAAAAGCTGATCATATTTATATTGAAGAAATCAAAAAAGCTGGTTTATACAAAAACATTTCTCAAGCTTTTGCATGTTTGTTACCTGTTAAATCTGTTGGTGTTATGGGTGATCAACGTACTTATGAACAAGTTATTGCTTTAAGAGCCATTGAAACCACTGATTTCATGACTGCTGATTGGTACTGTTTCGATGCTTCATTCTTGAAGAAAGTCAGTTCAAGAATTGTTAATGAAGTTGATGGTGTTGCTCGTGTTACTTATGATATCACTTCAAAACCACCAGCTACTGTTGAATGGGAATAAGAAATTTCCTTAATTTTATATGTCTTTTAAAAATATAATTAATGCATAGAATGTCCTTTTTTCGTTTATTAAATCAGTTGTTCAACTGTCGTAGTACTGAAGCTATCAATGTATCATCATCATGAGATATCGATAATAGAAACTCCTCTTTGGGGTTATTCTGCACATACAATCCACCAACCATGGGTCTCCCATTATCGGCATTATATTTGTACCACTGCTTGAATTTTTGAGACTGTTGTACTTTATCATCCAGACACTTGAATACAGCTTCTTTCATGGCCCAACTGCCAGCTAAAAGCCTTATTGTTCTATCCAATTGATCTTTGGCAACACATTCTTGAAACAAAGGTAACTCCTGCTCTGGATGGAGTATCTTCATCGCAAAAGTCTCTGTCTGTCTGCTTTTAAGCCCATTTCTAAGCACTATACTTTTAAACCTGGCCAGCTTCACAATATCTGTGCCTATTCCCAATACTTTGCTCATTGCCATAACAGTTCGTTTATCATTAACCTTCACGATTAACTCCGTTCAAGTTGAAAAATTGATGAAAAATTCCCAAATGGCTGAAGAAAAAAATAAAAAAAAATTAGTTACTCATCTTCGATAAAACCATCAACAAACTCATTAAATACAACACATCAACTAGAAAGGCCTTATACTCTCTAACCCTATATTTCTGCTCACCATCGATAATATTCATATATCCCCGGAGGATTTCATAGAACTAAATTTAGAATAGAGAAAACACAGAAAGAAAAATGGCATCATCAGTCCCAGGCCCAATAGCATTACCAGAATCCAAGTTTGATCTTTCAACATACTGGGGTCGTGTTCGTCATTGTGCTGAGATTTCAGATCCTACAATGTTATTAACAACGTCCTCATCATTAGATTCAGCAAAGAAATTGATCTCAGATTATAGAAATGGTATTTTATCCAAAATGACCCCAGAACTATGGCATGCTAAGAAAGTTTTAGACTCCACTGTTCATCCAGATACTGGTGAAACTGTTCTTTTACCATTCAGAATGTCATGTTGTGTCTTGTCCAATTTGGTTGTCACTGCTGGTATGTTGACACCAGGTTTAGGTACTGCTGGTACATTATTTTGGCAAGTTGCTAATCAATCATTGAATGTTGCAATCAACACTGCAAATGCCAATAAATCACATCCTTTATCAACAACTCAATTAATCCAAAACTATACTATTGCAGTTACTGCTTCTTGCTCTGTTGCTTTAGGTTTGAACTCTATTGTTCCAAGATTAAAATCATTATCTCAAAATACAAGATTAGTTTTGGGTAGATTAGTCCCATTCGCTGCTGTTGTCACTGCAGGTATTGTTAATGTTTTCGCTATGAGAAGTGAAGAAATCAGAAAAGGTATCACTGTTTTCGATAAGAATGGTGATGAAGTTGGTACTTCCAAAACTGCTGCAAAATATGCTGTTGGTGAAACTGCTGCTTCAAGAGTTATCAATGCTACTCCAATCATGGTTATTCCACCTTTGATTTTGGTTAGATTACAAAAAGGTTTCTTAAAAGGTAAAGGTACTGGTATCCAAACTTTAACTAACTTAGGATTAATCTTGACAACTTCTTTGGTTGCACTACCATTCGCTTTAGCTGTTTTCCCACAATATCAAGGTATAAGTGTTCATAAATTAGAATCTACATTAGCTGGTAAAAAGGATAAAGATGGTAATGAAATTGAAACTGTTTTCTTCAACAGAGGTATTTAGATATTGTTTTAGAGATGTAAATATTATTGTAAATTTAGAGAACTAGGTGAAGTAGAGCATGGCGTATATAGCAATACATGACTCGTAACTGTAATAGAATTATATGTAATACAACAATATGGTATATAATAAAGGTAACAATATTAATAAAATGTGGAGGATGCAAAAATAAATAAAACAAAGCAAGTAGATATAACAATATTAACAATTATGGAATGGGTATAAAAATGCAAAATCAATAAAACAGAGCAACTTATTTTAGAACAAAAAAAACGCTTAACTTATCACACAAGACAAATACAAATCACCATCACACAATTCATATAGAATCGAAAGAAAAAAGGGACTCAACCCCAAATCACCAAAACTTCCATCCTTCACAATTACCAACACCGATAGTAGCTTCAATTTCTTCGTTTGTTTTGAAGTTTTTGAAATCTTCAGGTTTGAAAGAGAACCCATTATTCAGAGTTAAAAATCCAACACCTTTGCCTCCTAAAGAAGTCTCGTACGTTTGATAACCTAATGCATCATATTTTTCAACCAGATTTTTCAAAACTTTCTCATCAACTTCATCATTCAACAATGTAATAGCACATCCACCACCACCTGCACCTGTCAATTTTGTTTTACCAATATTCAATTCATCCGTCAACATTCTAGCTCTTTCTAAGGTTGGATGACTAACGCCTAGGGCCACTAATAAACCATGATTGATTTGAAACAACTCTCTAAGTCTATTTCTAGCATGTTCATCCAAGAATGGCCTAATCATGATGTTGTAAGCTTCTCTGGTTAATGATTCAATAGCATCTAAGATATTCGAGCTTGTCTTTGGATACTCATTAGTTAGTCTTGTGACATTAGCAACCAACTCGGCAGTTCTTCTCGGTTGTGTTGTATTTGTCAATAATAATTTCAATGGTGGGAAGTTTCTCATTGTAGTACGAACACTTGGGATGGAACTTTGCATTCTTTGAAACATGACAGCACCACCATGAGTTGCAACAGCATTATCAATACCTGAAGGATTACCATGGATACATTTTTCTCCCATAAAAGCCCAAGAATCAATAAATAAAGAATCTTCATTATCCGCAGTTAGATCATCTTTCTTCAAAGATGCAGGTTTAACATGGTTACCCAATAATGATAAAGCAGCTGTGAGACAAACTGAAATTGAGGCAGAAGACCCTAGCCCAGCACCAATAGGTAAAGTTGAACGAACAGTAAATCTCAAACCTTCTGAATTCTTGTGACATAAATTGACATATAAATACAAGAATGAACTAGCAGCAGCATAGTATATACTTTTATCCAGATCACTCAACATCTTGGAAATTTCAGAAACTATTTCAGGAACTAATTCATCAGTTGGTTGAGGTTTTTCAGTTCTATATTTTTCAGCAATTGACCAAGGTAATTCTGAACTTTTCCATGTCTGATATAGACCAATATCTGGAAAGTCTAGTATAATTTCATCTTTGCTATCACTTGGAGAGACTAAAAGATATGTTCTCAATGAAACAGCGGCTGCGATAGCGGGCTATCACAAAGTTGGTTAGTTTTGAAAACAAATCATAATATTTCACAAGTATACTCACTTTACCAAAAACAGCAGCATGTTCACCGAAAATGATGACTTTCCCAGGAGAAGAGACAATAAACGGAGGACTTAGCGTCATATTCTGTAACCTATAGTGTTTTGTTCTATATTGAAAGGAGGGAATATTCAGTAAACTGGATATTGCTTTGAAATGAGGTATTGCAATGGAATTAGGCGCCTTCTTGTGATTTTTTTGCTGGTTTTTCTTTAAAGGGAGTTTAGTATCTTGAAGAGCCTGTCCTCATATGCTGAGCGAATGTGACTGTTAATTATTATTTGATCTTGAGCCAGAGACACCTTGGTCTTCTTTTTGCAAACGTATCAAGCGCCTAAACAAATTCACCATTTCATTTCGTTTAACTTTTTATCGTTTGTACAAAGAAAAAAAAATCAACTGTTGGGCCAAAAGAAAAGAGTCGAGGGTACGAAAAATTCAGTCACGTGGATAGCACATGACATTTCTATTACGAGGGTGCGATGCGAAGAGGAAAAATAAAAAAAATTTCAAAACGGTATAAGCTATTAAAGAGTGAAAACAGATTCAACTTTTGATATAAAGTGGGTGTGAAACGATGTCTGATAAGTCACAAATCAAAATCAAATTCTTCACTCGTGAAGAGGATGAGTCTTTACAAGTCAGTGAAAACCCATTATATGTTCCAATCTCATTGAAAAGATATGGTTTATCAGAAATTGTTAATCATTTATTAGAAACCGAAACTCCAGTTCCATTTGATTTCTTAATAAATGGTACTTTATTACGTACCTCCATTGATGAATATTTGACTGAAAATGCATTATCAAGTGAAGCTTTTCTAACATTGGAATATACCAGATCAGTCTTACCTCCATCATTTTTGGCTTCTTTCAATAATGAAGATTGGGTCTCATCTTTAGATGTTAAACATAACCAAATCTTATCAGGTTCTTACGATGGTATTGTTCGTACTTGGGATCTTTCAGGTAAAGTTCAAAAACAATTCAGTGGTCATTCAGGTGCTATCAAAGCTGTTAGATGGATCTCTGAAACAAGAGTTGCCAGTGCTGGTAATGATAGACAAATCCGTCTTTGGAAAGCTAGTGCGACTGATTCAAATGGTATCAGAGATCTAGATGAAGATGAAGATGAACCCGAAGAAGGTAAAACCTTGGCCATTTTAGAAGGTCATAAAGCTGCAATCAGCTCTTTAGCTGTTAATAATAATAGAATCTTATCTGGTGGTTATGATAATGCTATTGGGTTCTGGTCCACAAATTACAAAGAAATGACTAGTATCGATCCTTTAGCTGATCCAAATAATAATGTGACATCAACAGCTGCTAAAAAAAGAAGAAAATTAGCATTACAAGATGCTTCTATTAGACGTAGAGCACCTTTATCATTCTTGGAAGGACACTCACAACCGGTTGAAGATCTAATATTTGCACCAAATGACCCATCAGTTGCTTATTCAGTTTCACAAGATCATACAATCAAGACATGGGATTTGGTAACATCTCGTCCAGTTGATACAAGAACTACTGGATTTTCCTTATTGTCTATAACATCATTACCAAAATTGAACTTATTAGCATGTGGTTCATCAGCTCGTCATATAACGTTACATGATCCAAGAGCCTCAGCCACCACTGTTACACAATCCCAATTGATTGGTCATACCAATTTTGTTGTTTCATTAGCTGCAAGTCCTGATAATGATTATATGTTTTCATCAGGTTCACATGATGGTACTGTTAAAGTTTGGGATATCAGAGCACAAAAGGCACTATACACTATTACTAGAGAATCAAAGGCTCCAAAGGGTCAAGATAAAGTGTTTGCAGTTTCTTGGGACCAAACTGGTATTATAAGTGGTGGTCAAGATAAAAAGATTCAAATTAACAAAGGTACCCAACTTACAAAATAGACTAATAGAAGTGGGGACAAATAAAAAAAAGTTAATGCATGTTTGTATATTATTCATTTTGATGCTGTAAATGAAGATGTCCATCTTCCTAATCCATAATAACCTTGCCATAAACCTTTTGTATCTGTCAGATAACCGGAAATTTCAGCTCCATAAGGTTTTGGTTCATCAACATCTTTCCAACCTCTTAATTTGCGAAGTTTTCTGAGTTCCTCTAGTGAGAATTCCACTTTTGGTGCAGTTCCATATTTCAGAGGTCCAATGTTGATCCATAATCCCTTTTTATGTCCTATGAGTTTCTCTATACCATCAAAATATTGAAATAAGTTTTCTGCAGTGTCAATGAAAAATGCAGTGACAATAACAACATTATCATATTGGTCAATATCAGGGACTTGAAACTTTCTAAAATCACCATAGTTATTAACAAGGTTACCAGGTTTTTCAGTAATTCTTTTGAAAGAAGTACTTCTCAATTGATTTTGTTCAGAAACATGATGAGAATATGTATGTATGAATGGATGAATTTTGAAACTTTCAGGTTTTGAAGAATAAACAAATTCATTACACAAGTACATCAATTGTGAAAATTCAACCGAATGAACGCTTGCAAATTGGGGAGTCATTGATGCTAATTCATGGGCCACTCTACCTAACCCAGATCCAGGAACAACCACAACTGTTTTAGCTCTTTCCTCGGCAGTTGGTATACTATTATTAATATTTGTGTTGATGTAATCAAATAATGGTTTCAGTTCTGGATCACCTAACTCTGTCCAATCTCTTGTGAAATGGCATAATGCTTCAATTACTCTTGAATTATCTTTATATAGTGCACTTCTTTGCTCTAGTTCAGTGATTCCATATCTGGTGATAGCTTCTTCCGCAATCTTCTTTGCCAATTTAGCGTTGGTTTCAATGGCTTTATCTGTGTTATGTATATGCTCAAAGTAACCAATTTCTTTAGCTTGTTTAAAATCTTCATAACTAATTCTTTTCAAATTTTTGAGTTTCCTATTATTCCAAGCTAATGCTCTTGATCTATAACTTTTGAAACTTGCAACTGCATTTATAAGATCTTGTCTATCTGAAGTTAAATCTTGTTGAATGAATTTCTTAATTAACCATGAAAATGCATTGGTTTTGTAAATCGATGAGGCCATACCAACTAAGAATACCACAATTGGTAGTTTTGAATTCGGAACTATTTGAGCTGAAAGTGAGTAAATAAGCAAAAGAATGGAGAATCTGGTCAGCAGAAAGTTTGTATCTGACTGCGCATCCATCCTCTATGACAAATTTGTAGCTTCCTTGGTGGAAAAAGAGATCAGATCAAGACCGAGATTGTACTTATGGCCCAACGTTAACCATAGTTGTTGAAAAAAAGCTTCAGCAATCTGGTCGCGGAAAAAAAATGTTGAAACCTTCACAATATAAGTTTTGTCGAATGAAACTCCAGTTAATTGAGGAAGTTTTTGAAGATTAACCCAGGCTTTACGTGTTTGTTTGCTTCAGGTTTCAATGAATGTTTTTTGGTTCAGGTTGGTTCTAATTGTTGAAAGTCTTGTTTCTCATGAGCAATAAGTGTTCAGATATTTGAATCTGAACTAGACAGGAATTGTCAAAATACATGGGCCAAATCGTCAAACAATAACCTCAATTGCTGTCTTTCAATTGTGTGCTTCTCTGTTCGTTAAGTTGAAGATGAAATAATTTTCTGGTTGATGCCCTTGGTTCTTCCCTTGCGGATATAAGCGGGTTATTATAATAAGCTTTTGTGTCAACTATTTCAAGATTTCTCTGGACTAGGGATTCAATCCTCAGGGCTCATTGTTGAAAGATTATACTGTGTGTCTTCCTTCAATGTGAGGTGGGTGGTGTATTTTGAAGATTAAAACGCAACAATAAGCTATAATTTCACCCTATTACAACAATCACTTTCCTCGTCATCAATTCATTGGCAATTTATCATTCATTCCAGCCTCCAAACATAGCACACACCTAGGCTTAATCCACCATAAATTGACTAAGGCTCAGACTCAATATCCAAATGAGGGCATTACCACCTCCAAGAAAGTCAAGGGCTAGAGCATTCAAAAGATTTCTCCACAAGTTGTACAGGATCATTACATTTCAATTCTTATTCCAAAGAAAGAGAAGCATTTTAGTGAGAAGAAGGAGAACCCCATTTCATTTGTCTAGTAGGAAGTACAAAGTCAAGCTGCCCAAAAGATATTCATCCACTCATAGAAACTTTTGGTTCAAGAAAGGACCCGTTTTACCAAATGTTACAGAATTGGGTGATGATTTGAACCAGATCCAAAAGCATTTTCCTACTTCACAAATTCAATTCAAGGCTGTTAATAGAAGGAGTCGCTTTAGATTAACCGGTGTTGATAGACGGTACATGAGACGTCTGCTTAGAAGATTTGCTTACAAATTGTATTCACCAAGGAGAACTCGAGGGATGAGTAACCTAAATGTTGTGGTGGATATATGAAGATACTGTTTCTGGTGACAACTTAACTTCCATTGACTTGTTCTGCTCCTTCCAATAGTGCCTGCGTTCAAGTATTCTTACTCAATCAATTCAATTGTTATACATCAAATGCTGAGCAGTAGGCACACTTCGTTATTGATCAAAAGCCTTTGACTGGTATTTCTAATTGCATATTCATTGACCCTTTTACTCATATGTAGTAATCCCTGTAGGTCGTGTATTCGGCACAACCAACTAGACTGGATGGCTGGCTACTTGTTATGCTATATAGCTCCTATTGTTTTATTGTTCTGGAGCAAGAAGTTGAAGTTTTCGTGGACGCGTTGAAGATTTTGTGTCAAAAGACAATTTTGACGATAAAAATAGCATGTCAAAAGGCATAACCTGTGACTAGAACGCGAACAAACTGAGCTCCTTTCAAAACAAAACATAATATGGCCAGTTTACTCACCATCCTATATCCTCTGCGACCTGTCTACCATTTGTACCACACCTTAAAGTGTACCTCAAAACTAAGTTTAGTTCATTTGTATCAAACGCGGTCAAAATTCAATTTGTCTTTCCTTTTGCGGAAACGCGACATGCATAACGGTTTTTTGATATGAGCCATGTTTGGAAAATTAAAAGGTACACAGGTAAACAAATAAAGTAAATAAGTACTATTTTGGCAATGCCAGTTGGACTATTCGGGAATCTAGATCACAATAGCAAGGACTGCTACCTTTTGCGTACTTTGCAATGCTCTGGTATGCTGGCTGTACACCTTGGTGCACTAGTTTGGAGCACGTACCTTTCACAAACTAGTCCTATCCAAAATATTTACTAGTGGGTACCTTCAACACCATGGTATATAACATCAGTATGTTCCCACAAGTTGGATCTTTTATGCTGGTTTGAAAAATCCTCTCTTTGATATCTCATTCCATTCCTTTATCTGAAAGCTATCAATCTACATTCATTAAAACTCATATACACCAACTTCATTTCATTCATTCTAAATAAACTATACACACTCATTCATACACATACACAATGAAAATTCCAATCATCTTGACGTTCACTTTAAGTTTGTTAGCTTCTACCACATTTGGTTTCCCTCTACTACGTATCTTTGCTAGAAACACAGATGGTGGTTATTCATATTCAAGTTCCTTACTTGCAGCCCCAACAAATGGTTATAACCAGACAAACTCTTATCAATCTAGTGCAGCTGCAAGCCCAACTTTCGGTAAAGGATATTTCAATACAACAAGTAAAGCCACTGGTGGTGGAGGTTCAGGTAACACACAAGTTCATACAGCAACCGTCACTCAAATCCATACACTAACACAAACCAATGATGCTGGTGAAGCTGTAACCACTACATTGACTTCAACTATCCAAACCCAAATCACACAATCTGCCGCTGCTAATTCTGCTCAAGGTGGAGGTGATGGTAATGTTGAAGCCGTCAGTACTGGACAAGATAATGATGATGACTCTGGAAATACAGCAAATGGTGGATCAACTTCAGCTACTGAAACAGTTATGGTTACTGCAACCGTTACACTTCCACCTCCATCATCATTAGGCTCAAATGGTGGTGCTGCTGGATCATCTACAGGTTACAACTATGCAAACACCACTATCACAACATCAAGTCTTTCATCATATGCTTTGAACTCAACTAGCTCATTGAACAACAACACAACTAGTGCTGGTGGTGATTTGAATTCAACCTCTAGTATTGCAACAACAGGTGCAAGCTCAAGTGCAGCACCACTCACATCTTTAACTGGAGTTAGTGCCTCTTCTAGTTCTGTTTCCACTGCAACCTAAGCTAAGTCCTCTTTCTTCTCTTTCAATAGATCGTTTCGTTATATTTCAGATTAATATTGTAGCTATGGTAACCAGAAATCATACGCGATACCCGTGCCACATTGGCAGTGCTGGCCCTTGCCAAATAATTTCTCCACCAAAAGCTGTTCTCCGGAAAAATCTCCATACAAAATTCAAATCGGCTTGCTGATGTACGAGAAAACTTTGAGAAATTGCAACAAAGTATAAATGTTTGGTTGTCCACTCCTTATAAGATCTTTGTAAACAGGTTCAAGATATACAGAGATGCCACAAACAGTCATAGTCATAGCTGGTACTGCAGGGACTGGGAAGTCCACTGTGGGTGTCGAAGTTGCTAAAAAGTACAATTCAAAGTTCATTGAAGGTGACAGTCTTCATCCAAAAGAGGTGTGTATAATGAGCTATCTGATGCACAATGAATAATCTACTAACACTATCTCAAGAATGTTGACAAAATGTCAAATAACATTCCTTTAACAGATGAGGATAGATGGGGATGGTTGGAACAAATTGCATTACAATCTGCAAAAGCTGCTAGTGAAGTCGATTCAAAAGTATCTGTTGTATCATGTTCAGCATTGAAGAAAGTTTATAGAGATTATATCCAAGAAAAATCTCAAGACACCAAGTTTGTCTTTGTGTTCTTATATGCTACAATTGATGAACTGATTAGAAGAACTCAACTTAGATTGAAACACTATATGAAATCAACAATGTTGGAGAGTCAATTTGCCATTACAGAACTTCCAAAACCTGATGTGGAACCAAATGCTCAAGTTATTGATGTTACTAAAAAGACTGTTGATGAAGTGATTTCTGCTGCCGTTGAATTTGCGTCCAAATTCACCTCAAGTCAAGCATCTTAGATAGATAAAGAACATGTTTCATTTTAAACATCTACACCAAATACTATTGTATCTTTACTTTTCATTAAACCATCGTAAACAAACAGCACCAGTTCATAAACTATATACATATTTGGAAGGAACTGGATAGCTCTTATTCACAAAAAAGCCCTTATCTATATGATTCATGTCAAACGTTCTTCTCTTTTGGCACTAACAGCACCATCATTAGATCTAAACCTCTTTTTACTCTTCTTTGGATGACGACCAATACCATGATATTTGACTTGTTTCAAAATCTTTTCAATCTTTGCTTCCAATAAATCTTTGATTTCAACAGCACATTCTCTATCAACAAAAAAGGATGGGTATCTATTATTCATCCATAAAAACAACAACACATATTTATGGAGCTCTTCAAATTGACCCAATTTTTCATCACTAACTTCTTCTGGCTTTAAGCATCTAAAAGGTAAAATATTATCATAATCTAATAATGACTTAGTGTAACCTTTTGCAATTGTTTCAGAGTATGCATAAATAACATCTGCAAATAATGGCACATACACACCTAATGGTGCTGTACCAATACGCAATTGATCATCAATCAACAGGTTTGGAATTTTTGTGAAAACTTCACCCATTGATATTCTATCTCTTGTATCAGCAATAGCATATAACGGAACATCTTTAACTTCTTTTTCAAAGGCTTGAATAACAGTGGTGAATGGAGTACCTGCTGGAAATTCACTAGTATAATGTGTCCAAATCTCATCACTTGGCCAAATAATTGCCTTATCTAGGAAAATTGTTGGTTTTGAAATGTTTTCACGGATATGTTCTAGTGTTTCTTTAAAGAAAGCACCAACAAGACCCACTGAAGTTGATTTTTTAGCTTGCTCTTGTTTCAAATCAGGCATATTCGACTCTGAACTATCACCAACACTTGGCGCAACTTTGAAACGACCAGCCCTACCTCCAATTTGTTTAACATGAGGACTTTCTAAATCTTCTAGTCTCACACCATTGAATTTTGAATGGTTGTCAAAAATAACACGATTAATACTTAGGTTCAACCCCATCCCAATAGCATCAGAGGCGACCAAAACATCATATTCACCTCTGTTGAATTTAGCAGCTTCTGTACTTCTAACTTCAGCAGGTAATGCACCATAGATAACACCACATTTCAGCTTAGTTTTTGTTTGGATTTGTTCTTTATATGCCCATATTCTTTTCTTACTGAAAGCAACAATACAATCACCCTTTTTCAATCCTTCCAATCCTCTAATGGTACCTTCTTCAACTGATAATTTACCTAATCTCTCATATTTGTTAACGAAAACTTCGTCACCTGTAATACTAGCGATTTTCTTAATCAATGGTATAACACTTTCTTCACCACATAAATGAACTTCTTTAGCATGAACACCAAGAAGAGCATTTGTCCAAGCCCAACCTCTACCTCTATCACCAAGCATTTGAATCTCATCCAATACAACAACTTCATAGTTTCTTGCTGTGCTAACCATCTCCACTGTACCACTTGATAATGGAGCTTCCATACCATACTCATCTAAATCCTGGATAACTTCTTCCCCAGTGACTAAATTACAACGGGTCCCCTCTGCTTTAAATCTTTCATAAATTTCTCTAGCCAATAATCTTAAAGGTCCCGCATAATAACCATTATTAGATTCTTTTAATCTTTTCAAAGCATGATATGTTTTCCCAGAGTTTGTTGGACCAACATGAAGTATTAATTTTCTTCTCAATTTACGAGCTTGAGGAAACCATTCTGCAGGGTTTGAAATATCAACACCAAGTTTCCTTGCTGGTAAATTTGCCGACAGGAAAGTGAATAAAACAGCATGATATGCATTTTCCATAATTTGATACGCCCTATCCATTGGTTCTTCGATGTTTTTCTTTTTGAAGTAACTTTCCACAACTGGATTAGTTGTAAGGGTATTATACATTAATATTGGAGCAATTGTACTATGCGGACTTATAAGTTCTTCCAATTGGAATACATAATTTTCTGGCTCTTTGAATTCATTAAGGGCAGCTTCAAAATCTGTTTTGAATTTATCTAGGGCTTGTTCAGCAGATTGATGGAATCCAGGAATGTTGTGATAATGCTTATATAAAAACTTGTTCAGTAAGACGTTCTGTTTTAAATGATTATATGATTCTTCCACCACCAATTTAAATTCTTCATCTTTCCGGAAAACAGATGCTCCATTGCTGATCTGGAGTTCTTGCATTTTTTTACTACCTGATATGAACCCCGATGCTCCATTTTGGTCAGAAGTGGAACCTATCCATTCATTATCTCTAAAACTCATCAATTTTTGCTTATTGAAACGCCTTCTTTTGTGTCCAATCATTCTAACCTGTTGAGCCCTAGAACATGATAAGGCTCTAGGAATTAGGCTTATGAGCCTATTGGTCCTCAGTAGCATAGCTATTCTAGTCTATTATAATCAAGATCTCTAGTGGCTTCTTGACCATACTCTCGTAACACTTATTGAGATGAGCTCGTGAAAAAATTATGTGGTGTTGGGATTTTTCGCGAAATGGTAATTCAACCATCACAAGTTGGCAGACTATGTATAAAGGTATCACATTAATAATATTCTCGCCATTCAAGAGTTAAGTCTACATAAAGGACACTTTCATAACACGTAAACATTAGCAACTTGAATAAATATCATTCTTTTTTTTCTTTTCTTTTATCATTTTTGTCTCTTTCTCGAATGTATTGAATCATGATCAGAATTCAACCCTCTCTTCATAGTTGGAGCAGCTGAAGTGATATCACTATCATCAAATTGGATTCTTCTTAATGGATATTTAAACTGTTGTCCTTCGAAAATGTTTTCTGAAACTCTTGGGTTCTCTAAGAAATAAGGATGCAATAATGCGTCAAATGCAGTCATTCTCTTTGCAGGATCATATTCTAATAAGCTTTGTAAAAGTAATAATCCTCGCTTGTTTGAAGCACCAATTGATTGGTACCATGCTTGTAAATTGGATGGGAATTGTTTAAATTGTTGTAATGCAGGATATTCTGGATATTTAGGTAATGAAGGCCATTTATCTTTTGATGGAGTTCCTAAAATTTCCACAATTTTTTGCATTTGATTTTTTTGAAATGGAACATTTTTCTTGTTATCCATTTTAGCTTCTTCACCTTTAAAAATTGGTCTCAGTGCTAATAATTCAGCCAATATACATCCAACAGCCCATAGATCAATTGCTGGAGTATAATGTCTTCCACCTAGTAATAATTCAGGTGCTCTATACCAGATGGTAACAACAACTTTATCACCATTATATAACGATTGTAATGGATTGTTGAATTTTCTGGCTAGACCTAAATCACCAATTTTAACAACACCTTCACTTGTAACCATGATATTTGCAGGTTTTAAATCTCTATGTAACACCCAATTTTGATGTAAATAAGAAACACCATTCAACACTTGCCACATTATAGATTTAACAGTTTGCTCGGGTATTGGTTTTGTATCAGGATGTGAATGGAAATGAATAATTTGTAATAAATCATGTTCAGCAAATTCAAAAACCATATAGATACATTTATTCTCCAAAATGATTTCAATCAACTTGGTTATATTCTTATTGTTTAGTTCACGACATAATGCCATTTCTCTTGATGCTGATTGAGATATCCCTGTATAATAAACAACTTCCCCTTCTTTATCAGCTTTAAATTTTTTAATTGCAAATAATCCCGAATTTTTAGGTTCTTTTGATTTAGCTTTGTAAACTCTTCCATAAGTACCTGATGCAATATATCCCACTATATCATATTTTTGCAAAACAGATTTCCTAATAGCATCTTTTCTCGTCTTGTACGGTAATAAAGTGAAAACATTATTACTTGCCATCAGTGCAGGTCTATTCTGATACATTGTCGGCTGTTGTGACTGTTGTTGTTGTTGCTGCTGCTGCTGTTGTTGCATCTGTTGGACTTGCTGAAACTGAAGCTTTTGAGCAGCACTGATTCCATTCGGTTGTTGAGACCTCTGTTGTTGTTGAAGCCTCAACAGATATTCTCTTTGTAATTGAGTTGTATTTTGATGTTGCCTCGATTGGTTCGGATACATCAGATGCTGTATTTTATGATTCACTGATTCTTGATCTTTTGTAATGTTCTTGAAGATTGGTAACCTTTCTCTATGGTACTCTTTTCTCTTTGTAAATGTTTTCTTCTCAAAGCTTTATCGGATTCTTAATCGAAGAGTTCCACAACTTGTTTCTATCGCAGATTTTGGCCAAAGAAAAATTCGCGAAAATTATATTTGTGCTCATATTGGCTGCTGCTAAAACTACAATTATTTTAGAAGTTGAAGTTTTCATTGATCGTTTCTAGCTTTCTGCAATTGGCGACAAAGCAACAGGGACTCCTAATTCAGATTTGATACCATTTTTTTTATCATCTTCTTCAGGTAAAAAGAAAGTTTGTGGCGTAATTTTCTTCTTTGAAGGTGTAATTTTACCAGTTGGTGGAAGTTTTGGTTTTGATGGTTTTTTAGGATAATCTTCATCATCCAGGATGATCACACCTTTAGCTTCACTCAAATATTCGTTAATTTCTCTCTTGGATTTCATTTGTTTGGTATGATAATGCTTGGTCTTTGCCAAACAATCACGTAAAAATGGTTGTAAAAGTTGAATTTCCTTCTCTATATCATCTTGAGATAATCTTTTGAAAGGAGCATTTTCAAATTCTTCACGATGGATTTTCTTTGGATCATCAATACTATTTGCTTCATTGAATTTTGATTGTAGTAAATGTAATGGGATAGAATTACCCAACATACTAAACTCTTTATCAAGACCTAATTCTTTAAACCCAAAGAAATCTTCACCAATTTCATTTGAGAAATCACCAGACAGGAACTGCTCACTATTATCAGTGAAATTTTTTTCAGTCATTTCAATCGCTGGTCTTAATAAAGCTTTTAAAAACCCTGATATTTTAATTTTCAAATCTTTTAATTTCCCATTCTGCTTTAGAATGTTTTCAGTGACATAGGTATGTAATTCATCTGGTTTGTTCAACCCATTTTGTAATAATGACAACAATAAAACATTCTTCTCCTTTTGGTTTTTATTTATACTTGGAGTTTCTAAATGAGTCTTTATTGATTTAACCAAATTATCCATATAATCACCAGCAATTTGAGTCAATGTATCGACTGCAAATAATTCAGTTGACTCGAATCCATTCTGCATTGCAATTTTCCCAATTCTTTTCCTCATTACAAAATAAATCAATTCTTTATTCAATTTATCATGGTTCTCTAGTCTTGAAACAGGATCAATATCAATTGAATCATCAATTTTTTCAATCTCTGGAGGTTTTAATTGTGTATGGTGAACAAATTGTTGTTGTTGCATTTGTCTAATCAATGAAATTTTAAAACAAATTTTCCTTATTTCTTGCATTTCTTCAATGTTTTCATTGATAATTTTATTTAACCCACCATCTATTGGGGCAAATGGAGAAGGTTTCAAACCTTTCTGTATAACTTCATCAATCAATTTAGATTCATGACGTTCCAACTCATCATCATCAACACCTTTGTATGGTAATGAAGGAAACCCACCAGTAACATCATATTCTATTAGATAAGGATCATCTTCCTGGGATCTATTGTGTGAACTTTTAACATGTTTCTTATTTTCTGAATAATTTTTAAGATATGATTGGAAATTATTCATTTTTTTAGAATCTCTCAGTATTGCTTCACTATCTGAATTCAATTTATTATCTTTAAATAAATCAGATCTTTTCATACAAAAATCAGCTCTTGCCTTTGCAGTTAAATTTTTCCAAGTTTGAATTTCCAAATCATCCTTATCATTATCTTCTTGATTTAAATATTCATTTGAATCACCTTGATCCTCTTCTTCAGCTTCAGTTGTATCAGCGGGCAGTATTTGTGAAGTATTAGCAGCAGCAGCTGTTGTTTGAAGATTTGAAGGTGCAGGTGTTGAAGCTGCACTTGTTGGTAAAGTTGAATTTGCACCATTTTTAGATGCAGAAGTTGATGGTATGGCTTTTGATAAAGGGTGGTCAGCAGCAGGTGTGCCTACTTCACTTTGAGGAGGTTCACTATGACTCTGTGAATCTTTCTCTTCACCAGATCTTGTTCTTTTCTTACCCTTTTTAGATGTTGTTTTACTTGACATGGCGCCGCCCGATGGGGCAGGAGTTGATGGATCTTCATTTTCAGCCTCCACTTCAGATCTATCTCTAATGGTGATATCAGGTATTATTGGTATCAAAGTTAATGATTTTTTTTGCATTGCAATTGCATGAGCTCTTAGGAAATGTTTTGGATCAGAATTATAAGTTAAACAATTTTTCCAAATAAGCATAACGTCATCAACAAATTCTGTTTTGGATTTATATTGGAAATTTTTCAATTTTTTCAAAATAGTGTTTAAATCCATTGGTTTTTTAATTACTTGAGCATAGTTTGGAGCTTCTCTTTTACTAACTTTATTTAAAAAAGCAGTTGAATGTTCAGTATAACCTCTTAGTTCCATGACAACTTTTTCACAAGCTTCATATAATTCTTCTTGTCCAATTTTATCATCAGAAGCCCATTTTGATCTATTTTTGCGAACATCCATGATTAATTGTCTTAACTCATTGTCTTGTAGATTTAATTTTTCTTTATTATCATCAATTGATTGTAATAAATGTTTTAACGAAAGATTAGCAGCACCAAGGTTCATTGCGAAAGTATCCTTTATTGAACCTGTATTTTGATCCTCCAGTAGTAATTTATCATTTTCTTCCAATTTTCTTCTTTTAATTAAAGTTTCACGATCATTTTCAAAATTATGATAAATTTTATTGAAATTATCAATAAGAATCTTATTATCCAGTTGACTAGTATCATTTTGAGCAATGGGTACTTCTAAAATGATGTTTCCATTTTCATCTTGATCTCTGGTGATTGTTTCTTGATTTTTTTCATCTTGCTCATTATCATTTGGTTTTCCAGCTTCCTCTTCCTCATCTTCATCATCATCATCATAATCTTCATCTTCATCAATTTTTCTTGCTGGTTCAATACTTGTTGATACTTCAACTTTAGGTTGTTCAGGTTCTTCATTTTCAAAGATCTCATACTCATCAATATTTTTACCTTCACTGTCATAATAAAAATCAATAGCTTTTTCCCAAAGAATATAACGAACTTTTAAAGAAAGCGCTCTAGCAGACTCCACACCATTAGATATTGTAGATTCATTTAGGTTCTCTTCATTGGACTCTTGTTGTTGTGGTGGTTGCTGTTGTTGATCTTGATCCTTTTGTGAATCCTGATTGTTATCCTTTGGGGTATTATTATTGTTCTCATTTTCAACAGGTGTAGATTCTTCATCCTTTTCTTGTTCCTTTTCAGTATGCTCAGCTTCATAGAATTTCAAAAATATCTTGGAGTCCAGGAATGCCTTAAATAATTCCTTCTTGTTTTGAGGATCATTAAATATCTGATCAAGTACAAGTAATTGTTGATTTGTGAGGTAGTAATCAAACACTTTCTTGGACCATAAATTCAATGCGATGGCGTATAAGCTATCCAAATTATTGGTCTCGAATATCCTGAGCTTGTCACTCATCTTTGGTTGATATCTTTCAATTGGATGTTCTGGGATAGTTTACGCCAAATTCAACCTCTGACGTTTACAATTATACGCACCTTCTTCAACATCAACAACCGAAAAATTCAGAATAACTCACCCTCGGAAGTATGTCATGTGATATTCACGTGAGCAAGAGTTGAATTTCGGGAATATGATTATTACACGGGCTGTCTACTGCACAAACGACAAGCTAAGTATGGGGTTTCAATAAAAGTATCAATTATGCTTGGTAATTAGAGATTGATCATAAACTCAGAACTAGATAAAAAACTAGTTCAATACTAATGATCAATGGAATCATCATTCTGAGATTACATAAGAAATTAATAATGCGCGTCATTTTTCAGGAAATCAAAGAAAAATGTGAACAAATTAATATCAGCAATATTTGTATTATAACATGTCTTGCTTTGATAATAGCTGATTTTTTGTTAGTATGGTTGTCACCTACAAATATGAATTTCGCAGCTGATGCTTGCATGATCTGGTTTTTCAAAGTGACCTTGTCTTTAGACGACTTTCTTATTGTCTTTACTAGCATTTTTATGACATAGGGTCATGATAATTATTTGAATAACATAGTCTGGTTGTACTTAATAAACATGGCATTCGATAAAATTACATGGATCTTCCAGATCTTTCCTAGGTTTATAACATTATAATAGCTTTCCCGCTAATTGAGTGGGATATATTAGTTCAAGGGCGCACAATGGTGGAACTGCTTTAATATTTCCATCATCTCAAATCCACAACCATGTTTACCCAACTTTTAATAGATTCATTAACGCTATATGCTTGTTTTTGATCAAAGTTGGATAGAATAAACATGATGACTTTTGATGATATCAATTTTGTAGTTAACAAGATACAAATCGATCTAATTAAGGCCACAACTGGGCTATCAACGCACAGAAAAAACAGAGAACACTCAAATATGCCACCCACTACTTTTTTCACACTATTCTATTCGGTAAAACACGTAATTTACAACCCAATACTACAATCCTCTTTCCACGTATTTCCTCTTTGGTGAAATTTCGCGTCTGTGTTTCGCGTACCGCCTTTTTTTTTCGTTGGAGTTTTGGCCAAAATCGTTTAATTGTGCGATTTCAACATTTTGTAAACGACCTTTTCACTTTTGAATTGAAACAAGTACAAGTGTTCATTCTACAAAACACTCAAACAAACCATATCAATCATGTCCGAGAACTCTGTCTATATCGTCGCCACCGCCAGAACCCCAATTGGTTCTTTCCAAGGTGCCCTCTCTTCTTTAAACTATGTTGACCTTGGTGCCCATGCCGTCACTGCTGCTTTATCAAAAGTTCCAGAGATTAAACCTGAGCAAGTTGAAGAAATTGTCTTTGGTAATGTTGTCCAAGCTAACGTTGGTCAAAATCCTGCTAGACAAGTTGCCTTAAAATCAAAATTAGGCGTTGATACCGTTGCAACTACTGTTAATAAAGTTTGTGCTTCAGGTTTAAAAGCCACTATAATAGCTGCTCAAACCATCTTGTTGGGTAATGCTGATATTGTTGTTGCCGGTGGTGCTGAATCTATGACCAATGCTCCTTATTACGTCCCAGCTGCTAGATCTGGTGCTAGATATGGTGATTCTGTTTTAGTTGATGGTTTACAACGTGATGGGTTAGCTGATGCTTATGATGGTACCGCTATGGGTGTTTCTGCTGAGAAATGTGCTAGAGATTATAATTTATCAAGAGAAGATCAAGATAATTTTGCTATTAAATCTTATCAAAAATCTCAAAAAGCTCATGAATCTGGTAAATTTAAAAATGAAATTACACCAGTTGTTATTCCAGGTTTTAGAGGTAAACCATCAACAACTGTCGATGTTGATGAGGAAAGTTATAAATTAAATGTTGATAAATTGAAAAGTGCAAGAACCGTGTTCCAAAAGGAAAATGGTACTGTTACAGCTGCTAATGCTTCACCAATTAATGATGGTGGTGCTGCCTTAGTTTTAGTTTCTCATAAAAAATTAGTTGAATTGAATTTAAAACCAATTGCAAGAATCTTGGGTTGGGGTGAAGCTGCACAAAATCCAGAAGATTTCACAACTGCACCATCATTAGCAGTCCCAAAAGCTTTAAAACATGCAGGTTTAAAAATTGAAGATGTTGATTTTTTCGAATTAAATGAAGCATTTTCAGTTGTTGGTTTATCAAATCAAAAAATCTTGGGAATTCCTGAAGAAAAATTAAATGTTTATGGTGGTGCTGTTGCAATTGGTCATCCATTAGGTTGTTCAGGTGCAAGAATTGTTGTTACTTTAGCTAGTGTTTTACAACAAGAAGGTGGTAAAATCGGTGTTGCAGGTATTTGTAATGGTGGTGGTGGTGCTTCATCAATTGTTATTGAAAAATTATCAAGTGAACATATTTCTTTGTAACTAGGCATTAAGAAACAACGTGTTTGTTGAAAATATTTGCTTTTAAATCTATTTATCATAATGTCTTTGACATATTCATTTGTATAGCTACAATAATACTAAATTATTAATTATCCCATTGTATTTATTTCCAATCTCAAATGTGAGATCTATTATCTATAAAGTTATACCATTAATGTACCTATGTATAAGTTTGTGTATTATTATTTATCCAATTTCCCTTTATATTTCTCCCTAGTATAATCCAGCATCAATCATATCACAATTCATATTAAATGAAACATTAGTCACCACGGAACAATTATCAAACAACTCAAGATGTTGAACCCAATTATCATTATTGATAAAATCCACATGATATCCAGTAGTAGTGTTGGTGATTGTATTCTCAACTTGATCAATTTTCTCATTGAAATCAATTGGAATATGATTAACAGGCATGATATCTTTCAAATTCACAATATCTTCATCCTTAATCTCTGAATCTTCATCATCAATATCAATATTATAATCAGGAACATCACAACATTCTTTAATGAAATCATTCAAATCAGTGGAACAATAACTTAGGGCACCTGATGTGGTGAATGATTTACAATTCAACACCAAATCTCTTAATTGAAACAAAGTTATTCTTTTGAAAGGGTCTCTTTCTAAGCATAAGCATAAAATTTCATATAATTCATCACTTATTGGCAAGATATCCTTTAGCACTTTTTTATTCTTGAGGAATGCTCGATAAGTATTATCAATCTCACAAGCCTTCATCCATGGGTTTCTCGTACATGTCAGATTGATCAATATTATAGCAAGGGACCATAAATCACCGGCTTCAGCAGGGAATGAAGATGCAGATAGATCATTTGGTAATGAATTGCCATGATTGAAAGGACATTTACCTGCTGCAGTTGTTGTAGTCTTGTTGTTGTTGCCCTCATTCATTGAGATCAATCTTTCAGGTGGCATATAGTATGAAGATCCAATACATGTCTTTGCATTGATAAAATGGGATTCCACAGCTAGTCCAAAATCACCAATACATAAATTGGCCCCATTTTGACAGCACATTATATTCTCAGGTTTGATATCACAGTGATAGATGTTTTTGGAATGACAATAAGAGATGACATCTATTAATTGGATGAAGACTCTTTTAATCAACATTGGATCTGATGAATATTTGGCACGATCCACTATGTTTATAAATAAATCACCCTCGGGGAAATAATCCATTATTATGAATAATGCAACTGGGGAATCTATTATCTTGTGGATTGTAATAACATTTGGATGATCATGGACTTTTAAATGGATTGTGATTTCTTTTATAAATGAACAACATTTTGTAGTTGATGAACTAAAATCACTTAATAATTTTAAATTTAATGAATTTAAACCTTGGATCTTGAAATCATTCTCATGGAAATATTCTAATAATTCAGATGATAAATAATCACTTTGCTTTATGTTTGAAGATGGTTTTGATTTGTTTATGATTTTGGAGATTGATTTAATTGCAACTTGTTGACCAGTTATAATATGCTTAGCCAAGTATACTATACCATAAGCACCAGAACCAATTTCCTTGATGATTTGGTAGTCGTTTAGGATAGCACCGTTGATTGTCTTGGGTATGGTCATTATTTCAGTAGTTTGTTAACCTTTTCTAAAACAAGTGTAGATGTATTGTGGATATTAGATGTTATATATATGGCTTGATATAGCATGATGCTCTAGGCTCTAGACCACGGGGACTGGGTGTAGAGAGGATCTAGCCAGAGCACCATCACAGCTTTTACTAGCAGACTGTCGTTTAATAGTTTCAACACTTTAATTTCTTGTTTTCATGGTGGAGTGATTTGGACTCGGCCCATTCAGGCACCATCTAACAGCTTTTTATTCAACAAAGCACACGATTAACCAACAATCAACCAACAAATAGCAAATGATTGCCATGATTAAAGCACTATAGCAATTATATCTTTACTTCCATCTCATTCAATGACCTTTACCTTCGAATTCACCATACTTTATTCCAGACCCTTCCCAACTTTCTCTATAGTTTTTCCGATTGCCTGATGCTCAACATGTCACAAATCTCGAAAAGAAATTTCACCAATGAAAAATATGGTGAGATTTTTGAAGGAAAAACTAGGTGACCCTGGACTGGGAAGATAGCCTATGGAGAGAGGGCTTATGGGCTGGTAGAAAAGGCTGTAGTAGGTAGAGTGTTAGTTATAGTGAACTGGCCCAAGTTGCTACTTAAAGCTATTCCTTACAAGGTTGTAATGTCACAGAATCTTTCTATAGTTCTATCAAATGGCCTAAGCACAAATCGTATCACTCTATGATCTGGACTACAGCTTGATTTTGACATCTAGATAAACCTTGCACCCTAGGCCAACATTATTATTGACGGATAGATGCATCCAGCTTCTTGATTTGTTCAAAGCACCCCTATGCTGTTATTGATGGAGATGCCAGACACCAACAATTAGCTAAACCCACGTAAAATTGTGACAAAATGCTCCCACGCGTACCATCAATTTGCTCCTACGAGTCTCTGGACGATGTGTCATCTCGTAAAGGTATTGATGAGCTTGAGGTCCGACTAACAGCGATGTCTTCCATAACCAACACTCAACAATAGATATAGTACTTAGGAGGTGTTTTCCAGTATCAATTGGCATAGCCATTCTCGTTCAACCTCGTAGAGCCATATGTATCCTGTATTACTATTCACTGCTAAACTCATTGTCAACTCAACTAGATTCTTGATTCATACCCTTATAGAACCAGGAATCTAAAAGAGATTGAGCAATTCTTGATGAATATTTCACGATATATGGCCCAAATATTTGTGAATTTTCACAACAAACACTAAATTTAACGTTGTACCCAACATCAACTCTGAGGCTAACCCCAGCATCATCGCACCAGTACTCCCCAGTACTCCCCATACTCCCCTTTCCAGCCTCTTTTCTCTTCAATTGATTTCCAATTTCTAATCCATTTCAAATTTAATTGTCGTTGGCTGAAAATTCAAAGTGTCATTTTTCTACCGAGGAGCATTCTGCGCAATTGGAGACGATTGGGGAACACCGATGGCGCTAATCCCGACCGCCAAACTACTATAACAAGTAATACCGATTACAGCCGTTTTGCGCAATTACCAGTTCAAGTAGTATCGGCATTACTAGAGTGTGCCGATGTTCCCTAACCGAGCAATTGGCCGTTAAATCTTCAAAGTGCGTCGAAATTCCGTTTCTGAATTAGAAATCAAATGAAAAACGAAAAAAATCAAAACTGTGGATAAATTTGACATATAAAAAGGATTTGGAATTGCTTTAATCAATATTTTGAAGCAATTATACAATTCAATTGAACTCTACAATTATCAATCATGTCAAACGTTATCAATGCTAAACACTGGCTATTAATCAACAAGCCAACTTATGAACAATCAGTCAATTTGGACTATTCTTCAAAAGATGCAACTTTTAAATTAGTTGATGTTAAATATGATTTAGATGATCCAAATTTATTAAAAGACGGTGATTTCTTAATTGAAAATTTATATTTCTCAAATGATCCTGCTCAAAAAGGTTGGTTCTCTCCTTTTAAATCTTATGTTGATCCAACTCCTCCAAATACTCCTGCTCCTGCTCGTGGGATTGCTAAAGTTTTAAAATCAAATTCATCAAAATTTCAAGTTGGTGATTTCATCCAATCAAGAATCGATTGGGCAACTCATAATATCCTAAATGATTCCACTTGGGGGACTTCAAAAATTGATCCAACAAGATTTGATTCATTATCAAAATATTTAAGTGTCTTTGGTTCAACAACTTTAACAGCTTATTTGGCAGCTTTTAAATATTCAGGCTTACCAAAACCTGAAGAGGCGCAAAATAAAGTATTCCTTGTGACTGGTGCCGCGGGTGCTGTTGGTTCCGTTGCTGTTCAATTCTTTGCCAAAGTGTTTAAAGCTAAAAAAGTTTTAGCAATTGCAGGTGGTGATGCAAAAGTTAAATATGTTGAAAGTTTAGGTAATGGTAATGTTATCGGTTTAGATTATCGTTCAAAAACATATAAAGAAGATTTTGAAAAAGCCTTGGATGGTGATTTAATTGATGTCTTTGTTGATAACGTTGGTGGGGAATTATTAGATCATGCTTCTAATTACCTAAAAGATTTTGCTCATATTGCACAAGTTGGTACAATTGCAGGTTATAATGATGCTTCTAAAATGGTTTTCAAAAATTATCCAGCTGTTGTTACTAAAAGATTAACAATTAGGGGATTTATCGTTTCAGATGATTTTAAAGATTTCCCACAAATTATTCAACATTTATCTCAATTGGTTCAATCTGGTTTGTTGGATATCTCTAAAATTAGAGAAACTATTGTTGATGGTTCTGGTGAAAATTTCAAAAAAGTTCCTGAATTATGGACTGGTTTATTCTCTGGTAATAATACTGGTAAATATATCACTAGAATCACCGCTGATCCAAAACTTTAAGACGTTGTTGTATATGCTTTATGAAATTTTAACTTATTTATAAGACTTTAAACGTAGCTACAAAATCTGTATCACATAGTATCCCCCATTCTATTTCCAATGCTTTCTGCCCATTTGGTCAGGCAGTTAGCATTTTATTATTATTTACCATCATCATGGGTTCAAACCTGAGCTCTGATTTTAGGGTGAGTTTTAGTGGGTATTCCTCAACAAGAGGCGAGTCCCACACTGTTCCGTGGTGGAGAATAGGTTTCTCAGTTGGCTGAGAAGGATATTATAAGGAAGCCTGAATTCCAACATAGCGAGAAGCCTACAATCCAAGCGGTTCGTGCGTAATTGCATTCCTCATCCAAGTTCATCAAATACATCAACTAAAAAAAAAAAATAATCTATGAAAGACTCTTTATCAACTCTGTTACTTTTTGATCAAATAAATCCACTCTAATCGGCATATCTAATGAATAAAATGGATTCTTCATAACATAATCTGAATAAATTGAGTAAATTCTTCGTAGTACACTTTCTGCCAATTCGGCATTTTTATTCAAATCACCTCCACTATTCCCACTTATACCATTAGGACTTGTAATCAATATAAATTTCAACCCAGTTATCGATTGGAAAATATATATTGAGAAAAATTTAGTATCAACAGATCTTAACCCTGATGTATTTGAATTTGAAATTGGGTTTAATGCACCTTTTGAATAATTTGATAAAATTGTAGAATTTGAATTCAATTGACTTATGCTATTATTTGAAGCACTCGTTATCGAGCTTGTTGCACTTGAACCTAATGAAGGTGTACTAACTTTCAAAGCAGTTGGAGTTAATTTGGAAGCTATAGCAAATACACCGTGTAAAGTACCAGCCATAACCAAGTATTCATTTGCTGAAAGGCGCGAAAGTCCTGGATTCACGTCGTTTTGGTACACCAGACCACCAGCCTTGTTTATTATGTATAGTGAATAGATTGTCATACTGCTGTGCCTGTTTTGTTTATTTTGGAATAGGTTAAAAAAGTGTTGATGATTTCGATTTCAACATTTCATTATTCGCGATTTTCAAATTATTTCAACTTTACCTTTTCAACTTGACAGTCGTCAAAATTACTGAAATTCCAAGAAATAACCATGACCCAGCTCATACGGTATCTCATTGCTGATTTGGCAAATACTTCGCCTAATAATCTGGAATTTGCCTCTGATGAAAAATCTCAAAGAGCTTTTAAAGCCTCGAAAATTAGTATTGACACCAATTCAAATCGAATAGTGAAGGAAACATTATTTCAAATCGTGACTTTGGAGAATATATCTCAATCAAAAGTGTCCAAATTAGATGAACTATTAGCTGCTGATGATTTAGACTCTGTTGGTGCTGATAGGCTACGTGGAAGACAACAAAGAATCATTAGAAATGTTAATGTTGAAGATCAAGATAATGGAGGAGGAGGCGCGTTACCAACATCTTCAAATGCTTCAAACTATTTCAAATTAACATTACAAGATTGCTTTGGTAATTTAATTTATGGTATTGAGCAAGAAAAACTACAGTTTTTATCTGGTAAAAATTTCAAGAGTGGGTTTCCTATCCAGTTAGGTTCAAAAGTTTTAATTGGTAATGCTAAGATTGTTCACGGTGTAGTGTTATTAAAACCTTCAAATACTGAATTTTTGAGTGGGATGGTTCAAATGTGGAATATTGACTTACCTAAAAAGCATATAAACTATTTGAAAAATGAATTGGAGAAAATAAAAGCCCAAAATCAAGATCAAGATGAAGTTGAGGAATGAAAAAAACTACATCAATCACATTCTATCTCATTATTTATTTATGTTCTTGCTCAACTCAACAACAATTCCCATAATCCAGCTTCATTACGATAATCATGATAAACAAATGAAACCAAATAATAAGTATCATGGATGGAATGAATCAATTTGGAAGTTGCAGTGTTTTTTTTATACAACTTGGCCCATTCTAACCAAATACTAAAAGCTTCATCTCTCCATGCTTTAAAAGATTCTTCTTCAATGATTGTTGTTTGCAAAATTTCACGATCTGGGAAAACACCCCAAGTCACTGCATTTGATGAACCTTTTGGTAAAGAACTTTTGAAAAAACCTTTTGAATCACCAATATAATAACTAATTTTAGAATTTGATTCAACTTTTGGTTTCAATTTTTGTTCCCAATCTTCTTTACTAACAAATAATTCAACAAATGCCTTTTGATAAACATATCCACCTTTTGGTCCCCATCCAAATATTTTATCCTCGCTTTTAGCACCATCAGTGGCAGGTTGTGAAGCTAATGATAAAAACCCACGTTCGTTTAATTGAATCAACTCTTCTTGAATAATGGCAGTTTCCGGACTCAATCCTAATTCAGACCATGGTAATGCATCAATTGTACCTTCTAAATAATTGATAAATACTTTAGAAATATCTTTGACATCAACTGGATAACCCCATAATTCATAAGCTCTCTTAGTAGCAATCTTTAAAGATGGACCATAACCATCAATTTCACCATAAGCTGGAGATCTAGAATCACCAAATCTACCATTTGGGAAATCATCCCATGTAGCATCACGACCTAAAGTACCTTCACCTGATGAAATTGCCACAATATCTTTTTTACTTGGTGAAACAAATTTAAAATTGTTAACATCTTCAAAATCTTGAGAATCTTTTCTAATCTTATCAACAAGAACTTTATTTGAAGTATTTATACTTGAACTTCTTCTTGATTTTTCCTTTTTGGTAATGACTGGTATTTCTTCATCATCACTCATCACTGCATCTTCATCATCTTTATTATACTCTAAAACTCTATTTAATAAACTTGATTTCTCAACAATTTGAGCAATTGATTTCTCTAAATTCAATGTATAAAAATGGAAACCTTTAATCCTTCCATTTGTTCTTGAATAAATCTCATGAATCATATCACGTAAAATCTCAACACCAACAGATTTAACTTTATCATCATCATTTTGAATATTTTCTGGGAATCTATTCAAGATTTGTGTTGGAATTGAAGCATGTGATAATTTGGCAGCTCTATGAAATAATTGATAAGTGTTTATAGGCATTAGACCGGGCAAAATTGGGATATCTTGACTAATATTTGTTCTAACTAAACTTTCGAATTCCAAAAATTTCTCAACATCATAAAATAATTGAGTAATAATGAAATCAGCACCTGCATCAACTTTTTCCTTTAGGTATGGTAAATCTTTATTAACATCTTGTTCAGAGTTATCAGCACCTTCACAATGACCTTCTGGATATGCAGCAACACCAACACTGAAATAATCACCATATTGTTGTTTAATATATTTCACTAAATCAACTGCATATTGGAAATCAGCAGCATTTGGAACGAAATATTCTTCACCTCTTGGAGGATCACCCCTAAGAGCTAATATATTTCTGATACCTGCTTGTTTAGCTTTTGCCAATGCATTATCAATGATTGACTTATCAGTATTTGTACAAGTTAAATGCATACATGTTGTAAAGTCCAATTCTTTTTGACATGTTTGAACCAATGATAAGGTTTTCTCAGATGTTGAGCCACCAGCACCCCAAGTGATTGTGACAAATAATGGATTCAAAGCTGACATACGCTCCATACGAGCCAACAAGTTACGAATACCCTAGAAATTTTGTTAATATTTCTTCTATCTCCTTTCAACAAACTTAAAACAAAACATACAGATTCGGTTTTTGGTGGGAAAAATTCCAATGATAAGAATACTTCGCCATTTTTCAAGTTTTGGATCTTGTCCCTTATTGTAGGCATGATGTCTGATTTATTGCAATGCTTTCTTTAAAGGGTTCAAATGACGTTGAAATCAACACTTCATCAGAGTCATTTTGGCCAAAAAAGTGTGAAATAAGGCTGATCAAATCCGAGGGCTTCACAATATCACGTGAATTTGGCCCCGGTTCTGATCGTTAAAGTGTATAAACAATAATTTAATTTGGATTTAGATAACTGATAAATTAATTGGAACTTGGTCCTATCTTTTCTATGGAGAAATGCCTTTGTTTGTAAAAGATGACGAGGAGGAAACTGATGAACTTGTGTTGAATTTGAACAGTGTGAAAGATGACAATAAACCAGAAGAGCAAGTCAATGAAGATGAACAAGCTGAGTATCCATTGATAGAGAAAGAGGAAGAAGATTTGGTGGAACAGATAGAACCAGTCAATATCAGCTTAACCTTACCTTTGAAATTTCAACAGCTAATACTGGAGGACTTGGTCTCAGATGATTCACTTTTGGTATTGGGGAAAGGTTTGGGATTGGAACCTATTGCCGCTAATTTGCTACATACATTAAGTGCACCAGCAACAATTGCAAACGTAACCAAGAGAAGTCTTGTTATAGTACTTGGGGCAAATGATGAAGAGAATGAAAAAATATCAGAAGAATTAACAGAGCTTTCATGGATTGATGATGGTGCTGAAGATAGTAAAAGACCATTTGTCGTTATAAAGAGTGATCAATACTCATCAGATAAACGTCAAAAGTTGTATCAAAGTGGTGGGATCATGTCTGTTACCACAAGAATCTTCATTGTGGATATGTTATCAGGAATTGTCGACCCATCTAAGATCACAGGTATAGTGGTCTTGCATGCTGAAAGAGTGAATGATTTATCGAATGAATCTTTCATTGTGTATATGTACAGGCAAAAAAACAAATGGGGTTTTATCAAAGCTTTATCTGATACAGCAGAGGAATTTTCATCAGGATTTTCACCATTACACAAAAAATTGAAAGATCTTAGGTTGAAAAAAATCCTGTTGTGGCCTAGATTCCATATTGAAGTGACCTCTTCTTTATTGACAAAAGACACTAAAACTGTGACTGAAGTTAGAGTTTCAATGACAGAATCAATGAAACACATTCATACTGGTTTGTTGGGGTGTCTTCAGAAATGTATTGAAGAATTGAAGAGAAAAAACCCAACTTTAGCAATAGAATACTGGAACATAGAGAATGCACTTGACCCTCATTTCTTAGGGATCATACATATGATTTTAGATCCTAATTGGCATAGAATATCTTTTGATTCAAAACAATTGGTCAAAGATATTAAACTATTGAAAGATCTACTGCGGTGTCTCATATCTTATGATGCTGTTGACTTTTATGAAATGATTCAATTGGTGCTGGAAGCTAATAAACCCTCTGTTGATAAAAGAAACACAGAATCACCATGGTTGATGGCTGATGAATCACAAGCCGTTATTGCATATGCAAAGAAACGAGTTTTTGCTAATAATGAATATGTTTTGGAAGAAGCTCCAAAGTGGGAACAATTGGCAATATTACTAGATGATATTGTGTTGGAAAGATCTCATAATCCTCAAAAAGATGGACCAGTCCTCATAATGTGCTCTGATTCCAAATCTGCTTTCCAATTGAAGAGGTACATTTCTACAATGAAAGAATCAAAAGATACACAAAGATCGTTCTCAGCTAGAAAAATAATGGTTGATAAATTGCAAGCATATTTGGATTCCAAAGAAACAAAAGCAACAGTGACTTCAAAAATTCAAGAAGCTGCTGCAAAGGAAAATGAAGATCAAGAATTACACATTTCAAGAGCTTTTGCTAGAGGTCCAGTGACTTCAAAGAGAAGAAGAACTAGAGGAGGTGCTGCTGTCGCTGCTGTTGGGAGATTGATGAGCGCCCCTGTAGCTGGTGATGATATTGAATCAAAGATGAGCAAAGAGGATGTTGAAATGGAATTATTTGAATTAGATGCCAGTGATGTGGAAGAGTATGTTGCTGAAGAACGTGCAGAGATCTTGGAAGATGTGGAGGTATTGAAAGAGCAAACACCAAGTACTTTTTTCGAATATATTGACAGAGAGAATCAAGTGATTATAGAAAAATACAGCAGTAAAACAAATGATTTGATACTTCAGGAGTTGATGCCATCTTATATCATTATGTATGAGCCAGACCTTGCCTTCATAAGAAGAGTTGAAGTTCATCAGGCGAGCTATAAAGATAAAGGAGCAGCAAAGACATATTTTATGTATTATAGTGACTCTGCAGAGGAACAGAAACATTTGACTGCAATCAAAAAGGAAAAGGAAGCATTTACCAAGCTTATCAGAGAGAAATCAGCTCTTGCTTCGCATTTTGAAACAGATGAAGATTTCTCTAAATTCTCAATCAGGAAATCACAAGTCATGAATACAAGAATTGCAGGTGGGTCAACTTTTAGAACTTCAACTGATGAAGCTAGAGTCATTGTGGATACTCGAGAATTTAGAGCTCCATTACCAGGTCTTTTGCATAGAATAGGTCTGAGAGTTGTCCCATGTATGTTGACTGTTGGTGATTATATTGTCACGCCCAAAGTTTGTATTGAAAGAAAATCTATTCCAGATTTAATTGGGAGTTTCAAAAGTGGGAGACTATATGAACAGTGTGAGCGTATGTCCAAGTACTATGAATTACCAGCACTACTTATTGAGTTTGATAATAATCAATCATTCTCACTAGAGCCATTTTCAGAAACAAGAGTGAGACCAAATTCTGTCCAAGCACCTCACCCTTCTTCATCAAGTAGAATGCAAGATGAAATCCAAATGAATTTAGCAGCTTTAGTATTGAAATATCCAAAAATGAAAATTTTGTGGTCGTCATCACCTTATCAAACTACTGAGTTGATTATGGAATTGAAAGCATCAAGAGAAGAACCTGATATAGTGAAAGCTGTGAATGCAGGTTTGAAAGAAGATAAACAAAGAGCCAATGATGATACAAGTAGCAACATTGTGACATTATTACAAAACGTTCCAGGTATCACAAATATAGATTTCTATTCAATAATGAGGAAAGTTAAGGATACAAGTAAATTAGTTGAGATGACTCGGGATGAACTGGTCCAAACTGTTGGTGAGGATCTTGGTGAGAAGATTTATGATCACATTCAAGCCAATTATAAAGAATGATAAACTCTACACGTCTGTTTAGAAATCAAAAACCCCCTGTATCATTATATAGTACAGATTATTTATTTAATACAACAAATAAATTTATAATCAAGATAAAACGTTTTCAGTAACCCCTGAATTTATCTTTTTTAAATAGCCAGCTAATGTTAAAATTTGGCTTAGAATTGAAGGATCAATAGATGACAATAATGCTCCCAAGATAGAATCTGAAGGTAAAAATAATTTAGCCTTATTAAAGTCCTTTAGAGAACCATCATTATTATTATTAGCATACTCTAGAGCCTTTTGAGTCAATGTGTTCACTAATGTGAAAGATCTAGCAGATATCAATTTCAAAACCTCATTATCAGTTGGTTTTGATGTAACAGCAGCCAATGTTAATCCCAACTTTATTAAACCACTTCCAATACCTTCATTACTACTCAACCATTTCAAAGCTATATTTTCTGTTGCGACGTCATTTGGAATCATTTCAGAAATCAAGATTGATGAAATCAAAGATTGTAGTATAGCAGCATCTCTTTCTTGAATAACAGCATTCAAAGCTAAATTTGTTACTGGGAGAACTGAAACCAAAAATTTGAAAACTTTAGTTAATAATCTCAAATGACCATCAGGTTCACCAGCCAATAAAGCAACCAATCTCTTATTTTCTTCAACTTCAGCAAATGGTATACTAGTATCGTAATTACCAGTTAGCACAGCTTGAAATAGTGTTCTATTTGGAGGATCACGAGCAAGTAATTTAGCCAAAACATCAACACCATGACTTTGATATTTTTGAATAGATGGATTATACTCTGGTAAGAATAATTTTTCATCCTTGTAGTCATCAGCTCCAAAGGACAAAACCAACACTAGGACTGCTAGCACATCATTATGAGTTCTTAGTTGTACAAGGTGTGAAATATTCACCAAAATCATCAAAGAATCTTTAAGGAATCCTAATCTTCTTCTTGTATAGACGAATTTATCTGGGGATCTAGCAACAGCGTGAATCAACTTGAAGATAAAATCCTTTAAAAATTCACTATTAGCTAATGGAATTGCATTATGATCATAAAATGAAATATTTCTTAAAACCATTGAAATAGTGGTTAACTGATCAATTAATAAAACTTGAGGGTCATCAGCAGTTTTTGTATGAATTTTACTAAATGGATGTTCACTTTCAGAACGAACAGCAGTCAACATTTTTGAATATGATGGAATGAGGAATTGTTCAGGAAGTTCAAATTCAGCACTAGGAGCTCTTGTCACCTTTGAACTTGTAACTTTTGAAAACGAGTCATCCTCTTCTGCATCTGCATCTATAACTTCAACATCACCAAAACCATTACCAGATGATTGATTAATTGGCTCACCCGAGAATGAGTCAATCAGCACTTCAACTTCTTCCACGTCATTCTCGTTCTTCACGTACTTATTGAAAATATCATCAATATTAGATTGTCTTGAAGTTAAATCATTCAAATCAACTTTTTCAATACCAACCTCTTTTCTAGAATCTGAACCTTTCAATAACTGATCTAAAACTCTCAAACCTAAGCAAGCCAACGCTTCCAAAAACTCGGGACATTCATTAAGTGGTATACCTAATCCATTATCAGCAGACGTAACAAGAGCAGTGTTTAATGCAGTATTGATTTCAGAAGTAATACCAGAATCCAAACTCATAGTTAATGCATGAATATTTATAGCACCCAACTCAGGAGCAAATAGGAAAATTGGCTTAGCACTATCGATTTGTTCACCTAGATGATTTAGAGATCTGATGTCATAACCAGCATGATGTTCAACTAATCTTTGATCAGGGATGTAATTTCTAATAACATTAGGTTTTGATGGTACTGTAGGAGCTGCGACACCTGGTGATCCTTGTGATGGTTGGGACTGTGGAGGAGCTTGTTGTTGATTAGCATGTTCTCCAATCAATGGTGAGTTAACATTAGAACCTTTTTGTGAGCCACTCTTTTGCTTTTGCATTTGCGATGGTTGAAACTGTTGATTTGGTTGTGGAACACCCATTGGGCTACCGACACTAGAGCCAACGCTTGATCTAATATTGTTGACTTGTTGAAATTGCTGGTTTGGTGTAGGTATTTGAGACCCAGCTTGTTGCGGAGGTATTGATTGTTGTTGGACTTGAGGTGAGATATGCTGTTGAGGCATTTGTACTGAGTTTGGTTGAGCAGGATTAGGCTGCTGCTGTTGTTGAGGTTGAGGTTGTGGCTGAGGTTGTTGTTGAGGTGTATTTTGCGCCTGTTGTTGTTGTTGACCTTGTTTTAACTGTCTCAGAATAGCCTCATGCTGTCTTTGTATAGCTTGTCTTCTAGCTTGTAGATCTCTTTGGCCTTCAGGTGTTGAAGCATATTGTTCAAAAGGTAATAAATAATCAATGTAAGCTTGAGCCAAGTCTCTTGGAACTTGAGGATTATCAGCAGGTAATGCCAATTTTTGTGCAACAAAAGACCATTGTTGTTGTCTTGAAACTGAAGCTGAACCACCTAATCTAGCAACGATAGCATAAAAGAAAAATAAATGAATTTTCTTATCAGCAACAATAGGTATAGACGTTATTGGAGTACCTTTATTTTTCATGAAATCTGTCAAAGTCTTCATGAATAGTTCAATTTGTGTAGCACTAATCTGTTGCTGGATTCTTCTTTGTTGCATCTGTTCAGGTGTCATATTCTGAGATTGGCCAGGTACACCACCTGGGGGAGCCTGTTGTTGAGGTTGTGGAGCTTGAGGTTGTTGTTGTTGTTGGGGTGGGTTTGGGATCACATGCTGTTGCTGTTGAGGTGTTGGTGGAACGCTTGGATGTTGACTACCAGGAGTGTGATGCATATTCATAGGCTGTGTTGGTGGTCTTTGTTGTTGAGGTGGTATTTGATTCTGCTGAAATGGTGTTCCATTTCTGCTCATCTGATTTGGTGCTGAAAATTGTTGTGTATTGAACTGGTTTTGATTAGGTACTGGATTTGAGATCATAGGTGATTGCATACCACTATGCTGGCTTAATGGTGTACCGTTATTATGTGGTGTTGGAGGCATAGCATTTTGTTGTTGTTGCTGCTGCTGCTGCTGCTGCTGTTGTTGTTGTTGTTGTTGTTGTTGTTGTCTCAACTGTTGTAACCTCAAAGCCTGTTGTTGTTGTAGTTGTTGAAACATTTGCTGTTGTTGCTGCTGGTTGGACAATCCTTGATTATTTAGGCTTGGTGACATTGGTGAATTCTGTTGTTGTTGTTGTTGTTTATTCAACATCTGTTGCTGTAAGAACTGCTGCTGGAAACGATCTTGATTTTGACCATTTCTTTGTTGAAGAGCCGCGATCATAGCAGCTTTATCCATTGGTGCATTGGCATTGAACTGTGGTTGTGGTTGTGGTTGTGATTGGGCTGGAATATTCTGTTGAGGAACTTGGGAAGGTATAGTTTGGTTAGTGGTGGATGGGGAGAACACAGTAGGTGGAAACCCTTGGTTTTGAGGAACTTGTTGTGGCTGTTGTTGTTGTTGGAACATTGGACTATTATTTCTTTCTCCTAACAAACTTTGAATCAAAGCATTCGTGTCCTGTTGTTGATTTGGCCTTTGTTGTTGTTGTTGTTGAAGCTGTTGCATTTGCTGTTGTGGTGATTGTTGTGGAGGTTGACTTTGACGACGCATTTGATTCATCTGCTGTTGTTGCATCATTTGTTGACCTAGAATAGCTGATGGACTGATTCCCATATCATTGACACCTATTTGATCATTACCAACATTCCCACCAAAGTTGTTATTGATGTTGTTCATCTGTCTATTACTTCCTGCACTACCCATGCTTCTGTTTCTCAATTGATTGTTATTGATATCATTATTATCGTTAGCGTTGTTATTTCCAGCAGGATTATCACCGTCCAAGTAGTTGAGGAAGGACGACATTAGTTGATCATCTTGTTGTGAAGGTGGGTTGCCCCCAAAGCCATCATCATTCTTCAACTGTTCGTTGAGCCAGTACTGGTCTGACATTGTGTGTGCCCTTGTGTGTGTTGTTGACTCGGATCAAACCAGCTCGATAGACCAAAACGAATCGAATAGATTGTGTTTATAATTTCGTGTGCTTATTTCTGTTATGACCGTGTTTCCATATTCACTCGATTTTTTTTGCCAAACCTCTCTGAAGCCATTTCTGAGTGCTCAGATTTACACGGGGATAAACATATTTAACGGAATTTTCCGTGGGTAAATTTCAGCACTAACAAAAAAATACATACGTTGTCATGGTGACACAATAGCAGATTAAAGTCAACTACAAATCTATCTCGATTTATACTATATATTTGACATAAAAGATTGAAAGAGATGAATAGCACAAGAATGAGGGCATTTGAGTAATAACAACTGGATAGTCAGTAAAAAAAATAGAAAAAGCTTATGGTTTCTTACTGAAAAAATATCTAATAACAGCATACAGGTACCTCCAAACCAATTTATAAGAACGGAAATTTGTTATAAAAAAACTCAAAGAAAACTTCATTAAAAAAGATATGATAATAATATGGTATATTGGATGCAATTCATTGATTTGAAGTTCCTCATGACTATTATTAATTTGAACCCCAGTTAATACACCTACACCATCAGCTTGCAATTCATCCTCATTGATAACACCATAAGTAATTTAGATAGCTTCTAATTGAGCTGAAATTTCATCCAATTCAGCCTTAGCAGCAGCGTATTTTTCAGATAATTCTTCATATTTCTTTTCTAAATCTTCACGTTCGGATTCTAAAGAAGTAACTTTACGTTCCAATTGTTCAGCTTTCAAGTCAGTTTCACGTAATTTTTCAGTGGTTTCTTTCAAGTTTTTATCAGATTCTTCCAATTCTTCTTCTAATTGTTGATTCTTCTTTGTGAAGTTTTCGTTGTGTGATTTCAATGAATGAGATTCTTCAGCAGCAGTCTTATGTTCAGTGACTTGTTCTTCTAATTTTTCCAAGTTTTCTTCTAAAGTTTCATTCTTTCTGGTTAAAGCTTGAATTTGGTTATCTTTTTCAAGATTTTCTTGTTCTAATTCTTTAACTTTGACTTGCAAGTCATCATGTTTTTCTTGCCATTTTTCAGCATCCAATTTCAAGTTGGCGAGTTTCTAAGGATATGATTAGTACAAGCTCACAAACTGGTTACATCAATGGGGGAACAAGCAGCGTTGGTTGAAGTTGAATCTCTCAGATCAAAACCGACAACGTTTTACAGATCTAAAACAAAGAGATCAACAACATGGGACATCAGATCCAACCGCCTTTACAACACAATGCTCAATTGAATCATCTATTTGCACTTACTTCTTTTAATTTATCCATTTTGATTATTCTTTTTGATGTGGTGAGTTCTTGTGGGAAGAAGAATGAGGGTTGTGTTGGTACTTTTAAAGGAGGCAAAGAATGTTTTTGTTGTACGTGTACCAAAAAACGATCTGTGTTTTTTTCAGAAATTTGGGAATGTTTTGGTTTCGACAACTTTCGCGAAGAGGGATACAGCTGAGTAAGCAGTGGTCTTTTCGCGAATGCGTTCTGGGGAGGGTAAAAGAGTTCGTTTCGGCCGATGCGGTGCCTACCAGACCCATAAAGTGTTTAACCAGCCATCTCAAATATCTTGAATCAAATCTAGCATAATCCAGATCAAACTTCCTATTACAGCTGAGCGATGGTTAGAAAAAAAATGAAAATTAACCTCAACCTCTTTTGATTTATCTCCTTCCACCTTCTGTCAAAGGACTAAATCATTCAATCAACAACTAAACCACTACACACCAATTATACCCACACAATATGGTTGTGGTAGATGATGCTGTATATCCATCTTCATCTCACTATCACCACACAACTCCTCATCATCGGAGGTTCCCATCAATCCCAACTATAAAAGAAGTACCCAATAGAGGAGCTTTTAATCCAACTTATCATAAACATAATGCATTTGAATCTTCAACAAAACAATATCAGCATGAGTATAAACATTTAAATGATGAAGGTGATGAGATCATTTCCCCAGAAGGTAAAGCACCAACCATAGTATCAACAATTATATCGCCAACTGTCACAAGGCAGCATTCCTTCAAGAAAAAAAAGAGATATATGTTAAGCTCAAGGGAAGTTAAAAATCATTTTTTTTATCCTGTGAAAGCACCAAGAAGAAAAAGATCAAGAAGAGGTAAATTTAGAAACAGTGTGGAGTTAGATGCTAGTATGAACTATGTCAATATTGACTCCTCAATGTCAAAAGATTTGTGTTTAAATCAAAGAGTGAAAGCATATGAAATTTCATTGCCAGAATTGATCAAAATAGAACCAGCATTGAAAGAGACTACAAAAGCCATAACTATAGACTCAAATAATAATTACATCATATATACACCAGATCCAACAATTGGTAAGAATTCAGTGATATCAGATGCAGAACAACTATTAGATCAAGAACTATTGAAATTAGGTACACCAATTACATTCAATAAAGCAACTACTCCAGTTCTCCCACAATACAAATTCAATAGACCATTTTTCAACAGATATGATACTTACCCAATTGCTGGGAGCCATCAACTATTACGTACAAGATCATTGCCTTCAAAATGGAGAAAAGAAGGCTTACAAGATTTATGGAATCTATACCTACGGCGTGTGGTTGCAGCAAGGATCATGTGGAGATTAAAGCATATATCATCAGAGCCAAATTTGAAACGTGCCAGACCTAGTTTCTCAAGCTCGGTGGATACAGGGTTTTTCATAAATTCATTATTGAAGAATAATGAAATGTTACCAGCTCATAATTCTAAATCTTCATCTGGTACCATGAGTGATGATGAAGAAAGTGACAGTGATGTTGAAGAGCCAATCACTGATGATGATCATGAAAGTAGGATAGAGAATGATGATAGAACAAGTCATACTTCAAGAGGAAGTCATAGGTCAAGAGAAAGCACACAAGAGGTGTTGAGTTCCTTGGAAAGTTTGCTTGATGACATGAGGTCAATTATACAATAGTTTGATTGTGCTTAATATCGCTATGGCATTTTGAGCACTTTGAAGGTGGAGTTCTTGCTGGCGTCTACAAGTTTTTTTTGCATATAGTTAGGGTTTATAGGGTTTATTAATTAAATGGGATTGTTTTTGCTACATTAATGAGTATAGACTCATCTTCTTAATACATAAAGTACTTGGGCTTACCGGAATATTACATGATATACCAAATTATCAACGAAGAAGGTATATACATCTGAACTGTTTGTCACGTGACTCGTGGATTTTAAATTCTTTGAGGAACATATCAACACCAAAATCCAATGTTTTATTTAAAAAAAATTATATAATGAGCTTGAATGATCCTTTAGATGTACTTGCCTTTTTAAAATTCATCAAATCTCGAAAAATAATTTTTTAAAATTTCACAAAGTACTATCTTCAATATTTAATTTGAATCTCAATAATTTAAAAGCTTCAGAAAAAAATTTTTCAAAAAAAATTATAATCTTCCCCAAAGCCTTAAACTTCTTCTTCTATTATTTTCCAAGTAAAAAAATCCACTTTGGATAAATCCAGCTAGAAAGATGCCCAATAGTTTGAGAGATTAGAGCTAGATCGTTGTTTTCCCCAAATTTGCGAGCAGTTGACGATAATGGAGCAGTGTACAACCCAGCCCTATTCCTATCTGATGCCCAAAAAACTAGTAAAAAACTAAAGACAAGTTACTTTCTTTAATAGATGGAAAATCGCTCTGAAAATTCAAATTCTAGATCAAAAAATCCCAGAAAACTCTCTAATCCTTGATTCTTCTGTCATTCTAAACGTGTATCTAATGCGAATTCGCGAACAGTTCGACGTGTCCATAACAGCAATTCAATTTTTTTTTTTCAGCCTAAAAAAATTTGGTGGGTGATGAAAAAAAAATCAAAGACGAGTTGTTGAAATTTGACTATCAAAAGTTTACAAGAAAGGTTTCAAAAGACCATATACAAATCAGATAACCAAAAATGCCACCAAAGAAAGGGAAACAAAAAGAACCAGCTCCAAAGAAGGATGCTAAGAAGAATGCTGCAGATAAAACCTTCGGTATGAAAAATGTGAGTACAAATTATTAAATTGTGTCTAAAATTGTCCGAGAGACTAATAAGTACAATTATAGAAAAATAGATCCACTAAAGTTCAACAATATATTAAACAAGTTGAAACTCAAGTATCAGAAGCACAGATGAAGAAGAATGCTGCAATGGCAAAACGTAAAGCTGAAGAGAAGAAGGCTGCTGAACTAGCAAAGATGGAAGCTCAAAGATTATTAAATATGCAAGTTGAACAAAAAGTTCCATTTGGTGTTGATCCAAAAACTGTTTTATGTGTTAATTTCAAAAATGGTAACTGTCCAAGAGGTGCTAAATGTAAATTCAGTCATGATATGAATGTTGGTAAGAAAGCTACAAAGAAAGATTTATATACTGATGACCGTGCATTAAAAGAAGCTGATACTATGGATAAATGGGATGAAGAAAAATTAAGAAGTGTTATTAAATCCAAACATGGTAATCCAAAGACCACCACTGATAAGGTTTGTAAATTTTTCATCGAAGCTGTTGAAAATGGTAAATATGGTTGGTTTTGGGTTTGTCCAAATGGTGGTACTGAATGTAAATATAGACATTCTTTACCAGAAGGTTTTGTTTTGAAGACAAAAGAACAAAAAAGAATGGAAAAAATGGAATTGGAAAGTCAACCAAAGATTACATTGGAAGAATTTTTAGAAACCGAAAGACATAAATTACCAAAAACTGGATTAACCCCAATCACAGTGGAAACTTTTGCTAGATGGAAAGAGAATAACAAGATTAAAAAATTAAATGATAAAGAGAAAGATGGAAAGAAATTAACAGGTCGTGAAATCATTGAAAAGAAATTCTTGGATAAAAACTATTATGAAAATGAAGATGATGCTTCACAAGCATTTGATCTATCAGAATTTCGTAAAGAATTGGAGCCTGAAGATGACAACATTAAAGATTATGGTGATGGTAAGAATGTTTCATTTGAAACTAAAGAAGAAAAGAAAGAACGTGAAGCTGCTGAATCAAAAGAAAATGGTGATAATGCTAAACTTAACACACAAGCTGTTGCTACAGAACCTGTAGAGGCTAGTGGTTAAGTGTACTACAATCATGTTTTTTTTGTTTTCAATTCCCTTAAAAAGAAATAATTCAAATTATTTATTTTGCATAATTATGTTGGTTTCATTTGTTGATTTTTTATTATTGATCCTTCTCATCTTTTTGTTCTCATACATCGTCATGGATACCTTTGTATAATGGTTTTAGTGTTTTAATTGCAGCTTGTTCGTCTCATAAGTTTTTTTTTTGGCATTTTTTTTTTGAGCACTCTCCTATGTATAATTTATTAATAACTGTTAGGTTTGTGTGCTTATTTCTCAGCTTGTAGAATGTTTTGAATATCGTCATGAATTTCATCAATGTCATTATATAACTTCAATTTTATATTTCCAGCTTTTTTCAAAACAATCAGTGAAGTCAAAATACGACTTATCCATTCATCATTTGTTTCTTCATTGAATGGGACATCTGAATTGAATGATTTAGCAGCAGACAGAGTCTTTGAAGTAAATGACGCAAGCTTAGATCTTGGTGGTGGTGTTGGAACTGGGCGTTTAGGTAATGTTGGTGGATTTAGATCTGAAGATGCATTTGTAGATGAGGATGATGGAGGTGGTGACTCAGGCTTTGTTCTAAGAGATTGAGGCTTTTTAGGAATCGTTGGTGGTTTTCTTTTTTCATCAATATTTTTCTTTGCAAAATCATCAGAACCTTCCTCTAAATCAATTAAATTTTTAACAACTTTTTCAGATTTTTCTTCAGATTCTTTAACCAATCTTTGCAAGTTTTCCTTTGAAGCTTGTTCTTTTGAGATGATATCTTCCTCATCATTCAAATCTATTAGATCCTTCTCATGTTTGACTTTTTCAATTTTTTCCACAAATTTCTTATCACTCTCAGAGAGGTTTCTCTTATTCAAGATATCCAAAACTAATTTCAGTGTATCAATATTTATAGAATTTGGAGCCACTCTCAAAAAAATACCAGCAACTTTCTCAGGATGCAGACGAGCAATATCAACATACGCTTCAAGATCTTGTTCCGAAGTATCACCAATCAAGAAAAATTTCTTATCAGAGAAATGGTCAAATATTCTCTCTAATGGAACTTTCTTCCTAGCATGAGAAGGTTCCATGAATGAGTTTAAGATGTTCCCTGTATATCTTTTCAAATAAATTGCACCAGGAGGGAAATCAAACATTTTAAAGAATTTCATTAAATTTGAATATAACTGATAGGGACTATTTGAAACATAGAAAAATGAAACATCATACTTTTGATTTAAAAATCTGAACCAATCTGCAACACCGGGTACTTCCCATGTTGACATATCATCAGCAAAAGTGTTTCTGAAAATACTTCTTTTATCACCACACACACCTGTGACTTTTATTGTATCATCAATATCACTGACTATAGCATATTTGTTTTTACCAGGAAACAATACATCTTTGAATTCAAATATTTTTTCATCTTCGCTGACTGCAACTTGAACATAGCTTGGTTTGAAATTTGTAACAACATCAAGATTAAAATTCCCATTATTATCAGTTAAAATTTTCAAAGTTTTGATCTCATCTCTTTTTGAACCACCAATTGCAATATTCAATTCGAGATTTCCAATAGATCTGTTTACAAAATTTGCAATTCTTTCTTTCAAAACCTCATCAGTATCAGAACTTGCAGAAGATGGTGGACCATCACTTAAGGAGCCTGCACTTGAAGCAGTACCGGTCCTTCTCACAGAGGACACATCAGAAGAAGCCAATGACGCAGAATCAGATTGTGGTTGATCTTGGATACTATTGATTTGTTCATCTAATTGGCCTGCTGTAGCATCTGATACGACTGCATTATTTGATTTACATAATTGTCTTGCTAATGACATTATGATTCTTTTCTTTCTGGATGACCCATCAGAAGCATAAACCCAGCCATGAACTTGTGTATAGAAATCTTCTCCATTATCACCTTGTCTTGTAAAATGAGGATAAAGTAAGATTTGAGCACCTTGATAATTCTTGTTGGGTATAGCACTATCAGTTTCATTATAGTTAAGCGCCTTATTAGTTGCTTCACTTGCCAATTGAGTTATTGTGGATGATAACGATGGGATATAAACATCTTTGGTGGTTTTAACCATATCAAATAATCGCTGTCTTCTAGAGAATTTGTTTGCTTGTTCAGACATTTTGGATCTTTTTGATGTTGATTCCTTTATTCGTGATTTCCAAGCTCTTCTTTTCAAATAATGAGCTAAAGTTGCCTTTGCTATTGTTTTCAAAGGTTTAAGACTAATATTTCTAGTTTGGACCAGCTGAATTGGAGGCAATCCCTGGCTTTTGGAAGCCTGTTGATAGAATCTTGCCGATTGAAGAAACAACTTTGCGGGCCAAGAGGGATTGCGTTTTATGGATTTGTAGGGTCAGAATTGGAAGTGACCTTGAAACCGCTGATATTATGACACTCTTGAGGTGCTGGATGTAGCTCAAATAGGAGTATTGGAGGGAGTGAAACTGTGCTTAATGTCTCTGTTGTTATTGTTTTGGCACAATCAAAAGGATTTTCAACAAACAACAGCAAAAACAAAAATGTCTGTCACTAGAATACGGGCACGCAAACACCCTGAAGAAGCTGGAGTTTGGAGGAATTGAGATTAAATGATTATAAGGGTGGAGTAGAGAGTTGCCATGGCTGTTGCATTTGTATTCAAAGCTAATTAAAACGAGCTGGTTGATTTTGGTAGGTTATTAATGATCATGCCCATTAAGGTATTATTACTAGTGCCCCAATGATATTTAAATAGCTATATTGATGTATTGTTGACAAAAACTAGAGACGTCAAATATATATATTAATAATGTACAGGAACTCAACACATGCAATTTATAAATGATTATTGATTGAAAACAATAAGGACTATATAAGTATACACAGTAATAATAATGAGCTTTTTAATAAGTGGCTACTGCCCTGTATATAGTAGAATTTGAAGTTCGTAATATAACAGAGTCTAACAATCACATGCAGAAATATTAATATTTTCAAGCTATACTAATTGATAGTTATAAGTACCACTAAGAATATATCAGTCGAGACTGCTTAATGATAACAAAACTTTGCGATTTACTAATTAACATTAGAATTAATGGTAGGTATTACTCAACATTTCGTTGACCACGATAATTAAGCGTCCTCGACATGTTTCGGTCATAATCGGTGGTTTGTATGGCTTTGTACGATGGATGGGCTGTTTAAAAATGATGATTAAAGCACTCAGCCACCGAAAACACTGTGATAAAATCGAGTAAGCCCGGAAGCTGATTAATCTTTGGAGTTTGAACTCTGGAATACCGATAAAATTTTGCCCAGGGACCAGGATTCAGATTTGAAATCAAAATTCAAGGCACTCCGGATTTACAGGAGAAGGTCATGGTATCACCGAGAGGCTTTGATTGTTGAACACGAAACAATAAAGAGAAAAAAAGTATATAAGCTAGGCAAAATGTTCTATTATCTCCACATCCTCTATGATTTAAACCATCATTGAATAAGTTCATTGAATAAGTTAAGTTAAATCATCATAATGTCTGGAAAAGTTTACTTCATCTCAGGTGGGAACCGTGGTATTGGATTCGAATTTGTTAAACAATTATCATCAAACCCTGAAAACACCATCATTGCAAGTGCAAGAGATATTTCAAAAGCTACTGAATTGCAACAATTAGCAGATGCTCAAGGTAATATTAAGATTGTCACTCTTGATGTTGCTGACCAAACTTCAATTGATGCATTGGGTGCTCAATTAAAACCAATTGCAAAAGATGGTATTGATGTTATGATTTCAAATGCTGGTATTGCTCAAACTGCAGCTTTTGCCCCAGAGACAAAAAGGGAAACTTATGAAATCCATTATAGAACAAATGCTCTCGGTCCAATTTTCTTAACCAAAGCACTTTATCCATTTTTAAAGCAAAAAGAAACAAGACATTTGGTTTATATTTCAAGTGATGCAGGTTCTATTGGTGCTCAACATCCAGTAACCACATCTGCTTATGGTCAATCCAAAGCTGCGTTGAATTATAGTGTTAAGGAAATCAGTTTTGAACTAGGTGCTGAAGGTTTCGTTGCAGTCGCCTTACACCCAGGAGCAGTTGTTACTGATATGGGTCAAGAAGCAATTGCAGCTTTCCAAGAATACCAACCAGCATTATTGGAGCAATTCAAAGACATCATTAAGCAATACCAACCTGAAGAAAGTGTCAAATTATTATTGGATAATGTCATTTTAAACTTGGACAAAGAAAAAAATGGTAAATTCTTCAACCTTTTAGGTGAAGAGATCGTCTATTGAGCAAATACCAGATGTTTCAACTATTGTGAGCAGCTCAGATTGCGTGTGTTGTTAATAAAATCTTATAAATTTGTCAGGATAATTGTCGTAATCAAGTGTGACCTACCAGTCATTGTATGAATAACTCAAACACAGTTGAATTCTCTGCGAATTAAACTATTTGATGGCATCGAATTGTTTCCATACAAATCCGATTTCTCTATAACGCTTGAACTCCAGAGCTTGAAATCCAGTAGCTTAGACAGGAGGTAACTTTTACTCATGAGTCATGAATGAATTGACACTTTCAACTTTCAACCATGATCAAAAGTAAGTAATGGTACATCAATCGATTCAACGGAACGTACAAAGCATTTGAAGATAGATCGCGAATTCAATCTACAATATTTGCATTTAGACTTTAAACGAAATGGCCATTTGAATCCGTTATTCATAACCAGTGATCAAACAAGACTCTCATAATCGAACTCTATATGGTCAACTCACCTTCAAATCAAAATTTAAACGAACATCATCACCATGCTACTCGGATAAATGAAAGCACAGCTAGCTAAAAGTTAATCCGTGGGATGTCCGTGGGGTGAAGGAAGTGACATTTTTTTTTATTTGTGTGATAAGGCTAAACAGGACGTATGAAATGAACGAGTATATATAAATGAGCTTGAGCCATTCTCAAGAGCTACTTCCCATATAGATAAGACGTGACATGATAGTATGGTTGATGTTACACTAGGACAAGTCATTTGGTCTGCTGTGAAGCCCATTATCAAAATCTATTTAATCATTGGTACTGGTTTTTTCTTAGCAAAACGTAATATCTTAACAGTGGAAACTACAAGAAATATATCTGATATCATCCTAACTATATTGTTACCATGTTTGGTGTTCAATAAGATTGTATCTAATATAGAAGATTCAGATATTAAAAATGTTGGTATAATTTGTCTTTCATCTGTGATTATATTTGGTACTGGAGGTTTATGTGGTATTATTGTTAAATTAACAAGTCCTGTACCTAAAAAATGGTTTGGTGGATTATTAGCTGGTGCAATCTTCCCCAATATCTCAGATATACCAATTGCCTATTTACAAACTTTAGATACTGGGTTAGTGTTCACCGAAGATGAAGGTAATAAAGGTATTGCACATGTTTGTATCTTTTTGGCAATGTTTACATTATGTTTATTCAATATCGGTGGATTTAGATTGATTGAATATGATTTTAAAGATATCTTGAACCCTGTTGTTGATGAAGAGAATCAAAATGAAAAACTTGAATCAAGTGAAGGGACAAGAGTACCTACAAATGAAGAGGAACAAGCTATAAGCGATGTGAGCGGGAATGATGATGAAAGTGATGAAAGTGACGATGATTTATCATCATTATCACAAACCCAACCACCAAAAGATCAAACACCAATTGCATTAACAAATGAAAATAATAAAGTTCATAGAAGAAACACCATAGATCAACAACAATTACGCACGTTAAGAAACCGTCATCAATCTCGCCGTCGTAATTCATCAATATCAACAACAAGAACTTCAATGAGCAGAGTCCCCACAGCTCAATCACAAGCATCAAATCTATCATATTATTCAAGAATGAGAACCCCAGATATCCGTCGTATGCCATCACAAACAATGAATGATGTTGTTAATGAATATTCAGAAATTGATAGATTACACACTATAGATTCTCAACCCCCAAGATTATCAGAAGTATTGACAACAGATGTTGGTGTTACAGGTGAAGATATTGAAAAAAGTGGACCACCTTTTATGCAAAAATATCATTTAGGTATTATAGTGTTTTTTTTGAAAAATTGTCTAAGACCATGTGCATCTTCATTAATTGCTAGTTTAGCAATTGCATTCATTCCATGGGTCAAAGCATTATTTGTTAAAACTACGGTTTATATGCCTAATGCACCTGATGAATTACCTCCTTTGAATTTCATAATGGATTATACATCATATGTTGGTGCAGCTTCAGTCCCATTTGCATTAATTTTATTAGGTGGTTCAATTGCCAGATTAAAATTGGGTAGTTTATATCCAGGTTTTTGGAGAGCTTCGCTGTTATTAGTTGTGCTTAGATTATGTGTTATGCCTATTTTGGGGGTATTATGGGTCAATAGATTAGTTTCATCAGGGTGGATAGATAAAGACGATCATATGTTGATGTTTGTTATCATGATTAGTTGGGCATTACCCAGTATGACTACCCAGGTTTATTTCACTGCATTTTACACACCATTGGATGCTGAGGATAGGACACAGATGGATTGTGTTTCTGTTTACCTTTTGATGCAGTATCCGTTATTGGTGATTTCATTACCGTTCTTGGTTACCTATATAGTTAAAGTCCAATTTGCATAGAATCGATATACGCTTTATTCTCCATAGTTAACTCCGCTAAAGCAGCTATGTGTCAATGCAGGAGAGAACCGTTACGATGTAGAACCGTGAATAGAAGAGATGGAAATAGATTAGATCAGATTAAATTAGATTAACCAAACTAAATCTATCCAATTTAGCCTAATCAATTTCTTTATCCTGTTTTCTAATTCCTGTTTTGTCCACCCAACAATACACGGGCCCATAGTTAATGAGTTGCTTTGGAATGCACCACAACCAATACACACCTCTGGAAATCCCAAAACCTAATTACATCCCTTTTTTCTGAAAAAAACCACATTTCACTAACATTAATCAAGTAAATCTACTATACTCAATTACTAGATACAAAGATAGAAGAATAATGTCATCTGCAGCTTCAAAAGTCTCAAGTGGTGAGGAAACCAAATCCGCATTCATCATTGATTTCTTAATGGGTGGTGTTTCAGCAGCTATTTCCAAAACAGCAGCTGCTCCAATTGAACGTGTTAAATTATTAATCCAAAATCAAGATGAAATGATCAAACAAGGTCGTTTATCCCATAAATATAACGGGATCATTGATTGCTTTAAACGTACTGCTGCTGATGAAGGGGCCATCTCATTCTGGAGAGGTAATACTGCTAATGTTATTCGTTATTTCCCTACTCAAGCTTTAAATTTTGCCTTTAAAGATAAATATAAAGCAATGTTTGGTTATAAAAAATCTGAAGGTTATTGGAAATGGTTTGGTGGTAATTTAGCAAGTGGTGGGTTAGCTGGTGCAACTTCATTATTATTTGTTTATTCATTAGACTATGCAAGAACTAAATTGGCCAATGACGCTAAATCTGTTGCTAAAGATGGTGGTGGTCGTGAATATAAAGGGTTGTTGGATGTTTATCGTAAAACTTTAGCTTCTGATGGTGTTGCAGGTTTATATCGTGGGTTCTTACCTTCAGTTGTTGGTATCATTGCTTATCGTGGGTTATATTTTGGGTTGTATGATACTTTGAAACCAACATTATTGACTGGTAAATTACAAGGTAATTTCCTAGCTTCATTCTTATTAGGTTGGGCTGTTACTGTTGCTGCCTCTACTGCATCTTATCCATTAGATACCGTTAGAAGAAGAATGATGATGACTTCTGGTCAAGCTGTTAAATATGCTGGTTCTTTAGATGCGTTCCAAAAAATCTTGGCTGCTGAAGGTGTTGGATCTTTGTTTAAAGGTGCTGGTGCCAACATCTTGAGAGCTGTTGCTGCTGCTTTGGTTTTGTCATTGTATGATCAAGCTCAAATCTTGTTGTTGGGTAAGAAATTCAAATGATCATGAGGGTGCTCAAGTGACCGATTTATCTCTTTTTCAATTGCTTCAATTTTATGACTTTTAAAAATTATGTTATACTATATGATATATTCAGTTCTGATACTTAATATTATGATTATTTATGTTCTAAATGTTTTGATGTACGTTGGTGGAAATGACAGATTCCATGGGCAGATAAAGAAATGTCGAGAATTTTCATCAAGAGCTCAGGCAACATTCCATAAAGAACATGTGCAAGATAAAGGATAGAGTGAGTTGATTTGGACCTTTAAGTATTTCTGATTGTTATTCATGGGTCAGTTGGACCTATGACTAGTTGAGCTTGGGTTATTCTCTTACTAAAGAGCCGAGTTCTACTGAAACTACTATCCCAAAGACTACGCCAAACATCAATCCTGCAACCCAGCACAGGAACAAATCCATCATCACCTTTATCCTCATCATCATCTCACCACTCTTCTCTCTTCTCACTTCCAATCTTCATTCTCGCTTAAATAATTCCATATACTCACCACCATCGCCCGTAACCATACCCGATCTGGTGAAAAGTAAACACCTCCAAAAGGTACAGATCTCAGCTATCACCAACCACAATTTTTTCCTTTGCTGTCTTGTGGAAGCACACTCGAAACAAGCACATGAAATTGCGCTGACATTCCCAAAGCATCCATTCTCCAGATCATCACTCATCACATTCCTTGGAGATAACGAAGAGAAGCGCAGGAAATAAAAATTAAATATAACTCAACGAAAAGTAACCATGGAGGAACTACAACCAGATGAAACTAACAACAACAGTACAATGATCAAGGGAAAGTTCAAAAAGACTGTTCTGAGAAGAGATTCGAATTCTGCCCCGTTCAGACCAGCACCTATAGAGGCAAAACCTAGTGACTCTTCAATACCTACAAGTGAATTAACTTCGTTATCGAGACCTCGGACAAGAGATGATGAGAGTATATTTGTCAATACTGGTAAAGTGTCACCTGTGATTAAAGAACCTCCTAGGTTTAGCAGAAGAAGTACTTTCAGTGAGGAATCACCATTAAGAAAAACCAGTGATGTTGATGACGATAACACTGCAATTGATGAATTCATTGATCGTTTGAATATTGGTAAAATTGGAGATTTTTTGAAAAAAATAATCATTGCAATTTGGAAAAGATTACAGAATTCAAAATATATCAATTCTGATAATGATGGTAGAATTCATTTACAATCTTTTTGTATTGGTGTTATTTTAACAAGTGTTGTTGTCATGATTCAACCTTTTTTGGTGGTGTATCTTGATTCATGGATTGTGTTACTTGGAAGATTATTTAAACATTTAATGGCTTGGGTAATGGTTGCTGCTGTACTGTCATATGCTTTCAATACATCAAAGAAGGCTAAACAAGATAAGGAATCACATGAAGCTGTTTCACCACGGTTGAATAATTTTGAAAAATTGCATTATAGAGTGAAGAACAGTTCAAATAATAGTTCAAGATCAACATCTCCAACAAAAACACTCAAGAATAAGAATGGATCACGTCCAAGTTTTTCAAGACAAAGTTTTTCATCAGCTTCAATACCAAGAAGAGATTCAACTGATAGTTATAATGATCAAATGATATTAATGAATATAACTGAAAGAACCCAACAAGATGAGAAATTTAGAATTGATCATCACAATAGTGATAAACCAAAAGATAATTATGAAAAATTTATGGATGTTGCATACAAGAAGAATCAAGAACATGATATTTATAATAAATTTGTTAATGATAGTAAAGAAAACGTGAGAAGGTTAAGCAAGCATTAAAAAGATAGCATAGTATATGATATTAATGATAATGAAATTATGAATGAAGAAAATATTACAATGTAGGCAGTTATCTTTTCTTAAACCTTTTTAAATTAATTTTATAAACAAAATTTTTTGAACCAAAAACACAATTTCTCATTTCATTTTTGAATCTCCCTACAACCAAAATCTATTAATACATTAAACAAATTATATTTGATTGATAATCTTAAAAGTTTTCACCTGGGATTTCGAAAACAACTTGTTTACCAGTTAATTTTGAGTAAACAGATTGGAATGAATCTAATTTATAATCAATTGAAGTGGAATCTTTTGAATCTAATAAAACTTTTTGGATTTTGTTACCACCAACCAAGTATCTAACTCTTTTACCAATGATTTCAGTTGGGAAAACTAAATCTTCCAAGATTTTATCATGAACAGCAGTTAAAGTTCTTGATCTTGGTCTTTTTTGAGTTTGTCTTGAACGACGACCTGGTTTTGGTAAAATACGACGTTCAGCTAAGAAAACAACATGACGATCTGGGAATTTTTTTTCTAATTCACGAGTTAATTTAGTTTGAACTTTGTGGTAAGCTGATAAAGATGGAACTGGAACAAAGATAGCAATGGCTTTTTTACCACCAGTAACTTCAATCTAGATAAATATAGTTAGTATGGAACATTATTTCCAAATCATAACGAGAATTCAAAGAGGTCAGGTGAGACGTTATAGAGGTCAACAAGATAGGGTTGTTTCCCAATATAATCTCGGTTGGTGCCTCAGAATTCCTGTTATTTTGGTCATAATTTCATCTATTTTCAATCTTCTAGTGATTAATATATTATTTATCACATAAAATATGAATAGAAAACAAAATTAGACTAGTTGTTAGTATAAAGTAGTATTTCTCATTTTACTTCTAGTATTCCATATGATAAAAAAAAATATTGAATCCTTTTGAAATTTTTGAAAATAAATTGATAATGACCATAATGATTCCCATATGATGTGTTTCATTCTTTCTCTTCTTCTTGAAGTTCATATCTCCTCCCTCTTTGATATATTCTCTTATGTTAACAAGTACATACTTCTCTGATAGATTTGAATTGTAAAGTTCTTAAATCAGCTTTCAATTCTGGAGAGTTACCTTCCAAGTCAACAAAGGCTTGAGCAACTTGTAATTCTAATTCACTTGGGTTTTCTGAAATGATCTTTGAAGCAGCGGACATGATGGAAACCTTTGGTATTAATGCTCTGTTGTTATCAAAAGTACTTCTAACTAGGTGTTGAAGAAATTATGTTTTCAATTATTTTCACGATGGGTATGAATTTTCACCAAAAACAAGGTCTCGTCCCAAAAGGGAAATGGGACTGGTGAAAATTTCAGCGTGTGCCCATAGTTAAGGGCGGTAGGGGCAACGAAATGTATGAGAGCGAGATAAAATGTCTGGATGTGTTTTGAAATGGTGATATTCGCGAATATTATGTTTTCTATAGCCCTAACACGTATCAGGTGATTATGAATAGGACCTTCAAGGGCTCGATAATAGTTTAAATTACATTTTTGATTTGACAATAAGAACAACATGTTTATGAATTGGGAACACGCAGCGTATTTAGTATCAGAGTGAAAGTGAGGCTTTGTAATGACTGGTTCAGGTAGACAGCGGTCAGTGGGCCAGTGCTTTCAGTTGACTTTAGGTATAGAGCAGTTTATCAGTAAAATTCTTTGACGTGTGAGTCGTGGAGCTGTTTGACTAGGTCAACAACGTTTAAAGCACATCCTAGTTCATTTTGATAAAAGCATGTTAGATTTCCCTAGACAAAGTATATAGAATACCTAGAGTCCAAAAGAGATCAACTACATCATAAAACACAACCACAAGTAATAAACTAATGCTCTTTTCCAGATTAATCACATGGACTTTGTACTTGACATGGACATAATCAATTGTACCCATTCTCCAGATGATGAACAATACATTCAATACACATTTAATAACCTACACATGATCAAAATAAATCCATCCTCTTAATACCAACAACCTTTAATCCTACATGTTTATCACACTAAACTTCTCCAGATTTTAAGTGTTTTTAGCAAGAATTTACCCTCTTAAACGAGATGAATCATGGGGGCCCTTTTAGCCCTTCGGTCTTCATCAAACCATTGATCCAATCATTCCTCACAAAACCACACCTTTTTTAAATATTCTTCAACTTCATTGTATGTTTAAGAGATCAATCTTTCAATTATCAAAGACCAGATCATTCCATACAACCCAAACATTCAAAATGCCATTAATTCCATATTCTGAATTACAACCATTATCAAATCCAACTGAAGAGAGTAAAAGACTTTCAGCTTATAAAGCAGTTGATGAAAATTTACCAAAAGATGCTAAAGTAGTCGGTATAGGTTCAGGCTCTACAGTTATCTATGTTGCTGAACGTATTGCCCAATATGATCATAAAGATGAATTTGTTTGTATTCCAACTGGGTTCCAATCTAAAAATTTGATTGTTGATAATGGATTAAGATTAGGTGCTATTGAACAATATCCAGAATTAGATATCGCATTCGATGGTGCAGATGAAGTGGATTCCCAAGTCAATGCTATAAAAGGTGGTGGTGCTTGTCTTTTCCAAGAAAAATTAGTTGCCTATTCAGCTGCAAAATTTATACTAGTTGCAGATTATAGAAAGAAATCTCCAGATTATTTAGGTGTTCAATGGACAAAAGGTGTTCCAATCGAAGTTGTTCCAATTGCTTATATCCATATTCAAAAACAATTGGAAAAATTAGGTGCTCAAACTGTTACTTTAAGACAAGGTGGTACTGCAAAAGCTGGTCCTGTTATCACAGATAATATGAATTTTATAATTGATGCTCATTTTGGAACAATTCAAAACCCTGTGGAATTACATCAAAAGATTAAAAACTTGACAGGTGTTGTTGATACTGGGTTATTTATTGGACATGCCGATAAGGCTTATTTTGGTGAACAAGATGGTAGTGTTGTTATTAGAACTAAAGAAGGTGATAAACATGTGATTGTGTGATTATTATTTAATTAAAACAATTGAAAGAAAGTTAATATATGTATATGAAATGATGAATTAAAAATTTGGAGGGTATATGTGTAAGAAAATGTCTCTTTAATTTGGTGTTGTTTTTGGTTTAAAATTATTAGAAATCCAACTCAATCCTTCTATCAAACCTTGTCCAGTCAATGCATTTGTTCCAATAACTGCATATAATTGATCTTTTGTTATATTTTGTTTCAATTCTAAAAATTCTGAAATCTCTTTTGGTGACATTGAATTTTTCAAATCTTGTTTATTTGCAAATACTAGTAATAAAAATCCCTTTGTTGTTGCATTCCCACTCAATTCACTTAAAACTTTATACAATTGTCTTTTGGATTCTTCTAATCTTGTTTTATCAGAACTATCAATGACGTATATCAGAGCATTAGTCTTGGGGTAATAATGTCTCCATAATGGTCTTAATCTATCTTGTCCACCTACATCCCACATATTAAATTTGACATTTTTATATTGGAACGTTTCCACATTGAACCCTACCGTTGGTGCTGTTGTTTTTCTATTAAGTCGTTAGCTTATAATCCATTGGGGGCTTTATATCAATACTCACATTTTGTTTAATTTTAATTTGTATAGAATGGCTTAAATGGTTAGTTATATTTCTTTTAAAACTCTTGTTCTTCAACTCACTTGTTTTACCAGCAGAATCTAGCCCAAGCATCAGTATTCTAATATTTGTTAGAGCTGGTTTTCCTACATTAACACTGATGAAAACTCACTTCATCTCTTTTGTACCAAAGAGTTTCCCCTTGTATATGTTAGTCATTGTTCATGTATCCTACTAACCATTAAACTCACCATTATTTTTGAAACTGAACCACCCATTTTGACTTCTCTATATTATATCTATAACTCAACGACCCAACCAACTTATCAACTGAAGGAATAAGAATTCAACCCAATATTTACACTTTTTTTGCAGTGTTTTCATGAAATTTTAGATGCAGCATGAAAAATGTGTTGTGGTTTCAAAAACGATTTACAAAAATTTCCAAATTTGTCAAATTAACAAAATTTCGTGTTTTTGGTGTCATGAAAACGTTTTTACAAAGAAACGATGGGAATAAAGTATTGGAAATGCCTCGAAGTGATTAAAATTAATCGTAACTCTTTTCCAATGTTCGAGCTTTCGAAAAGTTCAGAGCCTGGAAGTACGTATTCTAAAAACGCGTCTCAGGTTTACGCGTCTCACCCAAGTTTCAGCCATTCAAATCTATACATTTTGAACATAACTACTTGGAAACAACCCACTGCGTCCATCAACTTCACCCAGGGTCCACCCACCATCGTCACCTTTAAGTACTTCTATTTTCTGACCAGCAGTAATACTCAACTCATCATCGCCATCTGCAACATAATCATATAATGCAACAACATATGTAATTTTCTTTGCACCTTTTCTCGGTGTAACTTCTGGCCCCTTCTTCTTAGCACCCCCAGAAGATTGATCCACTTGAATATAACTTGATGGAACAAGCCCTTGTTCTCCTGTATTTGGTCTACTAACCAATGTCCAACCATTATCATCTGGTGAAACAACAACCAATTGTTCATTTGCATCGATTGATATCTCATCATCACCATCAGCTTGATATGGGAATAATGCCATGGCCATGGAGACTGAATTGTTTGTGGAACTTGCACTGCTTTGTTGTCTATTACGACGTAATGAAGGTAAATGGAATCCAGTATGTTGAGATTTGGCAGATCTAATACTATGAGAATCATCAAATGTATTGGAAGTGGGAGCAGCATGTGTATCCACTATTCTTTCTTTTGGTTTAGAACCACGTAATTTCCCAAATATGTTTGTCTTCTTTTTTTCTATTCTTAAACCATCAAGTGAAAGATCTTTATCATTTGCATTGTTTTCTATTGTTTCAATCTCCACTTGTGCAGAGACTTTAACATTTTCATCAATGATGAAATTTGATAAAGTGAATAAATAACCATTTAATGTATCCATTGAATTTTTCAATTCAAATTCTTGAATATCTGATTTTGATTTTAATTGTAATCTTTGATTTTGTAATTCATTTAATTTTTCTCTTGCTGTCTCCAAGATTGAATCATATTTTGAATTTGTTTGATTAGCTTTTAATAAAATTGTTTTCAAATAAGTTAATTCTTGATCTGAAGTTATAAAATGTTCATCATCATGCCATATTGAAGATGGAATATAGTAAAAATCTTGAGGGTCTTTCCAATTGACTTGGTTATGCTTGATAAACATTTGAGTATCCAAGTGATGCTTATTTTCTGAAATGATTTGAATATTACGTTCTAAATTTTTGATATCTTTATTATTATTGTTGATTCCTAAAGTGTTTGATAAGTTTAATAATTTGTTTAATTGTTTTGTTTTGAATTCATTTAAATCTTGTAAAATATCTAAAACTTCTGGTAAATCTTGATAATAAAATTTATCTTTAATTCTATTTGCAATATTAATTTTCAAAAGATATTCATTTTTAGCATTATTCATTTCTAATTGCTTTTCATTAACTTTTTTTTGATGCTTTTCACGATTTGAAGATTTTTCAGCTTTTGATCTTGTTTGTTCCATTGTGGTACAAGTTTCATCATATTGTTTTTTAGCTTTATTAACTTGTTCAAAAATTTCATCTTTCTTCTTTGTTAAACTATTATTATGGAAATTTAAAACTCTTTCATGTAACATTGTTAAATGTTTTTGTAATGCAACTATTTGATCTGAGATTTTAATATTGAATTCATTACTTAGATTATGATGATTTTTGGCAATTAATTCAGTTTGAGATAAAATTTCAGTCCATGTAACTAATGAAGCAGACTCTAAAGAGCCTGGGGTAATTTTCGGTTCATCACCAACACTGATAGCAGTTGTCTTATTAGCCTTCTTTTTAAGATATTCTGCAGTTAATTTTTGTAAATCAGTAGCATATTGTTTCTCTAATTGTGACCGTTGTCTATAGAATTGTTCCACATCAGTAAGGAATGAAATGTTGTTGGAGACCCAATTGTTTGTCTCTTTGAACCCATCTTTGAGCTCGTTACCAATGCTAACTTCTGCCATGACTTGAACAATGCAAATATGTTTGAAAGGAGTGAATTGATCCGAATGTGTGTTGTATTGTTGTGTAACTCCTTTTCTTTATGTCAAGTCGAGTAGAATTCCTCGATTTTGTCGACTAAAATCGCCTAATGCGGTAATATCCTAATAAGGAAGTGGTTATATATACCGGTTATTGATTATATAATATTCGAATATGGTATCCATAGCAACTTCCTTTACCCGGAGTCCCGTCGCCGGCTAAAGACGTCTCACAATTTTTAGTGATCATGGAACAACCCCTCACTGCCCAGAGCCTGTGTCTGTCAGCCTGTGAGCCCATGGGCTTCGTCTCGTGGGCAGGAACATGTCTCTGCCTGGGCTGCCTCCGCTAGGCTCGTGATGGTGGACCCAATAGCCGTCTACAGCCAGCTTGCCCTATGCCAATGGGCTCCATCCTATTACACACTGGCAATTTGCAACAGCCTGTTACGGCCCAAGCCAATGAATCATGATCTCCTAGACCGGTGACATATGGAACAATTGGTGTAATTTTAGCTGTCAGCCTGTCACTGTTGTAGTTGTTGTTGTAATTAGCTGTTTGGCAATTCACGTTTGGTGAAATTTTTCACTATGACTCAAAAATTTTTTTCTCGATTTGACATATATTAACTGATCAGATTCTTTCCTTTTGTCATCTTGTTTTACCCCATAGAATAATTACCAAGTCATATATTTATTTGTACTAGTTTGTGTTGCTGCTAGGTTATTAGTCACTTTTGGATCTATTTAAAACCCTATTGTTCAGCTCATATATACAATCATTCCAATATGTTTAGGCAAACATTAACCATGTTCAAGAACGCTACAAAGACAAAGCCTTATGCTAATATGCTAAAGGACCCATCAACTAAATATAAACCATTCCCACAAGTCAAATTACCAAATAGACAATGGCCAAATAACACCATAAAGAAGGCTCCAAGATGGTTAACTACTGATTTAAGAGATGGTAATCAATCATTACCTGATCCAATGAGTGTGGAACAGAAGAAGGAATATTTCCATAAATTAATTGATTTAGGTTTTAAAGAAATTGAAGTTTCATTCCCTTCTGCCTCTCAAACGGATTTTGATTTTACAAGATATGCTGTGGAAAATGCTCCAGATGATGTTAAAATTCAAGTTTTAGTCCAATCAAGAGAACATTTAATTAGAAGAACTGTGGAATCAGTTACTGGTGCTAAAAATGCCACCATTCATGTTTATCTTGCAACTTCGGATTTATTTAGAGATGTTGTTTTCAATATGTCTCAACAAGAAGCTGTGGAAAAAGCCGTAGAGGCTACTAAATTAGTTCGTTCATTAACTAAAGATGATCCAAATCAACAAGCTACCAACTGGAGTTATCAATTTTCTCCAGAATGTTTTAGTGATACTCCTTCAGAATTTGCCGTTGAAATTTGTGAAGCTGTCAAAGCTGCTTGGGAACCAAGTGTTGAAAATCCAATAATTTTCAACTTACCAGCTACTGTTGAAGTTGCCACTCCAAATATCTATGCTGATCAAATTGAATATTTTGCTACTCATATTTCAGAACGTGAAAAAGTTTGTATCTCAACACATTGTCATAATGATCGTGGTTGTGGTGTTGCAGCTTCAGAAATGGGGGTTTTAGCTGGTGCTGATCGTGTTGAAGGTTGTTTATTTGGTAATGGTGAAAGAACTGGTAATGTTGATTTAGTTACTGTTGCATTGAATTTATACACTCAAGGTGTTTCTCCAGAATTAGATTTCTCTGATTTAGAATCAGTTATTGAAATTGTGGAAAAATGTAACAAGATTCAAGTTCCAGCTCGTGCTCCATATGGTGGTGAATTAGTTGTTTGTGCTTTTAGTGGTTCTCATCAAGACGCTATCAAGAAAGGTTTTGAAGTTCAAAAGAAGAGAAATGCTGAAGGTGATTATCAATGGAAAATCCCATACTTGCCATTAGATCCAAAAGATATCGGTAGAGATTATGAAGCTGTCATTAGAGTGAATTCACAATCTGGTAAAGGTGGTGCTGCTTGGGTTGTCCTAAGATCTTTAGGTTTAGATTTACCAAGACAATTACAAATTTCATTCTCAACTTTTGTTCAATCTGAAGCTGATAAAGTTGGTCGTGAATTAAAATCAGAAGAAATTATCACTCTTTTCAAACAACAATATAACTTCAACAATGATGGTGCTATCAAATTAGCTGATTATGATATTGTTCGTGATCCAGAAAACAAGGACAACAGATTCTTCATTGGTGAAATTTCAGTTAATGGTGAACCTGTTAGCATAAAAGGTGTTGGTAATGGTCCAATTTCTTCATTTGTTGATGCTATGTCCAACTTCATTAATGTTCGTTTAGAAGTTGTCAACTATAGTGAACATTCTTTAGGTTCTGGTTCACAAACTCAAGCCGCAACCTATATCCAATTAGGTTACATGAATGATGAAAATGTTAAAACTTCTAAATGGGGTATTGGTGTTCATGAAGATGTTTCAAATGCTGCCTTTACTTCTGTTTTAAGTACTGTTAACTCACTAGTTACTAAAGGTGACTTTGAATTACCAGAAATTGATGCTCAATCAGCTCCTGCTGGTAAATGAATTAGGTGAAATCATGGATTGATTTTGCTCAATTACTTTATTTACTAAAGAATTAACAAATTAAAAAAAGAAGCAGATACATATACACATTTAAGCACACATTTATTTATATATTAAAGGTTTTCCAAAAGTTCTTACTCTTCACTTCTTATTAGATACTTTCATTTAAGCATGGATAATTGTAGCTACAATCAACAACTTCAATTCTACTATAAATCATCTCACAAACACCTCCCCAATCCAAGCAATCACCCTGTTTGGCATCACCATACTTGAAATTGTTGTTGGTGCTCTGCCAAAAAAAGCCCATTTTTTTCTGTTCACTAATTTCCAAAATTTCTCCTTGAATTTTTCTCGCTCTCTTCTTTTTTCCTTTAACTACGAACAATAAATCCACATACTACTGTCCAAAAAAAATTTGGCATATAATTGAAAAAGAAACATATTCAATCAGTTTGTATCACTAAACTGATCCAGAAGTTGTTTGATCCCGCTGCGCATTTGAAAGGACCTTTTTGCCCCAGTTCAATAGGCCCGTTTCCAGTCTCAGCATCCGCCTTTTGTTGAGTCCTTTTGAATTGGTGTTGTCGGTGTTGACATTAATTCAATTTACACACTAGCGCGTCTAGCTACACATTCCAGATCAAGATCTAGTTCAAGTGGAGTGTTCAACAATCAGCTTTCCAGTTACCTATTTTCCAATCAACGCTATTTAGACCTTTGCTCAATTGAGGACTTTTTATTACTTATTTTTTTTGTTTGACCCATATTGGCGTTGTTGTCGGTTTTTTTTTTTCTGAAAGAGAAATCGCCTGTTTGAAAAATTCATAAACAACAAAACAAACAGATAAACCACCAACCCGATCCTTATTGTCAAGATGGCTCCTGCTGAGTTTGATGAAGAAGTGTTGGAGAATCCTGAGTTGTATGGATTGAGAAGATCAGGTAGAGCCCATGTGAAACCAACAAGTTTCGAAGAGAGTGATGTATCTGATGATGATGACGATGAGATATCAAAACCTAAAAGAAAGAAGAAACAAATAGATACATATAGTGAAGATGAAGAAGAAGCTCAAGAAGCTGATGATCAAGATGGATTTGATGATGAAGAAGATGATGACGATGAAGAGTTTGGTGCTCCAAAGAAATCTAAATCCAAACTCAAAAAGAGACGGAAAGTTCACAAGAAACCAAAAATTTCAACACAACAGGAAGAGGTTAGATTCAGTTCGAGAAATAGCAAGGCTATTAACTATCAAGTTGATGAAGAGGATGATGCTGATTTACTTGTGAGTGATGATGATGAAGATAACTATTATTATTATGACACAAATACAGAAACTACACCTGTACCTGATAATGGTGTTGATCTTGTCATTGATCATCAATTAATTGATCCAGAAAATGAACCAAATGCATTTAGAGACTTGGCTCAAGCTAAAAAGGATTATAAATTTCTTATCAAATGGACAGGAAAATCTCATATCCATAACACTTGGGAACAATATTCAAATCTTGTGGGCTTGAAGGGTATTAAAAAAGTTGATAATTATATCAAACAATTTATAATATTGGATTACCAAATAAGACATGACCCATTAACAACAAGAGAAGATATAGAAGCTATGGATATTGAAAGAGATAGAAGATTGGATGAAATTGCAGAATATAAAAACGTTGAAAGAGTTATCGATTCTGAAAGATCTGTTAATGATGACGGTGACGAAGAATTGAAATATTTTGTCAAATGGAGAAGATTAAACTATGATGAAGCAACTTGGGAATTGGCTGAAACTATTGTACAGATTGGTCCAAATGAAGTTAAACAATTCCAACAACGTTTAAATTCCAAGATATTACCTTCTTTATCTTCAAGTTATGGTTCACAGCGTCCAAGATTTGAAAAATTAGTTGTTCAACCTAAATTCATTAAAAATGGTGAATTAAGAGATTTCCAATTGACTGGTTTAAATTGGATGGCTTTCTTATGGTCAAGAAATGAAAATGGTATTTTGGCTGATGAAATGGGGTTGGGTAAAACTGTTCAAACTGTTAGTTTCTTAAGTTGGCTTATCTATGCTAGAAGACAAAATGGTCCTCATTTAGTTGTTGTTCCATTATCAACTATTCCTGCTTGGCAAGAGACTTTTGAAAAATGGTCCCCAGATTTAAATTGTGTTTATTACTTGGGTAATACAGAAGCTAGAAAAACCATTAGAGATTATGAATTTTATAATAACAAGAAGATAAAATTCAATGTTTTGTTGACAACTTATGAATACATTTTGAAAGATGCTAATGAATTGGGTTCAGTTAAATGGCAATTCTTGGCTGTTGATGAAGCTCATAGATTGAAAAATGCAGAATCTTCATTATATGAATCATTAAATGCCTTTAAAGTTAGTAACAGATTGTTGATCACAGGTACTCCATTACAAAACAATATAAAAGAATTGGCAGCCTTGGTGAATTTCTTGATGCCGGGGAAATTTCAAATTGATGAAGAGATTGACTTTGAATCTTCAGATAATGATCAAGAAACTTATATCAGAGATTTACAAAGTAAATTGAAACCATTCATTTTAAGACGTTTGAAAAAAGATGTTGAAAAATCTTTACCATCCAAAACTGAACGTATCTTAAGAGTTGAATTATCTGATTTACAAACTCAATATTATAAGAATGTCTTGACCAAGAATTATGCAGCTTTGAACCAAGGTTCAAAAGGTGGACATGTTTCATTGTTGAATGTCATGAGTGAATTGAAGAAAGCCTCGAACCATCCTTATCTTTTCGATAATGCTGAAGAACAAGTTTTAGCGAAATTTGGTACTTCAACTAATGGTGGGTTCCATTCAAGAGAAGATATCTTGAGAGGTATGATCATGTCATCAGGTAAAATGGTGTTGTTGGATAAATTGTTGACACGTTTGAAAAAAGATGGTCATAGAGTTTTGATCTTTTCTCAAATGGTTAGAATATTAGATATTCTTGGTGATTATCTGTCAATTAAAGGTATCAATTTCCAAAGATTAGATGGTACTGTTCCTTCAGCACAACGTCGTATTTCTATTGATCATTTCAACGCTCCAGATTCTTCAGATTTTGTGTTTTTATTATCCACCAGGGCTGGTGGGTTGGGTATCAATCTTATGACTGCTGATACTGTTATTATCTTTGATTCGGATTGGAATCCTCAAGCTGATTTGCAAGCCATGGCTAGAGCTCATAGAATTGGTCAAAAGAATCATGTTATGGTTTATAGATTTGTTAGTAAGGATACAGTTGAAGAGGAAGTTTTGGAAAGAGCTAGAAAGAAGATGATTTTAGAATATGCAATTATTTCATTGGGTGTCACTGATGGAACTAATAGATCTAAAAAGAATGAACCCTCAACTGGTGAATTGAGTGAAATCTTGAAATTTGGTGCCGGTAATATGTTTAAAGCTAGTGAAAACCAAAAGAAATTAGAAGATTTGAACTTGGATGATGTTTTGAATCATGCTGAAGATCATATCACCACACCTGATTTAGGTGAATCTAATCTCGGTGGTGAAGAATTCTTGAAACAATTTGAAGTTACAGATTATAAAGCTGATGTTGATTGGGATGATATTATTCCAGCTGAAGAATTGGCCAAACTGAAGGAAGATGAAAAGAAACGTTTAGAAGAACAATATATCCAAGAGCAAATGCAAATGTACTCAAGAAGACAAGCTGTCATGAAAAATATGCAAAGAACAAATACTTTTGAGGAAGATGAAGATGATAGTGAATCAACCAAGAAGGCTAATAGAAAGAAGAAGGCTGATTATAACAAGATTACCGAAAAGGAAATCAGAGCTATCTATAGATCTATTATGAAGCTTGGTGATATATCAAACAAATGGGAAGATTTGATTAATGAAGGTACATTACCTGAAAATAAAAATCCAGATTTGTTCCAAAAATGTTATGATGAATTGGTTGAAATTTCAAAAGATTTGGTCAAGAAGGAAGAGGAACGTCGTTCAAAAGTATTGGCAAAGATGGAGAAGGAAGCATTGGAACATAAAGAGAAGATTGATAAAGGTGAAGTTGAAAATAAGGATGGGAAAAATCCAATGTTGTTATGGATGCTGAAACGTAAAGAACGTAAAGCCATTCTGTTTGAGTACCAAGGTGTTAAGAGTTTGAATGCTGAACTGATATTATCAAGACCACAAGATCTTAAATTGGTTCATGATGCTATTGCAAGTTTTGATGATCCATTACACTTCAAGTTTAACAGCACTATTAAACCAGTTTATGGCTGGACTTCTAACTGGACCCAACATGACGATGAAATGCTGGTTGTTGGTATTGATAAATATGGATATGGTTCTTGGATTCAAATCAGAGATGATCCTTTCTTAGGTTTAAGTTCCAAGATGTTTTTGAATGAAGTTAGTAATACCCCAGGTCCAAAGAAAGGTGCCAAAAAAATTGAAGAAGTCAAAGAAGAAGCTGATAAATCTGAAACAAAAGAGGAAAAGAAGGATGATTCACTAAAAGTTAAGGATGAAGAAAAAGATGGAAAGCCACCAGTATCAGCTGATAATGACACTAAAGATTCTATTGATTCTAAGGATTCAAAAGATTCAAAAGACTCAAAAGATGATAAAAACACCAAGAAAGTCCCAGGAGCTGTTCACTTAGGTAGAAGAGTTGATTATTTGATTTCAGTCTTGAAAGGTGGTGACGATGATAACACTGGAGGTAATACACCAAACCCATCTACACCAAATGAACCAAAGAAGAGAACAAGAAAACCAAGAGCTGAAGGTTCTGCTAAACCAGGTCCAAAACCAAAAGGTGTTACTGGTGCCGGTTCAAGATCAAGAACTCCAGATTATCCAAAGGTTACTAAACGTGGGAAGAAACCAGAATCTGCTGCTTCAACTCCAAATCCTGAACATCCAGAAAAGAAACATCCAAAGAAGCCTGCTGCTGCATCAGCTCCAACTAAGAAAGTTGATGAAGGTTATGAAAGTATGGATGAACAATTGTGTAAAGATACTTTGAGTCCAATGCGTCATTCCTTGAAAAGATTAAATAAAGGTGCTACTGGATTGGATCGTAAGGAATGGGCAAAGATTTTGAAAACAGAATTGATCAATGTTGGTGATTTCATTAATAAGACAGTGAAGAAAGGTGATGTTAAAGATGAAGATAAATTTAAGAAACATTTATGGTTTTATACTTCCCATTATTGGCCAGCTAAAGTTAAAAGTACTCAAATTAAATCAATGTATCAAAAATTGAAAGATAGTTCAGGTCCTGAAGGGAAATAATGAAATTGAAGGAGAGAAAAGAAGCAGTGTTTTATGATCAGTATGAAGAATCAGTTATGTATTATATATATGAAGTGTTAGGTTAATTATTGAAGAGTAATTAAAAAGATTTGTTTTCTTGTTTATTTGTTTTTGGCGTAGTTAATTCTAGAGCAACGTAACGTCACTTCATTCCAGAGTTGAACCTAAACTGACATACAAATTCGTTCAATACCCCTTTGAACGCAATAAGAAATAAATTAAGACACTAGATTATCTTTAGGCTAGCTGTTATAAAGGTTCATCCGTCAAACTAGTATATTACCATAATTTTTCAGGACTCGGATTATGTAATTTCCACACTCTGAGAGTGCTTTGGAGTGAAATTTACCTCCAGTGTTATCAACAATCAACAAACGACAACAATCAACAAAGGTATCGTTTGACAAAGACTTCGGCACCTCTAACACCTCGTTGACTGACTAGAATGAGGCTGCTAGTGAAGGAGAACCCAAGAACAGTGGCACTTGTGTCGAGGACCCATGTCCTTCTTTTCCGCCATATCAAGACAAAGAACAACTTGCAAAGATGTGTTATAGAGTTCACCTCCAAAGACGAAGTCAATTTGAAATCCTACAAGAAGTTAACTGACAGGGAAATCCATGGATTCATGGGACTTATTGAAGTTAAGGGTGACTACTACCTTTGTGCAATCACGGGTAAAATCCAAGTTGCTGCTCCAATACCAGGCGAGACAATTAACAAGATCTTTAGTGTTGATTTCTATTGTATTAATAAGGGAACTTGGGATGGTGTTGAGCTAGATCCAAACGGTTATGCTATGATGCCTGATGTTGAAAGAGGTTATGATGATCAATTCAGATCAGGAACCACAAATGGTGGTAGTGGGGCCAATGGTGGTGGTGATGGGAGTGCTCAAAGACATCCATGCCATGAATTGAAAAAATTATTATCAACAGGTGGTTTTTACTATAGTTCCAATTTTGATTTGACGAGTACTTTACAAAATAGAGGTATTGATTCACACTCCTTAAGTTTTGATAATTATAATGATGAGTATATGTGGAATTCATTCATGTTGCAAGAGGTTGTTCAATTTAGAGACCGTTTAGATACACCATTGAAAGAAAAACTGGATGATGAAGGATTCTTGACAACTGTTATTAGAGGATTTGCTGAAACGTTTGATGCTTATTTGAATAGAACTAAAGTGGCAATGACTGTGATATCGAGACAAAGTTGGAAAAGAGCTGGTACAAGATTCAACTCTAGAGGTATTGATGATGAAGGAAATGTTGCAAATTTTGTCGAAACTGAATTCATATTGTATTCTGATAAGCTTTGTTATTCTTATATTGAAATACGAGGAAGTGTGCCGATCTTTTGGGAACAAGACACTGCTTTGATTAATCCAAAAGTACAAATCACCAGATCTGAAGAAGCTACTCAACCGGTTTTTGATTCTCATTTTGATCATTTGCTTGAGACATATGGTGCAGTGAATATTGTTAACTTACTAAGTACAAAATCATCTGAAATTCAATTATCAAAAAGATATAGAAGCCACGTTGATACATACACCAAGAATCACAATCCAGAGCTTTATATGACTGAATTTGATTTCCATAGAGAAACATCCAATCAAGGATATTCATCATCAACAAAGATTTTCCGTCTAATCAAAGAATCATTATATGAGTTTGGTTATTTCAGTTATGATGTTGAAAAGAAGAAAACTCTTAGTGAACAAACCGGTGCATTCAGAACAAATTGTTTAGATTGTCTTGATAGAACAAATTTGATTCAACAATTTATTTCAAATTTTGCATTAACAATTTTTCTCAAGGATCATAATTTAGAAGTTTCACAAGAATCTGAATTTTACAATAGACACAATTCATTATGGGCAGATAATGGTGATCAAATTTCACAAATTTATACAGGTACCAATGCATTAAAATCATCTTTTTCAAGAAGTGGTAAAATGAGTTTTGCTGGTGCTCTTTCAGATGCTACTAAATCTGTTAGCAGAATGTACATTAATAATTTTGTTGATAAGGGGAAACAAATGACAATTGATACATTATTAGGTAGACTAAGTGGTCAACTGCCAGTTATGCTATATGATCCTATAACTGATTATGTTAATGAGAAATTGATTGAAATGAAGCCACAATTTACATCAAGTGCAAATATTAATATATTTACAGGTACTTTCAATGTGAATGCCAGTAACAAGGTTGCAGACTTGTCTTCATGGTTATACCCTATAGGTGATAAATTCAAACCAAATATTGTTGTGCTAGGGTTTCAAGAAGTTATTGAATTGACTGCAGGATCTATTTTAAATGCAGATTACTCAAAATCTTCATTTTGGACAAAGGAAGTTTCAGAATGCCTAAATCAATTTGATAAATATATCATGCTTAGAGCTGAGCAAATGACATCTCTGTTGTTGTTATTTTTCGTTAGAGCTGATAGTGTGAATAATGTTAAACAAGTTGAAGGTGGTGTTAAAAAGACAGGTCTTGGTGGTATCACTGGTAATAAAGGTGCTGTTGCCATTCGTTTCAATTACGGTGCCTCAAGCTTTTGCTTTGTTAATGCACATTTAGCTGCTGGTGCAAGTAGTGTTGCAGAAAGATACAATGATTATTTATCCATCTCCAATGGGATAAGATTTTCAAGAGGTGGGAAAATCGATAGCAATGAAACTGTGTTTTGGATTGGAGATTTGAACTATAGAATTTCTTTGAGTAATGAAGAAGTTAGAAGACGTATATCCAATGGAGATCTGGAGTATTTGTACCAATTTGATCAATTAACTAAGGAAATTAGTTCTGGTAACGCTTTCAAAGGATTTTCAGAACCAACTATTAGTTTTAATCCAACATACAAATTTGATAAAGGTACAAATATATATGATAGTTCTGAAAAGCAAAGAATTCCTTCCTGGACTGATAGAATCATTTATAGAGGTGGGAATACCAAACCTTTAGCTTATAGTTCTTCAGAATTGTTGTTCTCTGATCATAGACCAGTTTACGCTGCTTACAAGTCCACTGTTGAATTTGTTGACGAAGACAAGAAATCAGGATTATCAAAAGATCTTTATGAAAACTATAAAGCAAATCATGTCCAAGACAGTTCCTTATCTCTGATCGATTTGAAATATGATTCAAATGATAATTCAACTGATGATAAAAAGACTGCAAAGAGACAACAAGACTTATTGAATTTTTTGGATGATGATTTAGATTATAAACCAGCATTACCAGCAAGAAGAGAAGCAAGTTCACCAATTTCCATGGATATCTTGACACCATCAAAGAGAGGTAGTCCAGCACCACCTGACCTACCAGCAAGAAGAACTGCTACTGCTGCCAAATCTGGTATACCACCACCACCTGCTCCGCGTGCAAGTACTCCTGTGACTAGACCATCATCTAAACCAGATACTAGAGATACAACTACAACAAGCACTTCAACTACACCACCACCAGCCCCAACTCCTAGAAAGACAAACACATTACCACCAGGGTTTTCTGACTCTATATTAATGCCAAAGTCATCGAGCCCATCAAGATCCAATACACCTTTGAGCAGAGGTCAAACATCATCTGGTGCTGTTCCTCCCGTTCCAAAGAAACCAGAATCATTACACACAAGCGCACCATCTATTCCTAAGAAACCAGGTCATTTACACACTACATCATCAAATTCTATACCACCAATCTCAAAGAAGCCTGAATCATTGAAGAATACCTCGCTTGATAGTAAATTACCTACAAGTACTGGTGTGGATAATGATTCCAAAAGTACTGCACCACCACCTCCCCCAAGCAGAAAAGGTACAGGTGTGGCTTCGTTACAAGAAAATCTTGATTTGAATAGCTGGAAACCATTGACACCTAAATGAATTTTCATGAGTCATGTGTATTTGCATAGTTTTGTATTAACAATAGACGTTTTGATGTGTGTATTTTGCTTATGTGTAGAATTCAATTACTATTCCCCTTTGGGGAAAAGGTAAACAGAAGCGGTTTTGTTACTCGAAATGACATGAAAAAACCAAAAAAAATTAACGTGTGTTGAAAAAAGTGTGGAACCTCGAGTTGGAGATTGGATTTATAATGACGTGAAATCTATCTTAAAGATAATTGGAGTACAAAAGTCTTTTGAACAGTTATTGCAGCAAAATATTGGGCTTAATAAGAAAGTGTGACGGTTAGTGACCTATTGAAACCCCGGTTGAGCTTCTAGACTTTGATTGATTTGAATTGAGGAGTTTGTGATTGGGTCTTATAAATTTAGAAGAATAGGCTCGAAAGAAGTGGATTGAATATCATAAACAAGTATGAATCAGGTATGAAGAGAAGATATAGCAATTGTGAAGACTGTCTGCCTTCGCCTGAGTATTCAGAGCCAGAATACCCAATATTAGGCTTAAACACGAAAAAAACAAGAATAACTCAAACCTCGCACGAGTTCATAGAGGCAATTGATGATTCAATATTGAGTTTTATCAATAGAGATGGGTTTATAAGTCAGAAAAAGTTCATAGTTAAGGACAAACCAACAAATTTGGTTTTGGTTTTCTTTGGTGTGATTGATGATTTCCTTGAGCCTATAAGGTGAGTATTCCAAAGACGCGTCGGGATAAATTGAACATCTAACTAACACTTAATAGCAATGCTCATGATAAATTGAGTCAAATATTCAATGCTGAAATAATAGGAATTTCTTCAAATATATCCAGAAATCATCACATTTTCCCGTTGATCAATAGTTCTAAAATTCCTAAAAAGTTTAATGTTTTAGACCCAGTTGGTGGTGGTGTCTACCCAAGAGACGTTGTAATCATATTTGACAAAACGGGAAGGCGAAGAGTTGAAATACCAGTTAAACTATATAACAGATACCTACTGGATAGGCCAATAACGGATGTTTTGATGGATTATTTGGAAGAGTTGGAAAGTGAATCTATGTTGTGATGGGAATGGAAAAGAAACTTAAAATTTGGGTAAATTAACGATAATGCATATGAACGAATCTACAAACCATTTCGTAATTATAACGCAAGTGTTTATTTAGCCTTGAGTTGCTGTAATTCTTGGATTTGAGACTTGAGCTTTTCTATTTCTTGATTAACCTCTTTTATACCATGTTCAAACCTTACAATCTCCTCTCTTTCTGTCTCTTTACTAAACTCTGATTGTTTTTTAGTTTCTGGTAATCTGTTTCCAGGTTTTTGAGTCATTATTTCAAATAATTGTTCTGTAGGTTCATTGAATACAATTTCATCATATTGAATACTTTTAACATTTCTATCAGCATCGGTCAACACAGCATCTGGCGGAAGTCCATAAGGATGTAATCTCAAATGGTGATATAACGATATATTTTTTTCATTAGCTTCATTAACAAAGTAGATCTTTATACCAATTTCAAATTCACCCCAACCAGTCTCTGTGACTTGGAATGGAGGTGATTCTATTGATCTTGTAGGACTTGGATATGTATCGTGTAGTTTGAACACCACTTTTTTGATGAAATAAGACAAGTCTTCACCGTTAGGACCCTTTACAAACACAGTCCAGCTATGTGTATGTTCTTCTGGTGCACCTGGGGGTCTTTTGTCACCTAGTGGTTGTGCAGTGTTTCCATATATTATGGGACGACTTATGGATAGTGTCTGGTGATTTCGTTAGCATTGAAACATTCCCAAGATCAATTTCGACCCAGCACCATACATACCTTTATTCTTTTGTTCGTAGCTGGTGGCATCTGTCTCTTTATACGATCTCAATGTCTTTGGAATACTTTACCTCACAATATTCAGCCATTTCGACCAAAAAAGCCCAAAACAAAAATATCACCAAAAATGCTTCGCGAATGCGTTCTGTGAAAAAAAAAACAAGATTCGCGAAATGTGTTGATTTCTTTTTTCGAGGCATCATGAGCTTCAAAGAAGTAAACAAAAACCGTCACCAAAACATATTCATCAGCCATTCACTGAGCTGTATATCTTGTGTTTCTTCTTCCCTTTTCAATATTCACTAAATTGAAAGTATCACTGTGATTTAAGAAACTTATTCGTCCAAAAAATGGTGCTGAAAAATCTTTATATTGCTAGAGTGAGTATAGAAATGGTTAAATACCTAGTGTTCATACTAACGCGTAATAGCATGGTTACAGAGCTAATTGGTTACCAGAACCACATCCAGTCTCCCCAACAGGTATTGATAGTGATCCTCCATTGGCAAAGCATGGTGAAGACCAAGCTAAAGAACTTGCACACTACATATTGTCTATTGAACCACACCCAGAAATCATATTCAGTTCTCCATTTTATAGATGTTTGCAAACTTCTTCTCCTATAGCTGAGGTCTTGGATGTTGATATCGTCTTAGAAACAGGTATTGGTGAATGGTATAAACCAGAGAGACCTGTTATTCCAAATCCTGCAGGTTTTGAAACTTTAAGTCCATTCTTTTCAAAATTGAAAAATACTTGGGAACCAACTGTTAAACCGTCATTAAAAGGTGAAACCCCAGAACAAATATTTGCAAGATGTCAAGAATTTTTTCAAAAATTTATACCGAAATTTGAAGCAAAATATCCACATGTTGAAACTATATTGTTTGTTACTCACGCTGCTGCTAAAATTGCATTAGGTATGGCTCTTTTGGGATTCAACAGTGTTGATGAACCATTAGACGATGAAGGTACAAGACTAAGAGCTGGAGCATGTAGTTTAGATAAGTATGAAAGGGTCAATCCAGAAGAGATTGAAGATGGTAAAGAATGGAAAATAACAATGAATGGTAATTGTGAATTCTTAACAGATGGTGAAGAAATGCATTGGGATTTCCAAAATGGTTTCGAAGCTGGTTCAGATGCTGATATCAAAGCTAGAAAAGCTGCTTTAGAAGCCTCCAAACAGGATAAAGATCAACTCAATGCCCAAGAAGAATATGAAGATGTGTACGTAACTTTGGAGATTCCTAATAATAATTTTAATACTAATTCTATACCCCCAACAGCAAAACTACAAGTTAGTGGATTACATACAAAAGCTCCTTTGTTTAAAGTTGATAATGACATTTATCAAGGTGATTGGCAAAAATTAGTTGGTACTGAAGTTGCCTTCACAGATGATATGGGGGAAAACTATGTGGTGACGGATAGAATAAAATTAGAGGATGTTACTCCTTCATAATCGGGATTTTATAGAATGGGATTTAATAAATGTTTTGATAATCGAGATTCAAGTGCTACTAGATTTAAAAGGAAAGATATAAATTGCTAGTTTAGAGAACTAAACATAAAAGTTGACTTAAAAGGTATAAAAAGGCAGAGATCATAACTAGCTAATAGCTTGAATATTTTCTTCAGAAGTGTATCTGGCCTGTGCAATTGAGATTTCATTGTCATCAATGTTATAGAGAACATAGGTATTGATCAAAAAACTATCACCTAGGAAAGGTCTGACAGTATCTGAACCATGAATTCTCAATGTACATTGAGAATTGTAATTCAGAACAACATCAGAAACAGGGACATTAATTCTTTTACTACCAAAGATATAACTGATATAGTCATTTTGATCATAATCACATGGAACGATATAAAACCCCCATTGATCAGTTGACATATCTGATCCCAAACTTTGAGCAAGGTTACTAACAGCAGCAGTTGGCAACCATTGATAAGTGGTACCACTATCCAAAACAGCTTTAAATTCACTTGTGGAAGCAGTAGTAGTTTGTCCAGAAACGGAAATTTCAATTCCTGTTAGATTGATTGCCAAATCAACACTAGAGACGATTGGGAAAGTGGCTAATGAACCAGAATATTTAGCATTATCAACACCGCCAAACAGCAATGTGACATCAACATCACCATCTGTAGTATGAGGATCTTCGGCCATATATAGTGAATAAGCAGTTTTGGCAATATAACCATCAGTTTGTAATCTCACTGGGAAATTTGGATATTCATAAGCTTGTCTTCTGTGATACCAAGTTGTACTTTCACCACCCACTAGTCCAATACCAAGTAAAGCAGGCTTTGTTGAATCATTAGCAGCTGCCAAATACATCTCATTGATAGTTACATCACCCCAGCTCAAAGTATCAGTACCCCAAGTACCTCTAGCATAACCTTTATCGACATAACTAATGTAAAACGCTGGAATGTTATAGTTTGGTTCCCATGTTGATGAAGCATCTGTATCAAAAAGAGCAGTAGCTAAACAATAATCGGTATCCGGATCACCATTGTCAATTGGAGTAGCAGTACCTTCTGGACAGTGTGGATTATCACTAGTTGGGAACCATAAGTCAGAAGAACCAGTATCAACCAAGACTCTGATTGTTTGAGCTGGTGTACCAACTTGAACGTCAGCGTAATAGCTATAGTAATCATCAACTAAAGTTTCAGGGTGGGTCTCATCTCTTCTGTAAAGAGCTCTTGTGGAGTTAGGAGCTTTACCTTTGGTAAGAGGTAATTTGACAACATTTTCAACAGCAGCAACTGTTAAGGCAAAGGCTCCTAGGTATAATACTTGATTAACCTTCATTATGAGTAGCTTGACTTGGTGAATGTTATAAAAAGCTGATTATATTCATTGGAAAGCTGTCCCTTTAAATAGTTTTCAAGAAGACCTTTATCATCATCAATTATCTCCACCTCAAGGTGACTGAAGTGAGCTTTGAGGATTGTTTTCACTGATAAATTCACTTGATTGTTTACATTTTGAATCAAATATGCAAGCTGGATTAACCATAAAGTGTCAGAGTCCTGTCAGAGTCATATCTTTTCAAAGACAATTGGGGTCTATAGTTTTGATAGGTGAGATCTGATTTGAGGTCCTTCACAATCATCAACAATAGCTTGTCAAAGACATAAAACCCACAACACATATACCAGGCATTGACATCAAAGAGCGTCATACCTTTGCTGAAATAGTCTATTGGAGCATAATCATTGACTTCACAATCATCTGAGAATACACAAACAATATGGATCCAACTTCCAAAATGTTTTACTTGAAAATTGAACCCTCTAATTTCAGTCAATAAGCCAATGTACTACTGCTTAACCGCATTTTAGCTAAAAATGATCGCCAAAACAAATTTATTGAAGCAATAGTGACAAAACCTCAATCCTTGGAAATGTCCTTAGTTTAGCTCTCTTGTAGTTGTGAAATGTAATGGTGTTGAACTTGTATCTGAAAAATAAATTTCAATGTTTCACAACGAGCATAGTTCAAACTTCAAACTAAATCTCATATGGTTCACTTGGCTTATTCAAACGTATGCACCACCCCTACCAAGATTATAAACATTGGAATGTGTCAGTTATAGAAGAAGCAGTTCTACCGAGAAATGCACATGTCAAGACACAAACTTTCAAACAGCCTTATCATGAAAGAACTAACATTAAACAACCAACAGAGTCATGAAAAGGAACCGGAACCCTCAAAGCGAGGTCTGAAACGCAATAGTAATTATCCGCTAGAAACTTGTAGTATCCCAATTGAATCCACCAGTTGAAGCTTTAAGTTGTGTAGCAGTTTGTTTTCTCTCCAAAGCATTGGGGATAATAAGTAGCATATAATGATTGTAACTCAACAATGCCCATCGTAAAGCATCCAAAAACCAATGGCATCCACTCTCAAGAACAATACCATAACCAACTCATTTACAAAACTGTAGCTTTCATCATAAAGCTGGGCTCCTTATCATAATGCATAACTGCTTAACACGCCTTCCACCAGAGTCAAGTTCCTGAGCTAACGCGCTTCTGTTAACTAATAGCACAATATTCCAATCATACACCACTGAAACTCCAGAGCAGTTTGGTCATTCAAATGCTTTAGTTCTCATCTTTTCTGCTATGATTTTCTATTGTTGTTGATGGTTTTGTTAATAGATTCAGAAATATTTCTGCGAAAAACTTATATCCGACAGAGATCAACTCAAAGTTTTAGGACTGATGAACACTTCAGCAACAACTTTATACAACCGAGTAAACATCAACGTCATCCATCCCTTTCAAAATGTCATTTCAACCTTTCAAGCATCCTGTATTTGACAAAATCAAAGAGAAAAGATTCATTTTAGCCTCAACTTCACCAAGAAGAATCGAGATCTTGACTCAAATGGGTTTTGAAAATGTTGAAGTATATCCATCAAACTTCCCAGAAGATTTGAAAAAAGAAGATTATACACCTCAAGATTATGTATTAAACACAGCTATAGGCAAAGCACAAGCTGTTTATGAAGAATTGAAGAATAAAGGTGAAGCTGAAAACACTATAATATTAGCAGCTGATACCGTTGTTGAGATTGATGGTCAAATTTTTGAAAAACCTAAAGATAAACAAGATCAATTGAAAAATTTAACATATTATAGAGATAGTAAAAAAGTTCAGCATGTTTTAAGTGGTGTTGTTGTTATAAATGAAGGTGTTGTGAGTTCTTTTGTTGAAGATACTGCTTTACATTTTGATTATGAAGCTTCTGATGAAATGTTGAAGGCTTATGTGGATACAAATGAAGGTTTAGGCGTTGCTGCTGGTTATAGAGTCCAGTTGAGAGGGTCATTATTAATGAAGAAGATTGATGGTGACTATTACAATGCAGTTGGTTTACCTTTCAGAAATACTTTTAAACTTATTGAAAAGGCATTAGGTGTATAGAGAAGCATAATGAGTAGGCCAAATGAGTTTTTTGTAGTATCTTTAATCCATTTCAGGACTACATTCAACTTGACCAACATAGAATACAACATTCACTAGAATATACAGTGAAAAACTTCAATAAGAATTCTTCATTAAATCCATTTGATTTCCATTTTAAGCCTAGATCGATGGTTATAGGCCCTGGTCCGATGAGATTGAAAATTTTATTGTGCAAAGGAAAAAAAATAAAGATGATAAAACCAAAAAAATTCACATAGTATTGGATATATAGTATCGAGTAATAAATCAGCATTAAAATGGGTACCAAAATCATCAAAAAGTCTAGTATCAAGCCAAAGAAACAAGGTAGCATAGCCAGACCTAAGAAAGAATCCAAAAAGGTTATAATAAAGGCTAAAAAAGCTACTGAACCTGAATTTGATCAAGATGAAGAATCAGAAGAGGAAATCACTCATATACCTAGTGATTTAAGTGGATCTGAATCAAGTGGATCTGAAAGTGAAGTTGAAGAAGATGCTGCTGAAAACTCAAAGAGTGCAGAAGCTGAAAGTGAAGATGAAGAAGATTTAGGTGGATTCTCAAGTACTGATGATGAACAAGATGAACAAGATGATGATGAAGACTCTGAAGAAGAAGAAGAAAAAGAAGAACCAAAGAAATCAAAGAAACAAGAAAAGAAGAAAGAATCTCATGAAGTTAAAAAATTACCAAAAGTTGATTCAAATGTTTCCAAAAAATCTAAAAAGGCTAAAAAAGGTGTCATATATATTGGTCGTTTACCAGATGGATTTGAAGAAAAAGAATTGAGTAAATATTTCAACCAATTTGGTGAAATCACTAATGTCAAATTGGCAAGAAATAAAAAAACTGGTAAATCAAGACATTTTGCATTTTTAGAATTCAGTAATGTTGATGATGCTAAAATTGCTCAAGATACTATGAATAATTATTTATTGATGAATCATCAATTAAAAGTTGAATTAGTTCAAGAAGATTTCAAATCATCCAAGAAATCTAAAAAATCATATTTCAGAGTTAGTAAATTGAAGAAAGATGTTAAATCTTTGAATGAAAAAGATCAAGCTAAAAGGGAGAAGAGAAAAGAAGCATTAAAAGCTGCTGGTATTAATTTTTAGATGAATCTGGGAAATATCCTTATCTATCCATCTTCCTTATTGAGCTAAACCTGGGCTGCCCAATCAAATTGTACATTATTCGGTCTTTGTCAGATATCACAAACAAGCACAAAGACCCCATAGAAATATAGTTTCATAGTTAATTCTTCAAAATTGTAGTTTTTGGTTATATTTTAACCAATTTTAGTAAAAGTAATCGTGTTTCGTTTGATTGGGCAACATTCATTGACTCGTTACGCGACGCATCAGCCAACAAAAAATTTCACAAAACGTAAACGAAATAAAGATTCAATCAACGTAATCTTCATTCTTAATCCACCACATTGATCGATTCAAGTGACTCCAAGATGTCTGTTAAACTATTCTCTTTCGAAGAAATCTCAAAGCACAACACAGCCGAAGACCTATGGATGGTTATAGACGGGAAAGTCTATGACTGTACCTCTTTTTTGGATGAGCATCCGTAAGTTTTTGATATAAATACTCAAAGAACACATATTAACTAGGGAAAACAGAGGTGGTGAAGAAGTCATGGTTGACTGTGGTGGTACCGATGCTACTGGTCCTTTTGACGTGAGTATTAAATCCAGCTGAACCGTTAGATCCAATTGTACTAACAACTATCATAGGATATCGGACATTCAGATGATGCTAAAGAAGCTTTGATCCCATTATATATCGGTGATGTTGACCCTTCAAGCATTCCAGCTAACTCTTCCTCAACTTCAGGTACTGCTGGTGTCACTGGTGGTGAACAAAATGTTGGTTTAATCATTGCAATTCTTGCTATCATTGTCGCTATCTTGGCCTACCTTTTAGTACTCAAATAGATTACATCAGCAAAATGGGAGAGTGATGGTGAAGGCATATGTTTTATTTATTCAATTCCTTTATAATAAGATTATAAACTAGATTGGTTGGTTTTTTAATAATTCTGTATAATACTAAAACAATCATTTGATCAGATATTGGATGTATTTTTGGGCTCATAATCACGTTGATCTTGTTCTAATGACCACAAGATTTCAAAGACCAATTATAATCACTGCAATTGAACCTTTTCACTCTTAAATCTACGCCCTTTTTAAACTTTTTTGACCTCGTCGATAAGCCAAAATCCTCGACATTCGTTATCAACAAACCTTCGCGAAAACATTTTGTGCCTGAGGAAAAAAAAATTGAAGCTTCGAATTCAATCAAGTGGAAATCCATCACATTTTCATCACCAAATTCTATTCACACTCCTTTGAAAATAACTGTGGTTTTCTCTTGAAAATGGAATCAAGAACTCTAAAAGACATCCTTGACGGTGACAACGATGTGGAAATCGAAGACTCTGAGAACAAAGAATTGGCTGATTTGAACCATATGGATAAAGCTCAAGATGATGATAAAATAGATCCAGAACTTTGTAATGAGTGTCAAGATATGAGAATCGAAGTTGAATGTAAAGATTGTGAGGAAAACTACTGTGGTGGGTGTTATGAATTAGTGCATAGTGGTGGTAAGAGGAAAACTCATGATTCAAAAAAATTGTATAATGATGAGGCAAATACTGCTAAAACTACTGAACCTCAACAAGATGATGATGAAGATATTGATGCTGATGTTGATGATGAACAAACTACACCTATCCCAACTGATAACTCAGTGAATAGAAAACTAGTTGAAAGTATCAAAAAACAAGTGAAATATATCCCATTAAGATTAACACCTGAAGAACGTCATCTTTTACACCTTTTAGAAGCTGCATTAAGTGTTTCTCAATACACTGATAAAGTTGATATCATTTCTCATAGTTCCAAATCCAAGAGAATCGTATCACAATTGAAAGAAATGTGTTCAGTTCTTGCGGGTTTAGTTGTTGCATCAAATTTGAAAACTGGTCAACAATTGATTGAAAATAAAAATTTTGAAGATAATGCTGAATGGTATAAATCAATTTTTGAAATTGGTAGACGTTATAAAATCATGAATCCTGAAAGAATGAGAGAAAATTTTGGGAAATTGTGTTATATGGTTATGGATTCAAGATTACCTGAAATTGAAGGTCATATGGAGTTTAATCTTTATAAACCAATCAAGACTGTTCATAGTTATCTATCATCAAGACCAGATGATGAAGGTAAAGCTCTAGGTTTATTTGATGATGAACTAATCATTTATGCTACAGCTGAAATTTCACCTGTTGGTAAATCAAGATATCAAATTCAAAGAGATATTAAATTAAAAGAAAGTTCCATTGAAAAATTATCATCTAAATATTCTTCACATAAAGGTTTCACCAAAGAGGAGATCCGTCAAGTTTTATATTCAATTGGTGATTATAATGCTTATACTCATATGAATAGGAAACCAATTCTTAGATTCTTGCAAAGATTGGAACAATTCCAAGACCCTGAAATCAAACATAAGTTCTCAATAGGTATTCAATATGGTAGATCAGGTTCAAGATTAACACATGATCATGATAGACAATTACAATATGTTCAACAATCCTTAACCTTATGGTCAATTATCCAAAGAGAAATGATTCATTTATGGTCTATTGCAGATGACGATTTATTCAATGGGACCTCATATAAATTATCATTTACAGGTCAAGGTCTTCATAGAGTTAAGGCTTGTCCTTCTTTATACAAAGAGATGTACAAAGTCCTTGGTGAATGTAAGGCAAAATGTTCAAGTTGGATCGGTTCAAGTGTTGTTCATCTTGGTGATGATGCAGTTCCTAATGCCTTATTCTTTTTAGATAAGTATATCCAAGTGCCGAACATTTTAATTCCAATTGATCAATGTTTATTGAAAATTGATGATTTGAATAAAGATCCTTTCACAAAAAGATATATTGAAGACCAATTCGGAGATTCTGAGAAATTGAAATTGACCATTTTACAAGATGCTTATGCTCATATGTTTGATGGTAGTGGTGCTGATAATTTCTACATGTCTGGTTCATGTATTGACGGTCGTTTGACTAGTGCTTGGAACCATACAAATCAAATCTCAAAGAAGCCTTACTACAAGATTTTCCTGTTGACTGGATTCATCGGGTTCAATGGTTCTGATGGATTTTAAATAGCAGAGAATCATAAATAAAATAAAGTATTAGAGATAATCATAAATGTAGGTTATAATTGTATAACGCGTTTCGAAATTTCATTCGCGACCAGGCGCGAACATGATCTGAAAAAAACACATTTCATCAACATCAACTTGAATCAAAATCACTTGAAACTGGAGTAAGAAAGGCATTCACCATGAACTTCTTATCAAAGACATTTACGTCGCTCACTGGAGGATCTATTCCATACAACTTTGGTGAGGAACAGCTACCCAACCCTTCATTTCCTTCAATCTGGAAAATATACGATGGTACCAAAAAAGTATGTTTCTGATCTGAACCAACTTGAAATAGCCAACGTTACTAATTATCAATAGGATGATGGTTCACCATGCACCATATTTGCATTCGAAGCTAAAACACTTCCTGAAATGTTACCATTAGCTGCTAACGCCCTAAGAAAGATCAGAAGTATAAGATTGCCAGGTATATTGAAAATCCTCGACACATTTGAAAATGATTCTTATCTATACATTGTTTCTGAAAGAGTACAATCATTAGCCCATTATTTGAAAGATTCAAATCATTTGACTGAGGAAATTAAATTGTTGATTGTTCAATCAGTTGCTAGAGCTATTAAATTTATTAACGTGGAAGCTTCTTCAGTTTTAGGATTTATTGATTTTTCCACAATTTTCATTAATGAAAAAGGTGAATTCAAATTGGGTGGGTTTGAAGTGTTGACTAATTTGAAAACTGATCCTGATCAACCTATTTATAGATTATCTGGCAAATTGAATGGGTTTAATGAACTTTTATCTCCTGAAGTTTCATCAAATGGGATTGAAATACTTAGAGGTTCACAAACTGTCAAGTTTGATTCTTGGAGATTGGGTGTTTTGATTTATAAATTGTTCAATATTGATGCTTATACTATAACAAATGATGACTTATTAAAAGGTAAAAATATACCAAAAAATTTGTTAGCTGCTTACAAGAAATTATTAAGTACATCAGTTACTGTTAGACCTACTGTGGAACAATTCTTAAAGAATGGGGAACACACGTATTTTAACACTAATTTAATCAATTGTTACAAAGAATTGGACGAATTTGGATTAAGAAATGATCAAGAAAAATTACAATTTTTCCAAAACTTGGAAGTTGTTAAAGAAGATGCACCACCTGGATTCATGGAAAATAGAATTTTACCTGAATTATCCAATTTTTTCAATCATAGTCCAGAAAATGCTGCATTTGCCTTACGGTACATTTTAACATTTGGTGAAGTTTTACCCGATTCTTCAAAAATTGCACTCATAAAACCAGTGATCCTAAAAGCTTTTACATTGCCTGATAGACAAATTCGTGTTTTATTGTTGGCTTCATTACCAAAATTTATGGAAATTTTAACAAAATCTGATATAAGTGATCGTATCTTCCAATATTTTGTTACTGGTTTTTCTGATTCAAATCCTGCAATAAGAGAAGAAACCATCAAATCAGTATTGGTGATTGCACCAAAATTATCAGATAGACAATTGAATAATGAACTGTTGAGATTCTTGGCCAAGACTCAAAGTGATGAAAAACCAGAAATCAGAACAAATACAACAATTTGTTTGGGTAAAATTGCAGAACATTTGAACAAATCATCAAGAGCTTCAGTGTTGGCTACTGCTTTTAGTAAAGCAATGAAGGACCGATTCATTCATTCACGATTAGCTGCTATAATGGCAATTTCAAGTTGTATTGATTATTTTACCCCAGAAATTATTTGTACAAAGATTTTATCAGTTATTGCACCATCATTATTAGACAAGAGTTCAAAAGTTAGAGATGAAGCACAAAAGGCATTTGATTTATTTTTCAGTAAGATCAAAGAAGAAGCTGCCAACTTACCTCCTGATAATGACACAGCGGGTGATGACGATGCTATGGATAAAGTTACATCTGATGTACAAAACTTTGGTATCAATTTTTCAAATGCTTTGAATAAATTCACTAATGGATTTGGTGGTTCATTAAATCAAGAGGCTAATAATGGGATAAGTCCAACTGATAGTAGATCAGGTACACTATCTGTTGTTGCATCATTTAAAAGGGAACCAGTTGTGCAAAAATCTTTTAATGAACCTGATCCTGTTGAATTTGCTGATGATTGGGGTGCTGAAGATGATATTGAAATTGAAGAAGATAGTTGGGGTGGCTTTGATGAACCAAAAGTACAAGAACCTATAAAACCAAAAGTTGTCAAACCTGTTGTCAAACAAATGCATACATCAACCTCAAGAACTAAAACTACAACTACTACAACGCCTGCGCCTGTAAAGAAAGGATTACAATTGAAACCAAAAAGTAAAAGTAAATTGAAGTTGGAATTAGATGATGGTGATGATAATGATGGTTGGGGTGACGGTTGGTGAATCAAAATATCTACAATATATGAAATATGTAATAACTAAATCGAAGCATTTATATTCTATAGATAAAAACTTAGTGTACTTGAATGGAAAAGAAAACGATGTAAAAGCAATCCTCTGAACTTAAAAACAAACTGAAACAACCCGAAAATTAATAGAGGTTTTGAAGTAGTTTCACAACTTAGTAACGGTTGAAACCACCACGGCCACCACCACGACCTCCGAAACCACCTCTACCTCTACCACGACCACCACGGCCACCTCTACCACCGAAGCCACCACCACCGTAACGACTGTGTGGACCTGAACCTCTGTCATAAACAGCTAAACCATCTGGAATAGTTTGGTTAGCTTCTCTTAAAATTTTGATCAAAGAGGTACCTAATTTTGAGTTACCATCAGTGAAGAATGAAACTGAAGTACCTTTAGAACCAGCTCTACCTGTTCTACCAATACGATGAACATAATCTTCAATGTTACCTGGCATATCAAAGTTGATAACATAGTTGATACCTTTAACATCTAGAAAACAATTGTTAGTAATTCTGATTATTCCGTGTGAAATTCTTTCTTTTAATGTTTATTCACATCATAGAAAAGACCTTTGATTTAAAATTGATTCTTATAAAGAACACTAATGCACTCAAATATTCAAACAAAAAAGAAACGAAATCATGATAAAAAGAGACTACTGATCATAATTCCAAACAGAAGTGTACGTTTATTAAAACCTATGTAGATGAATATTTGAGAGCACAGATAATTTCCAAGAAAAGAGTGAACAAAACGTTCATCTTTCTTATTGAACGGATATTGACTAAAACTTCAAGCTATAACACAAGGCTCATTCCCAAATTTTTCAGGGCCTTAGTATTTATATAACTTTCACATAATCATCATCAATATCAGTTCTTTGAAAAATCTTCTTTTTTATATGCTCAGAGGCTGAATTCATCTAATAAGTCTTATTAAACTTCTGTCCTTTAAAAAGGAATCAATCAGTTTGGCTCTTTTTTTTGTCATTATTCAAAAGAATAACGATGAAGTCACTATTAAAGTGAATGGTTTTGGAATGAAATAATCACCTTTCATTTTAGCATTATAGAGTAATCACACTCATTCGACTGCCAAATGTCAAGTCATCACTTCAAATAGAATTGAATTGTCAACAAAAATCTTAATATTGTGGTATCAAAAATAAGGGTATCATTATCAAAACTCTTCAAGGGTCAAAAACCATGATTTCTTTTGAGTGCAAATCAAAGATCTAAAATATTAGTTAATAGTATCATATGCTTAGGAAGTCCCTAAAACAAAACAAAAAGAAAAAAATTGAGTGAAAAAAAAATACATACCAATACCACGAGCAGCAACATCAGTAGCAACCATAATTGGTGATCTACCTGATCTGAATTCACCTAAAACCCAATCACGTTCTTGTTGTTGTTTATCACCGTGAATGGCAAGTGCTGGCCAACCGTCATCTCTCAAGTATTTAGTGATTTCATCACAAGTTCTCTTAGTTGAAGCGAAAACTAAGACTTTTGAAGATTGATCAGACATAGCTTGTTCTAAATGTTTTAGTAAACGATCTCTCTTTTCATATTCTGAAACAACTTCAACAACTTGGGTAATAGTATGGGAAGCAGCTAATTCTAATGAACCAACAGTAACTTGAATATAATCATGTAAATAGTCACGAGCCAAAGCTTGGACTTCTTTTGGCCAAGTAGCAGACCACATAAGAGTTTGACGATCTGGTCTAATTTGATCAATAATTTTTCTGATTTGAGGTTCAAAACCCATATCCAACATTCTATCAGCTTCATCTAAAACCAAGTAAGTAACTCTTCTCAAGTTAGTTTTACCTGATTCCAACATATCAATTAATCTACCTGGAGTAGCAATACAGATTTCACTACCTCTAGCTAAATCTCTAATTTGTTGACCTCTTGGAACACCACCGTAAACACAAGTGTTTCTAATTCTTGAAGAATGACCAAATTTAGAACATTCAGCTTGAATTTGAACAGCCAATTCTCTGGTTGGAGCCAAAACTAAAACAATTGGACCATCACCTGGAGATAAAGGTGGTTGAGCATTAATATGCAAAATACCTGGTAAACAGTATGATAAAGTTTTACCAGAACCAGTAGCGGCAATACCAATCATATCACGACCACTTAAAGCCATTGGCCAACCTTGACATTGGATACCAGTTGGTTTAGCGAAACCTTGAGCTTTAACTTCATCCAAAACATATGGTGGGAAACCGGCTTCATCAAAACTTTCAATTGGTTTTGGAATGTTTGAACCATTACAAGTCATATCATGTTCTTTTCTGAAAGCAGCAACTTCTTCATCAGAACGGTTTCTAACGGTTTCATGTTCAATATAGAAATTTTTTTCAAATCTTGGTAATGAATCTAAATCCCAGTTTTGTTTAACCAAGTTATCACCCAAGTTACTCATTCTATCACCACCGCCAAATCCACGGTCACCACCAAAGCCACGATCACCGCCAAAGCCACGATCACCTCTATCACCACCAAAACCACCGCGAGATCCACCACGACCTCCACGGCCACCTCCAAAACCACCACCACGACCACCACCGTAGCCGCCATCTCTGTAACCAAAGTTTCTATCAGAACCTCTGTCACCGCCTCTGTTACCAAAGTTACCGGCGTTGTAACCACCTGAACGATCAAATCCACCTCCGTAGGACATTATTATAATTCTTCTTTAATTGATTTCAATTGGAAGATTTCTCCTTATTGAAATTGTTTAGGGGAATGAATAGGAAAAGTGGAAATGAGATTTTTTTTATAGCTGATAAAAAAAATTTTTTTGTGCAGGAAAAACAAAAAAAAAAAAAACGTTTCTGATTTCGATTCGGGACACAAACGAATAACCTCTGAATTTGAAATAGGCTAAATTATGAGGTTATAAAGGATGGAATACTGCTTTTATTCCTTTTTATTGTATGTTTAGATTGTGGTTTATTAAGAAAAATGTTTTTGTCGATGACGTTGGCTTCCTGAGTTTTCTGTTCTGCTTATTTGAGATGTGCGATAGCTAGATTTGAACATCGATAATAAGATAAAAGAAACTTCAAAGCGTGTATTACCAGAGATAATCGAAGATTAAATATTACAAGACGACAATTCAAAGAAGAATAGTTAAAACGTCTAAACTTTCATTTCATGTCTTTTAGGATAGTACTTTGAAAGTCTTTTTCAATGGTTCATGCAGTATAGTACACCTTCATTCAAAGATCCCTGTTACAGATTTAATAAATTATCTAAAACCTAGTGTATATTTTTAACTTCCTATATGCAATAATTGAATCTCCTTCCATTCAATTATGGTTCTTCAGTTGGATAATCAGCTTTATTGATCTTTTCTGTGAATTTATCTTCAATATGGGTACATAATTCACTTAAATTATCTAAACCTTGATGCAAAGCCTCCACTGCGGTGATTTTACCATAAGTTTGAATACGGATATTTAATTTTGTTTCTGAAGGATGAGGAATTGAATAACCACAGAATTCAACTTCAGGACTAAAAAGCACAAATGTTAGAACTTTTGTATGATAAGCACGAACAAACCAGGATTTACTTACTTTTTCATTATTATATATCTCAAGGCATTCCCGAGAGTATGATCTTCATCTATTATTTGGAAAGAGGCAGCAGTACCATCTTCAGTAGCACCTGGCAGCTAATTATGAATGGTTAATAATCAATAAACACTTCGTAACAAAGAAATCCAAACCGAACATACTATCTTGATTTTTTCAGTATCTAAATCTTCAACTTCTTCGTCTTGCATAGAGACATCAACATCTTGTACTGGTTCTTCTGTGGACATGATTGTGGTTTTGGTGTGTGTGATAAAAGACAATGTATAGATCAAAAAGTTGTATTCACTATAGTTAAACCTCATCGCTTTTAAATTGAAATTTTTTTTGACCTTCAAGATTATGTCATCATTATCAGATTTTTGTCAGCTGACATTACACGTGACTGGCTAATCCATTACCCTCCTGTTTCATCTGACAATTCACGTGACTGCTCTGTTACGTAATTCTCACCGATCAAAATTGCTGGAGCACTGTTGCCCCGTTGCCAAAACCACCAGCTTCAAACTTGAATTTGAGAAATGGCACATCATCAATCACCACCATCGAACTTGAACTTGAAGAAGAGCATCCAAGGAGAAAGGCCATTGCTGCTATCAACTATCTGCTATTAACCACTCCCACTCACAAACAATCGCATGGACTAAAGAGCTTTGTTTTTGGCAAGCAATTAGTATCACAAATCACAAATACCAGTGCGAAAGATCTTATAATAGCGAAAACAACGGAAGCTTAAATCCCAACCAAAAGGAAAGGAAGAAACATCAACAAACACAACTCAGATCACTCAGATCACCTCAAAGCTAAAGTGACACATTCCTACACAATCAAACACAACTAGGCGCTTAGAGATTACCCCTTTAGGCTCGAACCCTTTCAACGGTAGCTTCTGGTCAACAACCCTTAATTTTGCTATCTTGAACGAAAGGGAAAAAAAACACATTTTCACAACATTAGAGAGAGATGGATGCCTTGACTTTCAACAGCAACAATACAGGTGATACGTCGAATGATCACAGATATAACTCAAGAGCTGACGAGATAAACAATACTGCTGCTAAACAAAACAATATCCAACAATCTTCTGGTGCTTCAAGCAAGTTTAACACAGCTGGTAATTCCGAAGCAAGTCCCAGAAACTTTGATGCTAGTTATTATCCAGACAATAACGATAATACCACTACAAACCCAACCACTGCTGCTAATCAATATAACTCAGCAATGAACCAAGGTAACAGCAATAACAGATCAAATAGTGGGAAAGATGAAACTGCCCCAAGAAGCGGAAGAGCTGATTCTTTGTCATTTTATACAAACTTTGGTAATGGTTCAAGATTTTCAACTGATTCAAATTCAAGCATAAGTAATTTTTTAAACTTACCAACTCCTGCTGATCAAGGTCTCAATTATGATTCAAATGGCCGTGGTTATTCTATTTTGAATAATATGTTTATGCCTCCAGGACAACAAGGTCAACAGCAACAACAAGCAAATGGGGCTGGTAATGGCCAAAGTCAATCACAACAAGGTGGTCAGAACTTCATTCCTTCTAATGATTATTATGGCTCTTTTAGAAGACCTTCTGAACAGTTGGAACCTTTCAACCCATCTGTTAAGCTAAAAGCTCCAAATTTTTCAACCAAGTCTGGAGGCAATAACAATAATAATAACAATAGTGGCAATAATAGAAACTCTGCAGGGTACATACCTGGAGCTTCTTTTAGTGAAGGTGTTTCTGATTTTGATTTTTTCTCAAAAAGAGATTCAATTAGAAATTCAAGAATTCCAAGTTTTCTAAACAACAATACATTTGGTGATGGAAGTGATTTTGATTTCTTTGCTAAAAGAGACTCAATAAGACCAATCAATGATGATGAGTTGGGTTTGAGAGAAAATTCAACAAGTAATGACAATAATGACCAACAACAGCAACAACAAAAATCAAAAAGAGAAACAAGATCTGAACCTGATACAAACCAATTTAAGCAAGAACCTTTGAATACTATACCTGAACGTCCACAATCATCTATGAATAGACCTGAACAACAGCAACAATACAATCAGTATCAACAACAACAGCAACAGTTTCGTCAACCACAACTACCATATAATGATTACCAACAACATCAACAACATCAGCAACAGCAACAGCCTCAACAATATCAACAGTATCAACAATACCAACAAACCCCACAACAATTTCAGTATAATCAACCACCTCAAGCTATTCAGCCACGTCCTCAAGCTGAATTAAAGCAACCTACAACAACAGCAGCACCAAAAAAGTCACCTCTACAGAAACCAAAGCAAAAGGGAAAAAAACGTACTGCAAGTCAGGATTCTAATGGCAACAAAAGAAGAAACGCAATTCAACCAAAGAACCCACAAGCAAAAGCTAATGCACCTACAAATGCTACTGCTGCAACAACATCATTAAGCCCTCAGTATAACATTTCACCTTCAACTCAACATTCACATATTTCACCAACATCTTCACAATATTCCAATACTTCTGAAGGTCAAAGGCTAAAATCTGCTCAAGACACTGTAACAACAGATGATGGACGTCCCTTATTGGGTGCTACGAAAGTTGATCAATTGATGCTTGTTATTCAAGCCCGTAAAAAAGGTGTTCATAATCCAATAGCACAAGCTGATGATGGTTCTATTTTGGATAATGGTGATGGTGTATTGCCTCAAGAAACGGAATTAGTTGGTGGGATTGATAAACCAAAGACAAAAGGTACTAAACATCATGAATGTCAGTATTGTCACAAGACTTTTACTCAATCAACTCATTTGGAAGTTCATGTTCGTTCTCATATTGGTTATAAACCATTTGAATGTAATTATTGTGGGAAAAGATTCACTCAAGGTGGTAATTTAAGAACTCATTTGAGATTGCATACTGGTGAGAAACCATACATTTGTGAAACTTGTGGTAGAAGTTTTTCAAGAAAGGGGAATTTAGCTGCTCATAAACTGACCCATGAAAATTTGAAACCATATGAATGTAAATTAGATGGTTGTAATAAAGCATTCACACAATTGGGGAATTTAAAAGCTCATCAAAATAGATTTCATTTAGAGACATTGAACAATTTAACTAGGAGATTAGCTGAGATTGATCCAGAAGATGCACAAACTACAATGAATCCAGATGAAAGAGATTTATTGAATTATTTTGCTGGATTATACAAAAATTCAAATAGAGGTATAAAAGGTCGTGGGAAAAGAACATCACCAGTGTTGAAGACACCACAAATTGCAAACCAAGCTGCTCCAGTTAATAATCAACCACAACCACAACAGCAGCAGCAACAGCAACAGCGTCCTCAACAACAACAGGCTAAACAAGAACAGCAACAGCAGTACAACCCACAATACCAACAATATCAATATCCTCAAGATCAATCATTCAATCAACAGTTGGCCTTTAATCAACAAAATGGTGCAAATTTTGCTCCTCCTATGAATCCTGGCGCAAAAGCTGGTAATATTTCATTCAAAAATGTGAATTATAATTGATCATCATAATGACTTTCCTTTTTCTTTTGTTCATATGACTTTGTCGCTTTAATGTTGTTTTCCATTCATCATTCGTCATGTTTTGTGGGTTATTCTTTTTTTTATCTTTGTCGGTTATCAAATTCATTAATGTGTTTTTTTACTCTTTTTTTATTACTATTATCAAGTGTCATGTGTTTTTCTTTGTTATCTTGTTCTTTTTTTTATATAAGTTATTTTTAATGATTGTGTTTCAAGTTTGTATTGTATAAGATTAAATATTTTATGAGTCATTGGATGTAAAGAGCTTAAATACAGTAGAAAGGTTGAAACAGAATTCCCATCAGTTCTATTGAGAGAATATCAATGAGTTCTGAACATACGGGTCGTACACAAAAATTGATATTGGTTTTCTACTCTGAATGTTGTAATTTATAATCTAGAATTATATTTGGCCAATATAAGCTCCTGGATACGCTTGATTCTCAAAATGTAATTCACAACGATTCAATCTTGTTCGGAACATCTTGAAAACACACATACAAATTCGCGAATTTTCGAATTTTTAACTAGTAAAATTGGAAAGATATCCTCTTCAAGTTACATGTATTTGAGGGAGAAGTTTGAATAGTTGATTCAATATGAAAGCTGTTATAGTGCACATGTTGACAGTTTTAAGAGGATTCAACAAATTTCAAGAATTCACTACGTTTGAACATCAAAAAATTCAAGTTGAATTAAAAAAATGTACATTGATAAAATTGTAAATTATTAAAATTAATAAATATATTATATTATTCAAACATCAATAAAATTCAATAAAAACCAGATTAATATGTTCTTTGATGTGAAGTTTCTGGATATTGAACGTTTGATCCAGCTTTACCACCAGAACCAATGTTTTGTTGCTGATTGTAATAGCCGTCTCCAGTATTTCCGGTGTTTCCAGTATTTCCGTAGTTATAACCTTCATTACCTGTTGAAGTATTATAATTTCCAGAGTTATAACCACCAGCACCAGTACCTTGATTTGTTGCATTATTCTCATTGGTATAAGTGTGTGTATCACCATAACCACCAGATTCAACATCACCTGAACCACTGTATTTATGAGTTCCTGTTGTATTTCCACCAGCATATGCGGTATCTGGATCATAGTGTCTACTAAAAGCATAAGCTGGTTTATTCAATCTAATTCCAGAGTTTGGATTGAAATATTCACCAGCTGGTCTTTTATGAGCCATTAATCTCTTGAAAACATTAAAGAACAAAAGTGCTGTACCAAGGGCAAATAACAAGAAGCTAAAAGCAGCAAATGCAATGGCAGCTTTAGATGAACGACATCCAGTAACATGGGATGAGCCACCATATCTTGGATAAGTAATGTAATTGTAGCCAGAGCCAGAGCCAGAGCTTCCATACCCAGAGCCAGAACTTCCATAACCAGAACCAGAACCGTATCCTGAAGATGAACCATATGAGCTTGATTGTCTTCTACATGAAAACCCACTATAACGAGAAGCGATTGCAATAAAAGCACACAACCACAAAATAGTTAATAAGGCCTCCATAACCATAACTGGACCAGCCATAACCAAGGATGGCTTGAAAAAGGATAGTAAACCTAAAATGATCAAATACAACAGCGACAAAGCACCAACAAATGAAGTAAATCTCATACGTCTTTCACTATTGAAAAATTTATTCAATGAACGACTAGCCAAAGCAAGAGCAATGATAGAACTAATAGCTTGCAAAGCTCTCAATCCCCAAGTCAACAATGGATTACGGCCAATTTTGGCAAAAATACCACCACCAGTTGATTTTCTTTCACCATTATAACCTGTTCCAGTGGTACCTGATTGTTGTTGAGGGTATTTTTCAGTCTGATATTTATCAGTTGGGCTACTCACAGTAGCTTGATCATGTTCAGTATTGTGATAATTTGACATTTTAGTATTATTTGTCTTTATAACATGGAAAGCATTAAAAATTTCCAAGCTTTATTTTATGTCTCATGATGGAAAGAGTTGGGCTTATATAGGCATGCACTAAAATGGATTTGTATTAGTAAAAGCTAACAGGTTAAATGAACCAAACCACAATAGATGATTGGTTAAAACAACTTTTGAGGTCATCTTTGAGAAAATAGCAACCTTTAATCATTAAGTGCTTGTTTGTTTGCAATTGTTTGTTCTAGATATAAGGTGTCAGTAATACACATCAAAATTAAAGTTATAGATCAACGGGTACCCATGATTTTGAAAGCGGCTTTAACTATTGTGTGCTCTTTCCACATCACAACCATAAAGACGTACATGGTATAGCAGAATTTCAGTATAATTTGTAAGTGAAATTTGGGGAAGAAGATAAGAGAATTATGTTGCTAGGTGGTTTGTGCTAAAATATGTTTACAGGTTGTGTCATGAGCGGATCAATTGTACTGGTTAATGTTACTTGCTTTTTTGGTTTCCAATTATGAAATTAATACACCTCAATGACTTATGAATAAGGTTAATAAATTAGCTTACAGTAAAATCCGTCAAACAAAGATGACAAGAAAGTACAAAGTGGTAAAAATTGCGCTAGCTACACTCAACTTTAAAACAAAATTAAAATTCATTAAAGTAACTCAATTGAAAACGCAACAACAAATTTTATCTATAACTTACACTTAAACTGATCAATAAACAAAAAGAGCTAAACTCCAATTTTAACAACAAGAACTTTAATTCAACACATCTCACCTATCATACAAACTTGAATTCATTTTGACCCAAGTCATTTAAAAAACTGAAATCACCAACACTAACACCATCTCCATCACGAGTTGAAGTTTCATTTAAATTTGGTAAATCTTCCAATTTTGTTGGATTATTAGTTGTATTTAAACCTGAAGGTAAATCACCACCTTTTGCACCAGGTCCATTTGTACCATCTGGTCTTTTCAACATATATGGAGGTAAAAATCTTCCAAAAATTTGCATATCTAATTGATCAATCATACCTGGCATATAACTATCACCTTCACCTTGTGTATTAACTTCTTGATCTGTTGTTGGAGTTGATGTTGAAATTCCATTTGTAGAAATACCATTATTTGTATTACTTGTAGTGGTTACTATTGGTTTCGAATCAACTTGAGATGATGATGATGTAGTTTGTTGGTTTGTCTGAGAATTTGGATTGATGAAATTATCAAAATTTGCCAAATAATCAAAATCATTCAGACTTTCTTCTAATTTGATATCATAAGGTGTAACAGCTGGAACATTTTGATTTGAATAATTGTATACTTGATTATTTTGACCAATACTGTTTGAAGCAGTTAAGTTTTGTGCAACAGGAACTGAATAATTATTCATTTGAATGTTATTTTGTTGTTGTTGCTGTTGTTGTCTTTGCTGTGCTTTTTGCTGTTCTTCTCTTTGACGTTGTTGTTGTCTTTGAGCATGAATGAATGCAGTTTTTCTATTTAATTGTTCAAACAATGAATTCAAAATATTATAAGTTCTTGAGGCAGCCATTGAACTATCTTTTAATATTGTTAGGATTTCTTTACCAGCTTCTGCATCACTTCTAATACCGATATAATCTGGATGGAATTCATCAAATGGAACTTCATGAACATAATAAACTAAACATGCAACTGAAAAAAAAATTGTATAAATTGAAAACCAATAAGAACCTGACAACATATTTTTTTTAATCATATCTTGGGCTAAATTAACAACTGTTCTTGCCACACTTATACAATTTTTGGCCCTTTGTATAGATAATGTATCAACATTTGGTAAACTAGTATATTTTGGAGAAATGTAATGAATAAATGGACGATATAAAACAATTTGAACATGTAAAAACGATAGATGTAATAATCTGTTGGCCTTATAATATTGAAATGGTGGGTCAAAACCCGGGATCAATTCTTTTGGTAAACTAGATAACCAACCTCTTAACTCTAGTTCCATTTCTGAAACTTTTTCATGAGAAATCAATCTAAGGTTTGAATTAATTGGATAAAGATTCTTGACAATCTTATTCAACACTAATATTAGTTTGGTATGACTATTTGCAATTGCAGAAGAACTTAATTTCCCTGGTTCTTGAGGTAAATAACCATCTTGTGTAATATTTTCATCATCTAATTCCATTGGTAAATCTTGATCAATATCTTCAGTTGCAATTGACCTTGGTAATCCCAACATTGTATTGACATAAATATCCATCTTATAAATAGTCCAGAAGATTCTTTTTCTAATCTCTAATTCAATTGGATTGAAAGGATGTGCCAATTTTCTATGTAAACCTTCTTTTAAGGCAGATCTTAATGCAACACCAATATAAGAATAACATGTTGATAATCTTGCAGAACATTGAAGGAATAGAATCAACATAACAATTGTTTGAATAGCATATAGATCTCTAGCATCTGTTATATCAATTAATTTTCTTGCAGCAATGAAATATCTATAACCTTCATCTTCTAAAAAATTATCTTCAATACCATTACCTCCACTTTTTTTACTAAACAAAGCACCAACAGCCATAACTGAATAAGCCAGTGGTAAGAATCTATTTTGTTTATTTGTATAATTTTCAGGATCTGTTTCATACAATTCATCAAGATCAGCAATAAATGCAGGTCTATGATAAAATCTGAATAGGACACAAGGTGAAGCCCAAGTCTTTGTAACTAATTCTAATGCAATGTTTTTTGGAGGTAAGATAATTTTAATTTCACGACCATCTCTTGATTCTATTGAACCATCTATATTTGCATGAGGGAACGTTAGTTTTCTCTTTTTGGACTTATTGTTGATGTTATTATTATTATTGTTATTGATGGAATATGAAGTTGTAGCTGTTGGAGTTGAGATATTTGAAGGTGGAGTTTCAGCTGATTGGTTGATAGAGGCTGAATTAGATAATGCAGAAGGAGCAGGAGGTGGGATATCTCTTGATTTGTACTCTTTTGCTAAGCTGTCTAGTTTGATGGAACCATCACTTTGTCTAAATTTTGAAAAAATTTCCTCAAAAACTTCATAATTGAAACCAGCATCAAATACATCAATATCTGGTAATAACAGGTGTAAAACTTGCTCAGCACCTTTTAATTTTGTTTCAACTAAATGTATATCAGCACCGTTTTTCCTTCTATTTGAAGGTTGATCATAAGTACAATCATATGAATACACAGTACAATGAATACAGGGCTGTTGACCATCACATTTGACCTTCTTTTTCCGACATTCATCACAAGCTCTAGTGACTCTTTTCCTTTTCTGTACCTGAGCGGCAGACGACGATGAATTACCAGCGCCGTCATTATTGTTATTTATATCAGGAATGAACACAGCGGGAGAACCTTTATTCTGAGGCATGATTAAGCAGCAACAAGTGAGTTATATGACTTTGGGGTTAGAGATGGGGATTGAACTCTTGAGTTTTTGTTTTCTGGTTATATTGTGATCATTAATTCACTGGAAGGGTCTAGCTAGCTTGCTGTTTTTGAAGAAAGCTCGTAAGGATTCAAAGAAGGCCATCTGTTGCAATAATTATTGAAATCGAATCTATCATCACCTTCACCAAAACTCTATTTTGCGCATTTGGGTTTGTCACTTTTGGCGCTACGAAAAAGAAGAAAAGAATTTTCAAATGCCTGCAGATGATTTACCTGTTTGGGCTGAATTGGCGTAAAATCTATAATTTTATGAAGATGGATTTAGGTGCTCGTTGAACAGAGGGAAAATGATGAAGAAGAAAAAAGACACCCATTTAATCAAAGATGGTACGTTATTGATCAATTTGACAGTTGCTTGATTTGTTGCATGTGTCTTTATTCATATCTTGTCTGGTTCATTATCGATTCTATTGTCCATAATGCAAGGGTTTTTCTGGATCAATCTCAACGAATTGTTCCAGAACAGTACATTGATATGAGGTACTAAAGAGACGATGAGCTTGGTCCTAGATAGCCACATACATTTCAGTGTAGGTATGTCAACGGTCAACAGGATTGTAGGTGGGATCTAAACTTTCTGTTCCAATTGAATCTGTTTTAAATCTCTTCTCTAGAGGTATGTTCATGACACCGACATCGCAGAGTTACCGGATTAGGAATGTGTCTGCCATTGACGTTTTTCCCTTTGCAGCTGTTAAAGGCGCCATTTTCTTTGCGAAATTAATCGTACAAAGGAAACAATACCTGACACAATAGAATCATCATAGGAATTAGTGCAAAGGAAAAGAACAGTCATTTGATATTTAATCTGATTCAATTAATTGAGTTTGACTGGGTTTCTGGCGAGTCTTTTACGCAAAAAACGTTAGAATTGAGTTTAATATTAACGACGATGTTTTGCACGCTGTTAACTAGCCGCGCTAATTTGAGTTATAAAGGCACTAATTAATTTAGCCATCTGGTACCTCGATATCAATTGGTAGTGATTAATTGGTTATTCTGATTATGCTTCTATCGAACCCTTTGGTGGTCTGTTGATGGCTCTGCTCTTGATGCTCTATTGTAATGCTCACACGAGATGGCACCTAGTGTTGGTGTTTTTAGGCAGCCATCAACCTATGAAAATTGTATTCCGACCGTAGTCACCTGACTAGTCACATGACATAATACACCCTCGTAACAATTAACTCCCAAAGGGGACTATTTCCGGATTCGGCCATTTCAAATCAAAACATCATCGACCTTTTTTTTTGTTTGTTTGGGCTCCTTGTTTTTGTTTACATTTCACTGAGTAAATAAACCATCATCAACACTGGAAAGCCCACAACAAACGACAAAAGGCTGCCAAAGGAACTGGAGCAAGACACCCAAAAGCCAATAGTCCCCAGCCCAATACACCAGCCATCAAGCCACCATCTCTGACATTTACAAACTGAAGAGCTCTTTCAAGTTTCCATAATTTTCACTGGTTGTTGTGGTTTTTTTTTTCATCAAATTTTACAATTTATTCTCTTCGGAAGGGAAACCATCAACAAAAAACACAATTTAAACCTTGGATTCCATCATCTTCATCCCGTCCAACATCATAACCCCCAAAGACAATGTCAGACATTAGCAGAAAGAGATCGGTTGATGAGATTGTTGACAATGTATGTGTTTTTAGTATGATGTTTTTGTTTGCTTTTGCCATTGTTTTTTCAACCTTCCTTTTTTTTTGCCTACTTTTTTTCACTATGGAAACAAACGACAAAACGTCTACACAATTGAATGAATTGTGTTTACTAACTTATTATTACTAGGTTTCTTTATATGATGATCAAAATGAACTTATTAATGCTGTGATATCCGTTTTAGCTATACCTGAAAATAAAACTGTTGTTGCAGAAAAATATGCTAATGATAAGAATCAAGCCACTGAAGTTCAAGCTTATGCGAAGATTGCAGGTAATAATTGGACTTTTTATGTCAAATCATTATCTATTTCAATAGGAAGAAACACTGAACCTGCTCCAAATCAACCTCCAATTCCAAAAGAATCAACAATAGATATAGATTTAGGTCCTGCAAAAGTTGTTAGTCGTCAACATGCTTCAATAAATTATAATTTAAACTCAAGAATGTGGGAATTATTCGTTAGTGGTCGTAATGGTGCCAAAATTGATGGTTCAAGAATTCCATGTGGTCCTGATTCAACTCCTTCTCCATTATATTCAGGTGCTGTAGTAGATATTGGTGGTACTCAAATGATGTTTATTTTACCAGATGCTCAACCAAAAATTTCAAGAACAATATTAGATTCTGTTAATTCAAAACTACCAAAACCTAAAAATAAAAGATTAAGTAGTATTGGGTTTAATTCAAACAATTCAAATTCAACAAATAATGGTACCACTGCAACTTTTACCACTTCAATGTCATCAAATTCAAATAGTAATCTAAAAGGTTTCCAAATGTATAATAATATTGATTCAGAATCTGACAATTTAAATAATAATGGTGGAATGGGTTCAAAACAAGATAATGATTTATCAAAAGATGAATCAAGAGATATCAAACCTCCATATTCTTATGCAACAATGATTACTCAAGCAATATTGTCAAATACTGAAGGTGTTTTATCATTATCTGAAATTTATGATTGGATTTCATCTCATTATGCTTATTATAGGTTTTCAAAATCAGGTTGGCAAAATTCAATTAGACATAATTTATCATTAAATAAAGCTTTTGAAAAAGTTCCAAGAAGAGCAAATGAACCTGGTAAAGGTATGAAATGGCAAATTGCAGATTCTTATAAAGATGAATTTATGAAAAAATTTCAAAATGGTTCTTTATCAAAAGTTAGAAGAGGTTCTTCAGTTTCAAGACAATTACAATTACATTTAGCTATGCATAATGATTTACCTGCAAGTCAAGCTGCTCGTCGTAAAATTCATCAACAATTACCTCCAGATTTATATGGTGGTGCAACAAATGGTACTAATAGACCACCACCACCTCATGATGCCTTATCATTTATGGCTGCTGCTGCAACATCATATCCTCAATTTAGTCAACAATATAACAAACAAATGCAACAAAAAACCCAACAACAAGAACCTAGTGGTTCAACTGGTGCACCACCACTTTATGGTCAAGCAGGTTATTATAATATACCAACACAATTACCACCATTACATCAACCATCATCTCAAACTACACCAACTTTACCACAACAACATTATCAACCTCCACCACCTGCTCCAACTAGTGCTCATATTCCATCATCTTCAGCTCCACAATCTTCACGTTTCCCAACTGCAACAACAACAGCACCAACTAGTTCAAGTGGACTTCAATCAACTTTTAATAGTGGCATACGACCACCAGTGTCTGAATCATTACCACAAGTAACCAACACCAATACTAACACTACCACAACCAATACAGCATCTGCAAATACTACAAGTGGTGATCAAACAAAAGATTCACAACCAAATACTCAATTATCATCACCTTTAAAATCTGAAAAGACACCAGTCAAGAGTTTTTATAATGGAGGTGGTTATTTTAATGAAGATGAAAATTCAGTAAGTCCTGTTAAGAATTTTGTTAGTGCAGTGGAGGCATATACACCTGAACGTGGAGCATCAAAACCAAATTCTCAAATTCAAAATCCAAAACAACAACAACAAAATCAACAACAACAATCTGGGGGAGAAGGTGTGAATAATAATGGTAATGGAGGACATAATGGTGGTAATATTCAAAGCTCACCAGCCTTATGGAATTTCGTTCAATTTAGTACACCATTACAACCAAAAGAACAAACAACACCAACAAAAGGGGGATATCAAAGTCAACAAAGATTACAACCTGGTGAACAACAACAAAACCAAGAACAACAACAAGGAGGAGGAGGTGAAAGTCCATTAGTTATGAGACAAAAAGTTAAAGATTTAGGAGATTTGAGTAATGTTGATTTAGCTAAGGGATTTAAAAAATGAATTAATTATGGGTCAGGAACTCTTATCTTTTTTTTGTTTTTAATTTTGTTGATTCCTTAAGTTGGGGGTTTTCTATTTTATTGTATTAGTTATATATTTTGTTATTGTTTTCTTTGGTTTTAAGTATGGAAAGAAGAAAGATATGATAGTTATGATTAAAGTTTATTGAGATAAAAAAAAGTTTAAATATCATGTTCTCTTTTTGAATAAAGAAGATTTATGTAAATATACATTCATTTAAGGATCTTGAAATTGGAATTTGTAAGATATCAGCCTTATACTATAAAGCTCGAAGAAACATGAAGCAGAGTACCGAATAGATCTCTAATAATAGAGTAGCTTTTCCAATTAAACGAATGTACATTGAATATAAACAAACTAGGCATCAATATTAAATAACAACAAAAGACCCACATTAACCAAATAAATAACATAACCATGACCAAAACAAATAAACCCAACATTAACCTCTATCCATCTCAAACAATAACACAACATCCCCCACCATTCTTCTCTTGGACATTACTATTAGATGCACTGCCATCATTTGTATTCTTATTCTCATTGCTTGTAGTACTCTTCCCTCTTTTCAGAGATAACCCTTTATGTTGTTGTTGCTGCTCATTTTTCACAGCAGGTTTGAAGCTAACATGGATAATATCACTTAAATTTAAATTTAAATCACTAATCAACATATCGTCAGTTAAAGGCTTACCTAAATGGATCATCCTTATTTGATCTATTGAAGTTGGTTTGAACCCCATGTTGGAATCATCAGAATCTAAAGGAGTTATGAAATCTGCTGACCAGTTTTCTATTAAATATTTCTTCAAGATTGATACATTATTTGTTAATGTTAATGGGATTGATAAACGATGGGTATTAAGGAATAATAAAGTGATTGATTGTTCTTGTTGTTCATCCATTTTCGATATTCTATAGTCTGTTCTGTATTCTACGAGTGGGATATTATGATTTGTAAATGAACTATGTGGTTTTTCCCTTTTGATGATCGTGGTTTTGGATTATGGAATTTATGGGAAGAGTGTCTGATGTTGATACGATTTTGTTTATTGTTCCCTTTCTCAATCACACTTTGCGCCAGTGCCCTCAACCATTTGACACCAATTTGATCAAAAGTGTATAAGCGAATCGCGATGATGTAGAATTGGGAGATCAATGAAGAAGTTATGGCTGTTTTTGGAGTGAAGGGTCCCAGGGGAAAAGTGGTGGAGGTGGGTGCTGCGTTGCAATTGTTTTGATGATTATCGACTAACGTTATAGAAACTATTCCAAAAAGTGATTGAATTGGTGAAACAAGATGCTGATACAAACATCATTTGGCTGGAGGATACTGGCACTATACCTTTCCAATCGCTAGCATTGAACTATGATGCCGATGAGCAGATACTATCAAGAATTCAGTACATCCGTGTATTTGATCTAGAAGGATATATCGATAGTTTCAAAGAGATTAAGTGCAAGAGTGTATTGGTTCTCAGTCATTTTGGTGCAATGTGTAAAGATCGAGTGTACCAGGATGAGACCCCACGAGGGAATGCCCTTGTAAATGAGATCATGTTGAAACTACGGCAACTGAGCCATGAGCAAGATGTTACTAGTTATATAGTTGGGTGTGAAGGTTTGATTGAGTATTATCTTGATGATGTTTTGTATACTTAAACTGATTAGGGCATGAATGCATGGACTGTAGATCATGTGACTAGATATAGGGCTGTCACCGACTTTTGTGAAAGTGCTCCTACCAGCCTGGTGTACGGATGTGGTGTCAACCCAATCTTTTTCAAACGACTCTCTGCCTAGAACCCAGCGCTAGGCTCGCGCTAGGCGGAACCTCTGCCTACGCCCTTCCTAACCTCTGCCTAACCCCCTCCGCCTATTTCACCACCAACTTGTGTCACTTACCGAAATTTCTCAACGTCGCACAAGTTTTTCATTCAAAATACTTTTCAAATTTAAACATCAAAATCTATTAAACCTTTATTATCAACAACCCCAAGTATATCAAGTTCAAACAAAATGAGTACTTTCGAACCAGTCGTTGTTATTGATGGTAAAGGTCACCTTTTAGGTCGTCTTGCTTCAACTGTTGCCAAACAATTATTGAATGGTCAAAAAGTTGTTGTTGTCAGATGTGAATCTTTAAACATTTCTGGTGAATTCTTCAGAACTAAATTAAAATACCATGATTATTTGAGAAAAGGTACTCGTTACAACAAAACTCATGGTCCTTTCCATTTCAGAGCTCCATCAAGAATCTTTTACAAAGCTATCCGTGGTATGATTGCTCACAAAACTGCTCGTGGTAAAGCTGCTTTAGAAAGATTAAAAGTTTTCGAAGGTGTCCCACCTCCATATGACAAGAAAAAAAGAGTTGTTGTTCCACAAGCTTTAAGAGTTTTAAGATTGAAACCAGGTAGAAAATACACCACTGTTGGTCAATTATCTGCTGCTGTCGGTTGGAAATATCAAGATGTTGTTTCTAAATTAGAAGACAAACGTAAAGTTAGAGCTGCTGAATATTATGCTAAAAAGAAGGCTTTAACCAAAAAAGTTGAAGCTGCTAAAGCTTCCCAAGCTAACTCTGAAGTTTCACAAAAATTGTCAACTCTTGGTTACTAAATTTGTTAATGTATATCTAGTTTGAATAAAACTTGGTTTTTGAAAAGGTTTTAATCATTAGGAATTTATATGTAATTATGTTTTTTTTGGAAATGATTGTATTGTGTTGATTTATGTTTTCCAGGTTGTGTCATGTTGTCAAGATTTAGATGTTGATACAAAATGATACTAAACTATACTTACTATTATCTCCCTAGACTTATCTACATTCTCTATGCTCACACTATCCTTCTCATTTGTTCATACACACCAAATGTTATACAAGTTGCAGGAAGTACTCTTATTATGTTTGGCACAACACCTTTATAAAACCCACCAATACCTTCTAATCTCCATATACCTTCAACAACTTGTTTAACAGTTTTCCTCTTTGTTATACTTTCATAATCTTGTAATCTACTTTTCAAAACTTGACACGGATAAACCATTAAAGTTGCAGTTATCTTGGAAACACAACTCATTATGATATATTCATAAACTTTTAATTTACCTAACCCGTCATCACCTCTAAATCTATATTTTAAAGTATCATACATTGTAAATTGCAAAGCACCTTGACTAACACCCATTAGACTTGGTGTTAAACCTTTCCAAAACCCCAATATACCTTCCTCTTTAACCACTCTTTTAAACCCATCAATAACTCCAATATAAGCACCTGGAGCTATTTTACTAGTACTCAAAATTCTAGTTTTCAATACCCATATAGGATTAGTTAAAACAGCAGTGAAAGAACCAGCACTAAAGGCACTTATTAAATATTGCCATGATTCTAAATTAGCATCCAGTAGAGTTTCATCATGTAGTAAATCTTTGAAAACTCTATATGAACCGAAATATATAGCCCATGCGGATGATCCACCAATTAAATTCAATGGTAAACCTCTATAAATTTCCTTTGTTGGTGATGCTGAATTCTGGAACCCTTTAAAGATCTTGGAGAGTGCTTCTATATGAGTTTTTGAAGATATGTCTAGTTGTAATCTAATTTTCAATAGATCTAATGGATGAGTTACTGTTGTTGTGATGAAACCTGCTGTTAGGCCCGAGAGCACTTCTCGTTGAGTTTTGGTTATTGGCATGTAATCAAGTGGATATTGATATCACATAAAAGGAGATGATAGTGAGTTGTGGATGAGTGTTAAAGAATGATTATGTATGTGCTTTTTGAAAGCGATGAGTTTTTTGATCCATAGAAAAAAACAGCCATCGAATCGGTCGGAAACGAATGAATGGGATTTTATTATTTCGAGAATTGAAAGTGTTGGAAATTGGTTGAAGAAGATATTAAATATTGGTGATGGAATGTTGATTATTTGTTATTCCATCCAATTTGTTCCATTTTAATCCAGTTATTTCCAACTTAATCCAATTTAATCTATTTCAATATCTTCATTATGTCCCAGAATCTACAACTGATCATCTGTATAATCAAAAATTAAACTCATAAAATTTACAATCATTAACCAATCAAACTATGTACACCATAATCAATATATGTGTTGTTCATTCATATTTCTCCTACTTCCATCTTTTATTCTTATATTTGCTTAAACAGATGGTAATGGAGATAATAAAGCTAATAAAGGTGGACGATTTGGAGTTTGTGACCAACCCAAGTATAAAACAAATGGAATCCAACCGTAATGAGCAATTAATCTTGCTGAATCCATGATTTTAGTGATTCTTTCCTAAAAGGTGAAGATGTTAGTAATTGTACCGAATTGGCATGTCTCTGATTTGCTATTCTTATAGGGAGTTGTAACTCGTACCATCTCATATTCCAAGTTAAAAAAAAGACATTCTCCATCACACAAAATCCACTCCACATACTTTTGATTCGTCTGATAATGCAAAAGCCATTGTTGTAACTATCTTTTGTGTTGTATCTGATTCTTCTCTTTGATCAAGGCTCACTTTCTTTCGTTGGAAATTCTTTTTCAAGGTTTTCAAAATTACTCGACAAGTGTTACGCGACACAAGATACACTTTGAGAAATGACAGACTTACAAGTATAATTATAATCATAATTTCCACAGTTTTGTTGTCATTGTATTTCCATTAAATATCGATAAATACCATCTATAAATTATTCATAAATTATCTTTTGCATTATTTTTAGAATTATACTTCTGATATTTCTTATAATAATAATTCCAATGGGTTTTCAATAACTTCTTTCAAAGCCTTGATAAATTCACCACCTTTAGCACCATCAACAACTCTATGATCAAAAGTACCAGTGATGTTAATCTTTGAGTCAAAGATGAATCCATTTGGATTAGCTTTATCTTCAACAGCAACTTTTGAAACGGTACCAATGGCTAAAATGGTTGATTGTGGAGGATTAATAATTGAAGTGAATAAATTAACAGCATGGTTCATACCCAAGTTTGAAATACAAATGGTACCACCTTGGAATTCTTCTGGTTTTAATTTGTTATCCTTGGCACGTTTACCTAAATCTTTAACTTCTTTTGAAATATCAACTAAACCTTTAGCATGTGCGTTTTTAACAATTGGAGTAATTAATCCAGATGGAGTAGCAACCGCAACTGAAACATCAACGTTGTTATATTGTCTAATAACACCTTCAGCTTCTAACCAATGTGAGTTAGCTTCTGGAACACGACGAGCAGCAGCTGAAATGGCTTTGATTAAAATATCATTAATTGATAATTTATAACGATCATTAGCTTGAGCATTTAATGAAGCTCTTAATTTCAATAATTTTGAAACTGAGATTTGAGAGGAGACAATGTATGATGGGTTAGTTTGAGTAGATTCCAATAAACGTTTACCAATGATTTTTCTCATGTTTGAAACTGGAACATCAACAAAATCTGGAGCTGAAGAACCTGAACCTGCAGCAACTTGAGCTGGAGCACCAGCTTTTGGAGTTTCAACTTTGTTATCAGCAATGAATTTTTCAACATCTTCTTTAACAATTCTACCGTTTGGACCTGAACCTTTAACTTGTCTTAAAGAAATACCTTTATCTAAAGCAATGGTTTTAGCTAATGGGGATGCAATTATACGATCAGTTGGAGCTGATGATGATGATGAAGATGAGGATGGAGTAGATTTCTTTGGAGCAGAAGAACCTTCATCTTTCTTTGGTGCTTCTTCGGATTTAGATTCATCTTTTGGAGCTTCTTTTTTTTCAGATTTAGCTTCAGCAGTGAAATCTTTAAAAGCATCAACATCACCTTTATCTTCAACGTAAACAGCAATTGGGGTGTTAACTGGGATATCTTTTGTACCAGCTTCGACCAAGATTTTAGCTAAATAACCTTCTTCTTGAAATTCAAAATCCATTTGAGCTTTATCAGTTTCAATTTCAGCAATAGCTTCACCTGGTTGTAATTGATCACCAACAGACTTGTTCCAGACAGCCAAGTTACCTTGAGTCATGGTTGGAGACAATGCAGGCATACCAATGACGGTATGAGGAGGATAAGATGATTGGAAACGAACAATGTTCAAAGAGTTCAATCTGGTGCATCTGGTTAACATGGTTAGTATTTGAACAAGCTGGTTCCCTTTGAATATACTCACCTTGGTAAAGAGCGAGCCGCTGGACGGATGACTCTGGTGAAGGTTGCGATGGCAGACATTGTTGGAATATTTAATCAGAGCAGCAAAGGTGAAGTTGTCTGTGTTTGAAGGTTTTTGCTGGAAAGGTTGTTGATGTTAAAATTTCTCCTAATCGGTAAACACTGAATCGAAAGCTGCTCGAGGGCATCCCACGGAAATTCCCATTGGGTGGGAATGTGTCCCCGAAACCAGGATTATTATGTCAGGGGTTACGTAAGAATGGGGGCATCACCTGAGGAAAGTTACGTAATGTATCAGTAAGAGAGAAAGGCACGTGACGTTAAACTAGTATAAACTTTACGTATAGTGCAATGGATTCTTCAACACATTGGCTGGGAACTCTTCCACTCCCAATGAGGAAGTATGGCCCCATGGCTTCAAGACATTCTCCTTCTGCACAACTCCAGCAAAGCAATTGAGCCAATTGTCTCTATTATACCGTTGATTAACAACTTTTAATGTATCACTATGGATCAAACTAGATACCGAATCAAAACCTGCATTGTCCAAAACAGTAGAAATTTGAATAATCAAACCCAATTGTGTTATGTAACCTTTATCATTCAAATCTTGATGTCTTATAATAGCTTCACAAACCGCATCTGCATAATCTTGATCCCCATTTGTCTCTTTTAAAACCAATTCTCTAGCTTTAATTGCTCCAAAATATTCAAATGACATCTTGGTGGCTTTCAGATTTTCATCTGTAGTGCCTAGATCATGTAATAGTGCTGTAACGAATATAACTTCTTCATCAAGGTCCCAATCAGGGAATTGGTCTTTGATGATCGCTTTCGAATACAAGTAAACTCTTAATGAATGATTCAATGTTGGAGTTGATAATTGTGATTTAGCGAATTGCAACACTTTCCGAGCTAATTCAGTTTGAGGCAATGAAGTATCATGATGAACTATCGGTTCATTGGCATCTGGAATGGATTGAATGAAATCTCTTTCAATCTTGACAAACCCGTATTTTGACATCTTCTATAGTGGTAAAAAGTCCGAGTTGGATTCATGAAAAAAGAAGCATTTTGAAAAAGGTTTTTGTAATTTATACACTTTCCAATTTTGTACGGGGTAAACGATGATGATGTGATGTTGTATATAGCAAACTATACACGACCGGATCAGTCCAAAAAAAACATAAGCCGTTTCTGCTCTAATTAAAACAATCAACATTCTTACCAAACCATAATTTAGATACTGGTAAGTTTGATAAATCTGAATCCTTGGAATTTTTAAACATTGCACCAACGTCAACTCCATAATCTTCTTTGATATTATCTTCTTCCCATTCAATATCAACACCTCCATTTTTGATTATAGCATCTTTTGAAGTTTGCCATGAAAATCTAACAACTTGATCCCATCCAAATATTGGATCAACTGCACTGTTTAACCATTTTGAAGTCTTTGGATCACTAGGATATCCTGATCCCCATATGGTCTCTGATCCATATAATTCGTCTTTACTCATACTCAATGAAAAATCTCTTGTAACTTTTGCACAAATACTTGCAGCACTAACACATGGATATAATGCATCAGCTTTTTTAGCCACTGTTATTTTTAAATTGGGGAATCTTTTCTGTAATTTTGCTTGATATGTCACTGGTGGTCCCACTGTATCAACATATAATTCAGTAATATTTACACCTTGATCCAAAACACCTTGAATCAAATCCATTGTAGCATCATGAGCTTGTTCATTCAAATTATAATTCCCTACTGTATGAGGTCTTAACATACCAGAGCTTATATCCATCGCAGTCATTGTTCTTGTTGACCAACCAACATTTTCAAACAATTCACCATTTGGTAAACATATCTGTTCTAATAAATTTGTTCTCTTAACTTCAGTCAATGTTTTAGAATCTGCAAATCCATATTTCTTCTTCAATGTTTGTTCATAGGATTTAAGACAATATGCTATACCATAAACCATTGGTCCCAAGACAGGACCACGACCTGCTTCATCAACACCAAGTACACATGGTTCTGAAGGCGATGCTAAGATTTCCTTGGGTATTTCTGTTAGATAAGTTGTTGATTTATGGGTATGTTTAATTGGCACTGATGGGGGTAAAAAATCAGCTGTTTCAGGAATCACCACGGTCTCTTGAGTATCTGTGACAATGGGATCTTCTTCTTCAATATCCAAAGGTTCTTCAATAGCAGCAGCAGCACTCATTACAGTAGTTTGGAGTTTTTCTCTTGTGTTTACTTGACATTTCAAAGTGGTTACGCGTAAATTTTTTTTTGGTTTTTTCGTGTCAACAAAAGATTACATAACAAATTCATATACTTCATAAAACTATATACGCAATCACTTTTACTGCTTCACGACATCTGTCAAAGTACCAAATGTTAAGACTTCCTCAATACGCTCATTCCCACTGAACAACATACACAATCTATCGATACCGATCCCCCAACCACCAGTTGGTGGCATCCCCCATTCCATAGCTTTAATGTAGGCATCATCAGGAACCATGGATTCTTCATCATTGAAATCATTTTTGAAACGTTGTTGCTGTTTGAATTTCAACTCTTGTTCAAATGGTGAATTTTCCTCTTCATATGCGTTTACATATTCTTTACCTTTAATGAATAATTCAAACCGACGAGAGATTGAATATGTTCTGTCACCATATGTCAGTGTTGTAGATTTGGCCAATGGTGACATTATTGATGGTTGATGATAAATGAATGTTGGTTTGTTGCATAATGGCTCTATGAATGATGATGATAATTTATCTAGATAATGTGGTGTGGATTTGATTGTTGGTGGTTCAAGTTTAATAGTTTGGAAATAAGTGGCTAATGAAGTTGGTGTTAATTCTAAAGGTAATTCAACACCAGTTTGTTGCTCAATTGTTGGGATGAATTCTAATTTTTGGAAAGGTTCATCAAATAAAGATTCTGAGATTTGTAAAGCTTGAGGAAATTGCTTCAACGTTGAGCTCACATTTTGGAAAAACAATTCAGTCAATTCCATCAATTCTTCCAATGTAGTAAAACTTTGATAAAATTCACATGTAGTAAACTCACAATTATGTGTGCTATCAATACCTTCATTTCTGAAAACTGGACCAATTTCAAACACTTTATCAAACCCACCAATAATCATTTTTTTCAACCACAATTCTGGGGCAACTCTCAATTGTAAATCTATTGGGTTTTCATTTGAATCTCTCATATGCTTTGAATGAGTGATAAATGGAGTTGCATTAGCACCTTTTGATGAAGTTGCAATTATTGGTGTGTTCACTTCTAAAAACCCACGATCTGTAAGGAAACTTCTTAGGGTGTTGATCACCTTGGAACGTATTATTATAGAGTCTTGAGCATTCTTATTAGCTAGAAAATCCACAACTCTATTATGGTTTCTCTTGTCAGAATGTGTAAATTTTGTTGGAATTGGGTATAATGATGGTGATGCTAATTTTAAAACTTCTGTACATTTTATGGATAATTCACCAACATTTGTAATACCAGGATAACCATTAGCAATTATATAGTCTCCTTGTTTGAAAAAATCATGATGTTGACCCATCTCATCTTTGGTAATCCCAATCAATTTATTCATCAATACTAATTGAACTTTTGTAAAATCTTGAACCACATCAACAAACACCATACCTTTCCCCGATTTTCTTATACTATGGATTTTACCCTCTACTGAATACAATTCATCAATTCTATGATTTTCAGGCCATTGATAATTTGCAAATTTCTCACGAAATTGTGGGATTCTTAACATTTCAACATTCGAATTTCTCAATTCAGTCAATGTTTTATAGTATTGATCAGGATCTTGAAGAATCTTGTTTCGTCTATTTGCAAACTCTGCCTTTTCTTGTTCAGCCAAACTTGAAGAGTGCCTTATCAAATGACCAAATCTATAGTTGATACATCTTTTGGAGATGAGTTTATTCATAACTCTACAACTTTAATCACACAATGAGTTTTTTTCTATATTGACAATCTATACAAATAATAAAAGTTAGTAGATATTCCACTTGCTAGAACATGGATATACATCCTTTACAAATAATTCCATAAGCAGCTTTGCAAATACAATTGTGTTCAGAGTTGTGTTTTGATCTTTTCAGATAGACGGTACTTAAACAATCCTCAAGACGATAACGCAGTATAATTAATTCCTCATCATAACAAATAGAATCAGGAAAGGATGGTATATCCATTCATAAAAGCCATAATAACTTACCAATTGAGAGCCCGTTGAGGTTCTTATTGACTGGAAATGATGAAAAGAAGATGAAAAGAATTTTTTTTTGAACTTTTTTTTTAAAAGAGAATTCGCGGTCCAGATCAATTAAAATGGACGAATTTTGTTGTTTTGATTTCAGATTCTGAAAACATTGAAACTTCAGAAAACGAATAAAATTTCAATAAACTGAAAAGAAAATGGTGAGAAACTCGTGTCATGTTAATCAAAAAGCTTATGCTAACCTTTTAGGATTTCTACGCCGCTGAAGATGTTGACGGTGTGAGGTTTTCATGGAATGCGATTCCAACTACAAAAATAGCTGCAACGAGACTATCAGTGCCAGTTGCCTCATTATACACCCCGTTAAGGTATAGAGAGGACTTGCCCTACGTTGAGTCAGACCCAGTCGTGTGTCGCCAGCCTTGTGGAGCCATTTTGAACCCGTTTTGTCAACTCAATTTCCAAACTAGATCTTGGATCTGTCCATTATGTATGACTACAAACCCATTACCTCCTCAATATCAACAACAATTCCCTGTTCAATGCCAACCGGAGTCTAGTACAGTGGAATATATTTTTAATAGAGGGTCTAGTGTCCCTCCGATCTTTGTGTTCGTTGTGGATACTTGCTTGAATGAAGAAGATTTCCAAGCATTAAAAGAATCATTATTGATTAGTTTGAATTTATTACCACCAGATTCATTAATCGGATTTATTTCATTTGGTAAAGTTGTTAATCTATATGAATTTAATAATGGTGAAATTTTGAAATCATTTGCATTTAATGGTGCAAAAGAATATTCATCTGAAACTATTGGTAAAATTTTAGGATTCATTTCATCAGATTTGAAAAGTGGCTTACAACAACAACAACAAGGAATGAATCAATCAGCTTCAAGATTTTTACAGCCTGCTAGTATTGCAGAATACCAATTAACTTTAATCTTGGAGAGTTTAGCTAAGGATTCATGGCCTTTCAAATCAAATGAACGTCCATGTCGTGCCACTGGTGCTGCTTTAAACATTGCTATTAAATTATTAGAAAGTTCATATCCAAAAGCTAGCGGAGGTGCACATATTATGTTATTTACAGGTGGTGCTACAACTTATGGACCTGGATTAATTGTGGATACTCAATTAAAAGAACCAATAAGATCACATCATGATATTGAACGCGGGTCAGCTGAACATTATAGAAAATCTAGGACTTTTTATTCAGAATTAGCTAAAAATTGTTCTGAAAATGGGTATACAGTGGATATTTTCATTGGTGCATATGATCAAGTTGGATTGAATGAAATGGAATCACTTCCAGATAAGACTGGTGGTGTTGTTGTATTAAGTGATTCATTCACAACATCAATTTTCAGACAATCATTCCAAAGAGTTTTCAATAGAGATTCTCAAGATAATTTACAAATGGGGTTCAACACCACATTAGAAGTTAAAACTTCCAAACAATTGAAAATTTCAGGATTAATCGGACATGGATCAAGTCTTGAAAGGAAAGACCCTTTGAAAATATCTGAAAAATCAATTGGAATTGGTGGTACAAATGCATGGAAATTATCAAATTGTTCACCAAATTCATCATATGCAATTTATTTTGACGTGGAAAATTCACAAATTCAATCAGCATTCATGACTAATGGAGTTCCAAGTTGTATTGTTCAATTCATTACACATTATACACATCCATCAGGTTCAATACGTCTTCGAGTCACCACGGTTGCCAAACCAGTGGATAATGGAGATTTATCACCATTTTTCGATCAAGAAGCATCAGCAGTATTGATTGCCAGAGAAGCTATTGAACAATTGGATAAACAAATTGATGTTTCGGATGTTTTAATGTGGATTGATAAAAAATTGATTTCATTATTGAAAAATTTCGCCGAGTATAGAAAAAATGAATTGTCAAGTTTTAGAGTTTCAACAAATTTTACATTATTTCCTCAATTTATTTATCATTTACGTCGATCACAATTTTTACAAGTTTTCAATAATTCACCAGATGAAACATCATTTTATCGTCATGTTTTCATGAATGGAGATACAACAAATTCCTTAATTATGATTCAACCTACATTAACTTCATTCCAGCAAGATTTGGAAGAAGGAGAACCTGTATTATTAGATTCAGTATCATTACACCCAGAACATATATTATTATTAGATACATATTTCCATATATTAATTTATCATGGCTCTACGGTGGCAGCATGGAGAAGAGCAGGGTATCAAGACCAAGAAGAGTATGAATCATTTAAAGAATTTTTAGCACAACCTCGTCATGAAGCTGCAGAGTTATTAATTGATAGATTCCCCTTACCAAGATTTATTGATACAGAGGAAGGTGGATCACAAGCTAGATTCTTGTATTCAAAATTGAATCCATCAACAACTTATAATAGTTCAATTGGTGGAGTTGCAGGTAATGTTGGGGGGGTTATATTGACAGATGATGTTAGTTTACAAACATTTACTGAACATGTTCAAAAATTGGTTGTTGAAGTGAAATAATTGCTACAATATAGTAATTAAAAGAACATATTTATAAAATCAAACTAATAAAAGATAATAAAATAAAAAAAAGTTTATCTAAGCATCATAAGTTGAAGCTGAAACTTCACCACCTCTACCGGTCCAGTTGATATGAATAGCTTGATCAACTTTATATTTATCATTAGCAAATTCTGGCAAGATTCTAAAAGTATGAGCACCAAAGTAATCTCTTTGAGCTTGTAACAAGTTAGCTGGTAATTTAGCAGATCTGTAACCATCATAGAAAGCCAAAGCAGTAGAGAAGGCTGGGGTTGGGATACCGTATTGAGTAGTTAAACCAATAGTTTTTCTCCAACCTGATTGAGCTTTAGTAATAGCATCAGAGAAAAATTTGTTAAACAACAAGTTTTCTAAATCTGGGTTTTCTCTGTAGGCAGAAGTGATTTCAGCTAAAAAGACAGATCTGATAATACAACCACCTCTCCACATCAAGGCGATAGCTGGGTTGTTTAATTTCCAACCATATTCTTTAGCAGCTTCTCTAATCAACATGAAACCTTGAGCATAAGAAATGATTTTTGAAGCATATAAAGCTTGTTCTAAATCATCAATGAATTCTTGACGGTTTTTAACAGCATCTTTTGGAATTTGAGGACCTGGTAAAATCTTGGAAGCAGCAACACGTTCAGATTTGATTGAAGATAAACATCTAGCGAAAACGGCTTCACCAATCAAAGTGACAGGCATACCTAAATCCAAGGCATTAATAGCAGTCCATTTACCAGTACCTTTTTGACCAGCAGAATCCAAGATTTTTTCCAATAATGGGGTTCCATCATCATCATTAAAATACATGATATCTCTTGTAATTTCAATTAAAAAGGAATCCAAAACACCTTTATTCCAAGTAGCCAAGACGTCACCAATTTCTTTATTTGTGAACCCACCAACTCTCTTCATGATATCATAAGCTTCGGAAATCAATTGCATATCACCATATTCGATACCATTATGAACCATTTTAACATAATGACCAGAACCAGCTGGACCAACCCAGTCACAACAAGGCTCACCATCGGATTTGGCAGCGATTGATTGGAAGATATCTTTGATATGAGGCCAAGCTTCTTCGGCACCACCTGGCATTAAAGAAGGACCATATCTAGCACCTTCTTCACCACCAGAGACACCAGAACCAACGAAATGGATACCTTTTTGTTTCAATTCTTCATAACGTCTGTTTGAGTCTGGGAAATGGGAATTACCACCATCGATGATGATATCATCTTTTTCCAAATATGGCAACAATTGTTCAATAAAGGCGTCAACGGCTTGACCAGCTTTAACTAAAAGGATAATACGACGAGGTCTTTTCAAGTTATCAACCAATTCTTGGATGGAGTGGGCACCAATGATGGATTTACCCTTTGCTTCATTATCCAAGAAATGATCAACTTTTGAAACAGTTCTGTTGTAGGCAACGACAGTGAAGCCATGATCAGCAGCATTCAAGATTAAATTTTGACCCATAACGGCCAAACCGATAAGACCAATATCACCACTAGGTGGGGTGTTAGTAGGTTTCAAGTGGGAAGCTAATTGAGTGAGTCTGTTCATGGTGGTGAAAGGATAAAAAGAATAGAGATTGTCTTTTCTGGATTCATCATGCTTTATAGGAGCAATCACTCCTCACCATGAGCGAAAAAGCAGAACCGTGGGTCCAATTGTCAAAGTCATTGGGAGCACCCACTCAATGGGAAGGTAGATGTACATACGTTGGAGCAGACATGTTGAGATATGAGATGATTGAGATTGAGTGTAGATTGGATAGGGAATGGGTGTAGTTTAGAAAGAGGAAAAGGTGAGGTATATATAATCGTGATGGGTTGGAAGGATTGGGAGTTACCCTTTTGATTGCGGGTTGGTGAGCTCCATAGTTAAGGTGGGAAATGGGAGAGTTGAGGTAGTTGAGGAGGTATTTGTGATTATAAGAGAAGGTTATGTGGTAGAGAGTATGGTGATTAGAGAGTAGAGTGAGTTATTGGTAATTGATGGTGTTGTTGGTGGTGTTATTTAGTGTTGTTAGTGGTGTTGATGCTGTTGATGTTGATGTTGATGTGAAAAAGTTTTTCCGGTGGATTCTCGATGGCAGATGGATTTAGTGAGTGTTGATACAGTGTTAGAGAGTATTAGATAGAATAGAGTAGATAGTATACTATAGTATAATATAGTATATTATAATAGTATAGTATAATAATAGCATCTATAGTAACTCTATCAAGACTATACACTCGCTTCTCTCGGTATAATCTATTACTACCTTGACACATGATGATCTAACTCAATGGCTTACAATTAACCACCGCAATAACCAAACATCACATAACACACCCCTATACAACCAATTCAACCAATTCAACCACTACAATCATCACAATCCCATCTACTCCACCCAATTACCACTTTTCAACCAGTTACAACTACATTCACTGCTTATTAATATTACCCTTGTATTACATAATACTCTCTCTGCTTCGCGAACTCGTTCTGCAAATCGTTTTTTTCCAATTGATCAAAATCGAAAACATCAACATCAATGGCAAAAGGTTGGATCCTAAATCACTACCCACAATGGACCACATACAGACTTATATTAGCCAATACCTGGCTAATGTCAATGTCGATGACCACAAGACAAACGACATCTCCTCCAAATTAGCTCATTGTCAGTATACAAGCCTATCTTTCTCGGTTCAATTTACTAACATTTTTCATAGTGATTGAATCTCATCAAATCAAATTATTAGATCTCGTCAAGGCTTTAGGTGACTATTTAACCGCTGATGATGATTCCCTAAGACCCAAAGCAACAATGTGCTTATCTCAAACTTTACAACAACTACCTAAATCAACTCTATCAAAACATGATATTCAAGTATTGATTGGGTTTTATCTATCAAAATTTGATGATGTTAAATCAACAAAAGAATCATTAATCGGGATAAACACTTTAATTCAAATGGATCAATTCCCTCAATCAAATATAAAACCTATATTGAGTGCATTAAATGATCAATATCAATCAACTCAACATTTAGCATCAACAAGATTCTTCACATTTGATATCCTAAACAATTTATTTGAATTATACAATTCAACAATCTTGAAATTTCAAGAACCCTTCATCCAAACTTTTATTCATATTGCATCTGGTGAAAAAGATCCAAAAAATTTATTAAAATCATTTGAATTAAATTCCAAAATATCTTCAAATCTATCAATTACAAAATTTAAAGATGATTTATTTGATGTATTATTTTGTTATTTCCCTATATCTTTCAAACCTCCAAAAGATGATCCTTATAAAATCACTTCAGATCAATTGAAAACAGCATTAAGAACCGCAATAGCTTCATCAAATGAATTTTCTCAAGATTCTTATCCAAACCTATTGGAAAAATTAACTTCCACTTCACCAACTGTTAAAAAAGATACAATTGAAACAATAAACCAATGTGTTTTAAAATATGGTGCTGAAAACTTGGAATCACATCATGTTGAATTATGGAATGCCCTTAAATTTGAAATCCTACACGGAGATCCAGATGATGATGAAGATCAATTATTCCCACCAATCTTGAAAATTTTCCAAAACATGTCATCCCAATCCCATCAATTTGTGGAATTGGCATTATCAGAACTCTCCCCCAACATTAAAAACTCCACAAACAAATCCAAACAAAGTTGTATTATCCTTGCCTCATTATCATCCTCCACCCAAGAAAACTTCAACAAAATCATCCATCCAATCCTAACCCTCCTCCTAAACACCCCAACACTATCAATCCCACAACAACGCTCCCTCATAACAAACATCTCCTACTTCACCCATGCACACTCCCAACTCTTCAACCCACAATCACCACCAACACAAGAAAACTCCCTCTCCTTATTCAAAGATGAATTATTAATCCAACTGGGCAAATCACTAATGTCCTCCTCACTGATCGAGGTCTCCTTACGCACACTGGCCATCTCTGAATTGACAAAATTGACAACATTACAAGACTTCCTCACACCACAGGAACTGTCATTAATAGTGCAATACTTCACAGAGACCGTGTTGCTCGATGATAACGAATACGTGTATGGGGCAGGCATCGCTGGGTTGATCAGTGTTGGTGAACAGGATAGTGGTGTGTTGCTCGAGGTGACATATCCATTATTGGGTTCGTTATTACCGGGGAAGGGCGTTGATGTTGTGGTTATTAATGAAGAGGTTAAGCCAAGGGGTAAGATTTTTGAAGTGATTAGAGCTATAACTAGAGATGTTGAGAGTGTTGGGTTTGTTATTGAGAAACTTGTTGGGAAGATTGATGAGGTTAAAGGTGATGGTGAGTATGAAGTGCAGATTGTGGATACGTTGTTGATTGTGTTGAGACAGGTGGAAAATTTGAAAATTTTCAATACTGATGGATATCTTGGATTGATAAACAAGTTGGAAATTTTCAGTTTGGAAGTAAATGATTCAGTTTTGGATGTTTTGGGTGATTTTATTAAATTGATTGTTATTTATTCAACTCCTTCAAAACATCAAGTTTTAATTGATGAATGGATTAATAAAATTGATTTTAATCAAGAGAATAGATTGATTAATATCTTTGTCAAGATTGTGGCTGGTGTGGATAAATCAATTGAATTCCCAAAAATTGATGAATTTGTTGATAATTTGATTAATTTTATTGAAATTCATCCAGTTTGGTTAAATGTTTATAATAAATTGGGATATTTACAATTATTATCAATTTTGATTAATAAATTTGTTTCAAACGTTGATAAATATAAAACTTTTTTGGATGGTGATGAAGAAATTTCACCAATAAAGTTGGAAATATTCACATGGATTACAAAAGCTATAATTTTGAAAAATGATTCAAACAGTGTTGATTTCATAAATGTTTTAGTTTCTCACTTGTCTGATGAAAAATTTGGAAACTTGGTTACAAAATCATTTGAAATTCTTGTTATTGACTTGTCAATTTTTGAAAAATTTAAAAAAATCAATAATAATAACGTTAGATTATTATATAAACAAAAATTTTTCCAAATAGTTTCACCAATACTTGTTTCAAATTTCCAAAAAACAAATTCCCTAACAACAAAATCAAATTATCTTACAGCATTATCATACATTTTAAAACATACAAAACGTGAAATAATTATCCCTCACCTAACTTCATTTTTCCCCTTATTATTACAAGCATTATCATTACCAAATCCTCAAGTTCGTTATGCTTCAATAAACACAATCCTAACCACAATTGATGAAATTCCTGAGTTAGTGGCAAGTCATTTATCTTCACTAATTCCAAACTTATTAAAAATGGTTAAATCTAATGATAAATTAAACAAGAGTGAAGTTCGATTAGTTTCATTAAATTGTTTAGAAGCGTTAACCCATTGTATTGAATTGACAAAATTAGTACCATACCAAGAAAGAATCTTGAAAGAGTTATCACCAGTATTGGATGATAAAAAGAGAAAAGTTAGAAAAGCTGCTGTTGATGCAAGACAAGCATATTTTGAACTAGGTAGAAGTGTTGATTAGACATATATCATAATTATATAATGTACATTAGAATTTTTATAGAATGGTTTTAATCACTATCTTCATCATCCATACCAACAGGTGCCAAACCAGGTGTTAGACCCGGATACCTTATCATTTCCTTCTTATTATAAATACCATCCATCTGTTTCTTAGCACTCTTCTTATTCGAGACTCTTTTCCCTCTAAATCTTGGCTCTTTTTGTTTTAACTCCAATATTTCCTGCTGAACTTCATCCAACTCATCATCTTCATTATGCCAACTAGTTATATCAACAACATTCTTCTTTACATATTTTTTCAACTCCAAAGCCTCTTGAGGTGTTAATTTCCCAGTTGTGGAATGTTCTTTCAATACACGTCTTTGAGCCTCAGCCATTAATTTTTGGCGTTGGGATTCTGAGATCTTGATTGCTTGTTTTTGTTTCTTCTTTTGTTGTTTCAATACTTTATGTGATGTATTGGAATTATGTGATGATGTTAATTGTTGTGATGTTGAGGAAAGATTTGATGATGAAGAGGATGGTGTTGTTGAAGTGGCGGTATGACCAGGTAGAACTCTTGATAAAAGTTTATTCACTGTCTTTTGTGATTTTGAAGGATTCTTGAACGTTATACTCATGATTTAAAAGCTGGTTGTAGTTGTTGCTTTAAAGAGTTGATGTCTATGTAATTCAGCTCATCTCAAAATTAAAAAAATTTTAAAATGGCAAAAAAAGTCTGTCATTTTGATCGTGTCGATATTGGCTTTATGATGAATTTTATTAGGCAAAATCGTTTAAAAGATGGGAAAATGAATTGAATGAAGCTGAAATTTAGCATAGAGAGAGAACGAGGGCATTGTATAATGATAAAGTTGATTGTAAAGAGCTTGTGTTACTTGTGTTTCAAAATTTCATATTAATGTCTACGTGCGCCTCGGCTTTCAGGTTCCAAATTCCAATCGAAGTGAGCTTAAACATGAAACTATTCAAGCCTAGCTAGAGAATAGTTGACAGGCTACTGCACCAAGTATATATAAAAAAAGTATCTGGTGCTATCTGGCGAGAGGATAACCATTTGAAGTTATTGTTGGTATCCAATTGTAATTCCAATTGATCGACTACGATTCATAACCGACTTCATGATACTGACTATAATTCAGAACTCTCTGGTAATCCTCCCTACAAAATCTCAATCAAGCTAGACTGCACTTCAACTCTTCTGGATCACAGTCATTGAAATTTAAGACTGTTAGACTCTTCTTAATTAGTCCGATCATATTCACTTAATTCACCAGATATAAAAAATAATGACAACCAGCTGAAATAATATTAATCCGCATCAACATTCAGCAGTGTTCATTCACAAGCTAAATTGATAAGCTGTAAACCTAAACACAGCTACCAGAATATTCCACGCGTATTTCCACGCGTACTTCCAGAAAGTGATTGGACTTCAAGACTTCTAGACTTCAACTATCAAAGAGTAACCGATGTGGGCTCCATGAGGCCACTCAATTCCTTCAATTGACAAGCAATTGTCCACTTCCATTTCCAACAATTGTCTGGAAGAATTGTTTCAGATGAATTGTTCCAGTCAACCTATTGTTGGCTATTGTTTTGAAACTTTGGTGCAATCCTGATTCCTAAATAGCCTCCCAACTCCCAATTCTAGCTGTAAGCATTACGCATTGCACCTCAAGACACTCGCAATCAAGACTTGAAGGCCGTAATGGACGTAGTGTCAGCCTTGTTTGGATAGTTATTGCAGCCTTGAATTGGAACCTAGCATATTCTAAAACGACCAATAACCCAATAACCCAATTGAACACCAATTGAACAACACCAACTAGAACAACAACGTAACCAACAGCACATAATTACTTAGCACTCCAGAGTCCATAATCCATTGGCTTCTTGTTTAAAAACTCTTTATGCACCAACTCGAATCGTGGAATTTCTCGAATTCACCAGGTCTAGAATTACCAACCGTTGACCAACCAAACACGGTACAAACCCCAGAGAAAGACCAGTAGATAGAGCAAAGCAAGCACAATCTAATAGAACATCCTAGATATCCATAAACACATCACCAATAGCCTTAAATTCCAATATAAACCCATTGCAATCCATCTTCTTGGTTTTGTTTTTCCCAATCTGAGGTTAAACTTTCCAAACTTTTCAACGTCGCGTCAAAAATCTGCACAACGGAGTTACTACGAGAAAGATTTGATTTACACCGACATCACCATAAGCATCAAGAAATGTACTCAACAGATTTCAAGGGGTTGGACGATGTGCTACAGAAATGAATAAATGCTATGGATTTGGTCGTTAATTGTTTTTTCTTCTTTGATCATATATAAACTATTCAAGTCTTTTTGTGGTGTCTATTGGTTGGCACATTGTACATTGTCTGGTACTGTTCCGTCATTATTCATAAATTCATCCTCTGTCAATACATCTTCATCTGTCATAGTTGGTGCTGCTGCTGCTGTTTGTTTTCTTCTCTTTGTTCCATTGGTTCTTGATTTTCTATAACGACGGTCATATATATATGGATCAAAATCATTAAGGATTTTCTCTTCAAATTTAACATCATTTGGAATATTTAATTTTGGTCTTGATGGTAATGATTTTTCCAAAAATTCTAAATTTTCTCTAGTCAATTGATTTTGATTTGGGAATTCCACATCAAAATGAATAATTAAATCACCAAATTCACCATCATTGAATTTTTTAGGCATACCATAACCTTGAATCATTTTCAAACAATTTGGTCTTATAATTTCACCAGGTATTATATCAACTTTCAACCATTGTTTATTTAAATGATGCACACCAAATGAACCACCAGCTAAGGCAGTCAACAAATCTATTTTACAATTGATTATCAAATCATCATGTTTTCTTTTGAATTCATCATGATGTTTCTCCTCTAGTGTGACAACAACATCACCAGGTATGATATCAACCCCTTGATCACCTTCACCTTTAAAAGTTATAGTTTCACCATTAAAAGAACCTGGAGGGATATCCAATTTCAATATTTTCCTCTCTTCCACAGTTTTAACACCAAGACAATTTGAACAACGATCCCTTTCAGATATGAACTCACCAGATCCATTACATGCCCTACATGTTGATTCAAATCTTTGAATCAAGGGGCCCATTTGCTTGGAAACAACAACATTACCACGTCCTTTACATTGGGCACATGATTTAACACGTTCACCACCTTTTGCATTACATTTGGAACATAGTACAGTTTTGGCTAGTGCTAATTTTGTGGACTTCCCATGATATAGATCCTCTAAAGTGACTGATAATTTATGTTTGATATCAACACCACGTCTCTTTGGGCGTTCTTGAGGATATCCATATTGTTGCTGTTGATGATGTTGTTGTTGTTGGTTGAAAGGGTTCGAAGATGATGAAGCACCAGGAAATGAAGGTCTTGGAAATGAAGAACCAAATGAAGAACCAAAGGAATTTGAATTGAAGAAAGAATCTCCAAAGAATTGTGAAAATAAATCATCACCTCTCATTGAGAATGCAGAGCCATGATTATTATTATTACCATTTGATGTTGTTGGATCGATACTGCCTCCATTTATACCTTCTTCACCATATTTATCATATAAAGCTCTCTTTTCAGAGTCGAATAGAATTTCATAAGCTTTTGTTATTTCTTGAAATTTCTCAGTTGATTCTTTTGAATGATTATTTTTATCAGGATGATATTTTAAGGCATTTATTCTATAAGCTTTTTTAATTTCAACTTGATCACAAGTTGGTATTATGCCCAAGATATCATAAAGTTTTGTATCTTTGACCATATTTGAATTGGATCAGTGAGATGTTTATGGTGGGATTTGATTGTGAAATGATGGCAAAATGAGTCTTTAATGGAAAGATTCTAATCCTTTTCCTTGATGTCTTTTACTATTTTAAGGATTATCACCTAATGTTTGGATTCAAGATATTGGGCGTGTTTTTTTTATTCTTCAAGCTTCTATTTTTTTTAAACCAGACTGAGAATTCTATGACGTTTAAGTCCAGAAATGATGATAATCTAATTTAATCAAGAGATTTCCCTTGAGAATACCTGAGTTTTTATATTTATCAGTTAAGTGGCAAATGAATGTTATCCAAATGATATCACTCTATTTTATAATTCCTTTTGGTTTTAATTTGATTCTAAATGTTCAAATGTTTTTGACCGTTTGGAATCTTTTTTTTTGCTTCTTTTCGCATCGAATTTTATCGAATTTTTCCCATACAAAAAGAGACGGTACGGGCCACAATCAACGGAAGCAATAGAAGAAATTGTACCAGAGTTTAATTAATTAATATGGGCATGGGAAGTTGAATAAAATAATTGTGATTTGATTGGTTTAATATGGTATATTAATTAGCTAGACTATTATGTTTTATCCCATCTTCATAGTCAGAGTCAAGAGTGTACAGCCTCGAGATTTGTGTCACTTTGTTATTGTGTCACTTTATTACGCAGGACTCAGGTACTCGAGTGAAATTATTGGCTAACCAACTATATGCAATTTCAATGATTCAATACCATTTGTTCCGAAATTCATGAAAACAAAATTGGATGTTTATTGCCAAATCCGGTCATGTGACCATATTTCTTTTAATATTACATAATCGTTCAATCTGCCATCTCACAACGTGTCTGCAGCCGATGAGTATGAAAACAAAATCTCGAGGAAGGTGAAAAAGATTTGACTGGGTCCTTTGAAGGACTTTAGACTTGACACAACCTTTCTCCAAGAATGCCTGGCTCACCATTGGTGCTGGTTAACCAGTTCCAACCTACAAACTATCAAATCAACTTGAACATAGACCATCAAAAATCAAACTTCACTGGTGAAATTATTATATCTCTTTCAAAAGATTCAAAACATGTTCCTGAAACCGAAACGGATTTTAAGTTTCAATTAAACTCTGCTGAATTGGCTGTATTGAATGGTGTCTTTTCAACAACATCAGGAGTTGATCATAAGGCTAAAATAACTTATAATAGACCAAATGAAATTGTCGAACTCATTGTGGAAAATGGTGCTAATCTTTATAAAGAATCAGAATTGAAATTAACAATCAAATATCTTGGTAAAATCAATTCAATTAAAACTTATAGAGATTTCACAAAAGGTATTTTCAAAACAAACTACCTAGATGATAGAAATAACAATTCAACAAACTACATCATTGCAACTCATTCCCAAGCTTCATTTGCAAGATACATCTATCCTTCAATTGACGAACCTGCATCAAAAGCCACTTTCCAATTATCATTAACAACTGCTAAAGATTTCAAAGTCCTTTCAAACACATTACCAGAATCAAGAACAACAGAATCATCAAACCAAACAATAACATTTGAGAAATCTCCTCCAATGAATACTTCAATCTTTGGTTTCATAATTGGTGATTTAGATTTCATCGAATCAACAATCCAATTATCCTCAAAATCCATCCCTGTTAGATTTTACACACCAATCGGTCAAGTCCAACAATCCGCATATGCTCATGACATAACTTCAAAATTATTACCAAAAATTGAATCTATTTTCAACACTCCATACCCATTATCAAAACTAGATATAGTGGCATTACCATTCCTAAGTGATGGTGCTATGGAAAATTTTGGTTTAATAACAATTCAATCATCACATGTACTTGTGGAGACTTTATCAAACAAGCCACAATTGAAACAAATCCGTCAATTGATTGCACATGAGTTGATCCATCATTGGATTGGGAATGATGTTTCATTTGATGAATGGGATCATTTATGGTTGAATGAAGCATTTGCTACATGGTTTGCATATTATGTGTTGGCACAAGTTAAAATAGATGATGAGGACTTGCACATATGGGAAGAGCAAGGTGATGTTGAATTGGAAAAATTATTCACAACGGATTCTGCTATTGGTGTGAAGAGTGTTGTGGGGAAACTTGGTGTTGGTACTGTGAAGACTACTCAAGATGCATTTGAAGTTCATTCTTATAGTAAAGGTATTCAATTCTTGAGAATGTTGAGTAATGTTTTCGAAAATGATCAATTTAATGATCAATTACCAAAATTTGTCTCAAATTTATCAAAATTCATTACGGAAAATCATTTCAAAACTATAAAACCAACAGATTTATGGAAACATTTACATCAAGATTCCTCATTAGATTTATTAGCATTCACTCACTCATGGTTAAGAACTCCGGGGTTCCCATTAGTTTCTGTTTCGATTAATCAAGATGATAAAATCGTTTTGGAACAACATCGTTATCTTGAAGAATCTACAGTGCAAGAGCAAAATTTGGAAGATGTTCCATATCATATCCCGTTAGCTATAAAGTTAAATGATGGTTCAGTTGTCAACAAGATCTTGAACGATAGGAAATTAATTCTAGAGGAAATCAAAATTGAAGAATTTGTTAAATTAAACACAAATAGAATCGGGTTATACAGAGTTCATTACAAAGATTCCAAACTGTATGAAAACATTGTGGAAAACTTTGATCCTCTATCAACTCTAGATCTATTAGGCCTGGTTCATGATCTAAGTAGAATTATTGGTCGTGATTCATTACAATCTGATCAAGATATTGTTGGTTTTTTGAAAATTTCCCAAAGAGCTGTCAATTCATCAAAACCAAACTTTGAAGTGCTAAGATACATCCTAAATAATCTTGAAGTTTTAGAAAATGCTTATAAACTACAATCAGCCAATAAGAAACATGCTAAGTTTGTCAAATGGTTAAGACAATTAAACCTAGATCTTTTCAACAAATTGGATTGGTCACAAGTTGGTAATGCATCCACGGCAGAATTAGAAACCAGAGCATCAATATTGTCAATTGGGATTGAAACTCCTGAAATTCATACAGTTTCTGAAAAATTTTTCAAAAAATTATTACATGGTCCTCGTCAATCAGTTCCTGTTCAATTCTTATCACCAATCTTATCATCAGTTTCCCTTTCCGCTAACCAAACCACATGGAAGAAGATATTAGAATTGGTTAAAGCTCCAGGTGCCACAACAGCTAATGTGGATGGTGGATCTATTGGTGAAATTCAAAATGCCGCAATCAAAGCCATTGGTCATACCAAGGATCCTGCCCTAGTTAAACGTGTCTTGAACTTTGTCACTACAAATATTGACTCTACAATGGTTGAATTAGGATTAGTTGGGTTGTTATACAATCCATCATTGAATAAGCAAACTTTATGGGATTGGTTCAAGTTGAATTATGATCATTGGGCTTCAAGATCTTTAAGAGCAGGGTCTGAATATAGTGCCAAATTGAAAAAAACTGTTAAAAGTATAACTTTGATTGTTTTAAGTGCTTTCACTAGAGATGAAGATTCCAAGATTGTTCAAGAATTCGTTGATGAAAGATTGAAAAAATTACCAGAACATGGGTTAAAAGAAAATGTTGAATTGGTTAAAGAGTCACAAGTGGAAAAGATCAAGATTGCTTCTTCCATTGATTCAGTCTTGAAATTCATTGAGTAGAGATTTGTAAATAGAATACGCATAAAAATAAATTCAATTTCTTGTATATTGAACTTCGTATAAATGGTCAAAACTTTGATACAGGCCAGTCTCTTGCCTCAATTTTAAGAACACAAGGGGTTGCAACTAATCACTAGTGACAAATTACAATCATTAACGAACTGTCATGTGTTTTGCATGCAGTTACAATTCTGTCATCTGACACGGGTTTATAACTTGACACGGTTAGTTGCGATGTTCTTCGCGAGTTTTTTTGGCCCTGTTTATGCAAAACATTAACAGGTCTTACTGAGAAGGAAATTCCATTCAATTGCACTCAGAAAGTTGATATGATACGTCTTTTGGATCTCCCGAAAGAGATCTTGTTCAAGATATTTGATCCCCTTGACTTTGAATCAATCCAAACCCTTTACAGCATTCCCCAATTTGAACAGAGTTTACAAGGTTTTGCTACTGTTGTTTCTGATCTTGATGAAGCTGCTGCAACTAGTTGGATATCTCCATCGTGTCCATATGTTAACTTTAAGGAATTAGGAGTGGATGAAGTCAAATCCCATCATGTGTTTTATGTTCTTGAAAATTGTTTAGACTCAGAGCTGGTTCAAAAAATCATTTTAAATCAAGATAGGCCCAATACAGTTATCCTGTCCAATAAGCTGATGAAATCCGTCAATAATGGCTCTCTAGACCAGAGGAAAATCCATTTGTACGATTATGCCCTTTTTTTGAATTCAAGTAAAGGTCCAGCCGACCCTGAAAAAGCTGCTGAGTATTTTGAATCAGATGCTTATCACAGATATAAGGAAGTATCTTACGAGAACATAAAAAAATTAATCGCACTATCAACTTCATCAAAGTTTTTGGAATCTGTCGAGTGTCCATATGTGGAATGTGTTGAGTTGAGGTTTTTGGAGTTCGATGCAATGAAATTTAGAACTCCAAACGTCAAAGAGATGGTCTTGTTTCGCTGCATTAACACAAATAGCTCAGCAAAACTGAGCTTTCCTGTTTTAGCTGAAGTGACTTTTGATATGTTTTGCAAGAGTTTTATTGATTGTATGGATTTGGAGAATTGCCCTGCTGAAAGTTTGACAGTAGAAGAGGGTGATATTGTGAAGTGGGAAAACTTGGTAATTGGTAAAGCAAAAAGAATTTCTATTTCAATCATGGATGCAACAGGACCTCCACATGGCTCATTGAGAAATGTAAGCATTCCCCGTTGTGAAGATTTGACGCTGCGTGGGTTTACAAATGTTTTCAATGTTACGGCGCCATTAGTTTCTAAGCTAAACATAGAATCTAATATATTTATAGGCGAAGAAAATGATTTTTCAATGAGAAATTTTCAAGCTGATAAGGTTAAAGCTCTGTCTATAACGGGTTTTGGTATTGCTGCGGAATTTCCCACTGTATTGTTTGAAAGTGTCGTAAACTTGGAACTTCATAATATCAAGTTTTTGTGCTCTGGGACTTTTCAAAACGTGGAGGAACTGAAGATATCTGGTAAATTGGAAGGATGTTTTCAAATGATTGACACCAAAAAATTAACGAGCTTGAAGGTATATCGTCGTTTCGTCGAAGCTGAGGGGTATGACACTGATGATTTTGACTTATCGGGGTTCAGTTTTCCAAAACTTGAGAAAGTAGAGGTTACTGAAGAGAATGAATTTGATTTTTTAAAGACGTTAAACGCACCAAATCTGGAAGAGCTCTCTATTAATCGACCAAGGTCAATTAGTTTCTTGAACATATTCTCAAATGGGTTTGAAAATTTACAAAAATTGAAGGTATCAGAGCCTTCATTCCCAATAATGGAGGACATAAAGCTTCAAAACCTGCAAGTACTTGAGATAGCTTTATATGACTTTAGACCTTTGAATAGCTTCAAAATCGTCAACTGTTACTTCCCAAACTTGCATTCGTTCTTTTTGAAACCAAGATTCCCACGGATAAGTGGTGGCGACAATTGGATAGCACCAAGTGGAACTATAGATATTGAAGCACCAAAACTCGATACGTTCTGCTCCACGTTCCTAAAGATAGATCATTTGGATCTAACAAAGTTCCCAAAGTTGATTGAATTAACGGTGAATTATATTAAAAAAATAACGTTAGGTGATGTTGCTCAAAACTTAAGTGCTTTCGAAATTCAGGGCAATTCATTACGTGAAATGTCTTATACAAAAGACCCTGAAAACATACATCGCTTTGTTAAAAGCTTCACACCAAAACGTCTTAAAAAAGCTTACAAACTTTTTCAGAATCACTCCAAAGCAAACCAATTGTTGGTGGTAAATGCAATAATTAAAAAGCGTCGCCAGGAACTTTAACTGAGAAAATTGTTTCTTTTACAAATATACTATAATAGACGATGTTCTTCATCGATTTTTGAATTGGTTAAAGACTTACAATTGGGAAAGATCAAGATTGCTTCAAATGATTCTGTACTCTTGAAATTCATCGAATAGAGCGAATTGTAATTAATAGAATTATACTGCACATAAAAATAAACCTAGTTTCTTGTATAGTTGAACTTCGTAATGGTCAAAACTTTGCTATAGGCCAGTTTCTTCCCTCAATTTCAAGGTGACAAGAAGTACAATCGTTGTATTTTTCATGTTGCCTGTTGATATTCTGTCATCCGCTACGGGTCTATAAACTTGGTGATGTTCTTCGCGAATAAATGATTTGTTTACGCGTTGTAGCACGTCTCATTGAAAGGAAAATTCCACATTCATTTACAGTCAGGTAGTTGATATGTTACTTTTCGATCTCCCAAAAGAGCTTTTGCTCAAGGTATTTGAGCTCCTTGACTTTGAATCCATCAAAGCCCTTTACAGCATTCCTCAATTTGAACAGGGTTTACAAGGTTTCGTGACTATTGTTTCTGATCTTGATGAAGCTGCTGCAACTAGTTGGTTGTCCCCATCATGTCCATATGTCAACCTGAAGAAACTAACAGTGGGTCAAGTCAAGTCCGGTTATGTGCTTTATGTTCTTGAGAATTGTTTAAACTCAGAGTTGGTTCAAAAAATCATTGCAAATCAAGAAAGGCCCAATACAGTTATCCTGTCTAATAAGCTGATGAAATCCGTCAGTTATGAACCAAAAAAGGGGGAAGATTTCTATGAATACGATTCAGCTCTTCTTATGGATTCAAGTAAAGATCCAGTGGACACTAAAAGAGCTGCTGAGTTTTTCGAGTCAGATGCTTATCGCAGATATAAGGAAGTATCTTACAAGAATGTGGAAAAATTAATCGCATTATTAAGTACATCAGAGCTTTTGGAGTATGTTGAGTGTCCATATTTGGAATGTGTTGAGTTGACGGATTTGAAGTTCGATGCAATGAAATTCAGAACTCCAAACGTCAAGGCGATGCTCTTATATGATTGCATTAACACAAATAGCTCAGCAAAACTGAACTTTCCTGTTTTAGCTGAATTGACTTTTGATGGTTTTTGCAAAAGTTTTATTGATTGTATGGACTTGGAGAATTGCCCTGCTGAAAGTTTGACAGTAGAAGGGGGTGATATTGTGAAGTGGGAAAACTTGGTAGTTGGTAAAGCAAAAACAGTTTCCATTTCAATCTCAGATGAACTTGAAAGACCTATACTTGGGTCATTTGGGAATATAAGCGTTCCCTGTTGTGAAGATTTGTCGCTGGGTGGGTTCATAGATATTTTCAATGTTTCGGCGCCATTAGTTTCTAAGCTAAACATAGGTTCTACATACGCAACTAGTCAGGAACATAATTTTTCATTGAAAAATTTTCAGGCTGATAAGGTAAAGACTCTATCAATGGGGTCTCATAATGTCGCGGAATTTTCCACTGCATTGTTTGAAAGTGTTCTAGTCTTAGAGCTTTGTGATACCAAGTTTTTGTGCTCTGGGATTTTTGGAAATGTGAAGGAACTGAAGATATCTAGTGATTTGGCAAGCTGCTTTCAAATGATTGACACCAAAACATTAACCAGCTTGGAGGTGACTTATGAACTATTTGAGGAGTCTGAGACGGATGATTTATCGAGGTTCAGTTTTCCAACACTTGAGAAGGTAAAGGTTATTCGTCAGCATGAATTTGGTTTTTTAAAGACGTTGAACGCACCAAATATCGAAGAGCTCCATTTCCACAGGCCGAGTTCAACAAATTTCTTTGACATCTTGTCAAATGGCTTTGAAAATTTACAAAAATTGAGGGTAACAATTCCTTCTTTCCCAACAATGGAGGGCATAAGGCTTGAAAACCTGAATGTGATTGATATTGTAATAGGTGGGCTTAAGGACAAATTCAAGATCGTCAGCTGTTCGTTCCCAAACTTGCATGCGTTCTATTTAAGGCCATTACTTCCACAAGTTCGCATTGTACCAAAGGGAAATATAGATATTGAAGCTCCAAAACTGGAAACTTTTCACTCCACTCATTTAAAAATGGATCATTTGAATCTTACGAAGTTCCCAGAGTTGATTGAACTGAAGGTAAATTATGTTGAAAAAATAACTTTAGGTGATGTTGCTGAAAGCTTGATTGCTTTCGAAGTACACGGTAATTCATTGCAAGAGCTATCTTATTCAAAAGCACCTGAAAACCTTCATCATTTTGATGAAGGTTGTACATCGAAAAATGTTGAACTTGAACAGACGTGCAAACTTTTTGAAATTTTCTCCAGAGCAAACCAATTGTTGTTAGAAAGTGCAATAATGAAAAGGCGTCGCCACGAATAATAACTAACAGAGTCATTTCTTTCATAATAAGACTGTAAAAGACGATGTTTATCATGAATTGCGTTCACTTTGTAGAGTACATTTCGAATCTTCTGTCAGTGGTCTAGTATTTCCGGAGATACTCGGTGTTAATCCAGCAGCTCGAGATATTTTTCATGAAAGAAAGCTCTACACGTCGATTTAATCGAACTCATCACGTTCCTGATGGGAAGAATAGCGGGCGAACCCTTGGATTTTTCAGTCTTTTGAACTAGGTACTGAACACTGCAGAAATGGTTATAGATCAGGATGACAGAATATATTGCAGAGCTGGTTCCAAGGATGACTTAGAGGTGTTTACTTCAATGGAATTTCCTGAGTTACTAGAACTTCATATGGATTTTGGTAAGGTTGATGAGACAGGATTGGTCTTGAAATCAGCACCCAAGCTTTCTTTTGTTACTTTAGCACATGTCAAAAATATGAACTTTTTCAAAAATACATGGAACAGTTTGAGAAAGCTACATGTGCAGTCCTGCTCTGGTATTTTTTCTCTTGAGAATGCAATTTTACCAAACTTGGAGATTTTAACAATCGATGTTTCAAGTGATCGCTGTGGGGCAGCAAAGATAAATAACTGTACCTTTCCAAAGTTACTTAAATTGGAAGTAACTGGTGGTGATGAAGCTAATGGTTTTTTCGAAAACTTCGTGGCTCCGAATCTTGAATCATTTTCCTCAGAAATGCACATTCTTAATCTAGATTTATCCAAATCCAGCTCAAACTTGAAATCTTTGAATTTATGGAATGTAAGAAGCTTAATATTGGGAGCTCCTGAGAAGTTGAAGGAGCTCAATCTGAGAGGAGACTGCTTGGAAGATTTGACATTCGACACTAGAGTTTCTTTGGAACATCTTGAGGAAATTAATGCAGATATCTGGGAATACGAAAGTTGGGCTAGGCTAGAAGATCATGATGAACGCTATTTTGAGATTATATACAAGGATGAAGAGCCTGAATGGGAGTCTGACTCTGACCTTAGCTCAGAAGAAGAAGGTGATGATGAAGAAGACTGAGATAATTTGATTACATCTATGAGCGAAGTCAACTGGTACCTGTAGGGTACACTGGCTTTAAATTCGAGTTTTAGTATAGCAGAATAGCAAATCAATGTTACTAAATGGCATCACCAATTCCTCAAAGCAATCGAGTACGTAGTTCATCAATTATTATGATGAACATTATAGTGGCCATGGAGATACACGGAATTTTCACTCGTGGGCGAGAATTCCTCTGAAAAAAATCATTCACCAACAAACCAAAACGTAAACAAAATACTTCAATTGTGCTTTCAACGATGGATCAGTTATTATCACTACCAGATGAAATTTTATTCAAGATCTTTATTCAGCTAGATATCAGCACTTTGAATACCCTATGTGAAATCAACCACTTCAGAAATAAAATCTCAAACTTTTTCGCTATTGTTACAGATGATCCAACTGAATGCAAAGTTTCACTCTCTAATTTTCCTCAAAGCTGCATTATACATTATTCTGATGACACCCAGATACAAGATTGTAATTCTTGGGGGCTGCTGTTTGTGGCGCATGATCTCATTGGTGAATCTCAACTCATTGTAACCTTTATAAAAGAGACAAAATTCTCTACATTCACCTTGATGGAAGAGCTGGCTAAGCTTGGAACATTTGATGAATTCAATGGGACTTCCCCAGAAGATGAAATGAATTTAGAGGTCGCTAAAGTTCTAGTACAGGCTTCCAACTGCAACGAGTCAATACAAATGTTATCTTTTTCCTTTATTACAGAGGCTCATCTAGAAAACGTTGAACTTAACCCAGCTACATTGGACTTCCCACAGCTAAAGTTGTTAAAGTTATCCGACTGCAAAAGTATTAATGAACTTATCAAACTTGATCTCCCAATGATTGAAGATATATGCCTTATTGGAAATTGCAAATCAATTATGAACAGTCTTGATTTTGGAAAATACCCTAAAGCGTTGAAGATTATGGCTAGTGACGTTGACTTGATTGAAAATATAACATTTGCTGAGCTAACTGATCTCGTCATTGTGAGTACTGGAGGTCAAGATCCGCGTGAATCCAGTGAATTGAGCACAATACGAAACATTGAGTTGCCTAAGTTGAAAAATATAATCATACGTGGCGTTTCATATTTGATAAACATCAAATCAAGCAGTGATGTTGAACGTTTCCATCTTTCTAATTCAGTTGAGGAAACGACTCACCTTCAGACTCTTCACTTTCCATATCTGAAGTTTTTGGTTATCAATGGCACTCATATTATTGGCCTTAATAGCCTGTACGCTCCTGATTGTCATAGACTAACAGTTAATGATTTTGAAATTTTTGATGAAAGGAGTCATATTTTGAACCAAATTAACCATCTGACTTGCTACAGCTCAAGAACAGCTCTGGAAAGAATAGATTCAAATGAATTGGTATGTTTAGAGGTGGGTCAATTGACGAAAGAAGACTTACAACTTATCACTTCTATGGATTTCCCTAAGCTCTCAAAACTGATGATAGATTTTGGGGAGCATAATATGGATGATATGGGATGCTCGATAAGCTTTGCACCAATGCTTACAGACGTGGAGCTACTATACTCAACTGGATTAGGATTCTTGAGAAATACGTGGTCTACTTTGAAAAATTTGAAATTGGAACTGTGTGGGTCATGGAGTCTTTATGACGCAACCTTGGACAATTTAGAAACTTTTGAGCTACAAGTTGGTGAATCTTCAGACTTTGTTGAAATATCAAATTGTCATTTTCCAAAATTAATCACACTTGCAGTATGTAGTGATTGGTTTGGTGGACAGACTGAAGGTGTGTTTGAAAATATCAAAGCCCCACTTCTTAAAAGTATCGTCTATGAAATGAGTGTTGATACTCTAGATCTAACAATGAGCTGCTCAAATCTGAAAAGTGTCGATATTCAGAACGTTTCTTGCTTAGTTTTGGGAAAGAATCAGAGTTTAAAGGAATTTACCTCTAGAGATAACTATTTGAAAAGGTTGGTAACAAGCAAGGACAGTAGGTTTCCACAATTAACCAAAGTCTCGGTAAACATGGAGACGTTTGACAATTTTGAACACCTGGGAGAAGCGAAGAGCGATTTGAAAGTGGTTTATCTTGACTAATGCTATGGCTGATTGACCTTCAAATGTAGAGAGCTGGTGAGTATCAAATCACAGAACGAATTCGCGAAGACAAAGGTTAAGGGCGATGGCTCTTCGAATTTAAATCAACAAGCAACATTTTGTAAAACAGTGAACTAAAAGTACTCTTCTGTGAATATGCCCTACATCCAAATGCCGTTTCACACTATTGGCTGTATATGCTCACATGATGTCCATTTTTGAGCTGCCCCAAGAGGTCCTGCTAAAGATTTTCGTCCTTCTTGACTTTGAGAGCATCAAAACGCTTTATTCGATCCACCAATTTGAAAGACACTTACAAGGTTTTGCTACTATTGTGTCAGATATTGATTATGATCCTAGCTTGTTTCCAAAATATTGTGACTACATCAATATTCACAGGTTTTCCCCTGAGCTTGTGAGGTCTGAGGTTGTGTTTTTCGTTATTCAGGATTTGGCAAACCCTTCATTGGTTAATAAAATTAGCCAAATTCAAACCACACCAACTTCATTCATACTTCACAATAACTATATCCACGTCCTTAATTGTCCTGATGACGACAGGTTTGGTTGGGGTGATGATGCTGATCTTGAAATGACTGCTAAAGAAGCATATGATTTTTATTACCCATTGTCAGGAGAGTGGGAGTCTATATTGGAAAACTCAACGGAATTGTTGCAACTTGCACATTCTCAAAAGTTTTTGAAATCAGTTGAATTTCCATACATCAAAAGACTTACACTTGATAAGGTGGATATTAATTCAGTTAAATTAAAGACACCATCCCTCAAAGAACTCACATTACGCAATTGCACCAGTACTGATGAATCACCTCAATTTACGTTTCCTTTGCTGTCTAATCTTGATCTGGAAGGAGCTTCCAAATGTCTCATTGAAAAGCTCGATTTTGGGGCTTATCCAGATGAAAAATTGAGTATCGTTTATGGAGAAATTAGCTTGATGAGAAACTTAACCATAGGAAAAGCAAAAACCGTTTCAATCACTGTTGACAGTGATATTTTCATGAGGGAGTGGACCTCTTTCATGGATATCAGCCTTCCCAATTGTATGCAGCTTTATTTGGATGGATTTCAAAACATCAAGTCTATTTCCGCACCATTGCTATCTTTATTGTCAATTCAGCATATTAACGACAGGGAGTTTCACTTGAATAACTTTGCTGCTAAACATTTAGAATCATTGATTTTGAGAAATTTGATGATTGCTCATTTTTCTGACGCTGATTTTCAAAAGCTTGAATACTTGGATATTTTTGAATGCACTATGGGATCTGTTACAGGATGTTTTCCCCGTGCTGAAACAGTTCGAGTATCTTCTTGTTTTTTGGATGATTGCTTTAAAAACTTGGATACACAAAATTTAACTATCTTCGAAATCAGTCGTTGTGAGTTTAACACGGGAGACAACACTACGGTTTTACCACCTGCTTTATTCCCAAGTTTGAAGATTCTGTGTATCGTTCAGTTTCCAAAAGATGGACACTTGAATATACAGGCACCAAACCTCGAGGAACTATGTCTACAAGATCCACTATGCCCAATTGAACAATTGTGTAACAAATTTCCAAAGTTGCAAGCTCTATCAATTGCGGCTAATTCGAGCACTATCATGAGGAATGTTACAATTCATGGAATCAAAAAGGTTGAGCTACTTTCCAGTGCTCTAGATCCTACATTCCAGTTAGTTGACTGTTCTTTTCCAACCTTGGAGCAGTTTAAGGCTATAGGGCCAGCTGGAAGCTTCATCATTGAACCATGTGAGGATATACTGGATTTCAGAGCACCAAATTTGAAAAGTTACAAAGGTAATAATTTAAGAATTGACAAGCTGGATCTTTCAAAATTTCCCCAGCTCCGTGAACTTGAAATTGGGGGAGTTATAGAACTAACTTTGGGCGAAGTTTCCCAAAACTTGGTTGAGTTTACGCTGAATGGTGTTTCATTAAAGGAATTGCAATATTCAAAAGATCCTGAAAATATTGTCAACTTCGATAGACCAGCTATGTACCCAACTGATCTTGAACCTATTCTTGTCAAGTTTGAAGATTATGCAAGTGCCAACAAGAGATCTTAAATCAATTAAGTACAGAATACTACCCCTAGATATACAAACGTAAGTGATATTAAATGATTATTTATATGACAAATATTGTAACGCTTCTATCCTCATTAAGCTGTCGGATATTTACGGACAAATAACCATTTTCGCGAAACCACGCGTTCTGCGTAAAAAAAGCGGTTCCTGAAATCAAAACAACCTAAACAATAATCGTTTCCAACCAACAACTTTGTCAATGAATGGTTTATTATCGCTTCCAGATGAAGTTCTATCAAAGATATTCGCTCAGCTTGATGTCATTGCTATAAGCTTTTTCATACGTGCATTTCCTTATTTCAAGAAGAAGATTTTGGATCTTTTCACTATTGTTTGTGATGAACGTGAATCCAATGATATAAAAGGCTATTTTCCAGGGACACCTATAGTTGGTTTAAATGATTTTTTGAAAATGACCTCACAAAATAAATCTTGGGGCGTGCTGCTTATTTTAACCCAAGCTCCTGATGATCCAACAGAAATTGATCAAATTATTAAAAAGGTCAGAAAACTAAGTACAATTACTTTGGTGCATAGGCAGCTAGAGTGTATTGATGATTGGTATAATGACCTACCTGTTCCTCGTAAAAGATCTAGGGAAGAAATATGCAATGAGAAATGTACGGGGTTAATGAAGGTTCCTAATGACAATAGGTGGGTTAAAAATATGTCTTTTCCTTTCGTTACAATAGTTTTTCTAGATAATCTTGAATTGGACCCTGGAATTCTCAGATTTCGTCAATTGAAAGAGCTACGGCTCAAAAATTGTGTCAGTGGTGATGAAAATCTCAAATTTGACTTACCCAAAATACAGCAGATTATGCTTATTGGAACTTGTCAATCAATCATGGAGAGTCTTGATTTTGAAAAGTATCCTAAAACACTGGTGATTGATAGTGAGGATACCGGAGTATTTGAAAACATTAGATTCTTAGAGACATTATCTCTATGTGTGTCTACTAGTCTTGTGGGATCGGGGGAAATAAGAAATATTGAACTTCCAAAAGCCAAAACATTTTTTCCATCAGGTATTAGGTCTCTTTCAAACATTCATTCTAATTCAGTTGAACATTTCAGCATCGCATCAAAGGGTGAACTTTCCCAACTGAATGTTCACATACACGATGTTGAGTTCCCAAACTTGAAGTCATTTCTAGTTGAGAATGTTATGCTAAAGGACATGATGGGTTTGAATTGTCCCAGCTTGAGTGATTTATCTATTCATAGATCCCAAATTTTGAATAATCAAAAGTACCTAGAATCGGTTTTTGCGAATCTCACGAAATTGGGTTACACTGACTCAATTCCAATTTTTGAAAAGCTAAAGACAGAGAACCTTGAGGAATTCTCAGCAAGAGTCTCATCAAAAGAAGACATTAAGATTATTACTTCGAAACAATTTCCAAGTTTATCGCTGTTGAATCTTGATTTTGGAAGTATTGATGAGACTGGTTATGTTTTAAAACCTGCTCCAAATCTCACAGATGTTGAATTGAGTGCTTCTAAGGGCTTAAACTTCTTGAGGAATTCGTTTTCAAATATAACATATCTGGTTCTCGATTCCTGTTCTGGGCCCTGGAGTCTTGAAGGTGTTAGTTTCCAGAATTTGAGATATTTCGAGGTGGGAATCAAAACTCCCACTCCTGGTTGTGTGAAGATCCACAGTTGTCACTTTCCAAAACTGAAGAGCTTTTCCATTGAAATGAAAGATAGTATTGATGTCGATATCAAAGGGATTTTTGAAAATATTGAGGCACCAATGCTTCAATCGATCAGTTATGGTCTTGCCATTGACATACTTGATTTATCAAAGATTAGCCATAGATTGGAAGATATTGAGATTAGTAATGTTCAGTGCTTAATTTTAGGTGATAGTAGTAATCTAGAAAGCCTAAAAGACACTTGGGATGGCTGGTTGAAAACACTCATCATCACACACAGAGAGACATTGAAGAATCTGGAACATATTGAGATAATGCGTTCGGGTACTATTGAAAGCTTTGAAGATTTGGAGAGAAGAAAAGACAAGATTGGGTTGAGGATCATTGAACTTTAGCAGTTACATCATTGATATACTGATCATTCCTTGAAAGAAGTTGTCTGGTAGTGTAACGATGTCATTATAATTGTCCACTGATGCCATATTAAACGAGTGCAGTATACATTTGATCCAATCACAACCGGTTCCTTATGCAAACAACTGTGAATGCGGGCTCTGGATATCCAAAAACCAAAATATTCAAGGTCCAAAGAGCTTCATAAACCATCATACTGCCAAATAACTATGTCCTAATGCTTATTCTATATGCCAAAAACCTCTTATTAAAGCATCTCCAAATAACTTCAAAGTCATGTGCTTAACAGCGTAGTCCAGTCTATTTCCTTTTCGAGCCAATAAGAGCGAAACCGTTTCCAATATTGCAGTGGGAAATAATTTATTATGAGAACACATCCGTTTCCCATGGAAAAAACTGGACAATACTCACAAAGAATGGCCAGATTCACACTATATCTCGATCAAATCCCATTTATTTAACCAGCATCTTCTTTTAAACCAAAGCCCTTCATTTTCTTTTTCCCAATTCGTTGAAATCTTCGAAAACTTGCAGCCCAAAAAAAAAAAAAAAAAAAAAACCGTTAAAGAAAAAAAAAATAAAA